TTCGGCATGGTGCCCGAACGGCATCCGTGCCTGTTTCCTATTCCAGCGGGGTGCAAGGAAAGTCTATTATACGATTCTTATGCGGGGCAAAATAAGGACAGGGTGTCTCTGGAAAGTACCGCCCTTGCAATTTAATATGGTTACCATTGTACAACACACACACATGCACACGATCAAGTTTTTCGGCTTGATCTCATCGTAGCCGCGATTTGCTATGCCGTTTCGGACTGGTAGCCAGGCCATGCGTGCAGCATCGAACGCGTTTAATGGCCGGTCATATGAGAGTTCTATCATTACGAAACATTAAAACGGTGAGAGTACAATTTGCGGGAGGAGGAAGGGCAGGGGGCGCCAATAGAGGCCCAATTTATGGTTTTTTTTTGACCGTCAACATGTGACAAAGACAATGGTCGCTTGGGAGCGTCGACGTCGCGATTTTTGCAGCCAACTTTTCAAGACCATGTCTCCCACTTGCTCTAAGTTTCGGGTTGTTATTGAGTTCTATAGCGGTGCCGTTTCAATGCTAAACCCATTCTTATGCGTAGGGTAGCAAATGCTACCTCGGAGCCAATGTTGCAGGGATGTTGTGCAAAAACAACTGCTTCCGCAAAGTGGGAAACTTCTGTCGTCGGCCTTTTTTTTTATGCCAAGCTGAAACGACGCAGGCACATTTTCAAACGACCGCATAAAGTTGCTCGAGCGGAGACAGCTGATTCTTGAGAAAAAGACTCAAGACAAGATACAAGTAGATCATGTGCTGGTAGTTTGCGACACTTCCAATGTATTCGCCAATGACAATAAGCTCAAAACGGTACTCCCATCTACCAAGAAACCCTCCCCCCTCAGCAAGCCTCGCAGATAACGTTCCTCTTTAAGATGCTAATAGGACCTAACATCACCGTAACGAATCCGGAAACCATGTGTTTTCTGTTTCTGGTGATTCAAATACTACCAAGTACATAAAAGTCATCCTGAATGGTCTGACAAATACTTGGTTGCACTCGTTAGAGTTGTCACCAGTTCCGGACCCAGCCGTGTAAACCGAGGTATATTACATTGAGCGCAAGTTTTGTGGATGAACCTCGCGCTGGCAGTGGGACGAATTCGAGATAAGACGCTCTTTCGGGAGTTAGGCCAGGGTGTGTAACCTGGGCTGAACGCCACAACATGGTTGGCACCCCTTCAAAGGCCAATAAATATGCTGGTGAGAATACAGCTGCCGAGACTAGTCCAAAAGTCCCGCGGGTGGATTGTCAGATCACCACATAACGGCACAGCAAACCTCTGACAGGGGTCTATGTACGTATCACGTCGTTCTGAGTCTGGCACTTGTGATAGAATTTAGTGGGAAAAAAAAGACGTTGAAGTCTCAGGTCACATTTCCCATTCGCCGTCTCAATTTCAGGCTGATAATGTCTAATGATGATGCAAGGCTACTTGGAGGCAAGCTGCCTTTCCCATCGGCAGTGTAAATGTTTTGGATTGGCGCCAGCCTCTATACATAAATATGAGCGCTTGCCGCTGCACGGTTTTTTTTGCACATCTAAACGCGCCGTCGTCGCGGCAAATCAGGGAAATGCGGCGTCCATCCATCTTGGACTTTGTGTTCGTCAGCTCTCTGCCACGCACTTGTCCATTTTAAGAACCATGCTCCATTGCCCAAGGAACTCAATGTATAGTATGACGCCTCACATAAGACATAGCATGACCTTTCCAGCTTCCAGGAGCAGGTATTTCTTTCGGGCCCCACAAACTATTCAAGGCGTGAATTCCACCTCAAATTTCGGACTTCCTTTCCCCAAGTCCCGGGACCCTCTACCGACAAGTCTATCACGCCAGTGACAAAACATCGACTTAGTAAACAAGGTTTCAGTCGGCCAAGACCCTTGGTTGCCTAGGTGCATCAGATTCGGTAGTTCCTAATGACAGCCGTTCATGAACTAGAATATAGATTCATCACTAGGTGGGGATGGGCTCATCCTAACGCCCTCAGCTGCTACTTAGGAGTAATAAAGACTCCCTGACGGCTGGCACTTTGGTAGTTCCGAGTGACCTTTCCGGCAGAAAGAATTCGGAAGGCGTCATAGCCGTACTTGGTACTGTCTTCAATAAAGACGAACAGCTTCCCATCCTTTTCTAGCGCTGGCAGCAATCAGCCTATTCCCTATGTGGCGCTGCTTAGCGAATGCGGGCCTTGATTTTGGAGATCCCCTCCACAGCGGCAGGCAAGAACAGAGCTTATTCGATCTCCTACCAAGCAGAATCGTGGCGGAATACTCGGGAATGACAATGAACAATAAACAAACAACAACCGGAATATCGGGCTGGCAGCCCACCCGGCCGATCAAAACCTTGGACTGAGTTGTTGAGCACAAGTATTGCTTCTTCGCTTGTTGCGAAATCTTAACATTCCGCCAAGTCCACCAATATTGCGTTGTGTACTTGTCCTCTGCAGAAATTGCCTTGAGTTGCTGCCACACCAAGACAAGACAGTAAAGTCGTGGAATTCCAACTCTATTGCTCTCCGAGCATCTGGATGGCGCGAAGTGTTAGCCTCTCTTGGGCTTTAGCGCACGGCGGCATATTGCCCGTCCGAGAGCGCATGCGCTCGCGTGCGGTAGACACCACCTCTTCTGGCAAAGTGTCGTGTCACAATCATGAAGTATAACATCAGTCATCTGCCGGATCCATCAAGAAGGGGTCCTTCCATAACCGACGTCACCAATCAGAAAGCATATCCGATTCATCAAGCATCCGAGCTCCGTACAAACCTGATCATAACCCACCCAGACCGACCGTAGTAAGATGGAGGCTCAATTAATCACGTTGACTCGTACTCGTACATGGACCTGTTTGTGCCAGGTCGGTTAGAACCATGCCAGAGGTGTGACAGAAGGAAGAGCCGGGGGTGCCCTCCTCAAGCCTCAGGGCCTGCTCTCCTCCCTGTAGATACTAATCGCTTATTAGTGTATCGCTACTACGGCGCTAGAAATAGACACACAATGGTTCCACAGGCACCCGGGGCGCTGGGTAGACGCTAACCACTACTTGCCGACACACCTGCGTCTTATTAGCCGTAATATATGCTACCTAATACTCCGTAGAGTCGTGCTAGAAAATGAAATACATACACCACCTGCTCCAGTTCCCCCCCAAGGCCAGTTCCCACCCGGGCCAGTTCGCAGCATGGTCATCAGAACAACCCCGACGTCTAGCCAAAGTCCTCCGCTCCGGCATTACGCTTGCTACGCTACAGACTCCTTTACTGCGCTTGGGCAATACGCATACCTAATGGTGGGATGGTCTCGGGTTTAGGTATCGTCTACGTGCGTTATTGTGGATCTTCATCTACAAAGCTTCATCTGGAATACTCATGTTCTCTGGGGCATCATTCCGGCGCTGACTCAAGAAGCCGAGGTCGCCAGGCAGATTCCCGACTTCAAAAAAAGACCACGGAAATTCCGCCTGCACTAACACATACCACCTCGATTGCACCATATCTATCCTCGCGTCAACTCGGCCGACCGCCGGATCTTGGGGTGCAACAACTGTTGTGCAACGGTAAGTGTCATGGGGTTTATTGAAGTGCCGCATCGCTCGCAAAGTGGCTGATGTGGCCCATACCGTTGCGGAACACACTTCCACATATTCCATCGATGTGCTGTGCATCTTTCGGCTCCTTGTTACCTATAGTATTTGTATGTAACTCAAATCACCCAGGGCCAAGATCCTCTCATCTCCCTCTCTACCCCATACATCATGCCACCAGACTTTCGAGCCTCACAGGACCCCTGCTTCGGGCATGGGCCAATGGCAATGGCATGCTACCAGAAATTGTGCAAGCGACGAATCCACTTGTAATCAATTGCTATGCTAGAAGCCCCATCGTCGCACTTTTCATTGCATTTTGTCCGAGGAACAAACCCTAGGATTGATCTCTGATCTAGGTAGCTGCCGGTGACCCACTTATCCATCGGTCAGCTACATGTCATCACCCTTGACTGGCCATCGAGCAGGCCTACCCCTAGTTCTCTTCATGGCTTCTTTATCGTCTCTCGTTGCTGGGTCGGGTTGCTGTATTTTAGTGGAAGTCCACCTAGCCTACGCTCCTTTCAGGGCACTTCACGAGCTCTAATTTGGCACAATGCCGGGGTGCTTGTAGGCTGTAAGCTAGCCTAAGCCTCTAGGTTAGCGGTGCTGCACTCATAGGGCGTCCACCATGTACACACGCATTGGAAGGTAGGTACATAGCTGCATCCTTCAGATGCCAAGAAAAGCTATTAGTACTATTCTGTCGGTGCCGACATCCAGCCCAAGGGTCGTTGGACTAGGGTCATGAGTCTCCTTCTCGCTTGCTGATATGTACATACACGGCCAAAAATCCACGGCCGAGTCTACCTTGATCTGGACAAAGTGGCCCGGCCAGGAGCAGTTGCGTGGGTGTATGTCGTTTACCAGCATACAATTAATGTATTGTATCTCACCTGAATTCCCGTTTCTAGACCCATCATCTGTCCTCGAATCATAATTCTTTCTCCCTTCGGCCAAAACTGTCGCTATACTCCGAATGACACCTGGGGTTGCTTACTTTCGCTGTCCCATAAGACAACGTTCAGCCCTTTCATCCAAACCTTGCCTTCTTCCTGGATCCCAATTTCACCATTCATCACCATACTAGGAAATTTCCACGTAAGCTGCGGAGAGATACCATTGCGCCTCGACGTTTCATTCATCTACACGACGACATAACACCATCGAGGGCTGAACCTAATACCAGCAACGGAGTCGGCTTCTGGAGCTAAACAGCAAAATAGCACGGACTGGTTAGATCTTTGAGTATCTGCGAACCGATCGGCGACCTGGTTGTGACATAGACAGCGGTATTAACGAGCACGTTGTTCGCTCTCCTGGCGCTCGGGGCAACCACAGGAGGGAAATAAATAATCCCCTAGCTTTTGGTCTGGGCATGCTAGAAGGCTCACTTGCTGCGTGTCGTCTCAATGGGGATTTCTAAGATAGATATCCATCGCTCTCTGGTCACGCCAGATACTCCCCCACCCGAATTAGAGAGCCACCACGCTTCAGCTTCCGCATACAGGTCCGCCGAAACCCATTATTGGAGGAGTGTTGCGCCCATATCTCCGCCTATGTCAAGCTATGATAAGCAGTTCAAGTCTGACATGTCAGCTGGGAAGAATTTGGAAGACAGCAGGGCTCGGGACATGGCCGCCCAGAGCGCGCCCCGACAACAGCTGCCGTCGCTGAGCAGCATATTTGGTCCACCAAGCCAGATGCGCCCTCTACACTCGCCAATGTCCGAGCGACCTAGCCCCCTGAGATCGCCGCTGGATCGGCCCCCTTCTGCGTCTGCTAATTCCGAGAGGTCGTACTCGAACTCGTACTTTCCAAACGTGTCGACGCCGGTGGCCCAACCGCGCAGCGTGTACGAACCGAGACTAGAACAAGAAAGGACCGCTCTCCCATCGGTATCACATCGTTTCCCCGGACCACTTTCACCCAGGAACCATGAGTTCGACAGAGCACAGAACGCCCCTCGTAATGATTCGACCACCAGCTCCAGATGGTCCAGCCAGTCCAGCCAGTCGGACTCGAGGAGGCCTGAATATGTCTTTGGGACTCGGGAGGCAGCATCATCATTCCGACCTGTCAACGACCGGTTACCTTATCCTCCTATAGGACAGAAGCCCAGTCACGATTCGCTTGGAGGCTACAGAGAACAACTGCAACGCCAGCCGCAACCTTCAGGCCACTCGTCGAACCTGTTGTCGAGCGGAGCCTCGGAGGCGGCGCCGGTCAAGGATGGCTTAGGGCCAAAGATCTGGACCGGCACGCATTTCTTGCCACGGTTCGTGCGACAGGCGGAAGTACCGGGGGAGGGTCTGTGCTACTTCTATGACGACGGTTCGCATTGTAAGACAGTGATTGATGGAGAGCAGGTGAATGCTCACTGGGGAGTCACGAAAGCTGGAAAGCCGAGAAAGCGACTTGCAATCGTCAGTATTCCCTCCTGAAACTCAGAGCTTAGGAGGAAGAGAAATTACAGCGACTGACCCAAGAAATACAGGCCTGCTTGACATGTCGGGAGAAGAAGATCAAGTGCGATCCGGACTTTCCTCGATGCGTACAATGCGAGAAGTTCGGCAGAGTATGCAAGTTCAAGAACGCGTAAGTTCCCCACTCCAAACGATAGAGACGATGCAGTTGCCAAGAATCTTGTATTCACATTGTTGCAGGCCCCGAGGCGGACACAACACTTCCCCGTCCAACTCGCCAGGATCACATTCGATCTCGCAGGTTAGGGAGCACGAGCAACAGAGGCCCCGAAGCAACTCCAGCGCCTCCGTCTCCCCGCGGACGACGACACTGCCTCACCCCTCGCCGGAGCACGCCGACCTGGGCAGCAAGAGGGTACGCGTCAGCTATGAGCATTACAAGCCCACATCCAACGAGACCGCACCGCCTTATCCGCCCCAGGAGGTCAAGAGGACCCCGCTATCATGGCACCAGCGCGAATTACCTCGCGTTCATGAGGACCTCCTCTGCCGGCCCTGGCAAACAGAGCCGCGGCATCTGTGATAGTCTGGCCGATCCGGGCGTTGTACCACCTGAGACTTGCGGTGAGAGATTTCAAACGTTTAGAGACGTTATTTTGCGTTTGTTGGACTCGAGACTGCAGCCCACAAAACTTGGGATTCGGGCGAGTTCAGTAAGACGGACGACAAACTGCTATCTGTGTCTGCCATGATATACGGTCACACGAAGAGTAGTCACTGAAGGAGGCCAACCATGAGGCTTTACGCCAGAGTATGCGAGAACAACTACATGATCTTTGTTACCGGCAGAGTCGGGATGACTTGGAGGATATTGATCACGAGACGACCACCAAGAAATGGAGGGTGAAAGAGCTGAAGAGTGGACGATCACATTGAGCTACGATTTTTATTGTTTTTATTTTGGCAATACTTCAGCATCAGACAGGGCGTTTTTCAGGCATTTTATTTCTCATCACACTGGTTACATCCTCGCTCCCGCGAGTTGATCTGGATTAACGGCGCACGAGGAGTTTTCTGCATCGCCCGAGGGGAGCAAAGAAGACACGAAGTCCATCCATGTTTGTTGGTTTGCTGTTTTCTCTGATTTTATGCTATTTATTCTTCATCATGGAATACCCAGTTGCATCTGCTGCTACTTCTTATAACTGTATATTCACTACCTCCTTCATTCGTTTGGCATCTATATATATACATATGTATTCATGACATGAACAAACAAACAAACAAAGTATTTCAGACAGAACAGACTCTATGAGGCCGGCATATCAACACAGACCGGGAATGCTGCCTGCGAGACCACTCCCGTGTAAACTGGGAGATATTCGTTGCCCGCTTGCATGCAGTCCCTCCCCCACCCCCCAAACTTGACTGTGCCGCAGACTATCTGAAAGTCCGGATAACGACGGACAAACCCCCCTATACGATATCGTGTCAAAGCAGCATCACCCGGAGTGTCACCTTGGTCTGAATCCTGCACTAGTTAAGCGACTTTGCCAATTCCCCTCCTCGTCATGCCCTTCACGGGCTCACGGGCTGCACGGGCTACGAGAGAACTACTGTCCACAATTTAGTCTTTTCCATCGAGACCGGGTTTGGCAGAAATTGGCCCGCCCGCCACAGTCGTTCGATTTCCTGCGTGGTTCGTAAAGCCGGTCTGAGGAAAAGCACATCCACACGGGAGGGGAGGGGACGTCGTGACAGGGTCGGCGTCAGCCAAAATGTGGATACCAGGAGGAGGCTCTAAGAGAGACACCGCTCAAAATGAACCCCCCCCCTCGCCTTGTGCCTTCCTTATCCAGCAGTCTGGTACTGCAACCTAGAACCCTGGATCTACATGAGCCAAAATGGAGTCCTTGATGTTTTCTCCACATATGTTCGAAAGGGGGGGACCCTGACCTAAAACGGTGAGTCGGAAGAGGAAGAGGAAGAGGAAGTGGAGGAGGTGGGGTGTGAGAGACAGAGTGAGAGAGAGATGGAACAAGATCCTTTCACCACAGCATAATTACAAACTCCTCGTACACAAAGCGCGCAACAATCTGGCGATGCAACCCTCGTTTGTACAAGTAGAAGACCCTGCCCCCCCTCCCCAATCTATCATGCCAAGATTTCTTTTTGCATGACGTTCCGTCACGCAGCAAGAGCCTCCGATATCATATCGAAATTTTCGGTCTCTCATGGCATGCCGTACCGTGTGACCAAGTAACATAAAAGCCACTATAGAGAGATCTCCATGTGACAAAAGGTGAACAGTATTTCCAGTCGCACGCTAGCCAGGCAGGCCAACTTTTATTTTTATTTTTATTCTTATTCTTTACCGGAACCGGAAGTATCACATGCCAAAAACCCGGGACCTTGGAACATTACAATCTGTAGTATCATCTCATTTCAATATCGGAAGCGAGCGAGAGACACCGTTTCCTATCACTTCAATTCCCGGACTCTCCCCCAGAACCACCTGAGACGAGGGGCGGGGAGGCACTCAAGAGCATGGATTCTCTCTCTGTCTGCTGGGTCACTCTACATATCACACCAGGGGGGAGGGTAGGGTAGGGTAGGGTAGGAGAGAGAGAGAGAGAGAGAGGCCAAAAAGGAACCCTATAAGCGAGAGCCGCGATGCATGGGAATAAGATGAAATGAAAATGGAGAAAAAAAAACCTCCAAAAGGGAGAGAAAAAAAAGAGGACGATGGGAATTGGAACCCCCTTCCCAAAACCACAACCCTGGCCGTTGTCGGAATTCGGCGCGAGAAAAGCGGGTCGGCGTCACGGCGCCCCATGTGTGACTGACCTCGGGCCTGCCGGGCCTCGTGCCCGGCTTTACATCTTGGGCGAGATACTGTTTGTGGCGGGGATAGGAAGAGGCTCGATAGGCTATGGCCGCTGTCCTGCGGAGGTATTATGTTTCCCCCAGTTAAGCCAAGCATTGCCCTCTATCTCTCTCGTGTTACCAGACGACGTTAAGATACCTACCTGCACTATAATGCTGCCAAGCGACTTGGTGGCAACCTGACGAGGTATTGGGGCATAAACATGCGACATGTACGTAATGTTCCGACGGATAGATGCTGACCGACCCCCCTACAACCAAATACATTTGAGTGCCTGCAGACACAAATACCAGGACCGGGCATGAGTGTAACGTTCGTTTTCACAGCGTAGGGCCGGATGAGGTCACATCAATGTAATTCGCCTTGTCCCAAGCGACTGGTAATCATCCTCACTGGCTTGCCTTGTTCATGCGATTCAATTCACCGAAAGCTTATTCTTGTTCTTCCACTAATCAGCATCCACGCAAGCACAAAATGCACGATGCCTGTACATGAGCAGACTCGGCCGAAATGCCAGACCATCTACTAGTTTTCCCTGACCGTTGCTGTAAAGTTCCGGGGTATCAGCAAAATGCAAAACTCCTTAAACCGAACGCCATTCCGATGCATATATCTTGCGATGTGATCGAATCGATCCTCGCGCTTCCTCCTACTAGTCCGTTGAAGTTATTGATGATTGTCTCAGGATGCAGTCGCCTCGTTCGATATCATATCATAGTATAGACACCTCTTAGTCGGAGTCTACGTAGACGGGCAGATCTGAGGCAGTGTCGACGTATTCAGCCCGACCTAGTCTATTTCCTGCTCGGTACTTTTGAGACCCCAGGAAATAGTCACTTTTTTGACCCGTCTCTTTGGGCCGACTGTAATGAGAGCTGGTTGCATCTCTAGGCCGCTTGAGGTTATTAGAGAGTATTTCGATCTCAATGTTAGTCTTTGGCGAACGATCTTCTTCACGCTTTCTCTTCGCTTTGAGCGGCGTCTGAACCTGAATTTCCCGGACCTCTTCTTGGGACAAAGTGGTCATCTGCTGCTCCACAGATTTTCGTGGAGTGTCAGGGTCCCGTGTTGGTCTTGTTTCATCTTGTCTTTCTTTTCTCCTTCTCCTTTGCTCCGTTGTGAGAGCGTCATCGAGGCGTTGCAGGAGGTCAAGCTCGGGCACGCTGCTTGGATGTGCGCTACTGAGATCAACAGGGTTGTCCGAGGTATCCCCCAAGGGTTCGGGCGACTTGGGCAGTGAAACAAAGTTCTTCACAGTATCATTACTTTCTGATTGTCTCGAAGAGTTCCGGCTCATCAAGGCTGAACTAGGCAGGCTCTTGGGTAGCATACCTGCTTCCCGACCATGCGGAGTAGTCGTCTCGCGGTCGTGAGGTGTATCTTTGGTCCCCGACAAAGGCTCGTTGAACTTCGTGCCACCACTCAGAACTTGACCAGTATTGATGTTTGATGCTCGTAGATTCCGGCGGAGTAAAGAGGAGGCATCACAAGTATTCTGGGTTGTCGAGTTCTGGCATATGTCAAGCGCTGAAGATAATTCCGACCTCACAGTCGATTTCGTTGCGTGATCCGCTGGCTCTGTTGACTGTTTATCGGACTTTCCATCACTTGATGACGGTCGACTTTTGCTACGCTTCTGCTCTGCGATCTTGCGTTTTCTTTCTCGTTTTTCGGCCTCTTCGAGATCTTCTCGTTCCCGCTGCTGACGTTGAAGCTCGAAAATTAACTCTCTCAGCTTGTGACGCGTGGCTGATGAATTCAACTCCCAGTCTGGTTCGCCGTACTGCAAGAGGCTGTGGATGAATTTATCTGGATCCCTCTGAAAAGCGTCAATGTAGCCAATAAGATACAGACCGCAATCGCAGTAGTTTTCTTGCAGTGGTATATGCTTCGCTGTTATGCCAAGCTTGCCAGGGTCAGGAACCTCAAGGCCCTTCTTGTCTTTCAACTCTGCGACCATATACTGGCGAAGGTACGAACACGCTGGGGAATGTGCTGATCCCAATGAGTCCAACGTGATGATCTTCGGCTGACTTGTATCATGCTTGCGCTGTCCGCTGTTCGATTTCTTCGGTGCCTTTCTTCGAGAGGCAGCATTGGTGGGTTGTGTTCCTGCGGCATACACATCGCTTTCAATCATTTCGTAAACGTCCTCATTCTCCGTTGGTTGGTTCCCACCTTGAAGTTCCTTATTAGCCTGTTTATCCTGGCCAGACGGCTCTGTGGCATCGTTTGAGCTTGTTATGGACATTCGACGCATCTCTTCCTCGACCAAAGGAACACTTTCCCCGAGAGTACTAATATCATGGGCAACCGTAAGATGCTGGCCGGTGATTGCCGCTTGCTCGGTTTCAGATGGAATGCCATCAACGTCATCAGCAGTCTCTGTTCTCCTATCTAGCCCCGATGTATTTTCTTCCGGAATAAGCTTCGGCGCATTGTAGATAATCGCAACATACCAGTGAGCGTGCTCATTGATAGGGACGACAATGAAGTCCTTCGTAAACAAGTCCACTTTGGCCGTCCAGCCCTTGACGCTGTCGTAGTTTATGCCAGCGCCGCTTTTTGAAGGTTTGAGCTTGTCATAGAAGAATGTGTTATGAAAGTAGACTCGCTTGGCAATCTCGGGCCGCTCCTTTTCTAGTTGATCTTGTAAATAGCGTAGACCAAAGATGATTAGGTTGTCGTTGAGGAATTGCCCTTCATCAAGTCTAACTATGTCCTCTTTGTCAACAGTGGCTCGGTTCTTGCCCTGGGGTGGAAAGACCAATGAATTTCGCCAGCTCTTCTCCCAGTTAGGGTGCTCATCCGTCCAGCCTTTAGGGGTGGGAACCCTGTCAATGAGCTTGACTGAACGTGTTCGACTTGCGCGAGTGACGGGTGCTAATGCTGTAGGACTTTCCGGAATGGTTATAGACTCCTCTTCACGAACATGGTTATGGGAAGGGGGAGGTCGCATAGCGTCGCGGAGTTTTGGCGGCCCAGACGGCTTTCGGTTCCATGGAGCTAATGGCTGCGAAGTTTGCAATCGCTTTTCGTGTTGCCGTTCCATAAGTTTGACGTCGTCGGGTACCTGGGACAGAGTGTTGTCCGAGTCTCTCAGGACCTTGCTTTTTGTGGCTTTCTCCCCCATGTGACCCAGTGTCTTGCTCAGCTTGTCGTCTTGCACGGCTTGGACGCTAAGTTGCAGCGATTCGCTCCTTTCCATTTGAACCCATTGTACAAACAACTCGAGCCCTTTGCGGTCGGTAAACTCGACAAGTAATTTTGGCCCAGCCGACATGCCGGGGTCCAGAGATCGCTCAATACAGACGACGTGGCCAGGTGTCGTTTCATACTTGATCGCATTGGACTTCTTCAAGTCCACCGCAAGGTAGCTGTATTCTCCCATCACATCTCCTTCACTGGTCGTGGGTAGAAGTATAGTGCTGACATCGTGTACGCGCAGTGAGCACTCTTCATTTGGATCTTCCCTGAGTGCAGAATACATGTACCGGCCATCAACAGCTGATTTGATCCTAAGTCCCGTCCCAAGGATATCCCTGGCATGGTCGATGTCTGGCCGTTTATTGCCTTTGCGGGAATCAGCGGCTGCTTTTGGTGGCTTCTTGAATTCTGTAGGCCGGATCTCTCCTCTTCGAGACTCGCTCTTGGATGCGATTGTCCTCGACTGAGGCAAGCTTCTGTGGACGAACTCGCCTTCCCCGCTCAAAGGATCAGGACTCGAGTTCCTAGGTTGCTTGCGAGGCTCCTTTGAATCCAATCCCCATTTTCGTTTGGAAGCATTGGGTTGGGAGGCAGTGGGCTTGCTTGGTAGGTAGGAGGGTCTGTAGAAACGCTCGCGATACTCGTCGAGGGGCTTATCTTGGTGCTCGATGGGGGCATTCGGCTGTTTATCCATCTCCCAGGCTTGTATCAGGTCAACTTTCTCGGCATCGCCATCGTCCACAATACTGTCACTGTCATCTAGAACCTGCGGACTCGAGGCACAAATGTTTGGTAGTTTTCCCAGGCGTTTTCTCTTGGATTTTGGAGGCTGGGTCTGCTTTTCGACCGACCGATATTCCCCGACGTTTGTCAGACTCGCGGGTTTGCTTGACGACTGAACACTGGCTGCCTTCCGGGGGAAGTCTCCTGATAGTATACTGCTGGCGGAAGGTCTCCGCGCAGGGGCAGATCTGGGCTCTGAATCAATGGCGAAGTAGGACTGTGAGGTGGAGAATGTGTCTGGCTCGTGACTCTTCTGTTTCGTGGCGGGCGGCTCGTGAGAGGCGGAAGCCAACGGCGCGTCGGGCAGAGGGGGCAGTGTACGCTGGTGCTGTGTGCCGTTCAGTGTATTAGTAGGCTTGAAGGCGCCGGTGAGGCTATCCATGAATTTTCTCTGCAGTGCGTGTGAGCTAGTGGGAACAAACAGTTTGCATCTGGTGGTGTGCCTACAATGACCATCATGAGGGCTCGCGGACAGGAAGAGGGACTCCCAGTCTGGTCGAGTCAGAGGTGTTTGGGTGTGAAGAGTAGAAGTAGTTGCAACCTGGGGACTATCTTGTGGTGGGCAAGTCAGCATTCCACCCGGTATTTGCGTTGCATCGCGTTGGTGTTGGTGTTCTGGAGCTGCAGCATGCAGAGCTTCCTTACCTGGCGACATGCTTGATGAAACTGTGCCCTCAGCAATGCCCATACCGTGGGGGGTTTTCTTCTTTCCTTGTCTCAAGATGGCAGTATCAGATATCGTCTGGGGCGATTTGCGAGCGCATATGTACGAGTCGCATACTCGTGATCGATATGGTGGAAGAGGTGGTATTTGTTGAGGGGGTTACAGAGTCACCACGCCGATATGGGACTTTGAAAATGCTCGGACTGAGGGATCTGTGGTCAGATCCCCGATCAGATCGAACCGAATCGCAGGAAGAGGCGACGATGGGCGGGCGCTCTAAGACTAGGAAGAAGTGGTGTGAATGTGAGTGTGAATGTGAGTGTGAAGTCGAAATGCAGTGAGGTGAGTGCGCGGCTCTTACAGTATGAATTTTTGGCGGTAACGCGGCTGCATCCGGACCCAAGACGCTGAACCTTGTGCAACACAGCGGCCTCTTCGGTGCTGATTTGGGGATTGCCCTTGGGAGTGGTGGCCCTTTGGCGGGGCTGGTACCCCGCTGTCACAGTCCTGTCCTCCAGGGTAACATGCTAAGTCGGTACATATTCTAAGTTATCAGAAATACTTTGTAACCTGTCACGCGACCGGATTCACTTCGACTTCTTTGTGAATAAACTCATTCATCTTTTGTGGGGAGACAAAAGATGCCGTCTTGTTCTGTTCTGCTCCACCGGAAGCAACTCGCACGGCATGAATGATGAGAGAGAATTCCTGATAGCCAACCACACCCGCCCAGGCTCGCCTGTGGTCACATCAAGTCTGCCCTTCCGCAGCGGGACACACGGTCTATCAGCCGCTCTTCGTGAGAATCTTCGCTAGGGTACAGAGCTGCGTGCCCGTTATGCATCCAGGATATATCCACAAGGTCCGATCTGACTGAGTTGGCCACCAGTATTTTCACAGCTTTGACCGGGTACCATTGTTCCTATCCATTTCCATGGGCTAATTATTACTTGGTGATTCCATCTCGATAAGTGGTTTGTCGTTGCTCAATATGGTCACATGTCCCACATCGGGGTTACACCAATAATAGTAAGGATGCCAAACAATGTCAGGATCTAGCACTCATCCTTGTGACTAACCTAGGTGCATCGTGGCCCATACATATATGGAAGTCTCTACTGCTCATGTCAAGTGGGTCGGGACCGTAGATTTGACTATTTCGAGAACTCTCTTATACATGACGTCAATACCTGGGGCTAGGCACATCGATGACATTGCAAAGACAGAACCACAGGTGCGAAATTGATGCTTCGTGAACATGTAATCTCGCAAATTCTTTTCAATCTTGTCAGGCAACCCCATTGGCTCCAAAGTTCTTTTGAAAATTCCCCCAAACATGGACGATTGGCAAGACGAAGCGCTCTCCTCGCGACATATGCACAATAGAGTTGGAAAGGGCGGCGGCAGATCACAGCGACATGGCTCGAGATTCAATGTTCGCAAATCCTTTGGTGGCTTCTCGGTGGACTGTCCAACCTATACGAGAGCCTGTGGCAGCGAAGGAGACATGAAATCTGCCGGCAACCCGGATTTACAACTATATCGCCTTACGACAGACGGGCAGGGTGTCGTGGGGACGCTTTCTTTGCCAGGCACGCTGCAGGCGGCGGTCATTCTTGCGGCGAGCAGAAAGAGTTTACAAGCAATTGTTTCCAGCCTAGAGGCCGAGGATCCTGCCAATGATGATGCTGAAGAGCTGGAGCGCGAAGGAAGTAGCGAGCGCGATAATAACACCGATGAAGATGGTGACGATCAGGAGCACCTTGATGAGGCCGATCAGCTTGAGAACGATCGCTTCAAGGCTTTTGAAAAGAACAGTTTTCGTACACCAAAGTTCTGGCTGCAATGGTGTGGAAGTCCGATACCCCCAGGCTCGACGATTCAGGATGCCGAGTCGACCACACCGGAAACGGGGCTGGGTTATATCGTGTTTTCTGGAAACGATTGCCGAAAGTTTAGCGGGACGCTCAACTGCAGCACGCTTGGTTGGGAAGATGTGGCGATCAGTGGTCATAAGCTTGCATCACGATCTGAATCAGATGTACCCGTGGTGTGGGCGCAAACCGGGTCGGATATCTAGTGATCGTGTAATAGCAGTGGTTCTATGGTATCTTGATTTTGGTAACTACCATTGGGCTGCAAAGCCTCTAAACAGCGAGATTTATATTTTTATTTTTTTTAACCTACTCGGCTGTCTTATCTACACAACAGTCTCATTATCACTTTCTTCGTAGGCATCATCCTGAAATTGCCATAGTCAAACCCACTCAATCATGAATTGCCGGGTGAGTGACTTTCCCTTCGGGCTGTTGCGTTATGGGAAGGATGCTGTCATTCAAGTACCCGCCTCTATCTGTAGCTCATAATTAGTTTCGTATCATGTGTAGTCAGCTGCTTTTTCTGACTCGGCTTGAGACATTGATATTCTGCTCTGCAGCGATCATTTGAAAGATTTCCAGAACCTGTTAATCCGACTTATGAAAGGAATCAGCAAACCCGTTTAAGACTTGGACGTTCTAAATTTGGACCACCACCCAATGAATCAAGCGCCACAATGTCATGGTGAGACCCAAGAAGGACAAGAAGCAGACAAAGACCTCAATATAAATGGCATTTAACAAGCCTTTCATGGAATAAGAATGTCCTTATACTCTTCGTAGCGGTCCTTCAAGCCGCTATTTGAACAAAGAAACTGATACCGGAACAACGGTCGAATCCAAGATAAATACAGCTAAGATAACGTTCATCATAGTTGGTTTTCAGTCAGAGTACCATTGCCCTCAGAAGCCAGCCAGAAGCCAGCCAGAACCCCGAACTACATAAAACATTCGCCGCCCATCTCACGCCATCTCAGTCAGCCCCAGGCACAGCAGGATGGCCCCCCAACCTCATCATAGTCATCGGGGTGGCGGTCGTGGCAGCTTTCAGGGCAGTAACAACAACCAAAATAATGGCTTTAACTACCCTGGCGACTGGTCGCCAAAAGGGTCACCGCACCCTACCAGCACTGGAGGTCGTGGAGGTTACAAAGGCAAGAACTTTGATCCCGGCCACCATAAACGATTCAGCAGTCAACAAGGTTTGGTTCCTGACGGCGGTAACACCCCACAACCGTTCGTGAACCGAGACGGCAATGGGGCTAACAGCGGTGGCAGTTACAAGGGTAGAAACTTCGACCCGGACTATCAGAACCGTGTCAAAAGCCAGCACGCTTCGCACCACAGCGGCAATCATGGCCAAGCCACCGCAGGTAACCACCCCTTCCAGTTGTCCCCTGACCAGCCCAGCGGTCCCCGTAACCGTTCAAACAAGAAACGTAGCCGTAGGGATCGCCAGAACTTGGGCGGCAGGCAAGATCCATACTTCCACCGGAAGCGCCGTTTGGACCAAAGCGCGGACACCTGGATGTGTGAGTGCCAGACGCCGCCGACGGAGTGCCACGAGGCGCTGATGAGGGAGTACCTGACCATGGGTAACGAGAACCGGCAGGTACTCGCGCAGCACGAACACGCGACCGAGGTCATGAAATGTACGATCGAGCACTTCCTCCAGTCGAACCCGCACCTCCGACAGAGCATGGAAGAGTGCTACAAGAACGTGGAACAGCAGATCATCCAGCAGGAGTTCGAGCAACTCCAGGATCTCCTTCCTGATGTTCCGGAGCCACAGGTGCCGGTGGCAGGTGTGTGCATCGCCATGCCGCCATACATACAGAGCCCAGCGATGGTGCGATTTATCTGATTTATAAAAGGTGAGATGGTAGGCAGGCCCGACAACTGATACATAATATATGAAAACGTTAAGTAAGTGCAACGGAAGTATACTACTATCACTCGTTTAGACATGTTCAGTCATGATTGACTATATGTAGCCCCAAATAATCAAAGTTTTCCAGACCTGCGCCTCTTCTATTAGGGAACCCTTAATAAGCCGCTTCATGGCGGCCTTGAATGTAGTGCTTTTATAACCGTGATAACTTCCAGTGGGCTACTCAGCACAAGTAAACCATTACTCGAAATAATCATCTGTCTGTTAGCTAGCTTGCTTGGAGTGCCCCGAATCAGCCAAATTCCAGTGTCGGCCCTCAGAACGACCAGCCATCCGTCTCGCCCGGGGAATGCTTGGCAAATCCTTCATACAGACTGGATGACAGAATACCGTGGTGAACACCGTGGATCTGTCCCCCCGTCATGACCATGACCACGATCAAGCCGATCTGGCCCCAAGGGATACATCCAAGACATCGCAGCAGATCAATCATGACCGAACCACCGTCATACTGTTTCGCCCCCAGATTGATTGGGGGCCGACGTCAGCACACGCCAAAAGAAGAGTCGCGCATACATCACCAAGAAACTTCAAAAGATCGCCTCGCAGTCTGTGGACCGCCTGGAGCGCCATGCCATCTTCCCGCACCCTCGAGCAGCTGATCAATGCCACTCCTTGCCACTCCTTGCCCCTCCCAGAAACCACAACCAACACGTGCATGACGAGTTGCAAACTCGACTCGACCAAACGATTCGCCACCCTCCCCCTATGAGCGTTGGACCCGCATATGGACTGTCAGGCTATATCACATGTCCACCAAGCTATAGCGACGAGCCACGGGCAGGGTGTGGGCAGGGCGTTCTGATTGGGAGGAAGGGGGTGCTTGACAGGTTCCTACCATAGTATAGCGCCCCTAGCCCGGATTGCAACATCGATGTGGGGCACCACTTTGATAACAAACCACAACCCTATAATATAACATGTGATCGTATAGAGTTGGGGCAACTCACTCGACCAGGGTGGGCTTCGATGGACAACTCCGCGATAACGATGGTGTCATACTATAACCGACGACTGGCAATCTGGTCCACCGCGCCCACCCCCTCTCCCTTTGCCCCCCGGTCGCGATGACAGATAAGGCCGGACCAGGGAGCCAGGACCAGGACCAGGTGTGATAAGGTTGTTTTTGACAGACGCCTTGTCCTTCGTGCAAGGGAGGGGGGGGTACGGCGTTTCTGGGGTCTCCACAGCCTGTGGCATCTGACAGCCTTGTGCCGGTTTCGATCCAGTCGCGGCCGGGTCCTGACCGGGGCGGGGAGGGGAGTTGGGAACCGATTTGGGATGTGCGTCCGGGTGCGTTTCGGTTTCGCTGCCCCACCCCCGATGCCCTTCTGCGGCCTACACCCCGACGCACCAAGACGAAGTGTACCTGAGCGACATGTTCGGGAAGTAAATCTTCTTGCATGCACGAGCAGGGAGGTGCCCAGGGTCGGCGGCCCTTGCATGAAGCCAAAATCCGATGCGATAAGGGAGGGGTGGGAAAGAACTATAACGGCAATATGATAATATGCCGACGCGGAAGGTTTCTAGAACAGATGTCAACTCGATCAAAATCCCCGCCCGCGTCGGACTTATATTGATGTATGGACTATCCTGTGCTATCACTGGTCTCTTGGACAGCTGACTGCAGGTCTAACTATGCAATGTCCCCTGTGTAATTCAGACAGAGACTCTCTCCATGTGTGAATATGCTATGAATCGCCCCCCACGATATAGGTACTTATCGAGTACCTCGCGACTTCCTCCCCACCCTTCAAGCCGTAGAAGATAATATGCTTAAAGCCAACGTTAAGATCGCTCGTTGCGGGCTAGCGTTGCGTGGAGGGTATGTTGTTTCATGAGGCTGATGGAAATCAGGCCAATGAGTACCATGGCAAGAGCCGTGAACCACACGCCTCGGAATGCCTCCATGAAAATGGCAATAACGTCTGGCCTGTGCCACCCCACTGGCAAATGGTTGAGCTCGTCGAGATCGTCCCTGATCTTGGGTATCTCCACGCCCGCGTCGGGCAAACTTCCAAAGCGATCCCAGAGCTGCGTCTTCAGGATATTCTGGTACACCGCGGAGGCGATGGTAATGCCAACAGTCCCCCCAACGGATCTGAATGCATATGTGGCACTAGTGATGGGCGCCTGTTCAGAATGGTCGACCGCAGCCAGACACGCTAGCAGCGTAATAGTCAGCATAGCGCCATAGCCGGAGCCCAATAGAAAGAATGATATCATGATATGCCATTTCGGTGTCGTTTCGTCGAGAGTAGTCAGAATAATGACATGTGCCAATTGCAGACCGACCGCAAGGGCACCGAGAGCGATGTATCGTCCAGTCTTCCTCATCAGGTAACCGCTGCCAATAGAACATATGCTGATACCGATCGGGGCAAACAGAAGAACCAGACCGGCTTGCGTTGCAGATTGACCGCGTACCTGCAGATAGAGTGGACTGTAAAACAAGGCCATCATGTTAGCCATAGTAGTAACGAGATTCGTCATGCATGCATTGAAGACAGTCCGACGGAGAAGAAGCCTGACTGGTATGATGGGTTGCGCGGCTCTTGCCTCCCAAATGACGAATCCCACTGCGGCAACGAACGCGAGTGGGATGGTGGTGAGAGGCAATGGGTGGACCCAGGGTACCAAGTTGCCCCCAGCGTTGAGGCCTAGCAGAAGCAGGACCAGGAAGACAATAATCAGAAACGCTCCAATGAAGTCGATCCGTGCCAGGTATGATTTATTGGACACTTTCGGAGGAATTCGCACCAAGTATGCGACGAGGCATGCTGAGACCAAGACTGGAGGCACCTGGATAAGGAATGCTAAACGCCATCCTCCACTTGTGTAATCGTTCAGCAATCCTCCGAGGACACCGCCACACATGGCTCCGGAGCCATATGCGATGTTTCCAATGCCTTGAATGATACCTCGCTTCCGGAGAGGGACCAAGTCCGTTGCCAGGAAAGTAGAGATGGACATCAAGCCACCTCCGCCGATACCTGCAACAACGCGGCCGAAAATCATGACGTGTTCGTTCTGTGCAAGTCCACATATGAGATTCCCGGCCGCGAAGAATACATTGCTGAAGATCAAGCCTGGTCCTCGCCCGAATATGTCGGTCAGCCTCCCACTGATCGGTTGACAGGCTGCATTGGCGATGAGATATGCGGTGGCTAACCATGACAGCAAACTCAGGGACCTGAACTCGCTCGAAATTGGCGCCGAAAGTGTCGCGATGATAGAGGCGTCTACAGCTCCCAAGAAGACGCCAACATAGCCACTACCTAGGATGAGCCACAGTTTAACGCCTGTAACCTCCTCGACGAAAACGGTCTGTTCCTCATTCTCATTGGCTGTTTGCGACCGATCCGCAGGAACATTGTTGTTGCTGTCCGCATGTTGCAACAACGGCGTTGTTTCGCTACTTTGGGTGGCCTTTATGGAAGGGGTTTCCCTTCCATTGCCGTTACTATTCGAGGTCATCACGAAATATGGAAGCACTTCGAGGGGGGCGTGCAGCTCAAATACCAGCGGGCTGAGGACCACTCCTGAACTCGTCGTCCCCGTGTCAGGTCTGTGACAGACCAACTGTTCCACCAATGAGAGACACGACCTGCACTATTACTGCCCCTGAACACTTGCCAATTCTCCGAAAGCTCATGCGTGACACGCGTAATTTTCTCGACGCTTCTGAGGCCGGAAGGAGATTTTTTCTTCTCGAAGTCTGGAAAGAGGCTACAACCTGACAGAATGACGATTAGAGATATGGCGGCATGGTGGATTCCTTTAGCGCTTGGATAAGCCGACGCCAATGATCGGTAGAGTGTAGCCGAACCTCTTATGGGCGCGAGAGTTCGGGACTGTCCGTTGTACCATAACCATAAACGCCGTGGTAGAATTCATCGATGATGTTTATAAAGTTTCGTGGTTTATCGTAACAATTGCACCAATCAACTTAATTTTCGCAGTGCTTCCATCTCAATCATGATATACTCAAGGAATAAAAGTCTAATGTCAGATGTTCTGACAAGTCCCATCACCTGAATATCAAACTACATGACTATAGTACATGGTAGGTTGCCACCGTCAGAGTTGCAACTTGTTGCAATCCTGAACGAGCCAAGCATACACATGCGCCGGGGAAAGTTGTTGATTGTTACAAATGTGCTCTTTGAATACGGAGTGATGCACAACCCCGTGCATAGCCATGATCCATTGAAAAAATGAAAAGAATAAAAAATAAAAATAAAAAGAATAAAAATGAACAGAAGAGACCTAACGCTTCGTCATCGGGTTCATCATTGGTTTGTTTCGTATTTCATTGGACCCAGCTTGGTTTGTCGCCAATTGAGAGAAGGTGGGCCATGTTAGTCAAAGTAAATGGCAGGGCAACAGGATGCTCGACGCTGAGAATGCGGGGCGTAAGCTCGAAGATTAGGTCAACACAGGTCATGGCAATTACCAACATGTTGCGGCAAAACAAAGAGTGATGGACCGCGAGTCGAGGTGTGTGTGTTTTTTTTCCCTTCAACTGTCGCCTGTTAGCTGACTAACCATAGAGTCGACGACCATGTCTTACTGTAGGTAAAAGGTGAGCAAAGCTGAATGTCGAGGCGCAGCGCCTTTTAGCAGACGTTTAGTTCAGTGGCTTTGCAACGCCTGGAAAGGCAAAGATCGGGGCAGTTGCATGGTAGAAACGGCTCTTGGGCGAATCACAGCCGCTTTCCAGCAGGGCTGAGCTCTAAAAAAGAAGACACTGGAGACCGGACAGGGCACTCAGGCACTCGGGCACTCTGGGCAAAACGCGCGTCATATGAGAGGGATGAAAGGGTATTTTCAAGGCACGCTGATCTGCAGAAACAGAATGAGTTGGTTGTCAATCACCGTTGCATTAATCGGAATTCTGAAGTCTAGTGTTCAAATTTACATTGCTTGATCTCGTGGACAGCAGCTCCGACGAGTTTCTTCCTGTTTTTACCTTTCTTGCCATTGAAATCCACCCAGGTCCGCTTGCTTTCTCGACCGCTGCCCCCAAGCAGACGTCGTACAGCCAACGCCAATATTCTACCAAGAGTACTGAAAACTGTTCCGCGTTTCGACGAAGCGTCCGACCCCTAAAGCTAGGCAAACATTCTGCCAAGTTTCGAGAGCTGAACTGAGCTGAGCTGAGCTGCTGGCCACAACATCAGCAATTCGTATCACGCGGTAACGAGCATATTCCAACTTGACTTTCGAATCCCCTCAACTCCTCGACCCGATCGAATTGTGTTTGTTTACATTCTTATATCCCACCACGATAAGATGGTGGAATGGGATGCCGACTACCTGCCCAACGCCAAGTTGGGCCTACACTCCATGCAAATCGTTTTCGGATTTGTAATATTCATACTCGAAATCATCCTCTTCCGATCAGAAAATGCAGTAATAAATGCAAATAATGGCTGGACATTCGGTCTGGTACGTATTCCGGCATGGCAGGGCGCAAGGAGCAGCTTGTGTGCGCGTCTGCGTCCAATTGCTGACCGTCGTCCCTTTTGACAGTGTTTCTTATCTATAATACCCATCATCTATCTTGTCATGGCACCCCGATGGCAACGAACACGAAAGATTGCCAACCCTCATGCCATGCTGGTGGTTGACTGCGTCTTTGCCATCCTCTGGCTGTCGGCATTTGCCAGCCAGGCCGCCTACAACACGGCCAACTCCTGCGGTGAAGGATGCAAGGTCAGCAAGGCCATCGTGGGGATGGCTTTCTTCGAGATCCTGTTCTGGGCGGGCACAACCTTCCTCAGCGCATACACCTTGAAGTACTATCAGTTCAACGGCAACCTGCCTGGCTATGAAAATATTGCTCGCAAGGGCGGCCACCAGAACATCGACCCGGACAAGGCTGCGTTTTCCATGGCGCCGCATGACGAGGAGGCGTACGCGCCGATCAACGCCGATGACCACGACGACCACGCGGCGTCTAGCAGTACGCCCTACAATGCCGACTCGTATGGCTCCCGTCCCATGTTCGACAGCGAGACCGACTACAGAGCCCATAGCACCGCTCCCTCTCACGACAACCCCTTTGGTGACCCCTACCGCGCGCACAGCGTCTCCCCGGCCAACGATCCTTACAGCTCTGGGTACGGCGCACACCCTGATGCCGGTGGACCGCGCATCTATGCGCCGCCATCTGCCGAGGAGTACGACGATGGAAGGCCCGCGCAATTCCCGACTGGGAACTACGACCGGACACTACACTAGATGCTTCCCAAAGCGTTGCACGATTCTGGGTGGGATGAGAGCATGACATAGACATTGCGGTTCCGATTTCGCGGCCCGGCAAGCCAGTAAGGGTGGCTATGGGCTATAGGACACGATCGGCAAACCTCGAGCTGGTGCACGAAATATAGATATGTGTTTTTAGGTCGTCAAAGGTGTTTCGGTTGCATTTATTGCGGAGAGGTGTTGGAAATCACTTAAGTCTATACTACTGAGGTATTATGATGATTACCCGAAATATAAGTCTCTTGAACACACTCAACAGGCCCTTGATTCAGCATTTGCAAAGACACGTTGATGGAGTCTGTGTAGGTAATTTGTCCAGCTCAGTGGTCGAGGAGGAGTCCAAATGACCCACCCACCAGCATCATAGCTCCGGTAGTGACAAACAGACACAGCTGAGGAGTGTTGTTTGAGGCTCGGTTCATTTTCCACTCGCGGCCAAAAGCTTATTTCTACTTCATTGATGGCAATGGAAATCGGAAATGGCCCCAATTCGACATGATGTCAAGGTCTTGCGTGGCACCTGCCTCTTTCGGCGAACTACTGTGTCATGGACCACAAGGTCCCCCAAACTGACCATAGGGCTGCAGGGCGGGAGGATTCTAAACAGGCCTAAATGTTTACCCGGCAAATTGACCACGGACTGAATCATGTCAGGATCATGGACGTCCGCAGAGACGTCAGGCACGGTGTGTGCGGATGCTTCATGTAAAGTGAGTGGCATTGCCCAGTGGCCATAGCCGCGTATAATGCTGGTTAGCCCGGGCCGAAGGACCGCATGATGCCGCAATAGAAAAAAGGATAGCATGAAATCACCTTCTGTGATGGACAATCATATGCTTTGGTGGAGGCCAATCGACGGCTATAAATTTCATAGAGTGACATCCGGCAGAATGCGGGCGGTGCTGAACGCTTTCTATGAGAAGCTGTACCTCTTCCTGTCAAAACTCCTGAACGCCAAAAGTATGCAGTATTATGCCCCCCTGTTCGCTTCACGAGCCGCCCTTGAGCTTCCTCAGCCTCCTCGAAATGTCCGCCTCCGTTTGCTGCATCGGGTTCAACTTGCGATCCCTTGCCATCGCTCTGGTGTCTGCTCCGTGCTTCTCGACCAGACCCTCCAACCACTCGCGCTCTCTCTGACTCTGGTTTCTAACCCTCTTTTCCACGGGCCTGTTCGCCTCTCTCTCCAGCTGCTTCCATACCTCTGTGCTGTTGTCCTCGATACCTCCCCATGTCTCGCCATCGTCGGGGAACTGCTCCTCGGCCTCGGAGTCCGTGTCCAGGTCGTTCAGCGGGTCGTTGAGCGGGTTATCCCTTCCCTTGCCGCGGATGATCTTCACGATCTTGCCATTCTCATCGCGCTCAACCCGCACCTCGCTGACCACGCTCTCGGTGCCCGTGACCTGGATGGCGAAAGGGTCAACGGGCTTGGAGCTCTTCTTCTGCTTGTCCTTGGTGGTCAAGTCAAGCTCTGCACCGCCCGTGGGCGCCTTCAAGCGGTTCACGAGGCCGAGGCGACGGTAGTTTTGCGTTTGCGTCAAGTTCTTGTCCCAGTTCTTGGCGACAATGTCGTTGCCCAATGGGTTGGTCACCTTGCTCTTGCGGGACGAGGGCTGGCGAATGGTCGGCCGCGAGGAGCGGCGCTTGCGTTTTTGAAGTTCACGACCCATCTTGGATTGGATTCAGTCGTTTCGGGGGGGAGGGAAGGTAACAAAAAAGATGTCGACAAACAAACGTTTGGAAAGGCTCAAATTGGTGATATGCTTCGTCGCAGCAGTCGCTCGCATGCTCTTTCAGTGAGTGTCCCGCGTCCCAAATTTTTGTTCGTTATCGTCCTCGATAACGATAAGCTCACGTCCCCGATAAGCAGTTGTGGCGGAATAGACGTTGTGGCTGGCCATCTGTGGGACAAGCCTCAAAAGCCGTTTGCAGATCGAATTGGGCTTACTGTATTGTCATCCGTTCCCCCCCCATCTCGATCTTTTTCATACACATGCATGCTTTGCCAGATCTCGCTTCAACGTGCGCTAGCATCCTCATCCTTCCCTATCCTTTCCTTTCCTTTCCTTTCCTTTCCTTTCCTTCCCTTCCCTTCGCCTTCGGTCAGACCGATGAGAAACAGTCCCCAATCTTCGCCGATTTGTGAAGGTCTCTGCCCAAACCCTCAAAACATACTCAATCTCCGCGAAACTTCACCCACAGTGGCCCCCATTAAACTTTACTTCGCACGTGCCTGCGAGATCTCAAACATCACGTGCTTGACTATATTTGTGCGGTCCAGTGCATAGTATGCCGAAACCATGCCCCACTGGGACGTCGGTCAAGTTTCCTATCTGAACCGACGATGTCCTGCGGCGAGTATCTGTGGCTTGTGAGCCCTTCTCCAGAATCACTCCCTTGTCCCCTGCAGGACATGGGACATGGGCACCAAGACGGGAGCGAACAAATTAGACGGCAGCCCTTGTCCATGTCATATGAGCTAGATCACAGCCCCTGCAAAAAGGACATATCCACAGATGCGCCAAAGTAACCGTAGTGCCGAACAGGGACCCCCAGCTCGAGCATCTCGGCGCTGGCACAAGGCTCCCACTGCTGTGAATCTCCACACCAATGGTAGTCTGCTCGGTAGCGGCCGATAGCGCCTATGCGGACCCAAAGCAGGCCAAGCTTTTCCTGCACCCTGCTGTGGGCTACCTTAACCTTAGCGACCGAACGGCACCATGTTTCCCTTAGGGGTTCCTTTAACAGGGGGAGGGGGTTTCTCGAGGGGCAGCAGCAACAGCAGTCCTAGCAGACTGCGCATCGCTCCAAGACCTCAAAACGGATAACGAGCGTAGAGTTGCTTTCGGAGTGCGGTTTCGTGATACGGGAAAAGGACCAGGCCTTAATTACGAACGCTAGTATTGGCATGATCTTCATGTACCATTTTCAAGCTTATTTTGGAAACGCTCGCCTGGATAATTCTACATACATACCACTACCGCTGATATCTGCACAGTGGCATTTCTCCGGACCATGCCGGTCCGATGACTCTCGGCCCTGCTTGAAATCTGCCGTGATTGCTGAGTCGCATTGCTAGTTATCGTATCAGACTTTGCTAAAGAAAGAGAAGAGAGCACTCCTGAAAGGGGGGGGGCAAAGGGATCGTCGGTAGATGATCTAGATGCCTTGATCAGCATCACGAGATCTTGTGCGAGGCTGATAGATGGTGTGTAAAGACGTTGGGGTTACGGAAGTTTTTCCATATGAAATCTTTTTTGGGGTAGCACTTGCGGCTTGCACGAAGTGACCACAGTATCTAAGTTTAAACAGATTGCCGCCGCTGGCTGGACGGCCATGGTGAGTAGGTACGGCTGGACACCGAGAACTGCTCTGTCAAAGATAACCCAACAGGCAATCGCCATTAGAAAGGCGATCTCTCTCCCGGTGTTTGTGTAGCATCTTTGCCATTTGCTACGAAGAGACGGAACCTGCCAATCAGACGGTCCAGGGTCATCATCAACACGAAGGGAGGGAAGAAAAAGTGGGTGGTCGCGCTCCAAGTGGGCACCCACATAGTAACTCCTTCCTGCGCGTTTATCGAGATGTGACTGCGACTATGATCGACGACCTTGCCTAGTCCATCCCCGACGCATTCAAGCATCTAGACCACCCCTTGTCCTCGAAGGAGTACATACATACATACATGGACATCTCGGGCACACAAAAAAACCCCACCTTCGTTGCCAACCTGTCAGTATTCTTAAGGGCTTAGGCTTGCGAGTGGGTATGTGAGGTCAAGTCAATGATAGTGAGCTCTGAGATAGATTTCAGGGTCCTCTTTTTCTCTTTTCTCTTCAATCATGTCATTCCGAGCCCAAAGCTCGTTATCAGTACGTAGCGCTCGCTTGTTTGTCACAAGTCGGCATGCTAAGCGATGGCTGGGCACCCATCTCCTACTCTGAGGAGTATGCAGGTCGGCTACAACGGCGTCTCGGCTACGCACAAATCATAGAGGGTCAGCGGCCGGGGCATGACGTCTTCGACGGCCGCCTCCTCTGAAGATCTGTCTCTCTATGTATCTGTGTGTTTGTGAGTTTGTGATGATCGAGTTGAAAATGAGGTCACTTTGTACAAGAAAGAGAGAGAGGTGTCTGGAGATGATGGCATTGCCTGGTTTCAAATATGGGGTATTTTCGAATTACATCAAAAACAGTAAAGAATCGCAAGCAATAGCAATGCGAGTGCGCGCTCGTAGAAGGGGTATTTCGCCTTTGGACGCTCGTAGTACCAAAAAGATCATGATATGGATATGCCCTCCTCCCCTCCCCCTTTCCCAGCCGTCCCTTGTCTTTTCCCACTACACCCCCACACCTACGGCCGCCAAAGGCCCCTTTATCCATATTCCTGTATCAGACCAAAACCAGTAGTATCATGTCCGTAAACCGTGAACCATAAAGCCGTCAAACATGCTATTTAGATGTACAAGATTGTGGAAAAGTGAAACAAATAGTGACATCCAGCCATCTCTGTATAAACGAGAGCCTCCAAGACGAAGTCCAGGTGCTGAAACGAAGTAAAAGGACATAAGCAGAGCAGTAAAAAAAATTGAAAACGTTAGAACATGATCCATTCTACATCAACGCCAGGTCCGCCAATGCATTTAGTCCAGTTGAATGGGCCGCGCGCCTGGAGGCCAAGCTTGCTGGAGCCGGAGATACTGTCATGCAGATCGCCGGCCCAGAGGCGCTCGAGGACCTCGATGGCAGACAGGTTGTTCATGTACCCGCTGCGGGACATGATGTCGCGGCACTTGTTGCGCACGATGTTCTGCTGGAGCTCGTTGACACACTCGCTGCCGGCGACAAATAGGGGCCAGAGAAGGAACTTCTCGGCGACGCCGCCAGACTCTATGGAGGTGGTGTAGTAGACGACCTGGCTGACCAGATTGCGGAAGTTGTTGTGGCTCGAGGGCACGTTGGGGGAAGCCAGGCGCTCGGTGTAGAGGAGAGCAGCGTAGCGGAATGCCTCTGACAATGACCCGAGATCCCGGATTTGGGTAGCCGTAAGTGTGCCTGGCAGAGACGCAACGATTCTAGCAGAATCAAATTCCCAACTTTGAAGAGCGTTGCGGGCCTCCTTCCACTCGCGCCAGAAGGTCGAACGCTGGTCGTCGTAGCTTGGCGACGAGCAGCTGCCAGCGAATAGCTCCTCCTCGTCGAGCTGGTTACCGAAGCCTTTGCTCTGAATGCCCAGGTTGAAGAAGTCGGTTAGTTGCGACGAGCTTTTGAACGTATTGCCCAGAGGTGAGCCAAGTGGCGAAGCAATCCTTGGCACACTCAGTCGCCCGGTGGGCGAAGCAATGGCACTGGATACAGCGCGGTACTGAGAGAGCAGATTAAGGCGACCGAGCTTTGAAATGGTCCTGAAAAGTTCCCTGTCGCATCCAATCCAGTTCTCAGCGCCAGCCGGGAGCAGGTTGATATCAGACGAGACTCCATAGAAAGAATGATTGAGCTGGGCTTCGCGGTCATTTATACTGGCGGAGATAGCATCAAAGTAGGTGAAGATAGCTTCCATCCAAGCAGAATCATTCGAGGTCTGGTAGGGTGCGGTATTGCGCATACTAAGGATTTTCTTGACACCTGCAAACTGAGTAGCGAACTTGGCAATGCCAGACTCGACCATGCGGTAGTGGCATAGCAAAAGAATGGTCCCAAGAACGGAGTCATGACACGACTTGTTGGGATCGTTGAGCTGTTGGTTGAGTAGATGTACGGCGAGATTGCGGTGCTGATACTCCTCGGTCAAGGACGAATCCTCCGGTTGCGACTCAGACTGCTCAGAGAGGAATCTCTCGGGTGATCCTTTGCCATGTTGGCCTAAGCTTAGTTTCCTCTTCATTCTCAGATTGCATGCAGCAAGGGCGCATATGGCGTGCTGTAAGCTGCGACTATTGGCAGCGAGGCGCAAGATGTGGTCTCTGAAGGGATTGGTAGGGCCGTCAATAAGCACCATTGAAGGGCACATGATGTTCTCATAGTAATCCATGAAGAATGGCATCTTTGCGATTAGGTCGGCACTGATTTGCATCGATGGCGCGTCATAAGGAGAAATGACCGCGAGAGCCGCCGCTGCAGCCGCCGCAGAGCTCTGGCTAAACAGGTTGGACCCGTTATCCTCCTCCTTTAGAATTCCAGTGGACCAAAAAGAAGCTGTTGCGGGACTGGTGCTGTATGGCTCAATGTCGTGTACGCCTTTTCGAAGTTAGCGCTGCTCAGTGAGTTGTCGAACAGAAAGTACTCACTGAGGCTATCAGCATCGCTAAGGAGTCTTGCATGGCTCATCTGATGCTCAAAGCCATCGTGATGTGACCCAAGGCTCGAGCTGGGCTCCGATGGAGCATATACGAGACTGGGACATGAGGTCGGAGCGCGCTGCTCGATCATAATGGCAGATGCCGGGCTCTGAGGAACCGGCGAGGCATTGCTGCTATAGCTATCGTACATAAGAGCAGGGCTGTGCATATAAGGGAGTTCATCTCGTGAGAACTGACTCAATGGCGATAGGGTGTATTCAACCTCATTCAGAGCAGCATCCACTGAGGACGAGAGCCCCTCCGTAATGAGTGGAAAGTGACCCAAAGATGTATTGAGTCTGTGCATTTTCGGGTGCTCATGAGCACCCATGCTTGATGGGTATGAGACATTGCCCCAGCCTGTTGGTGTTGGAGGTGACATCGACTCGCCGTGGGCATATCGGGAGAAGTCATGATAGGCGGCGAAAGGTGTAGTAGGGAGAGATGCTGGGTGACCATTATGAAGCTCAAACTCATCGCGGTTAGAAATTGTGGGCGACTTGTTTCCATGGTCACTCCATTGACTGGATGTGGTGTTGGCTCTGGATCGTGCGGGTTGCTTCTTGATGACTGGAGCCACGGGCGGCGACTTTGCGATGGGTAACGAAAGACCTCGGAGCTTCCCCCGACTCGCAACGCCAACGCCCCAGGTCAACTGAGTCTTATAGCCAGAGCACTCATTCCCAACTTCGAGGCATTGTGAGCAGTAGGGCCGCCGGCGATCGCACTTGGCGCCTCTCTTGACACAGGCAAAGCAGTCGTCCGCCGCTCCTCCAGCGGGTGCCCGTCTCCTACGCTTACGGGCAGCCTGCGTCTCCTTTGACGGCTGCGGTTGTTGTGAAGGAAGTGAGACCGTCATCTTGGATATGTGTATATGCACTGTGCCGTGCAGCTGGTGTAAGGTTGGTAATATGATTGGTAGTATGATGTGGTTGCAAAAGAATTCGGATGGTAGATTGATCTAAGCTCGGCGCGGTCTAAAACTTCTGGCCATCAACGGGAAGATCTATGACTGGCGTGGGTAAATGTGGTTAATATGGAAAAAGTGATAGCTTGTCGAGTTGAGAAATCATTGGCATGCACCGGTAGTTGAGTGAGGATGAAATGGGATAATGAGGAGATATAAGTCTGTAGATTCTATGAGAGACGAAACATGGAGCTACTTTGCTGCTTGAGAAAACATCCCACACTCTTTGTGATGTAGTACCCCCCCGAGTACATGCAGGACCCTCCTCGGCGATGGGTCCTCTCCCGTTATTGTCAGGGAGGCGATAGCACGCTCGGGGTGTGTGTGTGCGAGCGTTGGCAGGAACTACGAGGGTAGTACAAAAGATGGGGGAGTAGTTTGGCCGGAGGGAATCGACCAACCATTGTGACGCGAATTCAGAGATCTGCGGGTATAACCTCGCCGACAAGGGCGTTGAAAAGCCGACAAGGGTCTCCCTGTACGAAGGATATACCCATGTTTAGTGGCAGCTTTTAGGTTAGGCAAGGTTCAGGGGTGCTTCGAGTACGCTGCCAGAGATCGAACGAGGGTCTGGGGGGCATACGATGATACCGTTGGTCGTCCGCCGCCACGACTTTGTGTGGGATGGGTGGTTAAGGAAGAATATCATCATTCGAGAACATGGGCGGAGAATGTGGCTTGACTGTCAGAGAGGTTGTGTCTGAGGCGAGGAGTGATCCTGCCAAGGTCAGGGTTCATCTCGCAATGTTTCCTGGCTAGGGGGCTATGACAACAATATCACATGTATGTATTTGCAAAAGCCGTAAGAGAGAAGACGGCAAGTTCCCCTGCGAAACATACATTTCTCAGAAATCATGGACTTAGAGGACGGAGTATTCTTCATAATTGTCGAGGAGAAACAGTGCCCTGTCGTACTCAAGAACAACAAGCATTCGTGCCTGCGCTGCGGCTTTACAGGGGGTTTGGCGGGGGTGTTGGCAAGCGCCCATCTTCTACTATTACTATGTACTTGTCCAGGGTCAGAGCTTGTGCTAGCACCACATCCGGATGTCTCTTCGCTCCGATCCACTGAAGCCACCGCTAAAACCTGCAGACCAGGCCTGTTTGTCCATCTCGAGAAACTCTTCCGCTCTGGCATATTCGCTCGTGCAAGTCCTACAGAATAGCGATACTCACACGTCTTGTATTTGACATTGTACTTTCCAGGTCCTTATGCCTCTGTATTATTACCGAACTCGCATAGACTTCATATCAGATGGTTGTGTGGATTATAGACAAATGTTTGACATCGTGAATTGTTGAGCTTCTGATGAAATTCTTGTCTCATCTGGAACAAATCTCCGAAAATAGAAAAGGCACCGCCGTGTAACCGAACTATTCCCACGGGCGAACCTTAGCGATCTGCTTGGCACCCGTGATCAGGATTCATGTTCAACCATAGTCAGTTACTGTGTCATGAGGTTGTGACGTTTGGAAAGAGCTGTTATTGCAAGGCTTTCAAAGCTGGAAAGGTTTGACGCCACAGCTGCACGCTCAATGTTCTAGGTTGGCTAGCATTTTCTTGTATGCCTCTAACATCCGCATGGTATTCAAAGACAGCCTTTAGGAGCTCCTCTTGATGAATTTAATACATCTGACATAGCTAGCAACAGTGTGTCTGATCTGTTGTGCTGTTATTGAACCATGATTTGTGAGTTGTCGACACCGTGGTGAATGAGCTCATAATACAGGCTGCATGTCGCAGCATCCAATGACAGCGCATGATCAGAGAAGTAAGGCCGGGATTCAAGCTCAATCTAGGGCCAAGTGCTGTGCTGTGTAATTGGTGTGAAGCGCATTTAAAGTACGAGACACATGCGTGGGGCTTTCTTGCTGTGTTTCTTCACCGCGCAGTGATGCAAGTTAGACTGTGAAGCCGGCGCATCTTAAAGAGAGACGGTAGTTGAATTAACTGAATGCGCTATTCTTGGGGAAGTGGTTCCTGGCGTAATCTTGTGAGAGTCTCTGCCATCCCTATCGAAAGTCCATCGTATGCCGGCGGTAAAACAACAGGGATTCAACCTAATTTCTAGTCCCTTTAGTTACAATCTTCTTAGATCCAGACAGCCCATGCGCTCAGATCATGATTATCCAGTATCCGTTATGTCTGTTATTGACTGTTTCGGTGCGTTGCAGATGTTTGACCCTCTGCTTCGCATTTGAATCTATGATATGCTTATTGCCTTACAAAACGGTATTTAGCTTATGGGAAATATGAGGTCCGGCCAGCAGGGACCATCGAGAGGTGGAGTATGACACCGACCACTTGCGATACGACCCCTGCTCGACAGTCTTATCATAGCTTGGGCGCGAAACAATTGCATCTGATAGTCTTGAGATGCAGATGTCAGAGTAATTATATTGCATTACAGTCATGAGACCCTCCCCTCATTATTCTACCAATAGATGGAGCTTCAAGTTTACGTGCTGGGTTCGAACATCGCAGCAGCAGAACTTCGATTGGTGGTTGCAGCTATCGTTAAGGTACAGCGTTAGAGATGTGACATAAATGAGGCCTCGTGCAGCTTACTGCAGGCCAACGTTAATGGTGCATCGAAGCCCGACAAGCAGCGCATATGCATAAAAGCTTCACGATGGGGGGGACCGGCGCCCGCCCGCGATCTTGATGTTCCATGATTCTTCTTCCGGCCTTCTATCTGTTTATCTGTCACCCAACCACCTGTTCTACGCCTTCTATGCAGCTCCTCTTTTTGGATGTGGCCGATGCTATTAGACCAATCTGTTCGTTGAGACAGTTCGGAGTATCACTGCTATGGGATGTTCATAGGCATAATGAAGTTCATATCGCTTGTTTCAACAGAGTCTTCCAAGGCGGGGTGTTTGACATGAGATCATCGAGCCATCCATGTAAGAAATCCGGACACAATAGATGAATTATTGACGCAAAGACCGGCAAACGTATTTCAAAGTTGGGGGGGTTTGCGGGCTTGTGATTCGAGCATACTAGACCGAACCCCCCTTGCTCAACAGAATGTCAGTGCGATACATGGAGGAGGCCACGGCAGAAAAGGTGTAGAAAAGAGGTCAAAAATGTAAATGTTATTGAGGCTGTGCTCGCTTCTTGTAACAGCGGGTCTCGAATTGGTCTCTTGTAGACAGGAATTAGAGAAGGTCTGTTTCGATCATCTGAGGAAAAGAGTTCTGGGCACATGGACAGACATGAGGTTTTGTGCGATCTTGAAGACGTCCCACATAGTCATCCAGGTTGTCGGTTACTAGCGCTGTCAATCTCGAGCTTAAAAGTTTCTTAATATCATACTATATATGTAGAGCGTGCCACAGAGTGGTCAGTTCACAGAAGGTCGTCCTACGGTAGTGACGATCAAGGCTGGGACAAGATCGTTCATGTGGCACTGTGGCTACACGCTCATTCTCCAGATTGTTCAGCCTGCTGAAGGTAGTTACTGGCTCTATTGACTGTTCGTGCATCCAGGATAGCATCCTGGATACGGTTTTACACGGTACCCGATTTGGGGTCACTCTGCCGGTCGCTGGCTTATCCACCTGCTTCGGCTTCTTCGCTCACTCCTAGATGATGTTCGAGACGCTGACGCTTTGAACTTGCGGCTGTCGGTCGTCGTCCTGATTTTCACAGGCATCAGAAAACTCAAATAACGTATCCTTGATGTGGCTCTCGCACCATTTCTGGAGATTACCGAGATCTTGATCATGCCTTCTATGTGGCCTCTGTTTCTAATACTGCAGTTTCGTTTGGAATAGTTTGAGCAAAACCTGACACTGGTTATTATGCGCAGCCGAAAACCTGCCCTGGTATTTTAGCGGCTCACTAAGTGTTCGCATCGCTCTGTCGTCAGTTTTGCAGGCCGCTAGTGAAACTACGCGGCCAATACCTGATCTCAAGTAGGCGTTCAATATACCTCTAAATGCATACTTTCCACTCTCACTCTTGCTTCCAGAACAGGCTGTGCCTGGGGAGATGCGGGTGAAAAGGGTTGGTGCGTCTCCCTTTCCAAACAAGCAAAATGGCATAGTGGGCAGTCTGTCGGCACGTCTCCACGCTTAGGATTACATTACTAGAATGCCTAGCTGCAGTTGTGCAACATAGATCTGCCAGAGGCTTGAGTCATCAACGGTGCACCTTCGCCGGTGATGAAATGGCTGACGGCTACTTGATTACCTCCATGATTTGGGCCCTCCCTGCCTCTGATGTATGTGATCGGTTTAAGGTCACCTGCATTGCGTGCCACCCCACATGCGTTCATGGCAAGGACGGTATTGACAATTGATAATGTTCGCTTATGTACTGGCATGCTCAATCTTTCCGTCGCCTGGGTCTCCAGCTGCCACGGTAATTCTGTTGTTCTGGCCATACCTCGGTTTCGCTAAGATAGCTTGGATATAGCTTGAAATACTTGTACTTTATCCCGCTAAGGGTCATTCACCAATGTAGTTAAATCAGGTAGTTAACAGAAGCTAGAGTGCTGTACTTTTTACTGGGGAGGGCCAGCGAGCACATGCAGCTAGAAGCTAGGAAGAAGCACTGAAGATGCATGGAAAGCCGCAAGCGGCTAACCTTTAGCTTTTGAGATGCCCGCGAGCTAGTAAATGTGCCGCTTGGTTAGTTATGTCTCGTTCATCCGCCATTTCCAATTCCATTCGTCGCACAATTCAAGCCTCGGCGGGCGATCTTAGAGTCTTCTCAGCCACAGAGACGTTGCTTGGTACTGGCCCCTGACCAACTTTATTAGGATGAGCTAAGCTCATTGGCTGAGCTGGGCCGTTACCTCGGATTCCTGACAAGTAATCACCGTCTGCCCCAATGCAAGTCATGGGGGGGAGCCTGCGACGATCACTCAAGCGCCAGACAAATACACGTCTCGACTTGCCCTGAAATTTAGGATAAGGGCGACTGCTTCGCCGCAGAATGCTAAACTGATTAGTGTCCGAGCACAAGACCCTTTTACACAATTAGTAAACATCACTGGTCAGTAAAACATCAAGCACGAGCATCATCATTTCTCTCGCCGCGGCTTTGGCCCAATGGCTACGTGAAGTTTCGGTGTGAGACCACGCCGCCTAGCTTATCGAGAACAAGGTCACCCTAGAGTGTGGGGGAACTCGGCCTTCGAAAACGGTTTGGGCTCTGTATGTGACACTGGCGACTCTGAAGAGACAGCACACGCTCAGACGATTTGTCGCTCTTCGCTTCTGCCAGGTCAAAAACCTCATCAGCCTTGTCTACACCTCCCCTCCATCCTTCGGCCGATTACTCCGGATATTACGGGCATGATTAAACCGCCAAAGAGCCGGCAAATATGCATGTGAGCTCCTCTACCCCAAATTTGGACGCCAAGATGGATTCATCCTGAATGAAGTTTGTACGTAACTTTTACACCGAGCTCTTGAATCGCAATCGTCGAGTATGATGATGCGAAAGTGCCCTCGTAGTGGTTCAAGCTAATACTAGTGCGAACACAATAGCTTAACGCTTCTTTCATCCGTCAAGTCAAGCCTACGAACCTAGGGAATCCTATGGCTAGTTTATCAGTTGCCATTACGTCCACACCTGGTCGCGCTTCCTCTGGACACTCCTATCCAAGGAACAGACATATTCGCCTCTCATTGGCTCAACCACAAACCCGAGTTGTGTGCAACGTTGCAAGCTGGTCCCAGTCTCGCTTGCGATGCTTGCCACCAATTATATGATGAATCACAACTAATGAAGTGGAGTGATGATATAAAAAGCTAGGCTAGATCGTTTAGGTCACCAGTAGATGCGCGTTAGCGTGCTCCCATTCCAATAATCTGGCTGTAGCAACAGAAAGCGCATGAGGCTTTGCGGTGCTTTGCGAACCATCTTCACCGTTACTTGATGTCACTTGTGTATGTTGTTGCATGTACGGAGTACAATTTTGGGAGCGGTAGACAAGCCTGTAATTTCGTGCTTTGACTACCGACCTCGCCGGCACCATAAGGCTAACATCAAACCCCATGCTGCACTGATTTAGCCACACTTCACTTCAAAGTGCGCTGGAAACCCGTATTGGTAATGACGAAGTAAGTTATAGGACCACAAACAAGACCAGGCTTGCTCAAAGAATAGGTGAAGTACACCATCTATGCGATCGCCATGAAGATCGCCCATTGGGATATGTATATTCTCACCGGGTATGAGGCTGTATAATTTGAAAAATTGGCAAGCTCTCGCCAAAGTTAACGAGACGATACAATGGCACACAAATCTTAGACACTCAATCCACTCTCGTATTGGTCTCGCGGTCAATACACCAGGGTTGCTGCTGTCATTCCTGAGGTGGATATAGAAACACCGTTCGTGTGGTCCGTATAAGCGTTCAAAGCGTGGGGGTGCACAGAAATTACTCTTTCCATTTCCCGCACGGTTCAAGACCAATGTTGACTGGGGTACCGACAATATATGTCATAGCCTGAATACGGGCAAGGATCGAGTACTCAAATCAAGAATGTATTGATTCTGGGCAAACCCGAGTCGTCGATATTGGAACAGAAGTCCAGTCAGCTGTTACAAAGAAATGTATCATATACTGATGCGGGTCCTTGCTGTGGTGTCTTGTGAAACCAGTCGAGGTGCCTACCAGTCCACCTATCCCGTTTGTGATGTTGCGTTGGTGGGACACACATTCAGCCTCATTCGTGGTAGATCTGCGAAACTGTGGACTAAACAAGTCATGCTTTCGTTGTGATACCCTACATAATCACCAACCAGCGACCTCCCCCATCGTGTCGCGGATAGTAATGGACCTGGAACAATTAATATGTTCGGAAGCAACCGATCGTGTCACAAATTATAGTAGCCAATTGCTGCCCTGGTTCTGCTACGTACGTCACGATTCTTTGATATATATTACTGTAGGTAGACCATAGTCGACACGATTGGTAGACATCTCTTCGTAGGAGTAAGTTATCGGATTAAGTATTGAGTGACTCCCAATACCATTCCCATCTACTTAAAGAAAGCACAATCGCAAACAGCCCCAGGCTTCATGTGAAACTACTGTAAAAGCTGCTACTAAGATAGTCTGATTGCCCGCAGACTCATTGAAAATTTCAAGTGCCGCGGGTCAACTCAAGTGTACTCTCTGTTGCTGTGTCCGAACAAGGTGTGACTTGGGAGTGGACCTAGTATGCGACCACATAGGCCACATACTACCTGACTGGACACCAGCTCCTGCAATGCAAACATGTGCATAATAGACATGGCTGCTTTTCCAAATCATCATATCATGCGAGCATCATCTCACAAATGATGAATGTTCGTTTATAGTGAGTATGCTTTCTAATGAGTACGAATGAAATCCATGCCGACTGTGAAGTTCAATATTCGCAATGACTGGCGTGATCCATGGACCCCACGCTCGTAGGCAGGAACATGGCATATGATTCCCATATCCCCATATGCCCTAGCCGGCGTGACAAATCTCGAGATATTTGGCGCCTGAACAACAAATCGCCTCATCGTGCCTGGAGCTGCAGCATATCTCAAGTATGAGCTTTCACAGATCGAGATCAGAATTGATTTGTTATTTGTGATGCAGGTCTCCTCCAATTCGTCACCAGCATCATACTACGTCCACTAGCAGGAAAAGACACATGCTCACAAGGTCACATATAGTCGGCAAGAGTCATCTCGAACAATTGTGGCTGCATGGTGATATTCGGTTGTCTTATTGCATCTTTGCCTCGTCGTCATCTCTTCTTTGGTTGTTGATGGCTTGGTTTATCATTTTCCACGTGGAGTATACGCAACTCCGTAACATCCGATATGGTAACCAAAATTCTATGAAACACCCGTGGGGTAGGTATCTGTCGAAGTTCATGTCGTTCACCTCGGTCACCGTGGTTGTGGAGATATTGGTGAGCTCCCAGGATATGGTATGGAGAGCGACACTGAGGAGGTGGGGGTTCTAGCTGTGATCTACAACGGTGGTGGAGCGCCGGTCAGGACCTTCTACTGGGGGGTTCGATTGGAATCGGAAATATGGTTATTGTTACGGTTGGACGGGATCCCTGGTGATGGCCGGCTTGAGTCGCGGTAGATCATGGTTGACAGCTCGGAGTTATCTTCAACTTCGGTTCGGCACTCGTGATAGTGGAGTCTTATTATGTGTGTGGAGAGTGAGTATATGGTGTGCAGAATCTTGGTAGAGATCGGATGATTTGCCTAGACTAGCTCAGGTACAAGGAAGTAGTTAGCTGATTCGGAGAGTTATGATCAGATGCGAATATATGGCCTTCTGGCGAAACAATGCTCCAATATCAATCTATTTTCCTTGTTCAGTATGAGTCATGACAGGGGAATGATCATGTATCACTCGGGAACGGCGACGGTCTTCTTCTTCGTCTGCAAGTCATAATGCTGTGATACTTCGGTTGAGTATCTTCATGTAGATGCGGTTTAGCGAGAAGTAGAACATAGAAAGTGGCGTTCTAGCTCATCTGTTTTCCACTTCACTACTACCCATCTACTTTCCTAATCCGGCGTTTCGTCCTTGAGAGTGGGGTTGATGGTATACCTCCGAGCCGCTTACCGGAAGCGGTGTTGGGTTACTTCGTCTGTGATGTGCCGTAGTAGGCAAGGCACATATACAATTCGTTCCTTATGAGCAGACACACTCCACACGTATACACACCATCATATACAGATACCTCCCACATCACGGACAGATCCCTGTCCTATATTGTACCTGTCGGGGACTACCTTTCTGCAAGCCAGGATCAAGGCAGAAGGCTAGCGAAGAACATGATACTACCGTGTCTATGCATATAAGGCGTCACGCAGGCACAATAACGAGTGCGTGCTACGCTTTATGCATGTTCATCTAGCCAATGAAGCGCCTGTGATACAGACATCCATGATTGTTCTAGAAGGAGTAGAAAGACAAGTGTATGCACCTCTATTAGCGCTGCATAACGCACCAGGCGTGAAAGGCATCTGGTAAGGTGAGGTCTGGTATCTAAATCGGCAGAAACCAAACCCCTCACCTTTGCCTTGTGATTCAAATCGTGTTTGCCAGGCGTGAAGGAAGGCGAAGAAGTGGCGTGACTGCGGCCATGGAATTTCAGGTTTTGGCAAGTCTTCGAAGAATCTTAAGTGTGGTCAGATGTTAAGCCCGGGAAGTGAGAAGAGTTGAAAAGAAAACATACTTTTGGCCTAATACGCAGATCACAGTCGAGGAAGTTAAGCCTCAAAGGAAGTTAGTGTATGGGCATTCAGATTACCGCCGCTACCAGCGCGGCAAATTGTAATATTCGGACGTGATCTTCAAATTGATTTACACAACGGGCCAAATGCGCCAGCTTGCGCTGGCAACGACTTCGCTGAGTATAGGTCCAGGGGAGTAGTATTGCAGCCTCGCAGTCTGTTGACATTACATCTTAGCGACTCCAACTGCGATGTAACAGCTCAAAGTGAGTGTACCTTATCAACCCCACCAGCTAGAACCCCGACAAAAAGGACAATGAAGCTTACCGAACCACGAATTGTCAAGGGCTGGGACGAATGCACTCAAACGCCAAGTCCTGGACGCTCGCTACTAAACTCGAGGTTACATTGAGGCGCCTACACGATTTCTCAGCTACCCAATGTGGCTTAAGCACCTGTCTTGACGACCAAGTCAATCAACTGCTCACGTGGGGGTAGATGTGTTGATACTTCAATATTGGAGGTGGTTACAATCCGCTTAGCTAGCCATTATTCGCCCATTGCTAAATATGAGTAATTATCGGCAGAAAGTTAACCGCTCGTATTTCCACATCCGGGCCGAGCGCTAACTTGACTAGCCGTACGAGAAGCGCGACGTTGGTTTCAGGATTATAGGTGTATTTACAATACATAAGAGTAAGACTTGTCAGTAGGCCAGGTAGCTTGTGAGAACCTCTTCATACAGAGAAAGAAAGCGACATGGTGAGAAGGAACCAGAAAAGAAACCGGATGAGTTGATTTATATTATCCAACACGACTAACATCACGAAACAATTGTGGCTATAGAAATCGGCCCTGCCGACGTACAGGAACTAACAGTTCATAACTCTTCAAGGCGCAGATCTCACGCCTTATCCAACTCCTCAATGATGTACGATCTTAGCGATGCAGGCGTGGTTATGCTCGACCACCTGTTCTTGACCTTGCCATCTTTACCAACCAGGAATTTCTCAAAGTTCCACTTGACCTTCTTGATTCCAAATAGACCAGGCTTTTCCGACTTCAACCACTCAAAAATGGGGGCAGCGTCCGGCTCATTGACGTTAACTTTTGTCATGATAGGAAATTCGACTTTGTGATTTAGAGTGCAGAAGTCCTGGATTTCCTCGTGGCTACCGGGCTCCTGATGCCCAAACTGATTGCAAGGAAAGCCCAAGATCACGAACTTGTCTTTATATTTTTCGTCGGCGTTAATCTCTTTGTACAGGGCCTGAAGCCCATCATATTGCGGCGTGAAGCCACACTTGGAGGCGGTGTTGACGATTAGTACAACTTTGCCCTTGTGTTCGTTCAAATCGGATTCCTTGCCATCTCCTGCACGAAAGAAAAGTACTTAGCCACCTGCTCAAAGTGGAAGGAGATTCGGTAGTCGTCCCAATCATCATGATTGCGGGGTACGGTATAGAGATTGGGTCTGGGCAACGTACCGTCAAGGGGCTTAAAGTCATAGAAAGTCGTTGCTGAAGCCATCTTGGCACTGGTGTGTAATCGTCGGGTGTTACCAGGACTTGATCGTGATTGTACGACTTTCGACTCGGAGAAGTTGGTGACTGTGGTGGGTATAGTTCTCAGATATATATTTACAAATGCCGACGGCGACGCAGATTCGGACGGACTAGCCAGACTATGAGAAAAATGGACGAGTTGGAGCTGAGCGCACTGGTGGGTGCCCGCACTTCTTATGGGTGAGGTGCGACTCGCGCCACTGACCGCGATCGCACGTTGCTTACCAAGGCAGCTCGGAAGTTGCCAGCGAATCCTGTGTCTCATTTGGATGGATGGAGGCATCGGGATAAAAGGTTTCCAGAAATTGTAGTGTGCCTGGCTGGTTCGGGTGGTTGGGCTGAACGCACTTGACTGTGTCCTATATCACGCGAAACAGCATTAGTTTGGGGCTCTCCGATCTAGCTGAGGATTTGACCTCGGTAGCTCACTCCACGATTTCTGCATTCTGCAACGAGATGCGGCCTGTATGACCCACCCCGGGGCTCTGACGTATTAACGTTAGACCCTTAAATTTGCGAAACTTCCCTTAACAGCAATTGAGAACTGCTTAGGGCCGTTAGTCGAGCCTCAAGAGAGTGCATGTCCCGAGAATGCGGATGTCCCCATTATTCCGACAACCCGATAAGTGGATGGACATGTAATTTCAGATTTCAATATTTGTTGTTTGTGCGGATCAAATCCCGCACCAGCAGAAATCGTGCGTATTATCGCTGTTCTACTAACCTACAGAATAGTGTTCCACGCAAAATTCGTTCATACATCAGGTTGATCAGGCTCGGTTCCAGGTTGCTGATAAGATTAGGTAACGTTAGGTGGGTAGTTGCAGTAACCTACTGTAGTGTATGGACCCCTCGCCCCTAGGAGCACCCTAAGGATCGCGCGTCATATCCAACATTACGATGCCCCTCAGGGTTTTGTGCTAGTTGCTGTGAACCAACTTGTCGTGATAAGTGCCACGATGGGAATCTTGCAAAATATACGCACTCATCGCATGTGAACACCACGTTAGTCAGTCTGCCGATCATATCCGATTCCTTTGGTGGAGAACAGATGCCCATGGAGCCTGGACCCAGGAATATAGTTATCGTCGGTAAGTGCCCCGTGGATGTTGGTTGTGAAAACGCTAGCTTCCCACCAACAGCTGAACCTTGATGGGCGCTTGCGACATAACATGCATAGATGTTGTAACTCAATATTCTGACCCTTCATAGGGGGAGGGATCATCGGCTCGACTACCGCCTACTATTTGACACGCCACCCCTCCTACAATCCATCATTACACCGCATCACAATTCTTGAGGCGACATCGATAGCAGCTGGCGCCTCAGGCAAAGCTGGTGGTCTGTTAGGATTATGGGCGTATCCGCAATGTCTCGTGCCTCTATCATATAAACTTCATGCCGAACTCGCAGCTGAGCATGGTGGCGCTGAGAGATGGGGTTATCGCAATGTGAGCTGTGGAAAGATTACGGCTACAGTCCATGCTCGTGACTTGAACGGAGTTAGTCATGTGCCAATACGGCGAAGCAGCCGCGCCACCGATGGCAAACTGGAAAATGACCAACCGAAGGACTGGGAGAAACTGCCCAAGCAGGATGAAACTGCCAGCAAGTTGCTACAAGACTCCAAGCTGCCATCAGACTTGAACTGGATAGACCAGAACCTAGTCAAGGAATACGCAACAATGGACAGGTTTGGATCCACCGAGACTTCACAAGTACACCCCTTCCAGTTCACTACAACAATTGCGACATTGGCGCAGGAAAAGGGAGTGCATATCCGTTTGAACGCCAAAGTAACGGCATTTAAGCTTAAGCTGGATAACAGAAGTGTTGCAGGCATCGAATATCTGGACAGGGCCACCGATGAGATAAGGTCGATCGATGGCGTGACCGATGTTATCGTAGCGGCAGGCCCTTGGACGGGGCGACTGATCCCAAGCTCCTCAGTGGAGGGACTGAAAGCAGACAGTGTTGTATTTGATGCTGATATAAGTCCGTACGCAGTATTCACCAATATCTCTTTACCTCGGGATTGGGTTCCACCTCATCGCGCTGCCAAAGGACAAAAACGACAACACAAAGGCAACGTAGACCCAGAGGTCTATGCTAGGCCCGGACGCGAGGCATATGCCTGCGGGGAGCCAGATCCATCTGCGTCACTACCAGAAACAGCAGATTTAGTCGGATGCGACGAGGCGCAATGTGACGATCTGGTAGCATATATTAGCACTGTTAGCCCCGTGTTGCGTTCAGCGCCCGTCTTGACCAAACAAGCCTGTTTCCTGCCGAGGCACATGAGGTATGGCAAGGAGATGAGTCCGCTCATTGGCAGAACATCTGTGTCGGGGCTTTGGATGGCGTCCGGTCACACCTGCTGGGGAATCCAGAATGGCCCTGCCACTGGGAAGCTGATGAGCGAGTTTATATTTGAAGGGGCAGCTAATAGTGCTGATATCAGCGAGTTGGATCCGATGGTGTATGGGATAGGTGCATAGGGACTGGTGAGGTCTGGTGAAAAGGAAGCATGATTCGAGAATAGGCTGCTTCATCAAGTGGAAGACGTGATACCAAAAAGGGTGAAGTTGGTTGAGCCGACGTATGCAATTTCATCTACGATTTGACCAGAACTTTCATGCAGTTTTCATCTGAACCTCAGTGCGATCCTTTATCAAAAAATATCTGCCCACTTTGCTAGGCTCCCGTCTTGTATAACCTAGTACACTTGCCATTCGGACGACTCCCACAACGAATCTCATGTGGCGTGGGAACATCGCCGATGAGGACACCTTGTTATACTGACTGGTAACTTATTTGGGGATACCAAGGATAGTTTTCACATTGCGTTTTGTTTCATCCTGCAAGTCACATGTGCTCCGTCATGATCTTGTCTTGCGAGTGCTGTTCGGTCCAGATCAACTTTCCCGACTCCCTACACTGTGGGCAAGTCCTCTTTGTTGTCTCATTACGGGTTTTCTTTTTCTCCTCTCGTTCCATGACCTCATCCCATGAGAAATCAATGCTGAATATACGGCGAAAACATAATGCTCAAACAATGGCGCAATTGTTCAATGTAGACAAGTACGATCAAGGGCGAAAAAATGACCGAAAAGTAAGAAACAGAAAATTGGCAACGAGCGCTAAGCATATCGTCTTCAATTGAGATTTTCGTTGTCAGTGCTGAGTACGACTATCCGATCAACAATCCTGTCCGCAGGTAATTGACTTTCAATTCATGAGATTTTGAGTTTGCCATGGTACAGTGCAAGTTCTATGCTATCAGACAATTTCAGTTCTAGGATATTCTGTGAATTTCCGGTCATGCAGGTTGGCCCAATGAGATGTACCAGCACTGACGGGGGTCCAGCGTGTTGGCAGGTTGGTATCCAGTATCCTGCATCGCCACCTCCACCTTTTGTCTGTCCACCGCAATACAAGACCTCACAGCTGCTTCAAACTGCGACTAAATCGAGCATTAGCGGGAACTCACACGCATTGTCGCAGATCTGATTGCTTATGATTCCTTCTAGCTTGATGCTACCATGGCCCGCCTTGAAAACCCCAGTGCACTTGTGCCGATAAATGGCCAAGCGTGGCCTGGAAACGAGGTTGATGAACATTGTGATATATGCGAAAAAGTCCTGTCAGTTTTCCACCACCCTTTCGAGGAATGGGTAGAAGTACATCTTGGACTGGTGTCAGACGTTATAAAGAGCCCCTGCTCCCATGTTGAGTGGATTATACGAACCCGGCTCGATTGCACGCTTATCGGACCTCCACTCACTATTGAAGATTACGAAAGTAGATGGATTCGTTTTGTCAAGTGGCCCGAGTCAACACGCGCCCAACTTTTGATAAGTTACGATACATCTTACAAGAAATATTACGGAGAAGAGTGGCGGGACACTTGCCAGATAGGAGGAAATCAAGTAGAACTCGTCAAGCATTCTTCAAAAAAAGCATACGTAGGATGGGCCCGGCTATTAGACAAAGATTGGATCAACTTGGATATCATACGAAACTGGATGGATTGCTGTCGCCGAGAACATAAGCCCCAATGTCGAGATCGGACACTACCAGCAACTGAGGAGATACAGCCTCTTTGGCTTATCGATGTCATTGATGGCTGCGTTGTACCTTCACCAGGACGGGTCACTTATATCACGCTGTCGTATACCTGGGGGCAGACAAAGAATTTCCGCACTCTCAGCAGCAATCTTGAGCAAGTTCAACGGCCTCACTCCTTGGTCTCCGGCGATATAGCTAAAGAAATTCCCGAAACAATTAGAAACGCTTTCGATCTTGTCAGGTTGCTTGGCGAGAGATATCTTTGGGTCGACAGCATATGCATTGTTCAAGACCATACTCGGGCAGTGGAAAGTGAGCTTTACCAAATGCATCGAATCTATTCCAGTTCATTCATGACCATTATTGCGAAAGACGGCACAGCCGCCAATCATGGTCTCCGGGGTGTCCCGGGAGTTTCACAGGCAAGGGCTGGGGCACAGAAAATTATACGACTTTCGGGCGGAGAGATGCTCTCAGAAGCTGCAGACTCCCCGTCGCCGCCAAGTTCTGCATACGACCAGCGTATGTGGACCTTCCAGGAAGAGCTTTTTGCCAATAGATCCTTGATATTCGAGTTAGGTCGAGTCACTTGGCGCTGCAATTGTGCTGTCTGGCATGAGCATTTACTGGAACACAAGAGAGAGAGTAGCGTGGAGAAGAGCCAATTACATTCCCATATGACCGATTGGATCAATATGGAATTTCCGAAACTCTGGGACCTTCATTGGCTTATAGGTGTATTCAATAGCCGTGTACTCACCTTCCCAGGAGATGTGCTGCATGCTTTTTCTGGAATTCAAACATCGTTACATTCAATCTTTCCAGGCGGTGTCCTTTTCGGCCATCCAGAGTTATTTTTTGACACGGCATTGGTATGGCGGGGCGACAAGGGCATCCGTCCGCGGTGGAATGGTAGACATCCGTCCATGCATGACAATCTACCAAGTTGGTCTTGGATGGCATGGGAAGGCACGATCATGTTCATTGCAGATGGCTCAACCCATCGTGATTGGTTCCAGGTTGCCACCGGATCAATAACGACCTGGTATGCAAGAAAAAGCCCTAACTCGACGGAAAAGCGACGTATCGAATGTACATGGGACAATTATCTTAATGAGTGCCCGCCCGGTTGGACTCGGTATGCAAGAGACCCGATGAAACAGAAATACTGGTATGTCCATGAAGAGAAGGAGTTAAAACTTGAATACCCAGTGCCAGTGCTTTGTAAGGGAATGATAGCAGCCCTGAAGGAACAGTATCAGTACGTATCTTGTGAGACAACACATGCGTTCATAACTATGGCTCCAGAACCTGTGGAAGAAGGCAATTGCTTCGCGGGGGTGGTCTTACAAGATGACCTAGGCAATTTTGTAGGTCGACTGGAACCGCATTATAGGCAGGTGAGCATGGTTCCGGAGAAGATCGAATTGGTGGCAATTGTTCGAGGTCGATACGAGCACAGGGAAGGCAGTATTGAATATGTGGAAGATTGTTATTTTGTGCTTTGGATTGAATGGGAGAATCACGTAGCATATCGCCGCACATCAGGTTATGTATTAACGGAGAAGTGGGAGGCTCTCCGGGAAAAAGCCCCCATTGAGTTGATACTAGGTTAAAAGATAAAAATTTACGCAGACAACCCGGTGCCCTGGTGAAACAGTATCAAATTCTCAGATGGTGCCTTGTGACTTGGCGGCGTAGCTTATTCCGTAACATCCCGCCTTGCTCTATGGATGTCCCAAATCCCTGTCGTGGAGACATGGTTACACTCAACCAAAGGATAAAAGGCCATCGCAAGAACTGTGGTTGACTGCCATCAGATTGCCAAGGAGTATGTATCAGCTGAACATGTGGAAAGGGGTTGTTCAAATCCATCAATGAGCTGCATTCTATCATGAGGTCATATTCTCTTTGCCCGTCGCTATAGACGCGAGCTACTAGGCTATATTAGTCGTGTGTCTACTCCAAAAGCTACTTGACAATCATCTCTAGATGACACCGTGGCGCTTCGGCATCACGCGTGTCGAGCCCCTGCCGTGCTGGCCACCAATTCGACGTCAATCTTTTTCTTTTTTACAAAGATTTCTCGACCTCCATAACCTCTGTGATAGCATCGGCAATTGCTTGGACTCTGGCCTTTTCGAGACGCTTGAGCGGCCTGCGGGGGTAGCCGCCGTAGCCATAGTAGCTCTGAATAGCCTGCTTCGTGCCGGCAATGGCGGCCTTGGTAAGGGGCCAGTCACCCTTGGACAGGACCTTCTGGAGCTCGATGGCCTCCTGGGTTTTGCCCTCGGAGTAGAGGTTCCACACCTTGACACATACCTTGGGCATGACGTTGGCGCCGCCGGCGATGATACCGCTGCCACCGGAGACGAGAGTTTGCAAGGTGAAGTCGCATACGCCGCCGAAGGCCATGTAGCCACTGCCCTCTTGGAATGGGGTCTTGGCGTTGGTGGCCAAAGCCACCCTGGTGAGCTTTCCAGTGTTGCCACAGGTGAACTTGGTTCCGACGATGTTGGGGTGCTCAGCCAGGCGAATCAGGAGATCTGAGTCCATGTCGATACCTGCAACGGCACCAGGGTAGTTGTATAGGATGAGAGGGAGGGGGCTCTGGTCAGCTACGGCTTTGAAGTAGCTCTCAACGACCTCCTCGTCTGTATGGGCGCGGAAGTAACTAGGGGGAAGCAGCAGCACGTAGTCACCGCCGACCTTTTCGGCCTCCTTGCACAGCTCGATTGTGCCTTTTACGCTGCCTTCCGTTGCACCAACAATGATGGGTGTTTGTGTAAAACCAGCGGCGTCGAGCGCCTCTCTGGTAGCTTTTGTTACAGCCAACTTCTCCTCACGGGTGCAGTGGGCAGCCTCTCCGTTGGATCCCATGGTCACGAGACCAGCAAGACCAGCCTTGGCTAACCTCTCTGCGTGCTTTTTGATCACTGGAATATCAAGCTCTTCTGTCTCCGGGTCGAAGAAAGTCATAGTAGGGGCATAGATTCCAACTGGCAATGACCGGCGTGCTGAGCTGCCGTTGGCAGCAGTGCCGTTAGACGCAGTCATGATGGCTTTGAAAGTGTGACAACGACGTGTGGAGACAAGTGATGATCGGTAGTACTTTACTGACTTTAAGCTGGTATGGCTTGAAGACTTGAGACGATGACGGCAAAATAGTAGACTGGAAACTGAAAAAAGTCACACAAGCAAATGGGAAATGAGGATTATTTATGTGACAGCGAGCAAGTTTGCCTCCGAGCAGGAGTAGTATCTTTTCCATCACCTAATGGGTTTACAGCTGCAAGTCCCATGTATTAAAAAAAGCGTGGGGAAACACTAGTACGAAAATGAGATATTTCTTGACTTATACAAGCCCGTTTGGCTCGCTTCAATAATGCTCCGAGGGTACCAACCACTTGGCTGCTTGTTTTAACGACTAGCAGCCCATATATGGAGCTGTTGGGGGTGCAGTAGTGCTAGGGGGAACCTTGGATTATGATAGAATTGGAAACTGAAAGAATTTTGAGTCAAGTCTGTCATGTGGACGAGAACAAGGTTCACATTGCTATGCAGCGGAATAGTACATGCGTACCTGCGGTCCACACATAATAATATAGCATAAGCAGAGGAAGCAAATCACGTATTGACCTGCATAGGCCACACGTACCAGGGATCCTTTGATCTGGGGGGGTTGTAACACGACAGACGTGGCCGGCATAAGTGTCAGACGACAGCATGGGCCAAGCGTGAGAACCACGTTAGAAAGAACTGAAGATGTTGTGATGCAGCACGTCAGATAATACTCCGGAACGAAGTAGGTAACTGCCGTGGACAACTCAAGCTGCCGGCACCAGCTAGGTCCAAACAGGTCCGACATAGGTTGGATTTGGAACCTTCATTCTTGCTCGCGACTTTGGAGAATCTCGCTGGTGAAGACCGGGGCAGCTGAAGCGACTGTGAGCGCATGTAGGAATTCAATGCGATTCAATGGGCCCAACGCGCGACCGAAATATAAATGAATGGGCCCCTCAGTCGATAACGATGCAACTGCTTCTGAATAGAGCGTCGTAGAATTGGGTTGATGTCCTATGACCGCCTAGTATGGAGACTATCGTGGGGCCCGGTGCACGTTCGGGCATCTGCACAGGGGGAACTTAATAGGCGGTTAGCAACTGGCCGGCTCTTCGCTGCCGGATACTGACCGCGCGCCAGGTAATTGATATTGTGAGAACAGAATCGCGCATGGTGAATACGATCTGACGTGAAAGTAACTGCAAGAGCCCCGTCAATTGCCGCCTTGGGGTCCTACGCCGACCTTTGTGAAGCAGTTTTTGTATGTGATAGCGAGGTGTTCGACGTTCAGACGTCTCAAATGAAATGCATGTCACTTGTTCTCGTGAGGGCGGAAGAATTAAATCAGATTCTTCCACCAATTACAAGACATATAATTATTTCCGGCCAATCTACTCTCGTCCTAGTCTTAGCCTCACTCAACTTGCCATGATCGCGTAGATTTAGCCTAGCTGTAGCTAATATTGGGAGGGGTGGTGGCTGATATCGAGGATGGCTGAGGCAATTGCAAGTTGATATATTGATACCTGATGCAGAGGGTAAGTGAAATTTAGACGTGGCAAATGACAGACGGACTTCGATTTGAATTGTAGCGATGAATATGAGCCAGGTCGTCTTGGCCCTTGAACCGCGGGGTGAATTCCGGGCCACTCTCCGGCGTGGTCGGCCATAAACAGTGCCCCGCGATGGCCTGGCGTGGGGGCGGGCTTGGTGGGGTAAATACCCAAGGTACATGTAGAGATCATTGTGAACGCCAGCAAGCAGCTCACCCCCCAAGTTATCTTAGTGAGTAGGATTCGGCGATTCGGACTGTGGGTGTCCCCAGTCCAGTTCGTTACGGCAACAAATCTCCGAGAACATTGTCTACATGACAAAGTATCGCTAGAGACTCTGTTAGCGATGTCGGCGCCGCCTTGGTTTTCTGAGTGGGCAAACGTAAACTTGTACATAGTACCCCGCGGTCATGTGTGGGCGGTTTGACCAAAGCACGCGTATAAGTGTCAAGACTCAAGACGTATGGTATGGTATGGACTTGGATACGCCTGCGACCGGTCGTATTGGGTGATACCGTGTTGCGTTAGTGCGTTCCTGTTGAGCAGAAATATGTCTTGGACTGCTGTATGCATGGCGTTCCAGAAGCCAAGATGCTGACTTACCCAACAGTGTGTCATTCACACAATTATCCGTCCAAAGATGGTTCATGAAAATCGGATCTGAGGACCGGGAAGCTGCAGTAGTTGGCTGACGGACCCTTGAACCTGGGACTACTCCAAGTCTCCAACCTGCGACAAGTCCATTGGTACCCCTCATAATTTTTCCGAACAGACAATGATCCACCGGCACAGCTCAAGCTCCAAGAGCTTTGTTGTATTGTACATGGTGTTTATAAGAACATTGCGGCAACCTGTGACCTGCCCGTCTTTGCTGTTCCTGAGTGCTTGATGCTACATATTCCGATTGCAGCCCATTGACCCCCCTGAACAAGTGATCAATCATCTAGGCTGCTTTGTACAGCACCGTCCATCATGGCGTCAGAGAAGAAGCTCGTGAATGTGTTGATGGTGAGTATCGGCTCTGGTACCTCACTCGACCCGCCGACTAACACAATGCCCAGGTGGGAACTGGAGAGTACACCACAGGTTTTGTTGGAGGTGGCGCGTCTGGCTCAGACAAGAAGGTCGGAGTTGTCGGTTTGACTCTCTTCGATCTTCGACGCCGGGGTAAGGTTGGTAACCTGAGCATGGTTGGCACGAATGGCACCAAGTTCCCTGCTATCAGTAAGCAATATGTCTCATGTGTTGTTTTGTTGTCCTATGAGAAGGAGTTCTAATGTGGTGATAGGGCAACACTTGGATACCAACATCTCCAAGGTATACAACAGCTTAGACACTTCATTCGACTCGTTCCCACCAAACGACAAGAAGGACCCCGATGCGTACAAGGCGGCTATCGATGCGCTGAGCCCCGGCGATGCGATCACCATTTTCACTCCTGACACCACTCACTACCCCATTGCCCTGTATGCCATCGAGCGTGGTATTCACGTTCTCATCACTAAGCCCGCTGTCAAGACGCTCGAGCACCATATCGAACTGATTGAGGCGGCGAAAAAGAAGGGCGTTTTTGTGTTTATTGAACACCACAAGAGATTCGACCCTGCCTATGCCGATGCCAGATATAAGGCGCAGAAGCTCGGTGACTTCAACTACTTCTACTCATACATGTCACAACCAAAGTCGCAACTCGAGACTTTCAAGGCATGGGCTGGTGTTGATTCGGACATCTCATACTACCTGAACAGCCATCATATCGACATTTGTGACTCAATGGTGTCACAAAACGACTTTGTTCCCATCAAGGTATCCGCTTCAGGTGCCAAGGGTATTGCGACAAGTCTGGGCTGTGACCCCATCACCGAGGACACCATTACTGTTCTCGTTACATGGCAGAAGAAGAGCGACCCGTCCAAGATTGCCACTGGTGTCTACACAGCGTCTTGGACTGCCCCTCAGAAGGCTGGTGTGCACAGCAACCAATACTTCCACTACATGGCATCCGGTGGTGAAGTGAGGATCAACCAAGCAAAGCGTGGCTACGACGTCGCCGATGACACAGCAGGTCAGCTGCAGTGGTTTAACCCCTTCTACATGAAGTACGCGCCTGATGAGGAAGGCAATTTCAATGGCCAGACGGGGTACGGTTACATCTCTTTCGAGAAGTTCGTGGATTCCGTCAATGCTCTGAACGCTGGTACCGTCACTCTGGACGAACTCGACAAGCGTGGCCTGCCCACACTCACCAACACAATAGCGACCACAGCAATTCTTCACGCTGGCCGCATTGCCATCGACGAGGACCGCGAGGTTAAGATTGAGGTGAAGGATGGTGCATGGAAGCTCATCTGAGGCGTTCATACGTATTGATTTGCCATGATTCTGTACTATATACCACTAGCTTTAAGACAGAAGAGAATGGACTGCCTCCCTTCGGATGACCAGGAGAAGAGAAGAACAATTGTACTCTACGACGGCTAATTTTGGTAGATTCATCACCATAGGATATATGTAAAATACCCCATACAGCTTGGCGCTTATGCACAGACCATTGCTTAATTTCGGACCCTGGAACTTTTACCTCTTGGGCAGGGGGGGAGATGGGAAAGGGGATTTCTGCGACTTGTATTTCAGTTCATACTCTGTGCTGCAATTGCTTGGAAACACATCTTGAGAAGCAGACAAGTCTTGTTTACTGCACCGTCAAGATGGCTTCGTTCATCGACTCCCTACCACCAGATGTATTTGATCAGACGACTCTGATTTCCCTTGCATCCACTGTTGCCATTCTCGCGATTGCGTATGTCGGGTCACTCGTCGCGCTTCCGGCCTCAACCCCAGCCAGCTACCGCGGCCTGTTCATTTGGCACGGCTTCGATGCGTTGATTCATTTCTTCCTCGAGGGTAGCTTCTTATACCATTGTTTCTTCTCATGGATGCCGCTCTCGTCGGTCAAGAACCCCTCGGCGCTCGCCGCCACGGCGCACAACTATCTGGGATACACCAACCGTGCTTATGGATCGCAGGCCGGCGGTGATAATCCGTTCGCGCAGCTGTGGATGGTATATGCGAAGGCGGACAAGAGATGGGCTGGTGCCGATCTGGTAAGTTCGCGAATGTCACTACATAACACACCTCGCGTGGCGGCGGCATGAAGCGAAAGCCCGGGCATTATGATTTTGTCGCGGACACGACGTCGAGACCGTCCTGCAACACCGTCATTGAACTTGAGCATACTCGCACGTTTCAAGTCTTTGGTTGCTAACCGACCGTGCTACACAGACCGTAATTAGTCTCGAGTTGCTCACCGTATTCGTCGCCGGCCCGCTCGCCTGTCTCATCTGCTACGGCATCGCAAAGAGAGACCCCCGAACCAACATTCTCATCATCATTGTCGCGACCATGGAACTATATGGCGGGTTTCTCACCTTCTGCCCGGAATGGTTGACGCAGAACTACAATCTCGACACGACCAACTTCATGTACAAATGGGTTTACCTTGTGTTCTTCAACATGCTGTGGGTCTTTATCCCCATATGGGCGATATGGATTGCTGCTCAGGATATCAACGAAGCTTTCGTCGCGAGGGACAAGGCCCAGACGGTCAAGAAGACCAGATGAGCTGGTGCAGCCTCGAAAATTGGTGCGATTTGACCAAATTTTGTCTGCACTATATCATCCAGACTTGAGCGCTAGGATTCTCGTCATCAGCATTTCAAGCCTTACCTCTATTTGTTTATATATATCGTTGAGGAGCAGCCTGTGACTCATCGCATTGTGGGTTTCGTTGTCGCGAAATCGAACTAAATTGAGATTAGATACCCTCCCGACACAGAATGGCGGCAGATTCGTGGTAGAAAGGAACACCTGAATGATGCCAGACTATATGGATGTTTCAAGTTGGCAAGCAAACATGCGCACCGCATATGATCTGTGTCGCAAACCCCGCCGCATCAAGTTATCTAAATCGGGTACATGACCCATGCGCACGATGACCGGACGCCAAAGAAGCCAACGTGACTGGTGGCTTGGGCATCATGTGAGATGCACGTAATTGCTCCAATCACTATTCCGGGAGCTCCATCGGGGTTGTGAGTTGATAACCACTTTGGGTACATTAAACACGTCAAGATCAACTCGACGTTCCTGCGGCTGGAATTATGGAAGCCACATTTGCAGATACGTGCGGCGACCGTGCTTAACCAACGGGTGACCATTTGGACCAGGCACTGTAGAGTATTTGAGCAAGACCCTTGAAGAAGAAAGAGCTATGGATCATGACCTGTGCTCTTTCTGGAACTGCATATTCAGAAACGCCTGTGCTTAGTAAACACCCACTGCACAAAGCTTGATCGATAGTCTTGACGCGTTTTGTTCCATGATCACTCGTTGCTAAGATAGCTACCTGGTATGCGGTCCAGACGAACCCTTAGAAATCGCTGGAACGTTCATCGAGCTGACAAGATGAATAGACTCGATGTACTCAAAATATCACCCTAGTTGTAGTAGCATAGTATACTCTTTCAACCAGGAAATACCTTGCCGATAATTTATTTCAAAGAGCCGTACATCGTAGAACAATTGCCGAGGAAATACGTAGAGACTAGAATGGAAGATCTCAGGATCAACCCTAGTCATGCTGAGCTGGATTAACCTTACTAGCCAGTACTTGGGTGCGGATGAAAGTTGAGGAGCCAGGATGTACCTCTTCGTCGCCCGCTTTGACTCGGCCCATCAGATCGCTGTGCAAAGAGTCCCCTGATATGGGCTCATATTTATCCTTATCTGCATGACGGACACAAACACGTCTGCGATTGATGTTATATCACCAGCAGCTTATCGGACAAATATGCCATGCCGTTGTGGATTGTCTGCCAGAGGATATATATATTCACGATCTGGGCAGAAGAGGGCACACGTAACCCAGGTATTCATGCACGAGGACATGTGTCATTTGTTTCTTACATATGAAGCCCTTACCACCTTCTGCGCTTGGGTCTAACATCTTCAGAAAATAATGGGGAGCCGCATTGGAACGGGCGCTGGCATGAGAACTGTGAGCCATTAGCCTAACTGTCCTGGCAGACAAACAGGATGCCATAGCTGAGCGAATGCTATATTGGAAACGAAGCTGCGCTGCGACAACAAATCGGAAACATATTATTCAACCTGCGAGTCTGTGACATGATCGATACTAACATATTGACGTGGATAGAAAGGGTAGTGATATGCAAACCATGCAAAAACTAGTCTAACGTGTGCATAAGGGTAGTTTGGTGATATCGAGAACATCGCCTCCGATTCTATCCACGTACGGGACACTCCCCGCTTCTAGAGGCTAATAAGGGAACGCAGGCCGTCGCCAGTTGTCATCCTTTGAGTGATGGTGCTTGGTAAGCAATCATATGGGCGACTATAGAGGAACCAAGTTGTAGCCTCCTTCAGGAGACAATGATAGGAAGCAATCCACCGTACGTGGTAGCTGGGGTTGTCGGCGTTGCGATATTAGATGTTCTCGGACTACTTGCTGAGGAAAGCTGCGGACGATAGAGAGCTGGTCTATTTGGTGTATGTAGCGGTATCGGCATGGCTAGCTAACCCCTGGGCAGTAGATCGTAAGGGCGGCGGAACATGGGGTGCGCTCTCAGTCCACAACTTTCGGCACACCTGGTATTGAAATGCGAAGGTCTGACCCCAGATCGAAGTTCTCCAAGGAAGTCTCATCATCATATTGCCACATAAGATGCCTTTCAAAAGTAGTGACAAAATGTACACGAATAAAGCAACCCTCTAGCATAAGTTGTTCGACGAGTCTATCGCGGCCTCTCGTAAATATTTCTGTCGCTCGTTAAAATACTATAATTTCGGGGAATATGGTGGAACGCGTTCGGAGCCACAGACGGACAAACCCCTAGTCAGATACTAGACGATTAAATAACACTATTCGGAACGCCGAGGGTTTATGCCACTCCAAGAAGACTGAAAAGTTTGAGGAAAATAATAGGAGCGAATAAAGTCTTCCTCAGGACTATGATAAGCCGCTTCTTTGATGACCCGAGAGACAACGCCTTTGAGAATCTCGGCAATAGAGCAAGTGGTATAGATACTCTGTGGAAACGCTTGGGAGAGATCCAGGACAGCCAGTGAGCCATGCAAGACAAAGCCAGAGCCAGGTTCTAGGGTCTTAAACACCAAACAGTCGTAGAATGCGGCTGCGTCCACTTTCCTGAATTGACGCCACTTCTCCTCGGCAGCCTAAATGTGGTTATCGTCCTTCTTTCATCATGGCCCTCCGTTTAATGAATTTCCATCAACCACAGGTGCAGTGGCAGAGTGTTATTCATAGTGCAATCTGAAGAGAGATACAAGCACATCTCAGACTTTCCCGGGGAAATGACAGTCACTTCCGCTGGGCGCATTTTCTTCCGCACCGTTGTCGACTTCTGGGAAGAGTATGACTGTCCCACTGCTGAGGGGCGTGCAGCCACACTCAACATGTGAGGTTGCTTCCCACATGTATATCATGAATAATCGCCACTTATGATATGCCGATGGCGCAGAGAGCGACCATCACATGGAATCTGGGGGATATATTGGTCACATCATTAAGCTACCCTTGAATGTGATACTTTGGTTCCTATCCAAGTCTTACGAGTGATCTCTTCCTCTTATCTGTCCACCTAGTTGCTTTGCCAATGGGTAGCACGTTTTATGGCAAATCTAGACTCATCAAAACAGTGAACAGTGATCACAGTTGGAGCATCCTAAATCTGTGTGGCATGCCGGACGTTGCAGAAGAAGTCGGTATATGGCATCTGCCGATGTCTACCCCGTCGGGTTCCATAGAAGTGATATCGGGACAAATGGAATGTAATAAACAATCCTAAAGCTGGCGCTTCAGCGGTCATTGTGATCTCGGTCACTTTCAAGAAAGTATCGCAACTGATCGAGGCCTTTGGCAATTATGGAAGTCTCAGCTCTCCTATGGAATGCCCAGCTTGATCAGACGAGGCAGATTCACATGGCTAGCGTATGGGATCGCCAGGGGCATATCTGTTGGGAATTTCATGGATCCCTCTTATACTCTTACTATTTCTACTGTATCCATAACCTCTGACGACAATTCTGATGGGGTGGAACCGTGACGAAAGTTAAACAACTGCTCATTCCAAAGTGATCGGTGTGTTGAGGGTCATACCTGCTGGCCTTCCGCTGGAGACAGGAATCGTGCGGCTAGTTTCAAACCGACAAATCTACGTATCACAAACTGCGATCTCCGATCCAGAGTAAAGTATAAGTACCGGCGCTAAGATAACCGACTGATCATATGCGCTGCATTTAACAATCAAGATAAGTCCCGACAACCTGGGCCAGGGCCTGAAGGAGCCTTGGTATCCCTCCGAAGTTAGACTAATCTAGATCGACGTCGAACTTTGGCCCTTATAGTCATTCTGGAGAGGCTTTGTAGATACGGATGCCAAGTCGGACGTGCCGACCTGTTCGTTATCGGCAGACGAGTCTTGATCCGACAGCAAAAAGGTCGATATGGTTCATCGCGAGAGACTCGGATTTACAAAGAGCCCAGGGAATAGCGCGGAGGTGATGTTCCCCTTTCTTTTTGGCTGCCTTTTTTCAGGTTCGAAATGCCACAATTTTAAAATAGTAGACCCCAATAGCTGCACTAGATAGTAGAAACATACGCACCAAGCAGTTCGGAGGGATCCGAAAAGACGTGCCGAAGCACTCAGCCCGCTTCATTCCCTGTGGAGCCCGGCTGCCAAACGCGATAGTCATCGTCATGTATCGCATCCGGGAACCGGGAATCGGGGGCGAAACAAGATTGCCTCATCTGGAAACTGCGGGACACTACGAAATCATTGTTAAGCATGTTAACTAATTGATATAAACCCTCAGGACTTTCCGACAGTTCGTATATGTCATGCCAACTATCAAGTAACGTTGACCATTTCGAGCGACCCTAACTCCGCTATACTCACCAGCACGCCATAGCACGCAATCTCTCCAACGTCATTCAACTTGCCGTTTTCGCTTCGGACAGCGCAGTGTAACCTTGCACTGCTTAGCAATAGCGATTACCCCTGCCTAAAAGCCTAGAAATGACCGCGACTGTGACACAACTGGTACAGCCAGTCACGGAACCAGAACTTTCATCCAAGCAAAAAGCAACAGTCATGATCAAAGAATTGCAACCGTCCACATTTACGCAACGGGCACTCATTGTCAACCATGAAAGGAAATATGAGCTCAGACCTGACTTTGCGACACCGGCCTACCTGGCTGAACATGAAGTCAAGATACGGGCGTGTGCCGTCGGCCTGAACCAGATTGACTACAAGTCGGTAGACTACAACTTCTGTCTACCACAACTTCCATGGATCACAGGGCGTGAGATGGCCGGTATCGTGGAGGAAGTTGGTTCCAGTGTTTTACATCTACAACCTGGCCATCGTGTGTGGACCTCGACATATTACCGGGATCGCCGGGCAGGCTGTTTCCAGGACTATGTGATTGTACCTCAGCACACAGTGTCTCATATGCCATCGGAAATGTCGTTCACAGACGCTGCATGCTTGGGCGTGTGTGGCCTCACAGCTGCCATGACGCTTTGGAGGTGGTTTGAGATTCCACTGCCGTATCATGGCTTACCTATGACGCCACCTGGTACTCCTCCGCATAAGCCGGCTGATGCTCCGATCATGCTTATCTGGGGCGGTTCTTCGGTTACAGGGCAGTTTTTGACTCAATTAGCAAGGCGCAGTGGTTTGCGCGTCGTTTCTGTCAGCTCCGCGAAGACTGCGAAGACCTTGTTGGACCTCGGTGCAGAGCATGTTGTGGTACGCGATGGAAAGTCGGAGGAAAATATTGTGGATGAGATCAAAGACCATGCCGGAGACGACATCACCCTGGCTGTCGACCTCGTTGGCGCGAAGACAGCAGTCGCCGCGCTGCGGTGCTTGTCTACTACCCGATCTGCACGATTCGCACCATTGGCCTGGGCCCCGAAGATGGATGTCTCGGAAAATATTGAGATTCTCAACGTCGAGATGAAGCAATTTGTTCTGAATCCGGCGTCATCAGTGTACGCGGATCATCTGACACGCTTGGTCGATTCTGGTGAGATCCAGCTTCCAGAGATCGAAGTCCTTAGTGGAGGTCTGGACATTGTCGAAAAGGGCCTCGAGAGATTAAAAGGTGGCGATATGGTAGGAAAGAAATTGGTTGTAGATATGTTGAAGTAAGATACAATCTGAGAAGAGAAATGGGATGGAAATTGGGCTGTGCATAAGAAATCGGCGCTCAAGGAGTTATGGAGGTCACTCTCGTCTCAGAACTTGACTGACTAGTGATCGGGTTTTGTCTCATGGTCTGAATAGATTTGGAAGTGTGAAAGCAGCGGTTAGAATTTTCGATAGAGGCACTTAAGCACATTATAAAGCATCCTCAATAGAAGCCGTCCTCGACACTGGCAGAAGCCGGCACCGTAAGTGAAGGGAAGATCGCTAAGAAATCTGATTGTGCTTGGAAGGGTGGGAAATGTTTACACAGCCAGGCAAAAAGTAATGAATTGACCTATGGAGAGCTAAGGACAATCCAGCACGTCAAAACATCGGCGAAACGGTCTTATCAAGGCCTGCCATTGATCGAACCAATATCGCCAACCTTTTCAGGATTAGTGAATGATGTTGTTGCCGCCGACATCGACTTTGGCACAGCAAAGTTCATTGAGCGACTAGGATAATTAGTTGGCGTTTTCATGCCTGAAAAATTTCAGTGTCGCCGTTCAATATACACTTGATGAAAACATGCGCACTCTAGGGCACTATTCTTCGATTAAATTTCCCGTATGATCGTTTGGGTGAATGCCATGTTGGACATGCATGATCTGAGCAAATGTATCAATCCCAGTCTTTTAGACGCAAATCTTAGGCTCATGATCAGAAACACATTGGAAAAAATCTATGAACATATGATTTCTTCATAATCTTGGTATTAAATTACTGTAATTGATCGTCCAAGGTATTCGTTTTTAAGGAAACAAGATTGACTTCTGTCCAGATACAGGACAGGACTTTCTCAAGATAATGCGATCGAAAGTGTCTAAAATGTTCACGTCTAATTCTCATACGTAATAAAGATAGGACTTGTGATGACCTTCCCGCCGTTATATTCCCTTCCTACAAAGTAAACAGCTTGGCTGTCCCCAGCTGCGTGGCTCTCCGGAGCAATACGAAAGTCCCCTTGAACACGATTTGGCAAGTGCACGTCGACAAGGCTCTCAACAGACACAAATAGCTCTGCGCCTCCCCTGATGTCGATCTTTTTGCCGCCCACTTGCCCTATCTCCTCAGTTGTGGCTAGTAAACTGAAAGTAGGTTGAGATATATGGGGATTGCCATCCAGGGCGTTGCCGACCTTAACATATCCGCCCAGATGACCGGTGACGCTGACTGACGACGGTGCGGCAGAGTCTGCCGTAAAGTAGATATCGACACCATCAAAGTCGCCGCTTGTATGAGTATCAAAGATGACCTGCGTTTTAGAGGCGAGTCTGACAACCTCCTCGGGGTTGTCGACTACACCGCCAAATGGTTGCACATGTTCGATCAACGTTCCCGAGACGATAATTGATCCTTGCCAAACAGCCTCGCGGTATCTGTCGAAAAGACGGGCACCACCCCATTTGACTCGGAGTTTTCTATGTGTTGGACCTGAAGTGGTCTGGGTTGCCTCGAGTTGTAGATCGCGATGAAATATCTTGCCTGTGGCATCCCATGCCTCTACTGACTCGAACCCGCTGGCTCCGTAGAAGCCATAGTTCAGAGAAACGCCATTAGCGACCTTGACAGCCACGTCATCACCCTGTAACTTCCCGTCCTCTGTCCGTACCAGACCAACAAGTCGTTCTCCTGTCGTCGCAAATGTTCTTCGGGAGCGGAGCGCCTTGGCCACTCCGGCTCTCTCCAATCGATCAGATAGCACCCCGGTCAGTCCCCCTTTGGTTCCGAACACGGCGGTTCCGGGAACACCGCCACCGCAGCGGCCACGATGCTCGTCTGAATTTGCAGACACACCCAGCTTCCATCCGCGCTTGTTGGCATCTCGCAAGAGCCATTCAAACAAGCCCCAGGCGCTTCCGATCTCCAGGAGTCGCTCGAGTTGCGGATGATGCCAGGCCAGATTACATCTTCGTCCACCCACGTGTGGGATCAGAAGGTGCTTTTCCGGCGAATGAGCATATGTGGCGTAAACCTCATCTAGCGGCCAGGCGCCAGGAGTCAGTTCCGCGGGGCCATCTTCGTTCCACTCGAAGCTCCGCGCGACATTGCCGTGCTTGTCAAATGGAAACTCTGGCGGTGTGATATCGGGGTCGTCAAGGAAGACAACGTTGTGATCACCACCCGCGGCAGAATTGCCGCACCACTCGGTTCCAGGAAAGAGAATAAATTTGCCTTCGGAATTGGTGTTCTTGATGATGTCGAGAGTTGCGTCCCACCGTTGCTTCGTAATATTGAAGTCGTTAGCCGTGTAGCCGACGATGTCGAGGCCGGCGACTTGTTGGGCATACGAGAAGTTATAGGTAGTCGAGTTAGTGCCCACCGTGTCATCTGAATGGACATGTAGATCAGCAAAGAAGGTGCGGGGGACCGGTAGCACGGAATCTGCGGTTATGGGCTCGGATATCTCGGTCAGGACCGAGCCATGCCCGTCCACAATAGATGCTAATAGATTGTAATCGCCGTCCAAAGGCAATGAGATGTTCGAACTGGCTACAGTCCAACCTTCATCAGGCAGAGATAGTGTTTGTTCCCATGCGGGCTCTGCACCCTCTTTCGCCAGTACGATTCGCGCTTTCAATCCTTCAAGGTCCGTTGTCGCATTGCCCCATGAATCTTCGGTGTGCAAATGAATTGGAAAAGTTATCTGCGGCTTCACCAAGCGTGGTGTGATGACTTTGACTTTCGAAATACATCCTGGCAAAATGTTGAAGGCTATGTCCGGTTTGATAGGTGCGAAGCGTGATGTTCCCACAGGGTCAATGTACCATCTCATGAGGAAGTCTTTTTCCACAAACGTCTGCACACGGGTGCCTCGTGCGCCCCAACGCCTGTCGCCCATACGAATAATGATCTTGTCGCCAGGGTTCATGTAACCGTCGACAACATCAATTATCACTGCCTTCTGAAATGGACGCTCGTGGCCCTTTTGATCGAATCTGACTGCCAGATCCTGAATCGTTGCTGGAGTCTGAGCAGGATGCAGCTCACCGGGCACATACTCGGCAGAGACATAATTGTCCCGTCGTGGGTCTGAAGTCTGAAATAAGGCCCAATCTGAGTAGAACTTGAATGTCCCCTTGATCCACGCACCATCTGCGAGACCACTGGCGCCGACAGTGTACTCGACGATAATCTCCGTCCATTCACCCGCCGCCAATACCTTCCTGTTGCACTGCAAAGTCCCTAAAAATGGCAAGCTTTTCGTGTATTGGTACAGACCGACCGGAGCAAAATATTGGCCGGCCAGGGCCGCAAGTTGGTTGTCAGATAACGTCTTCATATCTCTTGTGTCAATTTGGTTGACTATAGCATATATTTCATATAGCCACCCTCAATCAAAGATCTTATAATATTCAAGGCTGTAGGGTGACAGCCACCGGTGTAAGCTCTACTCTCGAGCCGGCTCTCGACTAGGTTAGTCTAGTGCGGATTCAGCAATGTAACAAGTGAATGGCGTGATCAACGACAATGACTACATACGCAGAAGAAAAACAGTTAGCCCCACATGGATTTTGATCGGATAATATAGCGTGGTTGATAGCATCGGTATCATCAGTGACACCATCTCCCACGACACCGTTGTCCTTGACATTCCGCCGAACCTACTGTCAATTAATGATTAGTTTGGTGACTGTGTGGGGATTGACATTATGATAACTCGTAATGTAGGATGCGCCACCAAACGACTGTATACCCAAGTGGTCCAAGTCGGCCATCCAGAATCGGGTATCACATTTAGAAATTTGTATTCTGCTTTTGAATCTTGAGCCTTCAAATTTTGCTGGTGTGATCAATGACTTGTGAATCCAAGGTTTGGATAAGGGAATCATTTCGAGCTATGTTCAGAGTATTTACGTGATTGGAACCCATACATACCACACAATATCACGTCCCTAAAAAGTTTGAATTTAGACTTGCGTTCTTATCGACATAACTATGGTAAGTTAGTTTGCACGTGAGATATCTGACAGCATAGGAATATTCATATAGACGTACTCGGGAGGGTATAAGAACCTAGCGAGGTCAAGAGATCCTTGAGAGAGCCGTTTCGTTGAACCGTCTAGCCAGCCCAACGTTAACAGCATCTTGTACCATGTGGGCAAGGATGTTGACAATACCTGACATGCTCGCTTTTGCAGGTGGGTTTCTTTTTTCACTCCACATCATTTTTGCGAACCAACACGTCAATGCCGCTAATATCAATTTGACACAGGCGCACCTCAATACCACTCAGAATCATCTGAATTATATTGCTGCTGATCATTCTAGCAACTTTGCATCCATTCATCCTAGTTCGACGGCTATCTTACCCGGCTCCGCGCTGCCAACGTCGCCTTTGACAACGAATGCGAACTTCTTCCTTATTGCCAATGTCACATCGATTGAGCGGGCTTATCAACTGGTCACTGTATCTTATGCTTCTGGGAGAGATCAAAATAAAGAAAGACTCAACAATCCAACGTTAAACGCATACAGATCACAACAACAGTACCATTGCGTCAAAATGAAAACCGGCGACACTGTACTAGTACCCAATTTCTCTCAGGACGTCGAGGGCACGGTCAAGCTAGAGGACACATGAAGAGTTTCTCACAACACCGGAGTTCGTATTTGAATGTTTTCCTTCCAAATTTCTCCAATCCCTGGCGCTATACGCGTTGCTACAGTAAGTTGCAATAAATCTGGACCGTTATAAAGTATCCTATCGGAGACTCAGGCGATGTTTATACAACTAAGCGTAAGCAATTTAACCACTCAAAATCGCTGCTTAAATGGATGAGAAACTCGACAACCCCTCGAATTTATTGCAACCTACTTTATAGATAGATAGATGCCTTATAAGATTTTTACAAGGACGGGACTCTCTGAACCCCTGGGATTGATCGAGACCAAAAAAGCTTGATTTATGGTAGAAGAAAACTGCAGGGAAATAGCCAAGCAATCTGTTGGCAATCACAGGGATGTTTCGAGCTAATAGCTAATAGTAGACTCCAGGTAAGGTGCGATACGAATCAATTAACAGTTAACGAAGCCATGGACGAATAGGATCCCATTGGGTGAAGTAGAAGCCCAGGTCAGCCGACACAACACAAGTTGTGAAATATTGAAGTGCCATTCTCGTAAGTCCAGTCTGATTGAAGTGAGTTTTGAATGATTTTAAATGAATGTACGGACGTATGATTGCCTCTAGAGTAAGCTGGCAATAGGCATTTGTATGTGGCGGACGAACGTACTACTTGATCCGGCTGAGGGGGTTGCCTGATTTCGAGCATGGGATCATAAGCGCCATTCCTCGCCTTCATGGCTAAATCAGAGCTACTCAAAGAAAACGATTGCATTTACTTGCGACTTTAGTGTGAACGAAACCATCTTTTGGGTGCCTTTCCAACCGCTGTTGAATCACTCAAAATACGCGTTGTCCTCACGAAGTAATGCACAAGATCATCAGCTGAGAATGGGTAGGCTACGTTGAGATGCAGCTCTTCACATAATCTACTTCAGAGATCATGGCATGTCTGGCTGTATTTGCGACACTTATAATCCTCGTGTGCATGCTTGCACACTGACTCGATACAGTGGCGCACTACAAAATGAGAACAGATACTCGTAAGAATAAGAAATTTATTATATGAACGATTGAGTGGACAAATCAGGGCCAAGACAGTGTTAGATTCGTCGTCTGGAACGTAATATTTGGTCGACAGTATCGTTGGCCTTACCTGTCTCGACGTTGACAGTCCCTGGACTAGTCTAACCTTAGAGAAAAAATGGACTTGGTCAAAATGTCATTCACTCGGCGTCAAAGGAGGCTCGACAATAGCGACCATGGCCGCATAGGGAACAGTGGAGGAATGTCCAGAAATACCTGACTGTCATCTAACGGAGTTTGTCAAGTTCAGGCTTGATTTACCATTCCTTCCATGTCTGACTCTGGGCCTCTTCTGTCTCTGTCAATTTGGTTGTCTCTTGGTTACACCGTCAAAGACCTTTACTAACAACTATCAGAGTTCATCGTGGAGACATCTCTAATGCTGTCACAGATACACTTCTAAAGGATGTTCGTATCACTGATTTCCAACTCAATGTTGGCCAGAAACCCTTATTTTCAGAAATCGCGTTGTTTGAAATCCCATCAAATTATTTTGTTGAAGGTCGGCCCAGAAAAGTAGCTTGCGATGCAATCGATCTTATTCGGGATCGTGAGCACTTTCTAGGCATGGCAGAGGAACTACAGCGCCTTCCTTTTTCCATGCATTCTCTTCTTGGCACTGAGTTCTGGTATGCATCTGGCGGCCTCTATACCTTATCCACCTGACACACTCTTAAAGAGACTGCCAAGCCGGTTATGCTCTTTTTCTTCTTCTTTGGTAACCAGTTGGCTAGGCTTCGTCAAGCTAATTGCTTTTGGCAATCTTGATAGGAAAGGTGTCAGTGTGCGGGATTTTGCATCTTTGCAACCACAGGCAGTTTTACTATTGTCTGTGGCATTATATTAGGACCTTTTCTTCTTCAGTTGTTCAAGAGCCTCCATAGCTCATTTCACATGCTGGGTTACATATCAATTGAGTATTTGCAGTACTCCACAAATAGGTGTGCGTTACTATGGATCATATGGATGCAGATCTTTGCCAGTCTCCCGTATGCTCTTAATATCGCTTGTATGCTGCTGATTTGTGACGATTTTGAGGGGAGACTCTTGGACGGCTATGAGGATCGTGACCACAAATATTTGAGCCATTTACGAGGCACAAGCTTTCCGGGGTAACGATGAACCACCCTTTCAGCAGGCTTTCACTACCAACCTCTACCTATCGCAGTCGCTCTGAGTTTGGCGAATTTCCAATATACCAGTGGCATTCGACTACATCGCCGAGAAATGCTACACACTGCTTGAACTTGAGGTAAAAAGGGGGGCTTAATGATAGCTATCATGCGGCTATAGTGGTAGTTGAGTTCGAAGGAGGTACAAGATCTCATAGTTCCTGCTTTTGTATAAGCGACGGCAACCTTAGAAATTTATACTTCTTTCACACACGCTTTGAGAAGAGCACCGGACGCTTATGGCGTCCTCGTCTTTTCTCTCTTCAAGATAAGGACTAGACTAAACCTAACTTTCGTAGTATAATCAGCCAAGGCTTGTTGAGATTGTGTCACGTCATCTACTAATGTCTTGGTGGTTTTACGTGTGTTAAACGTGGAGAAGCAACTTCATTTGCTAATTGGCATCAATAGTGCTTCGTTTCTCCTACCTACCCTCGCACACTTAACCCACTTGCGAACTTAGATTCGCGCCTCAACTGGCCATTGCACCATGAACCAAATCGCTTGAATTCAAGTTTGTCTTGTACACTCTTTGGATCTAAGTCAAAATTCTGAACATGCCCATCAACGAAAAAGGGTAAACTCGAGATATACACTACCCAAGTTCAAGGACACAGCGCATGGCTCATACAGGAACACGAACCAAGAAACCAAGTACAACAAAAAATCAACAACGGGAATCGACGCTATTGTCGACCATTCGTTCCTTGGGCTAGGAGACTTGCGTCCGGTTCAGTGCATCCTACAGCTAGCACCGCTCCGATTATGCGATACTGACCATTGGCTAAAGCCACTTGAGCAGCTTTGCCATTGAGCTGTACTAGATTCCGTGATGAATGGATGCTATATAGATCATAGCGAATGGCATCGGTGCGGCACTCGGACATTTCCATAATGGAACCCAGCCAGCCAGCTTATAAATTCAAGAAGCGGGAGTTGCTAGGCAGCAACAATTGACAGCCAGACCAAGAGATTTATACGTCAGAACCACAGAACACGCTGACGATCCTTCGGAGTTGAGGGCTTGCCTTGTTACGTTATAGCGTGGGCCGTGGGTACCCATTGTACCGGGGGCCTGTAAACCCTTGCCAAAGCATATACGAAAAGTGCACCTCGTTAGGGTCATATGTACAAGTTTGCTCCATCCGGAACTTGCAGTCCAGGGATTATTTTCTATTGCAATGTAAGTTAGCGCCCGTACGGATCATTTAACCGATCAAAGGCAAGATGGGTCCGCTCTTCCAGGGTCCTTGGGCCTGCATTCACCCCCCCATGCCACTCTTTGGGACTTTGTTTTCGTTCTTCGAATTCTAGCACACATTCGTTTGTCGTCTTCATTGTGATATTCTGCATGGGCTTCTGAACGTTCTTTTCTCCTGAGCACTAGAGCTACAAGCATGGCTCGCGATGAGCTTTATCGGGTTCACAAACAGCCAGCAATCAAATTCGTTCGATTAGACGGCAATCAATCACCAGACGTGGCATCGGATTCCGACGAGTTGTCTAATGCAAGCACGGTGGACCTGGAACCAACACAGACGAAGCGATTCAGCCCGAAAATCATTTTAATTGCTGCTGTCTGTGGTCTTGTTGTCATTGCGGCTATCGTAGGCGGGCTTGTGGGTGCAGCATCGAAGCGCTCGGGCAACGCGGATAATAAAGTGCGAGGAAACTACACGTCGAATCCAGAGAGGGCCGCAACTGTCAAGGATGCTTTTCGTCATGCCTGGAATGGCTATTACGAGTTCGCGTTTCCCCATGACTCCTTGAAGCCTATCTCAAAAACATACGTGAATGACAGGTCAGAAATTGTCACGGTCTTAGGAGGGCATAATATTGATACTAGAACAGGAATGGCTGGAGTGCGAGTGCGATAGACGCCCTTTCCACAGCGATAATTATGGAAGACGAAGACACCGTCCGCCAGATTGTTGACTATATTCCTAAAATCAATTTTGACAAGGTCAGCGATGTAGACCGCACGGTCTCGCTATTTGAAACTACGATACGATATATGGGAGGTCTGCTTTCAGGTCCGTATCGAAATCTTGGACATATTTTCGCTTCTCACATTGCCTAGCCCATGATTTACTGTCTGCTTCCATGGCGGAAAAGTTCCATGTGAACGACACGATATTAGGAGTTATCCTGGATCAAGCCACACATCTGGCTGACAACCTGAAAGTTGCATTCAATACACCAACAGGTATACCTATCAACGAGTTGTTATTCGAGCCTCCTCGAGTCACAGATCGTACGACCAACGGCTTGGCGGCCTTCGGTAGCCTGGTTCTTGAATGGACTAGGCTCAGTGACAAGACTGGCAGAAGGGAATATGCCGAATTGGCCCAAAAGGCTCAATCCTACCTCTTGAGACCAACGCCTGAGGAGATCGGCGAGCCATGGCCAGGTCTACGTGGTACCAGGGTGGCTATCGAGAATGGTTCATTTGTCGACTCCAGTGGAGGTTGGAGTGGCAGCGACGACAGTTACTACGAGTACTTGATCAAGATGTATATGTACGATACAGATCGATTCAACGATTATAAGAACAATTGGACAACTGCGGCAGATTCAAGTATCAAGTACCTCGCGTCCCATCCGTCAACACGACCAGACTTGACCTTCCTTGCTGCATACGCAGAAAAAGATAATTTTACATATGTATCAGGGCATCGTAAGTCAAACTGGCCCAAAACCGGTGGAATGATCCCCGCTCATCGGCTCTTAGTTGCGTGTTTCGCTGGTGGTACCTTTATTCTTGGTGGTCTTGCTCTAGACCGACAGGACTACGTTGATTTCGGCCTAAAACTCGCATACAGCTGCCATGAGCTCTATACCGGTACATCGACAGGCATTGGGCCTGATGTGTTCGCTTGGAAAGATGATAGGAGCTTGTCAAATGCAACATACAATCCAGAGCCGCCTTCCGATCAACTATCGTTCTACAGCGCGTCTGGCTTTTGGATTACCGGCCGTGACTATCAGCTGCGGCCCGAAGCCATCGAAAGTTGGTACTACGCTTACCGTGCCACAGGCGACACCATGTATCAAGATTGGGCCTGGGACGCGTTCAAGGCGATCAACACCACATGTTTCTCGGGCGCGGGACTCACGGCTATTTCTGACGTGAACGCGATTGATGGTGGATCCTTTCTAGACAGTCAAGAAAGTTTCGTGTTTGCTGAGGTCTTGAAATACAGTTACTTAATTCAAGCTGAAGAAGGACCTTGGCAGGTCTCAGCAAGTCACGATAATCAATTCGTGTTCAATACAGAAGGGCATCCCTTTAAAGTTGCAGGGAGGCCAATTTGAAGAGCGCACGTGTAAATCGTGGGAGCAAATCCCTCCAATTCCGTGAGGGTTTACATACGTGCTCTGCGTTACTGAGGCAAATATGGCGGAGCCGTTGTGCCATTGCGCGCTGTAAAACGAACCGGGATGTGACCGCCTGGATGTGGATCGCTTGGAAAGATATGAGAAATATGCAGACCCCACGATTTACTCTCTGTGAGCGCATCATTCCCAATGTGTACACACTAAAAAGAGCACATAAATGTCAAGTCAATCAACATTTCAGCACACAGTCTTCTGCCAGCCGCAACATGCGGTGTATCGAAGCAAGACTCCGCTCATGCAACAATAATCTTCTACTCATCCACTGGTTCAGGCGATGGTTCCCTAGATCCATGATGGTACTTTCCAAGAGCTGTGCGACATGCCAGCAGAGTCAGAGGATTAGTCCATCAATTCGACTGATGGGTGAGGACTTTATTGGTCGCCCGCAATTCCACTAGGGGACACGCAGAGAACAGCCATACAGGTACCGACGCTGGTGGAAATTATTGACATGAGCTTCTGTAACCAACGAGTCTGTTTCTCGAGAATCGGTGTGAAGACCTCTGTTGAACGTGTAAAAGCTTCGACTTTAGAATTTTGAGCCAACCACACCGTAGACTAACCACCAAAGCCCAACTCGTGAACGACATAGTATTAGCGGTCCGGGTCAAGACGGTCGCATATCTGGACTGAGTAGTAACCCCCTGGCCCATATCTCTCGATCGATTCAGCATCTTCAACGGGCATACATCGTACGCATCTGGAGTCTTGATCTTTGGTTTCCGTAGCCAGCTGCATCATGCCCGCGCGCAAAAGTGAACATGTCGGCCACTTTTGAAACCAAGGACTTGACGGAATAGGAACGACCTGAGATAGCGAATAGATAGTCTCATAATACGTGGGGTGAATAGACAGTGCGAGATTTCAAGACTGACGCCTTCGATGTTGGCTAGTGTACCACGTCGGCGATCTGTGCGCTTGGGCGTAAGACCGCCGAGCCGCAGCGACTCATGGGGACAACACAGGACCAATGAACCCATGCTGCGATGACCACGTGCACACTTGACAGCCATCTCCATCATCTTTCTCAGGAGAAGGAGAGGCGGTTGTTAGGGCTGGCATTGCATCTAAGTTCTTGTAAATGTTCAATTTCATAATATCTCCAAATTCACTGTTGCTGATGCATACCAGGGGCCTGTATAGTGGCATTCGGCGATGCCCTCAGCCAAGGGACCCACGGGAACTTCGCAACGCCGCTTCTCCACCATAACAATTGCTTTCTCCCGCTACATACTCCGTAAGTAAACCTTGATCCCGAATCCCTTCAAGTAATGAATCTCAAAATCAGCTAGACCCTACCATTGAAACTACGCTACTTTAACAGAAACCTTCTCTTTTCACCGAAGTTTAATATATCCATTCCAAAATGCGCCAGCTCAAATTTGATCAACCCGATGCGATCCGATTCCCCATTCGCATTTGTACGTACGATGAGACAGACCAAGGCATGTGGTTCGCGAGGCTTCCTGGTGATATCCTCGATACGACGTCTCATTGCCTTTGGCCCCTTACGATCCCATGCTTTGATAGCGTCGAAAATCTTCTTGCGGGGTTCTGAATGCCTCCCCAGCACCACGCACTCATACTCACCTGTCATGAGCTTCCTTCGTAGCTCCTTAAAGTCACAACGGTCGTCGGACATGTGCAGGTGAATCCTCCGTGATTGTTTTGGTTGTGACGTGCGCCAATCTAGATAATAGAATACGATGTTTGAGACATCGAGGACATGCGCATCAAAATGCAGAACTTTGGCCGTCAAAAGCATGCGGAAGACATCATCGTTCTGAGGTCTCCTTCCGAACAACCACTGGTAATCAATGGTCATCCCGTTCTGGAAACGAATCGCCACAGATGTGAGGGTGCTTGTCCAGCCATAAGGAAGGTCGCCTCTGAAACCAACCTCCCCAATCCAGCCAGCCCAAGACCACGAGGGAAACCCAAATCGGCGTTGTGGCTGCGGCGCAGGAGTATCGGCGGCTACCCAAGTGCAATGCGACCATGCCAGAGCATAGCTGAGATGGTCTAGATACTCCGGCTCACGATTGGGTAGCTTGGCCATTGGAAAAGGAATAGTTATACCTGCTAGACTGTATATTTGCGCCGATGACTTGGCATAGAAGTGCGCGAGGCCTGAGTAGGCATTCAGTACGTCGTCGTTGTTGGTCAACTCTCTTTTCGTGTACTTTCGCGTTTGCCATTGACATTGACGTATAATATCAACCTTGCGGTGATTTGCCGTATTTTTCTTCACATTGACATGTGAAAACTGGTTTGAATTCCCGCAGATAAAGCTTCCGGCACGGTTAAGTGCTCGGAATCGCTGGCTAGATAGTATGTGCAGAGGTTTCAAGTTGGTTTTGAAGCTCTGCGTGATGTTCATCGCGTTACATTCAAAATAGATCTGTTGGTCGGTGAAGAATAGACGCCGCGTCGAGAACAGGCCCTCTTGATACGTCCAGGCTCTAGTCGCCCACTTTGAATGCTCGATGGAATCTTGCGGGTCTTGAAGTGTATGCATGAACTTGTACTTGCCAACAGTTGTGGACTGCCGCCTCCACAATCGAGGAGTGGTGCTCACGCCTGGCAAGCCGGCGCCTGAATCTTCTCCCAGGGCGAAAATGGTCAAGTGGGCGCCAGCGTAGATATCTCCCATCTGACTACACTGCTGTTGCCTTTCCTCTTCATTGTCCTGATCAATGCAGTATTTGTCAATCCAAAGATAGCGGTAGCCCAATGCCTTGGTAACAATAATAGCATCGCTGATTGTCAAGGGAATCTCAGCGGGAAGACGTCGTCGCGGAACTCTTTTCGATGCGGTAGTCGCAGGAAGGTTTGTGATCATACCAGAATAATTCCTTACTAGGAACAAGTCCTTGATTCGATGGTTTTCTGTATCATGATTATGGCGCTGATTGTGAGTTGTGGCTTGTAGCGGTCTTGTTCTGATTGCCAGAGCATTGCTCACTGCCGCAGAGGTCGAACCTCGTGACATTTCTGAAGACTCCGTATGGGTTGAAGGTCCCCAGACATAGCTGAGAGCAATGTATTTGTCCTCTTGGCAATGATTGCGGATGATTGGCGTCGAGGGCTGACAGTCGATAACCTTCATTCCCTTGACCATGGGTGGTTTGGGATTGCAGAGCTCTCGGTGGAATTTGCAACGCTTGAGAAGAGGTTTCACAAAATCCGTGTTGAACTTTTGAGAGACCTGTTGTGGAAACAACACCTCCTCTTCAGCTTGTTCCCTATTTGGCATGACTACAACCATTCCATTCTCAGCGATATGTTCTCGCAACTTTTCTTTCCAGCCCACTTTATGACCTTTACCGATTGGGACGACGGCAATATGGAATGGAGCGTTGTGCTGCCGAAGAATCGCTCTTGCTTCAGGGAAATCGTTGACGTGGGGTAAGTGTCGAAGATTACGAAATATATGGATTTCGTCGCCAATGTCCTTTTCTTTCCAGTCGTAAGGATTTCGCTCTCGAAGTAAAGGCTCTATCCAAGGCGCACGTAACTGACGGCACATTGGACACGCTGCATTGGCGGGTACATATCGAAAACGTTTCCCAACTAGACATACCGGCTTACCCCACCACGACCAGCTTCCTGTAGGATCAAGCCATTCGTCCAATGCGTCCCAGTATATACTTGTGCACTCTTCGCAGAGATCATCTGTTGATGTCCGAATTGTCGTATTGTGACGTTTGGGACTATGATTGCCGTGCTGCTGGAATTCTTCGTGGCTGTCATCTCGGGATCTCTTCCTAGGCTGACTAGTGAGCTGCGATGAGATGTCAGCTACAGTTCGGTAGCAATGATCTTCGTGATTCTGCATGCCACGATGATGTGACCGTCCCAGTATGCATTATGATGCTGTCTAGATGGTATCAAGTACTCACCCGTTCTACCGTGCTTGTAGTGTTCATCCGGGCCATATTCTGCATTCGCCTGGTTCCCGTCGTCGGGATAACACCTGACAATCCTTTGGAATCCATGAATCTGAATGTGACATGCTGCTGGGGGTCATTATAGTAGTTGCGATACAAGGAGTTGTGAACACCAATGTTGACCTTGGAAAACGATAATGGATCAATCCAAATAAGATAAAGTTGAAGAGCAAGACCTTTACTCGCAAAAACGGCTGGGGAACGGGTTGGGGCATTTTATTACAGAATCGTAGTGTTGAAATATGCTGGTTGCGCACCGCCAAAACATGCGATAAGATATGGCCAATCAGACGTCATATATGTTAGATGTTTTCTTGGAGAAATCTGCACGTCCAGAAACGCCAACACTGATTTGATAGGCCGCTGGGGTTCTATGACTGCAACGTGCAGATATATCCGACGTCGCAAGGTTGACAAGCGCCCGTTGTGTGCGAGCTGAAACCTTGATTGCCACTGAACATGCCACATTGAGTGCGGCTGAACACAAGTGGAATAACGTCTCGACCAGCTAGCCAAGACAGAGACTTGGGCACAACGCGGGGACGTGGGGGGCCCAACGGTGGTCAACAGGAAGCCTGCCCAAGCAAAGAAGATCTCGATGAACAAGTATGAACGTGGAGACTAACACTGGTGAAAACATGTTTATATTCAAAGACTGTTAGAAATTCCCTGTACACCTTTCATAACCTTTCCGTGGCATCTTCCGCTTGTCGGCCACGAGATCGAAAAGTTGGCCCCGCGTTCTAAGGTACGCATCTATTAGCTAGCGTCAATCGTGGCTGTGCTCATGGGGTCTGGACGTCTTAGGCGTTTTACAAATTCGAATTGAAGATGCGCCTGCACGGTCAATTTGCCTGTGAACTGTGGTTAATGGGTTCGTTTGAGACCTCAAGGATGTTCTGGTACAGATCGGTAGGATGGTAGTACTGCCTTTTCCAATAGTCAGCTCATTTCTGGACGGTTAGTGATTGATCGTGTGGTGGTCTGTGTACGCGGCAGCCCTGCCAGGTTACTATATATTGGTTTTGTTGTTCGGGATGTCGTAACAAATATGATCTTTTGTTAAATAAGCTGTGATGAGCCGCCAGTATAAACTCTTATCGGCGACGCTTGTAGACGGCATTTTCATACTAACCTGACAAACATAATCTTTGCAGATTCCACTCTGCTAACATTGTTCCGACAAACCTCTCCCAGATGCGTGGCCCTCTGTCTTATGATATCAGCATCACCCTTCCTCCTCCCCGCCAATCAGATTAGAAGCTACATACTTCTTATCGTTAACCACGCAATTACTAACTATATCACCATGCCTGTAGACAACTATCCAAGGATACTCAACTCACGTGGTGTGTTTAAATGTGTCATACCACATAGGAAGCAGAACCTGTGGAACGCCAGCCTTTGATGAAGTTTACATTATATCATGTTCAAGTATAAGCAAAACTATTTGCCGAGTCGCCTTCAAATACGAACGCATCCTCCATGATGCGCCGAGCAGACAACATCGCCGCTTCGCGAGATCGCCACCGGATTAGTCTTTAATCTGTTCTCGATTCCACACAGCCTCGCTCTACGCTATATACAAGCTGTTTCAAAACAGCATCACTACTGTTTTTCCAACGTGGTGCAGTTTTTATACCTCGAATAGTATCATCTTCAGTCCTGGATCCCCAAGACATGGCAAGTGAGACCTTCTTGTTTGTTTTTAACGAAAGAGAAAAGAAGCTGCTTTTTTTTCTTTCTAATTCTGAGTTAAGGAGTGACTTTAGCCACACGAAAAATTATCTCGCAGGTTGCATTATTGCCCATAGGCTACGGAACAAATTATGGCCTGGAAATCTCGAACGCTATGAGAGACTGGGGCCACGACAAAAGCCATATGGAGGGAGTTTACCTCATGTTACAACAGCCAGATGGTAGCGGATATTCTATCTTTGGGAAAAACATCCAGCATAATACAATTAGTGGAAGCTGGGTTGATATTCGTCGGAACTAGGATCGAGTAAGTCTTACGAAATGCCTCCTACTAGATATCAAGTCTTGACTAAGTTGGCTTTATATGGTCGGGCAAGGGGTATAAGCGAAATAGGTATCGAATATGATGCAGCGAAAGTGACGTGTTTATCAATCTGTGAAAGAACCATCACCTCTATTAACTTGCAAAGGTGTCCTTCAGCTCGCGGTCGAAGCCGTTTTTGGCTTTTGCAGCTGGATCTAGCAGATATGCATTCTCATCTTGTCAATAAAACATAGGATGCTACTGAAGCGAACATATGTGGTGATCAATAGTAGTCACTGCTCCACTGAAGGCTACCTAGTGCGGTTGCCCGGTGCATATTTGAGGCATCCATTGAACACTCAACTTGTTTAGAACGGCAGGAATATTTCTAGCAGGTATCTGAACTGGCTGATGAACGAATTAGAACAAAAAAAGATTCGGGCGTCAGCAGTACGAAGGCCTCCGAATGGTCAGTGACTGGATCGCAAGTTATGGAAGATTTGGGGATTGGTGAATCGGAAAAGAAGGAATGTTTGGGCAGTATCCATGGTATAGACACTATACTCGAATACTATGGTGAGCCGGATATTATCATCGACGAGAATCTTTCTATCGCAAACGGGAGCATTACGGTAGCGAAGATGCCATGCGCGAACTCTTCCAACAATAGCCTCTTTCATGAATTTAGTGGCCACGAAGAACTGCCATTGCATTGACTAGAGATGCTTAGCTTTGATTCTCTAAGCATTATGCACTAAATTGTCCTTACTGTCGCATTCATTGGAAGAAGTGTAAGCTGGTCTTCGAAAGTTCGTTCTGATTGTCCCGCACGACAACAGGATCATGTACCTATGTTTCGATAATACATGAGAAGAGACCTCGACACAAAGTATGACTACCTGCCCTTTCGTACCGTTTAGGCGGAGGAACAAAAGAGGATGCCGACAAAAGGACGCTAGATAAGAACGCTGTTCGAACCACGATTGAATTTGGCAACCGGGCAGTCACAGGAACAATAGAGGAGGGGAAACAGCACCTTTAACAAACCAAAGAGCTACTGTGTAGGTCCTATCAATGCTACACAAATCCACTAACCTGCTAACCTAGCAGATCGCGCGATAGCCGCTAAACAAAGGACTCTAAACTCTTGAAGAAATGACTTCCAGTCAACCTGCTAACCTAGAAATGAATACGTCGTGGAGGTGAGAATGGCTAAGGGATTGCATTCGGGTAAATTACAGAAGACTATGAGCTGAAGGGACGAAAGTTCTCCAGCAGTCGTTGTAAACTAGTCTTCGCAGATAAACTCAATTGCCCCCTAGTCTAGGGGCCACTGTAGCCTGGGCGTATAAACATGCGTGCGTGTGTATTCGGCTGCTTAATGTGTATTTTGCACCCTACGCCCTGAGCCCCACATGCCCCATACGATACGCCTTACACCCCACACCCCAGACGCCGTACTATCCAATAATCATGCGTCTGAAAACAGCCCCGCTCTTTCGCAATCGGAATCGTGCCCAGGCATCTATTAAGCAGAAGAGGGGCATGTAGCGGTCGCATTGCGTACTGTCGTGTTACCCACAAAGATTGGTCACAGGCCTCATGGTACAGCCATTACTTGGCCTTGATGGCACCGGAGATGGCCTCTTCGCTAAGCAGGCGAGGCCAGAAAGGCCCTAAACGTCTCAACGTTGGCTTGGAGATTACTAGAATGTATCACTGACGCACGCTTTTATTTACTCATTCATTTATTAGCTTTATCGTCAAAGTCCGATCTCTACGTACATTAAATGAAGAAGCATCTAATTATACAAATACCCTAGACAAGAACAGTCCTACTTGCCATCATGTCCAAAAGCCGATCGTCTCGCTCTGGTTTTGATTTGTGTTTAATCTAATTCCGAACTTGGTTCCAATCCGTTGGGAGGACCACCACTACCAGTAGAGTAGGACACTCTAATCTCGTAAATACCTTAGGTCACTGAACGTTACCGGTCATTATCTTTCACCACTTTTCATTCAGAGTGAGATATAGGACAATTTCAGTCATGATGGTGGGGTTGGTAGATATACGATAGTCATAGAACACAAGTCGCCGAACGACGGGAATATTTTGGGTAGAATGGTAATGACGGAATGCTAACACTTGTCTAGTGAAACCTATTATGCGAGCGCTTAGGTGACTAACTCAGTATTGATCAAGGACAAATATACCTGCTGATTCCGGAGAAATTGTGCTCAGTGCCCTGAAGTCCGGAGAATACATCCTCCTGATTCGCGCCGTTCATTACTTAAGCTAATGCTCGTCGAGATAAGAAAATATTTTTTAATATTCGATACGATTTGCTGCATAACAACCCTATCTAATTGCGACGAACACGTAACCCCCATTTATCAGTCCAGACCTTCAACAGTTTGTCGCAAACTCTCCTTAAGGCCGGTGTAGCCCTGTTGACCATACCACTTTTTCAACAATTCTGCACCGCGCTTGTTGTCGACTTCGCTGATATCTGAGTCTTGTTTCTGGTTGTCAGCGAACCTTTTAGAGGGGAATAGGTCTCGAAAGTTATCCAATACGACATTCCAGTTAAATGGAACATCAAACGCCAGTATGCGCTCGTTCTTTACTGAACTGTCAATCAATGCGATTAGGTGCAGCCGAGCACAATCAACTACATTCACCATGTACTGCGGTAGAAAGTCCCACTGTATGTCTCCTTTGTAGGCCTTGATGACGAGACCGCCAGTTTCACCATGTGAGTCAATTACCCGACCCATATTCACTGCCGGGTTAATCTGGGAACCAAGTCAGCGTAATGCACAAACTACCTCACTGGTAATATTTCTTACACAGTTAACAGTAAAACTGGGATTCTGATCCTTGACAAATTTCCATACTGCCTGCTCCGCCTTCGTCTTGCTTGCGGAATAAACCTTGAACGCATTCTCTGGTTTGTACGGTGGTGGGAAGTCTGCGTATTCGTCGACCTCGGTGTTCCAAGATTTGCTGTCAATATAAAACCTAACTCCAGGTTTGGGCAAGGATGTGGATGTGCTTGAACTTGTAAACACAAATCTCTGAATCCTTGGTTCTTTGGCTGCCGAGCGGAGGATGGATGTTGCTCCATTAACCGCAGGAGGCACGACTTCCTTTGGATTGGGGCTGAACGTCAAAGGTGAGGACATGTGTACAATAGCGTCAACTCCCTTGACAGCCTCATCGAATGCCCCTTCTGGTTCCATCTCTGGCACCACCACACAATCGTAGTTCGGTGAACTAAAGACGGCTTTAGTCTTCTGTGCCTTAGCTGGAGATCTTGCTGTTCCACGAATTTTGTAACCAGCTTTGAGAGCTTCGACAACAAAATTACTAGCAATGTACCCTGACGCACCCGTAACTAGTACGAGTGATCCCTTGGGCAGGGCCAAGTCTCCGTTATTCAAGATAGCCATAATACTTTTCTGTTTTTATGATTACTGAGAGGCTTAATTGAAGCGAGATACTAAATACTGTCGTTCTAACTCAATAGAAAGAAGTCAGGAGACTAAGTACGCTATTTAACTTTCGGGGATTTACTACAGAAACAGATGGGCATTAGTAATGCCGATGGGTATTAGTAACGCCAGTGGGCATTAGTAACGTGCCAATACCTCGATGAGGGGCATACATGAAGATTGGCCCGGGGTATACGTGGCTACCAGTCTGCACACTGAAACTTTAAAGTGGATATAGTAACTTAGCACCGCTGCACATTCATGATTTTATTATCACTTGTGCCGATTGAGCCTAATCATCAGATTCTGGTTAATTATAGAGTTGTATTAAATCAGAATCATTTACATTTTATATTATTTATATATAAGAAATCTCAGATAACTGACGAAGCAGTGATTTTCAAGTCCTAACCGTTACTATGCTTTCCGCTTATGATAACAGGTGCCACTTCTGGTAAGCTTTATCGTAGCTGCTTCAAAATGACATCAAGATAAGAATAATTATAACAGTTGTGCAGGAATTCTTGGCCGGAGGTTGTCAAGGAATTATGCAGTAGGCCCAATTAATAGACCACGGTATACACCATGTCTCGGTCGAAAAGAGAGGACTTTTGGGCACAGATTCACCATATCCTTCTGGATTTGAGTACGAAGCTTGGAGACATGCCCCGCGATATGGAGAGCCTTGAGGCCGACTACCTCTTTTTTTGCAACATACCTGCAAATGAATCCGACGAGAAAAACACGCGTGTAAACGGTAAGTTTTGATCGGTTATCTACGAATTTTTAAAATCTTAAACTAAGCAGGTGAGATGTTGGCTCCTTTTTTCCTTCTTTCTTTTTATACTGTAAGTCAACGGTCATGCTGCAGGCATCAAGCGTTTCGTCTTAGTCACTGGTGCAAAGAACAATGGGAATCACCTCGGACGGGTCAAATTTTCCATGCAAGAAGAAGACCTGCGGTGAGTAGTGACTTGCGAGAGCTCCAAATACAATCATCGCTCCTTAAGTAACTGTAGCGACGTAGTATTACGTCAATGAATTGAAGCATATATCTCTTTACAATTTGAGACTATTTTCATCAATATGTAGAATATTTGGTTGCGTGATTGAAGTACCATATATGGAGTGCGGCATCATCATGACTAGTCTAACCTAACCTAGGTGACTAGGATTGTAATCGCGAAGTCGGTGCCGCACCTCCTGGGTTTAGCCCTCTTCTTGTGAAACATCAGTATTGCCAAAAAGATTCGACCTAGTGCGTGGGTTTAGAGATAAGGTAAAATCCTCGTTTGTTATTAATTAAAAGGTTTTAGATTTCTTCTTTGCCTACGACTTCAGGTTTTTTTCATTGCCAGAAACTGAAAATATGTATGTTCTAGTATATTGTTCATTGACTCCGACAGTATGTTGACCGATATACTTCAACTTTGACAAGGGCTTCTGGAAACCGATTGAGCGTCTACTGCGAAAATAGACTCGCAGCCTCCTGTCTCAAAAATGCTATAAGTATATTGGAGATAAGCTGTCTCTTTACCGGCTGTGCCAATCTTCTCCTTCGTTGAGACGAATTCAATCTGAAAGACGTCTTTAGTAAGCTCATAAACATTTTGTTGTTATTACTATCGTTATTGCAGTTGTTGTCCTATTTGTCGAGGGAAAGGTAAAGTTTATGGCAAGAAAAATATGTAGGGAAGATCAGGAAAGTGATTTGAAAAGAATAAGAACGAAGCTGGCGAGGAAGAGCGGCGGTGTCCCATTGATACCCAAAGGAGCCTCTTCATTTCCAGCGTTGTGGAAAGTTGAGCTTGTTGTTCTGCTATGTTGCCTATCTGGCTGTTTATTTTTCGGATAATCCTGATCTTTAGTAAAAAGGTTGTCCTTGACTAAGATAGGAAAATAACGTCCTATGACGAAAGTGTTGCAAGGAAGTGTTAAGGTGCTAGTATTGACGCGCTGAGCCCTGCTTTCTATCACATAGAGGATTTCAGCCCTTATATACCTAAAAGCAGTCCGATACCGGATAAGCTTTGACACCTTACTACTTTGAAAAGCCATGTCGTAGTGCGCCACAACATCCTCAAGCCAAAATCCTCCAGGGAGGGTAATATCTTACTTGATTGGGGAATGGTAGGATTTTATCGCATTCGCCTACGAATACAGTCCCAAACATGTAGCCTTGGCGTTTTGATTGTATCTTTTAGTTTTAATTCAAAGTAGGACTTCGGGAACCGTCTGGAACATCATTTAGCAAGATCGGCTCAAGAGACAATTCGAGAGCGTGATTTTGCTTCAACTCTCAATCGATGAAATCACATTAGTTTCAGTAATCATATTCAGAACTATCCTAACACTTCCTGGCGCCCTGGCGCTGCCTTACGCTTGTTCGGACATCCATGTTTATCCGTACCCCTGGCCTTTTCCTTCGATTTTGATCTGATGCACTGACTTGAAATTTCGCTGCCAAGGGCGAACAACTACGAAGATGTCTTTGCTTGTTGCCTTTACTAGATATTAAAATGCCACAATGGTCGCACAAGAAGCTCAGATCAGGGATATTGTGCTTCTCAGCCCATCGCTTGTGGTTGGAATGATAATGCTTATGGAGTTCCTTATTGTAAGTTGTTCTGTAAAGGCATGTTTCAATTGCGCTGCATGCCAATGGTCTGTCATGATATTTTTTATGCCGGCTGGAAGGCGGTCAGTCAGTTTAAGCCATGAAGAGGATTGAAAATGAGAATGCTAAATTGATATTCAGAAGTGGACATGACATGTGGTACAGCGTTCGTCGCACATCGTCGGGAAGGTCTCAGAAAGCTTTGGATTGACATGAGGCTATAAAGCCTAGTAGCGAAAGATCTCAGAGAAAATGGCTGTGCAAAAGACATTGCACGAAGATAAAATATTTATACAAAGGTACTCACTTGTGATCACGGCCATGCTTATACCACTTCCTGCAGCACCACACGTGATTCGGGTTGGTTTCACCTGAGAAAAAGTAAGCAAGGCATAGGGTGTATATAGGCAAGATATGGCTACCTTCTTCATTTACAGCCGACGCTATTGTTGCCCCACGTTCGTTATTGTCTATCATCTCGTCTTCGTTTTCGCTTTCATTTCCAGCAATCATCTCAGAACTGTCCTCGTTCAGTCTCGCATGGAACATAGCCGATCCACTGGTGTGCGAATCAACGCCATGTACACATGCATCTGTCCTGGCCTAAATGCCTGGACCGAGACTGAAAGAGGATTCGCTATGAGTGGCGTTTTCAAATTGCGATAAACGGCAGTTGTTCGCTACAAGTGCTTCGGTAGCTTGCGAGTCGGATGATGGCATGTGCATGAACGGCTCATAAGTCTGCAAAGCTGAACCAGGTACACAGAATGTGCTGTTTGTGGGTTGAGACAGTTGGTAGGAATTTGCCACAAGTTCATTAGTGACCCATGCATTGGACCCTGAAGTGGACATCGGCGTATAGGAGTTCTCTAGAGACGAGTTTTGTTCAAATTCGTAGTTGATTTGAGACAGCACGTCCGAAAACGAAACATGTTGAAATTCCATCCCTATATCGCCCACCAACGGATCGACTTCGGAGAAGTGGCCAAGACCTCTTAGAAAGTTACTATATATCGCTTGCCAATCTGTATCTCAAAATTAGTGAAAAACATAGTTATCGAATCAGGGATTTGGCTTACTGGATCCTGAGGAGTTGCATCTGTTTGGATCACCATCAATATTGTAACTTTCGTCTTCCGCCATGACTAGCGTCCAGTTGTGCATCCGAACAAAAGGGCTGTAACACACGAAGTCGACAGTAATAAGCCAGAGGAACAAAACTAGTTATCGGATCCTCTAGTTTATGCGTGATGGGCTGTAAATAGATTCACGATAGAATAAATGTGGTATATATTGAACCTTGTTTGTAGTCAGGATTTCCTTAATGTGCAGACAAAGAGGAACTATTATACTATAGCTGATCTCTAAAAGTATTCGCGACATATTCCACGACTTTCTTCAAAGTTCCTCGAGTACATAACATTGCTCATCATTCCTTGAATTGGGCCGCAAAATCCACAGCCTTGTCGCATACAGCCTACAACACTGACGTGATAAATGCGATAACCTCCCAGTTCTTAAGTGGCATAAGTAGCGTGCAGCAGTGCCCAGTAAACTCTAAAAGACTAGTGTAAACGTTCGGTGAGTAGTCTTCAAGCTTGCCGATTTTGGTGCCGTATAGCAACTCATCAGGTCACTGGCAGGCAGCCTGCAGCCATTGGGTGCCACACTCCGCCTTGGCGGTCGGCCTCTCATGCAAGCTGCGGTCGGCCTCTTATGCAAGCTGCGGTCGGCCTCTCATGGAGGGTGTAGAGCATTTCGTCCGCCCATAGAGGCGAGATGCATAGAACTTCGAAGATTGCTGTAGAATTTTGCACAACTGACAGTGTCTTTTCTTCTTCTCGGCAGATTCATAGAGAGAGAGCCCGGCACGGTAAATAACCCCTGTGTCACCATATCAGCCACCAGAGAAGGTACACTACAAAGACAACAATTGTCACTTCCCCCATTGTTCGATGAAATTAGAATTTATTTGCACACTTCTGTCGAATCAACATGCCCATAGCTAGCGGAGAATGTGAGTATAGTTTTAACGAGAAAATACATTACGAGTTTCTCGCTGACACAGTAATTCAGCTGAAATTGTCCAGTGGACGATTCGAGCGCTTCTCAAGTTCTACGAGCCTGTCGTTCTTCTGAAAGCATTGAACATAGCGGCCCGAGAAACTGCTATATCAGCAACTGCCAACGAGCTTTCCAACACCCGAGACCCAGTGGAGCTCTATCGTGCTTTTGTGTACAAGCTTGCTCATGTCTGCGATAATGTCATCGGAGGAGCAACAATAACGGCCTTCATGATACTTCGCAGCGATTCAGGCGGTGTTCAATACTACTTTGCGTCGAATCAAAGATCGCAGGAACAGTTGAATGTTACGCAAGAATATGTGACCAAACTATTGCGGCGCGTAAAAGATTTTTCGTCAAGATCCTCTGATTCCAATTTGGTACACGACGAAGTGCTCCAGCTAGTATTACTCTTCAACCAGCAGAGACTTTCTGTTTATTTGAAAAGACTGAAGTTCCATGCAAGAGAATGTCTGGCCAATCCCTCCGCGTTGGACACCAATGACAGTCAGTAGCCCGCCATTTTTTGATGGGAATTTCACGACAGCTGACACAGAAACTAAAAAGAGGCAGTAGTCACAAGCAGTATTATAGGTTTTCTTAAATCTTCTCGACTTGAGACTCCATTACCAACCGTAGGACTCGAATGTAAGTCGATACTCAAGCACAGTCAACTTCCTTAGACTTATTTCATTGACAATATGTGTAGTCGTTGACAGATGCGAGGAGCTGCTGAAACAAGTCTCTATGCTGTCTAAATCGCCAGCCGGTGCTTTGATCCAAGCACAAGCACGGCAAGGCCGGATGCCCGGTTACAGAAGCCAAGCATGTTGGTCAGAGTTCCAGCATACTTTGAGCCGCATATTGGCATACCCCGAATCTGTTAAATTCCTAAGAAAAGCACAAAAGACTTGGCCCATTCTTTTTGATAATTACGAGATCACTCCCATTCCTTCAAGTAAACCAATCCCAAGGCCAAGCCGAGAAAAAAGCCAAACCGCGAGCGCAATCGTTGGGCGCATGACGAGGGAACAGAAAAAGATAAACATATTTCGAGAGTACGTGGGAACATTGCAAAATTTTGACCTCGATGCACGAATCCAACAAGAGTGGCGCAAAGAGAGCTTTCGACCCATCGTTCATGCCGAAATAGTGTTACTGGATTGGTTGGAGCGGAACGGCAGCGTCACAACCCAGAGGTTCTTCAACAACTGGAAGTACATTGGTGGTAGTAAACCCACGTGCAAGCTCTGTCACTATTATTTCGAGTCACACGGTTCGAAAATAGAACACAGACCAAGTCACGGAAACCTCTACATCAGCTGGCGCTTCCCGGACGTTTTCATAGTCCAGGGTGAGGAAGCCAAAAAGGCTAGGCAGACCATGATGGATCGAGTGCTGGCAAAGATCCGAGTAGATGCTTTTGAACTGGTAGAACAGAAAGTGCCGCCGAGTTACAAAGACCACGACTCTAACACATTCTCTGCTATGGTCACGTTGCAGGATAGACTGACGATAGAGGAGAGAAGCACAGACGGTATGGACATTGTGACATGTCTCATGGAAAAAGCCACTCTATAAAATGCTTAGGAATGTCTCTTATAGTCGTTGATGCTCAGCAATACATGAAGTTCTCAATTTCTGATTGTATGAACTAGTCTATTTCATTACCTGTGATCCAATACAAGTGTGTGATACACTGCAAGCAATCGCCTTGTGTCTACAACGGCGACGAGATTCAATCTCAAGAATGTTACTTTATGCCATTGTCTCTCCTGAGACAGAAAAAGAAACTGCACCAGGACTTTCTGTATCTCTCCAGCTAGACCTGCTCGTAGATGTTACACGAATTTACGAACAAGGCTTTGAAATCTTTTTATCGGGCTAAAGATTACGAAAACTACTATTGCAAACAGGAACCGTAAGATATTGACCTAAGATCAACGTACGTATCAACTTCGATAAGACTTATCAGTGGTAACACTGCTGAGCAAGTTGCTTATGAAGATGATTCTGTCAAGCTATATAAAGGAATTACATGTCTTTCGCAGCGGCGAGGAGCTGACAAGGGTAGGTCGACTACAATTTCATCTCCACCAACCTTACTAACCGTCGACCAAGTGCACCCTGACCCAGGCCCTAACTCGGTGCGAAACTTCTTATCTGTGGGGTACATTTGGAGTCATCGGTCTCGCTTGTATCGCCAAGAGGTGTCGGTAAAGGCTCCGGCTTGGAAGCTGAGTCCGCTTCTTCATCTGACTCGGCCCAACGCCACCATCCACTTCAAGTCTACAGTCGCTTGTGGTCAGTCCTAAATAAAAGGCGATCTGAATCAAAATACACTTGTATCCTACTATCGAATGGCATAGCAAACAAACAGGTTGCCGGCATATTTAACACACGTTTTGGGATGCTTACAACGACAACTAGCATGCGATGACGTATGTCATCTTTTTCGACCAGTGCTTTAACTAAAGAACTCCGGAGATTATTGGGTTTTTCAATACGTATGTCTCGAGACTGAGGCACATGCTGTCATTTGTTGATTGGAATATCGAATTATGGAACCGCTAATTAGTGCTCATAGTGATTCCATTTCACTGGTGACATTACCTCGAAGTCTGTGTATCTGCCCAGGTCTATGAACCTGTCCGCGTTTGACGGTAATTTACACATGTCTAAGTCGAGCTCTGGGAGCACGATTGGTAGGTCTCTCTTCTCAAGTGGAAGGGAATGTTCTAGCAAGTATCTAACCATCCATCCGTCCAGCTTGTAGGACTGGGTGGACAACAGACATATATTTTGAAACGTCATTAGCCTGTGAATCTATATTTCAGTCAGCTTCAAAATTGCATTGCAGCAAGCATGTATCTACATACCATGGCGTATGCTGCAGGCCAATGTTGTCGTAGTTCAATGAGGGCCTCAAAATTGTTGTTGAGCTCTCGGCGAGCCTTCTCTGTTTCTTCCATATTTCCAAATAGCAGAGTATGCACCAATACAGAGGAGGCTACAGCAGTCATGTGGCCAATCGTAGGGTAATTGATCCCGCAGTTTTTCATCTGACGCGAGAGATGCAGAAGACTACTGAACGAAGCAGCATGGTATTTGCACTTTTTAATATACGTCCGGTATACTTCAATAGAGGCTTGCTGGCTCTCAAGAAACCGAAAGTATAGTAACGTGGAATAATGGTGGTATCCAAGATGTAGAGAGATGAAAAGCCCTCCTAGGCCAGTCTGTTGCTGAGCATTGAGGTTTTGCACGGTCATCTGTACATCACTTGGAAGGGACTCAAGCCAGGACTCTAGCTGTTGCCCGAGTTGTTCTACGGTCTTGTCTAGTCGAGCGTTATCTGTATCGCCCGTGGCAGTTCGCCGGTTGAGGTCATGTACCGGGCCTGCAAGACGGACGAGGGTGACCATGTGGGCCCATAGCCCAGGTTTCCAGGCAGCAGATAGTGCCATTCGGTCAGGTCGAAGCAAGCGAAATGTGATCTCGTCCATGGGGAGATGCCAAGATATGCTGTCAAGGCGCTCCAGACAGCGAGGTATGCCATGACCCACTGAACAACAGTAGTCCGCCATGTAGAGCGACGACCAGATTCGTCGCGCAGTCTCGACTTCTATAATCGAGCCACTTTTGGCAACAATATCAAGCTTCATTATCTCAGCCATGCTGATTGCAATTCCTGGTCTTTGTTAGTAAATATCCCACCATGCTCTCTGCCAATTGTTGCTTGGGACGCCATTTGGCACACAATGCTTAAATCATGATTCACAGGTACTGCGTAGCGTTGGGTAGGTGTTCAACCAACCGTGCTACATACAGGTATGTAAGAAAGGTAAAGGTGAAACAAAAAAGAACTAAGAAAATGTATTCTTACGAACGAAAAAGGCTTCCACAGTGGTTTCACAACTGCCTGCCATCAGAACAGAAACCAAGATGCAAGCCTGTATGTTTTCGAGGCAGATATCTACGAGTTGTGCCTGTAGTAGATGCTTGGCTTGAGCTGTAAGGGGCGCTTCGAGATTGCGAAGATTAGAATTTGAAGAGAATTTTGATCCGATGGCACAGATGGCATAGACGACTGGCTTGCTTAAAGTCCCATCTTTCAACTGAGTCCGCAAAGTGGGCAAATGGAAAATGCTATGCGCCCGGTCATGGACCTTCTCTAGATAGTATTCGACAAGCTGGACTGTTGTCTCCTGTGGTAAGTCCATCACGAGGCAATAATCATGGCTCTTGTCTGCAGCAATCATGATTGGCAACTCCTCGCTTACCTCTGGTTCCGCGAGAGTTCCATTGCCCAAAGCGCTTTTTGGCAACGCGCCATCACATCTCAGTTCTCTTTGCTGGCATGAGCGGCAGACTTCGCCAAGTCTCGCGCGAGTACATTTGCGTTTGGATTCGCGGCACTGTCGGCATGCCCTTGGAGGCTTCATGTCTGGAACTTCTTGTTGTGCACGACTTAGACCATCGCTGTAGTGCCAATCTGTTGCACTAGTAAGAGTGACGAATCAGAAACTTGATGGTTCAACGTGATGGCTGATGAGTCGCAGAGCAAAGGTTCAAAGGGTCCAAATGGTATGTTGGCGATATGGAAACGTAGACCTCTCGAGGCATGATAAATATGACGTTGGTGTGGATCCAATCTCACTACCCACTGCACAAGTATCCCGTAGCGTGCCAAGAGTCAGCCGGAGCCCGGAATAGCATTGCTCTGATTGGCGGGATATGTCGGAGCCCCCATACTATGGTCGCGACTCATGCATACGGAGTGGGGTTTGATTGGTCATTTAATGGTTGTATGATACTCGATCTAACCTGACTGGATCTCGGCAGGTATCGGCTCGTCAGAGAATTCATCTAATAGTACAATAGATGGGCAAAATTACTCAGCATGATTCTGATGAAGACGATCATGACCTTTAAAAGTCTATGCGTATATAAGGGGTGGTTATCCAAGACTTAGAGGGATTGTTGAAGCTCTGCAACGCTACAAGCTGCCTTATTTTTATCTAACTTCCCGTGTACAAGAGTAACCAAGTGTCCTATCCTAGGCCTAAGTACGATACACTTCCCCAACATCATGTCGAGCCTTCTTGAACCCATCACCATCGGTGGCAAGCTGGAGCTGAAGAATCGTGTTACTATGGCATCCATGACACGCAATCGCTGCATAGATGACAACAAGCCTGGTCCAGCACACGTCAAACATTATGCCGATAGAGCTAGGGATGGAGCCAGTCTCATCGTGAACGAGGGTACTTTCATTGACTGGGCCGGCTGTGACTGGAAATGGTCACCCTTCATGATCACCGATGATCACATCGAGGCCTGGCAAAAGGTCACGGAGGCGGTGCACGACGAAGGAGGAAAGATTTTCTTCCAGGCCTGGCATGCCGGTATACAAGAGATGCACCCATAATGTAGGGCCTCAAAAGATGCTGACTTCTTCCTAGGACGCTGCCAGCACGACAAAATGCCTATAATGCTAGGGCATAAAGGCTGTGTTTTGGCGCCATCTGCTATCCAAGCCGAAGCAGGCAAATACCGCGACCTTCCGGGTGCTCCGGTATGGCTTCCTTTGCATCTCTGGCACGGCTTCTTGATGCGAACCACGTAAGCTGATTTGGATCAGGGTCATACAGACAATGTTGTAGCCATTGAAGACCCCCAACAAGTTGTCCAAACCTATCGGCATTCTTGCCAGCTTGCAAAAAGGGCGGGTTTCGACGGAGTAGAGCTTCTTGCTCAGGGGTAAGGAAGACAATCAATGTTTCCTTACCTGAGTGTGGTACTAATGCATTTGTTATTTTTAGTGGGTATCTTCCCCAACAGTTTCTCAACTCGTGAGTTTATTGACTTGATCTTTCTTACGACTGCGATTTATACTGATGATCAGCGCAGGCGTGCCAACAAGCGGACGGATGCGTATGGTGGCACAATGGAGAACAGATGCCGCTTTATTCTCGAGGTTGTCGATGCGATCAGCGAAGTCTTTGATGGACCCGAGTTTGTTATCGTGAAGCTCAACCCGACAGATTATTTTAACGACTCCATTGTCGATTATGATGAGATGAAGGATGTATACACGTATCTGATCAACGAATTGGTCGCGCGGCGGGTCGGAATCATCAACCTTTCCCGGCGCGGGATGGATCCCAATATGGGCACAGGAGACTTTTACGGGCGCTATGGCCGACCTTCGGAGTATCCTCTACCTAAAGGCTATGATCCCGTCCTCGACTTTGGTCGGCTTGTTAAGTATCCCAAAAGTCCCTCCCTACTCATGGCTAATCATGACTACACGCCAGAAGAGGCCAACAAGATGGTTAAGGATGGTACACTTGACCTCGTTGCCTTTGGCAGACCGTTCATCTACCAGCCTGTCAGTGAATTCTCCAGATCTCATTCCATTGCAAATAGTGGTCTAATCTTTCCGAAGGATGTTGTCTCACGTATCAAGAACAATATACCCCTAGCACTCAATGACCGAGGCTCTACTGTTCACTACGGGCCTTACAATACACCTGACGAGAACTACAACGATTGGCCTAGAGCTGCTGCCTAAGCACCATGTGCAAATTGTGGTACGACGCCAGTAGAAGTCGAATGCTTAACTATATGTATAGAGCGAATACAAAAGCGGCCCACAATCTTCTCAAGCCGGAGGTGGCTCACTGTACCGTATTATGCAGTATATACATACAGTTCACTGGAATCTTCTTGATAAGACATCGCACTTTCTTAAATCCTGCTTCCTCTAGAGATTCGCCGAGATTCGATGCTAGGTGTATACCATTCCTTGATCTCGCGAACGCCTTAGCAGCAAAGCATACATATTTCGAATGCTGGGCCGCCTTCTGCCATAGTTGAGTCATTGTATTGTATCCAGCCATGCAATTCTTGCTATTCTATGCACTCACCTGGTCTGATATTGGTAAAGGCCTGCTTTAAATTTTCGATACGTCTCTGAGGACTGGCGACTAATCCATAGATATACCCCATTGCAATCCGATGCCGGATAAGCTCTGACACTCCCGTCCATCATTTACAACATCATGACATGCTTCAAACCTCTACGGCGCTTTTTCTGGTCATCATTCAGTATCAGTTACTTGCCGTTTTTGCAACTGTGATATCCTCGCCCATTATTGTATGTGTGAAAAGTAGAGCTAGATTAATCCCGGACTAATCCGAAACCCAAAACCAAAACCTTTGATTGACGATATATACATTAATAATTCTAAGCGTAAATTTTAGACTTTCTAAAAAAGTGTACAACAAACCGCGTACGAATCGAACGTCGAGCTCCTCATGAAGGTATATTACGGGCATAATCGCTAAACTATGGTCATTGCCACACTACCATATCACATAAAAAAGGAGGATGCTCGCAATCGGCTACGATGCGAGCGTGTATCCTAGACTAACACCCTTAGAACAATACAATGGGTTCCCAGTCGTACATGACCTCTTCTCTCATAATCAAAAAGAGTATTTATTTTATCTGAAGCTATGACTAAAATTTTCTTGCCGGCATGTGCGACTCAAATAAAGCATCGAGCTGCTCAAAGCTTTTGCCCTTTGTTTCAGGGATGTAGAGGAAAGATGCAATGCCAAGCAACACACTGAACCCGAAAAAGATGAGTCCAGACTTGGCACCTAGATTTGCCTCCTCTGCGTTGACCAGATATGGGATAACAATAGACCAAGCCATGTTGATAACGGAACTAGACACGGCGACGAGCGAGATCGTCTTGGTGCGAAGACGTGACGATGAGATCTCACCCACGATGGTCCAGCCCACCGCTCCAACGGACATATAATAGAAGATAGCCTAAATGACGCAGAACACGGCTAGAGTCACCCTGTTCCATTTCTGACCAGGACCGAAGAAGCCGAGGAGGCCGACGACGAGAAGACATATCAGCATGCAAACTACGCCAGTCAGTATTTGTGGCCGACGACCAATCCTTTCGACGAGGAAAAATGATGTCGCTGCACTGAGACGGGCAAATATGGAGGAGATTAGGGTAATAAGGAAGGCGCTATCGAAACCAGTTTGAGTGAGGAAACATGCCAAGTAATTGCCACAGCGGATAGCCCATGAATAGTTGTGAGATGATAGGAAGGCTTGCGATTAGAGTTCGTCTCAAATCTGTGCCTCGTAAGCACTCGACATATGAAACGGATTCCGTATTCGCAGTAGCACGTTCGTGGTCAAGAGTGCGTTGGATGACCTGGATCTCTCACCCGCAACAAAGTCTGGTCGAGAGCTGTTGAACTTTTGCAGAGCTGCGCATGCCTCGTCAAATTTGCCCTTTCCAACCAAGTAATAAGGTGATTCAGGGACGAATGGGATAAACAGGAGCAGACACAAGGCCAGGATGCCAAACTGAAAGATCACCGCAGCCTTCCAAGACCAGGATCCGTCGATAGTTGAAGTACCCTGGAGAATACAGGAAGCAGCCAAAGACCCTAGGATGATTAAAAACTGAAAAATAGACAGAGCAAAGCCACGAATGTTTGCTGCTGAGATTTCCGAAACGTTTTACAAACTCTTTGTTGGCGACTATTAATCCGACGAGAGTGAGGTCAAACCCGATCAGGATAGGCGTCGTGGAGCATCCCAATAATAAGAATTGCTCAACGAGTTAATGATTGGCTTAGCTGCTTTAGGACCATTGTTCGGAAGACGCAGTGTTAGCCTGCTAACATCGAATGACTTACCACTTAGGAGTGTGCGCTTGCTTTCCCAGAGATTCTTGAATTGCTCCCCCCATGAAAGCTCGACAACGGAGCTGAAGACAGTGGCTTCGATTTCTGAGCTGCCCCTTTGACGAGTGATATTCAGTTTCTCAGAGTGTGACATGATATAGGACAGTGGCTATAAACAGCCAGGACGGAAAATTGAAGAGAGGAACAGGCCGTGCCAAGAAATATGCCGAGTGTACACTGTAAAGATCTTGACAGAAGATTGATGTCGAACTACCATTTCGGGCGCAATGGTTCTGCAATGAAATCTAAGGACATCGTTCGTTATAGGCGCTTTCGGCGTCGAATTGAATATGATAAGAACCCATTCTATGGGGGATGGTTGGCTCCATCATACGACCAAGAATCTGGGGAGTAGCGTCGGCCCCGGCTGGGTGGTCGCGTTATCTCGTGATAAGTTATCAGTCGGGTTGCAGGTGGGTAATAAACGGAGGTTACTGCGTGCCGGATTTGCATTCCGCCCACGGAAAGCGCCCACATCAAAAACTGCGCTATTGCGATCGGGAACAACCTCTATCAAAGGCGCGCGGAATCTGCAACCCGCCCCATGATATTAGCTTTAACAACATCCAACTTGAGTATCAGCCTTGTCAACCAAATGAACAATACCGACTTATCAAGTCTTTAGGATCGGGGGGGAGTTGAGCTCAAGTGCTTTATTCAATACATATCATATGATTTGCAAAGGATAGGCGCCCGAGTTAGCAGAAAGAGAGTTGAAAATTTTGCCCTTCAAGAATGGGTGCACTTGCAAGTGCAGTACGGCATGCATCGTCAGGGTTAAATCAAGATACCAAATTAATCAACGTTGCGCGCCGACCATCCTTTCAGAACACAGCTCAAAGATTGAGATAATTTTAAATTTTGGCAACATCCACCTGTATTGAAGAATGATGCACCAAGCAGCTTCCATTTCCTAAATATCTGTATGCATCAAACCATGTCATGGGCACACTACGTGATGCCTAGTAATACTTCGTCCTCGCAAGTAAACATGAATTCACACATGTATTATAACCTTCACTTCTTTCCCCTAAGCCACCTTGGCACCTTCAGGGTCATGCGCGACCACTTCGATCTCTACCCTCATATCGTCTTCACCGAGGCGAGGAACACCAACACAGGTCCACAGGGGCTGGTGATCAGGCATGTGCTTTCTAAAGTTGCGTACCATTGAAGCCAAAGCCTCGTTATTAATAGGGACGTGATACGAGTTTACCCGATATACTTGTGACCACCCCTTGCCACCCGCATCCTTCAAAGTTCGCTCGACGTTTTCGAAAGCCAGATCAATCTGAGCGTTGATTTCTTTCTCGAACTCGCCAGTTATAGGGTCCCATCCACCTGGATTTATTTTCGTTAAGAAATGTATTGCGTGTTGGGGGAGGTAGAGTCTGTTACCTTGACCGGAGCATTCAATTCTGTCGCCCACACGTACGGCTTGGCTGTAGGAGAATTTCTCTACCTGTCGGACACCATGGCCCTCGTAGGCGTAGAATTTGAGGTGAGACATGGCAAACGTAGGTTATATCGCGACGATTTCGTAAAGTGATTGGTAGGATTTACTCGATGAGCAGGGTGGAAAGAGGGCGAACTCGATGTAAGCGCGTTGACTTAAAAAGCATCCTCGGGCGACTGATTTTAGTGGAGTCATCCCGTAACCTTGATGCGTGACGCATGAACTTAAGGGTCTAATGTGTGTTGGCGGAATTCAATTTGCGAAACATTATAGGGGTCATCATGTTAGAGTTTCTTAGACCGCAAACTCCGGAACTATGAGTTCAACAGTGCAATGGGAGCTGGCGGAATTTGAATTCCGCCAATTGCCCGAAGCCGAGGCTAGACTAGTCCTATGTCCACCGGATTTCTCAAGTCTTCTTTACTAATTCTTTCTTATCGAGTCTTTGTTACGCAGTATTGGTTGCTTTGTATACCCTTTCTCCAGATTATGAGTACTGGCACCGTTAAACTGGACGCTTCGGGTGCTGGACGGGGCCAACCCATGCAGGGTTCCAGTCGGAGCAAATACGCGGCTCAGGCTTGCCAAGAGTGTCGGCAACGGCGCGCAAAAGTAGGCTTACAGGCGAGCCTTGATAGAGGATGAACATAACGCTGATCAGCATCGAAGTGCGACGGAATTAAACCCTCCTGCTCGCGATGTATACACCGCCGACTAATATGCGCTATTTCAGCACAGTACTTCTCTGCTGTATCATTGCGTTGGCGTCTCGTTATTCAGACGGACCTGAGGTCAGAAGCGATCCGCAAGATCCTAATACGGCCGGTATGGTATTTCTCGAGCATGCTGAGGCATTAATTCACTACGACCTGAAATGGCCTAGCATCACGACTGTGCCGTGTCTAGCCATCATGGCGACCATCTATGTGGTGAGCATAGTGCGGCTTTTTTTACGACAAGGCTACCACTTCTGACATCTGCGCAGGCCATTGGGTCAGATGCTGCTGGCTGGCTTCATCATGGCATGGCAGCCAGGCTGATTATTGACATGGGTCTCAATATAGACGCTAGTTCAGTCGATGGGTCGACTTGCCTGAGTACCCAGGATATCCGGCTCCGGCGCCAGATCTACTGGACATTTTATTGCTCGGACAAATTGTTCGCATCATATACGGGTCTTGTCTGTACCATGCTAGTACGTTGCATATATGGCAAGACCACTCCTCCATTGCAGTATCTCTCGTGCTGTATTAGAATTTACCTATATATATGTTTCTCACACCACATTTGGTTGCAGGAATTCCAAGGGTCCATTCCCCTTCCTGAACCATTCGTATCAGACGAAGGGCCTCCAGGAAAAACTCCGAACGCAGTGTCCAAGAGTACCTTCCTGGCCTGTCTTCATCGATTATTCAGCACTCAGTGCCAGATATCAGAAAGTATTCTCAAAGGATTTTAAGTGAAGATCTCATCGCTCTATGTTTAGTGTACTAATGAGTGGAAAAGATATGCTCCGAAATAGACGACGAATTATAAGGACAAGCAGTCTATCTTTGACTCATGCCTCTTGGCACTTCAAGGCTGGATGTTCTCTCTTCCGAAGGACCTGAGAATCAGGCCTAGAGACAGAAGTGACCATCTTAGTTCCTCACTACATGTCTTTATTCTCTATATGGTATATCACACGTCTATCATCCTTCTTGCTAAGCCCTTGGTTTTAGCAAAGGTTTTCTAAGGCCTAGTCTATGCACATCTGAGCGACTCTTCAAAGCTACCAGAAGATTTGGAAGACGGGCAATACGCCTATGCCACAAAGCTGCCACCTAAATATGTCTCATTGGAAACTTTTATCGGAAAAGCTTTAGCAGCTTCCGAAGAAGCCCGTTGACGGTAACACACAGTACTTTGATGGCCTGCCTTGTGAAAATGTATCTGGTCGATAAGGATGTCTTTCACGTGACGAGTTGTACTAACGCAGAGCTAACATCTTGCATGTTGACCTTTCGTGAATTATCTGACTCGTGGACCCCTCCGCGGCGATGCTAGCAGGTTCTCACTCAAGCTGTCGAGAATGCAAAAAAAGAAGTCAAAAAGAACAAAGGCTTTGGAACAAATATGATTTCTACGAGCAAACCCAATGGAGAAAGCATTTTTTCATGGGTCCCTGACACGTCTTCTGAGCCCTCTCAGCACTGGCGAGAAGGCAGTTCCGTTCCCACACCTAAAGAATTGATCAAGGTCAATCACATTGCGTATGGTGTCTCCAAAACTACAGACTCCGTTACACAATGGAATGCAGACCAGGTCATACCCTTGGTGGATTTTGGTCAGCTAGATTGTACTACTTGGGGCCCCCTTCCTTGGGACTACATCTTAGAGCCATTATGCCTAGATTTCCAGTGGTATAATTAGGTCCAGAACTTTTAACTCTGACCCAGACAATTCGTGCTACGATCTTGCCAATGCCTGCCTTTCCATTCGCAAGGTTCTGCATCTGCATGGCAATATCCTCGAGTCTTACTTTGTTGATCAAAGGTTCAATGGTACCATTTTCAATCAGGCGCATCGCTTCCAATGCAACGCTGTGATCACCCATCAAGCTACCGATCAAGTGAAGATTCCTCTCGACAAGAGCGTGTATGAAAAGTTTGAGAACCAAACCTCGAGGGACCCTTAAGAGAAAGAAAATTAGAATTGTTTGCCTGATCGGTCGAAATTGCTTCACTCACCTGACGTAGACGATTGTCCCTCTATCGCATACGCAATCCTCTAAGTTGTCGAATGCTGAAGGCGCATTGGTGCAAATAATGACGGCATCTGCGGCGCGATGCATGGTTTGGTCCCTCCTGAGCTGCGAACAGGCAATTCTCACAGAAGTCAGAAAATCTGCCCAGTCGCTGCCCTGGGGATTACTTGTTTGAGGCACATTAAGAAGAACGTCGGCATGTCGCTCGTAGACTGCCTATCGCAGCATGTCGTTCTTAGTTTTTACATTGATGCTAATCACTTTGGCCCTTATCACACTTCGTGCTATGTGCTCGGCCAGATGGCTGATCGAGCCCGCTACGCCTGACACGATTACAACATCTATGGCTCCGATATTCGCAGCACGCAGTGCGGTCAACGCTGCCGACCCTGAGCATAATGAAACGCATAGAGAAGCCGGGTTGGTAATATTCTCGAGTATGTTTTTCGGCAAGAACATCAGGCAAGATGTCGGCATAGTGGCATACTCCTGAAAAGGTTCCAGTGATATTTTTGGGCGTATTACGTTGTTGCGAACATGATGTGGGCAGCTTTGATAGACAATAATGACATAAGCCGCAGGAAGTCCCTAAGTAATGTAGGCCGGCGGTCCGAACGAGAAGAAAGGACTCGTGAGACTTGACTATTATCCCGATACCTTCGTGGCCTGCAATGTGGTTGTGGCTTGGGAATCCGGGTTCTGGCCCAATAGAGAAACAAGTGTCCTAATGGTATATTCTAAGGTCAGAAAGCGCTTAGGTCATGAAGTTTATCCAGACTGCATGGAGGTGAACACGAGGTCGATGACTGTGGAACTTACACTGTAGCAGATGTCAGTGTATCATACCTTGATCATCGATTCCCCAAGAGATGGCTCGCGGATCGGGATCTTCTGTAGTGAGATGTTCAGAGACTTCCCCATCAAGGGTGTGATAGTCGCTCTTTGCATCCGAGCGCCATTCAAATCTGAGATCTAAGAAGGGCGTCTACTTGCGCCATAGCTTGTGAATTTTTCAACATCACTACCACATGTTGACTTGAGTTCATGACTTGGTTCAGAACCAGATGATGCATATGCAAAGTCATCCAAGGAGCCATATGGCTCATAAGGTGTTGAATTCATAATATTCTTTGCTAAGCTCGAATGCGAGGTTTTGTCGATTCATTACTGCATAAGTCGATGAGTGAAGAATATCTATATGCCAATTATGATGACATGAGTTGAGTATCGACGAGGAACAGGGATTGAGTGCTCGTTGAAACCGATGTTTACTACATTCCGGCTTTTTGTCCATCGTATTTAGTCCTGAGAATAATCGAGGAACGCGAGTTCCGGAATTCGTACGACAGATGCGGGCTCAGTAGTATTCCTAGTGCTAAAGCTAGCTTGATATCCGTCACACACTAGCCTAGTCAGCAAGATAGGAAAGGATATTCCGCCCCTGCATGTATTGTATAAACACAGCGAAAATTTGGGCGGGAAACGGTTGCCATTCATCCCAAATCAATTCCTTTGCCATTTCGGGTACATCCAGACACAGAATGGGTGAAGAGTGCCATTTAGCGGAGTTGTCATCACGTTTGACTCTGGAAGAGAAGCTGTCTCTTTTAGCCAGCGAATCGCAATGGCGAACCGCAGCTGTGCCTCGTTTACAGATTCCTTCTGTCAAGGTATGAGAAACCCCGACTGATATTTCGTCGCATCCCATCGTGCCACCAATCTGACTAATTTTGTTTGTCGATCTCCGATAGCCCTTCGGGAGCCAGGGGTGAGATTTTCGGCGAGAACGTTCCCGCCGCGTTTTTCCCGAGTGGCGTCAGCCTGGAATCGACGTGAGACACGGGGCTTCTGGCGGAGCTCGGGCATCATTTGGCTGAGGAGGTATGGTATAGTTACGCTTCAAATACACCCTCTCTCTGATTCTTGTGCTTCATGCTCACACGTCGGTACATGTGCAAATCCAAGTCTGCTTCCATCATTTTGGCACCTACCATGTGCATCCACCGTCACCCATTAGGTGGAAAAGATTTTCAGTCTTTTAGCGAAGATCCATATCTCACCGGAAGGCTGGCCGCAGCACATGTGAAGGGTCTGCAATCGAGGAGAATTGGTGCCTCACCAAAGCACTTCGTCGGTAAGAGTCTCAAGCATCTCAGCTACTGACCCGGCGTTACTCGTTTTGAGCTGACCACAGTTTACTTTTTCTCGTTTAAGCAAACGACCAAGAAACAAAAAGTTTCAAAGTCAATGTCCAAATCGATGCACGCGCTCTGCGAGAAATCTACCTACTTCCCTTCCAGATGGTTGTCCGGGACGCCAATCCATGGTGCATGATGACAGCTTACAACAAAGTAAACGGAACTCATTGCGATACCTCAAAAGATCTTTTGATCGATATTAACCGCAAGGAATAGCAGTAGGATAGTGTCTTCATGAGTGGTTAGGGAGGAACGACCTCCACCATTAAGTCCATCAACAATGGTCTCGATCTTGAGATGCCCGGCCCACCAAGCCGAAGACCGGCCAATGCTCTTGCAGAGCCGCTAAATGATGGCCAGAGAGATTTGAGACAGATCGATCTCATGGCTTCTCCCATTCTCTGGCTTATTCAGCGTACCGTGGGCCCCGATGCGCAAGATAAGGCAGAATACTGTCGGGACATGGATGACCCCAAGCTCAATACACGCGCTTTCTTTCGGCGTGCAGCGGCTGCTGGAATAGTCATGCTAAAAAAAAACAGAAAATGCGCTTCCCTTGCGACCTGACAAGTCCATTTCCAGGATTGCAGTCCTTCGCCCGAACGCTACAAGGATCGTGGCTGGTGGGGGCGGCAGCTTATACATTAAAGCTCCTTATTAGACGTCTGTCTTTGATTCTATGAATGACTACTACGCGATTCAGAAGAACATTGAAATATTGTTCCAGGAGGGTGCGAGAGTGAATCGATAAGTGCCCACCGCATCGGCTTCTGTGGCACGCGATCCTGACACGGGGCGGAGTGGAGCACTTCTCGAGCATCATTATACGTTAAAATAGTGCTGTGCACACATTCAGAGAGCTTCAAAGTTGCGCATCCCACCTGACCACTGACTTACAGGTTAGAAGTTACATAAATACAGCTTTGGAGTTGCTATGCTTCCGATTTGGAGACACGGGCGGGCGGCCTCTGGAGAGCGTCTATCGCACCAATCAACTACCTCACCAGCTGTTTGGGACAGCCTCTAATTGGGTTCACTCGCCAGCCCCCGGCCCAGCCCAGTTTCATGATGTGACCCCGGGCCGGCTGCACTGCCCGTGCCATTGCACCCCCTGCAGGATGGCATTGAACCCTATCATCTGGAGGTCTGGCACACCAGATGCGGCATTATCTGCTTCAGCCTCGCTGAGGTCCTGGCAAAGACAACAGCATGATTGAAGAAATTTAGAGACCTTGATCAACGCATAACAGCTCCTTCTCATTTTCCAATGAAAAATCAGATGGAACTCTGCTTGCAGTGCCTACTACGACGTAGTTCGGCCAGTTTACAAAGTCCCCTGGGTTGCGGTAACTGCGCCTTGTGACCCCGCCTCAAAAACGGGCATACCGATTTTTTGTATCCAGGATGGGCTGCATCGTGAGGCAACCATCAGATCATGGCCATCAAAGTAGCCAACGGTCGATCAAATCGTATATAAATTGGCTTTTCACCATGTGGCGGCTTCCGATTGACCTATTTGCAGGACATGAGTAATTAACACCAACACATTCACATCGATAGCTAAGAGCTCACAAGAAATACATTGTATATTATACGTGACAAGAGTTCTTGATCTATTTAAACTATTTCGAAGAACAGGATTCTCTCTTGTCCTATCCAGCCACACTAGACACAATGGATTACAGCACGAAAAACTCGCAGCGCCCATCTCACACCAAGAGTGCCTGGGACCCTGATGTCGTACTCGAACTCATACATCCCATGCGAGGGTGCTATAGATGCACTGGATATGCTCCCTCAAAGGGGAGGAGATGTATGAACCAGGTTGGCTCGTTTGGAAACGGACGAGCGATGCTTGACAGACTCAGCAGAGGGGACATCAATGAAGCCATTAGGTCTCCGGATATGGAAGACGCTGCGTGCTTGACGTTATGCTATCTACACAAAGACCAAGCCGGCGATGTTTCAAGACGATGGTTATTGTTGTTAAAGAAATGGGCTTCACAGAATGGCAGAGCGCCATCCGCCTCGAGATACTCTTCAACAAAAGCAAATTCAAGACCTTCCGTCGCGCCTACCTGGAAGACAGAGTCCGGAGAGTTTGAAAATGTCCGATTCAACCAGGAAGATGATCTTCATCAAAGTATTGAGGATCTGCTTTCAGAGCAGCTAGGTCAAAAAAGCCACGAGAGCAAAAGACTGAGAGCGCAATTACGACTTTTGGCCAAGATACTGGCAGAGAGAGAGCGGCAAGAGCAGCTGAAGCGCGAGCAAGAAGCCTGTGATGAGAAGGAACGGATGCAGAAAGAGAAAGAAAAACACGAGCGCGAAGCCCGCAACAAGGCCGAAAGCGAACGAAAAGAACGAGAGGCGAAGAAAGAGCAGCGGGAGAGGACAGCTCAAGAAAAAGCTGCACGAGAAGCCGAAGCCTGGGCTCGGTCCTGGGAGCAATACACTGATGCGTGGGATAATATTAAGAATCCCAAATCCAAACAGGTGAGCCGTACCATTGGGCATGCCCCGAGCAATGATGCTGGATGTGTCAGTACTAAATTGAGACTTAGTCCACTGTTGAAAGGGATATTCCTTGGCCCGTGAAATCTGGGCGGTTCTTGGACGTCAGCGCCAAGAGTGTTTGGGAGTTCTTCAAGAGTGCGCCGCCCAAAGACTTAGTGGATACTGCAGAATGTAGACTCAAGTTCTTTAACGCGGAGAATAGGAAGTGGCATACAGATAAAATATTGCAGCAGTTTGGGACTGACATCATGGAAGGGGAATGTAAGGAGGCGATGAACATGATTGCACAAGTGTTAGTCCAACTGAGACAAGCGGCACAAAGAGATAGAAAGAGTTGACTCATAAACTTAATATATGTTATTGTATATTTCCCCACAACTTGTAGCAGCTGCAGTGTGTTATTCTTAAGTGAGAGCGACTCCTCAAGGTTTACTTATTAGTTATAAAGATCATGTCAGTGTGATTCCCCCGTGAAGACCCTTTAAACCAATGTAGTAAGAAAGACTATAAAGCTATACATCCCCAGGTGAAACCTTCTGGAAAGATTCTAGAATATGATAGCAGAGGTGCCACCCGAGCGCTGAGCGCTGGGCGCCCATGCAACTGGCTGACGACTAGGGACCCCACCCAGTGCTCAGAAGATGTCACTAGTCTAGACTACGTAGTCACACAGCAATGCATATACGAGCTGTGAGGCTTACCATCGTTAGATGCAAGCTGAAATCAGATCATCTGGCTGATCATCCATGATTACTACGTGTTGAATCTGCTTAACTACGGATCCCCTCTCTTGCACAACCATGTCTAGCTAAGTTGTTCACCTCCGCGTTAGATCGGAAATATATGCTTAGTATACAGTAAATAGTATAGGCATATTTTACTGTTAGAGCCTGGTACTCACCCATAAAACGGGTTCCACCCTCTCAAAGGCTGAGAATGCCCAGCAACTAGCTATCTGACGGGGGTAGTTGGGAAGAGCTTCATCCATACTAAGTGTCGCAACGAAGTTTATTTGAATCCTGAATGTTCGCTTTGTAATTCAAGACAACAATTGCCTTCAAGTCATTAATCAATCAACCAAATCTTTCCCAATTCTTGTAACATCTACTCTTACCTTGAAATGACTAGAATCGTTCTCGCCGGTGGCAGCGGCTTTATAACTACCCACGTCCTTAAGACTCTCCTTAAGGGACGGTTCGTATGCATTTGAGACTGAAAAACCTTGCCGTTGCATGACCGCTGACGCATTGAATCATAGGCACTCTGTTGTTACAACTGTTCGAAATTCCGATAAAGCGGAGATTGTCAAGAAGGCCCATTCCAATTTCGGGAGGGACCAGCTCGATTTTGCTATTGTTATTAATGTTACGCAGCCTAGTGCTTTGAGGCTTCCGTCGCCTCCGAGCCCCCATCCAAGGCCGTCATCCATATAGCAAGCCAGTTTCACTTCAATGTTGCTGAGATTTAGAAGGATCCCTTTGATCCTGCCGTTGTTGACAGAATTGGAATCATAAAGCGCCATTGCTAACGACACCCCTACTGTAGAGAGGGTGATATGTAATATACCATTCTTGTGAATTGTCGCCGCCTTATTACTAAACCAGGAACAGGTTGTCACGTCGTCTTTCGGTGCCATGGTGAGTCCGTTCAAGGGCTGGTGGCTGTATCACACGTATTCCGAAGAGAATTGGAACCCTTGACGGAAGAGCAAGCCGTCGAGAACCCTTCCAACGGCTATGAAGGTCAGTCGATCCCTAGGCGTATGTGTTTCGTTGAAGCACGAGTGCGGCAAACGCCCGGGTTTCAGCAAGCAAGACGTTCGACAAGAAGGCGGGTTGGGACTTTGTAGAGAGGGAGAAACCCTACTTTATCATCTCCACAATCAACCCGCCCTGGTCTTTGGCCCAGCTGTGTAGCGCCGTGACTCTCTCAAGTCCTTGAACACCTCCAACCAGTACATCATCAGTTTCATTGCGGGACCGCGCCCAGAGGAGCTTCCTCTCATGATGGTTCAGTGCTCCCCTAGCCCCATCAATCATCTCCGCTGGTCCACCCGCTGACTAGCAATGATCTTAGAGCCCTATCTGGGTAGACGTTCGAGAGGCGGCCTTGGCCCATGTCCTAGCCGCTGAGACGGTTGATGCGGCCAACAAGCGATTCTTCGTCATAGCCGGCTACTTTACGCCCCGTGAAGCTGTGGAAATCATCCGCAAGAATTTTCTCTAGCATCACTCTGTGTTGCCAATCGAGTCGGCCAGGGGAGGTGGTGAGTGTCAGAGCTTATCCGGTATCGGATTGCAATGGGGTAAATAAGGGCTGGAATCATCCATATGTGATAGAGAGTAGGGCTCAGCGCGTCAATATTAGCACCCTAGCACTCCCTGTAACACCGCCGTATGACAGTGGGTTTGTTCGGAGATATGGTGGTGGTCAGTCTTGGTGTGAACAGCTTGCTAGATATACCCGAGGGTGACGTGTTCAAACCCGACAACAAGCGAAGCACCGAGATCCTTGGTCTCAAGTACCGGTCTGTCGAGAAATGTATCGTAGATATCATCCGGTTCATCAATTCGATCGGACAGTAAAGCCCTGTGCGACCCACATACTGGAAAGACAAAATGTGTGCAGCCGGTCAACTCAGTCAAGCGAGGGGCAAAAGTGTGTTTGGTGCTGTGTAGTTGCCTTCAATTAGAGCAGTAACGAGACAAAATAGAAAGGTTAGACAAAGAATTTTACATTAATGAACTCAAATACGTTGGGCTCAATGTCATGCCAAACCTATACATTACTACATTTTATTCCGTTCAACTCATAGCCGTTTGGTAATCCCATTATAGATCTGTTTCAACAGCAGCTATATGTTGGACAAAGCTGACCTTGGGGAAGGCTTCATCGTAGGAAGATTACTTATGACCCATGCCGATACAGTCCTTAGCCAAAACAGTCCCAACATACTCTCTTTCACAGCTCACTTTGGCTCCACTCTAACCTAGTGGAGCACAAGCTCACTATCTGTACGTACCTGACCTGCCGACAGGTACTGACCCATGTTGTAAGCAAGGATATATATGTATCCATAAATTTACTAACCTAACCTACCAAAGTAGGCAGCCATTTCCACGTAAGGGTGTCGGTTGGCCCAAGCCACAAGCAGTTCAGCCCCATGGTTAGCCCAACCCCGCTCCTCGTCAATTCGCAACACTGTCTGGGACCTGAAGATGTTCCTGGCGCTGACCTCAGCACTGCAAAGCACCATGGTCATCATCGTTCCGTGCTTGCCGTCCACCCTCTATCTACTTTGGGAGGTGTCGCCATGCGGCTTCTGAAAGGTGAAGATGATGGTCGTGTCGTCTTGACAGAATGGCCTCCATCAAAGACACCCAGGTATGCAATCTTGTCCCATACGTGGGGCGTTCCAGATCAAGAGGTCACCTTCCAAGACATCAATGACGGCACGGCAACAAACAAAACAGAGTATCGAAAGATTGAGTTTTGTCGGAAGCAAGCCGCCGCCGATGGCTTGCAGTACTTCTGGGTGGACACTTGTTGCATCAACAAATCCGATCTTAGCGAGCTTTCAGAAGCAATCAACTCCATGTTTCGATGGTATCAAAACGCGGCCCATTGTTATGTTTACTTAGTAGAGGTATCTGATGAAGCTGATCAGTCTGCCGCGTCATGGCAGGTGCAGTTTCAGCAGAGCATATGGTTCCGTCGAGGTTGGACACTTCAAGAGCTTCTTGCCCCTGCATCGGTCAAGTTTTTTTTCGGTCAATGGCGCATTTCTGGGCGATAAGACATCTCTGGAGAACGAGATCCATGGCGTCACCAAGATCAAGATTCCTGCACTTCGTGGAAACCCACTTGACCATTTTTCCATCCACGAGCGGATGAATTGGGCTGTTAACCGCCGAACGACTAAAGAAGAGGACGCAGCCTATTGTCTGCTGGGCATATTCGATGTATATATTCCATTGATATACGGTGAAGGAATGTCCAACGCGACCAGTCGTCTGTTAGAGGCAATCGATAAGCGCAGTGGCACCCCTAACGTTTCATGTCGTCCTCAGAAAAGATACCACCTGGCACCAGAAGCGAGCCCAGAAGCTCACCTTGTCGTCCCCTTCGGACAAAACGATGAGTTCGTTGGTAGAGAGTCCATCCTTACAGAGCTTGTCGACAAGATCCTTCCGAGGTCAAACAATAACGATTGCCAGCGAACGGTGCTCGAAGGGCTTGGCGGCGTCGGCAAGACACAGATCGCACTCGAAGCCGTATACCGTGTTCGCGATCAGGACCCGACCTGTTCTGTCTTCTGGGTTCCCGCCGTTACACTAGTAACGTTTGAAAACGCCTACCGGGAGATTGGTGAAGTGCTAGGAACGTCTGGCATGGACAACGACAAGGCGGACATCAAGGCACTAGTAAGGAGAGCTCTTGAGAAGAGCGTCACAAACTGGCTTTTGATCATTGACAATATTGATAATATTGGCTTATTAGTCGAAGGAGGCCTACAAGACTGCATCCCATTTAATCGAAAGGGATCAATTTTGTTCACGACGCGTAACCACGAAGTGGCTGTGAGGCTTGATATTTTTAAGAAGCATACCTTTTTAGTCAACGACATGAGGGAAGAAGAGGCGCTTGAACTGCTGCAGAACGGACTGGAGGAACGACAGTATCGAGACACCCAAGCCACCAAAGACCTTATCGAGCAATTAGTGTGTCTGCCCCTCGCCATCAAGCAGGCGTCTGCCTATATGGCACGAACACGCATCACGACCGTCAGATATCTCGAGCTTTGTCGTACATCTGACGACACCCAGATAAGGCTTTTGAGCACGGACTTTGAAGAGCGGCGGCGGTACTCGAAGGATACAAACCCTATCACTATGACATGGCTAATCTCGTTTCAGCATCTAGCTCAGTCCTGCCTACTAGCAGTAGACTACCTGAAGTTTATTTGCTTGCTTGCTGAGAAGGATATCATGTTTTCTCTGTTACAACCCGGAGAAGATGAGCAAGCAAAGGACGAAGCCGTTGGGGTTTTAGAGGGATACGCATTTATCTCCGTACGAGAGCATGGCGACTCATTTGATATACACCGGTTAGTACGACTAGCAACACGAAACTGGATTAAGAATGAGTGGGAGGCGTGTTGCACGAGAGTAATACAACAGCTTGCCAAGGTATATCCAGTCCCAAAGCATGAGAATCGACAGGTATGGATGAGGTATATGCCGCATGCTATAGTGACTATAGAACTGTACCATAAGTGCACAGACAAAGTAATAGCAGCCGATTTTCTTTTTGTTGTTGCAGATAGTTATGATGAGGTTGGGAAATACGACGAAGCGGAGCAGATACATCGACAGGCACTCGAGCTAAAGAAGTCGGTACTAGGTGTTAAGCATCCGTCGACACTAGATAGCATGAACAACCTGGCTCTTGTGCTTAGACGTCTAGGGAGGTACGACGAAGCGGAGCAGATGCATCGACAGACACTCGAGATAAGGAAGTCAGGATTGGGTCTTGAGCATCCGTCGACACTAAATAGCATGAACAACCTGGGTCTTGTGCTCGATAATCTCGGGAGGTATGACGAAGCGGAGCAGATGCATCGACAGGCACTCGAGCTAAAGAATTCGGTGCTAGGTCTTGAGCATCCGTCGACGTTGTCTAGCATGAACAACCTTGCTCTTGTGCTTAGATGTCTAGGGAGGTACGACGAAGCGGAGCAGATGCATCGACAGGAATTAGAGCTAACGAAGTCGGTATTTGGTCTTGAGCATCCGTTGACACTAGATAGCATGAACAACTTGGCTCTTGTGCTCGATAGTCTAGGGAGGTACGATGAAGCGGAGCAGATACATCGACAGGAATTAGAGCTAACGAAGTCGGGATTGGGTCTTGAGCATCCGTCGACATTGTCTAGCATGAACAACCTGGGTCTTGTGCTCGTTAATCTAGGGAGGCACGACGAAGCGAAGCAGATACATCGACAGACACTTGAGATGAGGAAGTCGGTGCTAGGTCTTAAGCATCCGTCGACATTGTCTAGCATGAACAACCTGGCTCTTGTGCTTAGACGTCTAGGGAGTTACGACGAAGCGGAACAGATGCATCGACAGACACTAGAGATAAGGAAGTCGGGATTGGGTCTTGAGCATCCGTCGACATTGTCTAGCATGAACAACCTGGGTCTTGTGCTCGATAATCTTGGGAGGTACGACGAAGCGGAGCAGATACATCGACAGACACTTGAGATGAGGAAGTCGGTGCTCGGTCCAGACCACCCTTCAACCATCCAGAGCCATAACAATCTACAGGATTTATTAGATTCTCTCAATGTCGGAAATGAAGACTTTTCGATAACAGGTTCTGACGAGTCAGAGGGCAAAGGTGGTGCGATATTATAAATGCTTATAGCTGTGGACGTAAATAATTCGAATCGAAATGATATTACCTCTATAAAGCCACAAAATCTAGACAATTTTGCCACGCCATACCTTAATAACAAGCAAATCGAGAAGTTGATTAGGAAGTTGGAGAATGTAGCGACAATACATTCAAACAAAAAAGGTCTTTACTTGCAATAAACTGCTCTTAACTAATGTCAGAGCATACGCTCACCATTAGGTACCTGAATAATAAGCGATCGACCTTGAAGCATTGTCACGAACGCAGGCCAGGGACGCAGCCTTGAAACAGGCCGTTGCACAACTGAGACAGGAACTCCGGAAGGCCACATGATAAATCACTCGGGATCACGGTGAGCCAGCAGTGAGCTTAGACGTAAGATTGCCCAAGACTTCCTGTGAGCCAGCAATGACCCAACCAGCATCAGTGAAGGAATTGATGGATATAATAAACCCTTTTCCTAGTGTATATAGTCATTCATCACTTCAGTAATCAATACAAGCAGCTATTTTACCCATAGGTGAAGCATATCAGGCTTGGACGACTACATTTATTCATTATATTTACTTACTTTACCCAAGCATATCTCTGTAGTCTTACCTCTGTAGTTAGCATACCCTGCTAACATAAATTTCATCGTTATATTGTTCGTGTTTAGCAACGCGACAGTACGATCGTCATAATTTTGTCGTAAAGAAAAAAAGATCAAGAACAAGGAAACCTTCAACGACAAGATGCTACCCAAAACCTGTTATACAATCTCTTTTCAGAATACTGTATAGTAAATTCAATCAATTAAAAGCTGAATTAAAGGTTTTAAAAGCTGAAAGCGTCACTCCAGTGAGTAGCGATGGCAGTAGAATATACTACCATGATTTGGGAGTCATTTGTGTATATACAAGTATATCCTGCGTAAAACATATTCTAAAAGTTGTAAAGATGACCAGAGGCACTGACAGCAGGTCCAGAAAGGGGTCAGTACTTGGCGGCAGGTCAGGTATAGGAGGTGAGTAAGTTAGGAGACTGTTTTTGCTAATGACTGTAACATGAGAACGCGTGCACCAAAGATGACAGCGCTAGTGACCTTCAAGCGTGAGTAGTTTCTTGCCTCTCTGCCCGCGCCAAGAGTTTGTTGCTACAAAAAGCTTAGGACACCCTTGGGTCAGCCAAGCCCACTTCCACAAGAAAGGAACGGTCACCTCCCAACCCAAAGGATCCCATGGCTGTCCCCAGACGATGAGGATCGCTCTCGGCGTGGCCTTCATACATGTTCATGAGGTCGCCGCACAGCTCGTCCTCGTCTATGAGACAGGTCGCTGTCGCACTCAAGACGTTGTCGCGCATCCGTGGCAGAGGGAACATATCGATCCAGGGATGGTGCGGCAGGGTCAATTCTAGGCGTGTCGGGCGAAGGGTTTCTGGGCAGGTCAGGAGAGGCGCAACCAAGCCAGGAGGGTTAGGGCCATGCTGGTTGACGGGCGATATAAGACCGTGCTGGCATAACCCCTCGATTGGAAAACCGAGGGCATCGACATTACACGCCATTGCGCTTGGAACATTAATCTAAATGAGGATATGTAGGTGGATAGGTCGTGGGTCGCGGATGCTGTACGCCTCATACGCTTTGCGAACAAAGTTGATGAGTCGTGCCCGCCTCACGGCGCACGCCAGGAGTGAAGCTCCTCCTGCTCCTCGTAAGCCGTCGATTCGTCAACGAGCTGATCGCCGCTTCCGGTGTTAATGCACCCACACATTGAGTATTGTGGCGTTGCCTCGATACCACTTTGTGCAGCCAATCCGGCTATACAGTGGTTCCAGTTTTCCTGTTCCCAGCAGATTGTGGGCTTGATCATTCCGCCGCCCTGTTTTATACCAGGGCCACGTTGGCTACAGCTTCAGCACGGTGGTCGAGTGCTTACGGTGAGCTCGCTGGTTCAGGCGGTTCTGCACATTTCTGCTAACGGCTGCGCTTGCCACGCCGGTCCAATCATTGGCCGCATAGCGAGCATCTGGAAGTTGCAGTGCCTTTCTTCTTCCTACCACCATCTTCGGGGATGATACTTGACCAACTGACGATTTTATTAGGCGGGACATTGAATCCGGACTATCAAATGGCATATGAAAGAGCTTCTGTAGTACAAAAGGGGTTTCAGACGATGGATGAGCCAATGGATATATACCATTTGCAGTTTACTGACATACATCGCTTTCGAGCTTAAAACTAACCTAACCTTAACCTAAACCTTAGCTCGATCCGAAATCATCAAGGTTCAAGGGCCAATCCTACAGTATGCACGGTCTTAGCTGCACGGTCTTAGCTACTATATAGTCTAGACTTAGTTGAAGTTAGGCGAACGCTGTCGAATACTCACAATTGTGCTGGATTTCCATTATTTATCTGCTGAAAACCTAGTCAAAGGCGCAAATGCTACATTATGAGAACTCCCCGCACCATCAGACGGCAAATCCATTGACTCGATTGGTACCTAGGCACACCAAACGATCTCTTGTAATGCACATCTATTTGGCAATCCAACGAGCTTGAATATCAATTGATTATATGTACGCGAATATATGTTAATCAAGAGTCTCAGATGCCTAATATATCTCGGTTCGTGTTTACACATTCACGTCTATAAATTTATCTCGATGTCTTCCACAGCACCGAAACCCATAGTTACCTACGAAGCCTCAAAGAACTGGAAACCATGGATCATAGAGCTGCGCAGACACGCCGAAACTTTAGGTTTCCGGAATATCATTGATTTCAATGGCATTGACAGCCCCGACAACTTAAAGACCAGATGAAGTCTTTGAAGAATTTGACCAATTGAAGTTAACATCTATATCACCGTTTATTCGGGACGCTGCCTTGTTGCCCTTCGAAAACCTGAAGTAGAGGTACCAGGTCCTATGAGAGTCAGGAAAGATATACGAGCAATAACTCTTGACAGACAAACGTACGGAATACCGGAAACATTCGACGCTTCTGCCTCATAATGCAAAGAGATTTAACGAATGGACCCAAAAATACCAAGAGATCATAACCAGAGAATACGCTCCAAAACGTGCCAGAAACGGATTCAGTCCAAACCTAGGCTAATGGCCATGTCATTGTTGTGGCTAGTGTGATAGAAATATGGGCGGCAAAGTTCAAGCTAATAGGAAGAGAACACTTTCGGAATACAACACTATCATATCGAGTCGTAGGAACAGAGTTATTGGAAAATTAGACAACCATCTGCGCTCACAGTCCCTTCTTGAAATAAGTCAAAGGAGCCCATCTAGCATATCAAAGCGAAGAACCCGAGTCAGACTGACGGGCAGCACCCTTAGACCCAGCTCAAGGAAGGGCAGTTAGCTTCGCATCAACCAGGTCCTCAAAATTGCAAATCAATTACAGGAGGAGGGACTCTCATGCAAATCGAAGCATAGCGCGGCGGTGTCGACAAAACAAGTACTTCGAGAGGAGGTATTCTGGTGAGTTCGGAATGTGTACCTTTCCGATTCCCAGATGTCACTCCCGACCTGTGCCGTGGGATCATAGTAGGCTTGTGTAAAAGACTGGAGAAAGCTTTATGGGCATATGACGTTCGCATTGGAAATGTGCCAGAACAGGATCTAGTCAAGGCAGTTGCGAATTATCAGAGTATAAAGTTCGAGGGTAGACCGGGTCTCCTTCACGACTTACGTTCACTCATTTTTGTTAGGCCACCACATAAAGCGCAAGTCATGTCTCACAGTCTTAGTTGTTCGTAGCACATCTTATATAGTATAAAAAAAGTTTAGTTTAACACAGGGGGGCTCTGCACGCCACGTTCATGGCGTCATTTGGAAGCGCTCGCCGGCCTATTGATAGATATCAGCTTTGTATTGCCATTTGTGGTTTATTGTTGTGAAACTGCTGTTGATAATCAATGGGTCTTATTAAAATGCTTTGGTCATTACTTCATTCAATCATGTAACAAGGTGGCTTTCTACCACTCTAATCTATCATCGCATACTAGTCCCACATCGAAGCGCTCATGGCCTTTCCATACCTTTGCCGCTGAATTGCAGCTGGCAACAATTGTCCTCAAGTCGCTGATCATACCTCCAGGACCGCTTGCGTAGACCGTGGTTCGACCGCGCACCGTGTTCTCCACGAAACTGTTGACCTTCTTTTCCAGATCTGGATGTATATGTTGGTCTTCCTCGCCTATCCTTCGTACGTCCCAGGAGCGCAATGAAGAGGATTCTGAACCAACTTCCTTGATGCCCTCAGTCTCATTCCCGGTCTTGCCGTCTTGTAGAGATGGCGCTGGACTTTGCTCACGGGTCACAAAAATATGCACCGCGACACCATGCGACTTGCTAGCCGCCCGAATGAGGTCCAGTTCCTGCTGAACCCACTTGATATCATCCTTCTTCCGCACCGCCCAGACCAGTTCGATCCTTCGATCTCGGGCTCCTGGCTCCTGGATCAAACGTAATAATACTGGTAGGACGTAGGTAATGCCCGTACCGCCTGCAATGCAGAGAACATTGACATCGGGTGTTAATGTTTCTGTGATGCTCTCACCATAAGGACCAGTCAATATTACGGGTGTGGTGGTTGCTGTCTTTTCCGAAAGTTTCTTCAATGCGAGATCCGCGATCTTCTTGGTTTCACCTCCCTTAGCTCGAAGTATATATGAGTGGGACACAGTACCGTCTTTAACGACTGGCAGATTAAGCGGCGTAAATGGATGTGACTGCCAGATGCTGCCCTCGGTGAAACAGAGATAGAAATGTTCGCCGATCTGCCAGGCCTCGTGGTTGTGCTTAAAATCCATGCGGAGAATGTCGCCATGTTCGGCATCGGGGAAATGCGTGAGAGTCGCCTGAGCGGCCTGAAAGCCCATGGACCCATCCGACAAATATTGGTAGTGGATCAAGAGAGTCCTGATGTACCGGGCACCTCGGTCAACGAACCAAAGTAGCAAAGATGGCAGCATGAAGCACTTGAGTTGCTCCCAATGGCCCCAGCAAGCACCGATGTAAAGCATCGCGAGCACGTAATGCGCCTTGCGGAAGAACTCGTATCCGGTCAAACGGATTGCCCAAGGCGTGCTGAGCACGAACAGCAAAATAAGCAGTATTATCGCGACGCAGCCCCAGATCATATAGGTCTGTTTGATCCACTCGACGGCGGTGGTAGGCTGAGGTTGATAGAGTACGGCTTCGATAACGACCCAACCGATCGTGTGTACCAAGCCTTGGATGACAATGATGTATCCTAGCCAGCGATGGAGGAAGTTGAAGCTTTGGTATGGTACACCTGTCAAAAGTGACAGTATCGACTCCCTGCTGGATAGCATGACCGAAAGAGGAGTCAAAGCATATGCCAGAACACCAATGCGATCACAGAAGGGCCCCAGGCTACTTCTCGTGTTGTAAAGGCTTGTCTTCTTGACAGGCGTGATCCACTTCTTGTACTCAATTCCAACGAAGCTCCAGATCAACAGATACCCTGCCAAGGATGCCAGGATGAGAACTTGCAGTCGAGTGGTCCGGCCGAATATGGACCGTATCGAGTCGGGGAGAAGATATGATCTTGATGCGGTAGCGAGCGATCTCTTGAGCCTCGACGCAGGACCCGGGTTCACTGCGGCCTTCTCGTCGTCCAAAACTACTGCGTCGGCTTGTTTGGAAGGCCAAAATCTTCGACCCACTGCCCATGCGAAGACAATACCGGCGATGGTGCACCATAAGATCCCCGAGTATAACATGGCCAAGTCATGGTTGTGGTAGACCTGATCCAAGTACTCGCATGAGCCAGCATCGTTGGTGCATGGGAGGGCACGATCGTAATAACCCCAGTGAGGCTCTAAGGACGTTGCATCACTGTAGTTCTGGATATGGCGAGCCGTTATTTGGTTCTCGAAGGTCGCCATTTTGTCTGGTCCAGTGTGAAATGGATGGAGACAAGATGAGATGAGAGGAAGGCGACTATGCTGGTTGTATAGAACCAGAACCCGAGAACATGGAAGGTTTGGACCGTCTCAACATGGCACTGATCGTCCCGTGGAGAGGTGGCCACTCGATATATGAGCCGTTTGATCGGTCCATGGTTCTGGATATTCTCCATCCGCGAAACACGCAATTACCAACCGTCAGTCACTTACGGGCCACCACAGGCGAAGATGCAGCACCGGCGCCGGGTCCAGATGGTAGAATTGTTGAAACTTGCTCGCCAAGGCCAACGATGCGGGTCTGCGGAGACGGGACCCATCGAAAAAAACATGCTCAATCATTCTCAACCGGGGCCGCTCAGGGTCCAGCACAGACTCTTGGCGAGCAGATTGCACACATCTTGTGCCGTGGTGGCCATGTTTCGTTTCAATTGACGCGGCGAGCTGGGTTAAAATCGCTAGCGGGCCGCAACCAGTTCCTAAGTTAAGGTATTATGGACATGAGGTGTCGATCGGCGAATCTGCCCGCGGCCTCGCATCCACCGTGGAGTTGCCTCTGCTGGACCTCAGTTTGAGTTGGAGTCCAGAAAGCCCACTTCCCGCGGCGCTGGGCTGGCGTCCAGCGTCAAGTCTTGGGATAAGAGGGGAACAGTGCCCACGCAATGTTTCGGCGCGTCATCCTTGATTCAATCTAGGTGACATTACTATTGAAATACGAAGGCTTGGAATCTGCTCCAATCTGCTCTCTTCGCCCAGCTCATTGTTCATCTAAGTCAACCAGCTCGAATAGAACGATCAACAAACCCCAATCATCCAGTGAAAAGGCATCGTCGGGAACTTGTCAGGAATCTATCACAACTGCGCTGTCCCAATAATTAAGCAAACTCAATTCACAAGTTAAGAGCAAAGTTTGGCGGAGCCAAAACACACCAAAAACACCGTCAAAATGGATATGAGTAGCAGTACAAGCAATTCTACATGCCAAGTTTCCGTAAGTCGCGATGAGGATGTCTCTGTAGAGCTGCTGAACGCGCAACTGACATTCGTATACAGATGTTATGGAATTGGTACACCATCGACGCATGCTTCCTCGCAGAGGGATGGCATATCACCACCAGGGGCATGTTCGCCGCAACCTGCATCGGTGTCATTTTACTCGGCGTGCTACTAGAATTCTTAAGACGCATCGGCAAGGAGTACGACGCATTAATTTTGCGACAATTTCAACGGCACATTGCTGCACAAACTGCACTGGCATCTTCCAAGAAGGAACCCCTGGAGCCAGTCTCGTGCTGTGCACCGCCACCGGAAGATGAAATTGAGCTCGCGAAGCCAGGGCCCAGGACGGTCACGTTTCGTGCGACACCGCTTCAGCAACTCATACGGTCTGTGATTCACGCAGTCACTTTCGGCGTCGCATACATCATCATGTTGCTTGCCATGTATTTCAACGGATATATCATCATCTGCATCATTATTGGTGCAGGTATCGGCAAATTTGTCTGCGACTGGATGGTCCACAAGGTGGTGATCGGACTTGACGAAGCAACGAGTTCACCATCTGGTATTGACGAAACCACGGTGTGCTGCGGTTGAGCATGGGGTGTAGATTGGTGTTGAGAAGAGCGTTTGAGATTTTCGAAGCGATTGATTTAAGACCAGCCAAAGACAGCATAAATGAATGATATCACGAACTTACACAACAATCACGAGTATCCCAACGTCAGAGCGCTGAAGTATGCTTTGAACCCACTGACAATCTGCTTTATATTCGGGTGCCGAGCTCATCGTGGATCTATCTTGAATCCATAGCAGTGGTGCCGATTCAGCATGCGGTCCCACATGTGAGAGCAGCCCTAGTATTTATGGACTCTCGTGACTGCTCTGCAAACAGGGCAGCGATATGCATCATCTCCACTGGAAATGCAAAGATCGATGATGCGGCCAATCGGATTGTGTGTTTCGCCATGTCGCAGAATATAGGATTTCCACATATTTTGTAGCATACACCTGCATCATGATTGGGCGATTATCAGCACTACGTTATCACGTACCCCGCGTGGGACCTGGTCGGACATAGAGGCAACTGTACCCCAATCAGGCAAACGTAACCAAATCTCAGACGCTATGGGCTATCTCCCGGCCGCGCCCCTCCCAGCTGGTACATACGAGGCATCGGCAAACAGACTTGATATCACTGGCTGTTGATATGAATTAGATGGGCGGGGAGACACAGCATGCATCTGACATGGTAGCTCTCCATGGATAATACATAGATAAGCTTCCACACAAGTGAGGTTGAACGTATCACAACCACTTGTCTTGTACTTGAGTTCTTAACGTCTTCAATGGACACTGATTGAGACAAAATTATGCTCTTATACTTGTACAATATACAAAATCACGATAGCCCATAGCAACGAATTTCGCCCTGATCATGGGTTACATTCTGATATAGCGCATTGACCCAGGCCAATTTCGCGTCATTGTACAAAACAACAATGGACGGTATTAGCAAGAGTTGGTGGCGGGCGATAGCTTCAGTGCCTGTCTTAGGCTTGGCAATCTTTGGCTTTGCAGTGTTGCTGGTTCTGCGAGAAGCACGGCTGAGATCGAGATTCCACTCAAAGGACTTCAAGAGCAGCAACTCATCATCAGATGAGAAGGTGGACAAGAACAATCCTATCAACGTCTTTCCTCCATCGAGGCGAGTGGCACTAGTCGAGCTATTACCCGCGTCTCATCTGGTGACCAATGCCGTTGCCATTCCTCTGGAGGATCTCAAGAGAAACCAGCTCCCAACCACAAAAGTTCAGCCTCTGGAGCAGAAGAATCTATTCACGTCTACTGGACTACTGACACAGGAGGTAAAGGCGCTGGGTCGATTCCCGAACTACTCCGTCCTAAGCGGCGTCCCGCATCCTAACCCAGCCCCGTCATTTGATATTACCAAAGCCAACTTCAGGCCGTTTCGTCCCTTCAGATGGACATACCACCAAACTATGGGTACGTGCCAAGCATGAGAATGAAATGCCGACACTGATCTTGGAAAATAGCGGTTATGAAGATGGAGCCAGACTACTGGATCGAGTTGGAGCAGAACTACTCCCGACGCATGCAGCAGCGCCTAGAGCTGTGGAAAGAGCACGGAGAGCGAGTCCTGTTCGAGGCTCCCGGCTCCGAGCTGGCCGCACGCGAGCTCATGGAGATGGTGGTGCAGTTCCTTACGATCCGGTACCCGCAATACTTCCAGCTCGAGGACGACAACAAGATCCTGCGGAACCGGCTGCTCGAGACGGCCACCGTGATCGGCTCGATGACTCCCCTCGAGGTGCTCATGCGTAACGTGCCGGAGGACTTCACGGTGATGCTGCGGAGCGAGGAAGACGGCAATTATTACCTGAGAGCTGCCACGGTCTGCAGCTCCGTGGGCTGGAACATCGGATTGCACAAGAACAAGGTGCTGCGGAGGATCCACGACAATGTACCCCACTGGGAGAAGATGGCATTTTCCGTCGACCGGTAAGGCGCTCCGTCACCACGGGTTTCCCTCAAGTTGGCTGGGCACAGAAACCATAGGGCTAACAAGCATGAGCAGCTACTTCACCAAACAAGCCTGCGACGCGCCGATCCAGCGCGGCTCCTGGGGCATCGAGGACTGGGAGGCCTTCTTCTGCCCCGAGGACGTGCCGCGCAGCAAGTTCGATCGCGACCCCTCGTCGTGCGCTATCGAGGATCTGCAGCTGCGCTGCGACTGGCAGACGGTGCGCCGCCTTCCCATGTCCGGCGCCATGATCTTCAATTTCAAGGCCGTGTTCACGCCCCTCGCCGAGCTGGCCAGGGAGCCATATGTCCCGGCGCTGCTGCATAGGGTGATCACGCAGGGAGACGAGAAGTTGATCGAGTACAAGATGGAGAAGCATGTCGCAAATATCGCAAGTGAGTATTGTGAGAAATGGGCGCGGCAACAAGAAGAAGACGGGCTGGTGGAGAAGGACTGGACGGTGGGGACGTTGGAACAGAGCCCGTTTTTCCCAGGCTGGGAAGAGACAGGGGACTGGGGAGCTTGTCCCATGCGGCCAGGTCGGTAGGCTTGTGAGGGTGGAAGCCTATCGCTTTGGGCTGAGTAGCATGTTGAATTGTTCGGATGCTAGTATTGTGCACTACAGTGAACGATAGTACAAGCTGTTTCAACGTTCAAAATAGTCTTGATCCTCGGGCCAAGAGGTTACAAATGTGAGGCGAATCCAGATCAACAGCATTGAATGTTATGATGTGGCAACGAACGTATACCCTGAGATTACCATCGTTCTATTGACGATGGGCCTACTGTTTTTGAATGTCACATATGATGCTGGCAATAATTCAAATAGGAAATCTGCGTAGTAAAAGCCATAACGGTAAGATATCGTCATTGATTGCTGAGCTACCCCGTACATGGCTATGTAAATACTGGCGACGACCATATACAGTGAGTCATTCTTGTGAGCAGTCTGTTTTTCTATTGCCAAACAACTCTGATACTTCCAGTCGCTCGTTATTATCTCTAGTCTAGGGCAAATACCAAAACCAAGATTACGTCGGCATTCCGTGTGTCTGCCTGGATTTTGTTCGTCTTGATGTAAATCATCCTAATTGAGCCCGTTGAACTTCCATTCCTCGCCCATAGTCTTCGTCACCAGCTGCAATCGTGGGGTCGGAAAAACGCAGTTGTCGCTCAGGGTCACAAGGCGTTATCGCGACGATGCAGGCGTCTTACCCTTGGCATGTGGACTTGAGAGTCTCAAAGCTCATGCCATCGACTACATCGACGACGTGCACGTTGGTCTCCTAGCTCGGCTTCGATCTTGATGACCTCCGTTTCGTGACGGCAATGTTGAATGGTCTGCTTTCACAAGTGTTTGTAGTTCTGGATCCCCAAGTTTCGTGTCAGCGCCAACGAGTACCACGTTATTGATGGAAACGGCGAACATATTCTAGCCTGCAATGCGACAAGACTTTTTAATTATTTTATATATATGTATATGTTTTAATATTTTAGATGGCGCCTAGATGGTGAAAGTGATAAACCCCTGTCGAAAAGACTTAGGTTGTATGCTTTCGACCAGCAGTCAAGAGTGAAAATGCCTCGAAATCCAAAAGAGCCAGGTGGAGGACGTGTTGTATGATTTAGTATGCATTTTATCACATCATCAATGAGCGACGATATGGGTGAAAAGAATAAGCGCCTACCAGTATATACCGGTAGTTCTGCCGGATACTTTTGAACTAGTCTAACCTAGGTCAGACTATGCTTTGTAGGGCTGACATTACCGCCTTGCTGCGGTGCAGCAAGCCCAATTCCATTTTTAGCCTACATGGCTTCAACAGGATCGGCAGGCATACAATGCCCAGCGTATAAGCTCGCTTTCATTCTCGCAATTGCGGGAGTCTTGAAGTTGTTTATTACTGATATTGGGCGATAGAAACAGCGTGACGGATCCAATGTATGCTGTATTTTCATTTTTGCCGGTGGCAATCTCCTAATGACCGCCAATTCGACGGCAGCGCGCAAGAGGCAGGAGAGACTCCCCAGGCAATGCACATCCTATCAGCTGATCCTACGACCTCGTCTTAGACTAACCTAAGGTCGGTCTACAGTTAGGTTAGTCGCAATCCCAGTGAGGTACAAGGATTGAATCCTTCCACCTTTACACTTGTTTCAGAGGTTTGAGCGCATCTTTGTGGCAGTGTGTTGACACGATGTTGACTATCGTCACAACTTCTGTCCTCTTTCTTTCACTCTTTGACCAGCTCTTCAATCCGCACTACGATTAGGGCACAATAGCGAGTCTTCAAACATACACTCACACTCTTGGCGAGAATGGCGTCTGCGAGCGCTACTGCTTCAGTAAATCCTGCAGCAATACCTCTGACCACCCGGGGTTCGTTTGGCCTGTTCCTGTGTAGTGTGTTCCTCCTTCTCATATCGATACTGACTGTACATTGACAGCTGCGTGGTGTACAAGCGAAATAAACATCTGCCAGGGAATATGTGATAAGATTGGTGTAATCCTAGCAGACGGAAAATCAACGCAAGAGAATGACTGCGACACTGTATGACTCCTCTTTCTTCTCAGACTGATGGAATGTGTGTTGACGGAGGATACTGGTGACCCTATAGTCCCAGTTGGTATACAGCTGTATCTGCGGCAATGGTGTCAAGCCGAACATGAGTGCGTATCGAAACTCGCTACCAAGCCTCATATGTGAGGAATCAAACTCGGAATGCGCGAGTAATGGAAGTGACTGCACTTCAAGCACATGCGGCACATCTGTGCTCGATGCAGCAACAAGCACCACATCTACATCAACGACTTCCCAAGCGGTCACCTCGGTATCTACGACAGCGACGAGATCGACAACAAGATCGGCCACGAGCACTTTGGGTAGTGTGAGCAGTCGCAGTCATACATCACTTGCGTCGGCTACGAGCTCTTCGGCCCCAGCGACCGAGACGCCGCAGGAACCGGGGCTGAACACGGGTGCGAAGGCAGGCATTGGAGCGGGAGCTGGCATAGCTGGGCTTTTACTCCTAGCATTGCTAGGTTTTCTGTTTTATAGCCTGGGAAAGAAGAGACGCTCTGCGACAACGGAGCCTGAGTCGTATACAAAGGCGGAGCTTGCAGACACTCAGTGGGCAGGCCATGAGGTGCATGCAGACCATCGACAGGAGCTAGATGCCCCAGCGGGGGTGTCGGAGCTCATCCATGGCCATCCGCAGACAGCACCTCAAGCGCCTATACAAAGGGAACCGGTAGAGATGGGATGACCAATCCGTAGGGCATATGAGCGCAAAACACAATATAATTCAAGGCCACTATGGCTAGATTTTACTCCACCTTTAGTGCGCTATAGTAGAACACCCCTACAACGACCCGCTGCCGCTAACTGATAAGATGCCAGGTCCTAGGTTAGCTTAACGTTAAAAGCCCCTCTAAAATTTTTATCGATAGCGGGCTGTCACCGAGAAATTCCACAACCCTCCTACGTGAAGTGAAGCCATACCGCTCGTTCGATCGCACTCTTTTCATCTAGGACTACAACACATCCTGCAGCCCGATAGTCCATTCTAGGTTTCCTACCACCAGGCCGCCGCAATGCCGTCCGTCAAGAACCCCAACGGTCCCTCCAAAAACCGCCTCAACGCTCGCCGAGCCTCCGCCCGCAAGAGGACCCAGAAAGCAGCCACTACTCCCGCCGACAGAATCGAGAAGGCCGACAGGACCCGCGGTGCTGGCGGTGGCCTACTCCCGACCAGTGGTCCTCGCCGTGCGCTTAGTGCCAAGAAGCAGAGGAAGGTGGATCGCAAGCTCAACTACGCGATAAAGAGGAAGCAAGAGGCCGAGGGAGAGGTCGAGATGAAGGGTACGCGAGAGTCATGGGAATCAGGTTGAGACGAGAAGCGCTAACTGGTTGCAGATGCTGCCGAGGGCCAGTCCGAGAAGAAGGCCGCTGCCGGTGACGTCGATATGGACGACGAGAACATTGCTTGAGAGTGCGACCAACGTTCGATCACAACCATCCCCGTCGCATGGCGCATACGGTGCGGTAATCAATCGCTACGACAACGACTTCGTAGGGTTGCTATGGGCAGGCGCAGGTGTTCTGGTCAGATGCTGGACAGTGGCAACTTGGGTTTACATCAGCTCGCCGTGAACGGGCGCCTGGTCGCCAGTAGGAGAGAAGGACGCGGACGAACGACAGTTAATTGGGACCAGGGAATGCCATACGCGCTTGTGTTTCCCGCGACTTGTCTTGTGCCAGGAGGCGCAACTTGGGCAGCTGAAGTCTTCAAACATGACGGAGTGTCCTAGACCCTGGCACTAAGGCAGTTAGGCCGTCGCCTGTGAGCAGCATCTCTACAGACACCTAACTCAATGAAGGCATCGGTCGTGCCACGTCTTTTACTCAATATGCTGCATTTTTAAGCTGATTTTGACATGTCAGGACAAGCTTCCCTTGATACCCGTGGCTTGTAATTATCGATCGCCTTCGGAGTGGTAAATCCAGGGTCAATCCATTCATACCTCATCGGTGAAGACTTGCTCCCTTGCGATTATATCTTCCTATGTTCGTCCATCGGGCAAAGAGCTAAGATCTTCTGCAAACGTCAGCCGGAACAGCACTACGATCCTTTGGACATTGGCTTGAACTGATTCAGCGTGAGGTAGACACCTGTTGGCTGACACATCGCTAATGTGTCGCATTGGATCGCAAGTACACTTATCTCGGAGAAGGTTCGGGCTGTATGGCATGCCCGGTTGTATCAGAAGAGTAGCGGCACAAAATGCGATTGAATTACATTAGTCGACGTTCACCAGGGGTTGAAGATGTTGCTTTGTGAATACAACCACTTTGAAATCGGGAAAAGTATCTTCACACTGCACACAGCCGGGACGGTCATAGCCAATGAGTACCGCTAGTCGTCTGAAATTGTCGACTTCAGACCAATTCAACCGGCCGTACACTGGACGGCAGCACACCAACATTCCAGTAAACCTGGTATTTTCTCTTGAGCTACTTTCTCGCAAATCGCTAAACACCAACTCTGAGCCAGATCAGACACCGACTGAGCCGAGCCCGCCTTTGCCAGCACCCACTCCAGCCACAGATCATTTTCATAGTGCATGAGGATGGCACATATCGGTATAGATTGCGTCTCGGGTGTCAAGTATTATCGGTTGCAATCTCAGGAAAAACCAATCGTGCGATTACCATCATTATCGTGCTTCCGGAAAGCCTGGGGGAGCGGGTCGTCCGGTTTGAACCTCTGAGATAACCTAGCCCCATATCCGCATTGGGTGCGGCGATCTGCCAATGTATAAGAAGCCAAGGTCAACGAGAAACTGTGGCGGAGAATCTCACTTCTGATAACTGAGCAGCCGGCACGATAGTTCTTCTCCTTGCGCGGCGCCGAATAAGTCGATCTATGAGACTGGCACGCTTACAGATATGTCGAAGAGCCCTCCCCAGCCTACCGTCCGCTTCAGCGAGGGCTTGGGTCTGGCGTATACCCGCCATGCTGACAACGAGCAAAGAGGGTGCTTCGGGACCGCGGAGAAGCCGTCGCTGTGTTTTGACTGTTCAAAAGGAATGTGTCAATGTTGGGTGTAGCGAAGAGGAATGCGAAAATATACTTGGACCGTCACAACGCCTGTAGGGCTCCGCCTCAGTTGGTCAGGCCAATCATACGGAACGAAAAACACGTAAGTTTTATACTACTGAAAGCTGGCTTGTTCTTTCATATAGCTATATAGGTAGTCAAATCCCAAAGCTCAACAGCATAGATCTGCATTTTTTTCTAGCTTGAAACTTAATGAATCTTTAATACAAACATTCTTTCGCTACACAGTCCAGCAACTTAGCTCCATCTATAGAATTTGAGTCTCTTTGTCGCTAGGTGAGCAGAACCTGGTCTGTAAAAATTCAAGTAGCTGATGAAAGGCAACTTCAGCTTTCGAGCCCGTCTACTTTAGCATCGGAGGTTGTATGTAAGTAAAAAGCTCTATCGCCGAACTGCCGCGCCCCTTCACACCGGGGTTGAGATCGGTATTGCGGGGTATGGTTTGAGAAAGGGCGTCTATCGTGTCCTCGCTTCCGATTTGAGCGGCGTAGTGGAAGGCTTGGTTTCGGAACAGGATTTAAATCAGGTGGCTGTGGCCTCAGTACATGCACGTAGCAATGTGGGTGACCAATGCACCCGAACTATCAAAGTGACACTTAGTTATTCTATCCCTTCAAAAGTATTACATACCCATTTATATATATCCTAATTTCTTAATCTTCTATCAGTATGAGTACTATGATGGCTGTATTACGCTGCCATGGTTTGGATTTGGCCAATCGTTATAAGACTATGGCCAGAGGCATTTTCCATAATTGGAAGTTCACGCATATCCAATTCTTGATCGCGTGACTTCTTATCGGCACTGGAAGAAGAGACAGGTATTATTATATGTAGTTACATCACTAGAAGTTTCCGACCAATACTATGTTCATAGAAACATACCCAATGCCATTGCGACACACGCAATTTGGTAACTGAAATATTGCGGGCGTCCAGCAATTGCAAAACATAAATCAGGATGTAAGAATGGAAATGGGCACATCGACATCCTTGTCCCTGAAGTAATCAATGAAGCCTTTTCCAAACCCATCCAGACGTTTCGAGCTACTAACTCCACGCCCGAGGATGCCGTAAACAACGAAGTGTATTGCGAAGATTCCAGGGAACTCGACGCGCTCGATGGAGAACTCCGACTTCCAGTCGTCACCGATGAGATCCTGTACTTTGGCGCGAGACATGTACGAACGCAGCCAATCCCACTCGGCCGGTGTATGAACAAAGAGTCCAAAGTTTAAATTGGCACCCTTATCGCCGGACCGGCCTAGAGCGATATCACCGAGTCGAATCTTGCGATATTCAACATCGATATTGGTGGGCAATCTCGTATCATATGACTGCCGTTGGCTCACCTCCGAGAAACTAGGAGGTCGAGATGTGCTGAAGGATTTGGTCGTACCAGTGGAATCTACCAAATGGAAGCGCTCTTCAAGGTCATGTTGGCGCCACAGGGCCGGGTAGTAAGCGAGATACGGACGAGGAATTGCTGAACGTTGATCCAGAGAGTTATGGAAGCCTAAAAGCAATGTGTCAGTAAATTGCAGCCGGACATGCCAATCAACCAGCGACGAACCTGAAAAATGCTTTAGTGAGATGTTGCGTATGGCAGTACTGATGGCCTGAAGAGCCTCAACGTTGGTCGACTGGGCAAAGATACGGAAGTAACCTGTACTACTATTCTGGTCCGATGGGTTGCTGATGGGGACGCCAATACTGAGGCAGAGTCAGTGACCAGTGTAGACCAAGAAATTTGAGGCTTGGGCCGGTTACCGCTGAAGTTCGAACACGTCAAGCTGTTGCAAAGATTCCTTTTCCATGTAGTAATGGACTTGCTTGCTAAAAAGCTCGAACTTCTTCTCGAAATCATAACCTGTGGCGTTGAAAAGTAGCTGGACTTCATATCCGCCCTTGTAAAATATGGCGAGCTTAGTGGTGCTGGGCGGCGGAGCGCCACGGACGCCCGAGATCCGGACTCTTCAAAAACATTAGCTGGATCAAAACTTTTGGCAATGACAACAGGTACCTATCCTTGCCGACTTCTTCCATCATGATATTATCTAGGTAGGCCGTAACATCACTGTTGAGATAGGCGTTGCCCTGAAGTTCATAGACCAATTGACATCTACACGTGTCAACGGTAACCATGCCTCCAGTGCCAGCATGCTTCGTGATGATACAAGTTCCATCTTGAGCGATCTCCGCAATGGGAAATCCGGGATCGATGAAGTCATCGACATTGAAGGCGCCAAAACCCGCAAAGTTACCACCAGTAACGTAGGCTGAACATTCGATCAAGTGTCCGGCAATGAGAGCGCCTGCTAGCTCGTCATAGTTGGTAATTTTCCATGACCACCAGTACCAGGCACAAGCAATGACTGGGCTAGCATCAGAAACACGACCGCAGATGACGATATCGGCGCCATTTTCCAAGGCCTCATAAATAGAGTGCGCGCCCAAATAAGCATTTGCAGAGACAATCTCGCGAGGTCGATCACGATTCTTGGCAAAAAGAAAGGATTCGTTTCCAAGAATTACGTTCTGATTGCCAGAGTCGAGATGCGGCAAAGCGTTTTCCTTCTCTTGAGGCATGGTCTTTCCCAGTCTGGGAAGCACATTATCGCCATCGACATATGCGACTACCAAGTCATAGCCCCTTTCCTTGACCTGAAGGAACATTAGCCGGTTGATATATCACGGACATCCCACTTACCAGTCCAGCCACCTTCACAGCAAGGCCCCCGGGGTTGAGCGCACCTCCGTTGATGGCAACCTTGATGCGCTTCTGGGCTATCACATCAATAGTCTGCTGTAGACCTTCCCAGGCGGTTTCCTCATAGCCCATATGCTTGCCTTGCGCGTACGCTTCAGCATTGTTGGCCATGTTGACCTCTTGTGATTTGTTAGTCACTGCGTGAGGCTAATGGTGCCGTGTAGTGCTGGTCACAGGGTCGATTGCATACCGGCAAGGTAGTCGCCAGTGATAAAGTCGACGTCGCCAAGCGTTGCCTGCTTGTACATCTCTATTGCCGGATCGCCTTTAGAGTGATGTCAGTTGGTATAGCTAATATCGTGCACTGTTAAAGGGAAGCTTTCGTACCATGATATCCGGAACAATTGGCTACGCGCGCAGGCCTGACACCGAACTCGCCAGCTCGCCAAGTGCTTTGGACAGCCATTGCGGTCTTTGTCGATAAAATGAGAGGTGCTATTGGAAGACTAGTATGCTTGACAGGATTCAACTTGGAGCGATAGAAGATCTCAATTATTATCAAAGGGAAAACAACTCGGTATGATACACCAGTGCCTTTTACGTCAACTGTGCCAAACAGCAGACGATGTCTCTTTTAAGCCTCCGCTTTCCTGATAATGAATTTCTATAATGTGTAACGATTATCTACCTCGGGATTATTTTACTACTCTGTAATGCAACTATACGTTTAAGGTTTTGCCGGAAGGGCCGATCATTTTGCTCTCAGAACTCCGAAGTTGAAACTGCGGAACTAGATCCATGCTTGAGAACTGCCAATTGGTGGTTGTCATGAAAGAATCCTGTAATTAGCTCATAATAAGTTACTAGTATAGCGAGGACCCACCGTGGTAGTTCAAACTCCTCCTTAGATTAACGGAGTTTTGACACAAAAGAGCGGTGCGGAGTGTTGGGCCCCCGATCGATCGCCGCTCCCTTCGGTATTGAAATTTGTAGTATATCATGTCCCGTACGCCAGTGAACATCACTCATTGGCGACTCTAGATATTTTGATACAACTTTTCTTTCCACTGCACTTGAACACTAAAAGTTCCTCTACCTTCCCGATTCGCCACTCCACACCATGTCGAACTATTCCATCTCCAATGAATCTTCTAGGATTCTCAACGAGGTGCTCCTGAATGACTCTCGACTTGGCTTACCTTCTTCTTTCTCGGATGCTGCCAAGAAGATCAAGTTCGTTGGGGACGACGACGAGCCATTTGTTCTCACACCCTTGAAGATCACCGAATCAAGTGCCTCCCTGACTGCTCTAGTGGCCACTGCTGCAAATGTTGTGGCAGCGGATCGATATGGGATCGACTACCAAGATGTAGAGATCAACACCGATATTGCAACTCTGTTCTTGGAGTCGGTCCTGTTGCCGACAATCAATGGCAAGCCATTTTTGGAGCACCCGCAGATGGCTAAGGAGCTTGCCAAGATAGACATCCATGGCAATTCGAAACCCATTAGACGGTACGCAACAAACGTGTACCAGACTAAGGACGGTCGTTGGTACCAGCTTCATGGTTCAATGGATGCGAAACCCACGATGGGAATGATGGGCGTCGAGGATGTTGACGTCACTGCGGAAGACGCAATCAAGATCTATGCCGAGAAGGTCGCCCAGTGGGATTCGCAGGATATCGAGAAGACCGCAAATGAGCAACACCGGCAGGCTGGCGTCGTCTGCTACACGCCCGAAGAATTCTTCTCCAGTGAACATGGTAAGATTATATCACAAGAGCCTCTCTGGAACAAGACTACGTTGCCAGCACCGCGGAAAGCTTGGCCATCACCTGGGGATGATCACCGTTTTAAGCCACTGGCTGGTATCAAGGTGATTGATTTCTCTCGTGTCATTGCCGCGCCAGCAGTGTCCAAGATACTCGCCGTTCTGGGAGCGGAGGTCCTCCGCGTCTCATGCGATAAGCTTCCCGATTACGCGGCGACCATGCCAGATCTGCAGACGGGAAAGAGGGACACGAACCTCGATCTGAAGACTGAGGATGGAAAGAATGCCTTCACTGAGCTTGTGAAGAATGCGGATGTTCTTATCGACGGCTACCGACCTGGCGCGCTTGAGCGACTCGGGTTCACATCTACCTCTTTGCGCGAAATCAATCCTAGTCTGATCTACGTGCGGGAGAACTGCTATGGCTTCAAAGGCCCATTGGCATCTCGATCTGGTTGGCAGCAGGTTAGTGATTGTCTAGTTGGCATATCTCACCTGCAAGGTAGATTTCTTGGTCTCGAGGAGCCCGTGGTTCCCCTATTTCGTAAGTACGCTCATCTCTTTTCGCGTCAGTATGAGAGTGGCTCACTTCTTCTTCTTAGCCAACTCTGACTATCAGACCGGTCTGGTTGGCGCCGCGGCTACCATTCAGGCATTGCTTGCCCGCACCAAGGAGGATGCCACTTTTGACATCGACATCAGCCTTACGCAGTACAATATCTGGTATTATCGACTGGGCGTCTACTCGGAGTCGCAACAGCAGGCACTGCGGGCGCGCGATCCCGAATTCAGCCCCCGCCACTGCGACGATATGTCTACCCTGGTCGGGAAAACCCACCAGTCGCTTCAAAAGATCCGGCCGGACATGCTTACTCATCCCGAGTTCTTCTGGACAATGCCCGGCAAAGAGTGGGGCTTGGACACGGATCTGAAGGTCCTCGCACCTGCCTTCAAATTTGAGTCATCACACATTGAATGGGAAATCCCCTCAGGACGTAGGGGGCGATCACAGCCTAGGTGGCTTTGACTCAGCGCATGATACGTAGTTTAAGAGAGGGAAGTCAGATAGAACTCAATTGGTAGCAATACATGGGATACAGGAATTCGTTGATCTGTCTACTGGGTCTCTGTCAAGTCGCATCGAATAATAATAATAAAATCGTATTTGACACTGCATGGGGCCGAGACTCTATGCAGCATCTGCCATATCAGGAAATCTTCACGAATGCTTAGTGCAGCGAGCGCAATGGGCAGTTGAAAGTTGCATCATAACTTCAATATTGCTGCATCGAAGAGACAAGTAAAGCAATTTCACTACCTGTAAGTTGTCGAGTCGTCAAGTCGCCGATTTGCCGATTTCATGAAGCACAGGCAGTGATGGTCATCACCACTCTATGCTTGTTCAACAAGTGTGCGCACACGGAGTCTTGCGTATCGGACTTTTGCTGCAAACAAGCGGAGTACTGCAACCGTTAGAGGCTGTAACTAGAGCCTGTGGAGACTGCAAGTGCCATGTTTTCCCAAGAATGGACAAATGGACCACCGTAATTCGTGCGGAGCTCTGATTTAATAAATACTCTTAACCTCGGGATCTCATCTATTCTTTGATAGTACGGATCCATACAGAGTACACATTTGTTGTACCTCCTCGGAGTAATACCGACAAACGGGATTTCAGTCAACTTCCTCCCCACTATCAATTGGCCAATCGGTCAAAAGAGCCACATGACGTCTGATGCAGTGTCAATGGCCGCCGCGCCGGCAGATCGTAGACGACGCCTCGCAAAGGTACAGCTTTGCTTAACCTTTGCGAATCGCATGACCCAACACCGGCTTACCTTAGACAATTCAGGCCTGCGATCCTTGCCGGAAAAGAAAGCTTCGTTGCGACGGCGTCCGGCCAGTATGCACCCGCTGCCACCATCTCACCGCCCGCAACGCCCGCAGCGCCCCGTGCCATTACGCTGATGTCCACAAGCTCGCGGCGCGCCCGCGCCGACGCCGCAACCCCGAAGACACCAGCCGACAACATGAAGCTCATAGTGCTAGTCCTAATCCTCCCCTGCCAGGTGAAGACGATCTGGGCAGCTCCAACAACGACTCTCCAGCTTCAAGACTACCTCCCAACGTTGCCGTCGGCGCGCATTCCCCGTCGCGGAGTACTCGTTCGCAACAGATTGGCAGCGCCGCGTCCGCCACGCCTCTCAGAGAGGATGCACGTCGCACAAGTTCTGGGTCCACGTGGCGAGCGGAAAGTGTGAATATTCCCAGACCAGTTTCGGACACCATAGTAGGAGGAAGTGCAGATATGCGATTCTTTGGTATGCGCCTACATATGGAATGCGCTCTTACGGGACACTAAATACCATGTTTTGAAGGTCCACCCGCCGGAATCTCTCTCGTGCCGATTGGTACCGCGTCTCGACAGCCTGAACAATCGGATCAATATAACACACAGCCCAATCCTGTCAAGGAATCCTGGTCCGCGTGGACGCACCCGTCGATCCAAAGCACCCTCGAAAGACGCATAAAACGCTCTCTGCCACCGTGGACGGAGATGTTCTCCATCGTCACAGAGTTCTTCAACGAAGAACACAAAGCTTTTCCGTGCTACCACCCACCTACTTTCATGACTCTCTTAGGCCAGCAGTATTCTGGGACCATTACTGACAACCCAGCCTGGTGGGCCTCGCTCAACGCTATCCTGGCCATCGTCCTGCGTCGTCGAGTTGAAAGGGGCCAGTGCCCTGCAACCGATGAGGCCCGGGCTTGGGATTATGCTGCCAACGCTTTGGGGAGTGCTCTGGACATTTTGATGCGCAACACGCAGCTGATATCTGTCCAAGCGCTTCTGAGCATTGCCTGGTTTTTCCTGGGAACTCCTAATCCGCAGCCTAGCTTCATGTTCGCTGGGAGTGCCCTACGCTTAGCCCATTCCATTGGGCTTCATAAGACTGATTGCGACTCATCTCTAGGTCCTATTGAACATGAGATGAGACCCAAGGTCTTCTGGATTGCCCTTAGCCTGGATCGGGAGCTCTGTCTTCGGACAGGAAGGCCACCAGCTCATGATCTCCATGATTTCCAGGTTGATCTACCAACAGATTCCGTCGCCGACGACTCTGACGCTATAACAACCATGAATGGCGCAACATTGAAGCTTTGCAGAGCTCAAGCTGGGCTGGCCATGGTTCAGGGCTGTGTATACCGTAAGCTGTACTCAAGTGAGTCCTCGAAAGATGCAAACCATATTGCAGACTCTATTTTGGCGCTGAACAAGCACTTGGAGAAATGGCGTGCCTCCATAAATCCAGCATTCATTTCTGATCAACCTGTCCAGAAAGGCGAGCATCCTGGACTGGTGCGTTTATACTACTCTTATTACAACTGCGTCATTGTCACGAATCGCGCGTACTGTCGCGAATACTGGATGGCTCTCAACATGACAACAGCTCCAAAGCTGACCGCGAATGTAAGAGCCTCGATCCGCTTGTGTTTGGATGCGGCTAGATCAATTGCTGCGTTATCTTTTGTGATACCGCACGACTGGAAAAGCTTTTACTGGTAGGCACTCCCAATTATCCGAGTTGATGCGTCTTGCAGTTATTGCGTCCCTCGCCGTGCTTCGCCATGCCTATCTCTATCCGTAGATGTGATCCTCTGATTGTGATATCTAGGGATACAATTTCGATAAATGTCAGCGCCGCCATCATTCTCTCAATCAACATCCTACGCGAACCGAAACTGGACAGCACAGAAGTTGACCTACGTACTGTATTCGACATCATTCAGCTTTTTGCTGCCTTGGACCAGGGAAAAGGCGATACCTACCTGTCACAGGTTCGGAAGGCGTGTGAGGAGTTGTATCGCATGGCTCAACGGGCATTCCTTTCATCTAAGGAACAGACGCGCACGGGCATCTTACTACAGCCGCAGGTGCAAGATACCCAGGGTATCATTGACACTAACCGTCGTGAAAACAGCCTCGGCGGAGCGCAATCAACCTTTGTGCCCCATATGCCGAACGGAACCCCTCTGCACACAGCTCCCTGGGTAGCTGGTGTTGAGTCTGCATTGGACCCAGAGCCTCGCCTGGATATCAATGAGTTCGACCTCAGTAATTGGCCTCAAGCCGGACAGATGGCCCCTGATCCAGCTTCAATACAGTGGAGTTTGGATATGCTATGGGATGGGCCTTTTGTATCTTTGTATTAGGGCACCCGACTTCTGAGATGTGTAACCATACACCACCAATCCATGAATGAGTGCGAAATGCTCAAGAAACAACGTCTCGGCAAGAATATAAAGGTTCCTCGATGTGTATACCCAAAATCAGCCATTCATCGATATATAAAAGCCCACTGCCATTTGTATATGGCACAGGTCCATCGCTTTCATAGCCCTTTACATTGATTGTGTAGTCGCAATGTCTAGCCTATCACCGCGTAGCACCACTTGCCATCTTTTCTCGAATGTGTCCATATCTCCAGGGATTGAAGTTTTGAAATCTTCATCCAGACTACTTGTCCGCTAACATGCTTCTCGGAAATATGTTTAATTTGATCTGACCTGGATCTGACCAGGGCATCCTCGGCTGTGTTAATGAATACGAATAGGTTCATCAGATAAAGGTCAGCATAGCCCTAAGCACATTATGGATAGATTGGAAGAGATATTAAAGGTTACGATTAGAGCTTACCATGCCGTGCTACTTAATTAATATGAGCTCTTAGGCGTTTTAAGGTATATTTAATTGAATGAAAATGTGTTAGACTTAACTTCATCTCTTCTTCTTTCACTTCTTACTTTCCCTAATACGATTATACATTTGACATCATTTGTTTAAATTTGTTGTAGTTGTATAGGCTGCAGATGAGAAAGCTTTTGCAATGATATTGTTTCTGATAACAGCTGACTTAGAGGTGTACCTCGACTTTACATGTTAGTAGTCACGCAACAAAATGCTTTTCTTCTACTCACACTTTAAATTACTACTAGCTGTCTTTTGTTTCTAACACCTTCTATACTCCAGGATTAACTTCGTACACACTAAGAGAATGCGTAGTCAAAGGTTTTCTCAAAGAGAGAGTGATAGATGCGTCGCGTATGGCGGTCAATAGTAGTCTACTGCGAGGGTTTGATGTAAGGGAGCGGTGAAGAGCAGTGCTAATCTCTTCTCCACTGAAGGCTATGTACTGTACTGTGGTCGCCTAGGTGGATGACTGAGGCACTTATTGGAGGGAGTGTATACTAGTGATCGTTGATAAAAGTGACCCCATTAGTATAAATGCATCCTGTGAAACAACTTGGTGAGCCAGTATAGCAAAACATTTGTGAGATTCTTATCAAGCCCTATACATTATTCGGGCCACTTTTAGGACTGTTCACCAATCTCACAATCATGCAACAGTGCCGACTGTGTACTATTCAGGACCGCAGCACTTGTCCGTAGTATCAAAAGCCTGATCATAAGCACGCTACACGGCCTGTTTCTAGATCGCAGTGACTGACACATCTTGGGCTCGACCTTCCTTATCCAACTTGGCATAAATTCACTGGATCTAATGGGCCTAAGGTAAACAACTATGTTAGGGTAGGATCATAAACTCACGATACAGCGACAACTAAGTCGTACTAGAGTACCAGAATCGAAGTCAACAGGCAATAGACATCACCACCTTCGTGTGATATGTTTGTCGAAGCCAAATGACTGTATACCCGGTGTGTGAAACCCATGCAACTGCGGATGATCGAGACAATATTTACTACTATTTTAGCATATGCAACTGGTCTTATTTGTTGTAAGTAGTGAAGGAGGTCATAAAAACCGGATTGTCATCACTAGGTTTGATAACCAGATGTTGAAGGACAGCGCCATCTAAAACGACACAAAGGGGAAGGGAAAGAAACTCATTCGCGGGCACGCACTGTAAAGACAGCCCCTTGTCCCCTATATCGGGGCACTGCAGCATGTTCTAGGGAGTTGCAGGGTACTATTCTGCGGGTCACGCGACTGCCAGATTAGGCTATGAATGCTTAAGCAATATCACATATGCCATGGGCTCGCAATTCATTATTAAAAATTTGAGAAAACTGTCATTGTGCCCTGGTCGACTGATATATTTAACCTTAGGTTGATGTATACACAAATACACCTATTTTAACCACATGCGTCCCTGCAGAATGTTGGACAGCGGTGTCGGTCCTAGACTAGACTGCGGATCCGTAACTACGGAGTAGTTCATCGAGGACCACTAGATGTGTGAAAGGCAGTCGCACACACACGCACATACATAGGCCAGCAAGTGGTGATGACAAGAGTTGGCGCATGGCCCGGGCGCCCACCTATAACCATGTACCATTCTTGTCATCACCACTTTAGCCGAAGCTCAGGTACTCCTAATTCTCAATCTATGATCATGAAAACGGCGACACAACGGTGACCAGGCCTTATCTGACGCCAGCACTTCATTCGCCATTTAAAGTTCTTCGATGCATACTTCCCTGCTCTAGGCTGACAGCAAGGTACTGATAGTGACGATCTCTGACGTAGACGTGCGCGGGGCACCCCTGAAATCGATACATCACGATGCTGCTGACGACTCATACCCAAATGCGAGAACGGAGCGTCACGCAGAGCGCTCACATTAAAGGATGATGGTCATACTTTCCTGTCCACTTCGATTGGTTTCTTGCCTTGTGGTACGACATATTCATGTGGACATTCTAGCATCATGTTTGCCAAGCTCGTACCGAACTATGTGATCGCTTCCATCGCGGTTGCGATAGGTGGATTCCTCAATGGATACGACACCGGCTCTATAGGCGCGATCATGGAGATGGATGAGTTCAAGAAAGCAGTTGGGCATCTGTCTCCGTTTCTGGTCGGTTTCACCGTATCGCTAATTATGCTCACTGCCGCCATCCCATCTATCTTCGCAGGCCAGCTTGCAGACTCTTTGGGAAGGATTAAAGTCATCTCGTTGGGTGCTTTGCTGTTTGGTATTGGGGCAGCTATCGAAGGCAGCTCGAATGGCCTGCCTCAGTTCCTCGTCGGCCGGGCTATTGCAGGCTTGGGCGAGGGTGTATACCTCAGTAATGTGAGTGTGTATATCTGCGAAATCGCGCCTTATAAGCACCGCGGTATCCTGGCGGGCTTACCACAATTCATGGCGACGGCCGGTGTATGTATAGGGTACTTCACGTGCTATGGCACGATTGCCATCCAGTCGACCCTTGCTTGGCGTGTACCATACATCATCCAGTGCCTTCTCACCATCCTGTTCATCGCCAGCTGTATCATCTTGCCAGACTCTCCACGGTGGCTGATGACGCATGGAAGGAGACAGGAAGCACTGACTGCTCTGAGCAAACTGGACTTCTCGATGGTCGAAGCAGAACGAGACTTCCTCACAGTTACCGAACAGAGGAGTAGCCTTTCGCCATGGCAAAGCTTTTTGTTACTATTCAGGCGAGGTTACAGGTCGAGAACTATCCTGGCGCTTTTCATCCTGGGAATGGTACAGTTGTCTGGGATTGATGGTGTGCTCTATGTAGGTAGTCTCCCCTGGCCTTGGGAAAGTTGTTCGAAATAGTAGACTAACGGAACACCAGTATGCTCCTGTCCTCTTCTCGCAAGCCGGGCTATCGTCATCAACTGCTTCTTTCTTGGCTTCTGGAGTGTCTGCTATCTTGATGCTTGCCATCTCGATTCCTGCTTTCTTGCTCGCCGACAAATGGGGCAGACGAACTTCCGCTATAACAGGTGGTATCGGATTATCAGGCCTCATGCTGCTGATTGGTACGCTGTACGCGGCTGGCGTTGTTCACTCTTATGGCGTCGCTCGATGGGTTGTTATCGTGTGCGTCTTCGCGTTTGGCCTGACCTACTGCGCAACTTGGGGTATTGTTGGTAAGATCTATGCGAGCGAGATCCAGCCCTCCAATACTCGCGCTGCCGCCAACTGTGTGGCACAAGGTCTTGGTTTCGTAAGTCGTTCCAGCTACTCTTGCGTATAAGATGTCGACTAACACTGAAAACAGTTCACGAATTGGCTGGTGGCTATCCTGACACCTATTCTGCTTGACAAGTCAGCGTTCGGTGCCTACTTTCTATTTGGCGGTCTTGCCCTCGGCACTGTTGCTGTTCTTGCAGCTTACATGCCGGAAACACGCGGGCGAACACTTGAGGAGATACAGCACGCATTTCATCAACCTGGCTTGAAGAGTTTGACTAGAATCGTTCGCCGCAGAGCACGCCGTGATCCGGGGCACAGTAGTCAAGCTATAGAGATGGACACTCCACTACCCACAACAGTTGCTGAAGCTTCTGGACGGGGATCACTCACCGGGCTCCGTTTGAACATCGGTGCAGTTTAAACAGATCGTCAAGAGCTACTAATTTTCTTTGGGTTGAATAACGAGTCTCGTCATTCGCAAATTTGGAAATTCGGACTCTAACAAGGCGGCTTTGTAAGTCGGCGAGACCCAGTGTGTATGTCCAATACTGTCACCTAGATGAGGCCAATAACGAATAAATAGTGACTTGAGAAATTTTTGTTTAAGCAGTATGTTTTGAGTGGGCATAATTTAATAGCCAGGTGACAGCAGTCCTTGTTGACCGCTTCTTTGGTCACAAAGGTGACAGTTTCACCCCATTTGCACATCAACAATGGCACTTGACTACAGGTTCTGCTAGTTTCATCTCATATAATTCCCATTAATTTCGACTGTCACCAGTCGAAAACTGACAACTAGAACTCGGTGGGGTCCGGTTTGTGGGTTGTGCCTGCCATCCCCTCGGCTTTGATGCACTTTCATATCACATGAGTCGGGACAACAACTTTGCTGACAACTTTGCACAAACACCATCAATACCTCACCATCCCTTCTCAACCTCCGGGACTCAATTGCACGCACCATAACGTGCCGGCCATCGCTAGCAATCTCTTGAATCAGTGAGACGATCACTCCTCTGACAGTTGCACAGGTTCGACTGCAACAATGCCATCCCACTCGGGTGGCACTCATTGGTCTGAAGAGGTCATGGCATTTTTCCAAGTCCGCGAAATGGAAATCGTCAGTCCTGATATAGAGGATTACGACGGGGTCAATCTGATCGCGCACACGCATTTACAAATAATCAGAAACCAGAGGACCCGGCTGTATGACTGTATCGACCGTCTCCAAGCCTTTCCATTCCTTGAAATACTTGATGATGAGATACGAGAGCTCAATTATGCACCTAAAGCCAACTGCAAAGACAATGAGGGCCACCTGAACGATGCCAATGACACTTTGGCCACTCATGTTACGACGGACCCTTGTTGGGGCTGGGGAACCGAGAGCAACAATTGGTCACATGACAATACTGTTATGGATGACGACGACTACGACTTCTTCGGCAGCAACGACTGTGCCACCGTCACCACCGAGTGGCCTCCCCGCGAGAGATGCTACCCCAGTGCTGTGTTCGCCGCTCTCATCACCAGGCTCAATACAAAGTTTCCACATGCGTTCCAGGGCAATGAGCGTACCGTTTCTCACACAGAGTACGACATGTGCCCCTACATCGAGGCAGCAGACTTCCTGACCACGAACGCCCAGCGCTATCGCGGCACATGGCTCAGAAAGCAACAACGTGCATTCAACCGCGTCACAGCACTTCGCATTCCGAACCAGCCTGTGATGAATACATCTGCCCGTCAGGCTGCTGAGAAAAGACTATTGAGAATTCTAAATGATCTTTCCAAGCGTCTTCTATGGGCCGTTCAGCAGAGACAAGCTCAGGCTGTTGTTGTCGATTGGAATATGTTAATCAAGGACTCTCGCGACAGAATGGCTAAGCGCAAGGCGCACAAAAAGACGTCCCTGGCAACCGAATATCATTATGGCCTAGCTTAAGGCCTGTCTTGAGCTCTAAACAGTGATTTCGGAAGCTTGAAATTGACGTTGTATCTTAATTTACACTGTTGCCGTTTGGACGTGGGGGATTGGAAATGTACTCGTGCAACTAGGTCTGGATTGCGGATAGTCTTCAAAGGTTGATTGATGATACCACGACAGGCATCATATAATGGTATCGCAAAGTCAAAAGGCTCTCGAATAGGTAGTAGAAACACATTTTTAATGGCTAATGGATATTTGCAATAAAGACCAATCGAACTTTTTACCATACAGCGCGCTGCGGTCCACAAGAGGTCATTACGAAACGAATCACTAGAAGCTTATCACGAGGCCTATTACCTACACAGGACACACGAATACGATCATATATAAAATCATACCGAGTTAAATGCCCTGATTTGCCTAAGATCATGGCCATGTGCAACAGTTTGAGGCGGAACTTTGGCAAAATGTCTTAGATTCCCTGAAATACGTTGGGCAAACCGATTAGTAAGGGGAACGAATATCACAAACTTGTACTATCGGCTACCCAAGTCTATTGTACTTGTAGGTAAGGGATGGTTGTAAACTAATTAACTTGCACAATCCCGCTGTATCGATTAACGGAGAGTAGCTTAGAAACTTACATGTTAACGCTCTGATACCCATCCCTCGTTTGAGTCCATCTCTACTTGGCTTAACTGCTTAAATGACCAAATCATCCGTTTTGGGTCTAATCTCCATCATTCGTCATACTTTCTGGAGTTTCATATCATATCTAATTGTAAAGCAGCACAAAGAGATCGTGTCGTCTGGGATAAGTTTTTTATATTACGGGCTGTTCTTCCCATAAGTCAATATATGCCCAAAGAGTTGGGCTGATTTATATTGGGTTGAGCCTTAACCAAGACCGACTCGGTGTATATATACAATATAAAGCGGTATATAAAGACAACTTACATTTTAAATCATTTTGTTATAAACCTATATCGTGATTTATTCTTGGTACAATATTACTAGCATTAAATGCGTGGAGTGTTACACTTAATGTTGAGATGTCCTAGCCAACCATATTGCGGACTTTACCAGCCACATGTCATCAAGCGTACTATTACCCATCCTGGCTACATCCTGATACTTGACCAATTTTTCCATCAATCCACGCCTCATAACCTCGTCCTGTTCGGATACTTACCGTTCGCTGCCCTAAGCTGTCGGTCTTAAAGGTTATGTTACACCAGATTAGGAGATTTACAAACTATGGGAAGTGATCTGATATCCGAGGTGTGAGCCTCTCTTGCTTTCTTCGACGATAACACGCTTCCTTGTGCTGCTGTGCCAGCAGATCCGCCAGAATTCGAGGACTATAGAGATACAACGCCATGAGGCTATAAAAATTACCCCTTCATATCGCCGGGATAGCAACAGTCCGGGTGTTCTGGAACTTCGGCTACGGATGGAGTACCTCTTAAATTTCAGAATCTAACCCATCAGGGCTCAGCCACACTTCTTCTTATATGCACTTTCTTCACTTCCTTTTTGACTGCAGCGTACTTCTGTTCTGAGTTCGGGGTACATGAAAGCCCTAATATGTCTTTTTACGGCCTTGTATCTATGAAACTAATAGTACAAGCTGTTCAAGATCTCCCGATGTCTGTCTAAAACGGTACTGTATGATAAGAACTAGTAGGCTATAATCGGTCTTCGCTCTTTCCTAACGGTGAATCCGACAGCCCCGCTGAAACCCCTTCGCAGAGGAACGAAATGGTCCAACATCCAAGTTAGGTACAGTGACCTGGTTCATATAATAACTATGATGACTCGCATTCTAGGTCAAACTAAAATACTTATCACCTGGGAAGTGAAGTAGGTCCCAATCTCACGTGCCTGAGTTGGCCTGAATCCTTAGTAGATGAGCAGGCGTCTTCAACACTAATAATATATCATCAGTCCCCCCCCCCCCCCCCCCCCCCCCCCCCCCTTCTGACCAGATCGGAATCTAATTGTAATTATCATTCAACACTGTTTAGAAACCCCTCTGCTATGACTTAGATGATCGGTAATTTCATTCCACTAGCCGTGGTCTTGCGGTCTTTGTTATTAGTAATAGAGTCTATTATGCTATGAATCTGTCAAGCTCGATGACCACTAGACTGTCTACCATTAAACTACTGCACATTGAGAGGATGAGTGTAATAAAGATCGTATATTACAATTTGAGAGGAACAGCCACGTCCGTGCCCATTCGTTAACAAGAACAATTTATATGCCATCACACTAGAACGTAAATATAACACTAAAATTTGATTACATTGTTCATACGAACTGCGCTAATGTGTCTTACAATGATACTATATGACCATGGCGGCTGCAAGCGCAACAACCGAGACTAGGAGTCCAGCGACGCCTAGACGTCCAGCGCCGCTCGCGCCGGTAGGTGTCGATGTCGCCGCAGTCCCCGAAGCCGTGGGGGTTGCGGTGGCGGTGGCGGTGGCGTTGCCAGATCCTGATCCTGATCCAGGCTGGCCATCAGAGACCACGACTCGGTTCGTGACACTGTAGTCGGAAGGAATTGGGGATTGAGCCTGGATGTACGACGTGAGGACATCAGCCATCAGATCCAAGAGCGGCGCATCAATTTCCTCAAGGAAGTTGTCTCCACCGCCTGTCAGGAAATCGATGGTGACGACGTTGTAGTTTTTCGTATTATCCAAGGCTTCGTCGCCAATGGTGACTGCAACGAGTTGGCTGCCCACCTCGTTGTCCGGGTTGTACTCGATCTTGATATTCTTGCTGACCTGCAACAAAGATCCAACCTCGTCGCCAGTGAACTGGTTGACCTTGCTGACAAGACCCTCGAGGATCTTCCAGAGAGTCTCGCCCTTATATGTAACCTCAACAATGGCGTTACCAAAGGGGAATGCGGTGAGGACTTCGCCACGTGTAATGTCGCCTACATCAATGGTTGCGCGCACGCCACCTCCGTTGATGAGAGCGAAATCGGGGTTTCCTCCACCGTCGAGACGGTATTGGTACATGGCACTAGGGAAATACGTTAGACAAGTTGACTGAGAGCCAGGGATGCGGGCAAGGGACTTACTCGGACATGAAACCACCCAACACACACTCCTCACTGTAGCACTTGCTTTGGTCAAGCTCGACGTTGGTCTCGCCAACCTTTTCAGCAGCAAACTCCTCGAATGGCTTTCTCCAGGCGTCGACTTGGGTCTGAAGGTCCTCATCCTGAGCAGTAGTGTTGGTCAAATGGATAGGCGCACCATGATAAGCCAAGATTTTCCCTTCTGCGTCATAAGTCACGTCAATGTAACCTAGGTACTCCCCCCAGCGATAAGCTGTGACAATAAAGACCTCGTCGCCGTCCTTGTTGGTTTCGATAGTGGGGTATTTACCCTCCGCGTCCTTCATGTCACCAAGGAGAGTGTGGGAGTGTCCTCCCATGATCAGGAAGAGACCCGAGGTCTCCTGAGCGAGTTTCTTGTCCACATCATAGCCAATGTGCGTAATCGCTGCGATGCGGGTGATGTTCGTGGTGCTCTTGATGTGGTCAATGGTCTTTTGAACGGCCTCAATGGGGTCACTAAAAGTGGTGCCGTCACCGGGACTGCTGATGTCGGGAGTCTCCTCTGTCGTGACTCCAATTACAGCCAATCCGTACTCTTCAAAGATGTGGTAGGGCTTGATGGTGGAGTTGAGCTTTTCGTTGTCAGACACGATGTTTGCCGACACGATGGGAAAAGTCAAATTCTTCAAAAAGTCGCCCAGTTCGTCGTCGCCACCGTCGAACTCGTGGTTTCCCAGAGTCATGGCATCGAAGCCCAATTGATTCAGAGTCTCCGCAATCTTCTCGCCCTTGTAGAACGTGTAGAAAAGAGTGCCTTGAAACTCGTCTCCCACATTCAGAAACAGACTATCTTCATGACCGGGTCGCGTCTCATTAATGACTGTTTTGACACGAGCATAGCCACCATAACAGCCCTTCGCTGGATTGGTACAATCCGTACCGGAGGACGAGAATTCGTCCAAATGTGCGTGCACATCATTGATGTGATAGAATGAGATGTTGTAGTTTCCTTCACTGTCAATGAACCGCTTGGAGAGTCTACTGCTGTACAGGCTGTCTTCAGCAGTCGCCAGACCAGCAACGCCGGCGATTGCGAGCGAGCGTAATGTCACCATCGTGAGTCGTTACAAGCGAAGGCTGATCGGCAGAGACCGAGGGTAATTGGAAATGGAAGAGTTGATTATCCTGTGCAGGGAGCGGGGATCTGAATCAATATGTACTGCCAACTGTCTGGACACTCAAAAGCTGATCCCACAGCTTATCAACACCCTTCAGGTGGCCATGACCATTGCATCCATCCCCGGTCAACAAAAACAACATCGTGCACTTATCCAATATTTGTAAGGTGTATCGTATCTTCCCTGAACAGCAAGGTACCGCATGCGCCAAGTTCGTGCGGCCTGACAAGCCTGGTGATACCGCAAATCAGAACTGCACGTGTGTCTTGGCCACCGGCGTTAGCATCTTGGCTTACTGATTGGGGACTTGGCAAAAGCCAGAATCCAGCGGAAAGCGTTCAGACACAGGCGAATATCTAGCCTTCTCCCGGTGCGAACGCCCGCTTTTGTTGTAAGATCCGGGACTCGGTCAAGGTCAAGACAGTGCTCGGAAATGATAGCCTCGTGGAGAACTGCTATGCAAGCGAGGCAGAGGCAGTAGATGTGCTCCAGCCGCCGTTCTCCGATGGCACTGCGTAACGTGGCTGGTTGGTACGGTGTGCTGTGAAGATTATTATAGGCAATTGTCGCGGCGGTCAGCGGCGGAATTCATGAGAGTCCTCTTGTTAAATCTGCCAAAACTGTCAATGTCGCAGATATCTATCTGATCTGTTGCTGGTGATAACGCTAAGGCCGGCCCATCGAGACTTCTTGCGGGGAAGATGCTAACCTTGCAGTATTCCGTAGCGTGTCAGGTTGCAAAAGCAACCTGCAGCACAAACATTGCTGCGACCACGAATGACCATGACTTCCATGACCTAATGTCCATCCCTGCGTAGCGAGCCACCCTGTATGGCGAGCCAAAACGAACGTACTTCACTTTTAAAACAACCTCCACCTCGCCCCCATAAATGCAACTGCTTAAATTTGTATGAATTCGATTCTTTGACTTTTTTAGAAGCCTTGCGCCATGTCCTAAGCAAAAATTACGACCGCGCCGTCGCGTAATCGCATAGGTTAAGGCCATTATCTCTCCGTCGCAGCATAAAACTCCTCCAACACAACCCCACTACCAACCTCTTACCACTCAAAATACTCATTTAGAGACGGCAGTAAGCTTTTCCATCCCCAATCTCATATTAAAAAGTCATGATCAAATCTGTAGCTGCTGTGGAAGGGTGCTTCATACAACATCGGCATACCGATCGGTACCTTTGGATGGAAAGGGCCACGATTATGGCTAGCGTCAAGACAGGGCTCCCCTGTCTGGAGCTGATAACGTGTGGCGGTATAGATACCCCAACACGTGATTCCGTCAATCCCTACTTAAACGAAACCGCCGACCAATGTCAACGCGCTTGAAGGTATTGTTAAGAATGATTCTGATGCTGACTTACAATCTGCAACAGCTATGACGTCTGCGGCAAACCAGGGATCCCACAGCAGTTGCCACGGGAGGGCATCCCAGAGCCGTTGCAGAATATTCCATGGCGGTAAGTCCGTAAATCTGTCACCGCACCAAACCGCATCGACAATAAAAGGCACATTCCTATAAATATAAGTGTATCACCACTTGCATCTTATAAGTTATGGGCTTATATAAGAGGACTGCAGCTAAGAGCTATAGCTACTTACCCTCATTACATGTCTTCTATTTCTGCAACCTTCTATTACCTGTGAACATTGTTACTTGGTGGAAATGCGTAGGACTCTTTTCAAGACATCTCGGCGTCTGCTTTTCAGGGCTGGTTAGGGAGCTGTCGTATCTGCAATTATTATTAGACGATCATGCATTGCCTAGCTTCTAGACATTAACTTGCCTAGCTTCTAGACATTAACTTACCAATAATGTTCTGGTTTAGGTCTAGTATAATTTTATGCAGTGATTGAACGTCGTGATGTTGGGATCCTAGGAGTGCCTTGAGATTGTCGTAAGCGCGTTGATAATATGTCCTCGCCTCGACTGGTCTACCCTGTTTCCCTAATAAGGCCCCAAAGCCCCACATTGTATTGATTGCTGGCCGATATCTCGCGATATGTTGGGGCCCTATAGCCTTCTCGTACCCTCGAAGCGCCCGTAAGTACATCTCCTCCGCCTCTTGTATCTTGCCTTGGGCTTTGTAAAAGACACCTAGGTTGTTAACCGTGTCGAGTGTCGACGTATGATCCGGTCCCCACGCCTTCTCCTTCCCTCGAAGCGCCCGCAAGTACATCTCCTCCGCCTCTTGCATCTTGCCTTGGTCGGAGAAAAGGATACCTAGGTTGTTGACTGTGTTGAGTGTCGACGTGTGATCCGGTCCCCACGCCTTCTCGTACCCTCGAAGCGCCCGCAAGTACATCTCCTCCGCCTCTTGCATCTTGCCTTGGTCGGAGTAAAGTGCACCTAGGTTGTTGACCGTGTCGAGTGTCGACGTGTGATCCGGTCCCCACGCCTTCTCCTTCCCTCGAAGCGCCCGCAAGTACATCTCCTCCGCCTCTTGCATCTTGCCTTGGGCTTTGTAAAGGAGACCTAGGTTGTTGACTATGTCGAGTGTCGACGTGTGATCCGGTCCCCACGCCTTCTCGTACCCTCGAAGCGCCCGCAAGTACATCTCCTCCGCCTCTTGCATCTTGCCTTGGGCTTTGTAAAGTGCACCTAGGTTGTTGACCGTGTCGAGTGTCGACGTGTGATCCGGTCCCCACGCCTTTTCCTTCCCTCGAAGCGCCCGCAAGTACATCTCCTCCGCCTCTTGCATCTTGCCTTGGTCGGAGTAAAGTGCACCTAGGTTGTTGACTATGTCGAGTGTCGACGTGTGATCCGGTCCCCACGCCTTCTCGTACCCTCGAAGCGCCCGCAAGTACATCTCCTCAGCCTCTTCCATCTTGCCTTGGTCGGAGAAAAGGAGACCTAGGGTACCGAAAGCCCATTCTAAGCCCTCACCGCTATCTTGCATTATGGCGCAAGACTTTATGGCATGTGCTAGTAGTCGTCTTTGAAGTAGCCAGAATTGAGCGTCTTCCTGGGATGGAACACGTGAGGCTATGCACTCTATCGCTAGTTTACTAAGACAGTCATCCCAATGCTGATTCAGAATGTGAGTTGTCCAAGAGTGCAAACATGCGTGAATACTGTATCCCCTTAACTCGATCACGTCTATACTAAGACTATGTGGCTCGACAAAGCCGTAGTCATGTAGTATGCCCATTGCGCCATTGAAGTTTAGCTCATCATTTAGCTTATACATCCACGATGGGACGTCGTCTCCGTACGACTGGAGGAGTTCGAACCACACGTCCTCGTTGTCAAAATAAGCCCACCATTGAAGTATACGGGCAGCCAGTGGATTTTGTTCCAGCACTTGATCGTATGAGACCCGCCACGTAGAGGAGAGTGTGCGGTCTTGATATGATCCTAGGCTTGGAGTGCTTGAGTGAAGCCTCGCCCACGACCTCTTATATAGGCGAAGATAATCACTGGGGCTAATCGGAACATGCCTAAGGTATGCTCCAGCTGTGGCAAGAGCAAGCGGAAGCCCGTCAAGCTCCTCCACAAGACGTCTAGTATCCGTGTCTATGGTCGTAATTAGTCGAGCCTAGCAATTTGCGAGAACCTTACCATCGTGCAAAACGTCTCGGCCCGACATCGTGGACAAGATTCTGAGACAGTCATCCATTGATTCAAGCTTTTGAATTCGAATACGATAACCTATATCGACTTGTGATAACCGCGTCGTGATTACGATCGAGCCTTGGTACGATATGGGAAGAAAACAATGAATATCGACCCCTATGTTATTGGCGTGGTTGGCCAAACTCGGATTATCGTAATTGTCGTAAACTATAAGCCACCTAGTGTTACCCGGCAGGCTGAGCCATGCCTTAACCGCTTCGATCACCTCCCCGTGGTCTTGTTGTAGATTAAGTGCACTTAGGTAGCTAGCATCAGGGTGTTGTTGCAGAATCTGCCTCGCTACTTTGGTGAAGCTCTGTTGAATCGACGCCCCGTCTTTGATATTAAGCCAAAACACCGCAGAGTATTCGTCTCGGTACCTCTTCGTATATGCTACGGCAAGCTGTGTCTTGCCAATCCCACCGAGACCGTGGAGAACAACGACGCGGCGGCTGCCGTCTGAATCTAGTGTTCTGCGCATCTTCGCAATTTCGCTCTCTCGTGCGACGAAATGTTGAGTTTCGGGAACCTCAGACAGGCTAAAGGATACAGAGAAATCGTTTGCACGGGTTCCTGACCATGTTAATCTCTTGAGTCTGCCGTCCACAGGTCGCCAAGGTCATCTTACCCTTGACCGCTTTCTGGACCTTCCTTCGTAGCCGTTCTTGTGCCTTCTCTCGACCTTCGCCATAGATGAGTGGCATGTGAACGTCAAACATCCCAAGCAGTGAATACACCATGTCCTCCTCAACTGTTGTTTCGCGGCCGCGCACCCATGCTTCTCGTTCTGCGATAGTAAAGTTGGACAAGGGCGTACCACGGAGCGCGCTCGTAGGAATTCCTGTAACGTCGCGTATAAAGGGCTCCAGTGATTCTTTGTCTCCTAACGAAACCCCTTCCTTTGAATAGAAATCGACTGTTGTTGGGGCGATCAGTTCTTGCAGCGTCCACCCACGTCGGAACCATCGACTATCTCGAAACGCATCCTCCCATGGCGTGACTGGTTGCTGTTGATCGGAATGCCCAGCGCTGGAGACATCACTCAAGTAGACGTAACATCGTTCCGCATCGCGGTACCACCGGAACATGCTGTTGATCGCAGTCTGAAGCTTGATGCTGTCCGATTTGTCGATACAGCAAGTGTCGACCCAGAAGTATCGCAGCCCATCTCGCCTCGCTTGCTCAGCACAGAACTTGATCTTCTCATAACCCTTTTTCTGCTGCCAGTCGTCGGGTATCTTCGCGAGGTCGTCAAAGACTACCTCGTCGGGCCCCCAGGTGTGGGACAGGATCGCGTATGCGGGAACTTCGTCGGGAGCGAGGTCGGGAGTAAGGCTGTAGTTACCTGCATCGTCGCGCTGTAACACTCGCATCGCAAGGTAAGAAAGGAATTACTGAAAGATCCCTAGGACTGATAAAATTCTGTTTGTCTGGATGGCCACAGTTCATAGGATGAGGGAGGCATTATTTCCGTTGTCGCGAATGTACTGATCAGCCAGGCTTGCACCAGGCTGCAGCTGCGGGGTAAGGACGAAGACTCAGTGGCAAGGCTGCAAGTCGCACAAAGCAAGCCTTCCGTTGATGCAGTGCAGGCATTCTCTGTGATTTGCATGACGCCGTTCTCAAATCGCCATACTGAGAATCGTAAACATTGTAGGGAAAGGAAGCAGCAGTGCATTCGAGCGCCCGCAACGGTTTCAACACCGCGGCCCCACGCTGCACCCGTATTACTGCCGGAACTAGCTTCTGACATTCTTGGTCGCGGTAAGCGGAGGTACTGTCAGCAGTTGCTTACAATCAAAAGGGGGCAGAAATGGACCTTGCTATTTCCTATCTTGCCAAACTCGCGACACCCACGCGCCTATTACTGTATCATATTTCTTCTGAACAATACTTTTGACATCGGGCGGTGGATTCGTTCTAACGGGGGATTGACGGAATCACGTGTCTATATCTGTACCGCCACACGTTTGTCAGCCTCAGCAGGGGTGCCCTGACTTGCGCTAGTCCTTTTCCATCGACAAGGTACCGATTGGTATACCGATGTTGTATGCATTGCCCTTTCACTGCGGCCACAGATTCGATCACGACTTTTGAATATGAAAATGCGGACCGGGGGGTCAGAAACTGTCCTGTGATGAGTATTACGATTGGCGAGAGCCCAATGGTGGGGTTGTATTGGATAGGTCGTGAATAGCGACGGAAATATGGTGGTCTCAAGCTACGCGATTACGCGACGGCGCCGATGATATTTTTGCTTGGACTGGGGCTCAAGGTGTCTAGATAGCCAAGGAATCGAATTTACACAAATTTGAGCAATTGCATTTATTGGGGGGAGGTGTAGGTTGTGTTAAAAACGAAGTATCTGCATTTTGGCTCGCCATACAGGGTGGCTCGCTACGTAGGGGTGGACGTTAGAATTGCCTAGGTGCTGCCACTCGAAGTTTGATTGCAGTTTATCAGGATTTACTGGTAAGAGCGAGTCTGGATCAACGTAACCCATGTGAGTACAATTCGCACCCTCACTTTCCACAACCAATCAGACACGGAATGAGCTAGTTTAAAACATGCCTCAATTGTTATCAAGTATGATGCGAGACTGCATACCGTGACCTGTCATCAGAAGCATCGCGTTGAACAAAGACAGTAATTTTGTAAATCTAATTTACCGTACCGCATTCGAGACAGCCGGCAGATGCATGCTGACATATAATGGCCAGAGACTTCATTGCACGCAGGAACCGATCCCCCTTTCGTGTTGCGCAGTAATATCACTAGCAAAAGCCACACGTGTCGTCATGAGAAGAGCAATCAACCTCCAAACGATTGGACTATTGTATCAGAAAAGCATGGGTAGATGACAGGCGGGCGAAAGACGTTATTATACCGTGTTGCATCGGCGCACAAGGTGACTACTCAGCGTGTTGCTTCAGTTCAGAGAAATACGAGAGACAGCACCGTCTCGTGACATCATTGTATACGAAACTCGGCAAAGATGACCCGCGTCTGCCACGGATAACGAAGACATAGTCTCATAGTGGAGGGGATGTGCACAGATGTTATCGGTCCGGTAAGATGTGGTGCATGATCGACGAGCGATTGGCGATGCTATTTCGAGGATGAAACGGTTTTGGCGGACGGCGCTTGTTTTGTCCACCAGCACTCCAGTCAACGTTAAAACGGTAGCCAGCACTCCGGCTGCGCAGTCAACGAAAGCGTAGCGGATACGTATTTACTGGTGCTGAGTGTCCCGTAGAGTTTGGGGGTTGTTACTCTCAAACAGAATACATGGTCATTCTAGCTTTGTTCTGACAAGCTTCTTATGGCGGATGGGTGCATGGAAGCAGCTTTCCATCTCCCTACGACGATCCGAAAATATGGCGAGCTAAATCATTGGTGGTGATTGTTTTCTCCCCATGTGTCTTGCATGCTGTCGGGCCGCATGTCCTGGGAAAAGAGACTTTGCAGTTCGCTTAAACCTAACAGGCTATACCTTCCATGGCAGGTCTTGGATGAGCGTTATACCTTGGCGTTGAAGCTTGCAGATCCTCATGGTAGCGAAAAGCGCCACATTGTTCCGATTTGCTTTCTTGGACCACTTGAGCAGAGGAGAGCTTACTGAATGAGTTCCTATGTAGATTAATACATACCGACGATTCGAGCGACGAATGCCCAGCGTTCTCCCCCTTGGGCTAACCTCAGACTTGCTGCAAAAGCAGAAGGTTGGCGCCATTATGACTCGTCAAGCACTAACATGGCTTGAAAATACAAGCACAAGCCGGAGATATAGCTTTGAATGGGCCGATTGTCGCGGTTGCATCTCAACCCCACCATGTCCAACCACTGGAGGACAAGAGATCCCTGGTGAACGCGGAGAACAACCGACGGCCACTCAATTGGGCTGGGACCTGCGATCGGGTTGGCCAAGCAGACTCTGGAACATGCTGCTCAAAAACTGTTGGTGAATACCGCGCGCTTTCGGAAACACTCCCGTCGAGGCTGAGCAGATGCACTTGCTGTAGATACGACAAACCAAGCGATGAAGGTGATGATCCGTTTGAATGACGAGATATCGTACAACTGACACGAAACCTGAAAACCATACGAGATGTACGGATCCGTGGCTAGCACTCTACATAGTACCCCGTATTAAAATGACACGCAATTCTCGCCCCAACATCCAACCACTGCCAGCCTCTTGAGAATACGCTGATTGAACTGAGCGCACTTGTGGCATCGCTTAAGGGAGAACTCCATTGATAACCTGCATCGTAGCCCCCCATTGAGCTAGGGGACAGGGGAAAGGTATTATCCCACCATCTCCAGGATCCATCGACAGAGCTACGCCGATATCCACCATCTCGCCATCGACTTTACCTGCAGCAACGAATCAGGCACTGAGACACCCCGCCATTTCCTGCTCAGGTACGCTAACACTTGCATGCGCTTTGCAGGCGCTTGCAGCTTGTCCCTGCTTCTGGCCCTGGCCATTGACACCCTCCATCTCGAATGAGAGGAAAAGAGGTGCGAGACTTGAGAGATCCATTTCCGAACTTGGAGGTCAGGGCTGTCAGGGTCTCAATTGATTTCTATTGAATCGCTTCGACGACTCGTCCGAGACTACAACTTTCTGAGGCTTGCCCCGACTCGACTCTGTCTATTTTATCCACCATTGGCGCTCACTACTGGAGCTTTTGCCACCTTGTATTATATTGCATTAAAGCCGCCCCCTGACCCAGATTCGGGTCAGAAATTCATCATTCACACTCTGGGAAGTTTCCACCTCGTATCTCCAGTTAAAGGCAAGAATCTCCACAGCGGGTTCAGCAAGAAAACAAAACAAGCATCAGACGTCACTGCTACGGGTGCTACAGTAGCAGCTCAGGCGTTCGTTCCTCTGTTCTTTTGGCATTGAACCGAACCGGAAACCAACCTCGGGGGACAAGCTCCTTTCTTGCACTACTCAATAAAAGACTCCATACATATAGTCATCCGTCAGCCGTCAAACCTTTTTGGTTTTGAGTTCAACCGTACTCGACCACGTTACACCGTTGCCAGATTAGAGACGACACGCGTTTCTTCCGTATACGTACTCACTAATCTCGGGACACCCCAAACCCACTGGCCTGATCTACTCTCGCTACATTTCTGGACCCAAACTCAAACCCCTGGCTAGGCCCCTAGCTTCAAAGCATAGCCACGCTGATAACGATACCGTTGAAACATCGACCATCACGGGTTGTGTGTGATATACAATTGGCATTCCGGCGAATTCTGTCCTGTCCTGTCCTGCCCTACCCTTGACGGCGATCGAATCAGATCAGATCAGACCTTTTGAATTCTGATTTTCTAAAGACAAGGAGTCTCCGGGATCACCTTCTCACAAGTTCAATTCATTTGTTGCGAGCACAATCACAAAAACCCCCACCACTATACTATCATGGGTATCACAAAGAAGTTCGACAGAGCCTTCCAATGGGCGGGAGAGAAGATGGGCCAGGAGGCCAAGACGAGCCATACAGATGACTTCAGGATGCTCGAGACTGAAATGGCCCTTAGACATGAAGGTACGCTCCCGTCCAGCCCCCAATATCCCCGGGAGTTACCATGGCGGTGGTGACACGATCCTTTTCGTTTTGTATGCATGGCGCATGCACGTCAGCCCCGCGAGATCGGGGATCTGGACCTGGACCTTGGATCCTGCATATGACACATTACGATTGTACTAACACGCACCGCCTTTGCAGGAATGGACCGACTCCAAAAATCAATGAACACATACACCAAGTCACTCTCCCGACGATGCGAGAGCCACGAAGACAAAGACAAGGGACTCCCTGTTAGCTTTCTAGGAAGGACCATGATCAGCCACGGTGAAGACTTCGAGCCCGATTCAGACTTCGGCAACTGCCTGGTCGCCATGGGCCAAGGCAACGAGCGCATCGCTGGCATTCAAGAGACCTATGTTGCGCAAGCTTCTTCATACTGGCTCGAGGGCTGCGAGCGGAACCTGGCCATGATGAAAGAATATCAAGCTGCCAGGAAGAAGCTCGAGAACAGGAGACTCGCGTACGATGCCAGCACCACCAAAGTGCACAAGTCAAAGCGTGAGGACTTCAGACTAGAGGATGAACTCCGAGCAGCCAAGGCCAAGTACGAAGAGTCGTCGGAGGACGTGTACCGTCGCATGCAAGACATCAAAGAGGCAGAGACGGAAGCCATGCAAGACCTCACCAATTTCCTCGATGCTGAGCTCGAATACCACGAGCGCTGTGCCGAGGAGCTTCGTCGTGTGCGTGCAGCATGGCCCGCAGCTGCGACCAGTGGAGTATCAGCCAGCAGAGGTGGTCAATCCGAGTATGGCTTGTCTCGCCGCACCACTCGTCCGAGAAGTAACACAGCTCAATCATACGGCGAGCGCAACGACCGCACTGAACGATGGGCAACCCGACAGGATATCTACGAGGACCCAGAGCCTGCTCCTGAGCCAGTCCGCATGCCCATCCGCTCAACCCGTCAAGTCAGCAGCGGCACCACAACCCCTGCTGAGCCTCCCCGTCCTGGCTTTAACCGTGCTTCGACCCATGTGGGCACATTCGAGGGGCCCCGCGATAGACCAAGCTACAGAGAGCCACCGTTGCCGCCGCCATCGCAAGAATCGCTTCGCAAGACCCCCAGTATTCCTAACGCTCTCAACGTCCCTACCAATGTTGGCTCCCTGAGAGGCAACCTGCGACCCATCAGCCGCGTTCAGACCAACACAAGCAACAATGGAGATGTTTTTGCAGATGAATATGATACCGCTACCAGCAGCGGAAGCCCCGAATATGATCGGAGCGAGAGCCCTGCAACTAGCTATGGCAGCTTGAGTAGAACGACTAGTAACACTTTGCTCTCAGCCAAGAAGGCACCACCGCCGCCCCCCAGCCGTGCTAAGAAGCCACCGCCACCCATTCCTCAGAAGCGGGACATCGCCTACTAGAACTGGAGATCTCGAAAGATGTATATCGTCTTGTGCATAGTTATGCGTCTCCCGGCTCTGGCCCTGTTCCATTTTGGCACTAATGTGTCTGTATGTGTCGGATTCTAGAAGTCTTACTGTTTCGTCGCAGAGCACTCTTGGAAGCACGTTTTGTTGGAAGATGATATCCAACTATATGTTTTCTGTTCGGTCGCGAAATACCTGACACACAAAAGTCTGTAGAATTTATTGCGCATGGTGTTGGGAGTTTATCTATGGGCGCCGGCAATCAGTGCCGTTGGTGCTTGGGGTTCGAGATTTAATATCATTATGGGACTGGTTCCTTTGGTCTATCAACATACTATACTGTCCCTGGCCCACTGTGTGATCTTTGCGTAGTGTTATGGCACGCCTGACTCGTGCACATTATCTAGACCTCTCGTGAGGTTGAAATCGCAGAGGAATTTCGAGCTTGCAGGCATTTCTGATACGTTCGCTTAGTATTGACACACGCGGCGCCTATACAGTCGGGCCACATCGCGTCGTCATTCTGCAGCATCTGAGGCTCACCGATTACTAACAGTCATTGATCGATTCCATGAGCGAAAATACATGCATCATACTGACAGTGCCATGACGGACCCGTGGAGGTTAAGATTGCAGTGAAGCCATTCAACCACTTTGCAGGGCTTTAAGTTGCAGCAGACGCATCCTGGCTATGGTGAAGATTGGGTCCCCCAGCACCCACGTGTTCCTGGGCCACTCGGCGACAATGCGCACTATTGTTATCTTGCTCCTGCGACTAGTCTAGACGCTGGCTCGATCGCATTCATGAGCCCCCCTCCCATGACACTGGCGCTCGCGTCGAGGAACGCACCTCTGAAATGTCCTCACAACGCCCTGCCATGCTCACGTTCCCGCCCCGGACGGGGGGTAGAACGGATCGTTCCGCAAAAGCGACCACGCCGCGAGCCGCACCCCGGCCTCGTTTATGCTCATGTCCCGGCAGCAGTCAAACTCCAGGACCCACAGACCATGCCCGCCTATATGCCCGGACTACTCGAAGCGAGCAGGCTCAGCCGCACCGGCCGTGACGTCGGTGTCCTCGGCACGGCCGCACGATGTAGTCGCTGCTGGCGGCTTTGGCCTTGATGGCGTCAATCAGCGCTGGGGTGCAGTAGTACCTATCGATGAGGAGGTGCCGGGCGTGTTGGGCGACGGGCGGAATGCGCTGTGTGCCGAGAGTGCTGTAGGCCGGGTACCCGTCCGGAAAGCGGCCGACGTTGCTCGTCTCCCAGCTGGCATGCTCTAGCAGAGAAGGTCTAGCATTTCAATGTTAGGAATGAGGTGTGAATATGCCCCATACAGTAGCTGCTGTGGTAAACATCGAGTGGTTTGGTGTGAATCTTGAAGTCGTCAAGGAGAGATCGGCCGAGTCCTTCGTCTTCTTGTTTGAGCACAGTGGATGTAGAGTGGAGTGAGTCGTGTTCGGGATGTGCGCGGCTCTATACACTGCCGCAGTTGCCGGCACCGATGCGGCCGTAGAGGCGCTTGAGTTGCGTCCTTGGTAGAAGAGATCGTGCTCTATATCCTGAGCTAGAAATATTAGTTCGTTGTAAGATTTGAAAATGATGTTTGTTTTGAAAGAGATGAGACTTCCAGATTAGCAAGGAAGAGGAATGTTCTTACAGTTGACTCCTAAAAGCTTCACCATACCTGACTCACAATGCCAACGCCGAATTTAGAGCTTTGTAGAAGAGAGGTAGTGCAATATCTGCTGAAAGGCCGATTGAGTTAGATATCATGATAGTGCCGATTCTGTCACCGAACTGTAAGCTCAACATTGGACAGACATAACTTGATCGGCCAAACTATGATTACAGAGTTTTCCAAAGTGGCATTGACTCCAACACTCCCTGGTCTGAACATGATCATCCGTCTTATCCTATATTATTCTTCTAAACTTTCATTCGGCCGACTTCTGATATAGTGACTTTCCAAGTTACTATGTGTTGTGTTCGTGGAAGCGCGATGGAAATAACATGAATAACACACGCGGAATTCTGTATGCACCACTTGATCGACCTTCAAGAGGAACTCTCCAGCGACCGGCGCTGATACGAGCAGGTTGGAGCAAAAATACTACGTCCAGCCCCGCTCTGGCGTTGTTGACGAGAATGCCACCGTGCCTGTTTTGTCCTCATCGTCCCTATGGGTGGTTGAGGTGTTTGATGAAATACTTTGAACCTCACCGTGTAGTTCAATATCGCTCTCCCATGGCTGACGGGCTGGTTGAAGCGAGGCAGCCCCATCCGAGATATCCTCGTAATGGTTCCTCCGCGCGGATCTGGATCCCGAGTGCGGCGTGACTGTCTTGCTTGGAGTGGACTTCTGACTCGTACCGAACACCGACGGGACAAGCTTCGCAAATACCATGTGGATGGTGGGCAAGCATAGCACGATGACCGTGACTTTCACCTCGAGCGATGTCCAGATGACGGGGTTGGTATAATCCCATGTCGGGTTCAGTGACTTGGCGAACTGTGTCAGGTAGCGCAGTCGGAAGCAACTCGCTAGGACCACGAAGATGCCGAGGCTGAACATGAAGAACGTCATAAGGCGCTTCTTCAGCGACATATTGAGCTGTGCAATGATTGGTAGCGGCAGAACGAGGATGGTGATGTCTTGGGCGATGCCAATCCCGGCGGCGGCATAGGCGAGGGCATTGACGTCCAAGCACTTGTGCTCGCCGAAGTCTCCAAATACGCCTTCCCAGTTGTAGTTGATCGGCCAACATTGGAAGATTGTCATCAAGATGATAACTACCGCTGACAGCACCACCCATGCCATGACGATCCAGCATATCATCCGGAACTTCGGAAGGGCGAACACTCGAATTAGGAAGAAAAGCAAGATCACGCGACAGAGCGCGAGGACTGCGGTATAAAAGAGCTCATCAATAAAGAAGAGCTGTGTTGGTGTCAGTAGATCAACCAAGGCCCCGAATTATTGATGTCGTACCTTCAAAGCGGTCTTGATTGTTGACATTTCGAGATCCCAAACATCATGTCCGATCGCCGTGATACGGACTATAGTCATAGGTTAGCGCCTGAAGATGTGCGGTGGACGCCGGGAACGAGTGACTGACCATAATTGCCGAGGACCATGAAGGTCACGAAGAAAAATAGTAGAACGAAGGCAACCCAATCGTCCGTCTCTATCTTCCTCGTCATCAACGGCCGACTGACCAGCCGCACCAGCAAGCATATCAATGACACAGCATCGAGTACGAGAAACGGGGGTATATCTCCGGTCTGGTGTCTTACCGGTTTATCGCATGCTACTTCGTCGATCTTTGCAACCTCTATAGCACATTAGCACGATTTGAAAATGGTTCAACCAGTTCCAGTGTGAACCTACTTAACCTGTCTAACACCGTGCAATTGGCTGACATACAGTCATTGACGGCAGCGAGGAGCGCCTCGTTAGTGCATATACAGGTCGAGTTTGTGACGACTTGGCACTGAGATAATGGAACCGCTTGCAGAATACAGTTGATCTGATAATCGTGAGTTGAAACCTAAATCCAGAATTGCTCTTACAACTTACTCCACAAGTTGGTATCTCGTCCGCATAATCGAGAAGACTCTTGGCGTGACAGAAATTGGGTATCAGAGTCGCAAGAATTACAACAAAATGTCCCAGCTTCATGGCTTCATTGACTTCGTGCTCTACGTCTTATTCCAGAACATGCTTGTCCGTACAAGACAGCGTCAGCTTCGAGTCTCGACCGTCAAAAATTTGCTGTCGTTTATTTCAGGCCAGCGCAACCAGGCGATACGGCGATACGGCGATACAGATTGTGGAAGTAGACAAGGGATGAGGACCATGCCATATCATTCTGCAAGGTGGCATCTTGGGTAACCCTGTGCTAACATGGGAGATATGCACGATTCCGGTAGCCAATCTGAGATGCAGACAAGGTTTCGGCACTTGTCAGCTCCATCATGTTTCCTTTCAATATAATAGACCAGGGGAACCATGTGGCAGAACTGCACCAGCGGTGTGAAATCGAGCCCTAGCGTAGGTTTCGTAATCGACTGCTCCGCCGCAGCGTGATAGCGTGCGTAAAGTTGATGAGCAATTGTGCACTTATCAACCGACTAGTTGGTCATGGTCGGATGGAAAAGCGTTAGAAAGGCGGCTTGAAGTGCGGAGATTCGTTTACACAATGCGCACTGTTTATATTTTACTGAGTGCAGGACGCTTCCCTGGTGTGGAGGAGCTGATGTCGAATAACAGATATCATGGGCTGTGGATCATGTTGTAGTGGTCGATGCCAGTCCTTTAGGGATGATCCTTGTACGACGGCGGCACATTGTCAGTCATGTATATTCACGAAAATCTGTTGCGTTCTTCAGATCTCCATATTGGCGGTGTCGTTTGCTTCTTGACTGTAAGCTTGAGCTTGTTCTGGTGGTCAGACTGCACTATATATATATAGCGTGTCCTAAAGACCGCAACACGAGGCGCCAATAGTTAACATTTTCTCATCGTGTCCGCACAAATCCGCATCACTGATAAATCCACCACAACTGTGCCGATCGGATTAAATATATAATAAATTAAGAAAAACACCTGAAGGAGTGGTCACTACGCAGCAATCAATGAGTATGCCTTGCATACTCTTGCTTGACGGTTGAAACAGGCCTTTGATGATCAACAGCTAGAAAGGCGCCAACGAACCTAACGATACGGGTGATCGACGTTCCAGCCGAAGTGCATCTGGGGGTCCCGTACTTTTGCAGGAAGAGATTGGCTTGGTCTTTTGGACCGATGCAAATAATGGTATAGAACTAGTCTGGCCACCGGATAGACGATCAAAGCGCAACTTTCGCACCACGTGGGTTAGCCGTGAAGCTACTGCAGCAACAACATCGCATTGGCAGGACTTTGAGTCGCGTATGGAAGACGGTCAGAGCTTCATGAGTTATTTCGCCTTCAAAACACAACATTTAAGAGATCAAGAACCTGACTTAAGGTTTACAATCCATACTCGAAAGATCAACCCAGGGGTCCCATCCTGTCAATCGTGCTGGCAGCACCTCGCCACTGTTTCGTGTATGTCGCGCAGATATATCCAGCTGCTGAATTTACCAGCAATGGCAAGTCATATTTGACGAAATTTCATTTCGAGAAGTCGTGTGGACGTACTGCCCAGATTAGCAACACTCTCCGGCCTAAGGGACAATCCGCCATGCCGGACCCGAATGTAGAAGCATTCGGTCGAGTGCCTTGTTCTCACGTTCGTGATGGCAAGCTCATTCTAAAGCCATCTTGGCCAGTCGGAACATATTGAGGCGCATATAGACAAGCCATGAAGCGTATTAGACTCTCACGATAACTTCCTTGGCCCCACGTGCTCTTATGGTACCATCGGAAGCCGGCTGAACCAAAGCGATGGCCGGTATTGATTTGTTCTGATAACACATCAGTCCATGTAGGCAATTTCCATCTATCAATATCAATACATTGTATGGTTCAATGAAGACGATTCTGCGCCAAACACTGGTTTCACCATGAGCACAGCCGTGAAGTGAATTCGCAAGCTCCTGTTTCGTGAGGGATTGGGTAAATGATTTCGTTGTGTTGGTTTCGAAAGACACAATAAGGGCAGGTACTCGATAGATAACCGTATAATGGCCTGCCCTCATATCTGATGCAAATAAGACTACGACTGATCGACTTGTCTTCAAGCAAAGCTCTGGTAGGGAAAGTGGGCACAACAGTTAAGACACAGGCTCGCTTCTTGGAATCAAATGCCGTTGTGCCATATGCTTCTTTTCTTGTTCTTATTATGTAGTTTCTTTTAGAACTTTTGTGGATTTTACCGATTGTAGAGCCGTGTCATGGACCCCTGTAATACCAGTTCGAACGACTTGCCTTGAGCAACCATCTAAAATCTTTCCTTGTCCTTGATCGGGATGTCGCTGCCAGTTTTGTTCTTGTATTGACCGCGAATGAAGTCAGAGATCTGCTCGTCCTTAGCCTGCTCTGCAGCGCTCTCGTTATCTTGAGCTCCCTGGCCCAAAACGTTCTGCTGGACCCAGTCGACACCTGGAAAGTCAGATCAGCAAGTATTTGAAGCCCGCACGAGAGGTAGCTTGTATGCTCCAACGTGACATTCCGTGATCTTACCCTTATCAAGAGCATCCTCACTCTTCTCACTCTCCTTGCCGCCTCCAGCCATGCCGTTCAACTTGTCCATAAAACCGCCGCCACTGGATTGCTGTTCCTGGCCCTGGGTAGTGGCTTGCTGACCCTCAGCCTTGTTTCCGCCGGTGAGCTTGTTGACGAAATCCATGTTGATGGTTTGGTGATAGTTTTGCTTGGTGGTGTTGAGAAATTGATTGCTTGTGATGGGAAAGGATTTGTATGACAAGAGAAGCACAAAAGGTCTGGGAGAATTATAAGTGATTCCGGTCAGGATATTTAGTCCTTTAGCCAAGGTAATGGCTGAAAGTAAGGTGAATGTATCGACGTCTAAAGGTATCACGGTGATGTCATCGCCAAGAGTCGCGTGTCAACCCCGCCATTTGTGATTAACTGCCTTGCTGCAATTGAGTCCCATTAACAGGGACTACCACGGAAGCATTGGACCTGAATGGTTATCAAACCGGGAAACTGCGCCTTGATGCGTGAGATCGCTTGAGGTTATCTGAGGAAATGTCATTCGCTAATCTGCTTACGTAGTAACTGCCAGCTGCTGTGAATTGCCCCTCAAGCGCGTCTTCTACGCGATCGCCTGTGTACCCCGCGCACGGAATAAGGCCGACTGACCTGGGGTCTGTAATGTCTCTCAAACAAAGTAATCACAATGATGACGTTTCGGAACCCATGGGGCGTTGACCTTTCGACAATACAGGACTCCTGAATATTCTTTCAACTCTGTTTGCGGGGCTTTCTTTTATTTATTCTCCTCCTTTCTTTTTTGGACGCTATTCCTGCGGACTGGCACAACTGGAATCGCGACATGTGTGCGAACCCATTCTCAAGTATGACCGGTCATATTTGCAGGCGAATATTACTCTCGTAGCCAGCATTCCATCACAGGAGACTGGCCAGTCTTGCAGATATATTCAAGCGCTTCACAATGGGTATCGGGTATGTGTACTTAACGAAGCATCATCGCCTGAGAAATAGCGAATTGTTTCCGCGTGGTTACCAATCACATTTGTCATTCATGAGTAAAGCTCCTTACAGTCGAAATGATGCACAACTTCAGACTTCAACGCTGTGTGGCGCATGCCAACGGCAAATAGACGCAATGTCACGCAGCACTTGCTTCGTAACGGGTCACTGTTGAGTGCACATGAGCGCTGTGCAATGCGAATGTATTGAAACCTTGACCGAAACTACTGGTCGATCTTTGGGTTCTGCAAGTGCCGTCGCGGCGGCCTACACTTCGGTTAACCAGTGATATGGGATGCTCACCCCGAATAAGGTAGCAGGGGAATTGTCAGTTGTAGAGCGAAGATAATCAGCAGTTTCCAGCTGACCATGACCTAATCGCAAATTCTCGTCCTCTTGACATTTCGTCTAGCACAAGTTGTCTATCACGGTTCTCAATAATCCGAAATTTCAATGCAAATATAGATCTTCGCGACCCCCAAATGGTGCTGGCCATGCCGTCCGTTAGCGGTATATAGCGCTCTATTAACGAACCAGTCTAACCCAACGCTATGAGCAAGCGGGAGGCGGTCTCTCTTTTTGGCGTAGTGTGAAGGCCTATCAATTCCTATTCTATGGTGATTCAGCGCTCTGGCAACGACCTGCGTCAAACTTTGCCCATGTTGATGTTGGTGTCAACTTGGCTTAATGCACGACGCGCGAACGAAGCTGCCTTCGGGATGAATTGACGCCAGTTTGATGTCATCAAAATGGACCATGATGGACATCCAGCCTCGGATATAAACTGTCGGGGCTTAGATTGAGTGTTTAAATATGACTTCGAGGTCCACTGTGAACAAAGACGACTGTGTCAGCTGCCCTCTAAGTTGTACTTCAGATTCATGGCAACATTAGCTTCAATTTGCAATATACCCCAGATCTGGCATTCTAGCGTTTGCTGGCCTGCTTGCTAACGAAGCTGTAATAATCTCAGCTTCCTGTGACAACGCTACTCCAGTAGAAGAGAGATAGCTCGCTTTGGGGCTCGTTGGAGGACTTGTCGGCAGTGCTGGGGATCTTCTAGGCGAAGTCAAAACCCTCCTGAAATGGCGCGACGGACGCAACATCCATCCTGAACATCTTGGAAGGAATCATACCAACGGCTACACCTACAAATATCGCTCAGGCTTCAACTACACTAGAGGCGACCTACAGCACAACCCCAACTAGCATTTGGGTCAATATTGGTGTCCAAGTCGAAGCTGACGTGATTCCGAACGACATTTTTTGCATAGTTTTCAGCTCAAAAAGCGGTGCCGGAGAGAATTCACAAACCAACGAAAACACAAAGAAGCTCGATATACTTTGTCTATCTTGAGACCGACCCAGGCGATGCGCCATACTCCTTCAGTGAGGCCACCCTTCGTGCGGCCATATAAATCCCCAGCTCTTTCACATACGGCTCTAGCCACCCACAATCTTTGTGCAGGCACTGGCTCATAAGGCGGTATCAACTTCGCCTCTAATCTGCGGAAACTTCTCACAGGAGTCGACTATGCTGAGCCAGTTTGGCTGAACATTCTAAATGCCATGTTAGATGATGCTCAAGCAAATTCGGAATGTATCGCTTACGTGATTAACTACATGTCGGGCTTCAGCCAGCAGAGTAACGTAAGTGTCATCTTTTGGTCGCAAGGCGGCCTCGATACACACTTGGCGTTCACCTTTTTGTCTTCTACGCGTAAGTTAGTATCGGACTTCTTGCCCGTATGTCCTGATTACCATGACACTCTTTTACCAAATATCCTTTGAAATTTCGCGAACAGTGATTCAGCCCCTGTGCTTTGTGATCCCTCTGTGATTCAGCAGACATACATATCTGACTACATCTCGACCCTCTGGGCCAACGGTGGTGTCAGCGCATATGCCTACTGCGACGTTCTACTCTTCATTCCTCGACGAGATTATTGAGCCGTAATCTGACACTGGCGCATCTGCATACATTCGTAAGGGCGCGGCGTCTACGTCTCTAATGATGAGGTTCAGGTTGTATACGCTGGTTACCAAGGTGGCACTTTCTATATGCACGCTGGAGTCCTCTACAACCCACTTAAATATGCACTTATCGTAAACGTATTGAACCATGATGGCCTCGGTGCCATTTCCAGCATAAAAGTTCCGGAAATATGCGCTTCCAATGTTGCAACACTAAATTCGGGGAGGCTGATGCAAGGGATGAAGGAATATTTGTTGCGTGACATGGTTGGAGACGATAATTATGACCGCTAGTGCGCATCAGTGACTTACGGATATAAAGCAGGAATGGTTTTTATGTAGTGAAGGTCAGTGACACCTATGGATCATCAATTCACTCAGAACATTGAGGGCATGCAGTACCGCAGCTAAATGTTAGAGTCACAACATGAACACTGAATTGCCTAAGAATAGATTGAGGCAGCTAGAGTGACCAGAAGGTTTTGTTTGCGATGCGGTCAGGTGATGTAGCTCTGTAAGTGGCGGAGACCAAGTGTATATGTAACAATCCTTATGCACTCTGACTTTTTGGACCAGGAGGAGGAGCAAAATGTCTTTCAGGAGTTAGATCTGCTAGCTTATGACCTCCTAATGTACGTACACAGAGAAGAGAAATCTAATCGTGTCAGTATTACTGCAAGTCCAGTTATATCTCCATCAAACAGGGACGAAGTCGTACGCCTTGACCTCCAAGCTGTCGAAGTCTAGCGCCATCTCGGATTTTATCACGGATAGTCTTGCCGTTCGTTAACACCAAGAATTAGACGAAATTTCAGTATTCGTTTAGTTGTCGATTCTGCTGGCCTTTTTAATCAAATGAGTCATCCTCAATTAGAGAGGCTTGGTTTAGCAGCATTTTAGGTCTGTCACAACTCAAGAAAGCAAGCGAGCCTCCATTATTTAATGAGATCGGCGAAATAGCGCAAATCGGTATTCGTAATTCAACTTAAGCCTACGTAAGGCACTGAATAGCTTATTCCTGAATCGAGTTTTGATAAGGTGTCAAAGCAAGCCGAGGGAAAACATCCTCTTAATAGGGGCGTTACACTTTAAAAGCGGCAGCATTGACGCTTAGACGACTGTAGCGCCAGTCAGGCCGGGCAGAGGGTCAGTCACTTTCATAGAGACTTTAAGCCACCAAGGTCGGAGGGAAACAAGATGGTTGTCATCTGGTCAGCCAACGATGATAAAGATTTTGGACTAGCACCACTAGCGAAGAAAACAGCAACAGTTCCTGCAAGTTGCGCCATACACATTATCCCCGAACTTGGAATACGCCGCTTCTGAAGGATATGAACCCTGGGATTCCCAGCAGGAGTTTGAGTATCCCTATTTCGATGACAACATACCTTGGTGGTGATATTCGGTGCCTCCATAGTTTTTGAATAGATAAAATGGAAGTAGCCAACCATCTCGCGATCTATACACTAGGGTTACTATGCAGGCTATTCTCATCAAAGAATTTGACTTTTACGCAGCCGTCCAACACCTAGGCCGCTTAGCCACCCATCTTTTTTGATATCAGGTGGTTGGCCGAAGAAACAGACGCTGCACAGTGGAGGACCGCTGATATGATAACGTTGACATTCATAAATACTTCGTGCTCATTCACCAGCTGCTATCCTGATTTTGCGACTTAGTCGCCCATATTCCCTGATCATCCTTCCTGGCCTGGACTGTTTCTGATCCGGGTCCGTGGAAAACTGTCAATTCTACAGGAACTCATGCAAGTAAATGGCCGCATTCTTGCTCAATGGCCCCCTGTTGTATGAAGACATCTGGCACCGCAGGACTATTCTGTACAGCGAACTGAAGCGTATGTGGCGATCGTGTCGGAATATTGGTGGGCTTCGTGTCCAATTCTGTCCTACAAACTTGAATAGTTCAACGTCGTTGTATGGGGCAGAGGGGAAAAAAATAGGTCGGAGCTCCGGCATTACTCAAGCATGAAAACCTCAGTGACCCAGATATTTCGGATTGTAGCGCTACTCTAGATTAATTTCCCTGACAAAAGACAGAACCCGAGTTTTATTAGCCGCTCTCTTCCCAAACGTAACTGAAAAAGTGTTCAAATTCGCCATTTGCCAACGGCTCTTCTTAGTGATGTGATAGCACCACTCGACTTTCATTCGTAGACTAGTGAAAGGATGGTAAGTCAAAAGTCGATTTCTGAGTATGTGAGAGCTAGTAGCGCTCAGAAGAACAAACGGATGCATCAAAGGCTACTATATCCGCCTTTGTTAAGGGTGATTATTTTAGTGCGATAAGTATTAGGTGCATATGGGAAACGACGCAACATCAGTGGCCCGAGGCGTAAGGCAGCAGAAGAGCATAAATCCTCAAATGTAGTTCATATACTAAGCTTAGAGAAAGTTTATCATCTATTCAGGAAAAAAGAAGCCACATCTATACGCCCGAGTCATCTTGCACCACAGCATTTGCTGTTTGATAATCATTCCATGCTGCGCAATTACTCTCCAGACGCTCTGCGTCTATCAGCGGTGCCAGGTCTTGTGCTCGCTCCAGAAACTGGAGAGCAAAGCCTTCGCTCGTGTGCCAGCCAACGTGGCAATGCATGAGCCAAGCTTGTGAATAAAAATCAGCACTACACCTCACAGATTTGTAGATTTTAACTCACCTCCAGGGTTATCAGTCTCGAAAGCAATAACCAGGTATCCACTGGAGAGTAGCATTGCTGTATCACGGCGAGGAGGATTGTGTAGGTTGAGAGTGATGTTGTTGTTAAAGGTACCGTAACCCTGCCCGAGGACAAGAAAATCATGGCCATGTAAGTGTATAGGATGAGGCCCATCCATGAGACTTTGAATGACGATGTAAGCCCATTTATTAGCCTCCGGCAGCTCGATGAGATTTTTGGACGTGAGAAAGTTAGTATTATTATTGTAGGTTTGGAGCAGTGTTGGATTTTCCCAGTCCACGACCATGGTACTGGAATTCAAATACCACCGGAATAGGCCTTCATCATTAAACCAGCCGTATAAAGATTGAGTCTTGTTCCAAGTGGAAGCACCCACATCCTGAGCGAAATACGGTTTCAGATTCGTGGCAGCTTCATCTTCGCAGCTATCGGTATAATTGTAAGGTTGTGAGGTAGGTGTAGACTGTGACTCCCCGTAGTGTATAACCCCTTTAATGTTATCTGGGGCGGCATTGTTGCTGCAAGTTTCTTGGGGAATCGCTCGAATCCAAAAACTGGAATTTGGGGCGTCATCTTGATCAGCTCGAACAATTACATCATAACGTTGACCTACGGTAAGTAGTGTTAGTCAAACCTCCTTATTACTGTATAAAAAATTACTGAACATACCCATGGCAATGTCCAAAATGTTTGTAGTATAAGGGTGGATTGGAACAAGGTCATTGGCGATGACTTGAAGGGTGTGATTATCGATGGAGAACTTGAAATGTGTGTCGATAGCGGCATTAATTAGCCTGATCCTATACGAGGTTCCCGCGGTAAATGACAGGTTCAGACGCTGGCCAGTCTGTCCAACAACATCACCACCACTGTATACATTTGTACCGTTGAGCAAGCCGTTATCTAATTCGAATGACGCACCGGTTTGTTCGATAGTATGCAATGTGTCAACGGGTATATGGCTCCAATCGTTTAGAAAGAGCACCCCAAGATCCTCGTCGTAATTTGCTGCGCTTGGACCATTGATAACAATGCCACCAAAAGCACCAGCCCATGCCTGAAGCCCAAAATGAGAATGATACCAAGTCGTTCCATATTGTTCGGCTTTCCACTTGTAAGTTATGGAGGATCCTGGAGGTGTAGGACACTGGGTAATGGAAGATACTCCGTCGTTTTGATTCGTGTAGTTCTGCCGAATGCCATGAAAATGGATACTGGTGCCGTTCTTCGACGAGGTCAACGAGTTAGTAACATGAACAACCACGGTGTCCCCTATGAATTTAGTTATCAATTTAAATCAGAGGTGAAAGCAATTGAGACTCACCCCAATCCGCAAATAGAGTTGGGCCAGGAATGCTACCGTTAATAGCCATAGAATATCTCTCAACACCGTCGGGGGCAAACATGCCATCCGTCAGCTCTAAGTAGTACTCGCGTGTCACACCAGTATCTAGAGAAGTAGATATATAATTTGTGTTGATCGAGTGTTCGCACCACTCCGATCGTGTCTTAGCGGTGTTGCCCTGACATGGTGAAATTCGATCCGTGTGCTCTTTGGAAGGAACACAAGAGGATTTTGTAAGCGAAATGAGAATGGAAAAAACTGAGACAAGTTGGTGAATCATTTTGTCGTACAGCATAGTCGATGCCCATGAAGCATAAAAAAACACTCTACAAACGCGTTCAATGTATAAGAGAGGATTGTGACACGACACAGATGAGCAGTTGCATATGTTAGGCTATCTATCATGGTGGCCATCGACGTTTTATATGGGAACGTACTATTCAGTTCTAGACATAAAGTCACTTTAGATGCTGCTATGGAAGTCAAAACTTAACGTGGGTACTTTCGCATGACGATGTTGAATTGTGCTAGCATCAACGGAAACCGGCAAGTCCTCTCGCCGCGATATCCATTGGGCGACTTCTGAATCTGTCTTTAGACGGCCGTGATCTCAGAACGCAATCCAACATTTTGCCCGTACATTCCGCCAGTTCTTAAGGCATTGAGCCTCGTAGTGGAGTTCAATGAGCCCGGCCATCGGTGTCTCCTCTGCGTATTCGCCGATGCAATCTGCCATGACTCGCGCGTCGTCAGTGGGTTTGCTCCGTCGGTCTTGCCTTTCACAACTCGCCCTTTTCGACAGAAGGGCGAAAGTAGGAGTTCGTGGAGTTCTTAGATCGTACAGCCTCAATAGATATTCTTGTGGATCTGGCGGGACTTATTTTGGCTTCGGCTTCGGTGGGCCGGCTGAGCCCAAGCGTTGGTGGTCCACCCGCGGACAGCCCGCGCTCCGCCTGGAATAGTATGAATCGGAGATTTTGATAATAGTTTGCTTGTGAGTCATACCTCAGGACTTCCATACGTAATTTTATGGCAGAAACAGTTAACGAGAAGGGATTAGAACCATAGGCAAGTATCATCCACTAATTACTCAGCGGTAATGAATGTCAAGTGCCTTGACATGAATACTAATGATGTAAACAAGTATGGAAGCAAAAAGGTTTGGAACCTCGCTTCTGCTAGTACGCATCTTCTCATCTGCTACCTAGAAACTTTTCATAGCTCGTCGCGTCACTGTTGATATCAATTCTGGTCAAGAGCGTTCTTTCTCGATATTTGTTCGATCAAGCCTCACATCAGCCCTTTTAAAATCAGTTAGCGGATTGCAAGCCAGCCTTCAAGCATATTTCAGATATTCAGACCAATGGAACCACTGAGTACAGGCTCTTACAGCCTGAGCATCTCGCCGTTTCAATTTTAATCTAGTGATTCCAAGCAGCTACAATGGATAACCTGATAAAGATGGCTCTATTCTAAGTCTACATATAATACAGAGTTCCAACTCTAGTTATTTCATTGGATACAAGGTCTACAATCAATTTATTGACGTTATTTAATTGCTGCGTATTAATCATCAATCGAATAAAGATCCTATCGGGTAATGTTATTAAAGGAGCAATGCTCGCGGCGATGAGGTTTCCTTTTCCGCCCATGAATTCTTGGCGCTAAGCCTTATCATATTTATGTTCCCTTCTGCAGGATATGATTTTGCAATAGTCTATGTTATAATAAGAGAAGATGAAGAAAGTCCTGTTTTGAATGCAATAGGCGAACTCGCGGGTTGACTTGCATAGAAATTATTAATACAGGAGCCTAATAGGCAGAGTGTTGGATGCATACAATAGCTACCCAGCTGAAGACAGGCGACTGTTAGAGGCTGGTGGACGTCGGCAAAGGCATCTGCAGTATATTGACGAAGACACTAAGATCAGTACAGCACAATCGCAGTCGTCCCGCAGCAATGTGTCGCGACGATCTAAGAGTCTCGTCAAAAACGTTGCCGACCCCTGTCTCCTAAAGAAGCCCGTTAATTATTGCGCCATAGCGTATAGAAACCGTCTTCCTAACGAGTTGCAGCATCAGTTAGGCGTCATATACAATCAACAGTACGGCCAAGACATCTTCCCTCACAAATTCAAGAACGAAATTGCGTCATGCCAAAGTGGCCCGGTCACCACCACCAGACCACATCTTTTATAGCAATGGAGACGAACGCAGAAGAGAGGTGTCGTCGACTATAATGGCTAGAAAGTATTATCCAAGCCTTGTTTGAAATCTCATATTGTTTCTGGTTAGAATTAGCCTGAAACTTTCTGGTTCACTGGACTCATAGAATTCTTATTACGAAGGGAGTTAAAAAAGAAATTGTTCACATCATAAACCTCAAGTCGAAATTATTATCTTTATGCTGACATTTGGATCCGATCTCGAGTGCCTTTCGGGTGTGTCGTCAGTTCATCCACAGGTACTTAAGTATCATGAATGCAAGATCCTTGACCCCTACTTCTTTAGATGGGGGAATTCCCAAACCAAGAAGTCCCGCCCCATTTCGTGATAATACACTAGACATTCGCATGAGATCTGCCAGTCATTAAATTACAATCCTACGACCTGGAAAATATGGCTCGGATGAAGCGATGGTGATAGAAGTAGTTTGTTCTGGAATATTCAAGACCACGTGGAATCGTGGTTTCACTATGAACAATATTCCCAGGTTTATGTATTTCCAGGAACTCTGCATTACAAACAGCACTACAGAATTGTATCCAGTTTGAAGCACAAACAAGTATTCCCTTTGTCTAAAAGGTTACAAATAGTTCTTCATTCATTCTGGGTACTGCTCTTCATCCCCCTATCCACCATCTCTTGTGTAAAAGCTAAAGGTCGCCTGGTTTACTGAGCTGTAATATCTATAAGCGAGACTCCTAAGATTATTTGACTATCATATTCTCCACTAACGTGCAAAGTTTGCCATCAATTGTTTCCATTTTATGCACCGCGTAGGAGGTCGAAATCTATGAAACGCATATAATGTCCAGGAACTTTGATAGCTAGAGATTCCCTAGCTCTCAATGCGATACCAGTGAGTCAGATTGGAACCTCGGAGCGAACAATCTTGTCAAGATAGGACGAATCCATGAGGATTAGATATATTGATTACTTGGCTAAGTATTAGTAGTTAGCTACGTTTTGCGGTAGCAAACTTGTCATACATCTAGTAGGTGGCTGGAACTCTATTACAACAAGTATTCCGTAGAATGGCACTCTCGCGATGCCCGTTCGAGTGTTCGAGCCAACCTAAAGCTTCTGCATCTGGCTTTGGCTTCCCTTGCGAGATGTGGTGATTCTCTCCCAATCGTCCATTTGGTTTCAAGTACTTTAGGAAACATGAGTCAGAGACCTCGGATATCTCCTTAACGGATGGCACGATGCCTTGCAAAAGTACGTTGATGCACTGCAAGGGCTTTCCTGAGGCATCAAGCTCAATAAGCTGGATGAAGATGTGAATGTCGTAATCAGTCTCGTTGGAAATATGTAGCAAAGCCCAGGAGTATCCAGCGAGCTAAGTGACCTTATCCAATTTTTAAGGGTATACTGCCCCTTCAATTTCGGCGTTTTATTTCTTCACAACTATCGAAATCACTGATTCAATACCAGTGTAGACAATTATAGAGTCTCAGGCACATTACGTATGGTATCATGTGGATAAATGATGCCTCCACGAGCTAGAGTTGTCTACAGAAAGCTGGCGCTCCTTCCAAGGGAGCGAAGGCTGCCAAGTGAGGAGGTTGCTCCGCTGCGATGAACCATGATGGCATCTAGAGCCAACTATCACCTTCTAATGCCACATTATCGGATCACCAGTCCAATATCGCAGCGAATTCTATGGCATCTATTCGTCTCTGCCGTCAACTTACCGATCCAACTGCTACAATCACTCCTCTAAAAACTGTGGTAACCAACCAAATTTATTCAAGGAGTAGTACAGCGGGAGCCAAATGTATGGAATCATACCTTCGGAGCCCCAAGACACACGCAACTCGACGTCGACAATGGCATGTCCCCTCGCTGGCCGTACTGCAGGATCCAACCTTTTTATGTTTATTTTCATAACAGCTGACCTGTTCCCGAGGGACCCGAGTCGACCGGGGATCATGTACAGCCCGTGAAGACCGGTTGCATACCTTCATTTGCATTACATTCATCAATTAGCGGTGCAGATCTAAACTAACTGACCAGTGCCTAATTTGCAATACGGACTCCAGATGATTATGGCCGGGACCTTCTCGTCACCGATAGGCCGGAAGACATCGCAGTACAGTTTTACCCCATCTCGCATGGGAAGCACGACATCTTTCTCGAATACGGTGTCTGCATCGAATGGTCTAGTAGGGTCTTTGCGGCGGTACCATTTGTGGAGCACAGTTGTCGATAAATTGAACCCATCATGAGGACAACTAGCCTTATCTTTCAGGCCTGATAATAGGACCGACGGGCACTTCAATGTCAGCAACGTTTAGCATGGTGGATGTTGAGACTGTTGGAGAGTGATGGATATTGGTTACAGACTGATGGTACTAAACACTAGTACTGGGTATGGTGACACAGACTGGACCTTGCCCCGTCCTATGGGTACTTTTGTGAAGCACATAATTAATCACAGCAATGTATCGAAGGGTGGAGCCGACGACTCCGATTAGTCAACTAATGCTAGTGGATCACCGGGTACCACACGGGACTCACCAGGAATCCTGGCCGCGTCATAATATTGGAGCAGATCAGATTTGACCGCGAGAGTACAGAACAAACCTGTATAGCACCTGAATGTTCGACACCGCAGCTCGGTACTCGTGCTACATCATGGCGCTCCCAGCGCAATCTTGATACCGTAGCAAGGCAGAGCTACCCATATCAGTCATGAGTGGCAAACATACTCGAGCTATGAGCATAAACTGGCAGAACAAATGGTAGAGCGTCATGCGGTGCTAGCAACAAGTAGAAATCATAATGCTACTGATGTAATCATGCAACGAGTCCTATCACAATCTTCCAGCATCTGAATAATGCATGTGCGGTATCACTTACCTCTAATGCTTGAGAAGTCCAGAGCTGATTAATAGATTTTTCTTGTTTGATGTCTTCATTCATGAAATCCTGTGCTGATTTTAGAGGCGAGTTATGCTCAATGAGGTAGTTGCACGGTAAGACAAGAAATGTGACTTATAAGTTGAAGTGGTGCACAAGCCAGCTAGCAGCATAGCAGTGTGTTCCATACGCACTCGCCGCTCGCATAACTGGTTGAAGGAAAGATCCACGAGCCCTGACGCAAAGTCTAATGCTAGCATTGTGAAAACATGGACTTTATACCTAATAAATCTACAGATTCAAAGTTTATGCTCGAAGAAACAATTGTGAAAATGCCGGCTGATATCATCTACCACTTGCCTTCTCCAATCTGAGTGAGCACGACACTACAGTGCATTCCAAACCAGATGAGAAGCAGAAGACATGGAATTTGGAAGGGCTTTCAGCATTGCAGCCGAATATCAATTGCAGAACCCATTGAACAGTTGCCTAATGTTTGTTGTTCAGCCACAATTTCACTGCCTTGTTTCCGTTTCAAGAAGTGCCCATATGCCTTGTGGTAAGATACATCTGTCATGATAGAAAGCCCAAATTTTATGGAGGTCAACAGTATTTTGTCTGCCCAGCAAGTCATTCATGACACTAGCTTTTACATGAAGCCACTGTGCAAGTAACGGAATTGTTCAGGACAGGCGTTAACAGGGGACTTGCTATGTATGCCGTCGGCATTTCGCTGGAACGCCCCGCTGGAAATTCGAGGCTAGACGTTAGCTAGATTGAATATCCTTCCAGAATATCACCCGTTTGAAATGTTTAGCTCAGAGAATCTGCATAAGCCGCTAGGCTGTTTCTTAATACCTTATACCCGGGCTGCCCGGGTGTGCCGAAAGTAGCCACTGGAGACTTTGTACTCTCTGGCTCCATTACCGATGTAGCAGTCTATGTTAGTGTTCATCAGTGGTATCAAAAACGCTATTTAAATGTCAAGTGAATCCTTTCTCATTTCCTAAAACTTTGCTCGGACAACATCTCAGACTCTCAAATCTTCTACCTACAGCTGTCGTATCACACAGACCAAATGCCATTGAAAGTTATTGTTATTGGAGCTGGGCTTGGCGGTTTGGCCGCTGCCATTGCTCTTACCCGCGCCGGACACGATGTTGAGGTTCGTATGTCCCGATCAAAAATTTAGAGCAGAAACGCCTACTTGAGCATTTATTTGCCTAGTCTTTACCACTCTCAAATTTTGAGATTACTTGCCATTCATTAGCTGATGCTTGAGCAGGTCTTCGAGAGTTCCGCATTCTCCAACGAGGTCGGTGCGGCTATCCATATCGCGCCTAATGCGAGCCGGATCCTGAGGAGCTGGGACATGAGCCTGGACAAGTTGGCCCCGGTCATCTGCAGGCACTTGAGTGTCTGGAACGCCGACGGAACCTTCATTGCTACGCCTGCTGTAAGTCTGAAACCAAGAGCATGAATCAAGGAGGTTATCAGTTCGCTTAATCGACCATATTCAAGGTTACAGAAAAGCTCCAGCAGGAGTTGGGCATCGACGACGACTGGCTGCTTGTACATCGTGTTGATCTCCATCATGGCCTCAGGGAGCTTGCTGAGCAAGGTTTCGCCGGAAAAACACCGCAGATCCGCCTATCATCCAGAGTGGACCGAGTCGTAAGTTTCCTTACGTACGATAAAGGTCACAATTTACTAATCCATATCTTGCAGGACTCGGAGACGGGTGAGGTTCACCTTGTGAACGGAACCGTCGCCAAGGCGGATCTTATCATCGGTGCCGATGGCGTACACGTAAGTAGATCTACGTCTTCCAAAATAGATCGAGTGGCTGACGGTCGTTCGTAGTCCCGTACAGTGCAAAGTGCAACTGGTAGAGTCCAAAAGAAGATCAGTACCGGACAGAGCTGTTTCCGATTTTTGGTCCCAGTCGCTAAAGCAAATGAGAACCCTTTAACAAAGCAGCTGGTCGATAGAATTGGTCTTGAATCCTTGCATGCTTTCTGTGCTAGTGATCGAAGAATCATTATCTATCCCTGCAGGACTGGAACCATCCTCAATGTCGTGGCCTTCCACCCGTCCGGCGATGATGAATCAGTTGGAGAGTCGTCCTGGCTGAACACTGGCAGCCTGGACGATCTGGTAGCTGTCTACAGCGATTTCAGCCCTGAGATTCGGGCACTTTGTTCTCTTGCAGAGGATCTGAAGCTCTGGAGTCTTGCTTCGCGGGATCCCCCTCACACCTTTGTTGGCGGTAAGGTGGCACTGATCGGTGATGCAGCGCATCCAATGCTCCCGCGTAAGTGATGTTAAGATTTGACTTAAGTTATCGCGCATGACGAACTATTTCGCTGACTTGAGTGATAGACCAGGGTCAAGGAGCAGCACAAGCATTTGAGGATGCTGCTGCACTTGGTGCTTTATTCCAATCTAACATCCCACTGGAAGACATTAGCCGGAGACTGGCCGTGTACAACGAAGTCAGATATAAGAGGGCTGTAACTGTCATGTTCATGTCACGGGTAGGAGACGACCACCGAGACGAGGTGATGAAGGATTTGCAGAAGCATATACCCGATGCGGTGCTTCCTGAAAATATGTGGCTCTACGCCTGGGATTCCTATCCCGCTCGAGATGTCGACCGCCTTATTGCCAGCAATGCTGTTTAAAAAGGATGCCTTCCGTACCAGTGAAGCGACCAGAACTTACCTGTCGTGTATGGATTACGAAAAAGAAAGGAAGAAAAGACAAAAAAAAGAGGTACACGCCTACTCTCATTCCGAAAAGAGTTGATCCATGATCTTCTCCATTTAAGTAATTGATTAAGTAGAATATCTGTATTCGTCACGACTAGCACCTTGAGCAAGACCGCATGTCCACATCGGGCAACATCGGCTCCACACTCGATCATCCGGTCATAGCCGATCGGCCACTTCGAAGTGATGACTAACTTTTTGCCGAGGATAACGCTGAAACCATAACACAACAGGCTACATAGTTGCAATTGCATGCATCTATTTTCTTGATGTAACGGTTTCTTATCTCTTCTTGTCATGAACTTGACATGACGAAACTCGTGGCACATCATGCCGACTGTGGACGAAATCAAAGCCATGTTCGCTCATATTGAGAAGGGCGACACTGTTTATTATTAGTAACCTGTAGAGCAAGATGTCGATTAGACCGCAAAAGTTAAATAGTTGTTTGTCTATAATCTAACCGTTTTTCTTTTCTCCTTTCCTATAGTAGGAGATGCGCAAACATTTCAAGGCTAGCTAATTCGCGCCCCTTAGGTGCATACTGCAAAATTGCAGCGCGCTATGAATCCATTGAGGAGTTTTAAGCTGGCACGAAAGAAGTGTTATCGACCTGGACAGTTAATTGTCAACTAATTATCCAGAATATTGTCTCCAATGGCACTCAAGCCGACGTAGAGTTCAAGGCTGTCAATACGGAGTCAAAATCTGGACAACCTTTCTATCACAACATCTCCGGGTCTAACAGTCGTGCGTGAGCTATCTTTGAGTTCGACTTAAGTTCACTATCGAGAATTCATAATCTAGAGAAGTGGCTCTGACCCTTGGAACCGGGAGGAAAGTCCGCCGCCCTTATTAGAGTGTCCGTAGTGTAGATTTTGCCTCCGGCACAATTGCATCTTTCTCTACCAGCTCAGCCAGCAATGTTAATTCCGCCCTATTATTTGCGCTAGAAAGGCAAAGCCTTCTTTCAGTTGAACATTGTCGTCAACAAGAATGGCAGATTGGGTGTGGTTATTTAACGTTACCAGCCGCCTGGTCTCTGTACCGGCTTTAAGGCCCATAATGAGTTTACATTGATAAGCGATGGAATCGAGACCGATGCTCCACTTTTAAGGGCCTCGACCGTTTGCTGGAATGCTAGACAAAGAACGGTGATCATTGTGATGCTATCGCATGCATGACACTTATTGAAAGTGTCCTCTTCCTAGGTCGCCATATCGCCCATCGGCTCCACACTTGTGATCCGAGATCTCTCAGGTGGTTCGACCCGGTGGGCCACTCCACAATATTCCTAAGTTATTGCGAAATAGTCCCACACAAGACACCTTCCGGTGTCCACACTTGATGTTGGCCGCTTATGCAACTGATCGTAGCTTTATTGAGATTATCGCTTTGCTTAGTATGTTATCAGAAACCACACTGGAACAATGGCATGTAGGTGCTCAAGTCGCCTCTTGCCGCTAATTGGTTAGGCATCACGAACAACAGTATTACTGTGTGGTTGTTAAGATTAGCCAAAGAAATTCAGGCAAAACCGAAGCTAATTCTTGTTTCCTTACGTAATGGGTGACAGTGTGACTTTTGTAAACAGTATCTGGCGCATCTTTGGGTCGACTGCTCATAACACGACCCTTGTTATATGTCTACATGCATGACTTCATCGACTAATCTGAACGAGAAGAATAACGGATAACACTTGCCAATGGTATTCATCTTATGTTACTAAACCATCTGCTCATATTCGAACCCTCGCGAGCTACCTAGACACTTTGTATTTGCTAATGTACACTACTACAGAATCAATTATTTACGTTTACTTGCTAATGAACAGAGAGAATTCAACGCAATGCCTTATCACAATTTGGGTCAACCTCTGAGCCTCAAATGTTTGATAAATATCGAAAGCCTCGTACAAGGCCGTAGGATACCCCAGACAGAGCAACCAAGCTGGTGAGTAGACCATAAATCAAGCCTTTTTCGAAGAAGGACATATTTCCTCCTTTCGGCTGATGAATCTTGCCCAGAGCGAGTCTATGCGACAAGATCGAACGAGAAATGTCTTCTTCCAACGGCGATCTCAAAGGTACTTGCAGATAGGGCTTGTTGATGGAAAAGTCCTCCCTCGAATATGGAAGGTCGTAGGAGCTGGTCGTAGAGTCGGAACAAACAATCACTGGGAGTGGTCAGTCATATCTCGCATAAGAGATTGCGTTTCAGAAATATAGCCCTACTTGAAGATCTCATTGGTATCTGATTGACGAAGACTTGATGAGCGTTGGTAAAAGCGCCAACATAAAATGGGACTTTCCCGTCACCGAAAACATAGTGTGCTTGTGAGATATCTTCGGTGTTACTAAGCGACGTGTGAGTTCGACATACGATCCTGGAAAGAAAGGTTCTTTGTTTCGCTCCTTGACTTACACCTTGTTCATGAGATCGATTCCGTGATCTAAACTACGAATAGGACACAGAACAACGCCTCTTTGCTGAGTTGTGACATGTCTTGCAATTTTCTGTATCTCACTTGCGTCGATTCTATAAGGAGCAATACTCATTAGCCTGAATGCTCAACCTTTGTACTGCTGGTCAAATATACTTACTGGCTCGAGTTCAGTTGGATTATTGCTGGCAAAAGATCAGACGAAGTAATAGTTTTCCCTTGAAGGAGACCCTGGAGCTCTTCTGCGTGAGGACTAGAGGTCACCGACTCAGCTGCACCGTTGTGAGCTTTTGTGAGTAAAGTCGCAAGCATGTTAGTTCGACTTTCTTCGACAAGCACTATGCGTGGTGTTCTGAAGGTGCTAGGTCGTGGGTTGTTTAGGATCGATGTGAGGATGTGGTCTGCCACGGCAGTCAAGCTTTTTACACCTCGTTCCACGAAGACTGCGGGTATCCCTGATGATGGCGAAAGGATCCGTACTGTGGTATTCACCTTTTGTAGTCTTCTAAGCAAATCCTGCTTTTCACTGTGGTTTTGGAGTACTGCTACTGCAAATCTCTTCTCGCCCAGCTCTTTGCGCACATCGGATGAGTCACCATCCGTGATAGCGATCGCTTCTCTGTCGAGTGTCGCAAGAACCATCTCTCGGATTATAGCGAAAGTGGCAGGAGTTTGACTGAGTGCCAATATAACTACAGCACTTCCAGCTGCAACTGCTGCTGCTAGTGGAAGCAGCGTGCTCGACAGAGGGAATTGTGGGCATGGGTCGATCAAAGTTGGCCCGACGGGAACGAGATTCTGCTCTAGACTCTTCCCTCTTGCCAAGGCCTTCTCGTTGGCGAGCTGTCCGGGAAAATCCAGATCATCATAGAGCTTTTTCAAAACCTCTAAGATGAGTCGGATTTCTTCATTGATACTCGGTTCGGAGACACCTAGATCTGTCACGATACTGTTAGAATATTTCCATTTTTATTGGTTATTATTGTTATCCGAAGTCCACATGGAGTGTACCTTTGTTTATGGCTGTTACCAACTTAGATTTCAAGGTCTTGATTTCGGCATGCAGAGATGCCAACTCCTTTTTGCGCTCAAGAATATTCTCGAGCCGTCCCTCCCTCCACGCCGCATTGACGGTTTGATAGAGCTTTGCGGTAGGATTCATGATTGGCGCGTCAGTTTGTTCGTCGTCCGCGAATCACGATAATAAGCCACGAACAGATGTAAAATGGGGTCAGCGGCCGTATTAGAATAGAATTTTGTAAACTTTCTGTGCCCCGAAGATGGCAATGGTCTCCCTTGTCTCGGCGGAAGACAAGCGTTAGCACGAGCCAAGACCTTCGGCTCGGCTCCACACGGGGCGTTGCTGAAAGCCCGCACACCTCCTTAGGTCCGAAAAAAGATCGTGGGTGAAGGGCAATGACTTAAGATGTTTGATTATCTGCAGATTTGTCGCTACTAGATGCGTGCCAACGGCAAAAATACACCAACTTTCTTCTCTCCTGCAATCAAGAAGAAAATGGCAGGTGAGTAGAGCTTATTTATCCGGTGGTCATCTGATTGGTGCACCACTAAAGGATCTAGGTCCAACTCCTGTCTTCCTTTTTGCTCATGGTTCGACTATGATGCTGGGAGAGGACACGGAACCCGCAAAGATATGGGAATCGGTCGGAAACGAAGTCCTACGGCGAAACATCAAAAGAATCGTCATGATGGTATGTTTAAAACCTTCAATGTCTAAAAACATCTTTCCTTTCCCTTTTATTTCTTTTGTTTTTGATGTTTTTAAAATTGAATCATCTGAACAGGGCGCACATTGGGACACTCCTGGTGATGAAGTAGAAGTAGCGATGAACCCGAATGCAATCAAGGACCCTGTCGGAAGTGTTAGAGACGATCGATATTTACCATACAAATTGGTACCCGATATAGAAGGTGGACAGCGTGTGATCGATATGTTACGCGGCGCTGGTATCAACGCAAGAGCCGATAGAACATTCGACTGGATTCACGATACCTACCTGATCATCATTCGGATGTTCCCGCATTGCGTGCCGCCTCCAACGACTATCGTCTCCATGAATGCGCGGTACGACCCTCATTTCCACACACGAATCGGAGCGGCTCTGCGCCCTCTGCGCTACGAGGATACACTTATCATTGGAAGTGGCGGCTCTGTACATAATCTTTGGCGGAACAATTTTTCGCAGATGATTCTGTATAAAGACAACTTGGCCCAGCCGATACCTCCCAGCGACTGGGCGCTCGAATTTAGACAATCCGTCGAGGACGCCATCACGCGAAACACTGGCCCAGATCTTCGAAGAGCCATAACAAAGATGATGAAGCATCCTCGGTACAGAGATGCACATGGAACAGATGATCATTGGATGGCTACACTCTTCGCTGCTGGAGCTGCGGGGGGCGAAGATGATGTAGGGCCCAACGTCATGTTGGGGGAGTGCTGGGAATTGGTCAATATGTGTAACACTCAGTATCAACTTGGATCATGGGATTAAATTCTAGGCCTCTGTTTTCGTTAGAAATCTCAGCAGAGAGACTAGGTACCTGTATTGATAATATAAATGCGTGGGTTCTTTTTTTTTTTTCCATTTCTATTGCTTCCTTTTGAGTGACAGTGTTGCATCTTTTGAGCTTTCGTTGACAGTTTTCGCCATTAAAGCATAATTTTCGTAGATATCAGCGTACAGTAGGATCACTAGCAACAACTTACTTTATGTACCATTGTGGCTATATGATCAAGCATTTTCACTTGTTCACAGTTGCGTTCGACACAGATTTGGCACTACACTTTTGCAATTTCCTGACACAATCACGAAGACGCATCAAGGTTATGTTGATGCTTTGAACCGCAATGCATATTGAGAATAGAAGTCCATAACTTGATTCTTAACTAAAGCATACAGTCCAGAACCATCGAAGCATTGCGCACGATTTCAAAATATAAAACAATCCCCCGTTATACTACCTGTTGATGAATTGTACTACCATTCTCCCCCTATTCTCCAAGCTGTGATGTTGATGTATCCGCCGATAGTGTTTCTCCATACGGTGGAAGCGACCTGCAAGGTGTGATGCTTTAATGAGCAATTCATATTCCAAGAGAAGTAACTTGCTTACCGCTTCCATCCAACACCCGCAAATCATAATTGTTCCAACAACAGTGAACAGCGTATTTTGCCGTCTCTCGTCCCAATCCAATCGAGTGTTGATAGGCCGGTAATCAGGAACTTGGCGAAAGCTTTGTGGCCAGTAAGTGGGATTTGTGACTGGATATGGGACCAAGGGATGAGGAGCTAGGGTGGAGTTGAATTCGACCGGTTGCGCTTCTCGTTCAACACCAGCTACGATGACAGTATTGTTGGCCGTGTTCTCATACTTTTCTGGGCGATGTGATGAGTGACGGATCTTGTAGTCCTCGAGAACGTTGATCGCCTCTGCTTCAAGGTGATGCACAGCTTCTGGTATCGTGGTCATGGCCGTGGTAGTGGTCGCTATTCTCGTATAGATTGGAGAAGGATGTCGGAATCTTTCACTAGTGAGATTTGTGGGAAACCGCCTCCATGGGAAAGGGATCCTCTTCAAACATGTACCGTGTCGTTAAGATGGATAGGGGCGGGTACCCACAGGTATGGTCACAAGGACTTCGGCAAGTGCGGTCCCGAGCCGAAACCGGCACGTGCGGATCGCGAGCATGTTCCTTGCAGATTGCTAAAAACAACAAGAACAAGTATGGTTAATCGACATACAAGAGTCGAATTATATCTTGGACAATATGTCGCCGCAAGCATATTCACGCAACGAAATAGTACCGACACACTACGCGCAGCAAATATGGCTGAGAACAAGTTTTTGATTGTGGACGGGGACTCGTTCCCCTATATATTCATGAAGAACGTGGATGTTCCTCTGAGAACGTACGAGAAAGGTATCCTGCGCTGCAATGTGTACTTACCAAAGGACGCTGCTCCTTTTGGTGACAAAAAGTATCCAGTGGTAGCGACATATGGTCCTTGTTAGTTTCATCGTGTAAAAGCTTCACATCGATGCTTGTTAACTGATTCAATTAACGCAGATGGTAAGGATGTGCCTTATGGGTCATTCTATAAGAAGAGCTGGGATCAGCTGAACCCGGAAATGAAATCCGCCCATTCAGCGTGGGAAACCCCCGATCCAGCATATTGGACCGGCCAGGGCTATATTGTTGTTCGAACTGATGAGAGGGGTGCCGGACAAAGCCCTGGAGAGCTCGACACCATGTCTCGTGGCACTAGCGAGGCATTTTTCGACGTCATCGAATGGTGCGCTGAGCAGGAGTGGTCTTCAGGCAAGGTTGGCCTTCTCGGTATCAGCTATTACGCGGGTACACAGTGGCGCGTGGCCGCGCGGAAGCCCAAAGGTCTCGCCGCTATCATTCCATGGGAAGGGATGAGTGACTACTACCGCGACAGAGTACGTCACGGTGGAATTCTTTCTGATCGGTTTATTGGTAAGTCTACTCAGACCTTGAGGCGCTCAATTCAATTATCCTCGCAGTGCTCACAGTTTCGTTCTTGGCACAGACTTCTGGTGGAGCAACGGTGTTGCTCCAAACCAGTATGGTAAACCTGGCCGGGCAGCCCGGAAATGGGGCGACGACACACTCGAAGGTGATCTAGACGAGGACACCTTGCTGAAGAACCGAAAAGATCAAACTCTGGATACTGCAGTTCACAAGTTCAGAGATGAAGACTACTATCAGACTCGTGATTTTGATGTTGAAGCCATCGAAACTCCGCTTCTGAGTGTTGCTAACTGGGTGAGTGGGTTTCATTCCCTTTACTGTCTTCGGTAGCTGATCCGTGCCCATACAGGGAGGGATTCTACTTCACTTGCGCGGAAACGTCTTGGGCTGGTTGCGAGCACGCTCACAGTACAAGTTTCTCCATTTTATCGTCGGGCGCCATGATCTTCCATTCTATTATCCTCACTCAGCAAAACTACAGCTGTCATTCTTTGAAGCCTTCCTGAAAGGAAATGATTACGATGGCTGGAGAACTGGTGGGCAGCCAAAAGTCAAAATATGCCTTCGTGAGGGCGAGGCTGGAGTAGACGATCCGGAGCGAGAACTGAGCTTTCCTGTCAAGGAAGCAGCTGACTGGCCTCTGCCTGACACACAATACACCAAGTTCTTTCTGGCTGCTGACGGAGGCTTGAATCAAACGCCCAATGAGAGCCTCGGCACGTTCATCTATGATGCCTTTGAAGGGTAAACCCTATTCCAAAGTCTTGCGAACGGCTACAGATCTGAGCTAACATTTTCTTAGTGAACCAATATCATTCACCTATAAGACCTCGTCTAGGCTGGAAATCACAGGTCATATCGTTGCTCATCTAACAGTCGCTGGGGTCCGCAAGACGCCTGATTCGATACCACCTTCCGACATTGACCTTTTCGTCACACTTCGGAAAATCAATGCTGCTGGCGAGGAGGTGTTCTACACTGGCACCATGGGTGACCCCGTGCCAATCGTCAAGGGCTGGCTGCGTGTATCGCTCCGAAAGGTCGATGAGACTCACCCGCTACACCGGGAACATCTCCCCTACCGCAACTATTTCAGTTCCGAGATCCAACCCGTGGTTGAAAATGAAAAATACGAGGTGGACGTCGAAGTTTGGCCGACTAGTGTGGTATTGGCAGCCGGGGAGAGCCTTGCTCTTGAAATTGCTGGTCATGACACCCAAGGAGTTGGCAACTTCTCCCATGAACATCCCAAAGACCGCAGCCGAGAGGTTTTTAGTGGAAATAACATCCTGTATGTTGGTGGAAAGACAAGTCATCTCAGCTTGCCCATCATCCCTTCTGCTTAGAGTTTCTTTTTAGAAAGATCCAGAAACTACCGGCACGACAGTGCGCCGAATCTTGTGATATTTTTAAGTTGTGCCTAATGATATGGAGGTGTCATGCTGCAATCTGACTATTGAGGTCCAATTTCTTTTCATATCATCCTGTCTGCCACTGACTACGGCTTGCTGATGCACTACAAGTCATGGCCATACTTGGCTGTAGCCGTCTCAGCAGTCTTGTGCCCTTGCTGATCTGCTCTTTGAAACATAACGTATTCACTACTTCACAATCAAAATATGACTATGCTGACAACAATTTTGCCGAAGCCACCAATCTTTGACCACTCATCGTCCGAGCGTCCTGTCACTTGTGGAGCCGAGCCGTGTGGCTAGCCCCTGCGCTAGGTGGGCCGAAGCTTTGTATTTGCATACGATGGACATAGAAGCACAGTCTATTTCATACTACAGTCTTTGCTCTCCCCAAGTTCACAAAGACTCACAGTGGGTGCGACTCGCCTTGTATTCCCGACCAAAAAACCACGCACTAGCTCTGATCTGGTTGAGAAAGTATGTCTATCGTTCCGTTGTGACCAAACCCATAGATATGATGATTGTAATACAAAGCCGTAGTTCCCAACCAAGATCATTGTAATGAAGAATGATTGTCTCAATCTTGTCACAGATAAGCTCCATCCATGGCTGTAGAGATATTGTGCAAGAAGGATTACAGGTACCGTTTCCGGGGATGGTTCGACGGGAGCAGTGGAACGATTGCCCGACAGTGCATGGACAATCGACTGCGGCAGGATTCCGAATCAACTGCCGACATGGGCGAACGAGCCGACTTCCTCACTCGTTTTGTAGCTGCTAAGAAAGCTCATCCTGAGATTGTCAATGATGCTCAAGTCTGGTCCTATACTCTGAGCAATGTAAAGCTGGTTCTGATACGACTGCCATTAGCCTGCGTGCTGTGCTCTACTATACCCTCAAAAATAGGAGAGCACATGAAAGGATTATCCAAGGGTTGCAAACTGTTGGCAGTGCTGGCCGGCTGTCAAGCCCAGTCAGTTGGAAAGAAAGCCAGCAACTACCGTACCCATTCTGCACTTGAACCCCAGCAGTCGGTTTACTCCTCCGAAGGGTGTTTTCCGAGCCTGGTCTACAGCTACCTGACGGTCCATTCATACCTCCTTGAACTATCATTGGCGCTAATTCTTGGGTGATCCATCGTCAAACTTTTTTCTTTCTTTTTTTCTTCTTCTTTGGAGCGAATAAAGATCTGTAGGTTCCAGAACATTGGGTGCCCAACGAAGAGGAATCTGAGGAGGACCACAAGACCAGTATTCGCAACATGGCGGCAGCCAGCCTTTAAACTTGATGTCGGGCCGCGCATGTTTATCGGCAAGAAAGATTAGCTTGAGCTGATTCCAACATTGTTTCTAGAGTTCGGGGTAAGCCTCTTGCCCAGAAATTCTCTTCGAATTATGACTCTCGGCCCGTTGTCCAGGCCTACTTGGGCCAAATATTCGACGGCGTAATAACCGCTGACAAGGTGATTTGACTTGCTCAGATCAACTTGGTGAATCCAAACAAGACATAGCATACTGACAGTTCATGGTTTATCCAACAGAAGAATTTGGACGTGATATTGACTAGGATCAGTGGGGCTCACAACAAGTGGGCAGAACCATCTTGGAGAGGTTGATCGGGGAAGATGTATCAAGTATTGTTCAATCACAAACCTAGTCGTGGTCGGTGGTGTATCGTGATTCGTAGAAACATATGCTCAAAAGATAGTGATTGGACTGTCTTCGTCAGCAAATACCATAAGTCAAACTTCTACTCGTAGCACCAGGTATCCTGCGTCTCAATGATTGTTCGCATTTAATTATACTTACCCTCGATACTATCGACGACCGCCCTGATATAGGTTCGCATATGTAATACTTCAGAACTTGAAGTGCTTGATGCCAAACAAGCACGAATCAGTGTAATTAGGAGCTATAGCGAGCCCTTCCGCGCTGGCGTTCGCAGTCGAAACGAGCGTCTTGTGCATATGTGAACTTCGTAATGTGCCGTAACATTGTTATACCGTCTTCCACCAAGCCCCTCCGTCAAGCTGCTGCCTCTCCGTCTCCTGGAGGCGTGTCAGAAGCTGTGTATATGTGCTGCTGATGCCCCAATTGTTCAGCGACCTCATAAGTTCTGCAGTCTCCTGCAACAACTTGTGCCGGCCATCGCGACTAAGAAGATTACTGATACCAGGTAGCTTAACACGACTCCATCCAGATGCCACCCATGCACTGTCAATCTGCTCCAATGGTTTTGGTCCTATGACCACTGAAGGTACAGGGACCTGGCACAGGAGACGATCGGGAAATCGCTCTGCCAACTGCGAATATGTCCAGAGGACCAGTACGGCTCGCAATAAAGAAGTCGTTACTGAAAAGTGGGCACACAGGCTGGACCGAGCGACGTACAGAATGCGAGCTGCGTAAAAACAGGCCAATCTCCCCTGCGCAGGAGCATTTCCCCATAGATCTGCCGCTTGTCTCCATGACTCGTCTTGCATCTTCCCGTACATGAATTTCAAAGGCAATCTGACGTAGTGTCGAGTCGATGAGTTATGCGTCATTAAAGCTGCAAAACCCATGATCTGGTGTACAGTATCGGCTTTGAAGTCCGGCAGCGCCTTTTCGGGAGCCTCGTTCTCTATCAAAGCAAGAAGAGCAATCAGTGTTGCCCCTGCCTGAAGCTTTTCGGATGCAGCGAAGCAGGGAACGTGGGGAATGTGACCATCTTGATCACTAGCAATCCGCGTGAGATGTCGAAGTATCACTTGTTTGCCAATGGAGCCTGTCTCCAACCATGCCATCTTCCAGGCATTATCAGATATTACTGTTTTCAAGGACCGAGACGTTCCGAGATCTGCAAGGTGGATTAGTTGTGCTCTGAGTCGTCCCCGCCTTCTGCTTTGCTATGTAAGGCTTACCGTCGTTGACGGCAAGACGTGCCCAAGTCCGAGCATCTGGGGCGTTCCATTGCATGTCGGTCTGAGGGAGTGATATTTGTAGTTCGCCTAGATGCATCAAGTTACTAAGATCAAAGTCTTGATTGAAGGCAGAGTCAAGGAGCTGAGCGAGTGTTAGCGAGCAGTTTGTAATAGTCCCAAACGACTTTGCTCACCCACACAGCAAAAGCGGCACGACGACGTTCCTCGTCCAGAACCCAAAGTTGCCACTTTTGCTCGAACTTGAGCTGCATAGAGCGAATTGTCCGCATTGGTACGGACGTCTTGAAGAGAAACTTGCGTCGGCCCAGTGTTACAGGCAGAGCCTGCAAGAATTCAGCAATTTCGAGAGCCCTTCGCTCGCCCGAATACATCAGGGCTATGTGGTTCAGAATGATGGTTTGTATCATCCAGAGCTCCCTTCCATTCTGGTTTTCCTGTTCGCACTATCATAACACATTTTAGTTACCGTGGCAGACGTTTGCACCTCCGACGTTGTCGTTTTAAGAGGAATATTCTTTTCTCCCCTTCACCAGCACTTGACTATCTGCGTTGTGTTGGGAAATCTTACCATGGTAGCTGTTATGCGGCGAACTAGCTCACACATGGCTCTGGAACAAGCTTGTGCGTCGCGCAACTTGGAAAATCGAGCCCCAATGGCGGCTGTCGTAAATACGACTATCCAGTGATATTTCGAGGCAGAAAAGGAAGGCTTGTGTAGAAGAGGGAATATGGGGTGGAAATATTCGAAATAAAGCTGTACCCATGCATTCAGAACGGGTGGTGGGGGTATAGGTATGTTGATGAATCGCGGGAAAACATAGCCTTGCTCGATTCGAGCAGCCAGCTCAGAGACTCGTTCGCCAACCCAAGCTGGAACTTCTTCCACATGGGCAAGGTTTTCATTATCTATATCGTCGCCGTTTAATTTCGACAGGTCTGGGAAAGCCAACTGGGCGTCTTTTTCGATGGCTATAGGACGGTATTGTCTTGGTTCCATGGCATCGGCATCGATGTCTGGGGAATGGCTGCGGCTGTAGAGACCTTTCATCGTTTCAGGCTTCGCGAGAGAAGAGGCTTGATGGTCATTGAGATTTGCGTTGGGCCCGAGAGGGTCCAGCCATCGGTCGTTGGCGCTTGGCAGTTGAAGCGGCTGGTAGAACAAGGACATGAATCCCAAGTCCATTGTCTGGCTCAGCCATTCATTACTTTCCAGGTCCGTCATAAGAGGAGGGTGGCCTATGCTCGAGCTCGTGCCGTCGAAGCCCGTAAAGTATTCATTCATGTCAGCTATCGGCTCGTCTCCGCTGGTACTACAGGCCATCTCCGTGGCCGACGGTAGATGGAACGGCAGATCTGGGGCCCTCGCCTCGTCGCTTTGAACCACGGAGCTCAAGGGCAAATCGGCATTCCCGTCAACCAGAGGCCGTGGGTCGGAGCATTCGTTTCCCTCCGGTACAGATTGTGTTGGCTGATGATTGTCGTCGGGTTTGCTGCGCTTCTCTGGAGGGTTGACGTCGGCAATGCACCTGGTGGACTTTCGTTTCAGGTTCGGTTCGTAATAGCAGGTGTCGCCATGTTGGCTGCATCGTCGACAAGGCAGTTCGCCGTTGCAGCGAACCTTGGATATACTGCATGGCTTGCAAGCCTGAGCGACCCGGCGCTGCTCACTCTGGGAATCGCTCCTCTGCTGCCTGTCGAGGCCGAGATGAATGGTAGTGTGGTGGCGCGAAAGCGAGTCTCTGAGGGGTGGCAGATCAGCATGTCGTTGGAATGTGCTCTGGCGGGTCTGAGCTATCTAGCCAAGGGCTGCACCGTCTTGGTGGCGACGTACATACGACCAAAACTCTGGTTACATTCGGAGCAAGTGAAGGGCTTCTCCTTGGTGTGGGTGCGCATATGACGATGGTAGTGCTCGCTACGTTGGAAGGAGACGTCGCACGTGTCGCAAGTCAAATCGACGTGGTCTCCGTTGGACGCCATCTTTTGGCAGCCGTTGAATCAGTCATTTGAGAGACGGGCTGGCCAGGGGAGGGGTGTGTAGTATGGCTACTTACAGTGTTTGGAAAGCGTTGGTCCCGATCGTTGACTCCGATCATCAAGTACGGGTGTTATCTCTGCGCCAGGGGGTCCCCCAGGGCAAGTCCCGCGCCAGAGGCTCCACCGCAGACTTCTGGCTGTCGAAGCTAGTGGATGGCGGGGAAATGATGCGCTAAACGCAGCGATCCGGCACTCACGAGCAATATACGATACAGGAGGCGATACGGTGCGCAAGGACACTTTTGCGCGCCTCTCTTTGGTCAAGACAATACCGCTAAGCAATATGCTGTATTTTAATATATAGATACGTTTTCTCATCATTTGAATCAGCATATGTGAACGTTAAGGTGCTTCGTGGTAAATTTATTAGGCAGATATTAACCCTTGGCCCACTATAACTTGACAACTTTATAATATAATCTTTTATATTTAAAGTATATGATAAATCAAAAATAAATAACCTAAGAGAAAAAGTTTTACAATAACTGAATATAAATTAACAAATCCTTAACATCGCCAAATTCCCTCCTAGTTCTTAACATTAGACGAAGGCAACAATCGAACCAATAGCTAGAAGCGAGTATATCGATAGAGTGAAGGTCTGGGAGGCAGCGCTGACGGTGACGGGCTTCGTCGACTGTGCGGCGTTGGCGCTGCTATGGCCGACAGGGTATGACTCTGGACTGCTGGCCTGCGTTGACTGTGACGCGTGATATCCGGGGGTAACTGCCGACTCCGCCAGGGTTTTTGTAATAGTTGAGGTACCGCTGGCTGTCTCGTCCTCGTAGCCAGTGCCTGCAGCATCGGCGATGCTCGTGGCGACTGGATGAGCGCCATCTGCTTCGCTGGAATGCGTCGACTGGTAGCCAGAAGCGGCAGGGTGAGCTCCGGTGTCGTTACTGACGGCAGTTGGATATACTGGAGCCAGCCCATTATGAGCATCAGTCGCCGAGGCAACGTATGTTGCTCCGCCGCTTGGACAAGTGATGACTGTTGTGATGGGCTCCTCGCCGCAGATGGTGCACGTTGCGTCGATTGTCGTGAATCCATACGGCAGGGTTGTTGGCTCAGCAAAGGTCGGGATTGCAGGCGCTCCGGCGTATGTTTCCGTGATGATGTACTCTTGTGGCGTGACACCTGTAGGACAGAGGAGATGGTACGACGTAGTGTAGATGCTTGTGTATGTACAAGTCTTACACCCACAATCACAAGAGGGCATGCTGTAAGCCACCGAGCCGTGTGAGAACTGCGGAGCCTCAGTCGGGTAGGCTTGTGTTGGATGCGCATCTGTGGCTTCAGCGCACTCTGTGATTACAGAGGTAAAGTAGGAATACAACTGTGCTGCTGTAAGGCCTGGGTAAGTGCCCAGCGCAGCAAGCGCAAGCAAGGTCGGAGACTTCATTGTGATGATATGATCGAGAGTCGCAAGTTTGGGACAAAGTCGTAAGCATAAACGATTTGGACGTCGAGGTGGACCTATTCATATATTCTTTTCAAATTCATGCTTGAGCAATCCTGTTCTTTCCCACGGCGTCTCGCCACATTATAAAGCCATTAATTGTCCATGTAATCAAACAACTGTTCCACAAAGACATAACCAGAGAAGGTTTGTTGCGTCCGTATGACAGGAAAGGAGATTGCGAACCACGCCGACTTTTAATTGGTTTCTGAAACTTCTCACATCGACGTGTCTAAAACATGGAACAATTCCTGAAATTAACGTTTGATTAGTCTGCCTGACTTACTAAGACAATCACGACTGGGATCAACAGAAATAGAATCATATGAAACAACTGAACAATCAAGTGATAGTATTCAATCATGTGTATATTCGTCTGTTAAGCACGTGCAGAAAGCCAGTCGCTCTCTACCCCATTGGACAGTGTCTCAGGAACGAATTGTCAGCTCAACCCTATGATCACAGAATTGTGGAGGTTAAATGGGATAAGGTTTGATTCATCGACATTGCAAATTTGCATGTTAGTTGGTGATATTGACAACATCAGATTGCAGCCTTGGTCATTCTCAAGATTGTATTGGGTGTTCTAGGAGTATTTGTATATATATGCCATGAACCAATAAATCGTACTGGTAACCATCAAGCTGCAAAGCCCCAAGCTTTGTCACTCTTTCGATCGCTCTTTTGCACACTCTTTTGTCTACTCTTTTATTTTTATCCGATAGCCATGCGGGCACTCGCGGCTCTTTCGCTCTATGTAGCACCTTTGGTACTGGGCGCGCAGCTGCCAAATCCACAGTATCGTGACGTTTTCCGGGCCATCAAACGAGGGGAAGAGGCTGCAGGTCAATGTACTGTTCGAACAGTCACTTACATAGCTGTCTACGATCCTTCAACAACTGCTATAGACCCGTACGAGACAGGCGGCTACAACGCTGCACCCCTTCCGGGCCACGAGACCGATTATCCCGGCGGATTGTATCCGGTATCAAGCCACAACGCATACCCAAATCCAGAAGAGCCCTGTGTGACTTACACCACTCTCCGACCTGTTACTCGAACAACCACGCTCACTACCACAACGGCTATCCCTACGACCATCATCCTTAATACTACAGACACCGTCACTTCGCTCGTTACCTCCACCTTTACCACCGTTTCCACTTTTACAACCAGTGTGCTTGAAACTTTGACCGCCACTGTCACGTCAACTGCAACCACCTCGTCCATTTTCACCACTACTGCCGCCACCTCATTCAATATCTTGAGTGTTCGCCTCGCAGCCACGGCGACTGCAGCCCCCGTTCGCCGAGAATTGTCTTCCCGCCATAAACGTCAAATTGATGGTATTCCGCAGGGGTTCTTGGGATCAGCCCTCAATCCAAATCCCAATGTCTGCAGCAATGCAGTCCTTGTCGAGTTTCTGAATGGAGAGTTATTTGCTGCCGGTCAATCGATATCCACTGATCTAAATGTTCCATTCCTCGATCTGACCAGGCCGGTGGAGGGCTCCATCACCACTTCCTTTTCCATCGGAAGCGATATACTCGTGTGGGCGAACGCAGCATTCTTTGGTGGATTCGCTCGCTTCTGCCAGGTTCAAAATGGAACTGTGTACGCCCTTTTTACTGAGCTAGATGCTCCCGCAGCCTGTATTCCTGCCGACCTGGTGGTTTATTCTGGTGAGTTTTTATGCTTCCGACATGGACAATAGTTTCTGACCCGTAGAAAATAGCTGGTCAATGCCGAAATGGTACCCTAATTGGGGCCGGCCCAACTTCTATAACAGTGCCGACGTCTATCTCTTCGTCTCTGTCATCGATCTCAGGGACGTCGACCACAACCTCCGAAACTAGCTCTACTACTGAATCATCGACCTCTGAGACAGCAACCACGTCCTCTGAAAGCAGCTCTACCACTGAATCATCGTCCTCGGTAACAGCAACCACATCCTCTGAGAGCAGCTCTACTACCGAATCATCGACGTCAGGAACCTCGTCCACAAGCTCTGGAACCAGCTCCACCACATCTACTCTTCCCCTTCAGACTTTCTCCATCTTTGCTGGTGACAGTGGCACTGATGCCGATGGGAACCAGCTTCAGCCCGGATCCCAACCAATTGGAACAGGTGGCTTCTCAGCTATTTTTGGAAATAACACCTCTTCGTCAAAGTATACTCTGGATCCAGTCACCGGCGAGGTTCTGGTTTCCATCAACGGGAACGGTACATTTGACCAAGAGATTTGCTGTACCTATCACCGCGGCGGACTTCTCTTTGACCCAGCATCTTGTTCAATCTCCACATGCTCCCTCGGAGGGGCTGACGTTGCACCGCTTCAATGTGCTGCCCTCGCCAACGGCACCTTGGACTGTTTCCTCAATGCCACTTCTGCCAACGCGATTTATCGGAACACCCAGATTCAGCCGCTTGACGATGGAACCTTCCAATTGCACATCGGCACCACAGTCTTTCCGGGATACTCCCCGGTGACATTGACTACGACAAATCCCGGTAACGGTGGATCGACAAGCACCTCTGCTAGTGACATTAGCACCACTACCGGTACCAGTTCCGTGACAACCACTTCTGATGCTAGCACTTCATCTGTTTCTAGCACTTCATCTGTTGCTAGCACCTCCTCTTCTGCTGGCACTTCATCTGCTGTTAGCACATCGTCTGCTGTTAGCATTTCGTCTGTTGATAGCACATCGTCCGTTTCTAGCACTTCACCTGTTGCTAGCATTTCATCTAGTACAACCAGAAGCATCATCAGCACAACTACTTCAGCCGGTGCTCAACCGACATTCCCTGTGTTCGGATTCAACGGTGCAGGTGTTGCTGATGGTTTCCAGTTACAGCCTCAAACGCCGGGTTCAGCTGACTCTCCTGCCATACTTAGTTCGTCGCCGTCCGACTTCAAGTTCATTGTCGATCCCGTCACAAATGAGTTACTCGCATTCTCAGATTCTAACCCGGCTATTGGTGATCAGCAAATCTGCTGTAGATATACCCTCGGAGGCCAAACACTTGACCCAGCTACTTGCTCGGTCTCTACGTGCTCGCTTGGCGATGCCTCTGTCGCGCCGCTACAGTGTGATTCTATACTTGCTGGTGTCACTACCATGAACTGTTATCTGAATGCTACGTCGATTGGCGCCGTTTTCACTAACCTCCAGCTCGCGCCGCTGCCTGATGGTACATTTCAAGTCGAGATCGGCTCAAACCTTGCAGCTGGAAATCTCCCTATCACGTTCACCACAGTCAGGCCTACAGTCCCTTCATCCTCCAGTAGATCTGTTACTAGCACCTCGACCGGCACTCGTAGCACCACAAGCAGTAGCAGCAGCACAACGACTTCCGCCGGTCCCCTGGAGACGTTCCCCATCTTCGCGGCAGACAGTGGCACGACGGCTGATGGCTTGACACTGCAGCCTCAAACAAACACCAATGGCTCGCCTGCTGTCTTCGGCTCAGTATTGTTTCCAGGGACGTACAGCATTGATCCCAACACAGGAGAGCTATTGCTAAATTCCGGGAATGGCGACGGAGACAAAAATGTCTGCTGTGAGTACTCGAGCGGTGGCGTCCAAGTCGACCCTGCTCCTTGCTCTATCGACATTTGTTCTGTGGCCGACGCGTCCGTTGCGCCCTTGCAGTGCACTGCTATTACGAACGCGCTGGATTGTTTCCTGACCATACCATCTCTCGGTGCAGTCTACACCGTACCACAACTGGCACCGCTGAGTGATGGTACTTACCAGTTGGAAATCGGTACAGCTCTGGATCCTGGCAACAGCCCTGTAACTCTGAGCACGGTGAGGCCAGTGTCTTCGTCGACTAGCAGTCCTATCAGCGCTACCAGTACCAGCAGAAGCTCAACTGTCAGCACAAATGCTGCCACCAGTACAGTAGCATCCTCCACCGGCCAATCCTCGACAACGGGCTCTTCCTCTCGCTCTGTCTCCAGCAGCACAACAACATCAAGCGGACCACAGGCAACTTTCCCACTGTTCGCATCAGACTCTGGAACGAGTGCAGATGGCTTGTCTTTGCAACCCCAAGACGGAGCATCGTCAGGACCGAATTCCCCTATTATCTTCGGCTCAACCACGCCCCAACTGACATACACACTGGATCCAACGACAGGCAGGCTGTTGCTCGCGCCGGGTACTGGAGCTAATCAAGATATCTGCTGCACGTACGCTGATGGTGCCACACAATTGGATCCAGCTGCTTGTTCGCGGGGTAGTTGCGCCTTAGATAACGGAACAACCGGACCGCTGCAGTGTGACCCCGTCACCAGCGGTGGCCTCCTCAACTGCTTCCTTGTTGCAACACCGTTTGGCGAGGTTTACCGTCAACTACAGCTTGCGCCTAACGGAGACGGGACTTATCAGCTGGAGATTGGCACAACTGTAGCTGCTGGTAACTCGCCGGTTACCTTGACGACTAACAACCCCGGAGCCGCAACGACGTCAAGCAGTTCTGCCACTGCTACCCTCACAAGTAGCACAGCATCGTCAAGTATCTCTGCCAGTGCTACATCCACCTCTACTAGTGCCATAACGTCAAGCACCGTTTCCAGTAGCAGCACCAGTAGCAGCACTGCAAGCACCCCCACACAAGTGACATTCCCCATCTTCGCGTCTGACTCCGGAACGACTGCGGACGGCCTCAAGCTGCAACCGCAATCAAATACTGCTGCTGATAGTCCTGCGATCTTCGGCTCACCGACATCTCCAGTCACTTATAGCCTCGATCCGACCACTAGCGAAGTGCTCGTTGCATCGGGCGACGATGCCAACAGCCAAATCTGCTGTACGTACGTTGATGCCACCGGCAATCAACTGGATCCGGCACCTTGTTCTCTCTCTACCTGCAATATAGGTGATGCAACTACTGCTCCCCTGCAGTGTGCAGATCTCCTAGGAAATGGCATTCTCAGCTGTACCCTTGTTGCCACTTCTGTCGGAGACCTCTACACACTTACCCAGTTGGTGCCTCTCGCAGACGGTACCTATCAGTTAGAAATTGGTTCAGGTCTGGATGCTGGGAACTCACCAGTCACGCTCGTCACGAGTAATCCAGGCACGGTCACAAGCAGCAGCTCTGCGACCACCAGCGCGACGGCATCAAGCACCAGTGTAGTCTCATCAAGCACCAGTGTAGTCTCATCAAGCACCAGTGTAGTCTCATCAAGCACCAGCGCAGTCTCATCAAGCTCCAGTGCAGTCTCATCAAGCACCAGCGCGGCCGCTTCAACCACTTCCACCATCACTTCTGCGACTGATGCCACGAGCACGACCATCGGAAGCAGCAGCACAGCCGCCACCTCCAGTACCACCTCGTCGTCTAGCCCGCTTCAAACATTCCCTCTCTTTGCCGACAACTCTGGCACAATATTGGATGGCTTCCAGCTACAACCAAGTGTGCCCCTGGCTGGATCTGATGCAATCTTGAGCTCGAACCCTTCTTCGGTATCCTTCGGTCTTGACCCCACGAATGGCCAACTCCTGGTGACAACGCCCAACAACGGTAACCAAGATGTGTGCTGTACCTACTCGGATGCCACTGGTCAGCTGAATCCAGCTCCTTGCACAATCGGAACATGTGCTGTAGGTGACGCTATATCGGCACCACTTCAATGCACCTCAAGCGTCACGCAGGGCATCCTCTCCTGCACCTTGAACGCTGCAACGATTCCAGCGACTTATTCCGTCGTTCAATTTGCACCTCTGGCTGATGGTTCCTACCAACTTGAAATCGGCACCACCCTGGGCGCAGGTAATGTAGCAGGGGATTTGACCCCCATTCAGCCTTCAGTACCCACAAGCAGCAGCAGTAGTATCTCTACCACTGTACCAACAACGACTACTGCTGACACTACTGCGCCCACTACTATTGCACCAACGACTACTGCGCCTACGACCAGCGCGCCAATTACTTCGGATATCCCGTCAAGCATTCTTTCCAGCATCAGCAGCGAGATCTCTAGCGTCATTTCGAGCATTGCCAGTCAAGTCACTGATATAACAGCAACAAACACCGGCAATCCGAGCAGTATCCTCTCCAGTCTTTCGAGTGAGCTCTCCAGTGTGCTTTCTAGCATTTCTGATGCGTCAACCCAGACAAGCAGCGCTGTGATTACACCGACAAGTGCTAGCACAAGTGCGATCTCCTCCTCGTCTGCAACTTCGACAACTGGCACTACCACACCAACATCAGCCGTTGATTTCTGCGGTACCAACGCCCCAGCTTACTACATTCTGGATAATGCACTCCTCCGAGAAGATTTCGTCTTTAGTTTCCTGAATATAGTTTCCGCTGCCGTCACGGTACCAATCAACCTTGCTGTAGGTGACGGCGGTACTGTCAACTCTCTTGGCTTCAACCTCGAGGATGGCTTCCTGTATGCCACTATGGGCGACGCCCCCTCACGACTTATCCGAATCTCTACGGTAGATGGCTCATACACAGATCTCGGGTCCCTTGGATTGACCGCTAATTCTGTTGCTGGTGTGGTTGATGAAAACGCGCAATACTGGCTGATTGACTCCACCAACACATTATGGACGCAGGTCGATCTGGTGCCAGGCTCTGCCACATTCGGCCAAGTCGTGGCATCTGGCACTTCAGCGGCTCCAGCACATACCGTGCTCGATTGGGCTTGGGTTCCAGGCACTGCTGGTGGAAATAATCTTTATGGTGTATCACGCGGTACCGGCCTGTTCGACGCGCTTACCACGTACATCATGCGGTGGAACAGATCAACCAAAACATGGACAACTGCGGGACAATACCCGTTGTCCTTGCCCGGGGCCACATACAGTTCTGCCTTTTCTAACCAGGGTAACGCTCTGTTCGCTGCGGATGCGATTAGTGGTACAGTCTATAGCTTCTCACTACCTGGCGCTGGTCAAACACTTGTTGCCACTCCAATTGTGACGCTGGTTGGTATTGGAGCACAAACTGCCGATGGTGCGAGGTGTGTCAGGGCAACTTAGAGACGGAATTAGGGTCTTATTTTCTTCATGTTTCGTAATTAGGGTATTTTCAGGGGTTCTATATACATAAATACAAATTTTTACGGATTAGTTTATAATACGCTTATCATAATTATATAGAATTTACAAACACGAATGAAAATTCTTTCATTAGTTATTCCTCATTCATAGAACAGAGAAGTCTATAACGCGCGACTTTGCTAGCAAAGCATCTTATAAGCACGGACCATTGTCGGTGGTGACGATTCTGTACCTTAAACTTGGTGAACTATTACGCAAGTTTGCTTAAACATCTCAGAGATTACCTAAATGTATCTTTAAGATGTAGCTTCTCATCTCCTCCTTCACTCTTCAGTAGAGCAGCACAATCTTTGCATGACTAACAATAACAACCTGACAATATTAACACCGTGGCGATCTTACCATCGCCAGCTGTAGTCTCCAATTAGGACAGGAAGTTATCATAACTTCTTTGTTGCGGTTCTTAGCTTCCACTCAGAACTACAGCCTTGCTCCACCTCACATTTAGACATATATGCGTTATCACCGAAACCCCACGATCGAGTCGCACTGTAACATCAGCATTAATTTACACCGATATGCTCGACCTGTCAGTCATCTCCTTCACAGTATTTGGCACAGTGGTTGCCGCAGCTCCTGTAAGAGAACTCGACTTGACAAGCTTCCATTTTGGTTACTTGCTCGACAATCGTTTGAGTGTTATCATCATGACTGCTTGGGTAATTGCAGTGACAGAAATCTACCCCCACCGACCAGCAGGCAAGCTTTTGATATGCTCCTATTTTTCAACAAGCCTTGGGAGTGTCCTAATGAACCTTACGGTGCTGCCAGGGTCTCACGTAGGATTGGTGAATATCACAATTGGCGGGGCCTGGAGCAGCTATATTGTTACCCTAACCGCCCTGTAGCAGGAAAATGCCGTGAACCTAGACTATAGATAGACATTTCAACTACCGAGGAGTTATCGGTCAGCCTGTTTGACGGGGCCTTGAAACATGCATCAAACAAGATAATGAAGGTCTAACACTCGGAAGGGAAGCATAAATTATAGCACAGCATCTTCAGAAAATGGAATAGAGCATCTCTATACATCTCTGCGTTTCCCGTAGTTCCCGCTGTTTTCAATAAGCTTTTAGCCAACTCTTAATCACTACCACCATTTACTCAGACAACTCTAGAGATCTTAAAGCCGCCTGGGACTCTGGTCTGAAAAATCCCTTCTGAGTCGTACTTTGTAGCCACCTCTCTGATGAATTGAACATTTTCTGAACCATATGTGCTCAAAGGATCCTGGCTCCCATCGGCGTATCCTAAATACTCCCACTCGACGTTTACACCCACTTCCAAATTGTACAGTTTGAGCGATTGCCGCATAGCAGTCAATCTTTCTCTCGCCTCAGTCTCTTGCTCAACTGTGCGCACCATGTGCTGCATCTGAAAGAGAATGGCGTTTTCCGTCTCGCGGTCCATACCAATAACGTTTCCGCCCTTGTCAACGGAATGTTTGAACAGCAGCGTCGGCATTGCTTGAAAAGTAATATAGTTTAGGAAATCAGCATCCTGGTTTGCCTGCCAATCCGCAATAAAGCTGGACTGTGCCTCGACGGCCCTGCGAATGAAACGTGCATCGTTTTTACCTGTAAGCGTAATCCATATTTGCCTATACCCTGAAGGCTCCTCCAGCTCCACGGTCATGTTCAAATGACTGTCGATGCGCAGGGTGTCGCTAAGCTGGGGTGTGATGGATAGAAACTTGTCGTATGCAGGAGCCCGTACTGTCGCCGAAGTGTCGTGGAGAGCGGAAGAGACAATAATCCCGCAGCTGCCCGCGCATACGCCCAAAAGGTCACTGCAGAGCCTTGCGCATAGCTCGGAATGTTGTCAACCCACTTGATGTAGGCGGCAATGTGCTGTTCAGTCGTATCGAGTGGGTATACCACCTGGCCTCCCCAGAGATTGCCAGTCTCAATGGCCTGCATGTCGATACGGGTCACAACGCCGAAGTTGCAGGAACCGCCCTTCAATGCCTTGTGAAGATCCGAGTTTGTCTCTTTGTTAGCATTGACAATCTCAACACTAGCAAGTACAACCTCAAAGTTGATGACGTTGTCACAGCCTAGACCAACCATACTGCTGTAGAAGTTGTTCCCTCCGCCGGTAAGAAAGCCCGCAACGCCTACTGTGGCTGTACGACCGCCCGGAGCTGTGACGCCGTAGGGCTCCAACGTTGCATACACATCGCGCCACCTGCACCCTGCTCCAATCTTGGCGATCCTATCTTCGGACACATACTCTGTATGATTCATCAAACCGAGGTCCAACGTGACACCCTCATGAACTACCAGAACATACACTGGTTAGTCATGTCATTGGGCTCGTAGACGGGAAGCCTTGAAGTCTTGAAGTCTTACTATCGGAGGCGCCAGCCCATGTCATATGGCCACCGCCTCGAATGGCCCAGTTACACGTCGTGGCTGTTTTCAACGTGGTAATTGCTAAGGAAACCTGATCGGCACTTGTAGGCTGCACGATACAGTACGGACTCAGCTGGGCAGAGACAGAGAAATAGGATGTGTCACGGGCGAAGTACTCCCCGGTTTCTGGGCGCAGTATCTTGAGGCCAGCGGCCGCAAGTACGTCACACTGAGCACAAATACCATTAGCAAGTATACAAAATGGAGCACATTAGCATAATTGAAGAGTCATCTCATACGCAAGTGTCAGTCATAGTGTTGTTGCCGTCAATGCATTCGGACTCTGACAGAATAGTGAAAGCCGTGGCAGTCCCAAGCAGATACGCTGATTGCCTCATAGTTATTGACTGGGGCGTGCATAGGCGGCAGGCCGATCGGAAGAGAGCTGATGATGAATAGTGTTGTCAATTATGTGTGTGAACAGGCACGGACAAAACTAAAGTAAAACGCGGCTGAGGCGATCATCCACCTGGCAGTGCAGCTTAGCTGGTGGCGAGAGATGGTACAAATCACGTTACACAGAAGTGGACGGGGACCGCTTCACTTTCTATACGACCTGACGAATAGCGATTTCCAGGAGATTATGTCTGCATGCCAAGGCTATGATTGCTACATTTGTTGTCTCCGAATTTATTCCCGGCATGGCTTGAGGGGCATTGATCCTTGATCGGTAAACGAATTAATGATCTACTAACTGGGGTGCTTTCCAATATCGTGGGGGTTTGGTTGTATTTCGTTTTGTATCCACTTCTTCAGGAACCCCTCTCATGTTGTCCAGACAGTATTTCGTTTGTAAACACAAAGTCAGTATCCAGGAGCGTAACTTCAAAGCAGAACACTCCTGTGACATGTGTATGCTATATCATAATCTCTATCCTACTATGTTCTTAATTTGAACCTTTTGAAGCATGCATGTGATCTGGCCCACGACCCATAATTCCTTGATAGCATTGTGATCACTCATTACAGTAGATACTGGACGGCTCTATTAACAGGCTCATCTTCGGAAGAATGTTTCTGCATCAGGAGGCTTCTTTAGCAATGAATCATCGATAACAGAATACGGCTATCCAGAATTGCAGTGATCGTCAAAACAGAGCAGGGGTTGACCAGCGTTGGTCATGAAACGAGAGAGCGACATCCGCTGCGGGTCGTCCCCCACGAAGCAATAGACAGCAGGCGGCCACGCTAAGAATCGACCTGCATGTTTTTGAAGGTTTCAAAAATTGGAATTTCCGCAAATGGCACCCAGGAAATGTGTTTACGCTTTGAGAACGGCCGTGGAGGAGTCCTTCTGCAGCATGTGTAACCTCGTGGGCAACATCAAATCTCATCCTGGAAATTAATATGAATTCCTCCAGCACATCTTGAACAGTTACCAGGCAATCCCGACGAAGGGAAGCAGAGCAGAAAAAGCACACAACGTCACAAGTCTCGTCATCATCGCTACTTGTCGAGTTGTCAGGCTTGCCGGTGTCGATGGGCTCGATGAGAAATTGCCTGTTCTCTGCCTCGAGAATTGCCTGGTCCCACACTGCAGCCAGCTTGGCCGCACCTTTCTCATTCAGATGAATACCATCATAGTAATCTGTGTCGAGGTCCAAAAATCCATCGTTAAAATCTGCCAGGACGATCTTCTTCCCTGCATTATCGAACTGTCGCACAAGGTCACTATATCCGGGATTGATAATATTGACGTTACTGTCACTCGAATCCCTACGGGGTAAAAATGTCGACAAGATAATGGTGACGCCGTCAATGTTAGCAAAGAGGTGGTTCAAAAGCTCCACCATACGCTTTGCAGTGTTAGGGATATCCTGACCGTCGACAGGGTTTGCGTCGTTCGTTCCGCAATTGATCAAGACGACATCGGGCTTCTTTGGTAAGGTATAGTCGCTGACGCCGATCATCTGGTTGACCACGAATCCGCTGTGACCTTCATGCTGTCGGTTATGAAATGTCTCTGCGTCACCATCTGCCAGGCTGCCGACCATGTTGATTGGCCAGCCACGTCACCTCAGTTGACCTCTTATGTTTCTCATCACAGAGCTTGTACCAGCAGATCGAAAACATTGGTCGGCAGATCATCTACAGCACTTGCAGAGCGCTTCAACACGAATCGGCGCTAGTGGCTCCGTGTCACAGCGCACGACACTCCCGACGTAGACTTGTCACTGCCAGCCTGCTAAGGACCAACCAGGGCCTGATGGTGAGCTGTCCGCCGTGGGATCCCAACATAGGTGCTGGAATATGATATCATGGCTATTGTAGGGACTCTTTTGCCCATCGTAGGCTGAAGAGGTAACATCACGTTAGGGTAGGGACGCCGATACGGTCTGCAATGTCGGAGGTGTGAAGCCAGGATTGTTGAAGATGGGGTCTAAGGAGGGGACATCTACCGGCTCATAGTATGGTTTCTTGAAACCTGGCCGTCACCGAGGCAGTTAATCCTAATCCCTTTAACACTTTGAACTTCGGTTATATTAGGAGCCTTGATATCCGGCGACCAGCTCCCATATGAGATCAGGTAGTCAGCAATGTATCGGAACTCGTTCATATAAAGGTCTCGACAGGCGGAAGGGTCCTAGCTCTGCCCTTTTTCTTTTTATTCCAATAACAACGATGGAACCGCACTACTCATGAGCTGACATGTCGAGGTGGGAGAATGGTGCACAGAGGAACTTGTGGACCCAGTCATCAAGCTGGCATTCCTTCGAGCAATAGTGGGAAAATTTATAGCGATTTCAGGCACGGGTGCCTGTCTTCTCCCACAGAGTGCAGGCATTATATCTGCTGAAGTTGGGCATCGCGATTGTTTGATGCGACGACTGCGTAGAAGAAGAGCACAACGACCCTACCTTTCCCGTTCATAGGGGCCTCCGGGACTTTCTTTAATTGATACTTCGAGGCTTGGCCGGTTGACTGCAGTTAGTTGGCTGCAGTTGGTCGACTGCGTGCTTGTTGTGAACTGTGCTCGAGACCGACTCCAAATTCATGCCATCAATATTCCCTCTTTCTATCTCGACGCTATTGATATTTTCAATATTCTTACCACATCGTCAAATCATGCACGTTAGCCAGAAGGAATCAGTGGGTCTTGAACGTCAGTGGGATCAAGAGGTCCTGCGAATCGCACCCCTAAAATATAATCATAGCGTAAAAGCCTCAGAGCAATACTACTGAGTCGGAATAGCATAACGACAATCATCACATCATGGTTGGACTTTGGGGAGGATGACAGCCTAGAGCTTCCAACGAAACATGTACATAAAAGGGGCTCATCGAGCCATTGAAAATAGATTGGCTCACAATCAGCTTCAACACCAAGGAGTTAGAAAGGAATCTAGTACCTCACTCCCTTGTTTGTTGTGCTATCTTCCCCTGACTTATCAATATGACGCTCTTTCGGGTCATTGAGCGACTCGGCCCTTGTATCTTGCCTTCTTGCTGCTATTTCTACTACTTAATCACCCTTCTATTTTGGCCGTTTCCCAAGATGTCTCTCACTCACACGGAAATACCTTCCTACGGATACTGGGGATGTTATAATCCCACGTCAGGATGCCGGAAAACCATTCTACCTGAGAATCATGCCCCTCGGGTCATCGATCACGGCCAGCTATGGCACCAACCCCCAGAATGGCTATAGGAAGCCCCTGAGGACGGGAATGATGTTTTAGAACCGTTCCCTTACCAGTCCTCACATTTTGGATCTTATATTAACGCGCTCGCCAAATGAGGTGAAGGTGCTCATGACTAAAGAAAAGCTTTGACAAATGTCACAAAAACGAACACTCAAATTGGGTTACGGAGTAGTGACGTAATTAATAGATCTGTGAGTAACTGCCGACGACTAACTAACAGCACTCTTAGACAGTACAAGGGAACAGCACCAAGAAATTCCGACTAGATGGAGGGTTGAAACCAATACATGAATAAAAGGGAATACAATAACAGTCAAAGACCAAGGCAGGACGTGAGTTGGGCCTAACAAACAAGAGTGACTACCGAACCTGAGGAACGCTTACGACAGCAGTTTACTGTAAAAGATAGAAAAAATAGTAAGTTTCGGTGTGTTTTATAAAACGTGACCATAGGTTTATCCCGATTGTATGCGTTTACGACACAGACTATCAGGGCATTTTTCTTATATGTAAAAGTCATTTCTCATACTTATAAACAAGCACTATTAAATATACTTTCAAAGGCGTTGTAGAGGCCGAACGGTATCCGCCCTGACTTGAAACAATACAAACAAAGTGACGTTCAATCTATCAGTGGCGTCTCAAACACAACGCTAGTGTCACCCCAGATCTTTCCGTTCTTTGGGTATAACTCTTCTGGCTGTATAACCTGCTCCATTTGCCAAAGCCTAAACACGCTCCGCAGAGCACATTTGAACTGTCCGCGGTACTTTCCGTCATTAACTTGAGAACCGTCTTGTATTGGGTTTGTGATTTCGTCGCCGTTTGCTTCTGCCCAAGTAGTATCCACTGCAGCGACATACGGCAGGAACGATATTTCCTTTGTCCTGACGCTTGGTAGACTTAATGGAAGAGCTTCCAGGACCTGTTTTGCCGGCGGACCATAGACCCGAAGCATGGATTCGATTGCCTCGCGGTCCACCGTTAAGCAGAGCCAAAGGAATTTTGATCCTGGTGGAAACGCAGTAACACAAAGTTCTTGAAAGAGTCTGCACAAAAGTGAGTATTTTAATCGTTAAATCGCAGAGCTTGGTCCTTACCTTCGAACTTCAAGTGGACCTTTCCCGTCAAGTCTAGTTTTATCATTGACCCAAAACCAGGTAATGTCATCCGGGTCTACAACTTCTGGCACATAGAACTCCGTCTTTAGAAAATGGTCCCAGTACATCTTATAGAGTTCAAAATCCTCATCATTGGAATAGTCTAGGCGGAAAATAGGGTAGCCAATACTCCCACCGCCAGGCATTGGGGATAAATTGAGTGGCCTACGGTAGTGGCCTGCTTCGGCACGCGCCCTGGCGGCATCAAGAGCATTAGTGTGGAAGGCGGCGTTGAGTACTGCGATGGTCTAGTGAAAACTTAGATCACGGTGTTATAGCTACGTCGCGCATATAAAAAATGAACTTGGTAACTCACGTAAATAGGCAACGAGAAGTAATCTGCATTCGAACAAGTCTTTAATCTCTGCCAGTCCCAACCGTACTCCGGTGCGACGATAGCATTGATTAATCTTCGTGTCCATACAGAATCTTCTTGCCAGTTCGCTTCAGCACATCTGCTGTTGACAGCAGTTTTTAGGCTTTCGATAGTCGCACTTGACCATTGTTGAACTGGTGGAAGTGCAGCTAGGACAGATGCGAAATCCCCAGCTGTCCGCGCTTTGTCTTCTCCCGGGGACTGCTGCATCTTCGATTGCGGCACGGGTCTGCCATTGCTTTGTGATCTTGAGTGCGGCTTGAGTCTCGCTTTCAGTCCACTTGGATCGGCGATGATGGGTTATCTGAAGTTGTAATGGGGACGGAGGGAGAGACGATATGACACTTGAGCAAAAGGGAGCGTTAAGAGGGGAAATCAAACGTGTGACCATTATCTCTTGCTCTGACCCGATGCAGGTGCCAGTGGTTGCACGTGGTTGTACGTCTGGTACTGCCTGCGCCGCACAAATTATTGGGCCGATTCATAACTTGTCCTGTAACCTAGTTGGTTGGCTGTAACTTAATTGGTTGGCTGTGGCTAGCTCAAGGCTAAGAAGAGATATGGCCTGGAATTATGACTTCATTTGCTAACTTCTCATGGCGACGGTTAAAGATTTTAGTGACATGTTCAAATGGTTCTACGAGGTCGGATACGCTGCTGACATTACAGCGCTTAGAAAAGCTCACCCCGGATTGAAGGACTTCGACACTTGGTTAGCCACCGACAGTCAATTCAGCAAGAATAAGAAAGCATGACATTAATTTTATATTTATTCAAATCTCTTTCCTTTTCCTTGTACTTCATACTTTTTTCGACTGGGAGACAACACCTTTCGACGTAATCTCACAGGTGGATGATGTCGCTCTCCTCCCCCCCCCCCCCCCCCCCCCCCCCCTCTTTAAGCCAAAAACGTCTCTTCAAGTCATTGGGCAATGAAGAAGTTCTAACGTGTCCTAAGATCCAATGCTCAACGACAGCCGAGCTCTAGATGTTGTAAATCACGCTTTGGCTGGTTGGAACTATGCACAAACATATGGAGATGAAGCAGAAAGCTATTGTACTAGAAGCGATGAAAGAGTTAGGTAACGGCCGCCAACAAAGCTTTCGCGGCGTAGACGGTTAGAAAGAGGTCAGGGTTGATTATATTGGTGCACAGTATCAACTTCAAGCTCCTACTATACATGTACGCAACAATTCCTTGCGATGCAACAAAATCCGCTAACCTAGGTTAGCCTAGTATCGAACTATGTCTGGAGCCACACTCGTCACAAGCAAGTGATGGAGGCTAGCAGGGCTGGCTTGCTGGGCCGCAGCATTGCACGAGCTGGAAGTAGGGAGCCTTATGTGCTGCAAGCCACAATCCTGAACAAACCTTAGATCGGCTTGGCAATCCTTGGGAGGTGAATAGATATATTTCGTTCCTCCACCGATCTGCCTGTAGTCACCAACTCTCCTTTTTCAAGCCATACCTCCTCTTGCATTCTGCGAATTCATCAATTTGAGCAATGCCGATCTCTAAGGACTTCTTTGCACTCGTTGCTGGAGCTGGCGCCGGAACAGGTAGGCAAGCTATCCGCTGAATTAGCCAGCTGATTTTAAAGATTAAAGGCCGGTCAATTGCCCTTCGTTTTGCGAAGCTCTACCCCACGGTGGTGCTAGCTCGTAGAAGGGAGAGTTTCGAAGGGATCGTCAACGAAATCAAAGCAGCTGGCGGTACGGCTCTGGGTATTGTAGCCGATGTCAATGACCCCGCTGCGGTTAGAGCTGCCTTTGGCGCCATTAAGAATGAGATTCCCAACAGCAAACTAGCTGCAGCAGTTTACAATGTCAACGGGGGCTTTGCGATGAAACCATTCTTGGACCTAAAGCCAGAGGATCTTGAGGCGAGTTTGGATGGCACGGTGTAAGTACGCTCCGGCAGAACGTTTTCGCATTGTCTGGCTTACCGGAACCATAGGCGAGCGGGTTTCACATATGCTCAACATTGTTTGCCTCTACTCCTTGAGTCTGTCTCCGACGCACCGCATCCTCCATCACTCATAATCACAGGTGCCACGGCATCGCTTAAAGCTTCCGCCAACTTTGCATCTTTCGCAGCTGGCAAGTTTGCGCTTCGTGCTTTGAGCCAGTCTTTGGCCCGCGAATTTGGTCCCCGTGGTGTCCATATCGCACACGTCATCATCGATGGCTTGATAGATACGCCACGTGCGAGGGAATTTGTTGGTAAGGATCAAGCGATGATATCCCCAGACTCGGTAAGTGGCCAGTCTTATCAATGTCCTCCATGCAATACTTACAGGGCATAGATTGCTGAAAGCTATTGGTACTTGCATACACAGGATCTATCTGCATTTACTCAAGAGCTGGACTTGCGACCTTGCTCCGAGAAGTTCTAATGGCAAAGCTTCTCGCGGAGTCGAAGCAGTTTGGCATCTTCAGCTTATGATTACGGACGTATTGGTAGACTATTGCTGACAATATAGTTATAATACATTGTTGTGAAATAAAATTACATACAAGGGAAGTATAAGAGCACGTTCCACTAACAGCAACCGTATCAACCACATAAAATAGTTTCAATAACAGTAGGTCACTTGCTAAGCGTAATACAACACTAGCCATCGTACATATTATGGGACTGTCGGTGGGCACCTGTGTCTAAATCATCGTACTCGAGTCAACGAAGTTATCCTGACTAGCGCTGGTAGCGAAGCAGTCGGTGGGTGCATTTCCAAAGGCAGTTCTCAACACGTACCGAAGCTGCTTGGCCTCCGCGGGGTAATGAAGATTTCTGATGATACTATGACAGCTACTGCCCGAAAACTCGACCATTCATCTTGTCCATCAACGTAGCGCATTTGATTGCAGCCCATATCATTCCAGTCTGAACTCTATTGTGGCTGTATGTAGCTTCTCCAGAGGTGGCAGCGGCGTATTATAAGCATGAATCTTGATTGTGACAAAGCTTCGGTTTAGGTCGGACACCGATGCTCCACTTTTGTAGATGTCATGATCGCTGCACTTATCCTGCTTTACCCAGTAATCGATCAATTTGCATGTATTTCTTGAACCTGGGAATCCGTCAAATAACTGCAATGCGCATTGACCTTCGTAATTTTACCACGCCATATATTCACTCATGTTGCCTTCGTGACAATTTCTTGCGATATCAGCAGGCGAAATAAACCATGAGGTCTTGCACGTAAGGGCACCACCAAAAGATCATCCACCTGCTATACTGCTAATACGTACTTTCTGTCAATTTCTAAACGGGCCAAAGCAACATAGTTGTTCAACTCCGGATGGACCCCTGTTACTTTTCCAATGACCGTTTTTAACGAAGTCAACGAAGTCAACGAAGTCATAAGCATTCACCACGATTACGCAATGTCCAGTACTCCATTATGTGGCACAAGGAATCTGGATAAACATACTTAGGAGATCTCACTGGGCAACTTAATATATGGTATCACGGTATCCCGTATAGATCATTGGATAACAAGAGCATGGAGACTAAATTGATATGTTTTGCAGCTGACCCATGCGATAATTTTGACTGTGATTTCTGGCACAGTTTTGGCCACACTGGTGCTTTGTATCTTCTCGTACCGTCTATTTACGTTTACTTAGTACCCTTATACGACTGTCTACATAGTCTTCATCACAGTCGCTACGTCTACTTCGGTGTGGTTCGATGTAGAGTTCTCATGGAAACCTGTTAAGCCAGCTTAGGAATTGCGTCTTTACACCTGCCACAACTTCATCGGGCAAGCCCTTCGCCCTAGGAGGTATATTTTCCGAGATATTGTAGGAGCGTCACCCATATTCTTCTCATGGCGCTTCCATTACACATACTCATCAATCTACAGATATTGTGGAAATATAAAATGGCTTTGAGGTGCTGGTCCGGTACTGGTCTTGTAACACTGGGAGCAGTGGTAGCACGACTGATCTCATTCCGAGCCTCAAGTCCTCCGATTTAATATGGTTTATAGGACAGGGCACCTTGTGGCTGATCCAAGAAGCCAATCCGATCATCATTTGCGGATCCTAACCAACCTGCTGAAAGCTCTTAAACCACATATCAATGAGAATCCTTGGCAACTCCAAAGGTTCTGGCAGCAGCAGTTAGAGTGACAGGAGACCCAGACAGTGGACCCAAGGCGCAAGACTTCAGATACTCATTACGAATGTCCGTCAGCTCACAAACGAAGCAGAGGCAATTTGATACCATCGAGAAGATCGAACATGGTGATGACTTCTATTTTGCCAAAGGACACATAAGACAGGTTCTAACGGTATTAGGGAAGCGCCCAGTGCATCTACTACGGTAACGAGCTAGTAGAGCAACGAAGAAGCAATAATGCCCGACACAAATAGCACAAAGATTCTCACACATGACATCAAATAATGTTGAAGGATTTTGTGATGGTCAAAGATAAAGAAGGAGCAACATCTCTTGTTGACAACCGCCGAACTAGCATATCTAATTTATCATCTTCTCTTTCTTCATTTCCAGTGATATCACGTGCAGCATACAACCAACCCATCTCCACCAGTTATCGCTGGCCCATAGCCATAACATTCAGGTACGGGAGTTTTTCACTGGCACCTGGGATGTTGGGGCAAGGCACTTCTTCGTGGCCTTCGGAGCCGAGCAGTCTCTTGCCAGGTGTCCGAGCTTCTTGCAATTATAACATTGCGTCTGGGCTAGTCTTGCCATATACTCGGCCTTTCTTGCCTCGTACTTAGCCTTTTTTGCCTCAAGATCAGCTATCTTCTTCGTTTCAAACTCTTCGCACTCTGCCCTTCTATGGCCATCTTTATCGCAGAAATCGCAATACTTTTTGGTGCTGTACTTTCTGCCAATGACAATGGCACCGTAATGGTTCCTAAATCCTTGGCCTTTATTCCTGTTGGCCTCGGCGGCCGAACTAGTCGAAGGTGTGGGGTCAGTGCTACCAGACATTTAAAAAAGATTTCGGATCTGAAGAGCTTCTAGTAAGTGCGTTAACTCGGAGTGATTTTTCGCTAGTATAGATTCTGTGCTGTAAAGCTCTTGATCGTGATGATGAACCTATGCCGAAAGCACGGCGTGCGAGACTGGATTATATAGACATCATGAGCCAGTTATTGGTTGCCTTTAATTTATTTGTACTGTTAAACATCACCGTTATTCAAAAGTTCTGATCTTTAGCTCTTTGAATACCCACAAATAAAAAAGTGCCTTTCATTTTCCAGAAGGGACGAACATGGTGAAAATGAACAACTACTTGTGGATCTCTTTGTTATCGACTTGGGGCTTCTACATGCGGAAAATAGGATTCTGAGTGAGATTTGACAGATGCAAGCAGCAACATCGCTCTCTTTAACCTTCATGACATAGAATGACTGAGTCCACCATGCTCTTCTAGTCTAGAAGCTGTCTCGTGAACACGCCTGTCGGGTCCCATTTATTCTTTAGCTCCCTCAACTTTTCAAGCTTGCCAGGTCCCCTGTAGCGCAGTTCGATTGGTCCTACGCGAGTGCCATTTTGGAAATCGGCATACTCAGATCGGTCGGGCCCACGCATGATCTTAATTGACTCATCGTTCAACTCATCCACCAATTCCCGATTGTTTACATCGGTATGCCAAATGAGGTTATTCCTATCAGACGCTTGTGGTTAGCGAGGTCATATGGAGCCCCGAAGTTTGATAGCCACGTACTGCCAGTATCTGGTATCATGGAGGGACATTGCTGACTGGAAATCGGGTGTTTTAGGGGGCCGAGAGTCCCATTGAAAGTTGAATGCTGTGTTAATGGCATCAGGGCACTTTTCTACTAAAGTCTTCCACACCTCAATGGTCTTGAGAAAGCTGTCCACATCAAAACGACTTAGTCCAACGACACCAAATCTCTTGAAGTCACCTTTAGCGCAAAGGACTTCGCGGGCATCACTGGTGTTCTGGATAGGGACTGGTCCGCCGTTGGCAATCAGAGGTTGTAAGTCGTGTAAGGGCTTGTATGCAATCTTGGCATCGTCTGGAGCTCCAGTATATCTTGCCGAAATCACCAGGGCGGGCTTTCGTGCCGGTGGAGGAGCCATAATCATAATAAGACCGGCTGTTGCTTTACTGCCATCATCCATCAACGGTTTCATAACCTCGGCCACTTCCTTTGCGCGCTCGAGGGGGAACACAAAGGCTCCTACCCAAATCACACCCTGCTCGTTCCCCAGCTCGGACAATGGAGTGGTCCTGATGGTAAGTTCAGTGACCAGACCAAAGAACTGGCCGGCGCCCCGAATGGCATAGAGCAAGTCTGGCTCCTTCTCTTCTGTGACTTCGACAAGATTGCCTTCTGCATCAATCATGCGAGCGGCTAAGATTTGGTCTGATCCGTAGCCAGTGATTGACGTGGTGACTGATGCTCCGCCTCCAAGAAAATAAGGAATTGCCCCGACAGTGTTACCATTACCCAATGCTAATCATTTTCAGAAGGTCAGCTCATGGTTTCATTTCTTTTCGTTTGTATAATGCCTAACCTGTAAAGCTTCCTGCGGCAGCCAGAGTTACAGCGACATCTTTGGATAAGATGCTACCTCTCAGTATAGCCTTCTTGCTTGGACCGTCGGTCTCAATGCCAGAGTACTTCTTCAAGTTGATGACGATACCCTGTTCGTCAATGGACGACCACTCGCTGTGACCACCGCTCCTGGTGACAAAGGGTACGGATGACCGAACAGCCCATTGTACCTGCCCGGGGAGATTGTTAGCGACGACAACGAGACTAGGCATTGAATTATCGAACTGTTTTCTGAATCTGCTCCTCGGTAGTTGGAAGCACGATAGCACCAGGTGTCTGACGGCCAATATTGGTCCATCCCTGGTCAAATTCTTGGAAACGGGTGCCGTCTTTCTCAGTCAATACCTCGAGCTGCGGACCCACATGTGCTTGCAGGTCCTTGAGCAATGACGGAGACAACCTGTTCGCCATGATGTGGTATGGTATCTACGATTTCATGAGGGAATGATTGGAAGAATTGGGATTTGCAGTTTTAAGATTGAGCAGGATCGTACGTTTACATAGGAGTTTCGTTGCACCACTTTACACATGTTAGTGCTGACTGTTGCATGTGTCCACGCGATTACCGACCACCTTTAACGCGAGGCTTGGTCAGCCAGACTACAAGGGTGCTCAAAATTCGTGAATAACGAAGGTGGATTACTCACATGCTGCGTAGTCTGCCTGAGTTGAGTCTAAATGTGAACAGGTCATGAAGCCGACTTTAAGCGACGCCAGTATTCGTCTAACCTTAGCCAACTGTAATGTTAGGGCTTGAAACCGAATGTCTTATCATGATGCAATCCGCCAGATACGGTATTAATCACTCACAGGTGATTGAAGGTCCACATCTTATTGAAGCTCAATACCGATCGGGTAGAATGGCAGTGCTGACACACATCGTGGAATGCGAGCGCCGCGGCCGCGTACCTCGAGGCGGGTGGAAACACGCCTTCACATCAGGTTAGGCGAGGCTCGATAATTACTTTTTGCACGCCACCTACAATGTTCTGTAAAACCTCACGCAGAAGCCTGCTGCTACGGCCACCTCGGCGCTGTCCAATGCGTAACGATACCCGATGGCTAGCTGGACCTAATCGACGATGAACTGTACAGAACAACAACGACTTTCATGGTAACTGACCGACACGAACGACCATTCTCGTCTCTTTTCTTTTAAGTAACAGTCACTGATAAACAAACTCGCTGGAGATGAATCATTTATGTCGTTGATATAAAACCCTTGTGGGGATAGTCATGATTCTGGCTTTGCGGAAAGATTGCGCGAGACCTCATCAGATTACACTTTTTTATCTTAGACAGGCCAAAGAGCATGCTTGATACTGCAATGCTCTATTTCTACAACTCGAAGTACAGTAACGCTCAAAATCGGTATATAAAGCTCACATCACCCAGCCGTACCACGAACTGAGATATCTACAAGTATCACTCGCAAGCAAAGACCACTTCATTAGATTTACACAACCGACCACTAGTCAAGGAAAGACGGCTGCCACCCGATAACCATCACCAAAGATGTGTACTTACGTGTCTTACGTTCTCCGATGTGCCCAGTGCGACACTCTATACCGCAACTCTCGGCTTGATTGGATATTTTGCATCAGGCAGCAAAGGTGCCAGATCACTCCGCGGAGGCAGTTGTCTGCTATTGCAGGCCTGTGCGAAAGGTGCGAAATCCTTGCGGAACCGACCAATTGAGCTTCTCTACAACGTATACAGCGGCAAATAGAGATCGCCCCGATGACTCAGCGCCGTGGGACATCGCAGAGCACATTCTACAGTTAGATAATTCTGTTACTTCAATAGAATGTAACTAATACTGTTGCGACACACAATCTTACTGGACTGGTCTTGTAGTATAACAGCACGGTGTCTCATATCGCTAGTCTAGAAGCCACTCGCCCATTGCTTGGCAATCCCTTTTCTTCCGTCGTCTCCTACAGATAAAGGCAATACTGTCATGCTCCATTCTCGACTTCACAATACAAAGCCATCACAATTCACACATCCATTCACTCAACTAAACCTAACCAAAAGTGGCCTCATGACATTCAGCACCAAGCACAACCGACGGTGTATATTACTACAAGCAAACTCGTCCCCCACCATGCTACCCACGTATAAGTTGCTTCCTCACAAGGAATCATTTGCGTTACTCAAACCATTGCAAACATTGATGACTCCACAACTGACGATAATCCCTCATTTTCCCTGTTCAGATCTAAAGCACATCAACATGATATGCCATACGGGCAGAATCTTCAACAGCAAGTGAAAACTCGCAAGCTCGCCTGGTTAGCTCAATCGGTAGAGCGTGAGACTCTTAATCTCAAGGCTGCGGGTTCGACCCCCGCATCGGGCTCAATTCCTGATGCATCTCAGAATACTGAGATATGCTGCAGACTCTTTTGCCGTTCCGTCGTTGTCTTCCGTGTTTTCTCTTTCTGCAGACGTTTCGCACTAGTCTAAGTTATTGTTTTCATATAAAAATTTTTTTTTCACTTAGCACTCAGGGGTGGGGTTACAGCCACACATCAGCTGTAAACTGGTCTAGCAGGTGTGGATATTCATTGCTGCTCTCTCTGGTTCATTCTCAATTTACAAATGCAGCACAGAACAGTTCATTCAACTCGAAGTGATGGCCTATTCCGATTCAACGCCCTTCTCTCATGCTTGAAACATTCGCTTGTGAGAGACCAAGTACTGTCTAACTAGAAATAAAATAAAACAAACTCATTAGCCATCCGCCCTAATATAAGCCACAGTCTGTGTCTATCGGCTATTGCAGCTTCCAAATAAACAGTGGTGCATACTATTCCATAATGCTGAAGTTATATGACAAGAAATGACAAAATCTCAACAACGAAAGTTGACCAGTTGGTATGTACAATCCTAGGAAATTTCGTCTCCTGAATGCGAAATGCGACGCGTCTTTCCTTGACGTGAGACTGCAATAGCTATCATATGCAAATCTGAACTACAATCTACTCTACTCTACTCTTAACGTAGGCAACGAGTCTTACAGCGTGTCGCCGTGGAGTGCCCGCCTACTCTATTATGATGCTATATTTTCCCCTCATCCAACGCCTGCCCTCTAACCAATTGATCCAACCCCCATAACTATCAAAATTCGAGACTATATTTGCTCGGTACTCTATAAACAAGTTACCCAGCCCAGCAAGTTACCAGTTCCTTACTAAACCACTAAACCACTACAATGTCCACAGACCACTACGGCGCTTACCTAGAGGATAGACGAACAAAGCAGCCCCGAAGAGTCCTACAGTGATACCAATCGCGATCTGAATCATACTAGCGGCGAAGTTGAACGCCTGTGCGGATGAAACCAACCAAGTTAGCACACCGATACACTACAATTTTTAATCTACGGTGCGGAAGAGTGACTTACGAGTGCGTTGAGTTGGGTACTTTCGGTGGACTGGGGTCAGTTAGTAGATGCCAGGATTTGACACATTTGTTCCGTGGTTGAAAGCTGGAGGACTGCCCCTCGCAGAATATCATGATGGGATGACAAGACATTGCGACCAATACATAGGCAGCTGAGAGAGATATTAAGGGGGTATGAACTATACAGAGCTCCACTTACAGATGTAGTACCGTTGGTACTCGTCAGGAGAGTGGCGGTTTGCAGCCCGACAGTGATAGCTCCACTAGAAGCAAGACTGCCAGGAACTTGTACATAAACAGCGGGCAAAAGAACAGCAGCTGCCACGCCATGTCTTACTCTGCTGTACAGGTTGGCCAGGATACCAATAGTAAAGGCGCCAAAGGTATATGCAATGGGTGCGCTGGCGGCGAACCTCTTGGAGGTGTAAAAGTTAACAATATAGCCAGCCAAAGCCACACCAATCATGACTGGCATTTGCCGCCATTTGGCCTGTACAGTGAATGTGGTAAAGAAAACATAGAGGGGGACGAAAAGAAAATTCCAGTAAGAGTTCATCGGGTTTTGGCAGGTCGTTTCCGTGACTGCATCCGCTTTCATGGCGCCAAATAATGCCGCCCCAACGGTGATACCGTAACCAAGAAATAGTGAGTAGATAATGGCATACACCATTCGAATAGACCCCGGCACAATAGCCTTTGAATGTAGTTCGAGAGCCGAGGAGAGAACAAGCCAACCGGGGAGTATCATCGCAATAGAGCTTTGCGTAAGGGCAGAAAAGCAAAAGAGACGACCGTCTTGGATGCTGGCTATAGCGCGTGACAAGAAGGTCATTAGAATGGCTGCGCTGACCTCGAAGACAGTGTTGTACGTATTCGACATGGGAGCAACGACGAGCTGCAGAACTCCCAGAATCGTGCCAAGAACGAAAATAATGGGCCAGTCGATGGGACGCGCTGAAAAGAAACATGACACGGCAGTGCTCGCGAGCCCATACATGATGACACAGAGCCAAACGGGCCATCGATTGTCTGCCTTGATGATTGTCTCCAGCCTCGTCAAGGCCTCATCCATGCCGATAATGTCGTGCAACACTTCCTTGTACACAAGGTGAACGTCTTGAAGTTTGCCGAGGTTTACACCCTGAGGAGCGCGTACCATCTTGACCTCAGTGGTGTGAGTGAGTGGATCGTCGAAGGATATGATCATACATCCTGGGATGTATAAAAATTGGCAATCCATGTCCAGGACTTTGGCTGTTGTCGAAAGGTACTCCTCCAGACGATGAGAGGGCGCGCCGAATAACATGAGCGCACGACACATCTTGAGAATGTATTTTTGCCGTTGAAGAATGCCAGCAAGGTGCGCTGTGATCTTTGTGTCCTTTTCCCGTTTCAGGCCAATCAAAGACATGATTCTACCACTTCCCGTCCGGGTATATCCAGGCCGTGCTTTGGGAATCGCCTTGTCCAATTCAGCATCAGTCTTGACAGTCTGAATGGCGAGCTTTGAAGATGCTTCCATCAGTTGGCTGAGAGTTCCCAATGACTGCTCACTTCTGCTGTGTTGCTTGTACCATTTACGACGCGTAGGTGTTGTAGGAGTTGTGGATCTTGTTGGTTCTGATGACACTGGTTCTTCGCTTTTGCCATTGCGATAAGTATCCTCATTGACAGGATTTTGGTAAGTCTGCAAAATTTGGTAGAAAATACCACCACGTGGGTTTACGGTGATGGCCTCGTGTTCTTCGTAATTGTTTCCGGTGGGAGTGGGACCTCCAGAAACGTTAGCCACACTTGAATCAAAATGAAGCGGTGAAACACGCATGGACAAGTATCGCAGGAGACAAGCTCGGAATACGGGATATGGTGGACTAACCTTCATTCTTTGCACCAGTGGTATTGTGGTCTGGCATATGGGCCTTGAGAAGCGCCTCAGCTTCCGAAAATGACTGCAAGTACCCAGAATCAGGTTGGGTATCTGAGTCGGGCTGATGAGACTCCTGCGCATTGGGACTACCGGTGCTGCCCACAGTAGAACTCTCAAACGACCGCAAATACTCAGCGTCGTGCATGAGACCTGCAGACGAGTGTACCTCAGTCATTTGATATGTATCCCCAGTATATGCTTCTGGGGCGTGCGTGGCTCCTGCCCCAGTCATAGAATCACGACGAGCTATACTTTGCGCGTAATCGTATTCATCGACTGAGAATGTGAAACGATCCGTCGGCGTCGTTGGCTGCAGTGTCTCTTCGTTTGCCGGCAATGATAGCTCAGATCGTCCTTGGCCATTCTGGATACCCAGCCCAGACGGTACATTGTTTATAGCATCACTGTTAAACCGCACCCTGCGTTCTGCAGATCGCGATCTCGAGCCCCCGCCTGCACCTACACCAACCGGATCTTCCTCTTCAATATCTCTGACGCTCGTATTTTGGTCCTGGTTGCCAACACTGAAGTCGGGGGGCTCTAGGTCCTTGAATTCATGTGTTCCTGACGAAGAATCCATGCTGACGTTTTTGCTCGAGCAAGCAGCGGAGGAAAGATTGTGGAAGGGATATGGATTTTCATGATGTGAGACAATGGCAGATCTATATTACGGTGAGCAAAACTGAAAGGCAGGATCTCCACTGAATTCGTGGAGCTCGCTTTAGGTTCACATGGAGCGGGAAGGGTCATAGGCCAAGGTCAAGTGCAGGTGACGATCGCTGAACCTCCTTTTCCCCACGTTTCGCAGATTCGTCATGCTTGCTGGCTTGGGTCTCTAGAAAATTCTAGGGACCGAAGTGCTGGGCAGATCCACTATCGCCGGTTTGGAACCCGACCAAGCTGTATGAGATTGTCTGTTTTTGGATAAACTGGTAAAAAATCAATCGGCTAGAGTCTGATCACTACATGACGGATGGGGAGCCTCATACTAACTAACCTAACTTAGCTTGTCAATGTCTGGGGGGGTCACAGCCGTCCAGTCGGCTTCCTTCCCCGCGACCGCAGAATGCCCACTAAAAAGCAATGTTGTTTGTCAAACGCTTCAACCATCCTGGTCATGAACCCATCCAACGGCAATATGAGACTACGGTCAGGTTAGTTATGTAGCTCAATATCACGAACTTCTGTGGCAATGCAGGAATACTCATGTGCCAAATTACCAATAACCAGCACATGGGGCTTTAGCAATATTCTTCCCCTGAAGACCCTCCTGAAGTCTCCCTCGTTCCGGAGCCCACGTGTTGGACTTACGGGTCATCCGAACCAATTTACGTAACAAAACAGCGCCGCAAGGGCTGGACCTGACAAATCTGGTCTCGCGTTCGGGAGCTAAATTCGGACTCTACACGGTCCTTGATACCTAATACTCCGTGTGCATTTGCCATATCTTCCGTGTCCCATTGCATGGCGACATGTACCAAATGTAGACAATATCAAAACACCTTGCCTAGATTCTCGCCCACGGCCGATTTGGATTTGGTAGACGTGATTAAGTTATCTGCAGAGTTTGGACACTATGCAGAGTAAACTCGGGAAAGTGCAAATAAGAGAAACGTGATTGGCAATTTTTATATATACATAATAAACTTGGTCATTTCCAGCATTGATCAAAGCCCTTGTGGATACTCACCGTTACGCAGCCTGTTTGAGATGCCGAGGGTCCCAAAGTCGATCAGATGCGCTCCAACTCCATGCTGTGCAGCATGTGCACGACCATCGAGACTCACAAGTACTTGACCTAGTAAATTCCCAGGAAATAGACTCCCAAGGTCTGGTCTACATCTTGTGTCTCAGACTCTGTCAATGGTTCTGTTGTGTCTTTTTTTTTGTTCCAGAAACTCCTAATGTTATGTCTGTGTGCTGTAGTATATAATTATGATAGCGATTGCTGGTTCTAACAATAGAACGTTCATATTTTGCAGTTTGCGGGTCAGAGCAGCGAGACCCTGACTCGTGCGAAAGCCACACGCTACTGTTAGTAAATCTCGCTCCGCTACTTGGGTTCGTGTGCTAGCGCTGCACTGCCATATCGTAGCTCAGGGGCTATAGGCGTCATCCACTAAAGCCTACCTTGCCTACCTCCCTACAGCTCAACTGTCTGGTATTGACCTCGAGAAATCCGGGCATACCTATGGTGTTTACGTTCCTCACGAACTCGAACCAACGCAAGTGACGGGAACGACCAATCTATAGATTGGCATGTGGCCCGCATTGCTTTACGCTCAGATTAGGACGAACATGTATCAGTTCCTGCCCAGTCTCTCAAGGCGTAAGCCAAGGACATACCGGACGTCGCGGAAAGCAGCGATGTCGTCATTCAGGCCCGCTCCCACTCATGCTGAAGTGCTCGTTGTGCCATTTCACGTCATCTGTGAAACGCTACAGTCGTCGATTATCTCAGGGCAGTACAGCAACTTTGCAATTCCGCAACAGTACAAAGCATGCAACCTAGAATACGGGACTCTTCAAAGTTCCATGTCGCTCAGTATCGGATTCGTCACTTGAGCAACAGCAATAGTGGCCGAAGCCGGCTGTCTTACACAAGAACTGGCGCGTTCCCGAAGCGAGCCAGGAACCGCCTAAAACGATACAAGAAGGCACTGCGGATGCGGCACGTGGCGTGCCCATGAACAACCTTGAATTCACATTGGATCTTTCATCGCGGCTGTAATATCAGGCTCAACGAACACCATGATCGAATGTTGTTGCTCTATCTGCTTACGACTTGACTGGAGCCGGATACATAAACTTCATGGTCTTGCAAATTTCCTCTATGCTCGAGCATAGGACACTAGAAAGAATCACAACAAACGTGACCCAGTATTGACGGCTAGCATAGCTGTACAATACTAAAAGTGAAGATAGGTCGCCGTGTTGGTGCGCTGCAAGCAGTAGCAGTGAAGTTTTACAGGTAGTGCAGCAGATCTCCAATTGTTCTCAGGCAGACGGGCGGAATGCACTAATTGTCGGAGTCGGGCCGGGTCGTGCAACGAATTTACAGGCGCATCCTCAATTCTTAATATCAAACTCACGGTCGGCTGTGACACCGACGGTCCAGATTGTCCCAAAATGGCCGACGCAGCAAAGCCTCCGAAACGGAAAGCTTATTTGACATATGGTTACATATATGCCGCAGGGGGGTGTAACTCTACCCTACCACATCGGGACGAACGCCCCACATAATTCAGACTGCATGAATGAGAATAACGCAGAACTTGAGATGGTTATAGATATGATTGATATAATTCTTGTGTATTTAGGCTAAATGCGGCTTGACTCAATCAGATTAAGCGGTCGCGTTGGCGCATCCGACACGGGCTGAGCCAATGGCGACGTCGTCGTACCAGAAGGTATTTGTGTCCCCACCGTACGACTCCCAGCCGAAATAAACACCGGTGACTTTGGGCTTGATGGTGCTTCTCTGCCACTGCGCGGCGTTGTTGTTGGTGACGCCCGGCTTGACGGTCAGGCCGGCCACCGCGTTGCCGTTCAGCCAGGTCTCGACGCTGCCATCGGTGCCCAGGTGGTATTCGAAGCATTGCCAGGTACCAGTCGGAAGGGCGGCGGAGGTGGCGATGCCCTGGGGAGACAGGTCGGGAAGAGTGGCGTCGTCGGTCTCGCGGTTGTACATGAGAATCTTGCTCTGGCCACCAATGCGGAGGTGCTTATTGGTACCTTGTGCGGAGTCAGGCATCGTGATGAAAGAGACGTGAGAATCGGTCAGAGCCTTGGAGGCTTTGCTATCAGGAGAAAAGTGATCAGTACTGATTTGGTCGTCTTGGCCGTCCAAGTCCTTAGCCGGCATTTCTCATCTCTCATAAGAACTTACAGCCAGGTCCTGACGTAGACATCGCCACTGGGAACCTTCGTCGTGCCGAAGAAAATGTGTCCACAGTAGCCACCAGCACCATCGACTCTGATGGAGTTCTTGCCGCCATGTGCAGTCGAGCTGTCAAGGGTTACTTTACCGCCCTGGTTGCAGTCGGCCGCATAAATGGGCCACGTAGTTTGATCCCACCCGTTCTCAAACCCATCGGAAATCTGACCAAGAGAGAAGGGAAGAAGGGCTAGGGCCAGAAGAGCAGCTTGACCGAACATGGTTGCGATTGAGTTGCGACAAGTGTTTGGCAAGGTTGAAAGGCACAAGAGATTGATTTTTCGTCAAAGAGATGAATTCAAAGAGCCTATATATTCGAGTTCTCGTATCTAAACTTCCTTCCGTTCCCGCTCCCGGAATGGCTATGATCTCCTTTGCCTCCGCCGCCCATGTACCACAATTCGGAGTCGCGGCCCCCGTTTCCTTAGTGCGTTTGCCTCATCCATAATGGACTGTAACTGTAAAGTGTTTTCCCTCCGGCAGACTTCTTAATTCAACGTTGGCAAGCCTTCCTCTGTAACGACTTCAAAGCTGGCAAAAGTCTCGCTACCATTTAGCATCGACATTTGGATAAGCCCAGTCTACGCTACCCTGTACTATAATTCTTGAGTCTGTCGCGGGGCAAACGCTGAATTCCTGTCACTTGACGCAACGGTGTGCATAGGGACACAAGGCCAGTATCAAACCCCAGTGGAAATAAAGAATAGAAGAACAGAACATGTCGTGAATAGTTGGCATCATAGTTGAAACCTTTTGAGCTGAGGTGCCCTGATAACGATGACGCAATCTGCCAGGGGTTTACTGCGGATTTATTACCACCTGCAATTTTGTAGAGACTTTCGAGCAACCGAAACACAGTTTGAAGAAAGCTCTTTCGACGTATCGGGCCAGAGCATGAATTAAGACACGTGAGCCTTTGGGGGAAGCTCCGACTGGTTCTATCATCAGAAATGGGAAGGACGACGTCCCGTCATCTTTACGGTCTCTCGAGTGCATCCGACAATCCTCGAAATCAACAGCCATGGTTTGTTCAAGCCTAGATACAATATAACGATGATCTTTTTCTCATATGCGATGGCTTCCGTACATCGAATACAAATCTCGCCGGGGAAGACGGCTTCAATGACGATTTGAGTGAGCAAGAGATTATCTCTAGTCTATCTAGCTTCGACCAGGCACTACTACATTAAAGATATGCAGTAGCTGCCTAACCTAGTAGACTATCATGATTCAAGCATACTCAGACTCGACGGTTATTTCATGAGGGTTGAACTTGATTAGATATGGTACAGCAGTATGAAAAGCATGTATGCTTGGAATAAGCATGGCGGTGCGATCAATTAATGGTATAGGTGGGCACCGGTAGAGGTCTTTAACGCCACCTACGAAGACATGATCTTGCAACGGTCGTGGCTATGGCCGAAGGACAGTGAACCACAAGGCGACCAGGATACTATAGCTGGCACAGCTGTGGGGAGGAAACATTAGATCCGACGTGTAGATGAAAAGCAGGAATAGCACTCGAGAACCGAAAGATATGGAAGCTCTCGCAGTAACTTCAACTGACCAAAATTTATCCATCTAGTCTCAATTTAACACACATAACTCAACATTTCTTTTAGGCCCCGTCCCGAGCCACGAGTAGGTCTCAGTTTAGTCATTAACCTATAGGATGGCTTTAAGCTTTCGAGTTCGCCACTTGTATAATCTATTCGCATCTTATTCTTGAACTACTGAAGACAATTAGACTTGGGATCAAGAACCTGAATCATCTCATGCTGCCTCTTAAGCCAAAAGTTCTTCCCCTATAGGATAATCTTACATCACCGGCGTGTCTAAGACGCAGACAGCAGCACAGCATCAACGAATATGTATAGGTCGAACAGGGAGTTGATGGAGAACCCGTACAATGTATAGCTTCTCCCCACATTGTGCCCACCAGTTGCTCTTTGTACATTAAAACTCCATTCCCCGACATGTGAAGCGACTTCGTCGAAGGCTTACTAAGTTGTACCAACAAATAGGGAGGCCGATAGCCTGATTTGGGTAGAGGAGACGGCTAACCCTCCAAATGAAGACAGAAAGAAGGGCTTTAAGAAAGTCACTCATTAGAAAACCTAAAATATCGACAACTCCGGAAAGCACGCAGGTTTCTTCGCATACTGCTTCTAATAGCCGTTATGCAATAGTGGGTCACAACCTTCCACAACTCTGTTGTGACATTGATAACGTAAGTTTTGTATTATACCCTCTCGCTGCACCTCATTTATTAGAGCCTTCCTCCTTCTCCATTCATTGGAACGAATTAATGCTCTGCTTATTATACACTGTCCTTCATTACACCACACTACGACTATTTCGAGACGATCGCCAATCATAGAATTGACTAAAGACCACTTGCTGTTACATAGAATAGAGAAACACTCTGCAATTCCAACCCTTCGTTGTTCACGGCGGGCATTGTTGTCGCACGAGCAATGTGTTGTCCAAACCCTCTTCAGCGATATGCACCAGTGTGACGCTACGGATCTGAATACTACGCGAAGACAGGTGGAAAACCCCAAACAGGCCACCTGCGGCATGTCATGTCGTGTTGCATCGATGATGACAAGACGATCGACTTTCACTGCAATCTTAACCCCTACAAAGCACATACATAGTCAGGTCAGGCGCCACAGCTTTCAGAGTGTAAGTACGATCACCAACACGTGACCCAGCATTCCAGCGACAGAATTCTATGATGCTATTGCGTTGGATCAAGGATCCACTGTGCTCTTCAAGTGGCCCCGTCAATCATACCAGCGGGACGAGGATCCCTTATTGTCCCAGTAGTAAGAACTTCGAATTCAGCCTTGGAGCAATCAGCTTTCATGATCCGTGTTTATCAAGCAGGTGAATCGGTGATACATCTAGTTGATCGGGGTCCCGACTTTTCCCGGAGACGGCGTATGCTCAAGTGCAGAGAACAGCCTTACAGGAAGTCCATTCAAGCCTGCTTCGAGGCCATGCAGCGAAGCCAATTGGTTTTGTGACCTGTTTTTCGCTGCGATTTTAATCCCCACGAAACTGACAAGGGGCTGAACATTTGATGGTCCCCGCATGGGGGTTATCGTGCTCTTCTGATGTGTCGCTTTCACGATTCCACTTCCCAATCTCAAGACGAGTTTGTCGTGAGCACAGCGGTCGGGTACCTCGCGAGCCTGACGAATGTCAGAGGAATACGGATGGAAGAATCGACAAGCATGGCAGATCAGATTTAATCTAATTCAGCCAATGAGGGACATATCCATGATCGGCGGTGGTGCTCAGGGTCGTTCGATGCGCCAATCCCCTTTGCCGCATGTTCTGCATGTCTCATATTCGATTCACTGCATTTTTAACCCTCACGAAGACCATGCCCGATACCAACCCCCATCCCCCCCCAAAAAAAAAAGAAAGAACCACTGCTGGAACGCCAACTAAATGATGTCCGAGAAGCGAAAAAGTAAAATCTGTACTACAGGTCATGTCACACCTAGAAGCATACTTGGGGGTTTACCCGCAGCTTACCACCCCTTACCACAATTCACTGCAATTTAAACCCCCACCAAGAACATCTGGTCGAAACTGACCTATAGCTCTCTGCAGAGCAGTTGTCGACAAAAAAGGTCGCGCAATGTCTAACCGCACCGACACATTACAGCGGTGTTACAACCCGGCAGCACCAAAGGTATGCATCCCGTATCACCACGACGAAAGTCTCTACCTGCCTGTGCCGAGCCTACCAAAGAAAGGACCCGACTTGACGAAGTGGTGCTTGATCTACGAGACAAATAGATTCGGTGCCAGCCATCCTAGTCCATCATGTTTACTAGCATTTTGCCTCAAGTGAACCGCAGCAGAGCGGGCCACTTGGCGCGGGTCTTCACTGCCATTTAAACCCCACGAAGGGCATCAAGTCAAAGCTGATTGAACCGTGTGAGCCCAAATCCATAGCATCCCATAGAAATACATGCAATTCTTCTGTTGGTACCCATCCACTGAAGGCATTGATTACGTGGAGGGGTATAGGAGTCCTTACCTTGTTGATGAATACTGGGCGAACAATTGCTGGCGCTCTTGATGATGACAAGGAGGAGCTCCCTCTGAATGTGTTGTCGCCTCACAACTGATAATCACTGGAAGAAGCAATCTTTAGTCAATGACCAATTTTGTAGCGGACAACATCGTAATGCTCTAATGGACCTTGAGCTCTCTAATTCCAGCTTATCATCAATGCCTAGAATACAGACCGACCAAAGATCCACCCTACAAGTACAGACCCTCAGGCTCACCCTCCTGCTTGGTCTTCAGGACTCTCTCTCTCGCAGCCCGGAAGTCTGCCATTTGTACCCTCATACGTCTCTCCCGTAGAGCCATCAGGCCAGCTTCAGAGCAGATGGCCTTGATATCGGCACCGGAGAGATCATCCTTTTGTGTGATGAACTCGTCTAGGTCGACGTCCTCGTTCAAGCTCATCTTGGATGTGTGTAGATTGAAGATCTTGCGCTTTGTGTTCTGGTCGGGGTTCTCGAAGAGAATCTTTCTGTCAATACGTCCAGGTCGAATCAGAGCGGGGTCGAGTGTCTCAATCTTGTTGGTGGCCATGATGACCTTGATATCGCCACGGTCATCGAAACCATCGAGCTGGTTAAGCAACTCCAACATGGTTCGTTGAATTTCGCGTTCACCACCAGACGTCGAGTCATACCGTTTAGTACCGATGGCATCGATCTCGTCAATGAAGACAATGGCGGGGGCGTTCTCGGCGGCGACTTGGAAAAGTTGTCGAACCAGGCGAGGACCGTCACCCAAGTACTTCTGAATGAGTTCAGACCCTACGATGCGCAGGAAAGTTGCTGATGTCTGATTGGCGACGGCCTTGGCCAGCAGCGTCTTTCCTGTACCTGGAGCACCGTAGAGAATGACACCCTTGGGGGGCTTGATGCCCATCTCCTCGTAGAGCTCGGGATGTAGCAGAGGCAGCTCGACTGACTCGCGTACCTCTTGGATCTGTTGCTCCAAACCACCAATGTCGGCGTATGACTCGGTAGGTGCCTTGTCGAGCTTCATGACGTTGACAGCCGGGTCGGTATCGTCGAGCAGGACTCCCACGATGGAGACGCTCTTGTGGTGCAGCAGGACGGAGGCACCGGGCTCGAGGAGGTCCTTGTCGACGAAGCTCATGATGCTGACGTAGTACTCGGGACCGGTGGTGCTAGACACGATGGCGTGGTCGTCATCGATCATCTCCTCCAAAGTGCCGACACCCATGGGGCTGCCACGCATGTCGTCGACACGGCCGCGCTCGTCTGCATTTCGGTCGGAAGCAGCATCGAGTTCTGAAGGCGCAGGTGCGCCGCTCTCCTTGGCCGTCTTTGCCTTGCGGAGGCGCTCCTGGTTCTCGACGTATTCCTCTTCCAGCAGAAGGTGATCGTGGATTCGTTGCATACGCAGGAGTCGCAGCTTGCATCGGCTGGTAGGGTAGACGGCAGGGAGCTTGGCCGCAGCCGAGGCACCGGCCTGCTTTCTCTTCTTGCGGCCGACGCGGGTGGTAGGTCGCGGCGGGGGCTCGTACTTGGGCTTATCCTTCTGTCGGTGGGGAGTGGGTTAGTTAGATGGCGGGAGCTCGGGATGTGGTGGTGATGGGGGATGGTATCGTGGGAGTGATGGTCAACGTACCTTCTTGTCCTTGTCGTCTCTGTCGCCGGGGGCACCGCCGCCCATGCCAGACTGATTCTGACCCATCTTGACGTTATGTCAAGCTCGGGACACGATCAACAAAAGCGTCCGCAAGGCTGTGTTGTGTGGTAGGGATGAATGGTTATGCGAAATGGACACCCGGGCATCAATTTACTCGAGCGACGGCAGTGACACCAATAAAATAAAATATTAGTTCAGCGCAGATGTGATGGTGATGCTTAGTGATGGGTCTGGCAAGGTATCGCATCGATGACCACAATCGAGTGAGTGAGTGCTTCTGATGGCTGATGGCTTGTAGCTGGGCTTGTGCGGATCCGTAGCTGGCTGCAGCGTAATCAGGCGCCAGAAGGCCGCGCCAGGCTGTTTGGCTGTTGCTGGAGGCTGGCTCATGATAAAAGACGGGGTCTGTGCTGAGCTTTAACTCTATTCCGTCACTTCTCCAAAAGCGATAATCCGTAGCTGGGACAAGATCGAGCAGGGCAGCAGGGGATATTCTCGCTGATGTAAGTTATGCAGCACTATGCACGTCACAAGCGCATAGTTATCCCAACTCGGGATTACTCGGTATGTAGAAGCAGGTGGCAGACCCACAGATGCACCAGTTTCGTGGGAAGCTACGACGAAAGTACGGGCACTTCCTCGGTCCTGCTGGTTTGCCGACGGAATGAAATGAAACAAGACGGACCGCGCCAGCTGACGCTTGGCTGACGCTGTGCGGCATTGCCAGCTGTTGCATAAAGAATCTGCACTATTATTGGTATTATTACTTCCATGCCATGTGTGTATGCTACACTCCCAATGCGCGCAGCACGGGTCAAGCCCAGCGAAAGTCCAATCAAGAAACATCGTCAACTTTGACAGCTGCTCCCTGTCTGTAAATAATAACTCTTTTCGAGTACCTCATTCTACCCACGCAGCCCTCACGGCATATACACAGCAGAACCCGTCCGTCTTTACTGACGTCCCTCTGCGCATTCTATTGCATCAAATTACCATCTCTCCCCCCGAACGGTACTCCCTCCATCCATCCCACAGCTCTCAAGATGCAGGCTTTCTCGAGACAGCTTCGCACCTCTGGTGCAGGTGCAGCTGCTCTGCGCCAGCTCTCCCGCAGGGCATACAGCTCCAATGGTTCCCCCTACGCATCCACCATTGACAACCTGCGCATCAACAGCGAGACCAAGGTTCTCTTCCAGGGCTTCACAGGAAAGCAGGGAACGTGAGTAGCCATCTGTGCCGTGCCGTGCTGCGCGGCCATGTTGTTACGCTCTTATCAGAACTTGGCTAATCATTTGCGGCTTTTCCAGTTTCCACGCGCAACAAGCTATCGAATACGGTACATAGACCTCTCCTCCCGCCGCAGTTCCACATCTCCAACCATATCTGACGTGAATACTCTACACAGGTACCAAGGTTGTTGGTGGCACAAATCCCAAGAAGGCTGGCCAGGAGCACCTCGGTCTCCCCGTCTTCGCCAATGTTGGCGATGCCGTAAAGCAGACTGGCGCCACCGCCACTGCCATCTTCGTTCCGTAAGCCTCCTCCATCTTCCGATACAGAGACAAAGACACAGACATGAGAGGCTTGCCTTTACTTTGCTCCGACTGCTTGAACTGACGCGCTGCATAACAGTCCCCCGTTGGCTGCTGCCGGTATCGAAGAGGCCATCGCCGCCGAGATCCCTCTGGTTGTGTGCATCACGGAAGGAATTCCCCAACACGGTATGGATATCTGCTCCTTTTGAACACTCATGCCATTTTGCAGCCAGACTAATCCATAATGACAGACATGGTTCGCATCACTCAGATCCTCAAGTCCCAGTCCAAGACTCGACTCGTCGGTCCCAACTGCCCCGGTATCATCGCCCCCGGCCAATGCAAGATCGGCATCATGCCTGGCTTCATCCACAAGCAGGGTCGCATTGGTATCGTCTCCCGTTCCGGTACTCTGACCTACGAGGCCGTCAACCAGACCACTCAGGAGGGTCTCGGCCAATCCCTCGTTGTCGGTATTGGTGGTGACCCCTTCTCCGGCACCAACTTCATCGACTGCCTCAACGTCTTCCTCAAGGATGAGGACACCGACGGTATCATCATGATTGGCGAGATCGGTGGATCTGCCGAGGAGGACGCTGCCGATTTCCTCAAGGCCTACAACACCGCCAACAAGCCTGTCGTCAGCTTCATTGCTGGTATCTCCGCTCCTCCCGGACGTCGTATGGGTCACGCCGGTGCCATTGTCAGCGGTGGCAAGGGTGGTGCTGACAGCAAGATCAAGGCTCTCGAGGCTGCTGGTGTTATTGTGGAGCGCAGCCCCGCTGGTTTGGGCCGTGCCATGCGTGAGCAGTTCGTCAAGCGTGACCTGTTGTAAGGCATGAGATTTCACCAGGCGGAGCTGAGCGGGATATTTGGGAGTGTCTGGTTTGTTGGATTGGAAATATGTGTATATCCGAACTTGATGTGGGACTATTGGCTGTGAGCCTGGAGCCCTAGTGTATGATGCATGGATTTTGGTCATAATCAGGCAACTTGCATGTCGTATTGAGACTAGGTGTCATGTGGTCGGCGTCTGTTTTCTATTGACTCTCATAGACGGAGGTGGCAACGGTAGTGCATTGTATCACACTTGTATTGATCGCATCAGAAATTCGCAATACCGTGTTGGTGAAATTTGGCATTTGTACGCCATGTGTATATCTCATCTTTTGCTCAAGGCCGGCACTGATGCGTCCCCTTGCTTCAGGCAAAAGCTGTTGTCGACTAAACGAAGTCATCAGGCATCCAACTCTCTGCAGCCTGAAAATATGTAATGGCCCGAAAATGATCGAGTGAGTCACCTAAGACGAAAGTTTCACAAGATAGTAATTATTGGTCAAGTTCTCGCAGCGGCAAACGTTGCAAGTCAACTTTTCGAATTCTGCGGCTACTCCTGTCTGCACCTTCCCGCCTATAGAACCACTTCGGCGGATGAAAGCGAGCAACCAGAGATGCTTTGAACGAATTAGACCAGCTTTAGATTCACGATATGACACAATTGACGGAAGTCAACAGGCAGAAGTGGAAGCGAGGCCATTCCTGCCTGACCCAAGATTGCTTCACTTCACGTTTCCTCTCCAAATCTTTCATTTTCTTTTGGCCTCTTATACTCTACTTCTCTCTCCCTCATTTTTCTCTCTCTATCTCTTTTCTATCTATCACTTCATCTCACTTTCCTCTCTCACTCTCTTCAACTCTCTCATTTCGTCTCCCAATTCACCTAATCTGTGTTGCTATTCCTGGCGTTTGTGTCTACACCTAAAGCTTCGCACCTTGAGAACTTGGGGCAATGACAAAATCTACTGTCACCCAGCTTCTTGTCAGTGGAACTGGCGAGTCGAAATCCTGAGATACTCGCTTCCTGTGGTCACCAGGCTTGTGCTGTTGTCTTTATGCCCAAGTGTTGTAAGCAGAGTATTGTCTTACATCGCGGCTATGTTGACCACCAGCACGTGCCTTTGATGCCATTGGCACATCCATGTCTTCTGTGGTCTCCATGTCGGGCGAGACTTTTCATTTTGGCGAGCATGGCCACTTATGAAGTTCATCGATGCTCGGGGGTGGGTGGTGGTTCCGCCAGTGGAACTGGCGAGCCAAGCGACGGTGAACGCCCCGAGCTGAACCAACGTTTGACGGGATCGATGTTTTTTTGGTACGGGTATCAATATTAATCTATGTTGCTTACCCGTTTTATGTCTCCCATTTGTGATGACACGGCTCACACTATGAGTATGGATGACATCTGTGGAACAGTTCGGGGCGCACGAGGATAGGTTTCATAAGCTCAACAACTTGGCCACCATCAGCCTCTCACATAACATTTCAGCCAAGCACGAAATCGGTATAAGTACTGGACTGTATTGACTACTTCTGAAAAACGAGCCATCCTCGAGGAATGACCGACCCATGCGCGTTCTGGTAGGTCTGCGCTTCAGTGGTTGTCAGCCGTTGGAGCACGGATCAACTCGCCGACGAGGAATCCATGTGCAAGAGCTCTCTTCAACCGCTCGGGCAAAATTTCTTACCTCTCTGCATTTTTTGCAGTCACTGAGCTTGCAAAGACTTAGTCTGTGTAAAGGAGCGACCTCACGCCACAATGGATGCTTTAGAGCGATGTGTGTTTCCCCTTCCATGATTCATTCATCAAAGCACTACTATGTGCCCGCTCACTCGTCAGTAGAACTGACGGGCGTGACACGTCGCCTTCGCCATCCTATAAGGGTTGTTACAGGAGAGATGCCATCACACCCATTCATGGGAGCGGAAATACTTGGCGCCATTTAGTTGGAACTCTGTCCGCAAATGAAGAGTTTCTGAGTGTTGGGTGGCCCTTGATCGCCTCAGCCAAAGCATATCACGCGTCTTATGTGTCTCAGTGACGAAATATTAACCGCCCTGGTCTGAAAACGACCCGAATATCACAGTTAGAACCGATCTAACGTCCTTCTTGTAAGCATAAGCTGTACATACTGCAACTGCAGGAGAGCACACGCTGTGGCTCCCTTGGATCAATGAGACTATAGTTCATAAGTCTTCACTCACGAATCTGTTTGACACCAGCCCTAAGATTAGCTCTAATTCTTCTCGGAACATCGTGGGAGTACATGGCAGATCAACATGATTATTGGAGGAACTATTCATGCTGGTGAACAGCAGGAGAATCACTCATTCAGCTCACCCAGACACGAACTTTTAGAAACCATAATGCCTTGGTGTCCCTGTAATACCACCTCATAATTCCCGCCTGGTGCTACGCCTCCCCACCATTCAAAGTATTGTGCCTGTGTCAAGCAGCACCAAAGGAAACACAATCTGACTCCCTTTTTGACATACCCTGACACCCGGTCTGAAACGCTCGGTGTTGAAGAGAAGGTACACTTTTTGGAGAACAGAGTACTGTCAGTGGAACTGATCATTTATATGTGCCTGTTGCCTACAACTCCAAGACCAATCATTACTGGACTTCGATGAATACGGACGATACTTCTTTATCCGGCCACCAAGACTCAAGTCTTCTCATCCCTTGGCCTAAACTAAGCCACGTCGCGAGAAAATACTTGAGTCCTTTGAATATCGTGCCCAGCGCGTCAGAATGCCCAGACCGTCTGCTTTCGATATAAATTTATCTCACCTGACGTAAGTCGCTTCTGCCTTGTGCAGCAATCCACTAAGCTCTTCACATATTGGGGGGCAAGGGAGAGAAAGCAGCTGGTCATACTGCGTCCGAATCTCATCCACCGCGATAGACATCTGCGGGCTTTCGATGATTGACCTAGGCGGTCGACCGTGTTCGACGCTTCGGACACGTATGTCAAGTCGACGAGACATACCTATGCTCAGAGGTCCCTACCTGGCAGCCACGCCATGTCTGAGCCACCTTGTGTGGATGTTGTTAACTTCCGCAGCGGTCGGGTGTGTCACCTAGACTAATCCACCGTACTCTGATCTCCTGTTGTTGCTCTAGGTATGACCAAAACTGTAAAATAACGCTCAGCTTTCACTCGTGTCCACATAGACGAGGTCGTCTCCATCATGACGAAAATGAAAACGAGATAACCTGGGCCTCGTTGAACCCCCCTATAGCTCCTATAACCCTGCGTTAGTTGGTGGTAGGTCATCCCTTAGCCTGGCGTCACCAGTAGAACTGGTGTGTGGTAGCTGGTCGCGAGTCACCAGGGAAGGCATCGCTGGATGTATCAGATCCTCACTAGTACAAACTATCAACAGGGTGCTTACTTAGCTGCAAGGCTTCCCCATAGTAATGCTGCAGCTAGGTTTTGCCAGCAAATTTCCATGATCATCAGTATGATATATCGATCTTTTCGTGCTGTTTCCTGGTGGCATCGCACTCGATATCTCTTCCCGGCATTGGGAACACATTGCCACCCTGAGAACGACCCGTCAATTATTGTTGCTGGCTACGCCTCAGAGCACAAGCAGCCATTCTTCCAGAGGCAAGAAAATCGAAGATAGTGTCTCCTTACGTGATAATGATCTCTCAGACGATACCTCCTATTGTGTCTTTTTAAGAGAGCAAATTGAACTAAGAGTTCGGAGTTTTATAAAGACTGTAACGATGCGTTTTCCTGGGATAGTCATATGGCTCTACTAGATAGCGCCATTAATTAATCATACGACCGCTAAATCAACTGCATGTCCGGGTTTGTCATGGTGATCTTATTGGTAGAGTCAGTGGAACTGTTAATATAACTGTTAACGATAGCGGAAGATTTTAGGGGGTCTATTATCAACATATTGACGGGATACACATCTGATCAAACAACAGTGAGGCTCCCATACGTGGATTTTTATATACTGCCGGACGTCTTCCGCCGCCTGGTGTTGTCAGTGAGTCTGATGGGATTTCATGCGATGTCAGTGGAACTGGCTTAGGGTGCGGTATATTCCAGCCGCAATGAAAATGTGGCATACAGGCTGGTACTATACTGAAGCCATGGACGCGGATACTCGCTGCTTGTTGATACTGGTCTCCCTTCTGCCCAACTCCTATTGGGAGAGCGACTTGTTCCAACCGACCAAAATTGTGGGCCCGACGGCGATGACCATCTCGCAACGTGATTTCATTTGGGTTCGACAGACCATGCACCCATGCGGTAGCACCAGACTGTGAAGGTTAGCCATGTTCTAGTGCCAAGAAGTGCTGCTGATCCAGACTTGACAAGCGCAATTTCACAGGACACGAAAAGACAAGAAAGCACTCACTCTCAAGAGCTGTTTAAATATATTATGCTGTGGAACAGAATGAAAAAAAACGTGTCCCAAACTTCTTCACTTGATGGGTTTGTCCTCCCATAAATCATTTACCCGACATTTAGTGATACCCTTGGCTCTTAAGCAGCAGTAAGCTATACGTGCTGTAATGTACAACAGAAGTGTACGTGATGAGGAGGAATGGAACGTGTTAAGAGAAATTCTAAACAATCAATCAAAGTCACACAGCTGAAGGGTGAGCACATGTATACATCAACATTGTCGAGTTTATGATCCCGGTAGACATGTTGTTGAGGTCCTCGTCGGTCGAAGCGACAGGTCTTTTGACTCCGCTCAAGGGATATCGTCCAACCAGGCAACAATTCGCGACATGACACAACATGGTGTCTCGGTGAAATATGCGCACTAAGTCTCGGCCAAGCGGCCATGTCGTGGTGCGACTCGGGATCTCGGTAAATCGCTGTCTTGGACGGATTGTGATCATGGATTCCATGTGCTGGCGGCGTTGCCGTTGCAGGCTATATGATGTGCGTAAATATGCGGTTGCCTTTGCCCTTGGTACGCAGTGGGATTAGACACAGTCATCAGTATCAAATCCAGCTTGGATAAGTAGGAGGTACCAGACTACAGGCGTAGACGACCAATGATCGTGAGGCATGGTAGACCAATGAGATTCCTAACTTGTACTAATTTGAACAACAACTGCTTTAGAATGGAAAATTGAGAATTGAAATATAAATGTATATACATGAATGCAACCATGCCCATCTCTCGACCATTTGATACTTCTAGCAAGAGAAACCGCAGTCCATGTCCAGTGTCTCGCGGCCAGAGAACACATTTTTCAAATCCCACTGACCAACGCTGCAACGAGAATTCGAGGAATGGGCCTCCCCAGAGCCCCAGTAGTCAGTTCCGTACTCGAAGGTAGCCTATATGTCCATACCGGTTAGCTACAAAACTGCCCATAGACAAGGATTTACCCCAGGGTCTAGACTAGTTTGTGTCAACTTACAACGTCGTTGTTCCCGCTGGGGTAGAAGTTGAGGTTCAGGTCGCTGCCCATGCCGTTCTGGGCAGAGACGGTGCCGCTGTAGGTTCCGGACCCCGAGAACGACTCCGTCGCAATCAAGAACTGCTTGCTGTCATAGACATGGACCGTAGCCGTCGTGCTGTCCGTCTGGCTGAGCTTGACGTGCAGGCCGCACCACCCACTGACGAAGCGCTTCTCCTCGCCCACGGCGACGGCGGCGCTGCCCGAGATGTCGGTGGGGGCTGCCATGGCCGAGCTGGCGATGGAGATGAGCGAGATGATGATGGTTGAGAACTGCATTTTGTATTTTTGGTAGATGACTGTAGTTGTTGAAAGGGAGGGGTGGCGATGGCTGTTCAGGTGTGAAAGTATTGTTAGAGGAGCTTAATTGAGTACAGTAGATATGGAGAGTTGATGGTTGATGTGATAATGAGTTCGTGTGCATTGTGGTGTCCTTTGACGTCTTATATACAACATGTCTTCCGATTTTCTTCAGCTTAACTTGAAATGACATTGATGCTATCTTGGTATCCAAACTCCACAAGCCTGTTGTAGCGCTCGTAGGGCTCGTACAGACTCAGCATTGATCAATACATCCATATCTCCACCATCGTTGTTGCGGCCGTTATAGAAACATCGCAAGGAGAAGCCTTGTTCGTTTGCGTGTGTTCTCAGAGCCGTTCAGATGGTGATAAATGGAAATAAGGTCGATCCTCTCTGCGCCCTGACCTAATGCTGCCCCTGCCGCACATTTAATTCTCTAACCTGGGGACGAAGGATGCTCTTTGAAGTAACGGACGAAATGAAGTCGAGATCCTTTCAGTGGACAACAGCAAGAAACCCGAAAAACTACCAAGAAATATGTGGGTATCAATCACCGCTCTCCTCCAGTGAACAGTTCACCTTGTTCGACTTCAAAAAAATCATTCCAACAACAATGGGGTTCTGAAAATGACACCTGCAAAACCCAGTTCGCAGTGGGGGTTTTCAGCGGACCGCCCCGCTAAACTCTCCATATCGGCTGGAAAGCTTCTATGCCCAAGCAGAGAGACGGACCAATGGCAAGAGCCTTCAAGTTCCCGAAATAGAAATGTTTTCAATGCAAGACAGACGGTCCCTGACGGCGCGAATCCATGGCACAAAAAAACCATTCATCGGGCTTCCAAGACTGTCAAAGCAACCTTATTTTGCGACAGAGGACGGCATTGTTTGTTAAGTCACGCGAAGCGCATTGATCTGATTGATATTGGTGCTAAGCCAAGGATGCAAAAGGATTCGATCCAGTGTTACACGCCATCAAGGGCCCGTAGTGCTAGCCTGAACACTGCTCGGTATGAGATTACTGTACATTTCTGGAGGTTTTGTGGTTCAAGTATGTCTTTCGAGGAGCTTACTTGTTTTCTTGCGAGATCGACACGGGAAACTCGTGCCGAGTATTATGTAGGCAGACTGATATTGGAACTATCTGCCCAAGGATAAGTACATTGCTCAGTACTTGAACTGTCCCACCTTGTTCGCTCCTGACAGACACAAACCAAATGCAGCTCTTGTTCGCCACCTTTTCATCTTTATCTGGATAGAGAAGACGTTGTAAGTCGAGATATATTGCCTGAAAACTGAAATGACGAGATGCCACCACTGTCTCGTGCCTTTTGGCTTTTCCAATGTTTTCGTGCATGCGCGCCGCAAAAAGCTTTCACCAGCAATTGGCCTCTACTCAAAGCCCGACCCTGACAGATATGAACTCAGAGCTTCTGTTGTCCATATACTTTCCGTGCTCGCACCTATCCTGTTCGCCTACACATGATAGTCCCCGTTTTCGACACCCCATCTCTTCATTCTTGAAGCGCTTTGTACTGCAGTCGTTCCGAGGGCGAGATCGAGGTCGCTAACACCGACGGCTGCACATTTCGGAATTCAGCACTACTCACTCATGAGCACGCTGTCGCGACTGTGTGGGATAGCTGGGTGGTCAATGCCGCCTTGCAGATCTCGTCACATTCTGCCCACACTGGAAGCGACATCAAATGGGCACAAAATGCCTTCCTCTCACATCCACCCAAATACAGTTCATCAATAGCCATTGGCTGCTCAAAATTAAGATACGTGTGATCCCTACGTGGTCTTGCTGGGTATTTAATCCTTCACTACGCTAAACCGACTATAACTCCGCAGTTTTGCGCCAAATTTCCACAGGAGCAAAGGCGCCGGCACTCCGATTACCACCGCGACGAGCACAAGCACCATACCTCCCCATCCATAACCTAGTGCACCAAAAAGCGACGGTGCGAATAGAGGAAAAGCAAATGCGCCTAGCGATCGAAGAAAGCAGCACGCCGCCGAAGCAGACGCCGTATAGTGGCTGTAGCAGTCCGCGATATATGCTCCGATGCATTGGTACGAAATCATACTACTGCCAGCCATGATGGCTACGCCAAGCTATGGGATCATTAGTCTAGCTCTGTAAGCAAAGTAGAGGTTAGGGGTGTTGACTTACATTGGGCAAAATGAAGTGCGCCTTGTATTGGGCCGTCCATGCGAAGAGCGCAATGCCACAGGGAGTTATGATAGCGGCGGGTATCATCAAAGGAATGCGAAACTCCGGAAGACCTGGATCTCCTTCTGCGATACCGTGCCTCCTCTTTTGTCTCGCATAAACCCAGTCGGTGAGCGGGCCGCAGATGTTGACACCGATCAGGGAACCCACTGCAAGGGAAATATAGTTGAGCGACGCTGTGCCCTTGCTCTCGCCATAGCTCTTCGTCCATAGATTTGGGTAGTCGGAGATGATCAGATACATCATACCGTAGTTGAATGCTTGGTAGAGAGCGAGGGCCTGGATGATTGGTTGTGTTCCGAGCATTACCCAGGGTCGGGAAAGTGAGACCTTGAGCAATGCAGGGAGTGTTCGATGTTGCATCTCGAACTCGGTTTGGTAAGATGGGTCGCCGGTGCTCGCACGAAGCGCTCTTGCCTTGAGGCCAAGTATACGTGGAGCATATGTTTCACTCAAGAAGAAGAATGCGAGAATTTGGATGACGATATTGAATATCACAATGGACCAGAAAGTCCATCGCCAGTTCGCATATTGAGCAATGTATCCTCCGGCTTGCAAAGGTTAGCATGCCTCCTGTGTTTGAACAGATCTGGACTCACCGATAGGTCCAATAGCCGGGCCAAGTACTGGTGCAAGTTGATATACAGCAAGTCCTTTTCCTCTCTCCTCAGATCGCCAGCAATCTGCCAATATTCCACTGCCCATCTGTTGAAGTCAGCTAAGAATGAATCGTGTCATACAGAAGAGAACCTACACCCATTGTCGCACTTCCACCAATGCCTGCGAGAAAGCGAAAGGCTAAGATCTGAGCTTCCGACTGTGCCCATCCGCAGAGTGCTGTCGAGAGTATGAACATGATGTTGCCAATCTTGATAATACGTGTGCGTCCCCATACCTCCGAACACGGGGAAAGTACAAAAGGTCCCAATGCATAAGTAAGGAGGAAGATGGACATAACCATGGGCAGAGCTGATGAGCCGTGAGGAATGTGGAGGTCGTTGCCGATATCATCAAGTGCGGGTGCCGCGATTGAGGAGGAAAGCGGTGAGAGGAAAGCAAAAGCAGAGACGATTAGGGATATCTGAGATGTTAGCACAACGTTACTTCCAAGAGCAAACTGACTAACCGTCCATTTTTCTCGCTTGCTCCAGTTCTTCGGGTTCGTAGGGTCGTCTGGGCCTTCCCATGTTACCTGTAGATAAGGTGAGTCTGCGTTCAAGACACGGCGAAATGATAGTTTAGTCATACCAGGATCGGATCAGGCTTCTTCTCTGCCGTATTTATGGACACTGATGAGGCACTTCTAGATGAGAGGAATAGGCCTTCACCAGGCCTCGAAGGATCGTTTGCCGTGACCTGCAACATTTGAGTTCCCTCGGCCTTTGATGCAGTTGGAGAGGGATCATGGTCAGTCGTGGTATTAGAGGGAGCGACCATTGCGAAGGGTGATGGGCGAGAAAAAGGACTCCTTATTCAGCGAGGAACAAGAACCTTAGGCTAGTGAATGTATTCCCTCTTGTCCGAACTCCAAGATCTACATTCTGAGAGTTCAATATTTCGGGTTCTACCTTAGAAGTTATATACCCAGTGGCGGAAGCTCTGAGTTGCATGTCTCAACAAGCCGCAAACATCGACCCCATTACAGAGACCAGCTCCCGGAAGGTGACAAGCACGTCGCACAAGCTGATTCGTTGCAATAAGAGCCGTTCAACTGACAGGGTCTACGAGGCCGTGAGGCTTGTCCTTAATCCGACAGTTTGGAAATAGCCTCCCCAGGTGGAGCTGCCGAGTGGAAAATTCCAAGCATGATTACCTAAAAACTTGACTCGATGCCAGCTGAAGTGAATACGCACGGGTCACGATCTGTTCTAGCCAGGTCAGCTACTCGGACAGTCACTAGTCTAGACTGTCGTGTCATTGTGAGGGAAAGTGACAACATCCACAGTGGCTTTCACAGGTAACATTGGTTGAGCGAGACGGGATCACATGATGACAGGAGGAATGTCGTCGAGTAGTTTACGGCCTTCTGGAGGAAATGCTCCAGTGGCACAGCTCGGGAAACATGCCGCCTTGACACATGAGGAACATTTTGCTGGCCAATGAACATTGGCCCTTTGGCGGGTGTATCGGTAACTCGACCATGTGCCATCGTCCAGCTCGTGGTGCAACGGAGATAAAGTAGGTTTCAATGGGGTCTACGGGGTCAGTGGGGTCAATGAATCCGGTGGTTTGGAAAATTATTCTAGAATTCCATGGTTGATCTCCCGTGGGACAGGCAAGAGAGTGGCTTGTTAAGCGCTGTTTCTGGGGTCGGCGGGGGCTTACCACAAGCAGCAATACATAGTAGGGCTGTGGAGGCGCTGGACGCCAAGATGCAGTAGCCAGCGTTTTAGAGGCTCCTAGCCCCTGACTTTGTCAACGCTACAGCGCCACGAAAACGGCACTTCATCTCTTTGGGCTTCAGCCGCGCCTAAACGAAAAGAAGCTGCCCCCAAACGGGAATTGGTCGTGTGCTCTTCCAGCTGAGCGTTATATGAGAAGCTGAAGCGGTCAATAGAGCATTAAAGCGTAGTCGCCGTCTCCGAGAGACAGACTTTCGCACAGAGGCAGTGCAATTACAGAAGCGGATCTATCTTGCCAGTAGTCTTATGTAGATGGAGACGGAAAAGCATCTCGCCATGGCTGCAGTAGCGAACACATTGTGTTTCGCAAACACGGGTGCGAGACAACAACACAATCATTAGGTGGTCCAACCACTATGAGCTAAAAACCGAGACGTTTCGGATACTACAACGACACTTTTTCGCTCAACAAGCCGGCCAAGTCCATGTATTGTTTTACATATATGAGTATGTCTTGTTGTTGCAAGTCTACAGTTGATATGATATCTTCCCAATTTTGCGGTGGAAAGTTTCTGGTTTTGTTTTGTTTTGTTTTGTTAGTGCTGCCCCAATCTCGCGTAACGCTTTAGCGTATGAATATTTGAAGAGGAACTGCCGTTGGGCTGAAAATCCTTGGAACCCCACTAACTTAATGCCGCCAGTAGAGTAGCTCAGGGGTCGGGTAGTGCCAGATCCCAACCATAAACTGAGCATTTTAAACCAAGCATTACCGCCACAAATGTCGTGATCTTGAGGCATCAATACATAACTCGTAGTATATACACTCAGGAGTTAGTTACTACTTTTCTCCCAACCGTTGCTAGGACCCCAAAACTCCAGTTGAGTCGTCGTGGAGAGCTAAGGTATATATGTTAGAATGTTAGCGCCCAATGGCAACAATGGGATGGGACTTCCTTATTGGCGCTCATAAATAACATAGCTGACTGAGTAGGGCTGCCCGGAAAGAGTAGTTTGAACATAAGTTGGCCATCAAAGAACCGGCTCTCTTGATCGATCGACTTGGAGTAGTTCACTGAGCTTGCTTAGGGCCAATCCGGATTTGAGGTTGCAAGCACGAGCTCAGAATCCTAGACATATAGTTTGATCAATCTCTCGCACAACTTTGTGCCTACTTCTGGAACATATCCGTATTATATAATGCAATCAAATGGTGTTAATTATCTCAATAAAAGCTGCCTTCTTCTGAGCTCGTGAGCATCCTTTTCCACCCGGTCCACTCCTCGTCCTCGGGCTCGTCGTCATCGCGACGTCGTTTGTAAGAACTCGGTGGTGGTGCTGGCTCAGCTACATGCATAGGCCCTATTCATATGACCATATTGAACGTCATGGAAAAGATAGGATGAGATTTCGGCTTATAACCCTCGAAAATGAAACTTATCAGCCTGATCTGTCGAGTCAATCCATCGAGATACCTTTTGCATGTGGCTATAACTCCTAACAACCGGATTAGTCACAACATGGCCATCCCAGATGACACTTTCCGAGGTGAGATTTCGATAGTACGCGGTTCATATGGGTCCTTACGTTGACTTTCAAATTCCTGGAACATCTTGCCGCGCTGTGGCACGTTGATGATTTCTCTCCCACCCAGCCACCTGAGCGTTGCAGTGTCCCCGCCCGCGTCACTGTAATCATCAAGTTTCATTTTGCCGCCGCGCATCCTAGTCAGTCTGCGGGAGCCGTCGTCAGAAGTTTTCGTCGTAAAAAATGGCATTAGAGCAATTTTCTCAAGTGACACAAAATATAGCCTTACCGAATCGAGGTCGGTGAACCTTGGTCATCGAAAATCCTAGAGCTCACCTAGTCGCACTAACCTACCCATCGCCCTATAAAGTCTGGCGGCCCACTTAGACCTAGGCCATAGGAGTCCCTTATCATATGAGGAGATACATATGAACATGATCAAGGTTTTACAACTTGTTTAAACCTCGATCTTTACACATATCATTGTGAAAGTACGGAGATGCGTACAAGAAATACACCCATGGTGGTATGGTAAGCAATGGCGACGTAACGGTTGACCCCCGGTACACTCTCTTTTGCATCGTCGACTACCATAGTGCTTTTACATGGCCATTCTACAAACCTGTAAAAATTAAGCAGTATCCTTAGTTTTACATAATTCTTGTCTAGAAGAACTGCGGCATAGTTATGAGTCCACAAAAGTTCTCATCAACTCCAAAATGCTACGATTATTGTAGTAACTTAGACACTATTCTCAGTATTTATGTTGTACATTTGACCAAATCAGAAGCACGCTCAGGTACCGCGTAGAGAGTAGAAATTAAACGCCCACAAGCCTGGAAAGGTAGGACAGATGCATCAACAACGCTAACGCTGGCCGTACATAAATTTCAAGGGTGGCATCAACTACACCACTGTTACTTTAAGACATTATAAAATCAGTGCCGACATGGTGCTAGTTCGTGAGGTAAGTATCTTCGACCTATTTTACCCTAGCGTCATCGTTATCCGACAATGGTACGGCCTCGAGACCAGGATTCGTCTCCGAGACAACCGGGGCTGCGTATGGATCTGTACTGTACAAATTGCGAATCAAGCAAACTGTGTCGACCTGCTCCTGCATGTCCTAATCTAGCATGAAGGAGTTAGGGTTTATTGTTGTGTTTCAGCCGTGCTAGAGTATTAATATGTATATTACCGCGGGAGAGGGGCAGAAGAGCCCAGTGTTCGTTATCCCAGATACCATTAGCCTAGTGGACGAGAATTTCAGCCAAAGCAACTTCGGGTTCGGAAATTGAGGTCGTGTTGTACTTTGAACAAGTCTAGAAGGACCATCTAGGATGTCACATTATTGTTGACGCTAGCTACCTGAGCAGCGTAGGATGTGAGAGAGGTTTTGAGCTGGGCGGCGACATTGCCAGTCTCATCACCGAAGCTTTGCGGTGCTGAAGGATAAGCCATCTAAGTTGTTTGTCAGTAAGCAAGAAGTTATTGGCTGCAAACTTTATTCATTTGAACTTGCAAATTTTCTCCAACAGTAGGCACATCGACTATGGTGTCAATACCATATTGGAATAGAATGTGCGGATTGGCGACGCTGGAAAGCTCTAAGAGGAGGAGATACCATGGAACCCGGGCATAGAATAAGCTCCTTCCTGGCTATCATGATTTAAGTACTGCCGACGCTGTAATTAGATTCGACACCATCCGCATTGGGTTCACGGTTGCTGGTGGTAGGCTTGCAGGAAGTGGTTCGCTCGAGTATTCCGGAGGAATTTCAGGTTGGGGTACGTCCGATACGGGAAATAGTATACCCGAGCAGCATCCTCGTGCATAGAGAGCTCTTCATCAACCATCGATGGGTAAATGGCGTATCCAACCATGCTGACATTATTGACATGAGCGTTCCATGGCGCACCCATATTACGAAACGTTGTGTTAATCGCGGCCGCCAGTGAAATGTTGATCTGATGACAGGTCCGACCCGGTTTCCCAGGACCTTCAAAGCCGTGACATTCCATCCTATAAGTCAAGGAACTTGCCCTAGCCCACTAAGATGAAGGGACATGAACTTACTCGCTCTTGCGGTAAGGGGGAATTGGTTGTCTCAGTTGCAGCCCTCGTTACCAATTAGCTCCCAAGCATCAATTTGAGGGATTTTGGTTCTGATGTAGTTCATACCTTGTTATTGTTAGCCGCTCCTATTCTTTCGCAGCTAATGACATGATCTTACCATTGATTGTAGTACTATCGTCCAATGCTTTACTAGCACTAAGGGTGTCAGAGCTTATCCGGTACCGGACTGCTATTGGGTATATAAGGGCTGTAACCTCCATATATGATAGATAGTAGGGCTCAGCGCGTCAATACTAGCACCCTATCACCCTAGCACTCCCTTGCAACACTATCGTCTGACAGTATAGTACCCGTGTAATATTGCTGGTCTTGGAAAGGATCTCCAGCTTCCGTCAGCACTAGAAATCGAGTAGTTATTTTGAAGCCATTTGTTGCATCCGACTCGGCGCATGAGAGCACTATCAAACAACACTCTAAATATGCTCAAAATGCTCATATCACCGTGCAACGAAGGTGTCGAAGTGCGGCAATATCTATACCAAGCAAGATAAGCCGCTACTAGCCGTGTTATCAATCATATATCATACACACTCCTCTTATAAACAAGCCGTCAGGTATAAGCGGTTTCCTATAAATCAACTCTGTTGGCTCTTCTCGCTATGGTCACTGGGATTTACATAGGATTGCAAAGAAAAATCGAGTCCATTGAAACCAAATACGCTGCTCTGCTATCATACATACACTCGAACAATTTACCGCATTCCACATCATCGTCCGGAAAGATAATCTTCACCGGATCCCCGAGACCGTCAAATGGACAAAAGGGACATCAGTAAAGTACCGAATTTACTCGAGCTGAGATTCCGGAATCTCCTCGCGCTTTCCAAATGTGATCAGATGGTCTCGCTTGTGTTCGATCTGCGTCAGCTTTCCGAACGCTATTCCGGCAGGAGAGTCGCGCTTGATAGAGTATTTGAACCTCCCCTCCTCCAAAGAGATAGTATCGGGCCTAACCCTCTTGACCGGGCCATCATCCTTCTCCTCCACGTCGCGCTTCGAGCCCGGCTCAATGACAATAAAGACTTTGGCTCCCTCGATCTCCTTGTCCTTGTAGCTGACGCAGTCTCCGCCAGTCCTCTGCGCCACGTCAAAGCCGCCGCAGTCGTCCTCCTTGTAGAGCTTAAGATTGTCGGTGGTCTTGCCGCCGCCAACCTCCTCGAACTTGCCCGACTTGAATTTCTCTCCGTCGTCATTGCAGCAGACCTTCTCTGCAATGTTTGTGCATTCGTGGGCGACCTTAAATAGGCAGTTTCGGTGCTCATAAAGCTTGATGTTGTAGTTCGCCATAGCGCCGCCTGAGATCAGGGCGGAGAGTAGAAGAGCGTTGAAATGCATTTTGAAAGAACTGATTTGAGGATGAGAAATGGGTTGATTGTTTACGGTCTGAAGTGTATGAGAGGGTGTGTTTGTGCTATGCGAAGACTGTGCTGGGTGAATTGTCGGTTTCAAATCTGAATACTCAGGAAATATGTGGCTCTTATACTTCTGGATGGACTGAATTCATTGCTTATATCTTCGGTTTTTGAAGCATCTCCATAAAACATAAATAGCACTTCACTTTTACTTCGTGATGTCAGTTGCTACATAATGCTCAACGCCGTAAATTCTCAGTTTCTCCCCGAACACAACCTTGATTGTGAGTACCAGCAACTATTCAAAGTCACAGCAGATCGATTTATTGTCAACTATGTGACGTCAACTTGTTTGGTTTCCTATAAATAGTATTGGCGTGGTTTGCTTCTCCAGTAGGGCGCATGCTTTACCCTATAAGCCCTAAAGCTTACTATGTACGAAGGTTGCTACCAGGAGTCTGCGCTCGGCAAGACTTCTGGTACGTACTATAATAGCCGTTTGACGGATTGCAAAAAGTCAATCTCAACGGCGTGCAAAAGTACCCGCTAAATGCAAATCTTCATAACGTCTTTGCCTTGTAGTTTTGGTGCTCAGAAGTAAGCGGTTTGGTTTCAGTGGTCATTTAGGGGATTTATCGCCTAAATCACTGAAGAGGATACCCCTACAGCTGAGAACAAACCAACAGCAGTCAACATACGAAATGGAAAGAGTTTTAGTCTTAGCGAGAGAAGATTCTTTGTAGCGACTTCCGAACTAATCAACTAAGGTTAGCCAACGATGTTCTTCTTCCAATTCTTTCTCAGGAAAGTGCTTGTGTGCACTGCCGTGAATCCTTTGCTGTTTATTCCTGCAGTTGCCAAGGAGCCGCAGTACCTAACCTTAGTATGTTAGCAACACCCAACAGGATTCGTTGTTACGGATCATAATCCGCTGTTCCTTTCATCCTCTTGATTGAAGCGCCTCTAGCATTCCTATGATGTTGTGTAGAGTAATTCCAAAAATGTGTTCAGCAGTGTAAAGTTCTCTAGATTAAGAAATCAAGGGTGTGCGGCCCCGTTAAAATCATGGACAACCCCTAACCTAGTGGGTCGCGCTGGCTATGTCAACGGTGTGCCATTGTACTATGTAGGTTAGGCATGCAGATTCCATTGAAAATCCCTGCAGGCCGAATCTTCCTTTCGAGGGTCACGTATTCAAGACACTCAGTGTAAAGTGACCTAACTTATGTATTTCGTACCTTTCTCCACAGGGCTGAAGCCTCCAGTCGGCTGTGTCGCCGAGATGGAACGCCAAGCAGACAGACATACATAGTACACGCATGCCGCTCCACATCACATGAGGCAATATCGCTATTTTCGTTCAGCTTGGCATAAGGCTGTATTACTACAGACGTCATTGGTGAGATCGATTAGCTGATCGCTACGTCGCCTGACGTAAGGTCGTGCTTAGGCCACTAAGAGGCTGTGTTTATAGGCTGGGTCCATCAAGCCACCTAGTCATCCTATTCTCAACCACGTCCATCACCCAACAAAAGTCGCATAATCACTTGATGACTGACTTCTTTTTTTCATCAAACCATAACTCATTCTTTGAGAATTATTCTCCCATCTGTCGGATAATCATCTTAGATTTACCCTCACCTCTTCTCGTCCACAAGTATCTTCGCACACATTCTCCAAATAGTAATCATCCCATGGGCCAATTGCAAACAAAGATGCCGGGCAATAAAGAATCAATCATATCTTCTCAGGGCCCAGAGCCGCAGAAGTGGCCATACTACAAGATCCACGACAAAGAAGCCATACTTTCAGACAGGCAGGGGAGCTTCAAGGTGCACACAATCCTAATCGACTCAGATGAAGGCCGGGCGTACGAAAAACTTACGACCGATGCTGAACGTCTAGACTATATGCGTAAGCATTCCGTCGACAGCTGGTGGGTAGTCCAGGCAGATACTGTTTCTTTCGAGGATAACGTGGCTGGGAAGAGATACGAGATCAAGAAGAACTCAGATGAGTACAAGGGACTGAAGAAACTGCTCAAGAAAGACGGAAGCACTCCGGATCCAGGAACAAAAGAGTGGGATAAGATGGTTCGGTACTATAAAGAGCATGCCACGACCATAGCAGATGTACCAGTCAATACCAGTGATAGCTGCGCGATTCATAAATGAGTAGGTAATAGAACCATCATAACAAGAGCGCTCAGTCTATAAAGTGTCTTCTTGGGCTATAGCTATCCCAAAAATGATGCGTTTCGACCTCACACAGGCTTTAGGCATAGTACGCTACACGAGAGAGGCTCTAACTTTGCCTGAAAACGCGAAGACGCCAACTGGATCTGATGGGCCGAGAGTAATTGAGGACTATGCTAACATTGGCCCGAACAAGAGCTTGGATGATTACATCACCGCGAACGAGCTCTGTGGGATTAGAAGAAAAACGCTAGATTGGATATACCAAAACGAAGAGATGCATCCAGTTCTTTCCCGCTCGGGACCCAAGACAGAAACGGCCAAGTAGCTGGTTCTAGAACCCCAGGAAGAAGGAACTGATGTTTATTCACTTCATGCGACATTACCGATAGCGAAGCTTTGGAAACCATAATATAGTATGCGCAGCAGAACATGCCGCCCATTAGGGGATGCATTGAATCATCCATGTTTGTCTAGGCAAGGGTCATATTGTGGCACCTGCATTCACAATCGTGAGCGAGCTGAAACTTTGCCTCCGTAGAACCGAGCCTTCCGGCGACTACTTCCTCGATGAATCCAGTCCTCCATCGATTCAAAAATCCAAAGGAACCTGGAGCCTGAACCACGCGATTTCAGATGGGCTTGACTTCTTTGTTCTGTTGTCCTCATTCGCTGGCGTCTCTGGTGCCAGCTCGCAAGAAAACTACACTGCCGAGAGCGGTTTCCTAGGCGCCTTAGCACGCTACCAACACTCGCGCAGTCACGCTGCATCTGGACGACCTCTAGCTCGTGGAGAGCATCGAGTAAGTTGCCAAGCGGATCGATGTCGCGCAGACTTTGGCCACGACCCCGAAGGAGCAGAAGTACATAACGGAGCTCAATCTGTATTTCATGCTGCGCTACGCATGCAGGCCACTCTACGCAGATAAATCTTCATATGCGTGGGACACGCAACTTATCGACGACATGACGATATCAGCATTCATGCGGCGGGCGGGCATCGTCCAGGACTATAACTGGATGCAGAGCCCTAGTTCTGCCACTTGGACCAGATAGATGAAGGTACCACAATCGCTTCCACGACCAAACAGGCCAACTCCGCCAGGTCCCAGCTCATATTGGCCGCGTCGATCGAGGAGGCTGCAGAGACTATTGCGTCATTACTTGCCAAACGCCTCGCGCGGTCTCTGAGCATCCCCGTCAAAAATATCAATACCAAGAGGCCCCTTTCCACCTTTGTCGTGTTTTGATGGCTGCTGTGAAGTTAATCCATTCGCTCTCTACTAGAATTGGAACCGAGATCTCAGTGGTATTGATTCTCAAGAGCATTTCGATTGCAGAGTTGGCTATGGTTGCGGCAGAAACGAGCGACTATCTCGTAAATAAGGGCTCCTCGTAAAGTGTACACATACACACACGCGCGCGCGCGCGCACGCACCTCTACTTGAGATGGTTTCTTTATGTTGAGATTGGCGCGACTTAAGTAATGCGCAGTTCGCTCTTGATTAAAAGAAACGATTGGGAGCTAGAAGGTAGTTCTGCCCCCCTTTGGTTATGAAGGACTGACTATTTTTGCTGTGCATGGCAGTCTTACATTAATTGGCTCATCTGGTAAGAATAGCGGTGGCATCGGAACTGGATCCGGGCAGTTTGCGGCATTGGCGGTACAGCTTCGCCGGTTGCGTTGTTGTTAAGTGGCCAAAGGGGTAACAAACCGTGCGACATATACGACATCCAGAATTGCTAATGTGTGGTCAGTGAGAACAGGGAAACTCGAATATCTTCCGGGATTCAGAGCCTCCCGTAGATGCCGCTCCTCGGAAACCGTTGCCGCGTGCAATAATTGCACTGTTTCAATAGTAACTTTATGAGCTTCCAGTAGGACTCAAATCGCAGGTTAGTATGCTCAAGATAGTTAGTTCATTGCGACGTGTCGCACAGAAAAGTTGTGGCACTACCCTACACTTCTCTCATTTTGATATGCTATCTAGATCATTATGAGTCTAAGACCCACTTGGAAAGTTTGTTAGCATACTAAACCTTGAGCTCACCGTTGCGAGCTCATGAGGTAGGGAACAACAAGACGTCTTTGCTAAGTAGTATCATTTCAACGAAAGCAACACTAAAATATAGATATTGAGAAGCACTGAAAAGAAAGATTCTGCTGTTCGAAAAGAAAAAGCCGATGTCACAAATCATGTAGTTACAAGACTTCCTCGTCATTGAACAAGTATTCCGAAATCTGCGGCTTAAAATACGAGACCACCCTGAGTGTTCCATCAGGTCGGAGCGAACATCCAACATATGTTTGCACTCCGGGTTTTTCTCTCATGGACTTGGGAGACCTACAGCAATCGATTTTAGAGTTCCCCTTTTCAATTGACACAAATTCACAATAAGAAACACTTACAAGAGTGTGCCCATAGCCGTTACATAATCATCCATATATCTACCCAATTGAAGAGACTGGAAATATTGTTTCAAAGCCTGCATTACTGCCTCATCATTCTTTGAGTAATGTCGGACGGGCATGTAAATCTTGGTGACAGGGAAACGGTCTTCAAGCTTAAACTCGACGTTGTATAGTATCCCAGCTGTACGGTGGTCGACTTTAGCCAGCGGTTGATCTGGCCGATCGTCGGCTCCGAAGAGGGCTTTCCAGAGCCGATGTAGGTCCTGGAGTCCTTGGCCTAAGCTCGTGTTTTTAATCCGACCTCCGAGTGTCATTATATCGATAACTGAATTGAAGGTTGTCTCGCGACACCGGAAATAGAGTTTAAGTCGAGATTCTAGCGGATCAACCAGATCGATAGCCATCATCTCATGTTCCAAACCATTGCCGACCGAAGAAGAGCAAAAGTCGAGGAAGATAGCACCAGCCTTGAGGTTTTCTCCCGTGACGTAAGGAGCTGTTTGAATTGCTTCAAAAGTCACATCTAGGTTGGATTGCCGGGACGCTTTTGCTTTGTTCTTTGAAAAGAAGTATGCTTTGCCTGTGATTTCCGTTATCGATAAGTCGAACGCGTAGAAGATAGAGGAATTATGGTCGTTCCCACCATCCACTAACGTCGATGCTTCATAGTTGCCGCTATTGAAGAAGTCTCTGAAATGATGAAGCCAGTCAAGTCTAATACCTGGTAGGGAGAGGAGTAATTGATCTTGGAAGTCCGAAAAAACAGCTAAGTTATTGGGATCGTGTAAAGTGCCTGCGTGTAGTCCGATAGGTTCTACGGAATATCGTATGGTCGGTGGGCTATCATTCGTGCCCCAGTCCCAGCTCAGCTCGATAGGAGTGCCGTCATCGGTCATGAAGCTCGGCCATAGTGTTTCTGCTCTTAGTGATTCTCTAGAGACACCAAGATTCGGAGCCACGACTTGTGCAAAGAACTTCAAGTCTCGATATTGTGTGTCTCGAGGATATTTGGCGTTGTGTAGGAGAACGGCAAGAAATTTTCCAGTATGTCGAGCCCACCAGTATCTATGGTGTACGCTTTCCAGATTCCTCAGCTCAGAGTCCACTCGTTGCCAAGCCGAAAGCTCGTCAGGGTAGCAAAGGTGGTGAGCAATATTCGCTTCATACTTTCGTACTTCATTATTTTCAGGTGCGGCAGGGATTCCCATCAACGAGAACTTTTGGCCGAAACCCTCTTCGTAAAGCACTTGAACCATAATGTTTGATTTGATACGGCCCCAATAGAAGAGTTTAAAGTCTTGAGTATCAAGGGATTAAATTGATATCACACTCGGTCTGAAAATTTTTCCCAACTCGCAAGAAAATCCGGATCTCGAAAACTATCAGCATCAATTAACTGCCACCAATCAAGATATTTGAAATGTGTATGAGATCGAAGTATGTTCTCCTAACCTACGAATGCCCAATTGACACCGTCTGATAGACTGTGTATAGTCAATTGGATGTCTTGAGGTCCCAACTAGGTGTTTGTATTGCCCTATTATTCTTTGTCATAGCCAGCCTTTCTGAAAATAATGTTATGAAGGTGAGGGGGTGAATTTGAGGGTATTTAATGCATGTGGCTTCACTCAATGTCAGCTGACATGTACCAAATACAGAATGTGATGATGTTCCTGCATGCCAAAGACGTTCCAAGGTTTTGTTGTCACCCAGCTCCATAAAAGTCTCACAACTGTTATCATTATCCAATAATTTGAGGTTTACCATCTTGGCATGCATAAAGGATGCCGGAGAACCCGAGGCTTTGTTGAAATCCAGATTACTTCTAGCGTCCAACCACCGGTCGCTGCCATACACTCCTCGTATGTACCTGAGATGCACCGGTACCCGCCCCCGCATGATTCGAAACAATTGCTTTTAATGTTCTATGTAAGCCTTTTCCCGGCGTTGGATTGCTAGAAACTACGTTGTTGTGTATACTCGCTATCATTGGCATGGCCATGTATTCAATAACATGTGTGTTCACATTTCATGATCCACGCGCTACAATACTTAGCTAGCTCACACATAATGTGGTCTAGACTCTAGAGAAAGGTTTGCCCTGCGCCGTAAAAACGGGACGAAGTTATGAGGATTAGATTGATTGATTAGTCAGTTAAGTATCAGTGGGTCAGCTATTTGTGCGGTAGCATACTTGTTATATACATGATAGGTGGATAGGAAGCTTGAAATGTAGGTAGCCGGGACTTTATTTCAACATACGCATCTTACAAATTCGCGTTCATAAGTTAATAATGATATCTTACCTTAAAACAATCTATAATTACCTACAAGGCCATAAAGGACTAGGAACCATGGAAGACAGTTCCGCAAATACACCGACGACGGCCCGGGTGTCTAGAAATTTAATTAATCCTAACGATGAAATTGACTAACCCGAGAAACTAATACAGACTACCGTTCAAGATTATCCCACGCGGCTGACGATACGTAACATCCGAAATACCCTATAAACCACAATTGCGTTAAGCAGTAACGTTTTCCAGGCTCCGGCGGTTAGATAAAGTTAACCCGAGTGGAAGACCAAATTCACTTGCTGAAATGACCTCCGACGGCCGTGTCGTATACAGGAAAGACTAAGTTAAGCTTCTCTACGCCGATCGAGAAGTTCTGGACCAGGAGATGATAAGTGGCGAAAGGGGTTTCGGAAACGTTACAGATTCTGCAGACCTATTCGAAGGGGCGCAGGCTCTTTACTAGGTCTAGACCCGCCTTGACATGTATAGTTAATTAAGCATTGGGTTTGGTCTAGATCACATGTCGATAGGCGAGATCTAGACTTGGTACGGAAGCTAAAGTCTATATGCCAATAATTTAGAAAATCAGTTCAAAACCACCTACGTTAGCGAGTTTTCGCTGTTGTCAAACCTTATAGCAACTATAGCAAATCTCTTATTAGAGATGGTATTTCGTACTATGATACTATGTAAGTCTAGGCGGCGGAATATATATACTACTAAAGAAGCAGTTTATATACACAAACAATGACGTCCAGAAGGATAATATCTGACGATAAGAAGCAGAATGAATTACTACAAGACAAGCAGATTATGGTATAGTTTGATTATTAACTGATAGTTGGCAATGGACTATCTGTACCAGGACTATAAATGATCTTGCTTCAGCTATATCTAATTTACCCAGTGTAGTGCATTTTTTGTTACTTATCCTTAAATCTGTTTTCGCATGAACTTCTCATCTGACGGAAGCAGTGGTGCTTCTGTCTACGTCGCTTTCTATAATGAACAGAAAGCCCATTCCCATGCTCATTGATCTGCAGGAGCAGCCAACAACGCGTGATCTAGGGTTTCAGCGCGCACCGCATGATTCCCAGGAGGGATTCAAGCCCCTCATGACCTCAGTTATTTCAATCTTGGACCGCATCCCTCACCGTTCAGTATCATTTAACTTATTGGGCAACATTATTGATTCGAAGTCTCCAGTGTATGCAGCAATGATCAATCCATTACATTCATATCTATTAGTCACTACCAGAAGCGGCTGGTACTTGATTCAAAGAGCTAGAGTCCGGCTCAGAGTAGAAGTACCAGCATGATGTCGCATGGACAGAGCCACGTCACCAATTACAATAAAGGCGATCGAAGAGAATGAACAATAGTCCTGCATGCAATAAATTATCTAAATATGAGGCCATCTCATAAACTTGGGGCGCGTTCAAACTCGTCCAGTTACTGATCATGTAGTCTGACAAAATAGAGATCACAATGTTGATATATGAGCCTATCAATCAAGCAGGTTAAGAGAAGTCGAAGCACACAGCAGCACTGTCAAGTGTGGTCTGATTCCACAGCGTCTTGTCAAGGTTCGAAATGCCACGTCGTGATTTCCACTAGTTCGCAGGCTATGAAATACGGAACGGTAAACTCGAAGTGCGTCGGAAATCAAATATATTCTGACTGAATTGCAACATAAAGGATATGAACATGTAGTATGAGAACATACGAGAAGAGAAATATGATACATCTGAAACAGTCCACCACTATACTAGTCACAGGGCTAGACCAGGACTCTAGCTCAGCTGGCTGACAATGGCCGTGTAGGCAGCCTTCTTGTTGTAGCCGCTGTCGAACAGCAGGGGCGAGGACGAAGCTCTCCAAGAGTCGGTGTCGCTCACACCCCAAACGGTGATGCCAACGCAAGCCTTGACGTTGAGGCAGGCGTTCACAACAGTGGTGTAGTCGCTAGCAGAGGCGCCAGCGATGTCCAGCTCGGTGATAGCGACTTCCGAGACACCGGTAGCAGCTAGAGCAGAGAGGGCACCAGCAACGCTGCTGGCTTGACCGGCCGACAAGTGAGTTTGAGAACCTGGTAGGTCAAAAGTTAGTATAGAGTTGCATGAATCTGTATAATATGCACTCACCAATGCCATCGATGGGTACGCCGGCTGCGATCCACTTCTTGACGTGGGCAACCATGCCGTTGGTGACCTTGCCATAAGTGGCGCTGTCGAGGTTATAGTCGTTGATGTAGAGTTTGGCAGTGGGATCAGCCTTGCGGGCTGCGTTGAATGCAATGGAGACAAAGTCCTCGCCGAGCACTTTGGAGAAGACAGAGCTGCGCAACGAGCCATCCTCGTTGAAGATCTCGTTGACGACATCCCAGGCCCTGATCTTGCCGGCGTAACGTCTGACGATAGTGCTTATGTGGTTCTCGATGACCGAAGTGAGCTCAGTTTTGTCGGTGATAGCACTGACCCAAGAGGGCAGTTGCGAATGCCACAGCAAGGTGTGGCCTCTGACGCTTAAGCCATTCTCGGTGGCATAATTGACAAGATAATCAGCACCGGTAAAGGAGAACTTTCCCTTCGAAGGCTCGGTAGCATCCCACTTCATGCTGTTCTCGGGGGTGACTTGTCCAAAGTCGGCCTTGACAATAGACGAGACTTGGGACTTGGATAGCGTGCCTTGATCGGCGGCGGTGCCAAAGTATGTTTTGCCCTTGGCGACGAACAAGGCATTAATGCTGTCGCTTGCAGCAGTAGAAACGTTGCCCTTGGAAGCGCTCGAAGTGCTGGCCGGAGTGCTGGCCGTAGTGGCGCATGGCGCAGCCAGTGCACCAAGAGGGAGCAAGAAGAGGCCGGCGGCAGAGAACTTCATTTTGAATGAATGTGGTGAATTTGGTCAGATGAGAATCAGAAGCGAATGGAACAGAAGAACAGAAATGAAGGTCACGGTGAAAATGGTATGCAACCGGTGCTGATGAACCACTATTGATTGTCTTGTCAAGGCATTATATACTCTATGGCCGCTTTCTGGTGAACGGCAATTCTTGGAGCGTGAGGCTTAGAACAGGGGATGCACGCGGAATGTTGCCATTGAGGCCGTATCCACTTTAGAAACTTAGGTTTAATATATTTCAGACCCAGAGTTGCACTTTAATCAAATTGCCAAGAGATTACAAGCAGCTGTCGGCCTTGGCTTTAAAGCGCTCTGGGTTAGCATGGATCTGCACGATCCAGCTCTAGCGCTGACCTTATTGCACATAGAAAATTTGCACAGCTGACAATAGCAGTCCAAATAGACAGCAAGCGTGGGGCAGGAGTTGAGCAAGGGGCCACACAGCCGTTTTCAGCCAACCAGAGCCCTTCAAACATGATTTTAAGGGTCCTCACAGGCTGGAACTATCCTGTGTTCTAGAAGGGGATCTTCCCCTCGATATAAGCCAATCAGCGTTCACCAATACCTTCGATTTCGAACCTTCTGCCAATGCACTTTCATTCCAATTGTGCCACAGTACTCGATGGGAGGCCCTCTCATGTCAATTCATCCGACAGAATTTATTTTTTTCTATCTTAATTGGGCCTTCCTTCGAGTTGGTAACTCGAGTTCTATTTCCCACCTTTGCTCAAGGACCCACGATTATTCGCTCATTTGCACCATAACCATACAAGATAGCATATTCCTCACGTCACTTGGGCGAGGAATATAATACAGAGGCACGTCAAAACTCACATTCAAGAGCAGGCACAAGCATTCGGAGTGGTCCGTAGTGCGCATTCGGGACTTTGCTGCCGGCCATTGCCACCGACCATATACGGCAAGCTCACATGGGAAAGCAACAACGAAGGTTTCAAGTAGAAATTGTTGTACACATGCTAGGCGCCGGTGGTTCCCATTTCGTCGGCCGAGAGGTGGATGGGTGGTGACTGGGCTTGGACGAAAACAGAAACGCTCATCACCCTACTACCGGCTTCATGTGGGGGCTTCACATATAAGCTTCGATAATTGTGGCGCTTATATCAAACTCCCATTTGATTGCTCATTACGTTTCTGTACCTAGAATCTTTCGATATTCGCTGTTTACAGACTGACAATTACTGCGCTTATGACACGAGAAGGACGGACGTCAGCAGCACTAATTACGCTGAACAATACCATATTAAATTGTGGCCCAAGTTCTGATCTCGTTAAGGACTACAAAAGTAGCACTTTTCTGTTTTTGGGCTTACTGTCAACGACGTTGAAAACAAAAACAACTGCATTTGTTGAGGTCATCAAATGATCAACAAATCGTTGATATATGGTTCTACGATCGTAGAACAAAGAATGGGAATGATCGCCAAATCGATCTTATTCAGCTATGGGAACCGTGTTATTCGCAAATTTGCTTTTCAATCATTCAGCCTGAAATTAGTTTTAGGCTAAATGCGAATTGAAGGATTAGGTAAGCCCCAAGGAACCCTAGGACATTCTATTTGTGTCGTGTTGTTGCCATCAAGCGAGAGGAAAATCTTTGACCAGGGTACTATAGCGTTGGATGATCAGGTTAGCGTTTTTCACGTTTCACTCTTATTCCTTGTGAATGATTTCCTTGGTCCACTTGAGTAATGGAGAATGCATGATGCTGCGATGGAGTATGGTTCTTGGGAGTCACCAGATGTTAGAGATTAAGATTAAGGTATCAGTTAGTTACACTTCAAGCTTACTGTAAAGCCATAGTGGGTTGGAGGTCCACGTTGTCGGTTGTGGTTGCAAAAAGGATTCGAAAGACCGCCAGGGATGGCATTAAAATGTGAGAGGACTGATTGCCTTCACGGTAATGTGACAGAGCGAACATAGAGTGCCATCGTCAAGTTGTGACCAAGGAATGACAAGGTCCTCCAATTATTCTATTTCGCCGAAGGCAAAATCATATGGGCTCTGTACGCCAAGGCTCTCTACTGTCGCCGAAACACCAACAGTGCCTTATTCAGTGCAAAACTGATTTAGTCAACCGGTAGCTTGCACAGGTTTATCGTCACGGTTGTATTTCATAGTCGAAAATTTTGCTTCTTTGCCGTAGATGATACCTGTGTAGCTCCCTACCGCTAATGCAGAGCTTTTACATTCCATGTCCAGAGACGAGATCCGCACACAGTACTGCTTTTTCTACCTTGGTTTGAACGATACACTTGTGCTCTATAACGTAATGCTTCGGACCTCAAGCTCATAGCAGCTAAACTTTAATTCGTGGAGCCGTCAGTTCTAGTTCTTCCTAGAATTCAAGACCCAAAGAGGATTCTGCTGTGGGGTTTGGTTAGGACCCTGGCAGCGCCTCCTAAAGTTCACCCTTTTGATTCAATCATTCCACTAATTTCGCCCCAACCAAACCGACACAGCATGTCTTTTCAGCATTAGCGTCGGCTTGGGCACTCTATCCGTCTTACAGTTCGACCACAAACCCGGTTGTAATGTACCACATGATCGAGGACTTAGGTTGTTACTCGCTAGCATGCACCCAAGGACGCACCTAGAAGACACCAGGAATACACTGTGACCAGCGGAGGCGGTTCCATGCTAACTCATTTACCAGAGATAGTAGGAGTACCACGCGTCCAAGAGCCGTACCCAACCAGTGAATATCCGTGCGCCAGGGCAGCCGACCCAGCCCAGCGGGACTGTGGCTAACTACTGGTGAAGTTCATGCCTGTGGAGCCGTTGGTCTGCTGTTCAGCACTCTCAATTTGTCTTGTAGGTAATTGTTTTAGGAGCGCTTCAGTGATGCTGTTCCTTTGTCAGCGGACTGTAATCAACTGAGCCGTACGCCAACTCAAGGGGGCGGCAGGGGATGGGTATCGCTCTGTTTCGAAAGTACCGCTTAACATGAATTAATCAGTGCAAGTTTTAAGTTTTTTTTTTTGCCCACAGTCTACAAGTGTCAAGAGAGTGAGATTTGACAGATGTTCATTTGAGTTATATTCGAGTGTAAAGCATTGAGATCAACTTGCTCCTGCTTTGACTTGCACTTAATTATCCTGGTCTGGTTCCGTGGATTTAGTCACCTTCCCCAGAAATGGAGAGGCAACCGAACAGTGACGTTCGGAATGTCATGAGCCAGGATGCATGAGGCTAGAATCTGAGAGAATCTCCCCCAGAGTACAGATAAATTAACCTGTTCAAATTGATGGGACTAAAGCGTAGTCCTTTTCTTTCTTATCTCGATATTTCTTTTAATCTCTCGACCACATTACCTGCTTGGCTTTCGCTTGACAGGAATTCCAACTCGGGGCAGTCACAAAAATTGAGCCGAGATCTGGCAGGATTCGTTTCACATCCAAGGCGGCCCTCCGTATAACAATTTACAATAGCGGGCATCACGATGGTCTGGAGTGCATTGGGACAGACAAGAAGGGTTACGACAAACCTGCCCTCACTGGCTAATCTCGCTTCATTTGCAGGAAATGGCATGTGAAGTCATGAGGACCCTTCCCAAGAAAACTTCTGCCGGGCCCAAGTGTTTGCAATAAGCCCTGTTCGCAACGACCCCCAGGCGCGATGCCTGAAAATCTCTAGATCGAAACGATCGCCCCACCTCCGAGTCGCTCCATTTTGAATGCCAAGCTTTGCATTTACTCAAACTAGTATAGTGAGGATCTGCCAGGCCGATTTGGCCCACCTCTCCATAAAGCTCATCTCCATCGGGGCTTGATCTGCTTCCACACTAATGGGCCAGGCCAGGCTAGCATTGCCGCTTGTAGTTTTGAGTTTCCAACTAGTTCCACAACGGGCGTGATGGGCTTCACAGCCGGGGCAGTGTCCGGAGGGTCGGCACAGAACATTGTGACAATGTTGGCTCATGTTACCGCGACACGTCACCATCCGCAACCCTTTCACAACTCGAGAATACGGTTAAAAGGGGTTTTTTTGGGGGTTTTTTTGGGGTTTTTTTTTGGCTTGCACGAGTTTGCTTTCACTAAGACGAATGTAGAACACTCAGAATAGAATTGATAGGTAGTATATACTAAAGTCTTTCCAGGCAAGCATGAACATATATACAGTAATAGAAGTAAAAACCGCAGGGCACGGTTCTTCCGGCCCCCCGCAGAAAAAGTCAAACATCAAGTCACACAAAGCAACCAAGCTCTTTGTGGCCACATGGTCCGATACTAGTCTATGATAACCTTAAGTCTTCAGTGTCAGGACACCAGGTCGGTACGGAAGCAGGTCGTAGCTGCCAGAGTTGGCCGAAGGATCTCGACCCTGATACAACAGCTGCAGGTTGCAAGGATCGATGGTCATGGTTTGGTCGGGGTTGGTGCGGACCAAGTCGCCATGGCTGATATCGTTGGTCCAAGTGGCGCCGCTGTTCGCCTTGCCGGCGAAGGGTTTGCTCTCGCTCGTGGCTTGTGGGGTCCACGAACCGCTGAGGCTCGTGGCGGTGTATGAACGGAAGTAGCGCCCGTTTGACCCAATGGACTCAACAATCATGAGATATTGCTTGCTAGAGACGGTGTAGACTTGGACTGCCTCGAAGAGGTTGTTGGTTGTGTCGCTAAGGACAACGGTCGAAGCCGTACCGAAGCTACCAGGAAAGTTTCCGATCGGCATGCTTGCCCGGTAAATCTTGCCATTGTCTCCCGCGAAGAAGAGGTACATGTTGGTGGAATCGCCAATCAACGTTTGGTCGATAGCACCGGTGCTGCTACCTGAGATCGTTCCAGTGAAAAGGGGCTGAGCTGCCGACCAGCCATTTGCATTGACTGGATCGCTGGAAGTGCGATACGAGAAGGTGGTAGGGCCCCATTGATGTGCAAGGATCCAAGTCTTCTTGGGTGCGAAGTAAAAGATGGTCGGTGCAATCGCGGTTGACGACATCTGGTTCTGGCTGGCAGACGCCATATCGCTCCAGTTGGTAAAAGCGCCAAAGTTCATCGAACCATAGTTCGAGCCTTTATCGTGGAACGATGCGTAAACGATATGCTTTCCGTTGTAGACAACACTGGTAAAGTCCTTAATCGCAGCCCAGCCTGATTTGGGGGTCGCTAGAGCTCCAGTTGATGTCCATTGGTAGGTGGACGGTAGCGAACATGCCGCCAAAGCTGTTGTTGCTAATGAGAGGAGCATGGCTCCTGTTGGCATGTTAGAGAGCTTCATGTTGCAGGAGAGTTGTGGTAAAGTAACGTTCGAATATGGTATGGCGAACAAGATAGACCAAGATATCGCGAATCGTGAGCTCCTTTAATACTATCGTGCTCCGTACAAGTTATCCATCATATAGGGTCGAGTACACATTAGCAGGAACAAGATTGGTGCTTATTCTATCTCCGACAGTAATTTCCCTTCGCAATATGAGCCTCAACGAACTTGGCAGAATTTGTGTCATGGAGAATCCCTTTGCGACTGCGAGTGCCGGAGCTAAGACCGCCGTATGTGGCGTCGTTCCTAGTGCGGCAATGGTGGATCTCTTGTTGACGACATGGATCATTGAACTACATACGTTTGTTTCTCGGAGTCTAGCTGATCTCAACAACTCCTGACGGGCTCCGCGGTACCAAATCCAACCATGTCAGACATTCGCCATCGGCCGTTTCAGTTATAGTCTTTCAGTTGATGATCACCAAATAATCTCGTATTTCAATCCTGGTCTCTCCCAGTCGTGCCAATGAAGTTGCATGACCTTTACTTTGTTACGCAATTAGTCCGGATCATGCTTCTCCTCTAAATGTCGCTAACTAGCTCAAATGACCAGCATTAGCCGCTCATGAGCCGAGACAGGATGATATAGAGAACACATGTGGGTCGACCGAGCGGGAGGAAAATGTGTACAACATTACAAAATCTTACCCCACAAATGACAAAGCATCCGTTGGCTCCAACCTGTGGAGACAAATAAGATTTCGGGTGCACTCCGCACCTATGAGCCAATCACCAAACTCAGCCCCCAGACCGTTACGCGGATTGGGTTCAAGATGAAAATAATTTTTGCGGCCAAGTACAGGATCATGGAGTTTTCTTGTCATTCTCACATAGCTTTGTAAGCACATTCCTTGGTCAGTCGTAAGGGTAGCTATTTTGAATAAATCATGGCCATAGGTGCGCTCAAAGTGCCACGGCGGTAAGGTTCAAGATTCCCTGATACGTGGCGCGTACGCACTTAAGTCGTTGATGTCGTTTGATATTGTACAAAGTAAATTAATCTAGCTTCGAAAGGTGCGTAGGCCGGATAGAAGCCGGCGGTGACGGAGTATTGTATCATGCCATAATTGATAGAACTAGGTGGAGTATTTCCTCCGATCCGAGCTCGACTTCAGCAGGTTTTAGCAGTTCATTCAAAGCGACACTAGCTCTAGGACTGTAACTCTAAAACCCTTGTTTTCTTCCACAATGTCAATAACAGCTACTGGTCATTCAGGAGCCTGAGCTCGTACCGAGAAACGCCAACTCATATACACAGAGCTACAGGGTCGTAGTAGGCGAGTACTGCAATTTACTGATCACAGACTTGAGGATCCATGTAATCATCGAACAAATTTTGAATACGATTGCCGGCTCAGATCAGAGGAACTCGGTTAGTTGCGGCTGGTATTTAGGCCGAAGCCAAGACAATAAAGATCAGTTAGCCCTTGCAATTTGAACACTACATTTTTTTCAAGCTACAAACACGTTACTATCCAAACTTCCTACACAATTCAAGTTGCGACCACGTAATGGAATACCCAACATCGTGCTTTTAACTGCAAATAGAAGAGATAGCGTTTCAGTTGACCGACATGGTCCAGTTTGAAATAGTGAAGGTCGCGGGACCTCCTGTGAAAGGCTTGGTGCCGAATTGCGCAACTGTGTTAAAATTTGTGGTCAGAAAAGTTCTCCTCAGTCTGAATAAATATAGCCCTCTTGTCTCACGGGTAAAATGACAGAAAACAGGAACTAGAGGTATGGGAAGAGCAATACTTCCTGATGAGAAACTGGCTGCTGGGTGGGAAGCCGCGGTTGTTCGAGACGTAGTTGAAGAAGTTCCTGAAATTGACACACCATGAATTAGTATAGCTTTGGGTAACGAAGCTGTAGATGCGCATGGCGCCGTTGTAGCCGTCCCACACGTTCCAGTTGACACCGTTCAGATTGGCTGTAGTGACCTAGGAGCCGATTGGCTGGACGCTGCCGAGCTGGCCTGGCCAAATCTTGAGCTCGTAAAGCCTGAGCTGGGTTAAGGTTCGAAGAGGTGAAGAGGTCATATGCGACATCAGCGAGTAGGTTGTCACCAGTGTAGCTCCATGACGCCGAAGTTGAAATACTGCTAATTTGGCTGACAAATGCGCTTAGAAGAGAGGGTCTTGCCTGCGTATGGGTATGACTTGACGTTATTTGTTCCGCCAGACCATTGCCAGTCGACATAGAAGTCAACACCGCTCGTGCTTGTCCTATCGATGGATGTACAACCACTGCCAAATCCGGCGTCCTTGCCCCACCATGTTGTTATTAAAATAGTAGCCTGAATGGAATTGGGACTAGGGAGCCAGTTCGCATATATAGACATTTTCTCTGCATTTCCATGTGAGTACGTACTGTTAGATGCTGAATAGCCATACTGGTCGCATTGGCTTTGGGCCAATCGTAGTGATGGTAGGAGGCCAAGGATATCGAACGTGACTCTCATCTTTTCTACTTGATATGAGAACAGCGAAAGTCTTTCTTTGGCTTTTTCGTTTCGTGTCCTTGGGAATATCTTGTGCTGAAGGAATGTATTGTTCGAAACCTATCAGTCGTGAATTTTAGGTATTCACTTCTGGATAATATATTCGTGGTAAAGTCTGATTTTGTACGGCATTGGGCTTTATTGAAGCTTGGACAGCCTCATGAAGCGGAATGGTACCTAACAATCGATTGATAATATTCATTTGTGCTTCCTCGGTGATGCTCCGTGATACTAGCGCATCTCGTACGGATCAAACTTGGCCAAATTGTTAGATTATAAGTTGATGCGAACGAATTGGAGGACCGCTGGTGCCCCCCGCGGTCCTAGAAAATCGGTCTACAAAGGTCCGACAATTCGTTATGCGCCGGTTAAAATTAGTTCGGTACTGAATTCGGTACCGCGTCCTCTCAATGCTTAAACCTAGCCCATTGTGTTAAGATCTCTGGGAGTTTCAAGAACACTCACGTAAGGCACAGGAGAACTGATAAGTGAAATTATAACATCGAAGAGCTGTCCTTCTTGGAAACGGAAGCGTTACCACACTTCGGCTATCTACGCGGTAATTGTGCCCCGTGAAAACAAAAATTGTCCATCATAGCTAAGAGCATTGATGAACTGTCGATCACAAAAATGGGTTATATCAATACCAATAACAAGTGTTTGACTCCAAAGACTTGGAGTTCTGAGACGTTCTGTTACTAGTGCCTTCTAAGTGTAAAGAGCAAGCTGAAATATTTCTCTGATTCCGGCTTGCACACTGATCTAATACCTGGTCGCTTGCCATCATGATTCTTTTCCCAAGCAGTTCTAGTTGCTTGGATTATCATCTCAGCAAAAGTAAAATCCTTCGCTCACTAAACTCTAAACTTGAAACCAGAAAAGCTTGTTCGCTGACTAGACTAGTTTAGAATCACAAATGGATTTAAAGTTGGTTAAGCATAAAGATATCGTCTAAAGCTTGACAGTTGTTGTGGGCATCCTCGGATCCAGGAACGACGGCAAACGTAGCTGTATAAGTTTTCAGCTACTGGCCGCTTATATTTGTCTCGGTCTGGTCTTTAATAAGCTTTGTTGTGGCACAATCACAGGAACATACACGAGACCAAATGTGGATGCATTCATGACATGAGTCTGAGTTGTGGGGCAAAACGGTCGCAATACCGGGACGCAAGCCCGGATTGCAGACTTCTGCGATGAATAATAAAGATCTAGTGTTCAAGCTATAATCCATGTTCGTCGGCCCGCCTATCCAATGCTCTGTGTATATAATCGGAACGTGCATGCTCGGGGCGCGACAAAACGACCTGACTGCTTCGTGGCGGCGTTGGCGCCGCTATGCAATTCAACCCTCTGTCGAACTGGTACATTTACGTCAACTATTCTTGATCAACCATTTGAAATTTTACTCTCTATTTCCATTTTTCTATTTGGAAATTCTGCACAACTATTGATTACTGGGGGAAAAAAAAAAAGATATCCTTCAGTGTTGTTCTCATGGGATTTTTGGTTGGTAAGCGATATTTGATACTTTATGAACTAATATATCTCGATAGAGAGAGGAAAGATCCGACGCTTGTCCAATAATGCTACCTTGGATCTAGTCTATCAGAAACGCGTGGATGCATATCCATTAGAAATACGGCGTGGGCCTGATGGACCCGAAGAGCTGGTGATTGGAGCGCTAATATCCTCAAAAACTTGGATGTAATATTCTTGAATTATCCCTCGCTGTATCATCTGTCGTTTTCTTCTTGGACTTGTTCTTGTTGTGCGGCTCTGGTACTTGGTTTCATAATAAAATAGTGGAACGGAACGCTGAATGCCACTTTCTGCTTCAAGGGTAAGTTTTCATTCTTGTTCCAACGAAGCAGCAATGATATTCTTGGATGAACCCGGTCGAAACTGAAGCCCGAAAGAGAAATCTACAGCGAATTGTGGCTTCATGCAACTGCGCGGGTGCTAGTAGGGTTGATGCACGGTGGGGTAGCACATGTAATATCAGCCGGCGCGGGTAAATACAAAATGTCGTTGACGATTGCAGTATGGCTCATGCACATAATCAATCCTTATGCACATGATAAATATTGATATCAGAGACGGTCGCGTTTTGGTTTCAGGATCCAGTCACGTTGTGCTCGATCTTGGTGACCTGCATCATGAAGCTGGGTATCTCGATTACAAGGTGCACAGGTCTTGTTACTCAGGGAGTCAGCACATTGCGGAGCAACGGACACGATAAGACGTGTAGTGAATCCGGCCATGGCCATGAACTTTACAAATATAAGCATTGAGCTCTGTATCTGGAAATGATTGAATTCTCTTTCAACTCATCTTAGTAAAATAGCTGCAACATAGCTGCACATTACAATCATGATTGCGCTTGCCGTTGTATTTACTATTTTGGCAATGGCCCCCTGCCACGCTGGTGATGTCCATGGTCCTCACACAACTCAACCCAGGGCGACAAATGCCCTCACTTCCACAATTCAATATTGGGCGAACGATTTTGCGAATCTAAATTGGACGAGCGGCGCAGGGGGGCAGTATAAGGTAGATTGGAACAACGGCTTTGGAGGAGATTTTGTGGTTGGAAAAGGTTACAGGCCAGGGGGTAACATGTAAGTGTTTTTTCTTCCAATGTTGTGTAACGATTGGTCGAGAACTCATGGTAAAACAGCTTATTCAATTACTCAGGATCTTTTGAGGTCTCTGGTAATGCATACCTTTCCCTCTATGGATGGACCACCAACCCGCTTGTCGAGTACTATGTGATTGAGTCGATGGGCAGTCATAATCCTTCGGACAATGCCAGTGCGACTCGATACGGTATGGTTGAAACCGATGGTGGAAGCTATGAAATCTGGTCAAAGATACGGACAAATGCCCCCTCTATAATCGGTACTGCGACTTTTCCTCAATATTGGTCGATCCGGACAAAGATGAGGTGTGGAGGCACCATCAACACTAGCAACCACTTCAAGGCGTGGGAGTCCGTTGGATTGGAGTTGGGCGATCAGAACTATATGGTAATAGGTATCGAGGGACAGCTGGGCCGCGGTAAGGCAGATATTACGGTTGGCGTTCTCCCCACTGCCCCAGTTCCCGAGACACCAACACCTACGCTGCGGACTGAAACCCATACGTTAACGACCTCGAGCATCAAGACAACTTCCACGTCGACGCGCAAAACTACCACTTCTACTCCCAAATCCAGCACGAAGACGACATCGACCAAAGGGCAGTCATCACCAACAAGTACATTAAGTACAGTGACCGCTACATTAACAATGGATGCCTAGCTGTCACTGATATTAAAGTTACATGTAAAGACCCTTACAGAATGATTAACAGGTCTGACATGAAGTGATGGTTTGTTATAGGGTGGAGTAGGGTGTCAAAGTTTACAAAGGGGTCGGGCCCGGTCAGCACGTAAGCGACTTTGCCCATTCAATTTTGCTCGTCGAATCCGTCCATACATATGTTGGCGAGGAATAAAATGTTGTACTTGACGTTTTGCTCAAATTTCGCGCTCCGCCTATCTCGCATTTGGAAAATCTTTTCTCGGAGTCTTTGCGTATCTTAGGCCATTAATTTCAAGCTTTCTGACGCCATAGAGCAGCACTTAGGTCAATTATTCAATATAAAATGTTTGGCCTGCGCCGTGTTTGAGTATGACATAATTACCAAGTGACCCCAGCATTGATGGCTATTGACATCAGCTTACGCAGTTCACCACAGAGTGAATGGGTGCACCTTTATATTCGGCAATCTGCATTGCCATTAGCCGCACCAAACTACTGCCGGCCTAGTAAATGCCCCTGAACTTACAATATACGGAAGTTACCGCACCCACTCCCGCGACCGCTGCGCCAATCGCTTTATTGCCTGCCACTTTGCAATCAAGCGCAATCGCATATTCCATTGCTAAAAGGTATATCACCGGGTACTCCGCGTTACACTGCAGAATGTAGGCGTCCCTTGCAGCTTGTAGACTACAGTTGTACCCGAAGAAGAGCGGGCACCTATTTGCCCTAGCTCTCTCAAGGTGACTACACACAAGCTAAGCTTACTCCCCTCCCCCCTTCCAAGTTTGAGTTGCGGGTGGACACACGTCAACTAAGCCATCATGGTCCGTGGTATACCTTAACTAAGCTATGCTACAGGGTTTTTTTTAAGGGTTTGTTTGGCTATAACCGTTACCCTTAACCAATCGTCAGCTATAACCATTATCCTAAGCCACTTAGATATAGCTATCATAAAATTAATTCAAAATCGATCCTAAGTACACGTAAAGTTCTCTTTTACCATAGCATAAAGATATCATCATCTTAATATAAACGCATCGCGAAAATATTAGGTAGCTTAGATAAACAGCCGCAGCCAATCAAAACGTTCGTGACTCCTACAGCAAAGGTCAGTTGAGGTGTAAAATGTTGTTGCGCCTCACTTGAAATTAAAGGTTGCATAGATGGGGAGGGAGAAGGCTCAGCTCGTCGGGATTCACATCTCAAGCAATGTTGTGAATACCCGGTTCTGATGCTGATGCTTAAGCCATCACCCAGAATCTCTATCATAGCTTGATGTTACAGAATATGTCAGATCCAGTCGTCAAGAAGAACAAGCCGTGAAACGTATAACTAAAGTACGAGAATCTCGTTAATGATTCTAATCCTCATAGGGAACACGAAATATCTACTAAAGCGAATACCTTGATCGCCATTGTGTTGACATTTTAACATCATGTAGAACGAAGATGACTATTAACTAAGCAGAATCAAATGTATTGAAACCACCAGGTAATTTCAACGAATTGAAAAAAGAGATGTTTGACTGTGTCATTGTGAGAATGTTCTCTCAGCACGAAGACAGTTTACTTTGGAGCCGCCGGCCACTTGTCCAAGACGATCTCAGTACCCGTCAAGCTCAGTTTCAAAGTTGTCCGCGTTGGCTGGTCAAGCAACAACTGGTAATCACCAGGGTAGATTACGGCATTTCCATCAGCATCGTGTCTGGCCAGGTTACCAATCGTCCAGGGGAGCTTTGCTTGTGCAGTAGTACCAGCTGAAATGTTACGCAGACGGCCATATGTAACCAGAGTCTTGATAGGGTAAGGCTTGGGGCCAACCTCCCCAGCGACGAAAATCAATGCGACGAAGTCGGATGTCATGTTACCCGTGTTGTGGACTTGAACGGGTAGCGTGGGCAAAGAGCAGGTGTCAGGGTGTGCGTCGCTACAGCCAGCGAGAAGGTCCTGGATCGAAAACGTAGTGCTGAAGGAACCGAAGGTGGCATTGAAGCTGGTATAATGCAGACCTGTACCGAAAGCCTGCACCGGTGTTGGGTACCAGCGGTAAGTTCGACCAGGGTTTGATTCACTCGGGCGAAGACTCATGTCCGTCATCGCCAAGGAAGTATAGTTTGCCGGGTATTGCGTCAATGGCAGACGTCCGGCTGGCGCCTTTGACCCCGTTACGATGTTAATGACAGCTGTACCACCGTCTTGGCCGGGCCAGCTGGCCCAAAGGATAGAGTTCAAGCCTGGCATAGTCAAAAGAGGCGTGTTATCAAGTAGATCGCCCATCTGAATGACGACCAACGGCTTTCCGAGAGCTGCAAGCTTCTGGAGGAGCGCAATCTGTGCCCCCGGCCAGGCAATTGACGTCCGGTCAGATCCTTCGGCAGCGGCTGACGTATCCAAACCTCCAAAGTACAGAATGACATCGGACTTCTGGGCTGCAGACACTGCATTAGCCGTCCAGTTATCTCCGCTATTTTGCAAGATGGGACCAGTCGAAATGTTGACGGTATAACCCAACTTGCGAGCAGCGTCAGCCGGAGTACGAAGGTATGCAGCATTGCCACTGTAGCCACCTTGCAGCTTGCTGGAATCGTTCGCCCAAAAGCCAATCAACGCGGCCTTGGAACTAGATGAAAACTTAAGAGGTAGCGTTTGGTCATTTTTAAGCATGACAATACCATCAGTTGCAGTCTGAAGTGCCAAGCCTTGCGCCGTAGGGGTATTAATGTCCGAGGCGCTGAGAGAAGCGTACTCGGCCTTTGCTACGTCGAAGTATCCAGCTCTTATTAGCCCTTCGTACAGCCGGACCAGAGCCTTGTCGACTGTGGACTGGTTCAGAGCACCGCTGTTCCAAGCTCCGGGGATGTCCGACGAACCGGAGTATTCACAACTACTATCCATGCCAGCATTGAAGCACATAGCCGTGCCTTGTGCGTTCGATGAAGTGTAGTGGTGGTTTGCAGAGACATCGACTACAGCCTCGCAGTCGCTGGTGATATAATTGTTGCTTTCAGTCCAGTTCCAGTGCTCGCGAAGAATAGTCTGCATGATGTAGGAGTTCGCACACGCGGGGACTCCGTTAATGCTATTATATGAACACATGATGGAGCCGACCTTGGAATCTCTAGCGCATTGCTGGAACGGCTGCATATAATACTCGGCTAGGTCTTGCGGTGTAATTTTCGCATCAAAATTGTGGCGAGTAACACCACCCCATGCCTCCAAATCGTATCCGACGTAGTGCTTGCAAGTGGCGATGATTCGCCTTTGTGTCCTGTTGCCCTCCAGTCCACGAAGAAAACTGGCAGTATACTTCTTGATGCGAGTGACATCCTCGCCCGGAGTCTCTGAGCCTCGCCCCCAGCGTGGATCACGGTATGGGTTGATATCGGGAGTCCAGTAGTCGATACCAGCATGGTTATTATTACCAAAAGCGCGGGCCTCCGTCCCGATAACAACACCAACCTTTTCGATAAGGTCATCGTCAAAAGCCGCAGCCATGAGAATGGGCATAGGAAAGGACGTCGCCTTGTTGAAGTCTCCGCCAAATGAAACACCAGGAGCTCCCGCCACGCCGTGGAGAGCCTCGCTCCACCAATTGTATGCCGGAAGACCTAGGCGAGAAACTCCGGGAGATTTGCTTGAAACTGTTAGTGCCTAGGTGTAGAGAAGACGGACGGCAGTACCTAACAAGGTTCGCGAGTTTCTCGCTGGATGACATGGCGGACACTAAAGCCGTCGCCCTATCCCGAGGCGATGCAGTTTGGTCACATACTTTGTTCAACTTCAATGCTCCATTTCTGCAGTCTGGCAATACGCCAGCAAGAGTTTCGGTGGCGAAGAGGCCACATAGGCCCAAAACTAAAAGATAATTCATCTTCGGCCGTTAAAGAAGATGATAATAAGACCAAGTAGACAAAACCTACTCGAAGAGCGACTTCAACAAAGCGATGCAAGCTCTCTATAAGCAGCAGCTCTGTTGTGGACCGTTGTTCATTTCTTGAAAATCAGTCGACCGCTCTTGCAAATCTCGAAAACGGTCATAGCTTTATTGCTACAGCGGGTAAAACGTTGACCTTTTCGCTTGATGATATCGTAGTGCAGATAATGCTAGACCGATTTCCCCGTTGATTCGAGCGGATGTATGATATTTAGGCATTTACGCCTGTTTCCTCATCTTGGGTAACATCCTTGATCTACAGTATCGTTGGTAGATCTTAAACTTGCGGGGAAATGAAATCACTATAACAGGACGCTGCCGCATGAATCAAAGCTCATTTTTACTACCGCAGACGTACATTAAACTACCGAAATGGGATAGCGGGGTGACGTCGAAATAAAGCTTTCGGGCCAATTTCTCGCACACCCCGAGGCATTACTTAGGTCCTGCAGACAACGTAGCATTAGCCTAGGCGATGCGCTTGAAAGGGACGCGGCCCTTTCGGATCCGATCCGGTGGGACCTGGAGAGAATCCTGGCTCATGACCATCCCAAGTCAGATCCGAAACCTCCGGTATGGTCAAATCAATCACCTCTCCACTTCATACAGTCATTAACCTCACTCGCTGTTTTATTGAATGGCGATCTTGTGGTCTCATAGGCCATTATCATTGTAAGCCAGTATGATTATCAACCCCCCATATCTAGTCCATTAGTAAGTACCTCACTTGAATGAGCCGTTGAACCAAATTCCCATCATCTTGTGACTATCTGACAACAGTACCTAGCGCAGTGCTATCAGATGTGGCGGTGAGCTGTAACGATTACACTATCGGGTTGCAGAACTACAAGGATAATATAACAGGTAGGGTTTATGCTAACAAGGTATGCTAGCCACAAAGATAAGACTATAGGAATAGACCGTAGAGTATATTGAGCAAAGATGATTAGAATGATGTTACAATGATGTTATTGGGATGTTGCCATACTAAAAGTGGTTAACATTCCTGTTGAACAAGGCCAGGACTTGGGCGCAGACAGAATCCAGGAGACACCTGTCAGTAGAAGGCTTGGCAACCATTACTGTGATTGGATAGTGGCATAGTGAGGTCACGTAAATGAGCAGTGGTTTTCAGTGTATAAACACTGATCAGGAACTACACAGCTCAGTAGTGATTTGTGTACCTCTACTAATCACAAGTGAGAAGAATAATATCAGTAAAGAAATGAGTGGATATGATAAGGACGGGATTTCCCACTCTAAATAATCAGTCATGACTTCAGTGATCAATTTGAGCATTTATCTTACCCATGCTTAAAGTTAATGTTTTGACGACTACACTTGTAAACAATATTTGTTTAATATACTTTGAGGTTTATTATTATCATGTACCATCGATGCTAGCGTGCACTATTAGCATAATTGTCACATAATTGAAACTTCTGTATTTAATATTAATATTTATCAGCATAGTTACTCGGGCTGTTAAATGTACCTTATATTGCCGTATAGAAATCTAATTTGATTATTACCTTTACTTTTTACTTTTATTATCAAAAAGCCACACATGTAGTAGAAGTATGAACCTCCTGGCATAGGAGGCTTTGGATGATACAAGGTTGATAATGGCTGACGATGGTTGAATTGGACGATAGTCTGAGACCACTCGGGCTGAGTCTACACTAACTCACAAATGCGAGAAAGAAGACTGCTTGAACTCTGAAGATTGTTGAACTCTGAAGACTCATTGAGCATAGTATTTAGCAGACAAATCACAAGCTTCATGTTGATCACTCTGAAGACCATAGTCGATATGCGGGCATCCATCTTTGTCCTTCGACAGCGAATTATTATAGCAGGCGCAGCTGCAACCACACCTCTTTAGTCAATGCAAAATCCATCGGATCAAGCAGCCGAGAAAATCAGTTTGCTTCAATTCAATGCAAATTTCAATATTGAGCAGAGCCTTGATTCTGACGAAAGTCCTGTGCCAAGCAAACGACCTCAAAGCGTCACGAATGGTACTTTGACTGGAAAATTCGGAACCGTATGAGCTGCGTGCTGATAAGTTCCACAGGGATTACTGTCCAAGAAAGGACGCCAAAACTATATCATGGCGGCAAAGTGCCTTCAAAAGAAGCCTCATTAAAGCAACCCGCATTCAGTACCTGGTGCGAGGAGTAGACTTGACGATTTAAGTGCTACACATATCATACTCACTCTACAAGTGCACTTCGGTGTAGACCTGATCGGCGCCTTTTGAATTATGGCAATCGAGCTAATCATAGTAATTCAAGGTCTCTTTCTGGGCTTTCATCGCTACCTTATTGAGCTTTATAAGAATGCTCTTCAAGACTTGTGTGGCTACAAGTCCAATCTACAATACGAATGTCACAGATGCGATTGCCGCTACGCCCAAAGTGATGTGTTGAAATGGCATGTTGATTTTCATCCTTCCTTGGCTAAACCACCACGCTTAATTCGTCTTCTGATAGCGTTGAGCGGCAACAACAGCATAAGCCAAGCTGTCCATAGCGGCGTCGGGCCTACTCACGGGGCGGGGCGACGACCAGAGCTGCTGCCAAATCAAATCAGATTTATTTGATGAATTATAAATTGGCGTAAACTGGGCAAATCATCCGGCTCGGCCTAGTTTATAAATAAATCGTTTAATAGCACCGATTTATAAATTAATAGCCGTTTCGGTGATAAAAAGTAACCCGTTATAGGTGAAAAGTATATAGGAAGCTACCCTTTGCCGTAATGATTTCCCGTGAACTGTTTATATTAGATGATTCTACGAATGGTGATAACTTTTGGTGTTTTGTTTGCCATAGAGGGAACGGTGATCTGCGTTGAAATACGAGAATTTTTCACCAAAGCTGGCCTGTTAATTGGCCTATAGCAAACTTTAATATATCTCAGAAAAACCATAATAATAAGTCGGATTTACTTACCATTTAGCAAATAATAACACTTATCAATTATAACTATAACAACTTAATTGAGTAAAAAAGCTTTACGTAGTCAAGATGGTCTATATAGAATAGAGGGCATAAGACTGCTAAAAAGCAAGTGCTCAAAGACGTCAACCCGTTGCTTTAGTGGCACGACCACGCTAGCTAGTTTCCCTGTCTCTACTAAATGGCCGTGGATCTTCTCTTAATCTCCGCTATAAGCGCTAAAGTTGAACGGCTTTTCAGTAAAGGGAAGTTATACATGACCGCGTAACGTCAATTAATAGAACCAGATACGCTTCAAGCTATTGTATGCATACGGCGTTAGGTGAAGGACTTCAAGGAAGGTAGTGTTTGTTAAGTAACGCGTAGTTGTTTACGATTAAAACAGTGGTCAAAAGCGTGTTGACGCGGAGGATCCTCGGAACGGAACAAAACTCGGATCGTAGGAAGCTCTCTGATTAGCCCGGAGCTTTTATTCCGCTTTGGTTTATAAAGTGTGGTATACAAATAAATGAACTTGACCAATTTGCGATATTAGCGTAAATCAAAGAAATCAAGAGCTTCAGTTTGATTTATTTGCTTTGTCAGCAGCTCTGGCGACGACTTACCTGAGATGGACATGTCCACGGCACCGTGTCCGGATCCATACTTTCGCAAGCATCGCGCATCGACGAACCGTGCGATTTGGAAGAAGTCGGATTGTATCACTTATAGTGGTGAAGCACAAGACAAGACAATTGTATTCAAGCGGTCATATAAATCATCAGTATATCCATATTATATCCCGCTTTACGATCTCAAGTAGGTTATTCGTCTTCCTACTTTCGAGCGACTTGTATGATAGAGTCGTGGCGGCGGGGTGTATAGGTGTCAATGCGCTGTATCTTTAATCCTGCCGAATCCAATAGCGCACGCCACTCTTTGAGAGTGCGCTCACGCGAGCCAAGGGACGACATCATGGTCAAATCAATCGTAGTTGCCTCCCATGTAACGCCCACGTTAGGCAGAACCATCTCGTCAATCAAAATTTGCGATTCCGAACCCAATGCGATGCTGATCTGGCTGAGGATTTCAATACATGTCTCATCTGGCCAATCGTGCAGGACGTTACGCAAGTAATAGAATTTGGCTTCTTTGATGGGCTGGGGCTCGAAAAAGTTATGCGCCAACTTCTCGATTCCATCAAGTTGCGCTACAAATGGTGGCGGTAGGTGTTCCAGAGTCTGGGGGAGATCTTGAAGGACAATCTTGTCCTTCAGCTGTGGGTAGGCCTGCTTTAGAGCGACACATTGGTGACCGAACCCACCTCCGATATCAACAAACACGTGACGCCCAGCAAAGTCGCTCAACTCCTTCTCAAAAGGAAACACCGAGAACCACGGGACGGCGGCAGCGCCTTGAACCATCATAACTTGCTGGAGCGGGCCAAAGCGCTCCGGTTGTGTTGGTAGCCATTGGAATGCAGGCAAGTCAGTCGGAAATGCCGTTTGAAATGCAGTCTTCGTTGCATCAGTGATGTCTTGATACTTATTCCCTGCGAGAAACGCTGGAAGCGCTTGGAAGACAGGTCCACAATTGTCGAAGAAATGATATATACCACCACGATAGCCTGGTTGTGCTAGAGTATGAGTTTGACCATTGGCAGTAAAGGTATCTTCACCTGACTCCTTGATCAAGTTCACAGACGCCAAGTAGCGCAAGAGTCGGCCTATTATTGACATGAGTTGCCGAATATCAAGATGAGGACGAACTTACCAAGAAATAGTGGTGCAGCATTCGTCTTGGCGGCTAAATCCCCAACACTCCACGACTGCCTTCTCTCAGCTAGAATCTCAAACAATTTCAAGTCCTCACCAATGCGAGCTGCAGCGATTTTGAGATGCTAGTTCGGGCGTCAGCGACGATCAATATTGGAAGTAGTGTGTTGATTATTCACCAATCCCGAAAAGTGCGATAATGTGTCATGTGGTGTCTCTAGCGATGACTGGATGTCGCGAAGACCATCAAGCAACCTATGACGGCCGACATCGTCAGCCTGTGTGGCCAAGGCGCGGAGCTGTTGCAGAATGAGATCAATGGTATCCATGGCCTTTGGAATGCTTTGATTTCTACGAGTCTCGACTTCCATGTACAATCGAGTTGCTTCGAGACTTTTGCAGCTGCAGGACTGAAGTATTTATGCACATTAATTGGAGCTGTAGTGAGGCACAGGCGGGCTAGCGGACAGCCCAGAATCCTTCTCGGAACAATCCCAAGGAATCTGCCGAATAGGAGTATCGTATGAGATCCAGGCGGCGCAGTCGTGCTCCAATAGGTAACGGCATATCGCTACTACAGATTAAGCTTCATTTGGCCAGGCTCTCAAGCAGCCATGTGCAACCACCGCCAACTCCCCGGGTACGTACAGCCAGAGTTCTGTTCCTCCTCAAACCCGCAATCAATGCCATAAAATTCAACACGTAGCTTAGCCAACATAAAATCGACGTATCACTGTGTACGCAGCAATCACCCAAAAAGAACAATATAGGGGCTTATGAATAGATAATAGTGACAAAAGCATCATCAAGTGGCTGGGTTACCGTAGTTGCAACCACCACATTCAATCTTGAGCAAGATGATATGTCCGGCAAGGTCGCCTTAGTTATGCGGATCACAACCTGTCGATTAACACAAGTACATGACGTGTATTATGTTATACCGCCGTCCCAACAGTTTGGGGGAGCTTCTGCGCAGCCTTAGGGAATGGTTTCGTCTCAACTCCGGCTCAAGAATATGCAAAATCTACCCTGGCGAGTTTGCGTACAACAGGCCGTTCCCAGTTGTAGCCACCGCCAAATGTGATAACCGCCGAGACAATGGAAGCTTCATTTTCCATGCCAAAAATTACATATTTTTAGTTTGAGGAGCAGTTTGCAGGGATTCCAAACAAAGAAAAATATGACGATACCCATCTGTGCAGTGTCGACGACCCAGGTAGGTAGACTACCCCGTCTTGAATCATGGTGCGAGACGGCTCTAGACAGTAGGTTTGCAGACCTGTTGCAACTACTCCACACCAATGAGAGGGCGCTTTTGGGCGAGTATTTGGTTAAAACAGGTAAGTGGACTCTTCTTCCACTGAAGAGAACGCAGTGCCACTTCCGATCAGCTAGAATTTCTGTATACAGCACTCCGCTATAACCATGGTCAAAGATATATTTTTTGGTGGGAAAGAGTACTTGTCACGCTTGTATCCTATAGTTAACGATATAGATTTGCTTTGTACTAGCGCGATTCATTTCCTTACATCTATACGAAGACTTTGCTCAATCTGCGCATGTTCTTTTATAATAAAAGCGCTGGTTTGTTAGAGATGGGAAATTCAAGCAATAGTTGAGAAGGCAAAAGAAATTATTGAAAACAAAAAAGATGGAAAAAGATTTTTTTATTGTGACTGCATGCAATATAAGCTTCCTCCGTTAAATTCTACAAGTGTATAATATAGTGTACTTACCTTCTTGGCCCAGCATTCTTCCGCCTTCTAAGAATAATTTCCAACCAAATTTCTATCAAATCGATATTTTGTTTTTGGTGTAGTCCCTTCGAAACCAACCAAAGACTCATTGCAACTGCAAAACTAGTTGATATATTTGTTCGTTCACCTTCACATAGAGGGACTCTCTCGTCCACGACTCCTCGCATTTATACCCCACAATGTCGTCCAAAATGTCCCATAACCACTACGAGGTGATGTATGTCGAGCCCAGCTGCACACGAGATGAGATCCACAAGCAGTACAAATATCTTGCATTGGTGTGGCATCCAGACAAGAAGCGCGTCAACCTATACGCGACGGTGCAATTACAGGAGCTCAACGAAACCCACCGGGTCCTGGACAATCCTAATAAGCGCGCCCTGTACGACCAACTACTCGGTTATGTAGCAGACATATGCGCCAGAAACTTTGTATCCGAGGAAAGCTCTCACGGTCACGGAGCCCAGGACCCGCACAGTCGAAAAGACTGTAGCAAACTTCCCCTGGGCAGTAACAAGTTCGATGCAGAGCCAAAATAGAGATTCCAAGACGAAAAAGACGAACAAGGTGGCACGAGGCCACAAGAAAGCCCACGCCGCATGGGAGAAGCGCAATAGTTTCGATCCAGGATCAAATCGTTTCACCAATATTGCCCGCTGTTCGCACGGATGCTGTGCCAGCGAGGCGGCGGCCGGTTGGAAAGATCCGCCGGCCTATCAGGTACTCAAGAGAACAGAACATGCAAAATACAAGGTCGATGCCATAAAGCGACTACTGGTTCGGGGGGCCCGGAGGAGGATCTTGTGTGATCGATTAAGCGAGATTATGCCATTCTGAAGGCGATCAGCAAGTCCGGATGTCAACTGATGGATGAAGCCGCCAGCAGAACTGCCGGCGACTATGACATTCATGCACCGATCGTCGAAAAATATGGTAGAGGTATTTCCAAAAAGGTGGCGTATTATTTCCTCCAAAGTATAAAGTGCGACAACAGTGGTATGCTCCCCCTTGGTTCCAATGCTTGGGAGGATCGTGACTGGCCGCGGCTATAAGACGTTGGCGTCAGATACAGAACCGGACGACTTTGACACTAGCAACGCATCCTCGAGTGATCAACAGACCAGCTATTCTACCGATGTCGTTTCTTATGAAGGAGCCCTAGCCCAGAGCTCAGTTGACGGAATCCGACAGAACTATCAGCTATTCATCGAATAGCTTGCAGCGACACAGGATCGAGTAACACAGAGCCTCTTCGCACAGAACTAAAGGCTCACTCGAGCCTCTGCTATGCTGAGTAGTCATGCAAATTTCAAGCCAGCCAGAGATATTGGCACAAGGGAGTATTTTCAAAATAAAGTGTTTGCCAAAGCTGGAAGTCCTCTTCACCGTGTGCCCTACAAAATCTCATCATCTTCACGCACTTCATAGAAACGAAAATAACGATCCACTCCAACAAAGATACCCTCATCTTCAAATAACACTGCATGGATGTCTTGGCTATTCACCGTCTCCAAATCCACCATACTCGACATCCATAACTCTGTTTATCACTACAGCGGTCACCGGTCTGCGGCCTGGTGTCTGTTTCACATGGCGATTGCGATATGTTTACTTAGATGATCCCCTCGATGTATGCCAACCCCTGAGCAATAACCCAGGGGATTTTGACCTGCGTCCATAGAGTCTTCCATACGGAGCTCCACTTGAGTATTTAGGCAATCTCTCAAAGAGGCGAACCCGAAAGCATTTTTGATCACTGGCAGGGGACTGTGACGTGGTTGTTTGGTGCGAAGCCATCGGACTCAATGATGGCAAAATAACGACGTAGATTTCCTCCAAAGCTGACATGGCTTCTAAAGTATACTCCAGGTAACGGAAAGAAATGCACACAAAGATTCATCAGTAACATCCAGTAGAGCAACACAGAGTAATCAGTATCATACTGCTATGTTTACATTTAATCTTGATTATATCCTATAGTAATACTCTGTGTATCTTGTTGTTATTTTGATGGATTACTGCTCGTTGAGGCTAGCCAGGCAATCCACTGCAAGTTCTACGAAACAAATACCAACATGTCAATTATCAAGGTATCAAATGACAGAGCATTTGGAGTGGTTGTAAATCAAATTTTAAGGAGATCTATGGATTAAGCTACTTAAATCAAAACGCAACGCCTTATAATGCCGCTGAAAACACAGCCGTGAAACAATATGCACCCAGTTTACTCGCCGCCATTTCAGCACTCGTACCTGACGTAGAACCCATTGTTCTCGTCCTGGTCCATGTAAACGTTTCGGTACTCCTTAGAGTCGCTATCTGCGGGAACCTTGAGTGTCTCAAACTTAATGTATATAGTCTCTCTGCAGTCCAGCGACCAGGAGCCGTGGTTAGTGCTCCCGTATTCCGGCAGGTCCCAGCTGGTGAAGTCGGGGCCAGCTTCTTTTCCGACAGTCTTTGCGCTCTTTACATCTGACCAGGAGACGCCATCCTTGGTGTTGAGGTCATCCAACTGCCAGGCCGAGACCAGTCCATTGCCAGTGACTTTGAAAGTCCGCTTGTTAGCATCGCCTTGGTGCCAACCCAGAGAGCAGGACTTCGCGTCGGCTGGGATGCCGGTAAAGACGCCCACTTCGTTGACGTCCATGTCGCCAGAAATGACCTGGAAGTGGGGAACAGTGGTCTTGGTGCGGGTATCAGACTCGAGCGGTGCCACGACGTACATGACGCGTTGGTCCTTGGTCGTAGTGCTATTCTTACAGGTTGTCTGTGTTGGTGGGATTGATTCTGTTGGCGGCACTATGCAGGGGTCGGATGCAAAGCAGCCGTCGTAGATACCGCACTTGAAGTACGATGTATTGAGCGCGCATTCCCTATACGCTCTTGATTGCAGACCGCTCGACTCCGTAGTGGTAGGAAGTGCGGAGCTGATGGCTAAGAAGCCAAAGCTGGAGATGAGAATGTTGCTGCGAACCATTGTTGGCACTGAAGTTCGATGTATCGTGATAGATTGAATGGAGGTGTCAATTTGTGAACGGTGTCTTGGCTTTATGATCAGAAGGGCGAGAATGTAAGAAGGTGTGATTTGGTAGTTGTTGTAGTGATGTGATAAAGCAAGATTATCTGATACCATCGTGGCACATCAGAGGACTTATATGTTCATCTTTGAGCTCGAAATGCTCTTCATCTAGAGCTCGCGACTCAGCCGGATTGTGATATTTGGAACTTGGCATTGCGTGGGGCCCGACAAAATGAGGCTCGTTGTGAACTTGGCAGCTTACAATGTCAGCGCTGCTAGACGATTACTCCAGCGGCGGTGTCTGATTGGCCACGCGCCGGAAGTTATATCGTGTGTACCTGAGGCGCAGTGTTACTGAGTCCGAAGAGCCCACTAATCGTTCAAGAACTGCCTATTGTGGAGCTGCTAGAGCTCCGCAGGGCCCACGTCCTAGCTGGCCAGCCCCCGAGGCGGCCATTTGATTCTCCAAATATAGTACCAACGGGAACGAGGCTTGGGCCCTTCAGCTCTTGGCACTTAAGAGTCGCGTACAAAGTCATTGGAGTTACAAGCAACTTTCTGATTGTCGAACGACCATTGAGGCAGAACGGATACAACTACAGCCTGCCAGAAGATTTCGTAGGGAATGCTTTTTCCGAGGATAGCGCTGACAGGATCATCCCATGCTAGCGATCCAATCATGACAGTCGGAGCCAAATTTCCGGCACTACATAGCTCTAGATGGAATGGAATTGAGAAAGGAGATGTCTAGTTATTACATTCGTCAATTCAAGTTGTAAATCGCCAACCAAATAAATTCCACGCTTTGCATATTCTATAATTACTCCACTCACTAAATGCTGAAACCTCGAATCATGAACCTACTGGCATCGAATCAGGTTGAGGTTAGGTCCTCTGCGTTGCCAGAGACTCGTTAGGCCATATTCAATTATATATTGACCGTGAGTCAGACGATGAGCCTACGCACTCAGACCGCCAGACCAAAAATGCCAGCCATAACACCTTCGACACCAGGGATAGCTTTAGCGTTGGCGCCTGCTCAGGTTGCCAAGAAGCCATCGTCGTGAAATCCTGAATGAGTAATTTAAGGAGAGACGGTAGCTCTCATAATATCTTGCACAGCCTTGTGGCCATCCTGTGAGACAGACGTGACAGGAGATATGCTCACTTAGCTGATTTCCGAAGCTTCACCAAGTAAGCATACATTTGTCGATTTCTGGAGCTACGCCGACAATGTAACGCATGTAGGATGCCCTGTTGCAATGCTAGTTAGTTATGTCAACACCCATATCTGAGTTGTCGAGACTTGTCCGTCATACCATGTACATCTGCATTATTGTGGTACACTTAGGTAGTCTTGCCCTGACTGGGAGCCAATTGAGTTTCAACGGTACCGTCTGACTTGGAGCCATTCCTCCAGAATTGCTCGGCAAAGATTACCGACCCTGCATCCATCCCCTTCCTTGAATCGAATGCGGTGAGTGCTACAATTACGGATGATGATTCGAACAATAAAGTGCCTAATGGTGGTCGTGAAATAGATCTTCATAGTCATGTCTCCATGCCATCTTTCGACGAGAGAGCGTGTGTGTATCACCTTTGATATTGTCGTCTTCCGAGCGATCATCGTTCAACTTCCATCATTGAGAGTATTCCTAGCGAAGCGTGATATCTCCTAAGGATCCCTATATTCACTTTCGTTAGATATTCAGTATTACACACGCGATTAACGATGTACCTGAAGATCCAGATGATAGATCCAGAGTATTTTGACCAAATCGGGCTTAGTTCATGCCAACCGCACGTACAGCAGTAGGTCGGGGTCCCCTACAGCCACCAAGTCGCACAGCGGAGAAGCACTTAAAACTAGGCTAAGTACCTAACCTAACCAGGCTTCCCAACTTACCATACCCAGTTAGTGACACTAATTATAGACTCGCTAACGTTAGCCGTTGACGTTGCCCATAAGCGATAGATCCTCTCAAACTCTATACACGGCTCCAAATTATTTCAGCGACGTTGCCCTCACCCATACCTTCAAACACCGAAATAAGGTTGCGTGTCGCGCGCCTAGACAATTTGACGATGACTTCACAATACTCGTAGCCTAAGCGAAGCGCTCGTCACCATTGGTGCAGCACACTTAGAACAGTTTTTGGCCGACTTGAAATTTACACAGTCTCATTTTATAGCCTTTACTCTCCATTCACACAAACGACCGACAAGGAAGGAACTCAGAGCAGAGGGCGAAGCTATTTTTTGAAGTGTCTGAAATACTGACTGATGCCTAGTTCATCTCAACCGGAAGTTATGACGACCAGGGTATACCTGCCGTCTGTTTTCCTGCGCCTTCTCAAAGCAACCCCGCGACGAGGCTATCTTCTCCCGCTTTTGTTGGGAGAATCATCATTGAAGCTCTCGCCGTCGCTCCAGCCCTTGATCTTTTTGGACTTTCTCTTGGCAGGGTTTGGCTCGACTTTCTGTTCTTTAACTTCCATCTTCGGTGGTGCTGATTTACTTTGGCTCTTGCTAGATCGTGCACCAGATCCGGGGGCAAAGCGACCCGAGACGGCTTTCCCTTTGACAATTTAGGAGTGGACTGACCCCGTCAATATTCCGGAGGAGGACATTTTTGCCGATCTGGTAAGGAAAGTGATATGTGTATTTGGTTATTAGGCAGATTTCGTCCGTCGAGTGGTGATTCTTGATAGTACGACAGAGCGAGTGCCATTCAAACTCAGAGATTCTCACGGTATTTATTCTCAAAATGGCTGTCTGATTCAGTACTGAATTTATGTTTGCCGGGATTGGACCCTTCTCGCAGTTCATCACTGTTCAGCATTGGGCGGGGGAATGGATGATGTTTTTATTGAAAGCAGTGAATTATGCTGCTCCCAGACGATCTGGTTTTCGATATTGTGAGATAGCCGTCGATGAAATCTCCAACATGGCTGGTGGGTTCTTTTTTTCTTTCTTTTGCTTTTTCTCCTTTTGTTAACTTGGCCACGTTCAACGAACACCGAACCACCTTTGGGGCTTATATAGTAAGAAGGGATACCCTTATACATCAACGGATGCGATCCATCCAGGATGAAGCAACACTTATGCAAAAACTCAACTCTGACAACCACCAACCACGAGCACGGGAAAACAGATTGTCTTGGTGTTTCAGCATATTCTTCCCGCGCCACCCCCAGGGAGATACGCGGGTGGCGGCGGCTCTGGGGGCGCTGCGGGCGTATAAACGGGCGGCGGCGTTCCGGAACGATGGACAATATCCAACCGGGGGCTTTCGGCATCGCCATCACTCCCGCTTCCCTCATCGACGACGTCGGTCCGGACGCTCTCTGAGTCGGCGCTACTCACGCTCCAGCGCCGCTCATCATATGTATCTCGAAGTCGCCCATCCCTCCACGCCAGCGCGCAAGGGCAACAGGAGCACGCGGCCAAGATGCTGAACACGAACAAGGGTAGGGCGCTGACACAGCAGACGAGGAACCAGGCGACCCACATGGCGTAGCGCCACGGCCGCCATGGTCGGTAGTTCCTCTCGGCGCATCGCTGGTCGTACTTGTCTAGCTGGACGTAAGCCCCTAAAAGCCCGAAGAAGACCGAGGGGATGCCGATCAGGATGGCCGGGGCAAGGATGAGTTCCCTTTTCTCCATGGCTTTGGGATTCTGGACCTCTTCTTTTTATATTCTCTTCCAGGGTAGTTACTTGAGATGAGTGTGCTGATGTAGAGTTTAGGGTTTTGGTCGGGTTCGCTGCTGTGGGATGGATATGGGAGCTGTGGTTGGGAAACAAGCACATGTATGGAAATCATGTAAGTTTGGATGCACCGAGACGAGTGCTACTGTCGCATATCTGCGCACCACGGGGAAAGGGTTCATGCTGAGCAAGTTTCTCCCCTGCCCACATATTCCGCGCCCGTTAGAGCGACCTGGCGCACAGATGGCCGTTCAGCCCATCTTGTGAGCAAATTCCGACCTGGTATTTTGCCGCTTCATTTCTATCGTGCCGCGCGAGACTTGGTCCTGGAAAGCATTATCCCAGCGCCGATATCACGTCACACAGATGACCCAGACTTCATGTTTTACTCAGCATACCGATGTTGCCTCATTGAAAAAGCTGGGTGGTGAAAGCCTTGTGGCGAACCATACTCTATGAAAGCCTACCTGATGGAGGACGGTTTCTGGGTGGACCTTGTCTGTAAACTCTAAGACCAGGGTTCTACACGTTGGAGGGACGGGGACGGCAATGGTGTGCATACCTTACCATCTGTGTAGTACAAACGACGCTTCCGACGATACTCGTGGTATATATGTCATATAGGTGACGGACTATAGACTCGATACATTGACGCCACGTCGGGTTGTGATGACAGCAACCCAAGCTCAAAAAGGCCCACGTCCCTCCTGCAAGGTATGGTCGTGACGGGAAGGAGAAGAGCAGGCATAAAAGTACCAACTGTCGGAGAGAAGCGGCATCCGCCCAGACGTCCGAGGTTGAACACGGTACAGAGCCGAGGGAGGCAGTTGTAGGATCGCGATCTATAATGCAGTCCACCGCCCACAAGCTACGGCGCGGCTCACCAGGTATCATGGATAAGTAAAATTGAGCTCGATATTTCGTGCTTTATCATTGGTATCTCGTATTCTAGCGTTCCACGCAAATTTTTGCATCATCTCGATCCCATGTCGAATAGCGCTTGATCCCAAAATCAAATCATATATACACACAACTCTTTCGAGATGCACATCAAGCCCGCGCCTTGGCAGCTTCGGCATTCCAGAGCTCCGCCTCTTTCTTCAGCTCCCTCTTCGCATACCAGAACGTGGCCCCAGTCCAGATGCCAGCCCAGACAAAAGGCACACTCCACCCAATGGTGTAGGCGGCGTCTACGCTCAGGGTGAAAATCAATATCGTACAGAGCACGGCGCAGCTCTCGGCGCCGACGGCCCAGAAGATGCCTAGCCTCCTCAGCATGGACCGGAAGATATGGCTCGCCTCGTATCGCTTGTCGAATGCTACGCGGTAGTCGGTGCCTCCCGATCCGTCGACGGCGCAGATGTCCTCGATGAGCGAGTAGATGCCAGGGCGCAGCTGGGAGCCCTTGGGTACCGACGAGATCCTGCAGGGCGCTGGGACTTGGAAGTATCGACAGGTGTCGATGCCGAGGAGCAGCGTGCCGAACACAAATAGCATGGTCGCCAAAGGCATGGAGAGGAGGCGGACGTATGGGTCCTCCTGCACGGATCCGACGATCAGTTCGATCATAACGACGATCCAAGCCAGGGTGAACATCCAATGGAACCAGTCAAGATACCACCGATGTGCTCCGATGACCTAGAAATATGTTAGCCGTGTGTCACCAAAGGCGCCAATTCCTCGCGTGGCTTACCCTGCAGGTGCTGTCCTTCTTATATAGCCGCCAAAATCGGACAAAGTACTCCAGAATACTCGCACCGCCCAATGCCGCCGTAACAATACTAAACACGGTATTCGCGCTCAATTTCTCATTGGCAGGGTTGCCCGGTCCCACACCGTACCACAGGCCGAAGTACAGGGCAATGGGCATGACCACGGAGTCGAACAAGATGATGGACCAGAACAAAAAGATGGCCCACTTCCTAGTCCTCAGCGTGTAGCCCAGCCTGGGAGGCTCTGGCTGGAACGGCGGTACGGGCACCTGCTCGCCAGCGCTGTCCGTGACCGTCGGCTCGACGATCTCCATCTCCTCGCCCTCGGTGATCTGCGGCTGGGCCGAGCTCCGCCTGCGCGCCATGGCGAGGCTCGGGCGGCCGAACGGGCCGTCGAATCTGCGGTCGAACTCCTCGCTAGCGCGGCCCTTCCGTTGTTGCGACGAGTGGCGCGGCTGGGCGGTCGGTCGGGGCATGTTCAAACTGGTTCTCGGGTGTTGTATGTCCAGCGGCGGCGATGCCAGGGCGGAACCGTCCGCACGATGCGGCTGCTGCCCCTTGTTGTCGACGTTGGGTAGGCTCTGGGTCTTCCTGTCGTCGAGGACCTCGTGGGCAATTGGTGGTGGCTCCTGGAGGGGTTCCATGGCTACTGGGTCGACGTGTTTGCGGTGCCGCGCGTCCCCTCGAGTCTGGGCAGTTGTTGTGGTTTGTGTGTCGGCGGCCAGGTCGTCTTGAGTGGTAATGGGCTTCTCGGGGTCTCCTGGCCCGACAGGATTCGTTGTATTATGATGAGCCATTATATGAATTGTTGTGATAATAGACCATCCCGCACGATGTTATGGATGCTTTGATTGGCTGCGCAGAAATTCCAAGGTTACAGAAATTCTAGAGGTTTATCTAAAAGTGCTTTAGACAACTATAATTGAGTGGACAGAGATGATTGTTTTGGAAGGAAAGACGTGATGTACGCGAGTAAGCAGTGGACACGGATACAGGAATCCGGATAGCTCTGGTCTCTTGTGCTACGACTCAGGAACGTCACGGTTCGTATCGCACGTTCAAGTTCAAGCCTGGAAATCCAAGATCCCGATCGCCTTGGAGGTCTACTCCGTCCGGGAAGCATGTTGTCTGGGCGGTGATGTCATACCGTCGGGGGTGGATACCGACAAGATTTGGCAATTGGCTTTCAGTCAATGGCACAGGCCAGTCAGTTCGGGGGTAGTTCAATGCCCTGAGGACTATTTCCGGGCGAGAGATATTCTCAAGATTGGACCTCACTAGACAGTCAGAGGTTGTGATTGATTCATATTTAAAGAAAAAATCATTCATCACTTTCCTGAGAATATCGAATCCAGGTAAACGGCCTTGGATGTTTGTGAGTTTGCGAGATTCGCTAGGTACGGATCCCTACGCTACGGATCCCTACGCTGCACTTTGCTAGCGTTGGTATGAGATCAGCCCAGACGTAGTTGCGGGCCGACAGATTAGTCCACCTCCACATTCAGGGGGGTCCGACTGTCTGCTATGTCCAGGGTGGGTGCCCGGTCGCGTGGTGCTCCTGTAGATGAAGATAAAGAGAGAGAGACGAAGATGAGTATTCATGGTAGGGGTTTTGAGGGACGCTTCTCAAATTTATATGTTATCGGCAGATCACGGAATGAGAGAGAGACTCTTGCCGTGCGTTGCGCGTTGCGCATGCCCGCAAATGCAATGTTCAGATTTGTTTGACAGCGGCTTGTGCGGCGAGTCGCCTCCTCACAACAAATACAACTTGACCAACTTCCAAGACAGCAATTGTGCCAGACTTGATGCCCGTGTTCGTACGCTGATAGACCGTGTCTTCTGAGATGATGCCAGACATGAACAGTACCTAATGCTGATGGAATGTGTGTGCCCCTAAACGCCCAAGGTGCCATGATTCGTGTATATATACTCACGCTCATGCCTCATGCACTATTATAACCCCTTAAATGCTCAAACGCCAGCCAGGCCCCGCACAAATGGCAAAGACAGGCCATTTGTGAACAAGCCACCCAACGGCGCCATTCAGGGCTCACCGAGGAGCCTTGCCGTAACATCGCCCATGTACGCCTCTTCTAGGCGATAGTCCTCGCCATCATTCTTATCAATGCCGAAGTGAAGGAACGCTTCCACCACTCGATCGATATCAAATCCCATGTTGATGAAAGGATCGATGAGGTTTTTGTGGTAACCCTTATACCTGGTACGACATTAGCACCATGGACATTACCGAATCTCCCACGGGGAAGTAGCGTACCTGGCCTCGTCTATCCGTTGAGGAGTGTCAGCTTGATATTCAGGTGTCGATCCTGCGCCCTGCCACTTTGAGTTTTGAGGGGCACCAGCGTATTTAACTGCCCATTCATGAGCCTTGGCCTCGAAGGCAGGCTTGTTTGTCATCATCATCTTGGCAACTTCAGCGTCCTGGGGATCTTTGGGTTCGGGGCTTTCGAAGAGGGATTGGAGGGAAAGCAGCGTCGACTTTATCGTGAGAACTGGTGACCATGCTGTGCTAAGGGTATCAAGGCAGATGGCTCCCTAGTTGGTGTCAGCAAGAGTCAAGGAGCAAACGGAGGTTTGGGAGTAGGACGTTACGCACGGTCTGACTGCTGATATTGGGGTGCCACACTTTGGTGTCGAACTTCATGATAGGCGGGCGAAAGGGATACTCGGTGGAAATCTTGACGTCGACAACGAACTGACCGCCTTCGTAGGCAGTGCCGGGAGGACCTGTGATGCGTGCTTTGAGGTGTGTGAGATCGCCACTACCATCTGCAGGCGAGGCAGTGATTCCACTTCGATCGGTATCCTTTTCGATATCGCCCAACTCCTTGGCCACTCTTCGGGTTCTTGAGCTCGCCATGATTGTGGTTACAGCGTAGCGTAGCTGGGCAGCCTGTGCATGTGTTGAGGGATATGATGGATTGCGCAGAACGCAGGAGAATGAATGGATGGTGGCAGAAACAGACTTGTCTTCAGAGAGACTTCTCTCTTGGAGTGATGCAGTCGAAAGCTCGGCTCAGCTGAGACGCGCCGTGCAATCGAGGGGCTGTCTGTGGCGGGGTTGATCAGGCTTGAAGGCTTGCTTGAAGGCTTGTTTGCAGGTCTGAGCGACGAGGCTCCACTGAGGGGAGGAATGCGGCTGGCCACGATGTTAGCTAAAGGACTGCAAGGCAAAGGCAAGTCAAGTAAACTGATTATATGGCTGAACAGATGTGAACGCCAATGCCGGCTGTAGTGACCCGATGATAGCTCCTTCACGTCGTGTGACAAGGAAAGCTTAGAAACAAGTCAAGATTGGAACTGGAACTAGAAATGGAACTATAACTACTGTAGAAATGAAACTAGAACTGGAGCTGGAGCTGGGACTAGATCTAGAAATGCAACAAAGACAGAAGCCGAACTCGAGCTGTCGCTTGGCCCATAGTGCCGAGTAACGAGCACATTTCGAGAGTTAAGCTCTTTTGTGGCATCCCTGCTGGCCACGCCATCATGATTCCTGCAGCTGCTCTGGCTGCAGCCGCTGGCTGGAAGACAGGGTCCCGTCCCTGCCGGTCGCCATGCTATGTAGGGGGGCTCCAGGCATTGAGTATGGCCTAACCTGCTTAAAGATTTTTTTGGGGCTTTTTGACTTTCTTCGGCGGCGGGGAAGAGAAAAGGAAACAGAGACGACAATGACGCAGATGGCAGAGGTAACAGGAGTGCAGACTTCTGCTACTTGCACGTATTCAAGAAAGAATTAAGAAGAATTATAAAGGGGCCAGGGGTAAGATCATGACAGCCGAGTGGGCGACTTCCTTTGTACAGTAGAATAGTTGTTCATACATGTACACAGTATTTTGCCGTAGTCTATAAGTTAAATGATGTGGAATGTCTGATGCGCATCGCCGACTGTCTCGTTGGGACTAACCTAGGTTAGGTAATTAAATAGTAGCCAATGGTCAGTACTGTAAATCGACCAGAGACGGAGGAGCACTGGCCCATGACTCGGGGTCTTTTTCACTGATGGTAGTGGCACCGGCACCTCAAGTAACAGTTAGTTACAGTAACTTAACACAAAGTACGGATCCGTAGATGATCAATCGGCTTTTCCCTTTTCCTTCTCCGCCAAAATTTCTCCAAAACTTGCAGGCGAGCAATCGGTTAGTCTAGCGGCTTTCAGTCAACCCCCACCATGATTCAGATACGTCCACTCCCACTTCCACTTCCCACTACGCATGCATCCCGCATGTGTCTGAAGAATCTCCGGGGGGCTTGAAATTCAAAGTCGGATTCTTCTCACTGTGTTCATGTTCGGTCTTCAGCGTGACAATACAACACAACACAACCAGTAATATTGCAGCACCAAGCGTGCAGACAAAGATGGCCACCACCACGCTCACCACCACCATCCGGAAGAAGGATGCGAATCTTGCTCCCGAAAATGAGCGCTTCCTGCGCTGTTGCGCCGAGGTCGCAGGCGCTCTCATCGAGGACTACGAATCTTCAAAGGATCCCAAGAAGCCAAAGCGGGATATCAACCTGAACAGCATCCGGTCCAAGCTTGCCAGGAAAAACAAGCTCGCCAACTTGCCGTCGTTGACAGCCATCATTGCTGCCGTTCCGGAGCACTACAAGAAATACATACTGCCCAAGCTGATCGCAAAGCCCATCCGATCCGCCTCGGGGATTGCCGTCGTCGCTGTCATGTGCAAGCCCCATAGATGCCCTCACATTGCATACACCGGAAACATCTGCGTCTACTGTCCTGGCGGCCCCGACTCCGACTTCGAGTATAGCACGCAGTCCTACACCGGCTACGAGCCCACCTCCATGCGAGCAATCCGCGCCCGATACGACCCCTTTGAGCAGGCTCGTGGCCGCGTTGACCAGATCAAGTCCATGGGCCACTCCGTCGACAAGGTAGAATACATCATCATGGGTGGCACATTCATGTCTCTGGCCCCGTCGTACCGGGAGGAGTTCATCGCTCAACTACATAATGCACTAAGTGGCTACCAAACAACAAACGTCGACGAGGCCGTAGAAGCGGGAGAGATGAGCAATAACAAGTGCGTGGGAATCACCATCGAGACGCGGCCAGATTATTGTTTGCAACCACATCTGACGGATATGCTGCGCTACGGTTGCACGCGGCTCGAGATTGGTGTCCAGTCACTATATGAGGACGTCGCCAGGGATTCAAACAGAGGTCACACCGTCGCCTCCGTCGCTGAGACCTTCTGTCTGGCCAAGGATGCCGGCTTCAAAGTTGTCTCGCACATGATGCCCGACTTACCAAATGTAGGCATGGAGCGCGATATCGACCAGTTCAAGGAGTATTTTGAGAATCCCGCCTTCCGCACAGACGGCCTGAAAATATACCCTACCCTAGTCATTCGCGGCACAGGTCTCTACGAGTTATGGCGGACAGGGAGATACCAGAATTATACCCCCAACGCCCTCATAGATCTTGTGGCAAGGATATTGGCTTTGGTTCCCCCGTGGACCCGTATTTACCGAGTCCAGCGAGACATTCCAATGCCACTTGTTACATCCGGCGTCGAAAACGGTAACCTGAGAGAGCTGGCACTGGCCCGCATGAAGGACTTTGGTACTACATGTCGCGATGTACGTACCCGCGAGGTCGGTATCAATGAAGTAAAGAACAAGATACGACCAAACCAAGTCGAACTTGTCCGCCGTGACTATACAGCAAACAGCGGCTGGGAGACTTTCCTGGCATATGAGGATCCGAAGCAAGATATTCTGCTGGGCCTGTTGCGGCTGCGAAAGTGCACTGAAAAATACACTTATCGCCAAGAGCTTACAGGTCAGCAAACCAGCATGGTAAGAGAATTGCACGTCTACGGCACAGCTGTACCCGTGCACGCGCGCGATCCCAAGAAATTTCAGCACCAGGGATATGGTACTCTTCTCATGGAGGAAGCTGAGCGCATTGCGAGAGACGAACATGGTAGCGACAAGATCAGCGTCATTAGCGGAGTAGGCGTCAGAAGCTATTACAAGAAGCTAGGCTATTGGCTCGATGGTCCCTATATGAGCAAATGGCTTGACGGCAGAAAGCAGGAAGACATTTGAAGGAGTTGATGCCGCCATAAATCAACATTGATAATGGCCCACACATTTCAGTACACGGATCGTCACGGAACCTTGTGCACTTTTGGTTGCGCCAGACCACCATGCCTTGAGCCATGCGGCCATTAGCATAAGCGCTAGAGCATGACAGCCTGCCTGGCATCCTCATTGGGGCGAGCTACAGAAACGATGCCACAGAACCTCACGGGATTCAAGCGTATAGTGTTTTAGACAAAACAAACTACCAACGTCCGTACTCGCTTCCCCTGGAGAAGGAGTTTCTTCCGGTCGGTAGAAATGTACTGAAGTTTTGGCGCCTTCAAGTTACACAATGCCATTCGTCAGCTCAGATAGCAGCAACGTATGAGCTAGAGAGGCGCATAGGTGTGGGTTAGCTCGCGTTCCAGCCTGCTCTTCCAACAATCAGATAGTGGAATCCAAATCAGCACCTTCAATTGCCACATTCGTCTATTCTGATTTCTCAACCCTCGGAATCTATGACCTGCACAGTAGGATTCCCATGAGATGATCTAAGCGGTCACTAAGGATTAGTCATGATTAGCAGAGCTGTGAGCGGGGATGTCAGCACAACAAACTTACGATGTTCAGATTGGTTGGCACGGGATCTTTGTCGATCACCAATACTGAGAGTGTATCGTGACGGCTAACGATAAGCAGCTACCAACTCACCAGAGCAACAACCTTAGGTGCTCGGAGTGTTCTGCATTGTGCTTGTGAGTATTCGACATTGTGTTTGCAGTGTTGCAGTCTACCACTTGGCGATTACGCATGTTCTATAATCGTCCACAATAAAGCCGGGGATGCGCGAATAACTGTGATGTCCCCGCCTAGCCGCTCAGCCCCCAATCCAATTCAGGGTGCTACACTAGATGTGTTGCCGCAAATGGTAATGCCGCCGTTAGTACCACAGTTGCCGAGACGCACCTCGCCTTGTTGGCTGCTACCTGGGGACACACACATAACTTTGTAGTTGACACTTTTCCCCCCATGCTCTAGCCCCCAAGCAGTCGGTATTCACTCCATTCTCTCATCCCACCAATCGATAGTGCCCATGTCAATGTTATACCAGCAGAAACGTGGGCAGTCGACCGGGGTTTCTTGACATGTGGCAGGGCTGCGGCTCGCACGGCTGACGGGTGCGTCCGTTTGGGCTGTCAGATTTTCCAAGAATAGGTGGCCGCACCGCATAGATCCAGCTGTTTACACGCACTATTGGGCACGATGCATACCCACCATGTTTCCAGATGCCAGGATCATTGCACCAATACTCAGACTACGCATGTATGATCGCGGCCGCTGAAAAATAGAAACAACCAAAATCCAACAGGTGCCATCTTTTTGAATATTGAGCACGGCTTCGCCCCGTTGTGAAACAATGTTATATCTGCTTTGTTTCCCAGTATTTTGGTGTTTCCATTTCGAGGGCAAGGTACGTGGCTGATTTTGATTGTTTTCGTTTTTTATCTTCATTTTATCTTGCCAGCTTGCTATAATGGCAGTTCATTTCAAAGAGCAGGTCTACGATGCTGCTCCCCTGTCCGACGTGGAAGATGCATCGGTGAAACCACAATCGGAGGAGTGGAAGCCCAGCGGCCATGAGCTCCTGATCATTATCACGCTGGCCATAGTCAGTTTGCTTGTCGCGCTCGATGCTAGCATCATTGTCACATCTCTTGGTGTAAGTCCTATCGTTTACTTTTTGTTCTCGAAGTCTTCACATTGCGCATCACTGTTGTATCTTGTACACATCGCCTTAGATGTTGTAAGCGAAGCAGGTTGGCGAGAGGTTCACTGTTGTATAAAATAGTCTTAGCGGCGACTAAGAAGAGAAGAGAAGAAGAAGAAGAAGAAGACATGCGTGTACCAGTGCCGATTGGAACAACTAACATGATTACCTTAGGCAATGGTAGTCGACCTCAAAGCCGACACCACTGCTGGGTTTTGGATTGGCACATCCTACCTCCTCGTCAATGCAGTGACCATGCCCATCATCGCATCCCTCTCCGAGATCTTTGGCCGTCCCATCTGCCTCGAGTTCGCCCTGCTCAGTTTCACCGTCGGCACCATCTTCTGCAGCACCGCCAATTCAGTCACGCTCATGCTCGTCGGTCGCTGCATCCAGGGTATCGGCGGTGGCGGTGTGCACGTGCTGTCCGGTGTTATCATGACGGATATCGTGCCGCTGCGGTTCCGGCCCAAGTGGTTCGGTGTCGTGCTCGGCGCCTGGGCGTTGGGTACATGTATTGGCCCGCTTATAGGAGGTGCCATCGTCGAGCATACCACCTGGCGTTGGGTATTTTATCTCATGTTCCCCATCTGCGCCTACGGGCTTGTGGCCGTGCCGTTGCTTCTTACCCTGGCACCCAGAGAGGAATCCATGGGCCAAAAGCTGCTCAGGGTGGACTGGTTCGGTGGTTTTCTGTTCATGGGATCCGCGACAAGCTTCCTGGTCGCTATCTGCTGGGGAGGTTCGCAGAAGCCCTGGGATAGTGCCGCGACTATCGCCCCGTTGGTGATAGGCCTGGTAGGGCTGGGTTGCACGCTGGTGTGGGAGATCAAGTTCGCAAAGGAGCCGATATTCAAGCACGAGCTTTTCAACAGCCGCAGCAGTGCTATCACGTATATCTGTGGCGCTTGCCAGGGCTTTTTGGTAAGTCACCCCCTTATCACGGAGAGGCTGTGTCATGCAATGATTGAAGAAGGACTAACCAGCGTTTTGATCAGATGTGGGGTGCTTTCTACTATTTCCCCTTCTACTTCCTATCTGTCATGCAGACATCAACCATCACAGCCGGCGTCAACCTACTGCCCTCGGTGCTGATCACCGTTCCTGGCTCCATCATCACCGGACGCTTGGTGACGCGTTTCAATAACTACCGCTACTTTGTTTGGGCCGGCTGGGCCATCGTTGTCCTAAACAGCATCCTAGCCGTGATCTGGAAGTTCGTCAACGTTACCACGGCCGTTTGGGCCACCACATTCGTGGTCTTTGGCCTCGGCCACGGAATGATCCTGAACGCACAGCAATTCGCCGTGCAAGCCATGTGTAACCCTGGAGATGAAGGACTCGCAGCTAGTATGTACCTCTTCCTGCGTCAAATCGGTGCCGCCATCGGTGTCGGCGTTGGCGGCTCCGTCTTCCAGAACGTCATGTCCATCAAGCTACAATGGGAGGGACTAGACAAGGCAATCGCCAGCGAGGCGGAGGGGTATGTCATTAAGCTACACACGATGCCGAACGACGATCCGGTCAAGGAGCAGATCCTAGAGGCTTTCCGTTACGGCTTTGCGGGCGTCTACGACCTCTACCTCGGGATAGCGGGCGTGGCGCTTATCCTGAGTTTGCTATTCGTGAAACACTACGACCTCAATCGTACCCTGGGCACGGAGCACGTGCTGAGGGAGAGCCGAACGAGCAAGATGTTGATCCGCGACTCTAAGCTCAGCTCGGCCGTCTCCTCGAGAGCCCCCTCAGCGACCCCGAGTAGGTGGAGCAGCAACACCAGGGTCGACCAGAACCCAGCGCTGGAGGCCGAGATGACACCCCTAGATCAAACAGATTATCACCGGGATGTGAGCCTGAATGCGCTTCAGGGACCCCACACCAATGCCCACAGTACATCGAACGTCACCGATACCGACAACATTCCCACAGCCCTCCAGCACCAAAGGAGTGTCAGCAGATCGAGCTCCGGCTCGGGATACACGGCGGTCCAGAACGGATACAACCCCAGTCAGTTCCCGACGTACTCGACTAGTCAGGCCGCCGCGACTGTGATCCCACAGGATCCGAGCAGCTACTTTATGCAGCAGGGTGGCTATATCCCGCAGACGTACTACCCGAGTAACGCGGCACATGCGTCGACTCCCTACACGGCCGAGGCGACGGCGTATGATCCATATAAGGTAGATGCGTCACAGCACCGAACATGGTGAGGACGGTTGATCTTTTGAGGTTTTTAGCGAGCATTTTGTTTTTATTGTCTGTCCAGCATTTTCACTAGCGTTAGAAGTATGAAGTAATGATATCCACGTCTCACATTGCACAGTGTCCTTCCGCCTCAATACTGTACTTTCTGTGAATATGAGCATTTCGTGAGGCCGCGAAACTCAAATATGAGTTTACACTGCACGCAGGGATGACAGTATCTTGATCAATTGTCCATGAAAGCTCATCTCATCTAGGTCTCCACCGAGAAGCTCTTACCACGGCTTTCATACTGCCATCGGAAGTTGCGACTTTCCAAGATGACAACAGCATACCAGCCAAGACAACCATGTGGTTGGTCAACCTTCTCACTAGACCCTGCGGTTCGGCGCGTCTCCAACTTTACTATCTCAGCGACTTTTCTTTGCGCGCTTAGTATATATCTAGTCAATAACTGATCCTCAATTATCTCTATAGCGCTTACTATCCACGTGCTCGATAACCGCGTATGCCAAGTATCCCGTTCTCGGCATAGCGATCCTTCAATACATAGCGTCTGGGCACCTTGGCAGAGCCGCGTCCTTGTCCAACGAGACAGCACCGCTTCAGCACGCTGTCCGCGTTACCCCTGCCGCGACATTACCTCTTTCGCTCGCAACGTGCATTGCTAATGTCATCAGAGTAGTAATGTGCCATATCCAAAGAAGAAGTTCGATTACAACCCCCCTCCGAAAAGGAATTGGTATTATAATATGCCCACGTCCGCCCCCAATAGCGATGCGACTTGATTCCTTACTGATCGCTAGTTTCGGCACAAGGGAGGCCATTGACCACTAATCTGTCTCTACTAGACGGGATCCGACCCAGGACGGCCGCGTCGTCGCTTCACCATGAAAAGATTCGCACACCCCATCAGCACCCTACTGCTTTTTTTCCTCCTCCTGCTGGAGCTGCACCCAGCCAATGCCGCACCGGAGGCAGACCTGCTTATCACGGCACGTACCGCCGCTGGAATAGCCTCGGACTGGACCGCGGTGTACTACTCCGCCTCGTCTTCACCGGTCCTGCTCGGCAACGACAAGGGCGCGGCGAGCGGGGGCCTGCGGGCCTTCTCGCTGACGGCGTCGGCCGACACTGCAGAGAACGGGACGCTGGCCCAGCTGGCCCACCAGACCCCTGGTCGCACCAGCGTCCTGACGACGGTATACGACGTAAACGAGGGCGGCCGGGACCTGGTCCTCAGCATCGCGGCCCCGGACTCAGTCGTCCGTTTGTATGACGCAGGGTCGCTGGATCTGGTAGACGGGGACCTCGGGACCGTCCTGGGCGCGTGGTCCGCGCTCTGTGCCTGGAGGAGTCCCCGGAGTGGGGAGCAGTATGTTTACCTGTTCGGAAAAGGACGGGGCGTGCAGTTTTTGCTGCGCGCCGATGGATGGGGCACGTTCGAGATCCTGGAGGTGAAGACTTTCGATACGCCTGTCGAGGCGTCGTCTTGTGCTGTCTCGGCCAACGAGGGGAGTGTTTATTTCGGCGGCGATGATGACAGCAATGTGTACCATTTTGCTGCCAGGGAGTCTACGGCGGTGCCTGAGATCAACGTGCTTGGAGAGGCTTCTGGTGATGTCACTGGGTTGGCGGTGTACGTTGGAGCAGCAGCCGATTATCTTCTCATCGCCCAGACGGACGTGGTTGAGGTCTACGACACAGACCTGAAGTTACTGGGCACACTGACGCTGACGGGTGATGAGGATATCGAGATCCAGGGCCTTAGTATTTACCAATCGTCTACCGAATCATATCCTGCGGGTGCACTCGCGTATGCGCTCGAGAGTGATGCTGGGGAAGGGTTCGGCGTGAGCTCTTTGGATTCGGCGTTCGAAGCACTGAACCTTACACTAAACACGGCCTATGATCCGCGTCGAAAATCTTGCAAGCTCGACTCTCCCGTCAGCGAAACCTGCAATAAAAGCGGATTTGACCAAGACGGTATCTGTTCATGCTTCGCTGGGTTCGTCGGAAACAATTGCGAAAACTTCTCATGCCAAAAAGATTGTTCTGGCCGTGGGACATGCGTGGGTGCCAACAGGTGCGAATGTGAGGTCGGCTGGGGCGGTTTGCATTGCAGCTTCATGGTCGTTGACGCTACAGAAGAGACAGATGCCTTCGGGGGCGACGGCGACGACCCTGCAATCTGGATCCATCCGACGGACAAGTCGCAATCTAAAATCATCACGACCATCAAGTCCGATGAGGGAGCCGGACTTGCCGTGTTCTATCTCAACGGCACCACGGCGCAGACCTTCTCTGCCGGGGAGCCTGATAATGTGGATATCATATATGGGTTCCAAGCTGGAGACCGGAAAGTGGATTTGGCATTTGCCGCTTGTCGTGATGATAATACGCTGTGGTAAGTACTCAGTCTTCACATGGAGGATTACGCAAGTTTGGGATTCATAAGCTGACCGAGCATCAGCATCTTCGAAATCACAGCCGACGGGACCTTAGCAGACATTGCAGGGGGCTCACAACCGACGAAAGACGACTACGACGTCTATGGCAGCTGTGTGTACCACTCGCGGAGATCAGGCAAGCAATACCTATTCGTCAACGCCAAGACGGCCGAGTATCTGCAATATGAGCTTAACTGGGTCGACAATGCGCTTCAAACCAGTTTGGTGCGCAACTTCACCGGTGGGTCAGGCGGTCAAGTAGAAGGCTGCGTCACCGACGAAGCCAACGGCTGGATCCTCATCGGAGAGGAACCAAGAGCGCTTTGGCGATATGGCGCCGAACCGGAGGACGACGTATCAGAGGGATACTTGGTCGATCAGGTTGGCAGTGGACATATGTGGGCTGACGTCGAAGGCGTGACATTGGTCGAAGGACCTTCGGCAGGTCAAGGATTTATCCTAGTCAGCCAGCAAGGCGTGAGCGCATACAATGTATACCAACGCGCTGCACCCCACGACTTTGTGTTAACGTTCACAATCGGGGCGAATGAGGGAAAGGGCATCGATGCTGTTTCTAACACGGATGGTATTACCGCTGTTGGTGCGAGTCTTGGCGAGGACTTTCCGTATGGAATTTTCGTCACCCACGATGACGCTAATGAGTTGGTCGAAGGTGGAACGAGTGAGCAGGCGAGCTTCAAGATTGTCAGCCTTACGGACATATTCAGTGAGGGACTACTTCGCGACATTGACCCAGACTGGGATCCGAGGTCAACCTGATTTAGCAGGTCAGGCAAGCCATTCAGAAAAGAGTTCCAGTCCATGGACTAGTCCGGTAGTCTTTCGCATGATTGGCGTAATTGTATAACTTACCCTTATACCATGATCTACAGCTCACATCCCTCTCACTAACTATTGAGGTCCCACTGTGCCTCAAGATCATTCCATCCTGTAATCTACTGGATTGGTTACTACCTAACTAGTCGCATTTTGGCCCACTAATTCGGTGAAAAAGCGGACGTTGTCATGTCTATGACAACTTAAATACCATGTCATTGCACATACCGGAAACTCAAGTTTTCTTTGTCCGTAAGATCCAGAAACTCGACATTTTCCGCATCTGCTATACCTCGTTCTGCCAACTGCGCCTGGATCTTGTCCCTTCTAGAATTTTCCCAGCGATTCAAGATATAAAGCACCAGCAAGATGATGACCGAAGCTGCCCATAGTCCTACAGTCGCATATTTCGCACGATAGTAGTAGGGAGGATCCCGAAACATCTGAGGTCCGACCAGATAAGCAACCGCCATTGAGAGAAAGAGAATAACGTTGGTTGTCATCTTCTTTGTTGTACCAAGCACATTTGATGCCACCGTAGCTAGGAGCAGGTAATAGCCAATGGCACAGGCACCTCCGGTCAGGAAGAATGCGGCAAGCTGTCCAGCACGGTCGTACAACGGACCGAGATTGGCCAATCCAATGAGCAGAGCTGCTGCGAAGAGACATAGCAGCTGCATTGCGATTGCGGTCAGACTGCGCTGTTGGGTTCGGTCGGCAATGAAACCAGCCGAAAGCTGGAAGACGACCTGTAGCGCACCACCGGGCATTCCGAGCAGTAGTGTCTGTTTGCTGTCAAAGTTAAGTGACTTGATCAGCAAACTAGAAAGCAGGCTTAGCCCAGCGGTGGGCATCTGTGATGTCAGCACAAATGCCACATATAGCCAAGTACGGACGTCCAAGAATGCCTCGCGGACCTGGTACCTACACGGCGAGTAAAGTTAGCGTGTATTTATTTGAATAACCATGAGAATCATCTCCCGATAATTCGCAGGAAACCGAGAGACTTTACTGAAGCAGGGCGGACTATAAGCATGGCCAATCACATACCATTTGAACTCTTTCGATCCGATGCCTTGATGATTGTCGCGCAGCCGCTCTATGGCAAGAACTTTCTCCTCTTCCGTGAAGAAACGAGCCTCAACGAGACTCGGAGCCACAAAGACAAACATTGCGGCGCCGTAGATGACGGACGCACAGCCGAGGCAGAGAGCCATGATCTTCCACGATGGGAGCAGGATGTGCACGCCAGCATCCACCCCCGAGAGACAGCCGTAAGCGATCAACGCACCAACGATACCAGCGAGGCCGTTGCAAGAACTCCAGATGGCTACACGGGCGCCGTGCTCGTATTTGCGGTACCATCGGGCAGTGAGCAGTACAAAGCCACAGTTAATGACTGATTCAAGGCTCCCTAGAAAGGCGCGTTGAACCATCAGGCCCGTAAAGTTATGACACAGGGCCATGAAAGCAAGAACGAGTCCCCACGCCATCATGTTGGCAGCGATGTATTTGGAAGGGGCAAAGACTTGGAACATGCGGTTGTGTAGAGGCAGGGCAGCCATGTAGCCAAGGTAGTAGATACTACCTAGCCAGGTGAACTGGCTCGTGGTCAAGTCTGCGTCGGCCATGATCCCCATTACGGAAGAATAGCTGAGTCTAAGATATGGTGTTGTTAGCAGTATGGTCGTCAGGGAACGCAGCTTGGGTTCGCAAAGTGCTCGTGACTTACACGCCTTTGTCCAGGTATTGGAGGATGTACAAGCCACAAAGCCACGGCAAAACATGCGTATCGATCTTTCTCAGCAGCCTGCGACTGGTCTCGTCGTCAAGGACAACGGGCTGAGAGTTGTCGACATATGCCAACAAGGCATCGGCACCTTTCGTTGCGTTCTTTTCCGTTACAACATCACGATCCTGGAGGTAGATAGGAGCAACATCCAGCGTATTCAATGGAACGGCCTTTTCGCCCTCAAGACGCGTCGTCATTTTGCGTACAGACTTCCGGATATCAGCTGCTAATTGGCTCGGTTCCACGACTGACTAGACTTTGGTTTAGGATGCGTCAACAAAGTATGTAAAGAACCGAAGGATATGGCCCGAGGCACTTCTTTCATTCCCGCCAGGTGACATGGACAAGACTAGTTGGAGAGATCGTGGAACGGAATAATTTCAGCATTCGCCTTGCCCCAATTATGTCGATCGCGACACCAAACCGATAACAACGTCGGTGATGTGCTTCCGATAAAGCTCGAGGAGCCAATAAGTAATGGTCTCTCGACAGGGTTTGCCTATGGCAGCTCCACATATCCTAGCTCGGTACAAGGGGCTGTCATCACGCAATTCTCAAAGCTTGGTAAAAAGCTTGGTTGTTCGGCGGGGTTGAGGCAAGTTTCTTCAAATTACGTCCATATAATATCAACTCCGAAATGACACTGGTAGCAGCACCCATCATAGTCCATTTTCTTTGAAACCTACAGATCGACGGTGGCCGTGTTGATTCATTTCAGAACTCCGCTGTATCGTGCAAGGTCTTCTATCTTCAATGAAGGTGTTCCGACCAATGAAATACATGTAGCACTGGTGCAACTTGTCAAAAAATAAAAAATGTCGTTAGCTCATGTCACCGGGTCAGACGAATGGAGAAGGCCATGGGGCCCGTTGTGGGATAGAGGCACCGAGCTTTCTGATAACTAACAAGACCAGCTAAGGCTACTAATCTGGAAACTTGGCCTTCGTATTGCGTATGGTTTCTTTATTTGCTCCACCTCAAAGCCCGTAACTCTACGTCTTGCATTCTACAGTCTTCTAATGCATGAACCACTGATAGTCATTAAATCTTCTCGAACGAAGTGTTGCCCTTTTGGATACTATCTGACCCAATTGGTACTGTCAATCCTAGCTAGTATACCGTGCGAGCTGTTCAATGAAGTTGAAGCCCAGGTGTTAAGGGTTAAAATATAGGCTTTAATTGAAAGGTGTCGTATATTATCTGCCGTGCGTTCTCATTGCGACTTCCAAGACGTCAACTAAAAGACCATGTCGAGTTATCATCCGACCGCCGATCCATGTCCCACATTTTTGGAGTGATCAAATGTACATGGAGACTTGCCGATAGTCATGGTACCATGGTGCAAAGACCGCGTTCATCTCGGACGACTGCTCTTGCTGGATTTAGTATATCGGGGCGGCGCAATAGTCAATACTAGGATATAATGCATATGTTTCAACAGGGCATAGCGAGACAAATGATGGTCGGAAAAGATCACGATAGCTATGTATGTCCACAAACAGACCTAGCTAAGTAACTTCGAAAAAGGTTTGACATTGATTTGTTACTACTAGGAAGCGAGAGATATTTTTACAGCAGTCGATGTTCGTATAATGTTGATAGTAGCTGCGTCAGATAAGCTTCACGACGAGCCTTCTCTAGCTTCACGCTATACCTAGTGTTTCTTCTTATACCTGTAGGAGCTGTGTAGAGTTTCTCAAGCACAGTTGGCCTAGCGTCTATATGATATCTGGTCGGTATATAAGGTTATAGTTCTGATATATAAGTAATAGACCTTTAGCCTAGGTCATATTTCTTTATTCTTCTTTTCGGGTTACTGACCACCACATTGCACAAATGTTTGTCCCAACCAATATTAGACCTTCATTCTACTACTTCACCAATAAATTTGGGCCTTGCCACTTTATCACTTGAACCATATTACAGAACTTGGATCGAGATGCAATCCGTAGGGGTTATTCTTTCAATATGTCTCATTTTAGAAATTCACACCTTGCAAAGAATGATGTGGGAGATGCAAAAGCTAACCATGCCTCGGAGTGTGAAGCCGAGAGCATCGATAGGATGCGGATCCAGGGTATTGTGGTGGAGCTATATGTATATTAGGTTGGCTTGAACTATAAAGAGATAGAGAAAGAGAGAGAGAGAGAGAGAGAGAGCAGAATGCTTGGTGGAATTCCAAAGTTGATTGTGATATGTAGGGGGATTCATCGTACAAAGCAAGGCTGCTCAAGTTAAGATTCATGCAAGGAGAAAGAACACATGCCTTAAATTAATCCGACAATGGCTATCACCATGTATTCGCAAGATAACGTAGCACTCCATAATAGAAAGATACATTGCACGATCAGATCAAAACCTCACACCTAAGGCGGATGAACGTCAACAACTTTTCCTGCGGCGTGACGGCGGACTGAGAAGACAGGTTATGTGCGGACAACCTCAAACACTTAGCATTTTACTGGTATGACAAAGTGAAATCTTAACTAAAACACAAGTCATATTTCAATAGAGCATATATATGCATGATCAGAAGGTTTAGGGCTGATGGTAGGGATAGAATTCACCGCGGATGCAATGTGAGAGATTCACTGCCATTTCTGATCCCGAAGTTTCCAGTCTTGGACATCGCCATGCCAAAAAAATCATTGTCTATATGCAAAATACGTAAAATAAGATACAAGTCCGTTAACCTCAGGAGGTGCTAAGGAATGTTTGTACAGCGTAGACCGACAAATCAAAATGCTTCCTGACCTAGATGCGACGCCCACAAATTTGCTACTCCGACCGCATGAATATTGACAAAGGGAACTCTCTTCGCACCGACACATGATCAGAAATTAATCATCTTGCTCTTCACACAGACACCCTTCGCAAGGGTTTGAAGGGAACCACTCGAAAGCAACTCCAGAACTTGCAAGGTTGCTTCAAACTCGCGGGTAATAAAGTTGCGGATCTCGATGGCAACTAGCGAGTCAAGAGGGTAGTTGGATAAGGCGCGGGTGACGTCCAGGTCTTCCTTCTCCATCATCATTACGGCGGCACATTTCTCAACCAGACCATCGCAGACCACTTGCTCGGCTTCCTCGAGGGTTTTTGCCGCCTTGGCCGCCGCGTTCCAGGATATGTTCTTGGACCCACCAGCAGCAGCATTAGCAGCAGCGGCAGCCTCAGCCGCCTCACGCAGGTGCTTACATTTGGCATCCTGAGTCCAAAAGGGTTGTTGCTCAGGCGTGATGCGCATCCCGGTGATGGTGTGGTTGTTGCAGATAGATCCAAGCTTGCCACTAATAGCTGTCCCGAGAAGGGCAAGCACCTCAGCTTCACAGATGGAATCACCAGCCAAATTCTTTGCGACCTCAGCAGCCTTCTCAGCATCTTCGGCAAGATATCCAGTGTCGGAAATGGCAGTCAGGTCGAGTGAAGAGGCAGGGAGTCCTCGGGCCAGGCGGTACTGCACCAACGCGTTGAGGAAGCAATTGGCAGCGGCGTAGGCGGCCTGCCCACGGTTGCCGACAGCACCAGCGACGGAGGAGATGGCGACGAAAAAGTCCAAAGGTGCATTAACAAGGGCATTGTGGAAGTTCCAACCACCTTGAACCTTGGATTCGATGACAGATGTGTATTGGTTAAAAGTCATCTTCTCAAAGAGGACATCATGAAGGACCATAGCACCGTGAATCAGACCACGCACAGGCGGCATGCCCTCCAGACCTTGGTTGACCAGGTCTTCGACGTCAGCAGGATTGGCCACGTCACAGCGGCGAACGATGATATTGGCGCCTTGCTCGCCGGCCTCGTCGATAAGCTCCTTGACTTTACCAGTTGCAGAGCCCGATCTAGAAACCAGGACCAGGTTGCGTGCGCCGCGCTTAATCATCCAGCGAGACATACTGCGGCCTAGACCGCCAGTGCCTCCGATAAGGATGTATGTTGCATCGGGCTTTAGAAGCTGAAGCGGCTTTTTGGGAGGCGTTGCCTTGACAATGTCTTGGGCATGAGGTACAACAACAAGCTTACCATGAGCATTATCACCACTTTGAAGGGCTTTAAGTGCCGATTCAACATTCGAAATAGGGAAAGTAGTGATGGGCGAGGGAGGAGCAACTTTGTTGTACTTGATGAGCTTTGAAACATCGCTCAGGACCCGCTGCATAACTCTGGGTCGCTCAGCGGCAAGGGCCATCATGTCGACTGTCATGAAGCTTGAGTTGTTCTCGAACTGATCCATATCGAGTTTGACGTTGGTGGAGGAAATGCGGGTTCCGACATCGATCAGACGCCCAAATTTGTTGAGACAATCCCAACTCTCCCGGACAGCATCCCCAGCGAGACAGTTCAATACAATGTCAACGCCATGGCCGTTGGTGACTTGACGTAGTGACTTGCCGAAACTGTTGTTGCGGCTGTGGAAAATGTGATCCTCCGGAATGTTATAATGCTCCATCAGGAATTCCTTCTTCTCGGCGCTGCCAACAGTAACAAAGACCTCAGCGCCGATCATTTGAGCAAGAGAGATGGCAGCTTGTCCAACTGCACGAGCAGCAGCATGAATCAAGACGCTTTCATCCTCCTGCAGGCGACCGAGCTCAATCAATGAGTAATAGGCAGTGGTGTAAGCCAAGGGCAGAGAAGCACCGGTTTCGAAAGACATATCAGAGGGCAGTCTGAAAGCGAAAGACGCTTTTGTGCGCGTGGTAGTAGCAAAACCGCCATGTGTCATCGCGGCCACACGGTCACCAACCTTGAAATTCGTGACCTTTTTGCCGAGCTTGGTAACAATACCGCTTGTCTCGACACCAAAGTCATCAGTGGCCAGTTTTCCGTGTGCTGCTGTCAAATCACGATGATTGAGGCCGATAGCTTGAACCAGAACTTCAATCTCATCTGCAAGTAGATCCGTCTCCTTGCTCTCATCGTCGACGAAGTGCAGAGTGTCAAGTGCGCCGACGTTGCCAATCTTCAGCTTCAAGATCCGATCACCTTGTCCAAAAGGAGTTGGTTGGAGTGCAGAAGACTGGGTCTCTTGGTGTACGATAGCGTTCATCTCAGCGTCATTGATGATCCGAGGCGTAAAGAACCTGCCATCTCGCTGGGAGAACTCCATCTCGGCATTTCTCGGACTGTCCTTACTGAAGATGGCCTTGAAGATCTTCATTACGGCTTCAGTCACTGTGTCAGCCTCCAATGGCGAGCGCCCGTCAAGGTCTAACGTAGCGAATGGTAAGAGGGTTTCAGAGCGGATAGTCCTGCTGAGACCAGTAATCATGTTCAAATCAGGAGAGGTGGCCTTCTCATAAGCACCACGAATGACCCATAGAGCGCCCTGTACATTGGCGATAATATTCTGAAGAGATTCGAATTCATTGGCCTTGAGTACTGACAGTAGTGGCTTTTCAATTTCGGGCAGGAAAATTGCCAATTTGCCCTCTGCATCAGGTGCGGAGAGCAAATCGCTCATTTGAGGCATCTTTCCTGTACTTTTCTCGATAACTTCAGCCAAGCCCGTGGCGACCTTGACCTGAAGTGCAGTATTTGAACGGATAATGATCACCTCTGATTCGGCGGGTTCTAGTGGCTGAGGAAACTCGGAATCTAGAACCGGCTCCCAGTCTATCTTGTAGCAAAGCTCCCTATGAACCTCCTCAACAGCTGCTTCGTGGTCAATCATGGGCGATACGGTGAGGTCTTCCAGCGTGATAAGAGGCGTGGCGGTCTCGTCAGCAGAGGTCATGAACATAGTGATCTTGGTAGGCTTGGGGGCATCAGTTGCGAAGTGACCTTGCGAATAAGCATTCAGAAGCTTTCCCGGTTGCATTGTGGCCTCTGTGACGCTCTTGGAGATGGTGATGCGCTCAACCGCCGACGGCAGGTAAATTGTGTCGATAGAGCTCCGGCCGCCATCTGCAATGGGCCAGTACATTGAGATTAGTGACTCCAGGAGTGCTGGCTGTAAGACGGCAGGGCTGATATGGTTGTTGGGCATCTCGTGGGCGATATCCGGAACAACAAGTTCCGCCTTTGAGCAACGACCGCCTGTTGAGATTTTACCGAGACCCTGGAAGGTGGCGCCGTAAGAAACACCGAGCTCATTAAGGGCATTGTAGAGAGTATCAGAAGAGAGTGATGTTAAGGCGCTCTTATCCACTGATGCAATTGTCGACTTCAACAGACTTTCTGCTTCCTTAGCACATCGATCGTCATCGACACCATTGCATTCGTGGTTCTCGACGGTAATAAAACCCTTGCAGTGCTCTTTCCAGCCTTGCGCTTTGCTCCAAGAGCAGATTCGGAACTCATCCCAAGTTCCTTGGGTAGTCTCAGGGTCCGGACGGAGAGTTGTGGTCATCTCTACATCGGCGTCGGGGATGATAAGCGGTGCAACGACAGTCACATCTCGAAGCTTGTACTTATCAAACAATACCTCCGCAGTAGCAGCACGCTGAGCAGCTGCTTCGACTGCCATTGTGATAAACCCGGACATAGGAAATACGGTTAATGACTGCACCTTGTGGTGCTCTAGCCAAGGCAGATCCTCGAGGCGGACAATGTTTCGCCACGTTGGTTCCAGATCATTGGAGTAGTGGGCAACGGTACCCAATATATCGTTCCGAGGAGCACTGCGGTGTTTGTGCTTCTGTGTGAGTCTTGAATCGTGCCAATATTTGGTAGACTTGTTCCATGGGTATCGCGGCAAGTCTGTGAGCAGCTGCGGTGGTGTCTTCTGATGCTTGGGGAAGTTGATGGCGTCGAAGTCGAGGGTATAGCCCTTGGTAAATAGGGTACCCGCAAGTGCCAGTGCTGTCTCGACGGCGTCCTTCTTTCTAGAAAGAGCAGCAGCATATGGCACTTTAGCAGCCGGGCCACCCACAGCCTGCATGATCTGTTTGATAGGCCCCTGGAGAGCGGAGTGGGGTCCAAGCTCAACCAGCATGTTCACACCAGTGGCGTGTTCACCAATGGGTGCTAACATACTCTGGACAGCCTCGTTGAACCTGACAGCACAAGTAAGATTTTGCACCCAGTAAGTGGGTTCTAGCTCCGAAGCATCACACTGCTTGCCCAGAAGGGATGAGTGGAAGCGAACGCTCGTGGGAGAGGGAGATGGAAGGTGGCCGATTGACTCTTGGTAGTCTTTCGCAAGAAGGTTCATGTGGTGGGAGTGGTAAGCGGTATCCACAAAAAGCTTGCGGTTGAATATTTGTTTATCATCAACCGTCCTCTTGAGCTCATCAATACCGGCTTCGTCACCGGATATAGTCAAGCTGGTGGGCGAGTTGTAACAAGCAATCTTGACCTCACCATCCTTGAGCTCTGAAATGAGGGCTTCGAACTCCTCCTTGCTTCCACCAACAGCCATCATAGATCCTCGTAGATCTGTATGTCTCTCTTTCAGAACAGGAATAAGTCTCCCGCGATGATAGGCAATAATCATGGAGGAGTCGAAGTCCAATATACCAGCAGCGTAAGCAGCACCAATCTCACCACTCGAATGACCAGTGACTGCCTCTGGGAAAACACCCCATGAGTGTAGAAGGTCAACCAATGCAAGCTGGATTGCTGTGCAGGACGGCTGACTGATGTGAGCAGCACCTACTTGAGTAGTCTTTTCGTCCTTGCTAAGCTCCTCAATGAGCGACCAGGGAGCACCAACAGACCTCAAAACAGTGTCTGCACGATCGATGGCGTTCTTGAAGATAGGGTAGTGATCGTAGAGTTCGCGACCCATACCGTACCACTGAGCACCTTGACCGGTAAAAACAAACCCAATCCTGAGGGAATCACCTTCTTTCGCAGCGGTGTAATTGCCGGAAGAAATAGTTTCGACGAGGTCAAATGATCGCTGTGCAGAAATGGCTACTCTGTATTGTAGAAGCGATCTGCGCTGGCAGAGGGTGTATGCAAAGTTGCCCATCAGATCTTTTTGGAACATTTCCGGTCTCTGCTCAAGGTAGACGACCAGGTTCTTCAGAACAGTCTCAAGGGCATTCTTGTCGTTGGCAGTAAAGACGAAGAGTTTGCGGCCTGGGTTGTCATCATTAAGATCGGAGTCGTCCTTGGTAGTCCTTGTTGCAAACGGCACCTTTTCAAGCACAACGTGTGCATTGGTACCACCGAAGCCAAAATTGTTCACACTAATGTATTTCTTGTTTCGTGGCCAGGGTCGCTGTGTCACAGGAACTTTATAGTTCCACTCCTTCCAGGGAATCTTAGAATTTGGTTTCTTGAAGTCGTAGTTGGGCAGCACGAAACCGCGCTCCAACATCATGGCGGCCTTGATGATTGCCACAATGCCAGAAGCTCCTTCGAGGTGTCCTATGTTGGATTTCAATGAACCAAGGAACAAGGGATCCCTTGGTCCGCGACTGCCGAAAACGCCATGAAGAGCCGTAGCCTCGATAGGGTCACCCACTCTTGTGCCTGTTCCATGTGCCTCGACAAAACCCACCTCCTTGGGGTCAAGATTCGCTTGATCGTACACTTGCTTCATCAGATCCCCTACAAAAGAGTACATTAGTAAGAATAAAAGATCTCCCAGCCGGATAACCAACTTACTCTGTGCAATACCGCAAGGCATGGTAATACCCGGTGTCCTTCCATCTTGATTGATACCGCTCCCGGCGATGATAGCCTTTACATGATCGCCATCCCGGATAGCTTGATCTAAAGGCTTGAGAATTACCACGCCGCAGCCTTCGCCACGACCAAAGCCAGTACCTCTATCGTCAAACGAGTATGATCGGCCTGAATCAGAGAAAAGTCTGAAAACAATTAGTACTACTTTTACTAGAGTTCAATTGACTGACGGGGTTTAGAAGTTACCTAGACTTGGCAAAAGAAATGTAGAACTCTGGAAGCATATTGAGATGACAACCACCAGTGATAGCCATACTGGATTCGCCAGTCCGTAGACTTTGACATGCCAAGTGCAGTGCAACCAGACTGGAAGAACACGCTGTATCCGATGTGAAGCTGGGACCCTTGAGATCGAAGAAATGAGAAAGCCTATTTGATTGCATTCCATAAGCGCAACCTGTCAGTTTATTAGTATAACTAACAATGAAGTTCTTAGATTTGATTTCTTACCGGTTGCCTGATGCATGGGAATAGTGTCTGAGTCTCGGAATAGATGTGACTCGTACTCTGGGAACGAGCCTCCGATGAAGACACCAACATCCTTTCCGACTATAGTCTGCTTAGGGATACCGGCATGTTCCAACGCCTCAAACGTGCCCTCGAGAAGCAAACGTTGTTGAGGATCCATAGAGATAGCTTCCTTCTCTGTTAAGCTAAAAAATGGTGCGTCGAATGCTTCGAGGTCAAAGTCGAGAAAATGCCCACCAACGGGATTGGCACAACCCGCCTTTCCAGGGTTTGGATGATGGAAAGCTGCAAGGCTGAACCTCTCTTCTGGTATCGTCGAGTAGCCACTTCTGGCTCTCGCTAACATCTCCCAAAACTCTCCTGGGGTCGCGACATGGCCAGGCAAGCGACAAGACATACCCACGATAGCTATGGGCATCTGAGGTGGCGTGGGTCGCGACGATGTCGATGAGGTTGGACTGATAGGTGTTTGTGGGGTCTGAGGTGTCGCAATTGTTGTCGAAGGTTCACTGATGTACAGATGTGCCAGACCGTTCGTCACTCCATTGGTCTGGATGTCAGCAAGGCCATTGGCATTGGCATGGCCATCGACTTGGGAGCTGAATCCATTTGCAAGACCATCAACTGCGCTCGTGGCACCCTCGCCGTCAATGGCTGTCGGCGCCATAGCTGCAAGGTTTCTGGTTCCTTGAGTGAGTGGGATGGTAGTTTACAGGGAAATAATCACTTGATCACGACATCGAGGCGAGATGCAGAAGATTATATGGAATCTTGGTGTGGGTCGGTAGCAGCCCGACTTGTTCAGACAAGCTCCCATCATATCTCTAAATGGAAGGCGACTAGAGCTTGACCGTCAGAGTCTGGGGTTTCTGGAAGTCGGGTAAGGGGCAAATCTTTCCGACCTCAGGAAGCAAGCGTCCAGTGACTGGGTCTCACTAACCATCGGATGGAAAGTTTGTGATACGCACTCGAATATACCGGAAATAGGTGTCTTGGCAACGTAGGTACAAGCAAAACAGAACCCACCTGTCGTGACGATTGGCCACGTGCGATACCTGAATGCCATGGTATGCCGAAGACACTGAACAGATGTACCTGCAACGGGACCACACATACACCTGCTTTTGGGAGCCGCTTAAGGCATGACATCAAAATGTCGGAGCTGGACACCCGTTCCGGCAAGAGATCAAGAACATGCGAGCAGCTGCGGCGATAGAATTGTTCGAGATGCTCGCATGTTTAGAGTTGCATTGCCGGGATGCATGTAGCTCATGTTTGTCACATACCCTTGATCTCGCTGGTTTTTTTTTTTTTTGTTAATTCTTGAGGATAATCAGCATGGTCGCATCAAATATTTGCAGAAAGCACCAATGATGAAGGTATCTTTCTGCTAGTTTTCAAAAGCATGTACCGCTGCAACAGCCTCGAACGGAGGCTGTTGAAACCTGATCAGCCTTGCAATGACTTGAGATAAGCACGTGTGATCGAATGTTGAGACACGACAGCGATACGAGGATTGGAGCAAAGATTGACCTGATGATCGCAGTTGGATGTGACGCGGTAATCGTGGCCAAGCGCAAACCGCGACGAATGCGAAAGATGGCTGGCTGGTTACTGATTACGGGGAAAAGCAAGGTGCTCAGCAATAGATCAGTGGAGGTGTGGGACATTGCGATAGGTGTTTCCATATAGGTAAACTGTTCAAGGGTGAAACTTGACATGCATCTGGGAGGAGTTCGCGACATGTGAATGCGGTTGAGGAAGGAAGACATGAAAAGCTTCCCGTCGCGTCTCAGATCGTGTGGAGTGGTTGTTGCGAAACCGACTCCCTTCTGAGCGCTTCGGCGACGGCTGTCGGTCTTTCACCTAAGTGTGGGGGTGGGGCCGTCAACTGCCATTAGGCCTGGCGGCTTGTGCTAAACCCACAATGGCGACCGTATTCCAATAACCCCCTGAACGCCCATCCCTGCCCCTGCGTCCCGCGAATTCGGCGATAGTATGCGAGGGGTCTCACATGTATCATGAGCGCTATGGTATTTTGCTTGAATACTTGAGACTGACACCTTCCATTTGAGCTGTCATGGTGGTGAGCGGTGCCTTGCCCTTAATCGCAGGCGGTGATCATTACCCTGGAAACTCGCTTAGTGCTCGGCGTCAGAGCCTCAGTTACCCGTCTAGGTCAGACGTCCGGAAACACTGCTCTTGATTCGACAGTCTCCTGTTTGATAACGTCGATCATCGCCGAGACCTTCCGCCGTGCATTGCCAATGGCTGCAGGATGTTCTATAACTCAGACGCGGTACTTCCCATCTGGTATCTCGTAGCTTGCTTTGACAATCTGCTACATGAGTAAGGTATCTATCTCCACGTTATTTTCCATATACTTGTTCCAATCAACCAAGATGCAGCCGAGTAGCCTAGCCCAATTGAAGATATTTTGGATGATGACACTGTTTCATTGCTACTGGTAGCCGAATGCATGTGAAGGAAATTATGTCCATTTCGCCATTTGAGCTGAGAATTGTCTCGTGGAATTATCATCTGTTGGATTGTCGATTTTGTTCTTCAGCTCGGTAGTCGGCACCTGCTTGCTGTAGTCAATCCAATCGACTTGATCTTCCAAGACAATACTCATTCCAACATGAAGTTCCTCTGTCTACCAGGTGCATATGGCAGTGCAGAGGTATGTGATCACGTCATCGGAGGTCTATAACCTTATACTGACTACATGGTCAGAAATTCAAGGTGCAGTTAGGTACGACTGAAACATTCAATATTCTTTAACGTCGACTAAATATCTACAAAGCACCTCTCGTCAATGAACTCACCGGAGATAATTCGGCAGAGTTCCACTTCATTGATGGCCCATGCGAGGCCATACCACCAAAAGGATTCGAAGACTTCTTCGGCAAACCTCCATATTACCGATTCATCGAGCCAGATGACAAAACTGGAGATGAAACTGATCCTCTTTCACGTATTCGGGACTTCCCAGAATGTGACACGCCAGAAGAGACGATGAGAGAGCTTATGAAAGAGGGCGTAGCCAGTTGCATCCTCAGCACGATTAAAGCGATACAATATTTATTCAAGATCATGGAAGAGGAAGGACCGTTTGAAGGGATTATTGGCTACTCTGAGGGAGCGACTGTCGCCGGTACACTACTACTAGCAGAGCAGCGGAGGAAGCAGTATGAAGGATATGAGCCCATGATCAAGTGCGCTATTTTCTTTGCTGGATGGCCACCGTTAGACCCACAAACCTTTGCGATGGTCCTCTCAGACGAGACAGACGTTATGATTGACATTCACACATGTCACATAAGTAAGTTCCTCTTCTTATCCACCAGGATTGTGAAATGTCTCTAACAATTGGCTAGTTGGTTCGTTGGACCCATACGTGGGTGGTTCCCTGGCACTGTACAACACATGCGATACTGACATTGCGTACATGTTCGATCACGGCAAGGGTCACACTTTGCCAAGAGATGCAGCTGTTATCAAGGAGTTGGGCGATGTAGTAAGAAACATGATCAAGGAGTCTACCGGGGCCGAGGAAGATTAGCAGCCACACAAAACGCACATACATAGAATATACTCCGTCCTTTGGTTTGTTGGTATTACTCATTTCTTGTCATGGTGCATGGTCTTGGTTCTGCGTCAATCATGTAGAGTGCAGTCTTAATATACAAGGAGCCATTTCGAACAACGAGCTCTAGTCAACTATGCAAGGCAAGGGCCTGCAATTGCCTAAAATTAACAATCTCGTTGTCGCCAACAACTACTCAGCGGTTCAGGCAGAGATTCTGCCATTTGACGCCGCGTACACCTGGACTCGCTCACAGATAAGGTTCCACGCAGTTCAAATTCGGCCGGTAATGTTTTCCAAGGGATGATGACATGAGCTGGCGTGATTGCAACATGAGTATGCACGCCAAGGCGAGCAGGAGTGCGGACCCAATTTACAGAAATGGCAAGCCAGAGTTATAGCGATCATGTTAATGACATATGAGGAAGTCGGTTTCGCTCCCCTGCATTTGGCAGTCCGATAAGGAATCTGCGACAGGCGGGCCACTCTAATTCAAATTGAAGCCACCCCAGAGCCGCGGCGATCCAGTAAAACACCGCTAGCAGACCACAGGGGAGCAAATACCTTGTAAAGCCTGCGGGGCAGTTCATTCGGACGGCCAAAAGACACGATGCACATGCAATCTCGCAACCAGCAGGTAGACACTACAAAGGTTTTACTGCTCATTGGGCGTCATGCCAGCGCTTTAAGGCTACCTAATTGCCACTATGGCTTTTCTATTCTAGAGAAACTGATTTCATTCTTTCCCAGCCTCTGCACAATTGACCTGGCGTCCATTCCTTGCACCGACTAGTTACATTCACTTGGCGCTAGGAGTGCCGTAATATTCAAATATGCAAAATGGACTTTATAGGGCCCGAAGACCGGGTTCGCAGGGGACAATCAGCACAACGACCAGCCGATCATAGAGCGCAAAATGCATCTACCTCATCTTCCTCAATGCATGGGAGAAAGATCTCGGGGTCGTCGTTCCTTTCTCTTTCTGATTCTAGTACCGAGACTCTTCACGTATCTGAATCTGAGCCTGAGCCAAGTGGCCTTCAAGTTCCTAATGTCGTAGCCTCGAGTGGGCAGAGCAACGTTCACACGGAGAGGTTGTTGATCGCTGCTGCACCATTTCCTGGCACGGCAGCACGGAGGGTATCTTTCTCAAGGCCGTTCTCACCCGAAAGACCACCTCCAGTCTCGCCGTCATTTGGCCGGGTTCATTCAACAGCAACAACATGGTTCAAGCCACCGTCTGCATCCGTGGATCCGCACCTATCGCGGTGGGACTTCAGAAATGCCGACAACCCAGACACTACGTCTGATATTATCGATGACTATCTGGCACCCCGGACGCCTGTTAGGTCAAGAGCCAATTCGGTAATTTCTAGGTTGTCAGTTGAGCTTGCACCTGAAGCAGTCGGATTTTCAAGGGCATTTCGACCTATCGTGCCACCACCAAGGTTGCTTGCGCTGAAGAAGGGCGGTCGTCATGTGACTACCGCCGCGTTATCGCCAGTTGACTCAATCTCTGCGGCTAGTGCCTCGCCGACTACTCCTAGGACTCCTTTCACTCCCATAACGCCAGGCACCCCCAGGACTCCTTTCACTCCCATCACACTAAGCACCCCCAGGACTCCCCTTACGCCACTGACACCAGACCATACTAAGCCACTACCGCCAATCCCGTTCATACCTTCGACCACAACTATCCAAGAATTTTCTGTTGAAGACGATAAGACAGGCGGAGGTGGCGATGCAACCCAAAAGGACGACGCAGAGGAAGGACAGGGTGTCTTAATAGCTAGGAGAGGCGGCAGAGGTGCGTTGAGAGGGAGGGGACGGGGTGGCAGAAACGGCCGAGTGGGCAGAGGCGGGCGAGGTGCTACATATGGCATGGAATTAAGAGAGGCAGTAGCGTCCGACGTAAGCTCAGAATCAGCTGCTGGGATAGCGGATAGGGGAGGTGTAGAGTCAAAAGCTGGTTCGACAGGCACTGAAGTCACTGGCACGGACACAGCTAGTGAGGGAATCATCGGCGGCACCAGTACAGGAAGTCGGGGCAGTAGAGGTTTGAGAGGTCGAGGTGGCCGTGGCGGCAGAGCTGGTCGAGGAGGTCGAGGCGGCAGAGGGGGTGCGAGAGGTGTTGCACTAGGCACCGCTGGTGAGCAAGTCGTAGCAGATGATCAAAGCGAAAAACAGTCAGCTATGGCCAAAGGTGAAGGAAAGGCTTCCGGAGAAGAAGAGAAGGATGAAAAGGGCGTGAAGCATCCCCGCCACATTCCGCCAGGGCCAATGAATGACCCAGCAAAGAGAAAAGCCGCGAAGAAGGCCAAGACAGGGCAAACTTTTAGAGATTTTCTTGTAAGTTGCTTGGCATGTACGTTGTCTTTCCACTTATGCTAATGAAACAGAGGATATTCTCATATACGACGAAACGTGACCGCTTCTTCATCACCATCTCGACCTTTGGTGCAATCATTTGCGGACTCACCTACCCAGCAATGACTATCGTTTTTGGCAATCTCGTTGGTCATATTACCTCTACCAACTTTACTGGAGAGGATGCGGGTCAGGTCAAGACTTTTCTGACTGGGGTCATCAATCAAGCCGTGCTCTACTTCGTCTATCTCTTTGGTATTCGTTTTGTGTCTGGATACATCGCCACAGTAAGTGTTCTATGCCGGTTTTGTGAGTACTTTTCTAATATCACGTGTCGCAGCTAGGATTCAACGTCATGAGTATACGCGTCTCGTCAACTTTGAGGTTGGCATACATGAAAGCCCTTTTGAGCCAGCGAGTATCATTGTTGGACACACAGCCTCCTGGTCAACTAGCTGCAATAATCACTAGCACTTCCAACGCGCTTCAAGCAGGAATCTCTGAGAAATTCGCTCTTTTAATCCAAAGTATTGCGCTCGTGGTCGGTGCAATGATCAATGCTTATCTTCACAGTTGGAAGCTGGCTCTCGTCACCTGCAGTGGGCTTCTGTTGATCATCCTCACCTATTGTGTCACAACTCCATTTGTCGTCAAGAACCAGAAGCAGGTAGAACAGATGAACATTAAGGCTTCCGGAGTGTCCAGTGAAGCTTTCGGGGCAATGCGCATGATTGCGGCATGTGGCGCCGAGGGGAAAGTGGTAAATAAGTATGAAGGCTGGGTTTCGAAGGCACGGAAGATCGGAATGCGGTTATCCAAAATCGTGGCAGTTCAAAAGGGAACAGGTACGATCAAAAACCTACAAGATAATGACTTATGGCTAACAGTCGTGTGTAAAGTGTTTTTCAGCGTCATTGGAACATTTGCAGTTTCGTGTTGGTTTGCAGCGAGAATGATCGTGGCTGGAGAGATCCCAAACAGCAGCATCCTTATCATGTAGGATACCCGCATATCGTGGCTTAAAGACTAACTAATATATGGTAGGGTCCTCATGAGCATCATGATGACCATTAATGCTCTAAGCAATATAGCGCAACCCGTAGCTGCTGCGTCCCGAGCCGCGCACGCTGCGAGGACTTTGTTCAATGGCCTCGATGCGCCCAAGCCCAAGACGACGGGGAAGAAGGCCCCGGATGTCAGTGCCACAGAAAGGCTCGTCTTGTGGAATGTGAACTTCACATACCCATCCCGCCCTAAACAGAAGATTCTGGACCAGTTTAAACTGGTTATCCCCGCAGGTAAAGTAACCGCAATTGTCGGCCCATCTGGTTCCGGAAAAAGTACAATCGTCAGCCTAATCGAAAGATGGTATGAGTTGGACGGTGCTGTCACTGGCAACAAGCTGGTAAGTAGTTTCAAACTGTTTGGGCTTGAGGTACATGGGTTCTGATATGTAGAGTAGGTGCAATACTTTCGAAACGGCAAAGTGGCATGCGGTGGTGTCCCGCTACACGAGATTGACATGAAATGGTGGAGATCCCAAATTGGTCTTGTGCAACAAGAACCATTCCTATTCAACGACACCATTTACACGAACGTCTCATACGGACTGATCGGAACGGAATGGGAAGATGCGGAGGAAGAAAAGAAAAGAGAGTTGGTAAAGCAAGCCTGTGCGGAAGCTTTCGCGGACGAGTTCATTTCACGGCTTCCCGATGTAAGTACAGTCCACGCAATGTTCTGAACACGAGCTTATTCTTTCACAGGGTTATGATACACTAGTTGGTGATTCTGGTGGTAAATTAAGTGGAGGTCAGCGACAACGACTTGCGATTGCTCGAGCTATAGTGAAAAAACCCAAGATTCTCATCCTAGACGAAGCGACAAGTGCTATCGACGTACAGGGGGAGAAAGTAGTCCAAGCCGCTTTGGATAAGGTCTCCCAAGGACGAACTACAATTGTCATAGCCCACAGACTTTCAACTGTCAAGAACGCGGATACAATTGTTGTGATGAGCAAAGGCAAGGTCGCACAATGGGGAAAGCACAAACAATTGATGGCGAAGAAAAGCGGCCCTTACTACCTCTTGTCACAAGCCCAGAAGTTGACAAGCGGTGAATCTCAAGATGCTGCCCTAGATAATTCTTCCGACACGGCAGTCTCTGAGGATGGGAGATGCACCAAGGATCTCACGGGGAAACATAAGGGCGAGGAAGATGTACGCCCAGCTAGTGAGACTTGTGATGACGATGACGATAACGGCAACGATATCGAGTATGAGTCTAAGAAGCTGACTAAAGTTTTTGGACCGCTGTTGTTGGAGCAGAGGAAGCATTGGATATGGTATTGCATCATGTTCTTTGGTGCTGTCATGGCCGGAGGTATGTAACTCGTTAGTTGATTTTTGATAACCAAACTAACCTCGACATTAGCAAGTGCGCCGCTTCAGGCTTACCTCTTTGCTGCTCTACTTTCATCTTTCAACACATTGGGGCCATATCTATTAATACTGACCAATTTTTGGTGTTTAATGTTTGTTATCCTGGCAGGCAGTGTCGGCATTGGTTATTTCGCGTTGACGTTTGCCGCCACTCGAATCGCCTTTGTGAGTATTATGACGAAGACAGGGAACGAAACTTTTGCTAAATTGAGGTAGATGATTACAACGAGTTATCAGCTTGACTATTTTGGAAGCATGATTCTTAAACCAATCTCCTGGTTTGACAAGGAGGAAGAAAAGGAAGGAACTCTCACGCAACGTTTAGCAGCCGACGCCACGGCGCTTCAACAACTGCTTGGCAACAATCTGGCTTTCATCGTGATTGCTATTTTGAGCATAGCCGGTTGCTTAGCAATAGCTTTCTACTTTGGCTGGAAATTGACCGCGATCTCTTTGGCCGCAGCCATGCCTTTGGCAATCGCCGCTGGTTTCTTCCGTTCGCGAATTGAGAAGAAGTTTCAGAAGATGAACACCAAAGTCTTCGCCGAAAGCGCCAGATTCGCCACGGAATCTATGGGCGCCATCCGAACTGTCACTGCTTTGACTCTAGAAGATACGATCTGTCAGCGCTACGAGAAGATGTTGACGAACCACCTGCACGTGGCGTACCGAAAAGCCCGTCTTGCAACGATCATATTCGCAGCCAGCGACGCTGTACCTCTGCTTTGCATGGCCTTCATCCTGTGGTATGGAGGAGGTCTCTTGGTTAGCGGAGAGTATATCTCCTTCCAATATTTAGTCGTGTACCTGGCCGTCGTCCAAGGTGCGCAAGGTGTCGGGCAATGGCTGAGTTTCGTCCCGAATCTTGGTGCAGCGAAACTTGCAGCTGCTCGTATTCAAGAAGTACGGGTCAGGGAAATCGATCCGGACAAAGGGCTCAAGCTGGGCGATGCCGCCTTGGAGTTTAACGAGAAGCATGAAATAATGGGTCCGGAGATTGCGTTTCAGAATGTATGGTTCAAGTATCCCACTCGGGATGTGCCAGTCCTTTGTGGGATGAATATGACGATAGAAAAAGGCCAATTTGCTGCTATTGTCGGACCATCTGGTAAGTCACATAGTTCCATGGCACGAAATGAAGCTGACACATAGCAGGATGCGGGAAAACTAGCATCATCTCGATTATCGAAAGATTCTACGGCACCAAATCAGGACAAGTTTCCATGAACGGGGTCGATATCCGCGACATAAACATACAAGATTACCGAAAAACCATGTCACTGGTAGCTCAAGAGCCCTTCATGTTCCAGGGCACCATCCGCGAGAACATTCTCTTTGGTGTCGAACCTGAGAAAATCTGCAGCTGCGACCACAATCTTCATGAAGCATGTCGCGACGCCGAAATCCATGACTTCATTATGTCTCTCCCAGAAGGCTATAACACGCGGGTGGGATTCAAGGGTATTCTGCTGTCTGGCGGCCAGAAGCAGCGCATGTCCATTGCAAGAGCTCTGATCAGAAATCCGAGACTACTTCTTCTAGACGAGGCGACTTCTGCCCTCGACTCGGAAACCGAGAAGCTGGTCGAGGGCGTTTTTGAGCGGACTAAGAAGTCCAGAACCATGGTGGTCGTGGCCCACAGGTTGGCAACAATTCAAAATGCTGACATTATCTTTGTCCTCGGCGACGGAAAGGTTGTCGAAAGTGGGACGCATGCGCAGCTGCTCGCGAAGAAAGGCGTTTACTGGAGCATGTGCCAAGCCCAGTCGCTGGAATAATTTAAGCCCGAAAACAGAATCTCAGGCGGCGTCCAGCCAGGGTTTGCCTTGATCTTGTTGGGTTATCGTGTAAATATTGTATCATATGCCAAATCAAAAATTGATTGAAAGAGTCCCAATTCAAACTTGACAACATAAGCATATCTCAGAATGTTTTGGCGGTTGCCAATCGGCATTGCTTCATTCCAGGGCAACGTTAAAGTTGCAAATATCGTCCCACCATACATGTCAGTATGACGATGGGGTCGTGGTGGATCGGCAGTGGGTCACATTATAGTGGAGATCATGAAAGTGCCCAAGAAGTATAATCGACATATATGATCGTCACAACAGTACGAAATCACGGATGAGTCCAAGTGGCAGTTGTTACGAGTATTTATTGTGACTATATAAATATATGTGGATTGGTGAGCTACCATGTTTAGGCAGATGTCTCTGTCTTTAGCGTGTCGTATTGGTTGTCGCGATCAATAGCCGTCTCCCGTCCCACGCCGCCTGCGTTGCTCGACGCAGTCTGGGCAACAAGCTTCGCCTCCGCCAATCGTGCGGGATCGTCCTTGGATCCGATCTCTGTGAAGCTGGCATTGCTTCCGGTACCAAGACTCTTGTCTTCCTTCAGGTTCTTGCCGTGCGGACCTCCGGAAGCTTGCGTATACTGGCTGTCCACGTATGAGGGTGCGGTGCCGGCGTGCGTGCTACCGCCTGAGATGTGGTGGCTACCCTCGTGTGGTCTGGATGTCGATTTGTGCTGCTCGCTGTGGCGGGATGCGATCTCAGAGGTGGATATCTCGTTGTCCTTTTTGAAGGTGCTCGACTCGGCTGCGAGTGAGTCGGAAGCCACGGCTCCGGGACCTTCTTGGGTCACAGGAGCGTTCTGGCCGAGATCGACCTTTTGGCCGTGGCTGGTGGCTTTGTTTCCGGAAGCCATTGTGATGAAGGTGTGTTGTTATGGTGTGAAGGTGTAGGTTTCGTATGATAGATTGTTTCTCACTGAGAAATATTTTAGATATTGTAGTAGTCGTCTCGATTGTATTGTTTAGATTAATGTTTAGAAATTTAATGATGCCCGTATTTTCACTGAGTGTCGATATAGCTGTTAATAAAGACAAGTCCAGCTGAAGCTCAAAACAATGACATCACCACATAACGTCAGAGCTGCGCAAGCATATGCACCTCTCTTGTGATCGATCGTCCTACACACTTCGGAACATAAGAGATATAAAAGTCTCGTGCCTTCATTCGGCAGATAAATTTGGACCTTTTGTGGGTATTGAATTGCTTCATCGCCATTCGCAATGACCTTAGTGGCCTGACGTGCTTGTATCGGCGATGTCACCAGCTGCGGTCAGGGGTCCACTGCACATACCAGGACCACCTCACTAAGAGTAATAGTTAAGTGGAATGGGCGTCGTGCGGATCCCACCCACCAACAACTCATGGAACTTCCATCACCCTACCAGAACATTCTATATTGATGGGTTGGTCATGCTCTCTTCCATACTATATTTGATTATCCATTGCTTATTTCTTTGTTGAGTGTTACTTTAACTATTCCCATACGTCTTCAACATTGAAAGGGAGGTGGAAGAGTACCAGATTCCGAAGCTATTTGCATCGCCTTGATCGTCGCATACAGACCACCAACGCAGATAAAAGCGCCCGCAAGGATTGTGAGTATGTTCACGACAAACATTGCAGGTCTCTCTGCCCATGCACGCCACCCACCTTTGAAGTAGTAGATATCATGGATCCAGAACGCCCCAGCTAGTCCGTACGTGTACCATGCTGCGAACAATGAGGCGGTTATCCCGACAAGATAGTTAAATATGGGTATTCCCACTGCAAAGACAAAGGCGGCGACATTGGCCAGCAGTATCAAGAATGTCCAGATGCCCCACCCAGTGATCGTGTGCGAATGTATATGCCGACTTCGCCTGAACAGCCTGACGAAAACAAGTTTAGCGGCAGCGTGGCTGTATAGGCCTCCAGCGATCAAGAAGTTTGGAATGGCCAGCCCGAAGCTGATTTTTGACCAAAGCGGACTGAGACTCAAAAAGCTGGGACTGGAGACCCCCGATCCAATGTACCAGTATGTAACAACAGCAAAGGTTATGTAGAAGGCTGTAGACACAATCTGAAGTACCCAGGCAGCTTTCATCGCATCCTGTGGTTGCTTCATTTCGGAAATGAGAATGAAGAACATAAAATGCCCTGCATATGCGAACACTGGGTTCGTGATACTGGTAAATGCTGAAGTGAAGTTCGTCGTGATCACCACGGCAATATTGCCAGGAGCAACTGGTGAAGCTCCAGCTCCGGCCATTCCCACGATCCCAGCCACGATGATTGAAGCTGCCGCAGCGACCGATAGCAAGCTCATGTTACCTAACGTACGAGGAAAGCTGACCAGTGTCACTGCGACAGCGAAAATACCCGTAAAAGCAAGCGCACATAGTTTGCTTTCGGATAAGACGGTGAGAGCAAGCTGCCCGGCCAGCAATTGGGAACCCGTGGCACAGATAGCGAAAATGATCGTGCCACCTCCAAGAATCTCTCTTCCGATCGGTCCAAACATAACCATGCCAGCATCTCCCATGTTATGGACTTCTGGATGCCTTAGCTTGAACTGGATTAGTGCCCATGCCGTGTAGGTAGCAAAGGCCCCAAGAAAGAAAATGACGATGACACCAGGAATGATGCCAACAGCGGCCAAGCTGCTAGGTAAGCTGAGCATGCCATTTGATACGATCTCGGTGATCATGAGAAGCGCAACTACTGGCCAAGTGAGAGTCTTGTACTTGATGTCATGTCCAGTTTCCTCCCCGAAAACATCATCAACAAAGCCGGGCCCGGTGTATCCACTTCTATTCCGACCGTGTCCGGTTTCCGCCTGCACTCCGGCATCAGAATGACCATAATTGGGGTACCCTGCCTTTCCCTCTCTGGGCTCGCCTGGGTGGTATATGTTACTAGCCATGCTGGGCTGACTGTAGCAATTCTGCTTGTGATAGGCCAGCACTCCCTATCCACGGTGCAGCTGTGGTATCAACAGTCAGTGCCTAGTGCCCGACGAGCCGCGATCAGCCGTCCACAGCTCAAGAGATCTCAGGAGGTCAGGGCCACAATGGGAGTCGAGAATCTACAGCTATGGAGAAGAAGCCCTGTTACATTTGACATCTAATCGTCAGAACTATTGTCATTTTGGTAGGTTTGATGACAAAGACTGGGGAATGCCCCGCGCAATCACCGGAGTGTCTCACAGGCGTGCGACCGGCACCCACCGATCTCCCTGACGATATCTGCATCATGCGGGGTTATCTCAGCATGTGTCGATGCAACAGGTAGCACTATGCGACGCTACCTGATGATTACCAAAATCAACCTGCTCCCAATCTTGATAACGATTGGCAGGGGTTGTGATGGTCACGAAGGTTGATGGCCACCGTGCCAAAGCCAGTTAGACTGCCTATTCGGGAAGGAGCATGCTTGGTGTTTCCACCAAATCAAATAAGCACAATGACCCTTGCCTTGAGATATACCGCGTTTTGGGGTCTCCCGAGAATGTGCAAGCAGCCATTGTTCCTGCCAATTGAATGCTTCTTCGGTCCAATCGTTTCATGTGCTAATCGACTCTCGACGTACCTGATTGCCACTGTTCCGCCAGGTGTTCCTGAGTGCCGACTCCACAGCCGTTGTTCCATGCTACGATTGCTGTAAATCAACGTGCAGTCCACGCCGACAGCCTACGTGAACGGTTATCGGTGTAACAGGCGAGGATTATTAAGTCGGTAACGATTTGTAAAGACAATGGCGTTGATGCTGACCACAGGCGGCTAAAGGACGGGTTTTACAATCACTTCGATTCCGCAAGCTTTACTTGTCTCCGTATGGGGTCGCCTCAATAGGTCACTTTTTGTCTTGATTTATGAGTACATCACTTTCCAACATCGTCCACAACGCACAGTTTGCATATTTAGTGGCCACCAAAATTTCAAGTTCGCGCGTATTTCACTACTGAAATGTTGGCACTGGTTGCCCCTTATTTATAACCAGGTATGCGCTAGTTGTGGCTGCACGCTGTGCCGTACGCAGTGGCCATCCGGATGACCGTCAGCAAAGGCGGTCAATCCTCATCAATGATGACAGCTCTACTAACCTAGTAATGAGCTCTTATATCTTGCTCATAGCTGCACTGCAGACCAATAAATTTGATACGCCGATGACTGGTACGTCTTGACAAAGGAGAGCCATCATACATGAGAATCGAAATTACCACCATGGGTGCCGGACTAGGCTTGCACGGCGTCAACTTGCCATCCCAGTATGAGATTCGGCGAATACAACCCGAACATGAGGATTGGTGCCGCGCATTGATGCTTCAGGGAATGCTGCTCCGCGCCCCGGTCTGGCGACCCATCATCAGTGAGCCGAAAGTGAAAACCATCCTTGAATCTTTCCAGCTCCTAGAGTCGTACTACACATTTCACTTCAGAAACGGTCTCTCCTACGCGCTGTACGATACCGAGTACAAATTCAAACGTCCAGAATCAGTGAAGACGGGAGGCGCACTGTACTGGGACGAAATCGACATCGGGGACCCGGAGTTGGAGGAGAAGGGCGAGCAGCTCATGCTCGAGAAGATGGACTTCCCGATCGTTGCGCTAGCACTATCGTATGACATGTTCGAGCCGCCACCCAGGGAAGCCTTTGGCACGATGGCGACCGTGGCGCCGCTCTGGGGCGCGATGATAGCTCAGTACGGTGAAGCAACAAATGGCATTGGAGATTTTCCAAAACCGACGTCGTCTGGGCAATACGCTCACCGGTCCGGCTGCGTGACGCGGGCGGACTATGAAGGACAAAACCTTGGCAGGTTGTTCACGTGGTGGGTCATGTTGGAGATGTCATCGAGAGGGTACCAGGGACTCGCAGTGGGAGCTGGCAACTCGGCAATAAGCCGGATCTGGTTACACCCTGACGTGCCATTCCTCAGCAAGATTCTCATGACGAACGATATGGGTCAGATAGAAATCGAGATGAACGGAGAAAAGGTCTTACCGTTCAGGGAGGTCGGGTTCCAATTCAATTATTTGCTCTGCGACTTGACAGACAGAAGGACTAGATCTCTTCCAAAGGATCCCTTCAAAACTATCGCCACAGGAAAATAGAAATCGGCAACCAAAGGATATCTAGGTTTACTGATATACAATTGCCTTTTAAAGTATGATACAGGAAGATAACAACAATACAACCACTTTTATATTACAGCAAATCAAGCTCAGGAAGTGAAGGTGTACTCAGGAATACTGATGGTGTCAACAGTCCAAGTCTTACCTCCGTCAACGGTGACCAAGTCGCCAGTGACGCCATCACCCTTGCCGAGGGTGTTGATGTAGTCGGGGTCAGCCACATCCATAATGATAGTGGTGTTGATCCACTCTGAGATACAGGTTAGTGAAATTATTCGAAGATCTTGATATGGTCACTTACTGTGAGCGCCAACCGTACCACAGTTAGACTCGGCGCACTCAACGGCGCTGCCCCAACCCTGGGCGTGTCCGTCGCTAGTAGACAGAGTGGAGACGGCATTGCCATTGATCGAGACGGTTTGTGTGTAATTTCCGGTCGAGTCGTCGAACTTGTCTGGAGAAGTTATCAGTAGAAGACTTGTTTCACATAGCGGTGCTGCTTACAGTGCATTGTTATCTGGTCGGCGGCTTCCGCAGTGGCAGAGTCTCCCTGGACAGGCATCTGTGTGGTAGCTGCCAGGCGTTAGTACGAGTGCATCAACATACTAGCAGGACCCGATGTTACGAACCGCTGGTGCTCAGGAGCGTGTAGGCGTAGATACTCCAGTCATCGGACTCCCAGCTATCGGCGATGGACTGGATTAAGTCGCCATTGGAAGTACCCATGCCAACCCAGAGAGAAGCATCGCCCTGGTTGTTCGTAGGGGCCTTGGGGAGGACGAGGGTAGAGCTCGCCTCGCGGATGAAGGAGTCATCGGCGACAGGACCAGTGCTGAATGCCGGGCCCATGGCGGCGTTGACCGACACAAAGCCAACGGCGGCGAGAGCGGAGAGGATCTGGTTTGAAGAAGGCATCGTAATTGGTGATGTGAAAATGCGGTGATGGCTTGAATGGAAGTTGCACGGGAAAGTTGCTGTCTAGCTATGAGGCTCTCCTCGACTTTTGATATAAGAAGGAACACCAAGATATCGTTCATTTGCACTCCCGGAAAAGCAAAATTGTTCTAACTGGTGGAGCAAATATCTACCCCGGACAAGCCCCTGACCATATGGATATACCGTATGTAGTAGACTGTTCGGAGAAAAGCGACCCATCACTTGAACATATCGGACCTGGTTCCGCTAACTCGACGTAGCATACATAGACTGCCATCAGAGAGCGATTGCTGGTTATTCGCGCGCAGAAGCCAGGCTGACCGTTGCTGTGGTGGGACTTGTTACTAAATTGATTGCATCTGAGGCGGATCTGATCCTTAGTATTTGTCACTTTAATTGCCGGAGTTGTTCTCTGTTGCAGCTCAGTAGCCCACTGCAATTGCTTAACTGATGCACCCTGTCGCAAGATCGACACGGGGCTTGTGGGGATAGTTAACGTGAAACCTGCTGCCTCTAGCGCTGGGCACAGGGAGCTGGGGACGAATAAGCAGTGTCGATTATATTAATTCGGGGCTTTCAAATTCAATGCTTAATCCAGCCACACTCACAGACTGCCAGCATCGTGTGACAAGTGGAATGGTTCAAGGACTAGGCTCAGCTAATGGTTTCTGGAAGAGTGAAATGAGATCATTCTGACACCGATTCTGGCAGTGCTTCTCGTATATAACTAGAAGTGCCGGAGACATTCATCAATGAGACGGATGCCAAATGCTTCGAGGTTGAGTGGAATTTATCAATTGGCAGGGCTGCACCTCCAAAAGAAGATTAACCGTAGACTAGAATATGCTTGCAAAATTGGTCAGAGATGTTCAACAATCCCATGAGGAGAGATGACTTAACTGGCTTTAATAGTCGCTTTCGTGGTTCGCGTCCAACCCGGTCCGCTTTCTGACTGTGCTTGATGTCTAAAAACTCTGGTGGTGATCGCCTCTCTTCATAGCAGTATTCATCGTCACTTGGAAAATACTCATCGTCGTTTCTATGGCGCCGATGAGAACTGTGCTTGGTTTGTTGTCTAGACTGGCCATCACCTCCTTTTTCCGTGTATATTCATGAATTTCTACTTGGCCCAGGTACAGACTTCAGCGTTGAGTTGAGCTCATTATAGCACTTGTGCACCAATGTTAACTCTCAATGCCTAGCGACAAGCTATCCCAACACAGTGGCTGTTTTCTTCTGCCCCACTATTTCGAATGCTGCTAAAGTCCAAAGCAGTCACTGAGGTTAGGCGCTAGATTTCTCATGCCTATTGTGAACCTCTGCTTATCGTACATCGAGGCCAACTGCGTTCTATCGTTGATGAGCCATCATGCAGGCCCGAATAAGTTGACATCATCACCCTAGCACTCCTTGTTTTTTTAGCATGGCGACACCATCGATGCCGAAGGCCATCCCTGCGGGTAGTTTGTATGGGTGCCCATTACCGAACTTGAGTTCTATGCCAGGTCGGTTGAATATGCTGGTGGAAAATGCTGGTTTCCTGTTAATCAGCATGCTAAATCAAGAGAATTGAATGCCTACAAACAGGAAACCTTCTGTTTTACCATAAATGGAACTTTTTCTTAGTTAGAATTAAGGACAACATAGTTGATTAGCTAACTTTCTATGCCAGGTATATTAAAAAAAATAAAAAAAGACACTCCTAGTCTAGGCGATAGGCCACCATTATACACGTTTCTGTAATGATCCTGACGAAATTACTATCTCCACTACGCGTCCAATCTCTTCTTCGCCTGGAAAACCACAAATCCAGGATTATCCACAAAAGGTTTCCAGAAGTCAGGGTCTGCCTTGACCACAGACGTATCCTCAGGGGCAACCGACGAGAAGTCAGTGAGCCCATACTTCTCCGGCAAATCTGTACTCCCCGTCATACTCAGGTTGATTGAACTCGCCTCAAACTCGAGCGGAGGGTCTAGCAACAGGGCGTAGCGGTAATTGAGGCCATCGGCCGTCTCCTCGAACGCCGAGGTTAGGGTACCGTATCGGCCGTCCGACGCCGCGCTTCGAGGGTCTCCGAGGCGCACGCCTATGAAACGGCCGCCGGGTCTTAAGTATACCGCCACGTTCCGCCACATGCCCTCGTACTCGGCGAGATCGTGGGCATGGTCGAATGTCCAGCCCACCAGGACCAGGTCGTATGACGGCCGAAGAGGCAAGTGCGTCAGGGCCCGGGCAACGTCGCCGATGTGCCAGGCGATCACAGCCCCCTCGCGACCAATCGACTTCTCTACCTCCTGGCCTGCCCGCATCATCTCGATAGAGATATCGACTACGTCTACCGCGGCCGCGCCGCCATCGACGGCTATGCGCGCCTTGAGGCCACTGCCGCCGCCGAGGTCCAGCACCGTCAGTCCCGCACAGTCCCCCAAGGCAGATCGGAAGAGCTCTGTTTCCAACTTGGCAAAGGGCAGTTGTGCGGCGTGATCGCTGTATCGCCCGCCTTGGCTGTCGTACTCTTTGACTAGTTGGCTTTCCATTATTATGTTGTGGGGAGTAAGGCTAGGTAAAGTTTTGACAAGGTAGCTAAGGTGGGAAGAGGATGGAAAACGTCACAACTCTCGCTCTTCTCAATTTCTCTATACCCCTCTTTTCATCATGTCTTAAGAGTTACACAACAAGGAGTCATGCCACAATTGCAAGAAGGCGTCCAATCAGATGTGGTTGCAAAATGCTTAGATGCGATCAAGGAGGGGAATGCATAACATCCCTTTAACCGCCGTATCCGTTGTGGGAGCCCAAAACTGCTCGAGAGAACCTAAACGGCCCATACAGCAGTGGTCATTGGCACTTAATGGAGTTAAGTAGAAGATAGTTTAGCCTTACGCACTCCAGTTATCTCGTCATCAAATCTTAATGACCAAGGAAGGACTATAGGCAAGGGATTGCATTCAGCATTCAAATTATCAGTTCAATCGCAACGGACTGTAATCTCTAACCTAGAAGCTCGATTGGTCAAGGTGCTGTTATTTGAATAGTATGAGAATAGGCGTAACCTGATTAGGAAACTGTTAAGCGATCTACTCGTAGACTAGTGTAGCTTCATTACTTCTATACAACTATCTCCTAAGGTAAAATACTAGAAGTGCATATTTGAACCAAAAGCCCACGACTGGCACTTCTACTAATCGGGCCCACTTTTTTACACGTGTAAGGTAGATGTTAATAGCCTTTAATGGATAATTCCGTATGGATACTCATCCTGTCGGCGGAAGTCTTCCAGTATCTTGGTCTCCTTATCAATGATTGGTAGGTTTGATAGTTCGAGTTACGCTTAATCTTCGTGCTGTCGCCAAAATTTTTATCACTGTTAATTGTTTACCACCCGACTTGTAGGTTGTTTGGGTTGCTGATTTAAGTCAGCCCTCCTTTCCGTCGGGCTAAGGAATGTTTGAGTTGTCACTATTCACCTCACTGCGTTCAGCACATGCTGTGCCTGTAACTGCAATTCACATCTTCTGCCTCTCCCGGCAGGGCCAAGGTTTAAATGCTAGTATTAGGCTACAATGTAGATTTAACTATGAGTATCCAGTTAGTAGATGAATATTTTCAAGTGCAATTAAAAACAAAGGGACACATAGTTCGAATCGTTAGATACGGGCATCGTAGCATTCGATTTACTTCATTCCGGGGTTCTGTTTTTGTTATTTTATTTTCTTTGACAATTTTTTCTTTTTCTTTTTGCAACATGATGCTATCATCAGTTTATTCCCATTCTTATCCTCACACTTGCTCACAGCTTCAACCAAAGATGGTGGGTTTACATCAACTGTCCTTGATTATGTCTCTCAACTAGTTCACCGGTAGCCTAGCCTTTGTCCCTTTGCGCTTGCTCCAGTCATACTGAGTGTTTACCAGTTTCAATCTCTTCTGTTATGAGATCTACAAGCTGAGCCTACCCGCACTGTTTGCCACTTAAGTATGTAATATTGCCTCCACTGCATTCTTGACTCCCGCAAAGGGTGCAATAGGGCAGCTTCTCCGGGGCCCAACCAACGTCAGCACCAGCCTCCACCCCTCAAAGACAGTCAAGAGCACACAGTCCACAAGCTGTAGTGTCTTCCGACAACAACGGAAAAAATTCCAATTGGAATGAGTCCAATTCCCACGTTGTTAGCACCATTTCCCACTGCTTTCAAGGCCGAATACATCCGTGTTTCGATCGTCCTTCTTCAGCCAAGGTCAGGACCAGGAAAGACAGCAGCGGAAGACATCCCCAACATGACTCTAAGCCAACTGCATCCCGCTGTCTAGTATTTCCAAGTGAATCTCGCCCAGCAACGTTTGACAACTGCGTCCCTTGTGAAAGCCCCCGGTTTCAACTTAAGTACGCGCCCCCGTATCCCACCGTGTTTGCATGCCCTCTGGTACCGGCTGCGCCTTTGCAAAGAGCCGTCAAAAAAAAAACCCTCTAGAGACCATTCGGGCTCGTATAATGTCTTAAACGCAGCACTGATTAGTATGTTGACTGAAGATGGCTGGTCGCTTTCCTACTCCTTATCAAGCACGGATTCGACCCACCCTGGTACATTTTCTTATCATTAGTGCGCAGAGCTGCATATACGAGCCAAAAAGGACTGGTTGGCCATTCCTGGTGTTATAATACTATCCAATGATTTAAATATCCAGCTCGACTAATGACGAAGCGGTAGCCAGATAACACAAAGGTCATACGGTTTAATGCGACGTGCAGTCATCATGAATGAACGGCTTCTCTCCTCTCTTCACCCGCCACCGATTCGTCGCCTCTAACGCCCCCGGCAACCCTCCAAATAACCACCCCCATTTCCTCAGACACCCTTCCGACATCTCCCACCCGGTAATATCCCAGGGTGGCGACCACGCAACGATGCCGCGTCGCTCGACCTCGTCGTCGGGAAAGCCCTCGTACAGTCCGCCGATGCAGTCGACCCACAAATCGTCTTCGTCGAAGGTGCCGGCGGCCCGGATCAGGCGGTCTCGTGCCACGGGACACGGAAAAATGTCAATCCAATCGCCGTGCGGCACTGTTTGTTGAAGGGTGGTGGGCAGGAGTGTTGGAGGGAGCAGTTCGGGCTTGGTGGGGTAGGGGATAACGTGGATAACTTCCTCACCACAGTCGAGCGGCGTGACGAGTATACCCGATATCAGAGTGCGGTTAACGGCCAAGGCGCGGAGGGCGTTGAATTGGAGGAGTGTGATGAGGTGGTCTGGACAAAGGGGGAAAACCATATTGAACTGCTCCTTTTTAGGTTTACGTGGCAGTAAGGGATTTCTCGCATTGTACAGTTGCTTCATACGGGATTTTGGGACGATGGAGACCGATTGCTGCTTAATGTCCCAGCATTCAACCAGCGCTTCTGACCTGATCAGTGTCGCGGTTGTGGCACTGGATGCTTCGGCTTTCTTTGCCGAGGCTTTGCGTTTTCCTGTTGGACTGTTAATTTCCATTTTTGGTAGCCATTGATCGGACTGGTCCTGACCCCTTATTTGGATGAAGAATAGCCAAGACCTTACTTACGGTATGCCCTTGTGTTGAGTCTAGTCTGTGCCCGCCTGCGTGCTGCGGCATCATTGGTCCCAGTCCAGTCATCTTCCTTGCTTGTCGCCTGTACGTGGTGAGCAAGTCATGTCGTCTTGGTGATTAAGAGCGGTTTGGTACGTACCTCGGCCAATTGTGGCATAGACCCGAGTTGGATGTGTGGTGTTAAATTTGCAGGCTGATACGTACTAATCATGATGCTATGTGGACGTTGGCATTGCGGTGATGATGGTATTGGTGATGTACGATGTAAGGTTTTTCGGGCCGGCCAATGCGGTTTATGCAGCCTGCTCACGATGACGAGTCTGACATCTGGGAACGGAGGAATTGATATGCCTACATACTGTTCCGCAGCTGAGGCGCAGGCAGGCAGGGGTTAGTGAGAGAGCACGATCTACGAATTAGCGTCATGCAGCCTGCTCACATCGGGACCAGGATCACGAGCCCCACCATCACACATGCACCACTTGACTGACACACGCAACATTATGTTTTTCCTGAGGGTGGCTGATTTGGACGGTAGCCATGTTGAGAATCGGCAGTGAGCCCCACGCTTCATGCAGCTGGCTCACTCGCTCGCTCTAAATTCTCCTGTTACTCCATCTCTTCAATATCTCCAATTTAAATGCGACGTGATTGGACCAAGGGTCATGCAACTTGCTCACGATATCTGATGCTCGGAATAACATCCAAGATGCAAGTATCTCGGGAATTGTTCAATAAGAGCAATATAAAAAGATCGTAGCAACACCTTGACTCCGTTGCATCTTTCGTATTATAAATAACATAGAAGACATTGAATTATCTACTTCTTAATATTACACATTCACATATTGACATAAGTACTCGTTTTGAACATGACCTTTCATCCCGATACTCTCCCCGATCTCAAGGGCAAAATATTCATAGTCACAGGTGGAAATTCCGGCATGCAAGTCTCTTCTCTCCCTCTCAACACGAAGCCCAAATCACTAATCTCACCGGCATACAGAGGCTACTACACCGTAGCCCACCTAGCAGCACACGGCGCCCACGTTTATATGTGCGCCCGATCCTCAGAGAAGGGCACATCAGCTATCGCCACCATCAAGAAAATGCACCCCTCAGCCAACATTGACCTCCTACAAATGGACCTCATGGACCTCACCAGCGTCGTAACGGCCGCCAACCACTTCCTCACCCTCGAAACAGCCCTGCATGGCTTGGTAAATAACGCAGGCATAATGGCGACGCCATTCGAAATGACCAAGGATGGCCACGAGGCCCAGTGGCAGACCAACTACCTGGCGCACTGGGTTTTGACAGAGCACCTGCTTCCTCTGATGCTGCGGACCGCCAACAATCTTCCTTCCGGCAGCGTGCGTATCGTCAACCTCTCTTCATCGGGCCACTTGGGCGCACCCAAGGACGGCATCAATTTTAAGGATCTATCTCTCAAGGATAGCGACCCGTGGCTGCGGTACGGACAGAGCAAGCTCGCCAACATTCTGCACACCAAGACCCTGCACAAAACGTACGGGCCCGGCTCTCCCACTGTGCGGAACGGGGAGGGCGAGATCTGGGTTTCGTCTGTGCATCCCGGTGTGGTTGAGACGAACATTGCCGCGTCGGTGGAGGAGTCGGGTTCAAGCATTACGAGTGTTTTATGGGTCTTACGCATGCTTGGATTGATAAGGCCTGCCGATAAGGGGTCATGGACCAGTTTGTTCTGTGTAGCGAGTCGGGATATGAAGGCGGAGCAGAGCGGCGCGTATCTCGAAATTACCGGCAGGTTTGGGGAGCCGTGGTGGCAAAGCGGTGCGGCGAAGGATGGGAAGCTTGCAGAGAGGTTGGAGGAGTGGACTGGGGAGGTGATGAGGAAGGAAGGCTGGGTTCCGTAATGGCGTCAACTGCGGTTCGGTCTTTTCCGATTATATTGATGGATTTATTGTTTCATACTATCGCCTAGTATTATTTTCCTTATTTGGTTACGTGTATTTGTAGAGGCATTACAGTTCTAAGTATATAGTCCAGAATCTAATAACAGTGATTATTCATTGCGTAAGGAGCTATTTATATCTGAACAGTAAAGGCCATCAGACCAATAGCAAACAGGACACCAGCGCATGCGCTTTCCCGAGTCGCATCACTGGTCTCGCTGGGGCTGGCGGAGCTTAGAGTCGTAGTACTCGTGGCGGATGGCTCTGAGGCAGTAGTACGAGAAGCACTTGAGGCAGATGGAGACACAAAGGAGGCCGGTGATGCAGTGGGAGTAGAAGCAGTAGCGCCCGAGGCAGAAGCCGAAGCAGAAGACGCGTTCTTGATGTCGATGGTGAAGGCGGAGTCGCCCGCGTACGACTGCACCGTGCTCTCGCCCGACGTCGTAGTAGTCAAGTCGTCGCTAGAGATAGTGAAGGTTCCCGTAAGCCGTTCCAGGCCCGAATTAATGGTCAGAACCAATCCGCCATCGTCCAACTTGGCGACCGAGATGGTGTATGTTCCGCATTGGGTCTTTCTGACGGCGGGCAGCTCGCCGTTGTCACTCGTCCCCATCGCATCACAGCCCTGTTTGAATTCGGGGTTGTTGCTAGTAACTATGCTGACTTCGTAACTATATCGTGCCAACTATCAGTGTCTAAGCAGTCATAACTTTGTGTGTGTGTGTGTGCATGTAAGGGGGACGGACAAACAGTAGATGCTTCCGGCCGTGCAGGCTGCTGAGAAATCGCTGATCTCGTACTTCAGTTCGGTGGCTTGGCGGGCATCAATGCTGGCTGCCGAGGCCACGGGCAGGAGAACGGCGGCAGTTGTGTACTTCATCTTGTCGGGCGAGTCCAGACGTATGCGAATATTAATGAGCGACGAAGTTGGAGGTAAATGACCGTAGTGATGTTTTGGCTAGTGGGGGCGGGAAAGACTTGAGAAATCGAGCGAAGGTATGACATCGTGACCTGTCATTAAATAAGGAGCCGGCCTTCTCTCAACCAAAACATGTCAGCCAAGAAGTTTGATTGTTCCTACTTGTGATCCATCCATCTCAGCGGCACAGTCGGGACTCGGCACTAACTTTAGGAACATTGGCCAATCAAAATGGTGATCATGGCCCTGCAAGATGCCATTGCTTCAAGTGTCGACTTTGATTGGCACATAGAATCCATGAAAATAGAGCCAAGAACGGGTCTAGTCCACTTTCTAAGGCGTGGTTCCGCCGAGGTTCAACAAGGCGACGAGTGTACCTTCTTACTCTTCTACTGTTCAGTCGCAGGCATCTGTTTAATTAAATTGAATAAAGATCTAACTTCGCTATAATGAGCGGCTCTGGTATGATATATACCCCTTGTAAGGTACGTGAAGGTTGCCTGACGAGTGCCTGATGCTTATGAGCAAGCTATCCCTAGCGCGCTTGGCATATCGCATCAGATACTACACCTACGGAGAAAATAAATTGACCTTAACGTGCCACTTAATTTACGTACAGACAGAAAGTCTCAAGTTCTTACCAGCAGTGCAAATAATTAGCCAGACACATAGTCAATGCCCCAACATTGGTCCCTGGCTTTTAGCGCGGCGCGTAGCAATATAACTTTGTTGCGAAGTATGTCCCAAACGCTTGCAAAATGCCAAGGAGACGCAAGAGGGAAAGTATAAGACCAAAATAGCATGCAAAACAAGACGGCTTCTTCTTACGGTTGATTGACTATCGTTTAGTATCCACTCCAGGTGGCACACCAAAGCTGCTAGGTCAGGTATGTCATAAGAGCAACGAGTAGAAGAAGGCACAAGCCCACACTAAAATTAGACTGCTCCTAATCTACCAAGAGACTCCCAAATTAACGATATAATAAGGTAAAATAGAGTCAACTGAAGAAAGTCCACGCCCATGTATTAAAACATTGCAATGAGCGACCATCGATTAAGTTAATGATATAATTAAATTGCTCTATGGTCAGTAATAGAAGTAGTAATTGCAATAGGTCACTATGGTTGGGGTTTCAGTGTGTGAGAGCAGCCTGTGCATTCCAGTAGCTCCTGGTCTCAGTTATAGAATGGGGTTGCTTAATTGCACGAAGGACATTGCAAAGTAATGCAATAGAAATGTGTATCCCCAGTCGTTCTCTGTCGCCATGACCTCATTTATCCGTGTTCCATTTTGCTAACTGTCGTAAATCCACATTCTTCCCAGCATCCATGAGTCCTTCATGCCCTTACAAGTGCTTGGTGCACTCAATTGCTACTCTACCCTAACAAGGTAGGAAATTCTCGGCGTCTTATAAATTGACACGGCTTGGCCTGAGGTGAAAGAAGCTTCGCCAAAGTTGCTTGTGCAACGTTGTGAAGGCTCCAATCGGTGCGGGGAGGAGAAGGAGATGTCGGAGTATATTTGCGGGGGCTCACATCCTTGCCTCAAGATTCGCTTGTTTGCAAGACGGGAGGTGGATACGAAATGCAGTGTGCAGAGGTAGGCAGAGTCGGTGATTGTGGAGTGCTTTTGCGCAAAGGGGCCATCTTTCTTGACTCGAAAGTCTTTTTGTGAAATTAATAGGTACGTGTTGCCGGCGGCGAAGGACATGAAAAAGGAGAAAAAGATTTTGCTCTGATCAGAGTCGGCGCTAAGGGTGGTGTGAGCGGTGGTAAAGGAGTTAATTAAGTGGTCTGTGTCGGTGTTACAGACCAACGAAGTTAAGCAAGCTCGGCTCTTTGCCGCTCAACTTTCGATTGTTGCTGCTTAAGTTAGCTTGTCAGTTGGGCGACCTGTCAATGGACTTCCGTCAGCTTAACCTGGTATTGTTGGCAGTGTGTTGCTTGACTTGCTTCGCAGGCTGATCATATAGGAGCTTGCAGTTGTTGCTTATGACGTGATTTCAATACTCATCGCGAAATAAGAACTCTTTAGAGCATTTTTGACAAGTACGACTGGCTAGAGCTTCTTGCTTCTGACCCTTTTTGGTAGCTTAGTCTTGTTGACGCTAATGTTCCTTGAGTTACGGCTGCGTGGAAAGTTCTTTGGATCACGCCCGACATGACAGTCACGCCACGGACACTAGGAGCAACAAGAAGAGATCACTCTTATTCTTTTGAATATATTGTGTCGGCTTGCCAATCGGAGGACTCATGGACTACTCACCCAAATGGTTTCCGCTCCGCCCGCAGAGTATTGTCGTAATGGTGAGGCGCGACCTTGTTTGCATCAAAGCTCGCTGACAGTTCGTCGGCAGCTCATGTACGTCCTGGGGGTGGGATTTGACCTCGGCCTACCACAATAGATATGGTGAAACCGTCCACCAAGCCGGTTTTCACGATAAAATTCTTTGGCAGTTAGCAACCAATCAGCGAGGGGAGAATTGCACCATGCGCATGGGGCCGTAAGCTTCGGGCGATGCTCCTAGTCAAGGGACCTGTGAACAGAGTCAAATGGACAATCTATTGAGGATTATTTTAGGTTAAAGGCACTAAAGGTCCATTGATAGTGGGATAAAAGTATCTCATGTTGCCTTCCAACAGAATAGTCAACCGCCTTGATAATCTTGACCAGCTGATAACAAGTGAGCTACCACTAACACTCGACATTGCGGTCTTGCGTCGCGATCATTACGGCGTCGGTGCTGCGCGACCTGCCCATGTCGATGACGCGACCAACCCTACCGACGACCAATCTTACATGCCGTCGAGAGTTATTTCAGACGTATAGATGACCGGGTGGGCGTGGAAGCTCGTAAATGAAATTTGTGCCAATGTGAAGCGGCGTGCAAATTCCCGATGTATTCCTATGTAACTACTTGTAAGATGACAGCTCGGTGCCGTTGACAAGTTGCAAAGCTGTCGGATTGGGCTCCTGGCCGTCCTTGAACTTTTTCATGACTTTCATGATGTAATACTATTAGTGCCAGTTGGCCATGTGGAAACTCGTATATATCATCACGGGAGATCGGGCAAGGATGATTCAGTTCAGTGGACTGAACATCATGTGTCTACCATATGTCTTTTGCACTAGTGGTTGGCAGCTTAGCATTAATTGTGCGTAGAAGAGTTTACAGGAATTGCTTCCAAACTCTCGTATTTATCAAAGTAGGCAGAATGTTTATAATACATCACTAGTCTACTATCTTGTACTGGACTTTACTGTTTTCCACCACACAACTCGCCTACCGACTGCTATGACTAGTCTAGGTGTAAGCATCTTTAGGGCTTTCCTTAGGAGCCCAACTTCATGTGAGGAGAATCATCAAAGAACAGTAACAAGCTTTTCGCCTGAGAAGCCACAGATATATACCGTAAACGGACCTATGTAGAAATGCTCTGCTTATATACACGGCTCTGACCAATTCCTGGAGCCTTGAATTATCATCCTTGTAGCGCATGCTTGTTCGCGGGTGTAACCTAACATGTGTGGGTGAGACAATTTATGAAGAGCTACTGACTACACCATATCTCACGAGGCCGAGTATGGCTCCTAGGATGATAGCAACTGGTGCAACTAGTCCAAAGTAACGGCCTCCCACGTACGCCGTCGCTGTTACTACCACCCACCACGGATCGTCGCCAAGACTTCGCCCTGACTGGAAACCACTATCGACATAACCAACCTGCCAAATTCGATACACAGCTGTGTATACCAGGCCAACAGCAGCAGCATTAACGCCTCTGACCACCGACTTTACCCAAAGTCTACTTCGCAGCTTTCCCCAAATGCCCATGGTACCATGGACAAGAACCATGCCGGGGGTGAAGATGCCGATAAATGCAATGACTGCTCCAGCGATGATCGAGTGTCCGCCGTTGATCGCAGTCAGGCTTCCCAAGTATACGGCAAAATTGAAGTTCGGGCCCGGGAGGGCCTGTATCACCGCAAGTCCAATGAGAAAGTCTCTCGGGCTGACCCAGCCTTCGGCCACGACATACTCCCGGAGCAATGGAATTACCACAGGCCCACCGCCGAATATGATCGTTCCCGCGAGGTACATATTCGCAAATAGTCTATAGAGGAGTGGCAGATTCGTGAGAACTCCTCGCGTCACCATGACAACGAGGAATACGGCGAAGAATGTCACGATGATGGCGATTCCCTGCTTCCAAGAGAATCCCAGCCGAAATTCTTGTGCTACGATGCGCTCTTCCGGTTCATCGTCGGCGATGCTGTGCTCGGGGACTTGCGCATCACTGCGCGGTCTCACAATGTCGGTGATGGCCTGGGTGACTTTTTGAACCAAGCGAGAATCATACGCTACCGCGGCACAACCAGCAAGAACCATAAGGACGGGGAAATACCACAAAGCATTGTAAAGCAGTCCCGCAGAGGCCGCGAGAAAGACGAGAACCCGAGTGAGCTTGTCCGTGATGGCCTTATCCGACAACTCCACTGCAGCGAGCGCGATAATTCCCACCGTGGCAGCATTGAGCCCGGACAGCAGAGCATATACTGCACGAGGTAGGGCTTCTCCGACGCTGGATACACCAAGTGATAATGCACACATGCTAAGCGCTCCTGGCAGACTGAGGGAGGTCAGTTCATCAGTTGCCATTTAAGCCAGCCACTAGGTCATATTTACCTCCAGACCAAGAAGGCAACCAACGCCCCACATAACCCGTTGTGAATCAAGTTGATACAGTATAACATCTTTGTGCTAGCAGGTCCCGACAAGGCTTGACAAATGCTGAACAGCTCTTGGTACTTGACCCAGGATCAGTATCTTACGGCGCAATGCGGCCGATGAACATACCATCTGCTCGTCGATCCATTCAAGTTTTTGCACGAATTTGTCGTGGAACTATTGAGGTTTTCATCAGCAATACATCTGCCAGGTATCCTTAGGAGACACGGACTATCTTGAAATGAACGGGTGGTCCGCCGAACGCAGTAAAGCCTAGGTGCCAATTGCCTTTTAGCGCCTCAGCGGCATGTCGCGCATTGGCGCGCGCCGTGTGCTCCCAACTGGCGACTACCATGATGATGATGATCACTATCCAGATTTCCTACCAACTCGCAAATATTAAGTGAGGGAGATCTTGAAGTAGCTAGACTTATAGTTGAAGTTTGACTCATCCGCTAACCAATCCTCGTGAAGATTAGGAGCACGCAATATTACTCTTGGCACCAAGCCGGATCAAACTATCTCCGTTAACCTAGTGAGGGCATTGTGGTATACCTTCGTTCCAATCACAATATTACCATCTTCAGGATAGGGCATGACAAATAAATTTCAAGTAACATAGTCTCTATCTCCACTTTCGGCGCTTGAAGAACAACCTCGCTGATCGTTTGATACGGCATGTAGCAAATCATACTTGATAGTGATGTGACATATTAATATTAAAGCATTGCTCGAGCTAGGTAGAGTTGCTCCAGCCACTTCCTCGTGCACATTCACATTAATGGTATTCTTTGACTCTTCCGCTCATTGAGGGTTCCTTCAAATCACCTAAACTTCCACTGTTCTATCACGAACTTCCTCCATGAGCTTTTACCATGCCAATGAACAGAATGTGCACACCACAACAGTTAGATGAACACTCGGCTCACAGTAACAGCGTCACAGCTTGGGTTCTGCGGCGCCCCACCGCCCAGCGTCCACTGAAGAGCAGTGTAGGCGTACGCCTGCCAGTACGTCTGACAGATCTGCCATCTATTGTCCCAGAAGGTGACACCTCCCCGGTAAGTTGTAGGCGGCTCAATGGCATCGTTGACATATGCGGGTACCGCTAGGTGCTCCTCATCGGTGAAAGCAAACTCCTGCACTGTATCTAGGCTGGGCCAGATCAGAGGGAATGCGAGATTCGAGGCTGTGTTATACTGGAAGCTGAGGGCCTCGTTGAAGTTGATGGTGCTCGGCTCAAGCGTCCAAGTGACTAAGCCCGTCTGTAGGGTGGTTGGGTCGGGAGTGTCTGTGGTGGTGTTGAAGTAGAACGTGTACGTTGAATCTCTGCCACCGTCAAACAGGCACAGGGATTCGACTGATGCGCCAGTATGGCAAGCGGCTAGTTTGATACCGTTGAGGCTGCTGTTGGTGCTGCTGGAGAGCACAAGGTTGAAAGGTGCAGACTGCACGGGATAGTTCTGTTGTGCAGCGGCCAAGCTAAGAGCTGAGAAGAGAAGCGCGATCTTGGACAACATTATGATAGGTATGCTTTGCGTTTGTAAGTTAAAGATTTGATTAGTCTGCACGGATTGATATGAAGGATGCTATGATGACCAGATGTTAGCTTTTATACTCAAAATCGTGGTGAATCCGAATGGATCACGAGATTGTATGACCTCGTATTGTCGTGAGCCGATTGAACCCTGGCTGAATGCCGCCAGCTTTGATTGGGTGTGCTGACTGTGAATTGCGCGCAAGGCAGGCTTAGGTCTCAGTTGTGTCCGGATTGGGTGATGCCAGTGTAACCTCAACGCAGCAAATACGAGTTTATGTATGGTGCTTACAATCCGCAGGTTATCATCCACTTTTGACATAATTGCAATTATCGTGACGGCTGAAGGGCATTGAATCAGCTCAACTTTAGTCATATGAGTTCTTGGTTGACGACCCAGGTTGACAGTCGGGGCAAATTTAAGATATGGGTAAGGTTACACTCAGGAGTCGTTTTAAACACTAGAAGAACGAAGAGACAGATAGTTGAAATGAACAACTTGATTTATATGCTAATACTAATCACATGTTGGAAAGCGACGGAAAATAAAGCTTTCCCTAATTATCTTAAATGATAGGTGGTGATTGAATGAGAAGGCAAACAGGGATTGACGTCGCGCTCATCAAATTCTATCTTTCTCAGCCAGGGGTCAAAGATGAAAATGACATGGACATTAAGGGAGGATCTGAATCAAGGCATGTAGATTGTGTGGCGCGCGTATGCTGCTGGCATTGCACGTCAGGGAGCGCCGGATAAAACGGTGGGAAATACTACAATGGGATAGAATGGTACATAGAAATAGTTAGTGGCCCAATTGTCAACACAGCCACCAGCGTGATTTGCCTTTATGGTAAACACGTAGGGTGCCTGATAGACCCGTTCCCCGGCCTGTATGTCCAGATGTTAGGGTACAAAATCTCATTCTCTGGGCAACCGGAGTTCGAGTACGGCAACGCCCTGAACGCATCCTCTGTGTTGACTTTTTTTTCCTGCACTTGCAACCACATCAACTTTCGCAAGTGATCAATGACTTGCTTGGCAAGCAAGCTACTGACACACTTATAAAATACTTTCTTCTTGAAATTACATAGTATTAGTCAGTGGTGACGAAATCAATATGAACCAGCGGGATTCGATACTACATAAATGCATCAGTATTTTCCACACTGTTTGACCTCTTATAATTTTATAGCTAAGTTTTTGACAAGCTGTCGATATGATCTAGAAAGAATTTCACTTCCTCGTGGAGAAGAGTGCAAAGTGCTTGGTCCAAAGATGGATACCAATCGATTTTAGAAACTCTACTACTTTAAAAAGAGATATGATTCAGTTACAGAAACAGCCATATTTTTGATATAAATGTCTCGTCCTGGATACTAGGATATGTTCCCTAATATCATGAATCCGTAAAGATTATATGGTTGGCGAAGCTCTTGACAGCTACTAAACTATAGCCGTAGCAAATTCAAGCTGCCATTGCAATTTTGTTGTAGTTTCTAGGTTGTACTAGTAACGCGAAGTTGAAGAGAACTTCAAGTTGAAATCCCGATTTGTAGCTACTAAAGCTTGCAATAATTCTCCAACTCTTCATTCACATTACCATCACTTCCATCATCTACCACCAGTCTTCGCCACCATCAAATTCCCATCACATTTCCATCACCATCCTATCATATTCTCATCCCCATCAGAGTTCGACCATGGCCCACCAAATGGCCAGAGCCTTTCGGCAGGAAGGCTTCAACCGTGGAATCGGTGTCATTTTCGAAAATGATGGTGTTCTTCGACACATTCACGCTGCCCTTGTTGGCCAGCCCAATGATGAGCCCCCCAAGAGCGTCAATACAACTCAGAAGAAAGTTGCCGCATTGCTCGTCCATTTATTCCAAATTTTATTAGAGCGTGGCCACCTTTTCAAAGCACTTCGTGACAACGAACTCTTCTGGGACACTATTGCACCCGAGTGGCCTCTCTCCCAGGATCTTTCTGCACAGTACTTGCAGGCCATCTCGAAGGTCTACGTCAATGGCCGAAAGGCATTCATCAGCGATCCTAGAAACATGAAGAGTACCCCCAATGCAAAAGGATCGCTCAAAGAGGCCCTTGATGCATGGGTTCCTATTTATGACGAAGTCATCGCCATGGGACCAATACAGAGCATCACTCTCCCGATCCTTCTCCCTGCAGCTGAGCATCTTGCCACAGACCTCAACAGTCTCAAGCTAGCTAACGGCCCAGTCTACTGCTTTCCATCATACCTCAATGCACGAGAGTATGCTTGGATTTCTGACCCCTTCGTTAAGTGGGAGCTCGAGCATTGTCTCCCGAAGATTCCCTACATGCCAGGACACAAATCCAAGGTTCCGGCCTTACCAGATAACGTCGCAATCCCGCAGTTCAGCCAACTGTTCCTATGCTATTCTGAGCTAGCAAGATTAGACCCGCCTACCTCTTCATTCACCGTCTTCATGGCACCCATTGGATTCCGAGACTCCAAGGAGAAGGCTAACTGGTTCCACGCCACTGGCTCCTACTCCAAGAGGCACGCCACGATAGACGAGTTCTTCGATTATGCAGTCCACAGTAAGTAATTTCTGCATCATTCTTCCTTTTTTTTTTTCAACATGTCTTTGGAGAGTATATTGCGTATGTAAGGGAATGGAGCTCTTGTGATTGTTTCGCAATACCCTGAAACTTCCCATAGCCCATCATGAAAAAGTAGGCACTGACTCCGTATGTTGTAGTGATCCAAGAGGGCGGCAAGTCAATCGTCATTGGTATGGTGACTTATTGGATGAACGAGCAGTGGGAGTATCTAGACTTCTATGATTCAGAGAAAAAGTTCCCGGAGCAGACTCGAGCTCAGTATTGGAATGACAATTGCATCCGCTACGGCATTGGTCTGGCTGTACGTAAGAACCCAGATGGTAAGGGTGGACTGCAGCTCATCATGCACGACACCACCTTCCACCAGATCACCGCAATGTTCCGTGACATCATCGATCAACCGGGCGGCATAGGCGACGAGTCGCTCGACGAGCAGCTCAAGCACATGCAGGACTGGCGCGCCGCAATCGCCAAGTCGGCTTACGAGAGAATGAATGACCGTGGTGTTGAGCTCTGGTATGGTGGAATGGCGCCCAACTTGCTTTCCAAGATTGTGGGCATCGAGCTCAACCCCAAAGACTCGGTCAACATGACTTGTGCCTGGGTTTGGGACACGGTCAATGGGTACTTCCCAGACCCAGCTGCCAACGATCCCGATTTGGAACTGATGGTCTGGGGATTCCAGAGGGAGGTTATCCACGATGACAAGATGGCCATCATCGAAACCTTCTGTAAGAAGGTCAAGGAGGAGAAGGCCTACATGAAGTACCCGAAGGACATCATGGCGGCCGATGCCAAGGATGACGAGGAAGAGGAAGAGGCAGAGGACGATGAGTACGATTGTGATCGTGCCTCTGACGAGAACTATATCGAGTAGGAAGACAGCCATATGAATAAAGAGTGCTTCTTTAGGCAAAGATAATTGATTAAAGCCCGTTCTCTGAAAGAACCACCTAGGGAATGCTGCCTTTCTGTGAGGAACTCTGATATCTCCAGGCGACGACTGACCCATCTCAAGACAGGATCGCAGACATTTGTAAAGATGGATTAGTGTTGTAGTTCACTTATGTGCTGGTAAAGCAGTGGATGGAATCTTAGGCTTAGAGATAAAGCCCTCTGTCGTATCTCTGGTCGTAGGCTAAATACTACTTATTGGTTGCTCAAGAGTGTAGCATGATAGTATTGACATTAACTTACTGACAATGGCTGAACATCAGACTGTAACCCTGGGAAGCGGCTGTTCGAGCATTAACTTATAGAAGAATCACTTATGCAAAACTATGCCATATACAGCCTGAGTTCTCCCGAACCCTATAGACAAAACCCATGGCGTTCGTTTGAGTCCAAGTAGAGTATCCTCTTAAGCGTTAACGCCGGCAGGGTGCCTACTATCGTTAACGACACCCCTTGTACAACATGTCGTCTTGGAAGCGCCGAGGCCGGATCAGACGAGCACCAAATAGACCTAAGTCACGAGAGCCGAGAAGTCTCGCAGAACAAGGAAGGGCGAAGAAATGACCAGAGGAAGGACAAAGGAACTAGAGGGAGAGCCGCAATGTACGAGTTAAAATGACACAACGAAGCCCATAAACTTTTACACATGCGCTCGAAGTGACGGACTGCGCTCATATATCACTATCTAATTCGACTGAACCGACCAGGGGTTAGTTTGCTTAACTGCGGTCGGGAAGAAGCTTGACGGCCTTGGCCATATGAGTCTTGGTCACTTGGAGGAAATCGTCTTGTATAACGGAAATTACAGAAAACGACGAGTAGATCATCTACCTCGTCGCTGGTGAGACGCGGACTGGCTCGTAGGATTCAGCTATATGTTGCAGTGTACATAAGAACGGCCGTGGGAACGAACGGCCCACTAAGTTTACCCACCGAAATCGCAGCCAATTGCGGTCAAGACATTGTCAGAAGGCCCATGTTTTCGCGGGGTTTAGCGGACTTGGCAAGCAGAGTCCCAGAATTTTATGCCGACTTCGCCCAGAATTTTGGATCTCCATTTTGGAGTCAATTGGAGCTTGTCGTCGTCTGTAAGCATTTCCGACCAAGCCTTTAGACACTTTTGAGTCACTCTTGACCTTTGACCAACACTTCAAGGATCTCACGTTGAGATTGCCAAAAAGGTCAATTCAGCTTCACTCGCTCGGGAAGTCAATCATCTCCAGAGTTTGGGTCTTTGTGACATCACAATGGCCTTCCAGACAGTGCTCCGGTCGAGAGCTCCGGCAGCTCTTGCTCGAACCTGCCGAGCATCCTCTACACAATATGTGTGAGTACAGACTTGTTTCTATAGCTCAGAACTGCATTCCAAGCTCGAAGGTGGAGCTAATTGAGTTATCAGTCGCCTCAGCACATCGCGGTCTCTCCGAGCCGCCGACGACAGCGACCTCAACAAGGTCTCGAAGTTCATCACACAGCCCAAGTCGCAAGGTGCCTCGCAAGCCATGCTCTACGCCACCGGTCTCGACGATGCCGACATGAAGAAGGCCCAGGTCGGCATCTCCTCGGTGTGGTACGAAGGAAACCCCTGCAACATGCACTTGATGGACCTGTCCAAGGTCGTCAAGGAGTCCGTCAAACAGGCCGGTCTCATCCCCTACCGATTCAACACCATTGGCGTCTCGGACGGTATCTCCATGGGAACCACTGGTATGAGATACTCCCTGCAGAGCAGAGAGATCATTGCCGACAGTATTGAGACCGTCATGGGTGGCCAGTGGTACGACGCGAACATCTCCCTCCCCGGCTGCGACAAGAACATGCCTGGTGTCCTGATGGCCATGGGCCGTGTGAACCGACCCAGTATCATGGTCTACGGTGGTACTATCGCCCCCGGATGCAGCAAGAGCGGCGCCGAGATCGATCTGGTCAACGCTTTCCAGGCCTACGGACAGTACATCACCGGCGAGATCACCGAGGAGGAGCGGTACGACATCATCCGTAACGCCTGCCCCGGCCAGGGAGCTTGTGGTGGCATGTACACTGCCAACACCATGGCTTCAGCTATCGAGACCCTCGGCATGTCGCTACCCGGCAGCAGCAGCACGCCAGCTGCCCACCCGGCCAAGATCGAGGAGTGCAAGCGTGTTGGCGAGGCCATCAAGCACATCATGAGGGAGGACATCCGACCCCGCGATGTCCTCACCCGGGAGGCCTTCGAGAACGCCATGGTCGTCGTCAACATCTTGGGAGGAAGCACCAACGCCGTGCTCCACCTGATCGCCATTGCTGACTCGGTTGGCATCAAGCTGACCGTCGACGACTTCCAAAAGGTCAGCGACCGCACACCTTTCCTGGCCGACCTGAAGCCCAGCGGCAAGTACGTCATGGCCGACATGATGACCATCGGTGGCACCCCAGCTCTGCTCAAGTTCCTGCTCCAGGAGGGCATCATCACCGGCGAGGGCATTACGGTGACCGGCAAGACGATGAAGCAGAACGCCGAGGAGTGGCCCGAGAGCTTCCCCGCCGACCAGAAGATCATCCGCCCCTTCAACAACCCCATCAAGCCCACGGGCCATATCCAGATCCTGCGGGGACAGCTCGCCCCCGGCGGTTCCGTCGGCAAGATCACGGGCAAGGAGGGCCTGGTGTTCAAGGGCAAGGCGCGCGTGTACGACTACGAGGATGCTTTCATCGAGTCGCTCGAGCGTGGTGATATCAAGAAGGGTGAGAAGACGGTCGTCATCATCCGCTACGAGGGCCCCAAGGGCGGTCCCGGCATGCCGGAGATGCTGAAGCCCTCTTCGGCCATCATGGGCGCCGGCCTCGGCCAGGACGTGGCCCTGCTGACCGACGGCCGCTTCTCCGGCGGCTCCCACGGCTTCCTCATCGGACACATTGTGCCCGAGGCATTCGTGGGCGGGCCCATCGCCTTCATCAAGGACGGCGACGAGATCGTCATCGACGCCGAGAAGCGCATAATCGACTCTAACGTCCCCGAGGCCGAGTTCGAGAAGAGGAAGGCCGCCTGGAAGCAGCCCGAGCCCAGGTATCTGAAGGGTACATTGAGGAAGTACGCCCATCTCGTGCAGGACGCCTCTTCAGGTTGTATCACGGACGGCAGTGCGAGCGCATAGTGAGAGGGAGGGAGAGAGAGGTGGAGAGAAAGAGACGGGGCGAGGTTTGAGTCGACGTTGGATGTAGGAGCGCATTGTGTCAACTAAATAATAATCCTGTGTATATAACACTTTGTCATCAAAAAAAGAGGCATTGGGCCACGGCGGCTCTTCCATGGTTTTGATTTTGGCTGGCTTCTGGGTTCCGGAAAATGGCGTATTTTCCTAATACCAAGAGTTTCTTTCTTTTCCTTCTTCTTCTTCTTGCATAATTTGACTTCATGGTAAAAATACACTCTGCGACCTGGGAACAGTGATGCTTTGATCATGTCGTTGTCGTCAAAGTAGAGGAAGACACCACCAGCACATATGTATCATATGTGGGAGGGAGGGAGGGAGGATATTTCTTCCCAACGCCCCCCACCCGACTGGACCAAGGAATACGTGGTATTCCTAACAACCGGTCAGTTGAGATGCGCTCAAACATACCACAAACCAAGGAGCACCACCACAAAACGTATGACCGGTGCGATCCGGGCGAAGGAGACGGCTCCCCACTGCAACGATTCTCGACTCTCGGCCCCAAACCAAGCAGAACTCGTTTGCCACATGCATCTCCAGGAGCTATCGTTTGCCCGCGCAGCAAGCACCCAACGGTTCTACACACTCAAGGTCTCGCAGCGTGCGAATCTACGGTCAATTATCAAGGAGATGGTATCACGGGTAAATGGTGTTATTCAATGAACAGCTACAATTTAAGCTATACTCTCCTTTCAGTGGATGCGGGATGGCTGATTCTCCCCGATTCAGCGACTACGCGGCAACTCCTCTGCCGCTTCCACGGCCTGGCCGTCTCTGCCCACCGGTCGCGACGTGGGTGTTCTACTGCTCACGATAGGTCCCGTCCTAGATTCGAGTCTGGAGAATGCTAGACCAAGCCCAAGTCATAGATTCCGTGGGGAGAACGTGATGACGTAGCCCATCCCATGGAGAAGAACCAGAGCTCGAAACATAAGCTCGGATCCGAGTCTGAACGTGACAAGTTTTTTTTTTCTTCAGAAGAGATAGGCGACGGTGGCCGGGCCTGCCAGGAAGTGCATTACCAACTTCTCGGGCTCACCGGCCCGCAACGGCCGTCGCGATGGACAGGCTTGTTGATCGTAGAGATTTTTTGTCAGGAAGACTTTCATGTGGAGCGCAATGTAGAGCGGGCCTTCAAGTATAAGTTATTCCTCTTTTTGTGAACTGTGAAGGTGCCGCTGAGTGAAGTGTTGCTGTAAACAGGCCGGCATAGACGCTCTGACTCGTTGGAAAGTCTACTTCCGAGCAGTTGTCCAAGCGTCTATGAAAGCGGCCTTATCGCGCAACGTCAAACCAACTCGTTTGTTTCTGGCTAGCCTCGCCAGTGTCTCGGCAATATGATCCAGCAACTTTCTTCCCTCTGGGGTTGTCGGCTCTTCCCCCTCCACCTCGTCGTCTGATTCCTCCACCTCTTGGTAGCCGTTGATCTGGTACTGGTGGCATGTAACGGCCTCGGCAATGCGCACTCGGATGCAGTGTGTCGGTCGCGACAGCAAGTTCCAGAGGAATGTGAAGTAGGTGCCAGGTATGGGAGTCGTGATGTCTTGTGGGGTGTAGCGCAGGCTGACCGGGAAGATCTTCGTATCGGCGGACGCACTTAGAAGGCTGGTCGATAGGGGCAGCAGGCCTTTACCGTTTGTGGTGCTGGATTCGGGGAAGACAACAATTACTCGGTGCGGGTAGTCCTCGCGCAGTTTTCGTAAGGTGACCAGGTTGTCCCGCTTGGGAGGCTGGAGGCGCACCGGAGCCAAGGCGAGGAAGATGGCGTCGAGTAGGGAGATTTGATGGACCTTTTGGGTGCCGGGGTAGCTGACAGTGTATACGGGGTCGAAGATGGCGGCCAGATAGAGAGCATCGATAGGACTTGTGAACTGGGCGGCGATGACACTGCCGGGGTGAGGCACTCGGTCCGGAGGCTGCTCGTGAAGGTGACCACGCTTAACACCGTCGAGCTGCAAGTCCACCCACCATATGCCAGGTATGCCCAGCATGCCCCATAATAACAGCTTGCGAAAGACGACTGGTAAAGGTAGGTGGGTGAGGACCAAGAAGTAGCATGCTGCGTAGAGGACGAATATGGGTAGGCGAAAGGAGAAGATGAATAAGTGCCAAATGCTGGCGAGGCGGGAGACGGGGGTGACGTGCGGCAGGAACGGCGAGACGCCGCTACCGCGGTCACGGAACTGGCTGTACTTCTCCATGGTAGTCTTGTTGTCGTCGTCGTCGGAGGGAGGAGTCGGATTCGCAGCCGGGGTGGCTCAGGATCGCCGTGGGTAGGTGGTATTCGTAGTTGGCACAAGTCGGGTCTCTGGGGTCTCTGGGGTCTCGTCTCTGGGGTTTTTCTGGGGGTATCGCGTGATTTAAATGGGGCTTGGGCAAAAAAAGGGCCAACACTTTGGTGACGCTACGGAGTACCAAGACAAGACATGTGCTTGTTTGTCTAGTTCTTAAACGATACAAGGGAAGCAGAAGCATAAAGCGGAAAGCGGAAAGCGCAGAGCAGAAGAGCGGATCAGAGGGAGTGTAAGCGCACGGGGTGCAGCCGTTGGAAGCTTATTGAGAGGGGGGAGTTTTGTTGTACAGGTCGTGATGTCAGCATTCTGGGTGAGGAGTGAGTGAGTGTCAAGACCAAAGCTTATTATATGTTGGCACTTGAGGCCAACGACAAACTACTTGATGACATGTGACAGGGTTTTTGGGGATATATGTACAGCAGTAATAATGCCTACTATGTGTATAGACTCCCGCCCCCTCCAGCCTAATGATGTTTAGGGGCAGGGAGGGGGCTTTGGGAATTTGGAGAAGCCTGAAGCGCAAGAAAGGGCTGAAGGGGGAGGAGCTGAGGAGCAGTTGAGCATTGACCATGACTACGCTACGGTTAGACTAGACTTGGACTGAGCCACATCATCTCAGCCGCATATGTGGCTTGCTCACTTGAGGTGGGGGTTTAACGAATACTCACGTGGCGCATTTACATTCATTCATTCGCATACGCGTTGAATTTGTGTTTTCCGTGGTTGCCCCGGCAGCAACAACTACTGACTCGAGTCAACATTCCACTTTGGCGCAACCCCAATTAACGGGAGCTGCACAAATGGGTTCTATTCTATGCAACCTGTTGCCGACTTTTGCACGTTTATGTATGTAGTTGAACATATCCACCTGATGGATGTCTGTATTTATTTATCCTTCCCATCATATGCCCACTTGGTCTCGGAAGACGAAAGTAAAGCTAAGTTAAAGGTTCCTCTACCTAACTTAACTTACTAGGTTAGCCACCGAACCCGCATCTGCTTTTCAATGCTCAATGCTCAACACTCCCTTGCCCTGAGTTTGTTAAACGTCATCTAAACACATGCTCACTCAACACCCGCCATCACGCCGCCGTTCACATCCACATCGTCTGCTGGCGCCTCCCCCTCTGGAGCTCTGCTCCTTGCTTCGCTTGCATATCACCTAGCTGCGCGTCTGAGACATAGGATCAATATGGATACGGAGAATTCGGTATGCCCCCTCTTCCCCGAGGCTCGATCGCATAGCAGCCGTTCATCTTGAACCACGCCGACTGACATGACATGACCCGGCCCAGGTAGTAAACAAGCCCTCCGCCCTCCCCCGGCTAGGCGCCAGCAAGTTACCCCAGCTATTTTCATCCTCGACCACCTCACAACCAGCACTCCACGAGATCACCGAGTCGCAATCCAACACCCGCTCGCAATATGCCATGGGACCCCCCATGAAACGAGGTCCTCACGGGCTCGCCCAACCTGAACCCAAGCGCAAGACCCTCGCCGATAAAGCCGGCTCGGAGTTCCCAAATGCCACGTCGCGATCGGGCCTCGTTGCCCCTACCCCTGTCCGGACTGCCGCCGTCAAGGGCACATCCATAAAGGATATGCATTCCGTAAGTCACTGCCGCGGAACGCTGCATGCAGCACGATATGGCGCTGAGATGATCCTGACCGAGCACGTTGGCATATAGGCCCGACCTGGAACACGTTCTGTCGCTTCATACAACTCGAGCGCAACGCGCAACACAACGAATAGCAGTTATGCCACCAGCATTGGTCCAGGCGGTCGACCTCCCTCCCGAACAACAACACATTCTCGCTCAGCAAGCGTACGCTCAGCCGCCCCGAAGAATGGCGCAAGGCCTGTGACGTCTATGGGAGTCAGGTCACCAGAGCAGACCAAGAATGGTATGATTCCCCACCAGCTTACAAGCAAATCAAGTTCCAGCAATCTTCCAGTCAGGATGCTACGAAAGCATTACTCTGTCAATGACATGGATACTGCTTTCGCTCAATCACTTCCTGTGTCTAGAGAAGCCTCTATTTGTCAACAATTCAACGCCCTGACCATCCGTGAACCATGTACGAAGTCGTCGCAAGATGGTCGGAATCCAGTGGTTTCCGGCCCGCAAACGCCGCCACCAACCTTCAAGCTACCCTCGAGTGTGACAGTGCGCAATCGAGGTCAGCAAGGCGGTAGCCTGGGCGCGGGAGCTTTGGTAAAGGAGCAGTCTCGGGACAACCAAGTGGTACCCGAAACCCCAACATGCATGGAGATGACGCACCAGTATGCGCGACTCGAATCCTCCCTGAGAGCTGTCAGGACAGTCATGATGTCCCCGTCGCCTACGAAGTCCTCGTTCTTGACTAAGGAGTCTAACCTGAATAACTTTGTAGTTTGGGATGTGGATGAACGCCTAGGTACCTTCGAAACCGAGTTCAAGGCCATGAAGGAGATGATCAGCACTTCCATCAGCGGCCAAAAGAGTCTGGAAGAGAATGTTGCTGCTGTGAGCAAAAAAGGTAAGCCCAACCCGGCCAGGGAGGGTATTTGCAGGTCGTCTCTAACACCAGCTCCAGCCGACGAACTCGAACAAATCAAAACCGACCTCGAATCGTCCAAATCAGAATTACAGACTAAACTCGACGACGCCGAACAAAGAATATACTGTCTTACCAGGGAGCTCGACGACGAAAAGAGAGCCAGGCGCAATGATGCTGAGGATCTAATGCGCGAACACAGAAACGACATTGACAAGAGGTCCCGCGACTTCAACAGAGAGAAGGACGAGCTGGAGCGAGCTTTACGGAAAAACATTGAACGGGTCAAGGAAGAAATGGCTTCCAACTTCGCAAAGCAACTTGGCGAGGCTCACATGGCGTTTGAAGAACTCGAAAAACTCCTCGAGGAAGAGAAGCGCATTGCAGCTGTAAAGAGCGAAGCCAATGGCAAGGATATGGAAGCACAGTTCGTTCAGCTTGAGCAGCTAAGAAGAGAAAGAGACGAATCAAGACGTGCTGAACAGGACCTGAAAGGTCTCCTGTCAGTCAGGGAAGCTCGCATTGGCGATCTCGAGCGCCAAGTCCAGGCCGGGCAGACCGCCCTCATCCATCTCAAGGGAGACGAACAGAAACAAGTCGAAAACTTTCGCATGATAGCCGAGGAGAAACAACTAGCGGAGGACCAGGCTGCTGAAGCCATCAGTCAAGCTGAGGAGTTCAAGGCGAAGCTTAGAGTTGAAGAACGAAGGCGGAGGAAGCTCTTTGACCAGCTTCAAACCCTCAAAGGCAACATTCGGGTCATGTGTCGTATTCGTCCTGGACGTAACGATTCCGGAAATGCACAAATTGAAACCGAGATTGGCGACTATGATGATCACATCGGCAGGATGAAGGTCATGGTACCCATCAAGAAGTACGACGGCGAGCAGCTTGTAGACAAGAACTTCGATTTCGAGCGAGTCTTCGTACAACAAGAAGGCAATAAGATTGTCTTTGAGGAAATCAGCCAGCTCATCCAGAGTGCCCTTGACGGTCAGAAGGTGTGCATTTTCTGTTATGGCCAAACAGGTTCTGGAAAGACTTTCACCATGAGTGCGGAAGGAGACTCTATTATTCCAAGTGCCATGAAAATGATCTACGAGCAGGCCGAAGCTCTCAAAGATGCCGGGTGGACTTACAAGATGTGGGGATCCTTCACCGAGGTTTACAACGAGAAGACCTATGATCTACTCAGCGGCGATGGCACCCGTAACGAGGTCCCGCTTCGACAAGATCCGCTTACCAAAAAGTTCTACGTTGACTCCTCCGCAACCTTGCTGCAGTCACCGGCAGAGGTGGAGAGCATGCTGGCAACGGCAAACAAGAACCGAACCGTCGCAGCTACACAAATGAACCGAGCATCATCGAGATCCCACTGCGTATTTACCCTCAGGCTAGAGGGTATAGACATCGAGGGCAATAGGAGCGAAGGTGTGCTGAATCTGATCGATCTGGCAGGATCTGAGCGCGTGAAAGAGTCGCAAGTCGAAGGACAAAACTTCAGGGAGGCCGCCAGTATCAACACATCACTGTCTACCCTGAGTAAAGTCATGACCGCCCTGGCTGAGAATGCCAGCCATATCCCCTATCGAGACTCAGCCCTGACCAAGCTCTTGGAGGGTTGTCTAGGTGGCAATGCCAAGACGCTCATGTTTGTCATGATCAGTCCTTTGGCCACAGACATAAAAGAGACTGTCAGTAGCTTGGACTTTGCTACTACGGTATGTTCTGAAAATTCCAAGTATATTGATAAGTTCTGCTGACAGTACCATTCAGGTCTCGAAAGCCAAGCCTGGGCAACAAGGGGGTGCCCTCAAGACCATCAAGACCGGCCGATCCGGTCTACCGAAGCTTCGATAGAATACTGATGGCAATGAGTGTCGAATGTGTCCGAGTTGAATAATTCTCCACGGCTCGCTACTCGCAAAGGTCTGTCAGTCATGTTATAAGTTTATACCCTTGGTGTTTGAGCGAGCGAGAACATTGATTAGAAAGGGAATACCTATTTGTTGGAGTTCTGCATGTGGATATGCCGGCATTCTTTGGTTCGGGAATTCGAACTAGGAGTATGAACGTGTTGGGCGTATATAGGAGTTTTTGTATCATTCTTCTCGCTATCCTTTGGTAAGGAACACGGAGCCAAACTTAGGGGCGGCCTCCAGATAGTTCTCGGTCGACAGCATATACTCGGGGTGTCTTGATAAAGAACAAGACGATACCGACCAAGAAGGTGCTGTTAGTGTCTATACTCACAATAAATGAGAGAAAGATGATATCAATTCGAAATAGGTCGGGCTATCTGATGAGTGATCTATGCCCAGCCACCTCCACTGGAAATGATACAAACCATCTGAACTCGCTCTTTCAACTTCGATCCCTACGTGAGATTCTTCCATGCATCTAATGAGCACGACGTTGTGGGGACCTCCTAACCAAGGGTGCCGAGGCTTGGCGTAAGTATACCAACGTTATTGGTCAATTGAATTCGAATGCTGATCGTAGCCCTGCAACGACACCTCGCTTAACCCCGCGCTTCGAGGTCGAAGGAGCATCATTTCAGTGTTCAAGGAACAGATTTCTGGATCCGCTTGTGCCGGGCAGCTGAGTATACAACAATAGACGTGAGGCTTCGCCAAAGTTCAAAGCTCCGGCAACCAGCCCGATAGATCGTCTACTGAGGCGCCCACAGACCTTGACCCGCACACGGCGGTCAAAGGCAACAGCCTCGTACAAGGTTTTGCGCAATAAGCACATAAAATCGCCAAAAGCAAGGGATAAAAGGGGAAGAAATCATGGAATATCAATCCTTTCTCATAACAGGCGGCTGCGGCCTCCAAGGGTCTTCCATCGTCGAGACCCTGCGGTCCCGCTACCCCTCCTGCCGGAACATCGCGGTCCTGACCCGCGACCCGTCCCTCAACCTGTTCCCCGGCGTCGCTTACCACCGGGGCGACCTGACTAGCCCCGCGGACATCGACAGGTGTCTGCAGGCCTGCCGGCCCACGGTGATCTTCCACTGCGCCGCCGTCGTTACGGGCACCCGGAAGCCCGTCTCCGACGAGGTCGTCAATGCCATCAACGTCGGCGGGACCCAGCTGTTGCTCGCGGCGTGCGCGAGGCTCGGCGGCGTGCGCGCGTTCGTCTTCACCTCCTCGGTCGCCGTCGTGCAGAGGCCCGGCGTCGAGATCCGCGGCGCCAACGAGACCTGGCCGCTGATCGACTTCGTCAATGACAGGGAGACCCTGGTCTATCCAAAGTCCAAGGCCGAGGCCGAGACGCTGGTGCTGGCCGCGGACGGGGCGGATGGAGAAGGGAAAGGAGAAGGGCGCGAGGGGGGCTGCAGCATGCGCACCTGCGCCGTCCGCCCCAGCGCCGTCTACGGCGAGCGCGACAACGACGTCACACCCCTGGTCATGCGGACCGCAAAGACCATGCGCGGCCTGCAGATCGGCGACAACAAGAACCCGATGGCCACGACGTACGTCGGCAACAGCACACACGCGCACCTCCTGGCCGCGGAGCGGCTGCTGGACCCGGACCCGGCCGTGCGGGACGCCGTCGGCGGCCAGGCCTTCTTTGTCGCCAATGAGGGCGCCTCCACCTTCTGGGACCTCGCGCGGACGATCTGGTTCCACGCCGGCGCGGGCCCGGATCCCAGGGACCCGGCGGAGTACAGGCCCGAGGACCTGAGGGTCGTCAGTGTCGGGCTGGCCATGTGGGCTGCCTGGGCCAGCGAGTGGTGGGCGTGGCTCTGGGGCTCAACGCCCCGGATCAGCCGCATCGCCGTGGGCATCGTGACCATGACGCGCGTCTACGACATCAGCAAGGCGAAGAGGGTGCTGGGGTATAGCGAGCAGGTCGGCTGGGAAGAGGGCTGTCGGAGGGCCGCCAGGTGGTGGGTGGAGAATAGGGGGGAGGACAAGAAGACGAAGTGATGATCATGGGGTTTGTTTTGTCGATCCCAATGGTTGCGGTTCTCTGCATCGTGCTTTGTGCCCGTGGGTAATGCGTTCGCCCCTTGGACCTAGGTGCCCGGCGCCATTCATCTGCACCTACGCAGTGTCACAATAGAGAAACTTCCTTCTTTGCCTGCTCACATAGGCATCTACTATACATTCACAATAGATCACGTATATCCGGTGCATCTTTCTGCAAATTCAAGGAGCTAGCACGGCCTCATTGTTTCTGATAGATGCGCGACGAAACAAAGGTTTTGGCTGGTTTTGTCTATCAGAATCTTTCCCACAAGACATGCACTGCTCATATTGTGTTCTTGGGCATCTCAGGGCTGACCCTCGATGATCTCAATGGTCTTGTGATCCAGCCACGTGGCGATGGTACGCTCCGTCAGGGCGTCCACGCGCTCCTTGCTCTGTAAGCCCACGGGGCAGATGGGCCAGATGATGCTAGTCATGCACGACCGCTTGTACTCGATCAGCAGCTCCTCGTCGCGGGGGTCGAGGTCGGGCCCGCCCATCCGGCGAAGCGCCGCGAGGTAGTGGTCGAGGACCTCCCACTCGTGGGCACGGCGGTCCGCGACGCTCATCATGGACGTCATGAAGTAGACGAGGTCGTGGAAGCACGACCCAAAGTGGAACGCCGACCAGTCCAGGAACCGCGTGTGGCCCGAGGCTGTGAAGTAGACGTTTCCGATGTGGGTGTCGCCGTGTAGCAGCGTTCGGAACCGAGGGTTGCGCCCCGCGTAGTACCTGTCCAGGGCCCTGTTGACCCGGGCGCCGTCCATGAGGTACTCAGGCAGCTGCGGCCGGCCCGGCTCCCGCACCACGCTGTCCCACGGCCGGACCATGAAGGTCATGGCTGGGTCGTAGTTGTTCCATATCCCTGGGACACCCCTCGTTAGACGAACCTGTGCTTCGCAATTCGGTTTCTCACGTCAACTCAGCTTACACGGGTAGTCATCCTGACTCTTGCCCCAGAACTGGGCATGCAGGCCGGCCATCTGCTCGGCGCCGTCGAGGATCTTACTCAGCGGGTAGGCGGCAACCTCGGGCGCAAAGGTGCAGCCCTCGTGGACGAGATCCGACATGATGGCGATGCCCTGCTCATCGCTGGTGCCGCCCCACCAGCCCGTCGGATAGCCCATGTGCTTGATGGTGGGCGCGATCTTGGCGAAGAAGTCGGCCTCGCGCTGCGCCAGGCTCACGGTCCACGGCTGCGAGGCCACCATGGCCGGGTCGAACACACCCTTGACGCAGATGTGCACCGGCCGCGTGCTGGGGTCGCCTGTCGCTGCCGAGTCAGCGTACTCGAGTGTGTAGAATAGTTTGCTGGCCGTGCCGAATATGTTTCGGTCCGCGTGCATGGTTGCGGATTTGATACTCTGTCCCAGCACTGACCCTAGCCATTCCGTCGTCACGTCCTCCGGGAGCGCGGGGAGATGATCGTATGTTGTTTTGGTGTTTTCTGCCATGATGGTTGTATTTTGTCATAAATTACAGGCAAGAGAGCAACAACGTGAGCCAAATGGATAAGAGCAGACAATAGTGATATACATTTTAAAGATTGAAGCGATGCCGGCTGACGACTCATGTCTACGCCGATTATGGGCTGGGCATGGTATCATGAGATGTGTTGCACACGCGGCAGGCATGATTACCTCGCCAAGCGGGGGAACCCCGACCCTGACCCTGGTCCAAGTGTGTCGACAAGGGTCATAAATACCTATCCCCGTTCCCGTTGTCTTCTATTTTGGCAAGATACGTTTTGTCGGTACCTGTAAACTTTAGATATAGTCTTGTAAAGTGTCCGATCGAAGGCATTGTCTGTGATAATAGATTGGATTCATTTGGCTGCGGTTGGATGATCGTTTCGCTTTTGCCTTAATGTAATATGAGAGACGCTGACTAGTATCACAACCCATTTCGCGCATTATACCTTGTTCCCAAATTGCAACACGGCCCACATACTGTATTAGTGTCTGGCCATCACACTCGTTAACGTGTTGGCACGAATGGACACCATTTCTCTCGGTTCGGTGGATATATTTCGCGGTTGTGTTAACCATAACCCCTTGGTTAATGGCCAAACTTCCTACGAAGCTCTAGGAGAAATCTCTCGGGTACCGTTGGGCAGGGGTGACATCGTCCCACCCTACATGTCAGAAAAGTCCCCACGCCGGGACCTCAGCCCTGAGGTCAGTTTTGGCAAAGTTCTCTCTCCACATCTCTGAACGATATGAATAATATGTACCGATGATACAGTCAGCCCGGCTTAAAACGATCCTGCTTTACAACGATACCTTGACGTTACGATTCTAAGCTGTGCATTTTTCTGTTTTGTATGGAGGCTAACGATATTTATTCTTGTATTTGCTTTATAACGATAATCATTAATTTTGGCGGAGATTTTATATGGGTATCGTGCTACGGAGTATAGTATGAGGGAAGTTTCTTTTATCGGGGCGTTTTAAGTTAGAAAATTATACGAGGATAGTTACTTGGACCCTGGCGTGCTTAGCTTACTGGCCATACTCTTTCAAGCCCACCTTACCCCACCTGTATGATCTGACAAAGAATGGGCCAGGAAAAAAGTTTTCTACAGTACATGGCCGTATGACAGAGACTTTGGGTCAACGGTCGTTGCGACTAGCGACCGTATGGAAGGGAGATCTGGGCACTGTATCCTCGGACAAAAAGAGAAGATAAAATAAAAATAAGGAAAAACGTGCAACCGACATTTCAGGACAAGGACGAGAGAGGGGGGGCCGAAAGTGCCGTAGTCACTACATGGATTGCATAGCTTTTCGATTGAAACACTGATGAGTAGTATTTATTGAGATATATGTCTTGTAGATATCCCAACAGTGAGTTTATCTTTCTACTTTAGTTATTCCTCCAACAAATCCGCCAACACCTGAGTAGGCGTCCGCTTTGGTGCAGCAAGCTCGATGATTTCCTTACTTGTTGTGGAAGCCGTACACTTGCCCTCCCATGCACTGTTCGCTGCCGACTTGATAGACAGAATGACGTTCTTGGATTCCTGACTCGCCGCGGCCATCTGGTCGACAAAAGACATGTCCTTGAACTGAACGTCCTTGACTTCGGTGCCTATGTGTTGCTCGATCATGTCTACGATGTCGCGCCCGGTAATATCCTCCGGGCCATTGAGAACGTATCTAGCTTTGCTATGCGCAGTCGGATCTTCCTGGCTCAAGAGGTGAGCTGCTACGATGCCAATGTCATATGGATCGATGATAGCAATAGGAACAGTCTCGGCTGGGATGAGACTGAGCGTATGTTGCCCTCCAGTTTTTCGGTGCTGTTTGATAAATACCGCTGCCGGGTACAATACCATTTGAGTAAAAATGTTGGGCTGCAATGAAGTCCACTGTAAAGCCTCGAACTCAGGTGAGTCCAACATAGCTTCGATGGCCCAGTGGTTTCGAGGATAGTAGGCGTCACAGTCCGGTCGCACATTAGCCGCGGTAGTAGAAATTCGCACCACGTATTTAACACCAGCCCTCAAGGCATTGAGATGGAACGTTGACTCCTCGGCGAATTGATTCGGTTGGTTGTGCGAGGCGATGAAGGCTCGGACGACCTCGTGCTTTCGCAGCCAGTCGGCGGTGATTTCCACCCAGTTCTGTTCCAAGACTTCAACACCCGGGATCTTAGCGAGCTGCTGGGCTGCTTCGCTCTTCAGGGAGCGTGTTAGGGCAATGATTCGATAACCAGACAGCGTGCCACTCAGTAGATGCGGCAGCGTTTCGACAACGCTTCTGCCAGTGTTGCCAGTGGCGCCGGCAATGAGAATAGTTGGAGCCATCACACAATGAGCTGTTCAATACAGAGAAACCTAGGTCGATTATAGGCTGGGTAGGTGCTTCGGGTAGTTGGAGGTTGTCGAGGTTTGAGATATATCAACACATGGCACAAGGTGACGTTCAAACTTCAGCTTATATACCTACTTTATCAGTCAAAATGAGTTACCCACACTGAGCGTCGCTTAATCAACACAAGCCTTGTAAGATCCCCATGCGGATCGATTGAGTATGTAAATATTTGACTGTAGTATGTATGTCATGGCCGAAATTTCTTCAATGGTGCATTAACCCTCTCATTGCACACTGTAGTGCTGCTCAATGACAAAGCATAGTATTTAGAAATAAAGAAAAGTCTCCGAGGCGGCTTTATGTTCACTCCGTGAGAACCCCACTAACCTTGAAAGTCCACTAAGGTTAGTCTGGTCTAACGTAAAGTTGTTCACTAATCAGGAGGTATGAATCAAGATACGCAGTCGAGGATACACTTGTGAGTAACAGAAATACCAGCCATGGTGGAGTTGTAAAATAACGAAGTACTAGCCATTGCCTCGATACACCATCTGCTCAATTTCTTTGCTTTCTCCTTAGGAGTCATCGTGGTCTTGGGTCGAAATGCAAACGATCGTTCGGGCACCGGGAATCGACGGACCGTGGCGAACGGCGCATGACTTGCAAGATCGGACAAATCGCATTGCACCATGGACCAGCTGCAAGCCATTGTGCTTAAGCCGACGGGCCAAGAATCATGGGCGAAATTGATTTGGCTGGCAGCAGTTGCAGCCTCTTCTTCCAGTATCTTCTGAATGCCATCGCGGGTGAATTTGCTCGTGCCAAGCTTCGATGGCTGACACTCACTGATCGAGTAAAAGTCTCCGTACGCCAAATTAGTGTCTACAGTATGTGCGTGCAATATGGAAAACCTTCACTTCGAAAGCTAACAACAGAGTTTGCGAATGACGAAATTGACTTAAATATGCTTGAAAGAACTCACTTATTTGGATGATACCTGAACTCGAGACTAGCTATTATTGTTAACCTTGTTCTTCTTGCCATCTTTGCCAATTTTGCCTTTCTTGTATAATATATTGCGATATCAACAATGCGATAGTTTCTGGTGGGAAACGTATATGTGTACGGGGACTTGTACGGAGACTTTTGCTTGCCCATTGTAACAAGAGGTTGTCGAAATCAGATATTATGCAATGCCACGTAGCCAAGGTGGCACGAGGGCAACCCAAAATTGTCAAGCGAAGGAGTATAGCTGTTAACAAAGCCGACAGGCGCGGGTACCCAATTGCAACAGAGATTGCCTCAAAAGGAAAGTAACACAACTCTGATTGGCCCCGAATCATTTCGCGTGGACCTGAACTTACATCTGGTTCAGCATTTTCTGGCTTGTATGGGTTGTCAATGAACTCCTGGATCTGCTTGATTCGGCTCCCACCTTCTGTGAAATCCAGATCCCGGACAACCTCGACGGCAGACTTGGAACCATCAGCTGTTGCGATGATTTGCTCACTCCATAGCACAGCCCTCCGCTCGGCGATATCAGTGACTGTTCTGGTGACCTTGAAGCTCACCTCTTGAATGGTCTGCAGCTTGATCTGCATCTGAGCTGCGTAGTCGGCATTGATGATCTGGACCTCGAAAAACTGCGAATTCCTCCGAACAAACGATTGTGGCCGATACAGTCGGACGCAGTCCTCCGTCAGAGTTGCGGAAAACAGCGCGATAATTTTCTCCTTCGTGGCATGTGTATCATTCTCAACAAATGCATCAATTGTCTACTTTAGAGTTCTTCAGAAATCCGACATGGCGAAACAGTTGTTGGGTGCACCGACGACTTAGCAAGTTGGTCCGGTATGCTCCGCGTGTAAGATCTGAAATGACAGGACTTGGGGGGCTTGAACAAGGCAGGTTCCGTTTGGGCCAGGCTCAAGCTACTTAAATACAATTGTAGCCTGATGGTGAATACGTAGGCGAGCAAAGCTGTCGCCAAATTATCATATCATGGGCTTTTTTTCCGCAGCCGCAATCTGATTAGACAGCATTAATATCATACCATGGTGAAAATCAAAGCGTCCGGTTGTTCCGACTCCCTTGCATCATGTAGTTTTCTCGTACCGCAGACACCTCGGCCCAATTATATGCAATAAGCATACTATCATTCCTTCAAGGGTCAAGTGCTGCGCAACATTCGCTTGTTGTGTGTGAAGGCAATTGAGGCTTTCGTAGTTCAGTCACCGAGCACGTACCCTAACCTAGGCAATATGTTCAAGCTGCATTAGCTCAGTTTAGTGCTTGGAGGGGCGATGACAGTGATCAGCCGCATTCTAGGTTCTAGACTACCCCAGATTCAGTCCCTAACTGAGTGTCGACCTAGTGACGGAAACGGTTTAAGAATAATCATTGGCAATATTCATCAATAGTCTTGGCCACCAAAGATGCCCGAGCTTTGTCGTAATCTGACCAGATTATTGACTCGTTCACCGTTATAATATGTCCACTATGGCACGACCCTGGTTCACATACCTATACCGACGCGCCTGTGCCCAATATCATCTTTCAATGAACAGTAATAGTAGTAAGAAGTATTGCATAAATTAAATTAAACGCTGGCATTGAATACTTTCTCCATGAAATTGTAGTGTCACAATTCAATGGTCTTTATGATAGGGAGTTTCCGGAGAATACGGATCAGGTTTGTGCATAGGTAAGAATGGAGACAAACGTATCGATATCCCACACAACGCTACTCAAATTGTAGCAATGCCGGCTCCTAACGCCCGCTAGGTGTCGAGCAGTCCAAATATTGAACCGAACTATCGATAGTTTGCTACTTCCTTGTCCTCCTCCTCCATCATCTCAGCAGCTTTTTCAGGATAATGATTAGACAAAGCTTGTGCTTGTCTATCAATCGGGGCCGGGACATCCGACTCACGATATCTCGGGCTCAGGCAAATAGCACTTCAGCACGCACCACTTGATTTTCAGAATAGTGTTGCAGAGGAAGGTTTGATTACTTCCGTGGGGAAAACAAATTTGATCGTTTATCAAACCACATTCGCTTGGAACGGAGTTCGAAGAACAGTCTTGTTCAAAGGTTGCCCAAACCCCCGCGGTGCCGGTGCCGCTCGCACCGGGAATTGTCCGTTTTTGGAACCCATCTGCAATGTGATGGAAGCTTGGGTAACTGCCAACATAGAAAAGAAGGTTTATTTAAACACATCTTGAAATTGTTCAATTGTAGCGCTCGCAATGGTTTCACACGGTATATTTCAGCATTGTTTGTTGACAAGAACATGAAGTCGCCGCCTGTGCTGGCTTATGATGAACACAGGATTCGCATTGGAGACGACGATTGTGACGTATAATGCTAGTGTTTGTGTTCGTAGCTCTTCCGAGACGGAGGGGGATGACTTGTTGTTGAACTGTATATTGCAAAGACTCGTCGTCTGCGTGGATCAATAGTGGGGTTGATAGGGGTTAGCAGGAGTAACATAGATTGTAGGTTTCGAAAGGAAGTTTGTATAGAGATATAAAAATGTGAAAACAGTTGAGAATGGGAAACTGAAAGGCATGGGTGAAGCAGTGTTCATGGGTACCGCAGTGTTTGCGAAGGCAGTCCTGGGGATCTGTGGAAGATGCGAGGGCCTCCGCCAGTGGTTTGGAGAGGTGCATTTTCGTGGAATATGTGGTTCCTAACATGGTTAGAATGATGGATTCTAGACAGATCGAATGTTATGGGCTGTGACGTATCAGAAAATATGGTCAGCTGGAAGAAAATGATGCTTCGCATACGGTTAGACACATGATTTTATAACGTTAAGGTCAAGTGACGGATACTGATTTGCCTTACAAATGTAGTATTCCTGTATTGCTAGTCCAAAGCCCGTACGATAACATAACTCGTACCAGCAGCTAATGCACCAATAACAAGTGTCTGCAATGCTCCCCGTAACCCGGCACGCTTGTTCCTTATCATAACCCAGTTCTTGATATATCCAAAAACCAAAAGTATTACCACTGTGATTGCGATTGATATGATCAAAGCTTCGGTAGCTTTTTCCATGAGGAAGTAGGGGATCATTGGTATCAGCCCACCAATAAAGTAACTCAACCCCATTGTCAGCGCGCTGATCCAAGCACGATTCACATCCGGCGCCTCGAGTTTTAATTCCGTATCCATTACAAACCTCACCCATGGGCTGGATACACTGTCTTTTTCCTTTGATGGCTGGCAGCAGTCCTTGGCGACGAGCTCTTCCACAAGCGGCCGCGCAGCTTCCCGAGAGATCTGATACCGCTCCGTCAAGACACCATAGACCCTCTCTTTCTTGCACTTTCGCCGCTCTTCATCAGAGGAATAGGCACCAAGGAACTCATCACGGCGATGCGCATAGCTCTCGGCCTCTGTGGATGCAGCGAGATATGCCCCCAACCCCATGGAAATGCAACCTGAGAAAAGTTCTGCCAAGCCACCCATGACCACAAGCTTCGTAGAGCCAAGCGAGGATAGCCCCGCTGTTAAGGCGAAGGGAACGGTAAGGCCATCAGCGAAGCCTATTATTATGTCTCGGATCATATCGCTGTTATATGTTGAAGGCTGGTTCTCGTCATCATGAGGTTTTTGGATCAGAGGTTGATTGTCTGCCTCAGAGTTGTCGTGGTACATGTCCATGATATGTTTCTGATTGAGTTGATGTGTGTCTGAAGACGGCTTTGTGGCACCGTAGTTTGGTTGCTGCATGTAGACGAGTGCTTGAGAAGTAGTTCGGTCTAGGTTGATAGAAATGCTGTGATCAATGCCTTATATTTTATTCTTTGAACTTTTTCGTGGACTGTCTTTCAAATTCGACCATAATTTGAAACATACGCTCTTGGGAATTGTCTATATATAATTACTTTTATAAACTTCCGGCCGAGTCGGGACCGAGAGGCTTCTTCACAGGCAGCCAATCAGAGGCGTTGCATTACTAAGTTTAATGTTGGTGACCAATCAAAGAACGGCTATTTGGACAGCACATCAAGGACTATTTCCCACACCGGCAGAAACTTTGCCGGTTGCAATCGAACAAAGGAATTAATCAGAGATTTCATATTTGTAATTTTTGAACAATCTTAGTTCTCGACACTGGATCTATCCTGCTCCAGCCACGCCTATTGATTCACACTCATGGTATTTAAAAAGACAGAGCATAGTCATACTGGCGCTTGGGCATACTGTGATGCGCTTAAAAATGCTAGCAATTTCTCAGTCCATAATGTTTAATCCGATATACGGCTTCGGAGGGAACTCGTTTGGTCCGAACTACGTAATCTGCGGCCATTGCATCGATCGTGCAATCAGTGATGGATTAAGTGAAAGGTCTTCACAATCATAGGTCGGTGCTCCACGTCACGGCATGACTGGTCGACATCTAAGTCTCCAATAATTAGGGAATACATAGGTTCCCTGAAGCGCCGGGCAATGAGACCACTAGTTGCGGGCGCTTTCCAGCACTACGATTCCTCCTATTAATAAGCACCAATCTTGAGATCCCGGCAACATCACCCCTTCTGCATCCATTCTGATCACTTTAGGATTGCTATGAAAAGGAAGAATGACTGATCTCATAGATTTTCAAAGCGCACATCTGTGCTACGAATATGTTGACACGGAATGCCCTGTGATCGAAAGAGCTTCGGCTGGCGACTTGAACGTCAATGGCCGTACCAAATATCAATCACCGCGAAACACTGAGTGATTAGTTTGAACTATCGGGACTAGATAGCAACCAGCTACATTGTCTGTCTAAAAACTCGGTGCGATGCTTGAAGATGGCACACCCTGGCTGTGCTTATATTTCCAACCGTGATGTTAAAACCTCCATCATTTTTTGACGTTGTGAGATTCATAAACTAGAGACAATCTAAACGGCACTATACTGTATTGAACGTCAAAGAACAAGATACCTGATTGCAATCTACTTTTAAGTCGCCCACACCAAAATTTGAATTAGAGTATTGGTACATGTTCTGCCAGGATGGATGATTATTTCCCAGCGACCGATCCATGCATGCATACCCGACGGGAGTGCACAGCCCATCGTCACTGGCCTCCGCCTGGCTGTGATGGAGGATATCAAGTACATGGAAGGCCATATTGTTATATGTGCTGAACGCCAATGGTCATCCGCCCTCCCCCTCTAACCATTATCAGCGTTGCGTGACTCCACCTTGTTAGCAAAGACATTGGAGGATTTCGCGTGCTATGGTCACGCAATTTCCCGGCCACTACCATAACACACACCGGAACGGATTGGAGATCTACGAATATCTCAAGATATGAAGAATCCGGCCAAACTTGAGAAATTGATGCCTAGAGATAATTGTCACGTTTTTTTAGGAATGATAATCTCGGAACAACGAATAATTCAATACATGAAGTCCACTAAAATATGTTGTTCGTACATTTGAGACCTGCAACCAACGATTCCCAAGTTCTCTTCATCAAATCCGACCTTCCATTCCCGACCTTCCGCATGAGTAGTGATTAGCCTACTATTGAAACAGTTTGCAATTTGGCGAGGTCCGGCTATCGTCCAGAGTAATCGCTGGCAATCAGCGACACCATTCTGAATAAGAACTGTTTCTCAGTTTCCAACAACAGCCACCTCGCTGGAGCGAGTACAGATCTGACCGATCTAAGGTATATATCTGAGCTACTATAAACTCGAACCCATCACGGCGTAACCGCTGAGGAAGATTCAACCCAATCTCGTGCTACATCCTCAACGCCCCATCTTCTCGGCTGACTTCGAAGGCTGGACTTCCTTCACTACTAGAAGTACGAACTCGATCTCTCCGCTCTCCAATAGCAAAGTGCTGTCATCTGCTAAAAAGAGTTTACCCTCCATAGGATGATACTCGGCTATCTCTTTGTGGTCTTGAGGGTTTTTCGCGCCCACTGAAATAAAACATCTTCGACCCTAGAGATACATTCGACGCCCTACAAGCATAGATGGTTCTTTCTGGGACCCATATACTGCCCGATGTAAGTTTGTACAACTTCAAGGTACGCGTTTCATTTTTATGTTGAATTTGTCGGGCCTGGTTGCGATATATTCTTTCTGTGACTAAATTAGTACCACTCTTGTGGTGCGGGAGTGTGTCAAATACCACAGTTTCCTCCAGTTCTGGAAATCAAGGATTTTTCTCTTGCCTGTGCCATACTCATCTGCCTCAGATTCGTGTTTGGTGGTAACGCCACGCCGTCGATCTCAGATACTCGCGTGCTTAAAAATGGTAGCCATACTAACGGATACCCGAACCATTCGCAGAGGCCTGCGATCATTGTGACGATGAAATCCTAGGTGTTTCTTGACAGTGTTATACCTTCGCCCACTGTGCTTCAACTAGACAAGGCATTTAAGCTTTGAGATAGGATTCTAGCGACTGTCGCTTGGAGTTATGATCCTGTGTCATTGATTGCTTAACGATGTGGATTAAGCTGAAGGCAGCAGGACGTCGGATCATCCTGCAGCCGGTCGCTTTTTGAAATTTCGTGCTCTAACTTTTAGGGTGGTCAATTGCGATGATCAATCGTGAGCAAAAGATCTTTACTATAAGTTGACTTCTTTCCTACAAGCACGATATTCGCATTTTTCCATTCATGGTGCGACATTAAAACTGTCGCTGCGTTGGCATGCATTTATTTTGACCAGATTCGAAGATATCATGTTCGTTTCGTTTTGACTGAAGCCGAACCCTACTAACCTTAGCGAGTTAGCACAACAGGGCGACTGGCGTTATGCGATCGAAATGAGAAGTGCTACGAATTCATATCGTGTCATTCATCCAACAAGGGTTGTGGTTAAAAACCTTCAACGCAGCTGGACTAGCTGTGTGATATGTCGCTCCAGACAGTTGAAATGTGCTTATGGGAGGCTTTTCCTGCTATTATAGTAGCATCAGTGGTGTAGTGAAAATGGTTAGAAATGTGACTATTCACGTGATGAACATCAGTTGTAGTTGGTGAACTCAAGCGAAATCCATAATAGAGTGGGGCAAAGCACGCACATCGCTGAATAATCCGTACGCATACCTGAATATCTAAAATTAGAAAGCTATTTGCGAAAGCAGTCTACAAGTAGTATGCTGCATCGAGCCTAGCCGAGCGCAAATTAATGGTTGCTGAATCAGGGTTTATCTATATTTGGTAAGCCTCCCCTCACAGCGTGACTATTGCAGAAAAGAAACCGAACCCTAGTACCCGAACCTTAGCTACGGTGCCCATACTCTGGGCGCTTTCCTTAGCACGTAACCTTGTACGTGCATGATCCAAAGGTACCATTGCAAGTATTGGTTCGTTTGTATTGTTGGTCTCAAGTTCGAATGTATAAATATTGCCTTTACTCACTCCCACATGATATTTTTCTTCATCTCACACCCGCCGATTAAAACCAATATAAGACAACTTCCGGCCCCATTACATCACAGAAATAGCTACATACGTGCAACGTGGCCCTGAAAGCAACATGAAGTCCCTCACTTGGACCTGTCTTCTCCTTTCGCCCTCAACAGTCTTAGGCCGCCCAACTGTTGATAGTAAGTCTCAGTCTCATCGCTAGGAAACCGTGAATACTGATAGCAAAAGGCGACAACGTGGTCCAAGGCAGTGATACCTATGTTCCTGAAGAGAAGCGTGATGCCAACCTGTTTGTGGAGCATGAACATGAATCAGCAGCTGCCACCGCTACGACTACACTAAGCCGCAGGGCATCGCATATTGACATCGAAGTGGTGCAAGATGAGATTGAGGACAGCAAAGACGAATTTCTGACTCGTCGTGATCAGGCCTCCTACGGCACATCCTACTGTTGCATAATGTAGAGTTTTGGTCGTGGGCAGAGGGGAGATAGCTATCTGTAACGACGAGCAGACGCGAGTGGAAGACTTATGAATAGACCGAGTTTTATTTAATCCATTTTGAAATATAACAGAAATTGTTAGGGCGTTAACTGAATATTTGATATTTCATTATAACTCATTTATTCAGTTGAAGACACTGGGGGCAATCAGGGTAGCTCAGATCAAGATTATCTGCCATTATTCTCATTTAAGTTAATACCATCTCCTATGGATATTCCATGGCTCAAATCCCTGGAAGCCGAGCATCGGCTAAAACAAGTTCCATGTTGTATTGCGCATCGCGGACTTTCTCCAACAAGATCATGAGAGACGGCTCACTAACAGCATCAACGCGACTTGGAGATTTGGCCACCTACCAGCTCTCCATCTGTAAGCCTGGGAACTCTCAATTGTCTGACGAATTGACGAAATTTTCGACTGCCTCGGGGCACCCTTTACATTGACTGTCAACCGCGATATCTTTAGCCTTTGTAAATTATATTAGTGACTTCTTCATAAAATAGCGCTTCCATGTTCTGTTACATACTGCAGAGATAATTTCCTCAAAGCAGCCGAGTGGATTCTCCCTGATCAGTGACACGACACAGGCGAGCACCGCGGGACTAATAACCGCTGCACATTGTACGGCTAGGCAGCCGTCTACCTTCGTATCCCACGCGCCTTTGGCCATATTCTTGACGTCGTCCGTGGCATCCTCTAAATCGTTGAGAAGGACAGATGGATCGCTGTCGCCAGTCACGACATTGAGTATATCATCAAGAAAGGAGGGCTCAGGTACAGGATGTGGTATCGCATGGATCGTTGGGAGAAGGAAGCGAGCAAGTAACAATAGGGTAGGGAGTGAGATGTGAAAGCGCAACATCGTGAAATATCGGGTAAGAAGTTGGAATGAACGTTGTAGTTGTATAGCTTCGCTGATGCGACGAAAGGAGATCTCGCCTCTGATTGAGTCCAAATAAAACAGCCTTTATGTGCTCTACACGGGCTTCAATAAAGAGAAAAATGAATGATTTTCCACAATGCAGTTTTATTCCGAATTCAATGACTCGAACATGTACTTCTTATATGCCTCTTAGCAGTGAGCATTTGGAGAGGCAAGAAATCAACAAACTCAGCCTTGTGACCTTCTAGGAATACAAAGCAAGCTCAGGCGAAGTAGCGGCTATGAACGTGTTGTGATAGGTTGGGCAGGCGACTTGGATTGGTGCGCCACACTCCTGCATATGCAGCGATTGTGATCCCTGCATCATGCGGCTATTATACCGAACCGTTTGCGACAATAGGCAGTTTCTATTGAAGAGCCTTGCCATCTTCACTTTTGGCCATGAGTGCGGGTCTGAAACCATGCTGTCATGATCTGGCCTGCATAAGGGTTTCAAGTGAGAAGACACGATGGATTAGGTCCAAAGACACTACCACACTTTCTTCACCACAGCCCACGCAGGCCTTAATGCAGGTCGAAGGAATCCTTGGCATTTCTTCAAACATACAATAATCTCGCACTTTGGGTACGACCCACGGTTCATGCATAGCCGATACGATTGGTATCAAGATCTCCATTGTGTAATCTAGCGCGGTGTCTCAGAGCCTAATAGTTTGCTTTAATGAACTAGATACAAAAATGTCATTTTGATTCCAGAACAACGACCCAGGAACCAACCGCTAATGTAGGAAAAACTTAGTATCATGATCCAAAGTCATCATTGGGTTGACAAATTGCCGGATCTGTGGCACTCCATCGTTATATAGCAACTGGCTCACCAGCATGTACAGTAAGAGAAGCCACACGAACATTTGTTGTTACAGCCGAGACCGATATCGACCACATCAACGAGCATCTTTGATTTCCTTCACAGACTGCGAGATACCATCACAGTCGGCCAAGCTGGTTGGTATTTCAATTGCGTTTGTTAGTGCCAGAGAAACCAGAAACCTCCCACAGGCCTGACCACGAAACCTTCTCCCAATAACAACGTTTTCGGCAATTTTAAATTCAACACGTTGAATGGGTTTTGTCATACATCATACAGGCTTTTCGCTGTTTCTAAATATTGAATCCTCCAATCTGTTATTCAAGAAATTTTCATCGTTCGAACCATCATGTATCAATTATGCACAGCGAGCAGCTTAAGACTTAACAAATAAGAAAGCATCATTCGGTGTTGCTAGCCATCACCGAGCGGGTTGGCAGTCGCCCAATGCTCAATCATTCTCCCTCCGTGAAATCGTACAAAGTCCATGATTCTCATTTGCACACGTTTCCCATCCGGCACCATTCCGTTCCACTCCTTCACGAGCACGCCACTCAGAATCTTATTGGTAGCCACCGTGCCGTCATGCTCAACACAATGGAGAATCTCGACTTTAATGTCAGAAAATGAGTCATGGAGACCTTCGATGATTCCACGGATCGCTTTATAATCATTGGGTTGACCGGGCGTCAGGGGATGGTCGCGACAGTCTGGATGGATGAAGCGATCAAAGAGTTCCAGGTTGCCGTTTTGTTGCACATCCTTGACAAACGCGCGCATGCGTTCGACGTTGCTTCCTGCGATCTCGGCCATGGCGACTGTCCACCGTCGAAAAATATAGGGTGGAGAGGCGTCTTTTGTTAGGCAGCCAAGAAATCGAATTGGTGCAGCTATCCAAGATAACTTTGTTCTTAGATTTTGTGGAATATCGTCGTCTGTATGGAAATAAGTCTTTGTTCGCTAGGTATGGAGTGCGGAAGTTTCGCCGCTGAAAATGGAAGCTTGGTACTTATATACAATCATTCTCTTACGAGCTATGGTTGTCATTCATTAATAATTGGATTAATCGGCTTTATGAGTTGTGCTATCTCCGATACACAGAGGTGGGTTTATTTAACCAATAAGAACATGGTGTGTTGAAGTCAGTCAGTACTCCGTAGTCCGTACTGGTGGACAGAACTCCATTCGGTGACCAAATACTTCAACGTGGTCTCGTACGCACGAATATAATCCTTCTTTTTGGACCGGCTTTTGGCACTGCACGAACTCATCATTAGCTTCCTAATCGACGTTAAAGATACAACAGCATTAACTGCAGATCATCCTGCCCAAGTCCAGGACGTATTTGTGCCTTTTGAGATAGCATAACGAGTGTCCCAGAGTGATCTGGACAAATATCCGCCGGCTGCTTCAATTGTTCGGGCGTCGCTGCGCATTCAGGCAGAGCGAAGCCTGGGCCTATTCTTACATTAAAGTGGGGGTAGCTAGACACCTTCAAATCACCAGTTGCATCACCTAACACCTCACCGCACTCTGTGAGCAGGCTCTCAAAAGATCTCAGTCCCGGCCAACAAACGCTTATCGACATGGATCCCGCGACCGCACACGATTTAGGCCAGCGCTTTATGCGTCTCATGGCAGAGAAGAGAACACGCCCAGGAACGGCAAGCACGGCGTCCGATTCTACCGCACCCCCACCAACGGCGTCTGGGGCAAGCTCACAATCCACGTCACCTTCAAGCTCGTTATATCGCGAGATCATCTCGCTATCTCACGTACCGCAAAGATATCAACGCCCGGGGCTTTTGGACAAGGCTCTTGACAGCCTCGACCTCGGCAAAATTTACGGCTATGCAGATGACATTGCTGCACAAGATGACTCCAAGGAGCTCGGCCACCAAGACTGCGTCATCAGGGGACTCCTCAAGTACTTCAAGAAAGACTTCTTCACCTGGATCACCGCCCCCCGCTGCTCGCAATGCGGCGGGGAGACGGATGCGATTGGAGCGCAAATGCCCAGCGCCGAAGAACATCGCAAGGGTGCTGGCAGAACGGAGATCTACCGATGCAAGACACATCCGCAGAGCCACGTGGAGCGCTTTCCGCGCTACGACGACCCGGAGACTTTGTTAGAGTGGCGCAAAGGTCGGTGCGGCGAGTGGGCCAACTGCTTCACACTGTGCTGTCTCGCGCTCGGCAGCCGCGCTCGCTGGGTTTGGAATGCTGAGGACCACGTCTGGACCGAGGTCTGGAGTGAACGGATGGGGCGATGGGTACACTGCGACGCATGCGAGGAAGCTTTCGACCAGCCACAGTTGTATGCCGTGGGGTGGAACAAGAAGATGAGCTACGTGCTAGGTTTCAGCTCTGAAGGAATGCAAGATGTCACCAGAAGGTATGTCAGAAAAGCAGAGCACAAACTGCCGAGGCTCAAAGGTCCAGAGGCAGACCTCAACCGGGCACTGAAGGACGTGAACGACCGTTCTCGGACTGAAGAGTCTGTTGTGAGACTGGAGGCGGAGGATGAGGCGGAGGAAAAGGAATTATCGGGCTATGCGGCGGGTGAAATACCAACGGTATCTGAGGAGGAGAGACCACGAGAGAGTGGCAGTACGGCGTGGAAAGAGGCGAGAGGGGAAATGGGAAAGAAGTGATCCAGTCTCAATCATGTTGCGAAAGAATACTATGATCCTTGAAATGATTTGAAAGGGTTGGCAAAGCGCATTCCTTTATACTTACCGTGATACCAGGATATTAAGCAGCCGTGGCTAGGAACTTAATCAAAGGCTTGTTTATAATTACTTTCCTTTGTGTACAATTAATCGAGTGAACATACATAACGTCTCGTAATCGCGAGATCCGATCCTCCTGTCGTTTTTAATGTAGGATTGGCGATTTTGGTTGCAATCAGATACCGTTGTTTGCAACAGCCGTCATAATTGGCACATCGAGTCGACCTGATGAACAGATGAAGTTTGATACAAGGCATTGTAGAATTTTTAAAAACATCGTTCGGCAATATCAACGAGAAAAATCTTACGTAGCAAGAACGTCCAGGCAATTGCAAGTTCCACATGTCTCGCGATATATACCGAGGAGACTATGCTCAAACTTTAGCCGCGCCTTGAGTCAATATCCTGGTGTTTCTCGTACCAAAGAGCTTGGGAGCTAAAACGCAACTATGACTATAATCTATATTGCCGACAAACCTATTCTAGGACGATGGGTTTAAACGCAAACTCTAGTGGATGCACAAAGGGGCTTTCGTTTTTCCCAACATGTTTCAAACTTCACGTTGAATTATAGATATGTGCAAAGCTATGTACATAAATGCAGACGGGCTTCGGTATCGTACTGTGGAAGGCAAAACGAACAGAATTCATATAAGGAGATGATAAAAATTATGGTATGTTGTAAGGCGACATGATTGCGTAGGGGTTATGGGACAATTGGGGGGGTTTGATGGCTTGAGGAGATTGGCTACGCCAGATAATCGGCATTTCCACATTTAAACTCGGTATTTGGACATGAACTGAACATGTGGGGGAAGCATGCTCCAGGCTCGTGTGCTTTGTTGATCCCCATGCCCGCTCAATAGACTTTTGCTCTCCCCGCAATTCCGTGGATATTCGGACGAAAGCGGCAGGACTAAGCGCCCTTGGGTCTTTGGTGTTAGTCAATTTCCGATGACAAGCCTACAATTCAATAACTATAGATAGTAGCTCGACAACTCAATTGTCATGGACGAGATTAACCTCAAACGTAACAATACTCTGCTCTCATGACCTAAGTACAGCTATGGTTAATTCCAACTTCTCAGTGGCGGCAGTTCTGACTGCAACTTGTCTCTTCTCGTCCTACATTACCGGCATATCTGCTTCTCAAATCAGTGGACAATGCGCAACCTCGAGATATGCACGACAGCCCCGGGCGTTGATCGCAACAGATATGTCGAACGAGCCCGACGATCAAATGTCCCTCGTTCGCTTGCTCACCTACGCCAATGAAATCAACATCACCACTATAGCTGGCATTACATCCAACTGGAAGAACGATTCAATCGACCTTGACACCATCAAAACAGTAATCGGGGGCTATGGTACTGTAGTGGATAGTCTGAACGCCAATCTTGTTTATGGAGCAATTGCTTACCCGACGAGCGACGAGCTGTTGGGGAGAGTCCGGGCAGGATGGCCAGTATACGGGCTGGCTGCTCTTGACCAAGACGAGATTAGTGACGCAGCAAAACAGTTGATCCAGGATGTTGACGAAAGCAGCATCTCAGACCCCCAATATGTCCTCCTGTGGGGTGGTGCGAATGTGCTCGCAGAAGCCTTACATTATGTCACGAAAAATCGAATCAGCTCATCGGTCGATGAATTCGTTTCCAAAGTTCGGGTCTATTCGATCTCCGATCAAGACAATGCTGGGATATGGATTCGATCGAACTATCCTAAGATCTTCTATGTTGTATCGTTGCAAGGGATGAATGAGTATATCATGGCGTCATGGAACGGCATATCCGGTGAGAAGTTTCGACACTTCGATCAGGGAGGTCCTGATTCATCCATCGTCACAAACGAATGGCTCGATGAGCACATTCGGTTTGGACCACTAGGTGCGCATTATCCACAATACCAATTCATCATGGAAGGCGATACGCCGTCATACTTTCCACTCATTCAAAACGGGCTTGGCGATCCTGAGCATCCTGAGTGGGGAAGTTGGGGCGGAAGGTTTACTCCACAAGATATCTCTGGACTTCACCGCGTCTATGCGGATACAGCAGATTATGTCAGAGGCCAGAGCGGCAATATGTACTACAGCAGCTTCGCAACTATTTGGCGATGGCGACAGGCATATCAATACGATTTTGCCGCAAGGATGCAGTGGACAACAACGGGTTTCAATGGCACAAATCACGCGCCAGTGGCGGTGGTGAACGGTACTTGCGGGCCCGAGGCATTGAAGCTCAATTATAGGTTCGGCGACTCTGTCGTGTTGGATGCATCCGAGAGTTGGGACCCGGATGGAGATGATCTCTCATTCCACTGGCTCCACTATCGAGAAGTGGTGCAAAGACTAGAAGGTCAGATCGATAGTGAGAGTAAGAATGTGTCAATTGAAAGCCTGAATGATCAAGGCAGCCAGGTTAGCCTCACACCACTCAGCAACATCGTAAGTAGACTCTCCGAATCTATGGCAGCTTTACTAATGCTTTTAGACCACGCACATAATACTCCAAGTCCAGGATACACATGAGATTAATATCACTACATATCGGCGTGTCATACTTGACCCGATAGAGTGACTTGTGAAAGCTCTGGAGGAATAGCCGGTGTCTTGTGTGATATAAGTCACTGTAACATTACGAATGCTAGCGTTGGCAATTGGCAAAAGTTCTGGTGTTCAGAAGTGCACTGCTAACGACGAAGATCACGATAACTGCTAAATTGCGCGTTACTGCAAGTTGATCCAAGGAACCAATCAAAAAATTCATTAACACCCGACGCCATGTCCGCGCCGTGAAATTTCCTAGCAGTCATAATCAGAGGTCATCATATCTAATAATCAAAGCACAGTCCAGTCCAAGTCACATATTATAAATGCCGGCTAATATTCAATGTGCCACTTACCAATACTGAGACGAATTTTCCATTTTGTATGTTTTATATGCAATCACTAGCGCTACGATAACCAAGATCCCTAATTATATGAAGCGTTGCATGCCAAAGTAGGACGAGGTTACTAGTAGTAGGTTTATTGATTACTTGGTCAAGGATCAGTTGGTATCTAGATGCGCGATAGCACAATATATACATATGACGACGAGTGGCTGGTAGGGGCGAAATGTTGGTCGCCGAGCGCTACCTCAACATTGCACTCCAAGTTCTTACCAAAAACTGCCGTCATGTTAGAGTTTTAGTAATCCCATATTGACAGCATTCGTGCATACCCAAGAACGTTGTGACAGTAACGAACATCACATACCTTTTCGGCTAGAGAGAATATACGAGATTCTCAAGCTACAGCTAGGCCTGTCTTGCAGTTGCCAGCAGAATAGACTCTGTTTCATGGAGAAAGCCATTCTGATCCAGTAAATCGAATGCATCGACACTATACAACTCGCGACGATGTACGGGAAAACTTTCTGAGATGCTCCCAGAGATGTTTGTCCGGTCAGCTGAAAGAGATCTTGCGAAACTTACAGAATGCAGCTGGGAGTTGAAGGCAATTGATGACAAATGGTTTGGGCACGCCGTCGGCTACACTCGACAGAGCTTGGGTGACTCTCTTCTTTTCTCCTTGTGGAGCGTCCCGTTACGGAGATGGCAAAGATTGCATGAGGAGTTGATGGTGGCGGATAGGAGGATGTCCATTTTGTCGAACAGAACTATCATAACCACGTCTTAGGCAGGCAGCCATTAAATAGCATATAGCCTAGACAGGTATTAGGCATATTAATTAGTGGTAAGCGCTTACATGATTGCATAGAGTAGACACGTGCCATGCAAATTAGATCAGCGTGAGTCTGGCAGTATTTCGGCGATCCTCAAAACTTAGGAAAGACCTGAGAGTTTATTTCACACAGACGGAGCAACAAATGTGCATCGTGGTACTTTTCAAATAAAAGTTCATGACGCTAAACTAAAGTACAAACAAGTAGCTGGCATATGGTAAAGACCATGCACAACCGTGAGGGCGCGACGCCGTTTTGTGATATAAAACCCTCGCAAATGCGCCAGTCTAGAACGGGCGACCGATCTCGTGTGTCAAGTCAAGCAGCATCTGAAGAATCCAACGGAGCGGCTACCATTTGGCCGCATTTTCATACATGAAAAATATTGTCCGTGGACCGTCTGCCAAAAGAACATTGCAGTATGTAAATATTTGCCGGTGGTCATCAAGGCTTCCATTATTCAGGCTTCTCTAGTGCCTGCTCCTTGAAGTTGTCCTGGTTTGCATTCGACATCAACATAGTCGAGTCTGGCTTGTACTTCTTGGAGATGAGCTTGATGTCGTACTGGACCTCAAGGATGGCGCCGTTGGAGTCCTTCTCAATGGGTACAAAATCTAGGATCAGATCATCCTTGACTGCAGAAACAGTATCCGTCTCCAGGTATTTGTCGTCCCTCGAGTACAGCTGAGCTGTGACACCAACGAAGTCGGGATGAGTGACCATGCAGTGAATGTGACCAGGGCGCATGGGGTGACGGCCCATCACCTTCAACAGATCGGCTGAGGGGCCGGTGGTGTCGATGGGGTACTCGGTAGGCTTGAGGCAGTAGAACCAGAACTTGCCGTCCTCATCAGTGCGGAACTTTCCTCGAAGGTTGTGGCGCGTTTGGTTCTCAGGGTCGAATACGTCGTATTTGCCATTGGTGCTAGCTTGCCACATGTCGAAGACAGCGCCCGCAATTCCCTTTCCGGTCTCAACATCCTTGATGACACCGTGGAAGTAGGTCAACTGTCCATCGCTGGGCATGTTTAACACTACACTAGCACCAAGGTCCCTGAATGGTGTCTCAGGAGACCAAAATGGTCCCAGAATGGTTGATGAGGTCGGCTCAAGGCCCTTGTCGTTGACGATCTTGTGGTTGATCTCATCGACGAGACTGGAAAGCACAATCAGCGATTGAGCAAAAAGCAGGGAACTAGCAATGCTGGCAGCCCTCGGAGGTCGCGGAAAATGAGTAATACTTACGACTCGACACCTAGAATATCGCATACTCTCCATGCTTCATTTCGGTTCTTCTTGTAAGCTTGACCAATGGCATTTACATAGTTGACACCAATGATCCATTCGTCTTGCGTGAGCTCAACATCTCGGCAGAAGTCGTGCAAGTGTGTGATCAAAGATGTGAGGATTTCTCTGTGTCTGGGTTTTGTTTCGGAGCTCATAAGATCAATAACATGCTTTGTGAAGTTGGGGTCGAATTTGCTGTTATTGCTTTGAGCACCATGGGTGCCGTTGGTGGTGCCGTTCGCAGCCATAATGATGATGTTGTGTGATATTTGTACTGACTCGGATAGCCTGTGAGGGGGAAGGTGATCTCAATATGGCGTGGGAGGTATGTTTATGCTTCTGATTTGCTTGTGGGGGAGTCGAGATGAGAAGTGATGAGTTTCGTGGAAGAAAGTCGAGTCGCAACACAAGAGGAAATGCTTCCTTTAAGAATGGTCGCGCTGGGAGCCAAGATCACTTGCTGTGCAAAGGGAAACGAATCGTACGGACCCCCCAAAGCAGCTCGGTTGTTACTACAGGCAATATCATTGAACGGACTCGCCTTGACGCTCGTCATTCGAAGCAATTGGAGAAACGTAAACCCGCACTAAAGCTGCCACGGAATTCCGCCGGTTGGAAGGGTTGGAATGCCGTATTGTTAACCGACTCCACATGATCGCATGAGATTGGCTGAGCAGAATATAAGAACTAGACTTCGATTGAGGGGGAATTTAGCGTTCACTATTTGGAGCTTGAGGGAAAAACATACAGCCGGGTCACTTGGTCAGCGCTTGATAATTCTTCCTTCAAGCTTCTTATGGCCATTAAAATATTCATGTCAGATAAATAGGTTATCAATACCAATAGATGTAGCATAGATGTTCACTGAGATCATGTACTGTCTCGAAAATGACAGTCGGCCTCATGAAAATTACGCTGTGATCGTTGGCCAAAAATGCCATCTGAAATCGATAATTTGGCTACTCCGCATCGGACCGGTCTAGCTTCCATAGATGGCTGCGATTCTCCCATACAAAATCTCCCATTTCAAATTGCTCTCACGTGAACCACGCCATGTATACTCCACATTGAGTTTTCCTTCGGTCGACGTTGCGGAGAATCGGGGAGAACTAAGTTCCTAGACTGCAGTTCGTGTGGGGTAAGTGCCTTGGGTGTGTTTTACATATCTAGCCTAACCTAGGGTACTTCAATAATTAGTTCTACGTATATCAACATGTGTGTGCTATGTCTGTCTTGTGTTCATATTTCCGCATTTCTCATAACCCACAATCAGGTTGCGAGCCAGCTGAGTGAGCGGTGTCGCAGCAGCGATGTCTAGTGCTTCAGTCAGAGCTTAAAGCCCCTATGGATCCGTACTTAACGAGTACACGCAATGGTGTCACTTGTCATTAGGTGACCTTACTTTTTGCTTCCTATCGTCTATCACGAGCAACTTTCGACCAAGCACCAGCGGCGAGCATCATTTAGGATTCTAGGTCAAAGATCCATGAGACAAGTGTAGAAGATACGAGGCATTGAGCTTGTTCGTCTTGTGGCTTGTCCTTTCGCGATGCACTAGCTTGCTGTACCCGGACAACTTTGATCTATTGCAAAATACCACTAGTCGAGCGAAGACAGCCTGTATGACCAAGGTGACATCGTAGATCGTTCAGAAGACAATGTATACTTTAGAAGTGCTGAAAAGCGCCTGGATCCGGCTATAACTGCGATAACAGATTGCTTTGTCGAGGGAGACCCAGCAACTTGGGTCGGCCCGCTCCCACGTGTGCTTTCGCTAGGTTAAGGGTACCTGGTTTTGTCACTACGGGGTTGGTATGTCGGAACTGGCTAGTGTGCGTGGTGGACACAAATACCCGGGCTGGTCATCAGAGAGTCGTTGCTCACTTCTGTCAATTGCTGACCGAAGGAGCAAAACCACTCGAATCAGGTAGACTGCTTGTTTAATTTTTTTTTTAAATATCATCTAAGAGTTCTCATTTGTTGCACTTCAAGATGTCCAAGCTCATAACACTGCGCTTACTGAGACAGACCATTTCCGGATACACTATTAATACTCCAGGGAATGCCGGCCTGCCCTAGTTATCTACGGTCGGGTGACCGTTTTCAGGGACGGTTCTTGCCTAAATGCTGATTACATACCGACCGGTTGGTTGCGTGATCTGGCAAATCCAGCACTGTGTGGTCAACGAATCACGGCAAATTAGATAGAATTCGCTTAGGCGAGTCAATGGTACAGATCGGGTCCGATCAATCTAGATACAAGCCCTCCTCGGTCTTTAATATATAAGGTTGGTTTTAATTATATTCTACTTCTCTGTGTTGAAAGTGAAGCATTGTATATCTGTAAACGTTTCTACAGTCTTGCCTTCACATCCTCCTCTCGACCCTGCAAATTAGGGTGCGGAGTCCTGACCGGCCGTGTGACGGCATAGAAGGCAAGACCTTCAGATTTGGTGGAGAACTAAGGGGGAATCATCAACCTGTCATGCGCTATTCGGAAGCTTGGAGTGAAACATGATAAGAAATGGCTCAACGAACCTGGACCTTGGAGCCCACGTGGAAGAAAGCAAAGTCTCCAGGGATCAAGTGGTGGGTAATGCCGGTAGCTTCATCCTGTTTCATGGTTAACACCATCTAGCCTCTTAACACCTCAGAGTACAACATACTAGGATATCGATCTGGCCCTTGAGAACGAATTTACTCTCTTCGAAATTATAGTGTGCAGGCCGAGCAGGTCCAGTGAGGATCTTGTAAAATCCGGAGGTGAAGTGAGCAGGAGAGTCGGCGGTCTTAGTTCGAATTCTGCAACAAGATCAATTTCCTAACGTAACCAAAATACGCGAGTTGTTTAGGACATACGAGTGAAAATCGGCGACTGTTGCATTCTCGCCCTCGGGGAGAGGAATGAACTCGTGCCCTGCACCCTTGATAATGGTAAGTGGGACTAGGTTTTTAGACACTAAACACAAGAAGATTTAGTGGTACTGTTTGGACGATCTTGACACGCAAGGAAGAAAAAGCAAGAGTGAACTCACTGTTTTATAATATCAAAATAAGGAATAATAGGACAATAGAACGGCCAGGTCAACTAAATATTAAGTAGTATATGAGCATATCGAACATTCGGGTACCTTACCGATCACGTGGCATTTCTAGGCTATAGCCGGAATCCGTTCCGGGCGCGCTATCTTTCTGTAAAGATAGATAATATACTTGGACCGGGATATGAGCCGGCCCTGCGCGGGGTAATGGCGCTTATGACTTGGGGGCGTGGACTTCAATCTCAATGCCCGGAATGCGACGAAACCATAACTAGAAGTACTAACATCAGCCTCTCGTGATCTAGTGTATGTAGTCAATCATGAGCGACATCCTAACATTTTCTCGGCACTGGCTAACTATCATAGGAATCCACATTGACAAAGGCCCGAAGGAATCAGCTGCTCCTTGGAGATACCAATATTGACCATAATATGGTAGCAAAGAGGGAGGATTACTCAAGCAATTACAGACACCTAAGCATGGTCTTGAAAAAAGGAATTTTGAAAAAAAAAAAGAGGGAAAACCAAAAACATTGAACATCTACTATAAGTCGACAGGACGACGTACACAAGACAACGCCGCCTTACCATTCTAAACCAATTGCTAAGAGAAATTGGCAAGACGCAAAATCTAAACATCCTGCTTGTCTCATAACATTGTCCACCATTAATATGATCAGAATTACGTGACTGGCATGCCACCAGGAAGTGTAGCGAGCCCTGTGTTTCAATTAGTCATAATACTCCCAAGACAAAAAGGTCAGCACGTACAACTAGAAGTGCCAATGTCCTCCTGGGCTTGCTGAGCTTTGGTGCAGCCAATGGCGTCCTTCCCGTCTTGAATCTCTAAAACTTGCGTGCAATCCTCACTCGCACATGTAGTATTAAGACCATCCATGGCCCGTTGGAGGGCATCACCTTTCCAGCCGAACAGATAGTCACCGTGTGCTCCATATCCAGTTCTGAGAGTGTGCGCAGTCGTGGTTAGTAACATGGAACCCATTGATACGATTGGTGAAGAACAAACTCACGGGTCACCGAAGCTGTAAACTAGTGGCTGCTTGCCATTCTTCCAATAGTCTGGGTTATTGAATTGCGTGGTATCGTACATGATCTCATACATGACCTGTGGAATTCGGACAGGATGTGTACTCGGACATTGATCAGCTGCGAGAGCAGACCCTGATGCATATGCCACATGACTTTTATGATCAGGACTATCCAGGTTCTTCCCATCCCAGCACGATGGGAAGATCACGGTCGCGCGTATGCCACCAAGACAGGGCGTTGCAGGGAATGCTGCCGTATCGTTAGGGTCGCAAGGGGGCCCATCACCTCCCATCAAGCGTTCACTTGCCTTCAGGCAGCGGTGACAGATCTTAACGGAACCATCGGTCTGGTTGCGTAGCATGGGATCACCTGCAAACATACGGAACCCCTATAAGTGTGAGTTTATGATGTCACTACTGTAAGTGGAGTTAAGGGACTCACTGGTGGGAAGGCGGTTGTCTTCGTGTTGGTGCCGCCGAATGGTCGCATGTAATATACTGTCAGTCCACCATCTTGCTCTAGCAGAGTTCTGTTCAAACGACCGTTTGCCATCTGTGGAACTCTTTTGAATGTTCCATTTTCGGGAGACTGGAAATAGATTGAGGCGGTCCAGTAGTTGCTAGTGTCCTCGGTATAGATACAAGAAGTACAAGTAGACTGTGCGGGCGGATCAATAGTATAGGGGTCCATCTGGATCATAGTTAACAATATTTTCTTGCATTAAATCGATTAGAGACCGTACAGTAGAATTGAACGAGTTCCCTCCAACAACCTGATGCGTATGCGGAGAAGGGTTTTCTCCAGGGGTGACCAGAGGGTCAATTCGCTCCACGACAAGTTGTGAGCAGCCAAATCGAAGAAAGCCTCCATTTCCTTGGATCTCGGCAGATATTTCATGCGCAAGAAGCGCAATGACAGAAATAGTCTTCCAATTCATGGCTGCGTACGTGTGCTGTTATTAATCCAAACGGTTCAATAAAGTCCGGTGTTTGATAAAAGTTCAGCCTTCTCTGGCATCAGTCGTCTTAGGGGATATAAGTCTCTTCTCTTAGCAACGAAATCCCGCAACCTTAGCTAAACAGCACCCTTGGAATTTGATAAGAGCGTCAGAAGCTTGGACAACAAGGCGATTGGGTGAATGCAGTACTTGGCATCGTGGCAGATCATTGGAACGAATTATCCCTTCAACCGCGGCAATTGTGGCCTACCACTACCCCTCTTCTCATTTGAAGAGCCATTATTTCCAAAAGTTGTGATACATTGCAATGTAGTAATTTCATGCTGATACCTACTTTACCTGGTGCCTTCTCACTTCGGATAAGCATGCCGGATAATTGTGCGGCTGATACGGTAGAGTCCATCTCGAGCAAGTCGCAAATTCAATCGGGCCATTATATTTCCGCACAGATGTTGAGCCACACGAGAGGTTCGGATTATTCAATAAATTAGTTCTGCAAATAGCATACTTGTAATTGACGAAATGCTCGGCAGAAGTCGTGCAGCTTCGCTACTCCAAAGATTAGCGCTCCTTTAAGGGCAGTTCCAGCATTTCCCCGTCGTTGCCGCTCGGAATAAGGCAGCGATCTGGAGTTCAGTCTTTTTTCTTGGCTGAAGTATAGGCAGTTGTATTACACTGTATGGACAATCCTGACCTTTGGGCCCTCGATCTTCTTCTATCTGCGACCTTCCCACCACGACATGATACCAGCAAACATAAACTCCACAACCCAAGCCTATGAAGGTTCCTGCAGCCAGGACTGATTACGTTAGCTGTCACTTTTGCCAAAACAGCCCAATGCAACGTACAGGTCGACCTAGCCTGTTATAACCCCACATGAAATGTGATAATGCGGGTTGGAAAGGGGTAGTCAGGACCATCTTGATAATGTTGAGCCCGAGTTTCCAACCGGTGTTGGTGGAGTTGTGTTACCTGCAATTCCGTGATAGCTAAATGCCCTTGATTGTTGAACTCGATGTTGTCACCAAGCTCGGCTGTGCGAAACTCTTTAAAAAGGGCCCTAGGCAATGGCTATTCCGATAGCCTGCCATATGTCGAGCTGAGGGTTGTGTTCGGAAAGCTCACAAATGCCCCCCGCATACGTCCCAGCAGACCATTATTGTTCGATAATTCCGCCTAGCAGAGACCTTATGGAAGCGGCTTGGCCAAGGCATAACGTGGAGACGGGAGATCGAGTATCAGACATGGTGTCATAGATGGAAAGACCAGTGACCACGAAGCCACCTGGTGAGTGAATGATCGTAGAAAGGCAAATCCTATCCAGTCCGCGTCAACGTTAGGTCGTGCAATATAAAATTTTGAAGCATAACCATTTTCAACTCGTTCGCAGAGACCCCGAAGGCGTGGAGCCTGGCGAACGTATTAGTCCTAATCTTCAGAACATATAGTCCTGAGGACTGACATTACTATTAGCTGTATCCTTGGATAAAGTTGTGTAGGGGGATGTAGTTACTTATTTGCGCAGCGCCAAGATCCCCTATTACACGATACCCCTGAGTCATGAACTGTACCGAGGTGTGTGTGACACCCGATAGTCCTTAACCACCTGAAGTAAGTTCGTCTCCTTGACCGATAGTCGATCATAATATCATTGCGAGCTTGTATTCCATGGATACTCTAGCAAGCAAAGGGCGGGAGGCTGCTATGACTTTACAACAAATTTAGCTGACAGCCTGGGTGATAAACATTTGGGCTCCTCCACCTTTAACCTAGCACCTTAAGTAAGTTAGTCGTTAGTTAGCGTGTGTCAAGCATGATAGAGGCTTACGGAGGAGCCCAGCAGTACCGAGCCGAAAAGGCAGGAGCCCCTAAAGCTTTTAGGAAACAAAAACAAATCTTAAAATGTTAGCGAGAAAGGATGTCTTTTAATTGAGCAACAAACAGTACTTGCAAATTATCGTTGAGTGTCCAAATTGAGCAATTAGAGCCAAGCGCAAAAAGCCGCTCAGACCGGCCACCATAGAAAGGCTAATCAGAGTTCGAGTTACAACACGTACAAACATAAACGTTACTGGTCAATGGAACTAAGTGTTGGCTTGCGCAGACTACCAGCAAAGCAGTGCACAGTGCCCAGTACCAGATTCGACGTCAAGTAATTAAATAATCAAAGCAATAAATCATGTTATTTTTATTGTTAAATACGGATTAGCAGAGTAGTTGGTCGGTCACATGCACTAGCGGTACTAGTAAATGTCGATAAGGAACACTAGCAATCTCGCTAACGTCATACGCGACGCCGAGCCTCGGGACTCGTGCGAGCTTGACTGAGAATTCGGATTGTTGGGATGCCCCCCGGGTCATCATAATATATCCACGCCTCTACGATGGTTGCTCATTCCCCATCGCTGGTTGTTTGAGGGCGTCGGCAGCTATGCCGTTCAAAAAGCTCAACTCCGACAATCCGAGCCGTTTCAGCATTGGTGATGATCTGGCTCGGACCACGACAGAGGTCAACAATGATGGGCGAGCGACGGTGCAATTTCACCGGAACCCATCGGACCTCGCGGCATGGTTCAAAAGAGTTCACGACAATACTATCTCGCAGCCAGAGAGGAAAGTATTTGCGGCGAGGAAAGGTAGCGACGCATTTCTTAATGATAAGGACTCCATATCTGCAGGTCCTAGACTCAACATCGCCATCCACATCGTCGGCTCCCGCGGCGATGTACAGCCCTTCATTCCAATCGCACTACTTCTCACCAAGCCTCCTTACAGGCACCGCGTGAGGATATGTACGCATCCCGTGTTTAAAGACTTTGTGGAGGGAAAAGGCCTAGAATTTTTCAGCATTGGAGGTGATCCCGAGGCGCTGATGGCTTACATGGTCAAGAACCCTGGGCTATTCCCGAGTCGCGAGAGTGTCAAAGCAGGAGACATTGGCAAGCGACGAAAAGAGATGGCTTCCATCATGGATGGAGCCTGGCGTAGTTGCATTGAGGCAGGCGATGGGATGGGCGACAGGGTTGTTGCCGCTGACGTTCAATCTACCAAAGATCTATTCATCGCGGACGCCATCATCGCCAACCCTCCTTCAATGGCACACATTCATTGCGCAGAGAAACTTGGTGTGCCTTTGCATATGGTCTTCACCATGCCTTGGTCGCCGACTCACACATTTCATCACCCACTCGCCGCAATGCAGTACGGTCAGGCAGAGACTAGTACTGCTAACTACCTCTCGTTCATCATGATGGAGCTCTTAACCTGGCAAGGGTATGTGGCCTACTCACCCTGTTTGGCATGGCAACTGCTTACTCTTCAACAGTCTCGGCGACGTGATCAACAAGTTCCGGACTCGTACTCTGAAACTTGATCCGATCAGTCCCTTATGGGGACATCAACTTCTGTCAAGACTTCGATTGCCTTTCACTTACCTCTGGTCTGAATCGCTAATTCCCAAACCATCTGATTGGGGTCCAAATATTCACATTGCCGGCTTTTCCTTCTTGTCTCAAGCACTTTCATATACACCGCCTTCGGACTTGGAAAGTTTTCTCAATGCAGGCCCGCCTCCTATCTATATCGGTTTCGGGTCAATTGTAGTTGAAGACTCGCAAGCCTTGACGAAGCTCATATTCGACGCAGTTGAACTAGCTCAGGTCCGCGCGATTGTGTCCAAGGGTTGGGGAGGTATTGGTGCAGGCGTGGTACCCGACAACATATACCTAATAGGTGATTGTCCTCATGATTGGCTCTTCCAGAAAGTGTCATGCGTTGTCCATCATGGTGGCGCCGGTACCACCGCTGCTGGACTTGCTGCCGGTTGTTCTACTGTTGTGGTGCCATTCTTTGGTGATCAACCTTTCTGGGGCCAGATGATTGCTCGGGCTGGCGCTGGCCCAGAGCCTGTTTCTTTCAAAAAGATGACTGCACAGAGTTTAGCGAATAGTATCAGGTTTGCAGTTAAACCAGAGGTTCAGGCTGCCGCAAAGAAGGTCGCGCTGCAAATCGCGGAGGAAGATGGAGCTGGTAACGCTGCCAAAGAGATACTTTCGGATTTGGACTCTGCTGACCTGAAATGTGACATTTGCCCCAACCGACTGGCTGTATACACACACAAAAAGACAGGCGCGCATATTAGTAGTTTCGCCGCATACTGTCTGGCGAATGCCGGCGTCATCAAGGTGCAAGACCTCCGTTTGCTCCGTCATAAGCACTGGTATGTTGACGAGGGCGCAGAAAGCGTGGGAATCGGCATCGTCGCAGCTGTCAGTAGTTTCTTCGTGGATATTGCAATGGCAACCCAGGACTACAAAGGACGACTGCAGGCTGAGCGGACGTCGAATTCACGTCGCAAGTCTACGAGTCTTCCAAGCTCAAGTGAATCTCATGACGGGTCGCCTCTGGAAAATACCGGATCCCGAGCTGGATGTTTTCCTGCTAGCCATTTGACACCCAAACAACTAGAGAAAGTCTCCAAGTTACTGGCTACGCAGCCGACTGGAGACACTGAGACACTTTTCAGCAATGAAGTTCTGGCTGACAGCGGTCAATGTCCTCGTGCTGAGCCGACGTGGTTGATACGTCTACGTGAAAAAGACGACAAGTCCCAAATGCATCTCGCGTTTGAGGCCTCTGGGCAATATGTCTCCGACCTGGCGCGGGCAGGACTTAAAGCACCTATCACGCTCCTATACAACACCGCCAACGGTTTTCGCAACTCTCCTTCCTACATCTCCGCCGATGAAGATGTACGTAGACGCGATGAGATCAAGGGCCTCAAGAGCGGCTTCAAGACGGCTGGCAAAGAGTCCGTGCTGGGTTTCTACGACGCATTCAGTGGACTTATCCTTCGTCCTTACAAAGGCGCAAAGAAGAGAGGCATCCTTGGTTTTGGAAAAGGCGTCGGCCTATCCATAGTTGGTCTAGTCTCGGGAATAGGGACAGGTTAGTGCGATGACGAATCTTGAGAGCCCATAAAAGCTAACGCGTGCCCTAGGTATATTTAGTCTGCCCGGATACTCGCTGAAAGGTATCGAGAAGGCACTACACAAACGCAGATTGACGGACCTCAAGGCAGAAATGCTGTTGATTAGAATTAGACAGGGCATCGAAGAATGTCGGCTCGCCACAGGGGAGGAACGGCACATGGTCACAGCACGGTGGAAATCGTTGTATCCTACATAAGTGACTTACGAACGCGACAGCGCGGCCAGATGTCGCAAGCAAACACACACACATGGTTTACGACTGATTACAGATAAAGAGACCAAATTAGTCTATTTTGTACTAGAAATCGAATCCGCCCAAAGTACGGGTCGAACGTGATCCTAAGTGGCTATACGCGACAGACAGAACCCCATGCGCACCAAGAGGTCATAAGTTCGATCGCTCGCTACAAGTCAACGCTCTCAACCTTTCTGGTCGTGAACTGATGGCTACCTCTGTTACCAAGACCTCAACAGTGCGCAGACATTATCCAGTCACTCTTTTCTCCATCAGCTTATGAACTTATATGGCCTGTTAGCAGCAAGTCGCAAAGGAGGATAGCGAATGTGTCAAGTGTCATCGCGTTGGTGGCGGACCTTCAACCAAGTAAAAACCTGCGAGATCTGACCTCTCCAAATCCAATGACTTCATGGAAACCCAAACGGCGTATTCGTAGACACCCAGCTCGGGGTAAACGCAATTCGGTCCTATTACCACATTCACATTGGAGCTTTTATGGATGCTGCTTGATGAACCATATTTGAGTCAAGTGCCTGTGTTCAGGACTCCTTGTTCAGCTACCTAATTCTTAAGTATATTGGGATTATCCAACGCTGTGGATATTCAGGTATCCGTCTACAAAACTCCAACAGCTCATAATGCGCGTCAGCCAACATGTCGTATTTCGTCTTCCTTCACAGATAGACCCAATAAAAGTTACATCCAAAATGAGCAGCAGCTAGCCGCAACTCCAATACGCCTTAGAGATCCTCAACTAGAATGACCAACACCGACAAAGAAAATGAAGCAAAAATAAATCCAGAAATATTCTCCAGCCTCCTCGTGCTAAACCAGCCCAACTACTGGCAAATATCCAGACTGAGCAAGGTAACTTTTCTTTCGTTGTGATTCGCCCTCGCTATGCCGCGCATCCAAAAGTTGAAACAAAACGGTTTTCGATATATATACCAGGAAGAGGAGAGAAATGGGTTGGGAGATGGGTCCAGCAACCCAGCGCATGGTAGAAGACAAAGTTGGCCATGGCTATACATCATAGTACAGCCGACACTACCTCAGATTACTGAAGTCCATATCCGTGTTCATTGCATTCATGCTCATCGAATTCATGCTGACGTGATCTGAGTTAGTTCGCTGAAGAGCGTGAAACTCGCCGACGGTCCGTGGAATTTGTGGCGTTTGCTGTTGTTGATGAATGATGAAGCTATTAGATCGCTGTGGCGGTTGGCGGTGCAAGATGTTGTTCATCAAGTTTTGTGCCATGCCCTGATTGACGGAGTTGTACCCCTGAGTACTACCTGGGGTCTGTTGCTGGTGACTAATACTGGTGAAGTTCTGTTGTTGGCTCATTGATTGTCCCAATTGCCCTTGTATCGAGTTCTGCATCTGCCCATGCATGGTATGATTGTGTTGTTGCTGAATACCTTGTTGGAATCCCTGATGCTGTTGCGGATGCTGCATCGGCTGTTGGTTCAAGTGTGATGAATGTGCTAACGTCGATGGTTGGCTTTGACCCATGGAGCTCATAATGTCAGGAATCGAATTGTATTCAGCTATGTGCTGATAATCGACATTGCCAGGCGACATGACATTGGGCGAGCTCGCCATCGGGAATGGTGAGTTCAGATCTGTGGTTGTTGGGGCGCCGTTGGAGCTTGCCGAGTCGTGCGCGATCTCGTCCACTCGTGGTACTGGAGTCGGGGTATATGGTTCAGGCTTGAAGTGTTGCTCAGCCTTGAAGTCCGTGAGGACAGGTGGTTGGGCCATTCCCGCATTGCCGAATCCGTCAAAGATGTCGATGCTGCAGATATTGTCCGGAACTCGCTGCAGAAGTGGGTTGGCGAGGCGCGGCAGGGTGTCATTGACCTTGTTGAGCAATAGATGCATGAAGTGGTGCTCGCCTCCACGCAATACTGAACATAGCTGGAGAAGCGACTGTAGCTGTTGTTGGGGCGTGATGCTGAATGGGTCACCAGATGATGGCATCATCGAGAGAACATCAGCCAGATTGCATGATACATCGAGCAGCTTGGCAGCTAGTGGAACACCAAGCAGTTCGGTGCTCGGAGTAGAGAACTGTGAAGTGATTGATGTGAGGTCTCGAGACATATCGATCGGGTACTGGTAGGAAGCCATGTCGTCGCTACCAGGAGACATGCCATTCTGAACGCTCATATTCCAAGCCACTGTCTTCAGCCACGACTGGTTGGCTCTGATATCCGAGTCCGCACCATATGGGAGGTGGATCTCAGAGAGTTGCTTTTGCAGAGCTGCCAGGTACGCAGGCGTGCATTCGCTCCGGGTCTTGTTCCAAAGCAGCATGAAAGTGTCGTCGAAAGGCCTGAACAGATTGACGAGAATTATGTGATTGTTGAGTTGATGAGCCAGGGGATCAGTAGGATCGTCGGCAAGGTTTGGCGGGTTGATCGTAGCGGGTAGCGACATTGGCCGTCCATATTTCAAAGCGTATGCCCTGTACAAAGTTAGATATTATCGACATCCGAAACAAACATTACGCCACATACCGTTCCGTAATGAAGAGCTGCCAATACAGGCGGCGCCTTCTGGATCCTTCAATCGTGTCGAACTGCATGTATTTGTCCTCCTGTGTCATGCCAACCATGTGGGCGAGCGTGGTGGCTTCCCGCAAGTGATACCAGGCCTTGTCGTGCATTTCGAGAGCGTAGTAGCAGCCGAATAGGAAGTAGCTTGTGCAAAGCGTGTTAAGTGTTGGTGTCTCGGTGTATTCGTAGCCCTTTCGTACTCGGATCGCTTCCTCCATCAGCAGCTGACTCGAAGTGATGTTGGCCCCAGGATGTTCGAAAAGGGGGTCGCCGCCTGGGACGATAAAGCCAGGCTGGAGAAGCATGAAAGCACTAAGCGACGCAACCATGCAGTACGTGTCAAGGCTCTGCTCCATGTAGATGGCTTGCTGTTCTAGTCGCTGTTTGCTGAGAATGGGCATGATGGAGTACATGTTGCCGAAGAAGAAGTCGATGGCCTCCTTTACCAACTCGGGAGCCAAGATGCCATGATTCGGTGCCATGGAGGGAGCGCATGGCGGGCTGGCCAGGCCATTCAGGCGACTCTGTACTTTTGCCGACAGGCTCGTGGCTCGTTGTGTTTCGCGCAATTCGCTGATGACCTTTGCTCTCGACCCCTTGGGTCCCTTCTTCTGCGGGATGGCGTTGTACGTGCAGGTCAATTGTGCCGAAGAACAGTTGCGGCATGGGTTGACGCCATCGCACTTGACCTTGCGGCGATGGCAGGCGTCGCAGGCCCGTTTTACGGCCGTCGACATACTGTCGTTCAGTTCGTAGTATCTGTCGACTTGATACTACGAAGGATGCGACAGGAAGGATAGGCAACGAGGGGTGATACCGGTCCTACGGGACAGGTTCGTGGTATATAGGAGATAGAGTTTGTGGAATAGAGCACCGACGCCTTACTCCACGGTCCAATTTGCGGAGAGACTGGAGGTGCGATGGGATGGGTGCTCTCGAGTGTCGTTTAATCGGCCCGTCGCTGTTATCAAGGCGGAGGAGTACCATTCATTGGGAAACGCGGGGATTATGCGTCCAGGGGCCTGGTCGGTGCAGAGTTTTGCAGTATTGCTACCCTAGGCCAAGTCGGAACGAATGGGGACGGAAATACTCAAGTAGCTACTCGAGGCAGAAAAAGAAAGACTGTCGACAGGACTTTTCACGATGACAACTCGAAGGTTACAATACTTGGAAGGGCGAGCGGAGTGGGAGAGAGTGTGGAAACATGGGGCAGTTGAGAGAAATGAGCTGAGAAAAGCGTTCACGGACCACACGGGACAGGATCATAGACAAACACACCACATCCACATCCACATCCAATCCACCTCCCACCACACGGGCAGAGACTGGCAGAGACTGGCAGAGACTGGGAAAAGAGAGGCCAGCTCGCCAACGGCCCAGCAGCCCAGCAAGGAGAGGCGACGGCACTAGACAGAATGGGGAGCAACGGCCCCCGACATGGTGCGCGAATTGGGAGGCAGCAAAGGAAGCCATGAATAATAGCAAGCTGGGGCCCAGAAAGCCACTTGTGCGAGTCTGTTAGCGCACGTCTCCATCTCACAGTGGGAGAATGTCAATCGTGCCAGGTTTTGACTGCCAAAACAAGCAATCCAGATTTGTCGCATAGTACAGGGCTTCTCACAAATGAGAGCGCAAGGTCAGCGAGTACTTTCGAAATGTAAGGGAAGTGCAGGCAGCAACGCAGTACCTCGATATCTGAAGAAACATTCCCCCCCGAGCTTAAGATGCCGGCGCGGCACCAGCGAGCCAGTGTCAACAAGGTTCAAAGCTCACTGTTCTGCTAACATGGAACTGAAGCAGCCCCCCGAAGCAGGGATCGTCTTGCTGTGCAGAAGGCGGAGCAATACCGACATGATTGGTCCTGATCCCCCTTCATCTAGAATTCACATTGCTCCCGAGACTGGGGGATATCGGCTTGATGCGAGCTGGAATTGCATTACTATGCATGCTCATCTCATCACTGTCAGATGTCAGAAGATGTCGAAAAGTGAGTTGTCCTTCCTTGGCTTTGCGGAATGCTCCAGCGAAAGGCGACGTCAGCCTGCTCGATGACCTACTGTATAGTAGAAAAATCAGCAAAACAATTGCCCACCTACCGTGCGGCGGCGATGCACCAACACAAAACACCAACATCTGCGATTGAATTGTTTATGTAGATTGAGTGATTCGATCTAGCTAACCATCCACTATTAGGCACAGATGAGCACATGCCTTGCAGTATACAATGCTGAGTGACAATGCCAGCCTCATCACCACTGCAATTGTTTTGTTGTCGTAAATAGAACGGAATTTGTCAATGCATTAGGGCTCGAGTCATGGCTGAAGCAAACACCAGCAATCGTGTGACCATAGGAGGTCCAACGTTCGAGAAAGGTTGGAATAGGCGAACTCAGGGACCCGTCATCGTCAGACAGTTGCTGTCCCACTCTCGGCGGAAGTTGAGCAGATTTAATTACTGCTGGCGATTGTTCATTGTGCCTCCTTGACGATGTTTGATGTGTACCGTATCAAGCATGGGTACTCGATTCGCATGGATGGCCGGCATCATACATCATCCATAGGCCTCTTCCCTTCCGCGAGATGGCTTGGCAGTGCGGAATTGACGCAAGTCGCCTCGTGGGTCGCCTCCTTGAGGGGGGTTTCCTATCTTGCCCGACTTGCCTACTGTATGTTATGCGTGGGCAAACACTGGGAAAGTTGGACACTCGAACGAGTCTCCGAGTTTTCTCCAACTACTGCTCGAGCGTCTCCAACGCTCTTGGCGACGCCTCTAAGTTAGTGTTCTGGCTTGAAATTGTCAAAGAATTTCCAACGACGATCCGAGCTGGCACAATGTCTAAGCTGGGCTGGCTGGGAACTTTGCTACCGTACGTCTCAGGTACAACCATGAGGTCTCCAGCTAAAAATGGCAGTCCAAAGCAGGCCCACTCCCATGCCCCAAGGCTGTCTCCCGTCGTCCAGGAAATTCACCCCATTCGATAGTTGCAGGTTTTAAGTGGACCGACCGCCCCGAGCTTCCTTGCTGCAGGTGCTGTTTGGTTGCGCTCCCGATGATCGTTGCAAATGCAGAGAATCCTTGGAAGCAGGAAATTTTCTTGGTGCCTTCGATCGCAGCGACGACTAAGCTCAATCAGGTAAGACTCAGCTGGCTGAGCGGAGTTTATTGGCCGGCACATGATTATTGCAGCGTATTAAGATGCTCGTACTGCACGTGCACAGAGCGTTTTTGATTTCTTCCAATCACCCAGTGCTGCTTTTGCAGAATCGTTCGAGCGTCCATGTAATAGCGGCAGGATTCATGCTCCGGTGTCCTTCAGTCCCTTGATTCACGACTCTCAATTGAAGCACGAGCCATTTATACCTACGATCTCACAGTAGGGCGTCAAATTCTAGATCCGGTTTCATCGTGTCGTCTCGACTACGCAATCTTGCAGCTTGAACGCTTTCAGAGCTCAAGACCAGTTGAGATGAGTTGACGAGAGAAAAGCTAGTGCTGTACATTGCAATCCGCGAGCCATGATGATCAGCGTCTACAAGCGCAAGCGCCCGATCGATCATCCCTATTAGTGCACACCATTCGGTTGGCTAAAGTCGGCCTTGCCGTTGATGGCTTGGTACTTTCGGCTGCCTCAGGCCGCCTGAAGCTTGAGTTTGTCTTAGGCTTAGCTCATCATGTTCGCACGAGACCGCTATTTCAAAGCTCTTAGCCACAGTCGTCCCAACAAATCATGGGCTCCAGAAGACTCGAAGTCCAGTAACGAGGATGCAAAGAGTAACGTCTTAGTACCGGCCCGGCTCAGGTGAAGCCATCATATTATATTGAGGGTTCAGTCCGTCGCACAGCATGGTCCGACAAGTTAGTCAATTGGTTCCCAAGAACGACACGCAGTGCTTTGCTTGCCAGGAACAAGCGAGCCGTACCTGAAGCAAGCACCCCGTGACACGCCTCGGATGATGGCTGCAGTGCGACTTATGTCAATGTAGTATATGTCATGTGAAAAGCGCCGAGTGTTGCGAAGTAGCAGCATTGCCAACACATGAATTCATTTCAAAGACTGCTTCAGAACAACAGGACCCAAGAACGCCCAAATGCAGAAACGCATGGAATGGGGTTGGCTCGCCAGCCCGCAATGTGATTTTGCGGAGTGAACCCCAGGTCTTCCTCCCTCCTGGGCGTTTCCTCCCCGCAAGCTAAGCTGTTCGCGAGCACTTCATCCGCAGGGTCGGTCCGAATAACATTCACTCAAATGCGACATCATCTGAGCGTCGCAGGTATAGTCGAACTTTGGACGTCACTTAGAGTTTCATCGCTGCAATATATGGTTCCTCGCTTAAGGCTGTCAAATCTGTCAACTTTGTAAATTGACAGCACTCCGACTTTGAACTCCGCTTGCATCCCGACCGACGCGAGGTAGATGCCTCTTGAAGAACCTCACCTCCGAGTCTAACAAACGCATGTATGGAGGTTGATGCACGTCTAGACTTGAATATCTGGGTGTCGGCGGGGCGTTCTGTTATGCCCGGAGTCTCATTTGACAAACGAAAGCGCCTCTCAAGCACAAAGCAAAGCTTCAATGGTCTCAGCACATCCGCGGAACAGGTGGCTCTAGGTTGTCCAACGTCGTTGTGGAACGACGTTACGCATCAATCTCCACCGATCGTAACAGCTCGGAAGAGTTGCATTACATTGACCGAGACAGTTGGGGTTCTTGCAAAGATAGCATTTGATCAGCGACGCTGTATTGTTTCTTCGTTTTACGCCTTGAATCCCAGTAGAACAAAGGCTCGATAGTAGATATGCTGAGTAGCCCCACTGATTGTCATACGAGCATGGGTGATTTTTCTGTTGGTCTTGGGCCTGATTCCGCCTCTCACAAGCCTGGTTTCCCTTTTTTCCCTTTTTTCCCTTTTTTCCCTTTTTTCCCTTTTTTTTCTCTCGAAATTGCACTTGTTGGTCAGTGATGGTGGGATTGTCGGTAGGCATGCATCTAAACATCCCCAGACACGTCCATTAACAATGCTACGCAGCTAATAGCGGAGAATCTTCGCTGACTGAGATCTTCATCACATGTTCGATAGAAATGGACGTCCAGACGCCCTCACTTCTTCAAATTGTCCAGACTACACGGCCGATTACGAATCAAAGTATGTCATGATCATCCAATCCCCATGCCTCTAGTACGTAGTAGGACCGATTCAATCTGGGGAACTTCAATCACAGTCTCCAGCCGTTCGATGCTCTTACCCTAGACTTGGCAGTATCGTATGCAATCTTCCCGGTATTGTTAAGAGCGTGAGTCGCTTGTTCCCCATAGTTTGACGTGCGAAGAGCTATCGATACCATGTCAGGGTCAAGAGCTGCCATTCGGTCGAGAAAGGATGCTTAGACGATCAGAGCCCTAGCGGGCTTCACAAAGTCAGCTTCGGTTGCAGCACATTCGGTCACTGGTTTATCCGTTCGCCAGTGGGTGTGATAGACATTTTCCTACTGCCAGCTCGCCCTCCACATATTTTGCTGGGAAGATGAGCTGGAAATTAAAGCAAAGAGATATTGCCTCTACTAGATCTATCAGATGCCTGCATTGCACATGAGATTCATGTTGATGCCATGTCTAATCAATACTATTGGACTATCCAAGGACTTTGTGTCGGCCCTGCCTCGTCGCATACTTCATGTATCTCGAAAAACTGCATTTGCAGCTTGTCCCGTATGACAACATCGTCCGAGTCCCTGTCCGATATGCCGTAGACAGCTTGTGCTCATAAGCTTCCAACCTTTGTTTGTTTCCCTAAGTGTGAATGGGTGCCGGCAGCCTCGAAGCATGTAAATTCTGTCATCCATCTGCATCGCTCACATCCCAGGCCGATGGAAGTTGATTTGGTCTCGAAGACAGGTTCTTTCAAAGTCGATGAGTTGACACCTGACTGTGGAAAACAGAGCATCCCACTTTTCGCGTTTTTGCCAACTGTCTAAACCCAATCCTAAATCCAGTTCATAGACAAAGGTTCTCCGTATGCTCTCATATGGGATGGATCCACATTGTATGCCCCTTTCAACACAGGATCCCTCCAAGTTCTCAAGCACGTGCGCTGTCACGTTGCCCGCCATATTTTCCTCCGCCATACGTACCGTGAGACCCCCAAAGTAACTCCATATCTTTAGGTCCAATCTCATTTTGGGCATCACTACCTTGAAGGAGCGTGGATACGATGGCATTCAAGGGTGTTCCGTCAGTATTACAAGAAGCGCCACATTTATCTATTCGCATTTGTGAGCCTTCCATGCATCGTAACCACTCGATCACCCAACAATAAAACCATTGCTAGGAGAGGCGAATGGGCATGTTTCAAGCCACTTTCCAGTTGTTGATATTTGCCTTAATAACCGGAATTTCACTTGTCGAGGTGGGAATCCATATACGCTAGTGCTATCGTCGGGCACGTTAGCAACGATCCATAGGCAAAATCGGCAGAAGAACTAGTTATAGCATCATACAAGCTTCTAAACATGCCCGCTCTATGATACTCGTGGTTAAGAGCCTCCTCTGCTGGTAGCCCAGTAGATACGAAGTTGAAACAATGGTCGGCACGACCGAGTGGAAGCAGCGCCGCCATATGGGTACAAAGCCGACTGAGGAGAACAGAAAAAGTTAATTAATACTGCCAACTTTAGGAATGATTTAGCACGAGAGCAAAGCAATGATTTGAATCAATCCAACGAAGGCGATGCCGCTATTTCGAGGCTTTCAGCCGAATAGGTTTCTTGTGATGCGTATTTCCGTAAGTTTATGGACCGGGTGGCCACCCGATAAAGAAGAACAGACGACACGAATATTTTTCACAAAGGTTTTAGACACCACCATATTGTAGTTAAAAGTAATATGGGCAAAAAGTCATTCTGCTGATCTATCAATTCCAGAGGAAGTGCCACGTGATCATTTGCAGAACTCTAAACCACCATGCGCTTGTGTAGATCACGAACGTAGCATCCCTGGAAGGTTGTTATTATGATTCAATGCGGTAAGGATGCTGTGGAGTTGGCACACTAAAGACAGACCCTTACCGCGAAGGCACTCTAAAGAATTGGGATACTAGTATATTCAGTAGTATTGACGTCAACCACCCAAAGCCTCCAGAGCTACGGCCTTTCTTTGAATGTCCTTGACTATAACCTCATGACGGTAGTGGCATTCCCTTAGAGTGAGGTGTCTATCTTCCAGGTTGCTCAGTCTAAAATTGTGCTCTTTAAGGCAAATAATTTAAAGTCGCCGGGTACACCCTTCTGGATTAGGCCCTCAGGGTTGTACTTCTGACTCACGTCTTGAAGCTTCTTTTTGTTCCCGATACCGTAGGAACAGTAGGATTCTGGAACTTAAAGGCATAATTAAAGTATTTGAAAGGGACGCTGGTGCCCTTTGCAGCGGCGTCCTGGTCAATGGCCGCAAGGATTCCTCTTGCCGTAGACAGCACTACCTTATGATCGCTATTGTCCTTCCAGTATAACAGTATCAATATTGGTACTAACGGCCCGTCAACAGGGCCTAAGCAAAGCACGTTGCCGCCTGCCTGAGCCGTTCGTTTTAGAAACGATAGAGCATATGGCTGTAGAGTGAATGAGAGGTCCATGCCTTCAAAGGATATTATTATTTTCCACATCCTCGCTAAAAATAGTAGAGGCGGCTTATAACGTGACTACATACCATTTCACAGTAGTATTCATATAGGCACATCTGTTAAGTTACCGGGTAATGGTCAATATTGTGTGACTTGGTAAGGAGTATGAACGTGCCTGACAACGCTCATCGCCCGTTTAGCTTTCTCCTCCACTGCATCCTTGAGACTGGTCATGCGCATCGAGTTGAGCTGATCGATCTGAGTCTGCATCGCAGTGGAAAGGTCGAGGACGGTGGGCTTCTCCCCTCCTTGTGTGTAGTATGCCTGATTCAGCCCCATCACCTGGCCAAATTATGCTGTAAAGAAGAGACCAATCATGGTGTGAGTTTCATCAGATGCATGAGGTTACTTTAACTCCTTGACCAATGCTTCAATCTGACCGGGGAAGCTCAATGGGAGATAGAAGACTGCCCCGCCCCAGAACGGGCCTTGCTTGAATGTTCTCAGCACAAATCAAGTCACAATACCCAGGTTGCTTCCACCGTCCCTGAGCGAAATCAATAGGTCCGAGTTCTCACAGTCGTTGGCAATCACAATTTGGCCGGAGGCCAGGCCGGCCTCGTAGTAGATACAAAGCCCTCGCGGGAGCTGAAGAAAGAGAGACCTCCTTGTGATGGACGTTAGCTACGAGATGCTCAGGGAAAAAGATGAAGTCTCGTACCTGCTAACGCGAGACCTCTATCACTATTGAGTGTAGAGCGATCTCTGGTAACACCCAGGCTAACTTCCTGCAATGCGCCGTGGACTGCGCCCTAGCGCTCTCCGGCAGGAATACGAATTGTACCACTAGTTCTGTCGAGCGTCGCCCAACTAGACGGCTCAGATCTACGGTGATGGCCTTTCAATCCTTGCGCAGCCTGGTATTAGGGGCTGGTAACCAGCACCGCGAGTAGCAAATTTGACCTCTCCATCATGGACTAGGGGGCTCATAAGCTTGATGAAGCTGGAAACCTCTTCTCTGGTCTCAGCAAAATATTGACCTCTGGTGAGATAACACTCTCGAGCTGGGAGTCATAAGAGGTGTCCCGCACATCATAAAGGCCGCCATCAGGCTCAACTATGCGATCAGCTTGGGAGGCCTTGCTCAACTGCTCAACAAGTCAATGCCTTGGGATGAAACCATATTCGCAACCACTGTGTCGATGCCGGTACATTTGGCGACTGGTGCGTAATATGAGGGCGAGTGCGCTGCTGTTGAAGCTTATAGAATGAAAAAGCGATGTAGGTACGAAATTCTGACGATCGAGGAAGAGGTTTGTTTGTCTGGCAGCTTCCAGTGGGATCAGTGCACGCACGTATGCGGCGCGGACCACTTGGGGAGTGGAAAGGAAACAGACCAGCTCCCTAGCTTGGTTCCATTGCTTGGGGAGAAACAATGTGTAATACAAAATCTTGTGACTTTGTCGTGAATATGATGGAGCCTCCTGCTATTTTTCTTGCTATTGTGTAAACCCATGCTGGAGGGATGTGACCGGTTGTTGCTATTTGTCCTGGACAGGCTAGCCAGATATACCTTTACAGTCAGCTAATTTTCGCTTTTGCAATTAAACTGTTTATAGCCGCCATTGTTCAGCCGTGATAAAAAGACCCTCTTATTATTAAAAGAGGGTCAAACCAGACGCGACGGGAACTGACACATGTAGTACCAATGCTGTGTTCGTAAAGGCCAAACAGATCAAATATAATACTTTAGTCTAGTAGCGTAACTGAAAGTGCTCCACGTCAAATGCAGGAAGGTCTCGGTTGCACGGTCCTGGCGCTAATCAGTGTGACCCTAATTTCTTGCTTGTATCTATTGAAGCAATCACGGAGAATCACATTAGTTAGTGTGTAGTCAAGCAAGTCACCCATTTAGTGTGCCATTCGCGCGGGTGATGCTGTTCTCATTTTGGGTAGCTGCTTAGCCGTGACTGTCCAAGACCCGCTTGCATACAAGACCGAGTCGTACTCACACAAGGCGGGTCGCTTACCTTGATGCAATGGGAGACGGGCATCCCGCATATTATCACTGATAACTTGAAAACTCGAAAAGCCTTGATTTTTCTCATTTATAACTTCAAATACTTTGACTTGTTCATAAGTCGGCTGAAAACCTTGAGGTCTTGAGGCCTAAGCATTTCCTTTCCAAGGATAAACAAGTGATGTTATATACCGAAACCTTTTATTACCTGCTCTTAGCAAGAAATAACTCTGAACCGTTGTTCAAGAATGATCACCGCAATTCATTTGGCCGGCAGCCAGGGCTCGGCGCCCATGTTTTCCGGGCGAACATGCCAGCACCGCGTCGCCTTGCAGATTGGAACGGCCAGCTCGGGAATCCAGCGCCATGTCTCCCCTTGAATTCAAAACCGGCGCACCCGTTGATGGAGTCGGCTCAAGCCCACTACCATCAGCATAGGTGTATGCGCTCGCGGTCTGCGACGATGGTATTGTGGCACACAAAAATCCCCAAGCGTACATCCATTTGCAGTCTAATCATGCGTGACGAAAGAAAGGTGCCTCAGATGTGCACTGTAGTTTGTACCCTCCCTGAGGCCACCGTGAAAGTTCGGTGAGGCATCCCGCTAGACGCCCAGGGATTAATCCTGGCCAACAAGACACACATATCGTTTAAAGATTGGATGGGGACTTTTGGACAGAAGGAAAATTTCCCATTTACACTGCGATTTTAACCCTCACGGAGCAGATGAAAAATGGCAACACCCGGGCGCGCTCATGGCTGTACGAGCATCCAGAGCACATGCAAGCGGGCCTCTGACATGACGTTTGTCTCTGCTTATATATTGGACGCATGCTCGAGTAAAAACCCGGTTCATTACAGACAACTTGAGACGCCGGGCATTTCGGCCGTCGTCGCCTGCGTTATACACTTTCCAAAAGTGGGTCACAATATACAGGTGGATATATAGTACTAAGGCTGTCGTGTTGTGCTGGTAGAAGGGAAATTGATTACCCAGCAGCACAGTGTAATCACATAAACCGAAAACGATGACCCAGGACTAACGGTACCTTCCGTCGCTTGTTCAACTTTACGCCAAGGAAGCTCAAGATATAAAAACTCTCGCGCTCAAATCTCATGAATGATTTCTCTTCCTCCTCTTGGGCAAATACCTGACCTCGGCGGCACAGTCCGTCTGATCCCCCTTGAAGCTATCCCTGGCGGGCACAAACTCGCCGCTCTGCAGACTGCCTTGGACAAAGTATACGTACCACGCCTCATGTAGGACGTTGTGATGTCTGCCGGTGCACTTGAGTACGACCTTGCCGCCGCTAAACTCCTCGAGCGTCTTCTGTATCTTCTTGAGGGAGAAGGTCTTCCTGTAGTCGGGCTCGATACCAGCTTGCGACAGCGCAAGGTACGTGTCGAGCATCTTGAAGAGCCCGAAGGCGCGGGTGAAGTAGTCGACGACCTCGAGGCCGGGCGTGTAGCCGTCGTAGCATTTGGGCGAGAGGGTGTTGATGCAGGTTCCGTGCTTGTTGTACTCGTGGGCCCAGAGGTGGGCGTTCCCGCCGCTGTAGATACACAGAGGATGATTAGTCTTGCTCAACATGGGGCCAGCAGGCGGTTTGGACGAGGACGGGTAGAGCCTACTACTTGGCGACCCAGTACCGGTTCATGTACTCGAGCAGATCATCCTGCGCGTAGTGCTTCAGGATGTCGGTGATGTTCTCGAAGCGCGGGGCCATGCCGCAGAATTGGTCGTAGGTGCCATCGCACAGGTCGGGCCTATATGCATATGTGTGTTAGTCCATCCGTCCTCCACTACACAACGTGCTTCTCCGGACGAGGCACTGCTCGTCTACTCACCATAGCCCGTGCAGAGTCCAGTCCTCTTCGGACCCGCCAACATGGACCTCCTGATCCCAGAACTGCGTCAACAGCAGCCGCCCCCCCGGATGCACGAAACAGCAGGAATCTCCCGCGGTGGTGTTCTGGCAGCTCGTCGGGCCATCGATGGGACATGTGGGGGCGCCGGTCAAGGGAATGTACGGCGTGACCGTGTCCGAGCTGTTGGGGAAGCCGGCAGACGGACGGTCATGGCCACCTATCGGCCGTGGAGCTGCGATGGGGCTCAGAGGGTTCGGGAGGCCGGAGAGCTGAAGTGGTATCTGGGAGAGGAGATTCGACGCGTAGGTCAAGATCCCGCGCAGAGATACCGCCGGAGCCATGGCTGATAGTGAGTAATAGTCGCAAAGGTTTGATGGGTTATCTCGTTGCTTGCTTGTATGACAAGACAAGAAGAAGGGGGTTGTTCATGATGCGCAGTGAGCTGTGGAGAGGGCGCAAGCTCAAGCTTACCTACAGGACGTAGCTAATGACGTTGGTTACAGGCAGCTGGTAGGCCTGGTAGGGCTGCATGTGATGGCTAATAAGTGGGTGCCGTTAGTGGGTGAAGATAGCGGTGGATTGGCCGCCGTCCAGTGGATTGCGGCGCTGCAATGGCACGTGTACAGGGGCTGTGTCGCCAGCAGTCTTGGCGGCTTCGGGGGCCCAAGTGAGGGCGGGCTGGTTGGCTGGAACAAAGCCCGTTCTCCGGAATGTTTTCTGGCACGAGTTTTGCTATCGCATGAGTATCGGCCATCGCAATGATGTGGTACAAGTCAAAAGAGCCGGCCAGGTATATGATATAACAATGAGCTGACCCCTGCAAGCTCAAGCTTGGCCTTGTCTCTGCGGCGTGCGCGTCGCTGCTGTGCTCAATCATCCGATACGACTGTCCGTGTCCACCGTTAATGAGATATTGCAAGGTAGGGTAGAGTATGCAGATTTCGATAGCCGCGTATTGTATTCAATCAATCTCTATAATCTGCTGTGGGTATCATACGCTGTAATCCTGTGCTTTGTTTTGCCCTCCCCCCATCTTCGCCCATTGCTTCTCATATGGCCTCCCAGTCCATGGCATCCGCGATGAACCCCCAATCGTCCTCCTCCCCATCCCAGTCCATAGCATTAGCTAGACCCGCCGCGGTACTGCTCTCGCGCAGCTGCTGGATGTACAACTCCGCAAGTGCATGTCCCTGATCAAAGCCGGCAAAGATGCCCTCCAGGATCCTTTCCAGATTGTACGCCTCCAGAGGAGCTGGAGCGTACCCCTTCTCGTCGGCCCCCACGGCACCGTCCGCGTTCTTCCAGCGGTTGCGCAGCTCCTTGGCCCTGGCCAGCTGCTTCCGCACCTCTCCCTGGCCCAAAGCCTCATGTAAGGGGTTGTCGGGCTTGTCGAGGGCCGCGAGCACGTTGGCGTGGAACCGGTGCGTGCTGCCCGGGGTGGCGACCACACCCGTGCGGATCCCCCGGTCCGTTGCCCGCGTCGGGTTGCTGCCGCTCGCGCTCGAGGAGGGGTTGTGCAGACTATCGCCGAGGCCGGTCACCTTGATGCCGAAGACGCCCATGAGGTGGACTAGGGCTCGCTCGATGTGCATGTAGTATCTAGAGAGAAAAGAGAAAAGAAAAGGCATGTTAGCACTTGTTACCAATTACGAGGGATTTCTGTGTCGCGGGAAGGGGGGTGCGGACTCAGATTCGGCTGAGAGGAGGTTGGAGACTTGCTCATAAAAATCGATCTTGAAGTGAATCTCATTTGCAGCGGCCTCCTCGGACCTGCGCCCGACGCGATCTGTGGCGATTCGGTATCCCTGGGCGAGGAAGGGCAGTTTCCATTTGAGACGGGCAACAAGCTTAAGGTACCTGTCGAGTTCTCTCTCCGGGATCCTCCTCTCTGGGGGACTATGACGGACAAGATCTGGATGGCTTGCAGCTGGGTTAGCTGGAACTCGGATCGCTGCTGAATCATGCGGTTTGGGGGTTGGCGGCGCGCTCGACGTTGACGACACCGCATGGCGACCCGGTGTCGACCACCGCGAATCTTGGAGACCCATCTCTTGACCGTCGTCCTGGGGCGAATGGAGCTCAGTGGGATTGAAGATGGGACTCCAGGAGGCATATCACATGTCAGGCGTAACCCCTTGCCTTGATACTAATAGCTGCTGTCGAGATAATGCGGCATTGCTGTTCGGTTCCGATTGAATGAAAGAAGGGAATCGTATTGTCCATGTTGACTTTCCAGGGACGGGTACAGTACAAATAGTGACGCGACGGTCAGTTAGTGGGGCTTCCTTGTTCAGCGGCAATAACAGCCCTGTAAATTATCATAATCATGTCACAAGAAGCCTCTTCCCTCGATCGCTTGAGATCCTGAGTCGCGATTTCCGGGGAGAAGGCCAATTCGTCTCACTCATCGAGAAGGAGAAGGTGCCTGTCCTGTTGGGCCTCCCAGATAATCTGCTGTCCTCTGGCTGGAAATACCTGTCCTTCGGTTCCTTGCCCCGACAAAGGCTTTGCTGGTCGAGACAATGCAGCAATCCACTGCATCAACGGCTGCCGGCCAGAATGAGAAATCTTGAGGAAAGGATCATGTCAAAAGCCGACACAAAGTTACAACTGAAAACGCAGCTACTGTAAGCCACCACATGTCTCTAGGCATGGCAATCACAATGCCAATGGTTAGTCTAGCATGCATTTTCCCTCTTGCGCCTAGCACACAACCAATGAGACCCACCCGTGCCCGCTACAACTTCCAGAATAGGCAGTTTTGCATAGCCGCTATCCGAAGCTACTTCTTGGATATGGAGAACCTACTAGATAATGATGTCACAAGAGGGCTATAGAGCGTTCAGGGGACTTAGAGAAGCGGGCCACGTCCAGGGTGGTTCATAGCTATGCGTGTCTCAATATCTGGCTGCTTTCTTCAGTCTGACCATAAACTCCGACCGAAACGTTTAGGCGGCAGCAGCTGATATGAGCAATCCACGCACGGAAACAAATCTACATACATCTAGGTAGAAAGTTTCACCGGCAAAGGAAGCTAGGTGACCAGCAAGCATACCAATCATCAAGGCGGTCAAATGGAATGGCAATACGTGCTTGAGAAGCTTGGTTGATTGGCCGTATAGCCCGAGGATCATTCATATGTCTTAAAAGAACTCACAAAGCGAGCCTCTGTCTATAGCGCTATTATGACGAACCCATTACCTGTACGCGGCACACACGTCCTGGTAGACGTTCTGCTGCAGATCCGCCGCGTTAGTCGGGACCCAGCCAAGATACGTGGCGTACGAGTATGTCCACCTGGGGTCATTGAGCTCCGTCTTCCAGGTCCAGAAGACCCAGCCGTCCATGCCGGGCACCTCGTAGAGCTGCTGCTGGGCGGTGAACCACCGCTTGTAGAAGTCCTTCTGGCCGCTCCAGTCATCTACGCCCGAGGTCAGGCTCCACTCGCCCGTGATCCTGTAGGTCTCGCCGCTGACGAGGCGCGAGTCCGTGCACGCGCTGTGCATGAGCTTGTACTGGTCGCTCCCGTAGCCGTCGAAGCCGATGTAGTTGTGGTCGTCAAAGGCGGTCAGCGCGTCGTTGGCCACGTACGAGTTGGCCCGCGGGTTTCCCGCTAGCCACTTATCCGACATGAACTGCACGTGCAGCTTCTTGCTGCTGTCCGTGATGCCCAGGTCCGTTTCCGCCTGCCGGATCGCCCCCAGCGCCCCCGGGTAGTAGCTCTGCACCAGGCCTGGGTCTTCGCCCGGGGCAGGCCAACGCGACCCGTCGTGCTGCGAGACGGGCTCGTTGACCACTTCGATCATGCCAACCGTCCTGTAGGCCGAGTTCTGGTGGATGCGCTTGGCCATCCAGTAGACCCAGTCCTGAGCCCGCTTGAATTGGTAGTCCTGGAAAAACCCGGCCACGGAGGGGTTCTGGCCCGTAAAGGGGTCCTGCTGCTGGGCTCCGGGGGCACCGTGGAGATCGATGATGACGTAGATGCCCAGGTCGGCAGCCTTTGCTACAACGGCGTCGAGATAGGGGAGCATACGGTCGCCGTCGGCAAAGGGCTCGCTGTCCTTATAGACAATGCTGGTGTAGGACCAGTAGCCGATGGGGATGCGGATCGTGTTCAGGCCGACGTCGTGGACAGCCTGGACCGTGTCGGCGTTGATCCATGTCTTCCAGTGGTTCTCGAAGGCCTGGTTTCCATTTTCACGATTGCTGCCCGAGTAGTACTGCTTCATACAATCGAACTCGGATTTGGCATAGTTTTCACCGGTTGCGTCACCGCAGCCCATGGCGTGCCACTCATTGCGCATCATCCAGGGTTCGCTGATCAGCCATCCTATAATCGATCAGGTCGGGGTTCAACAGGAGAAGGTGTCGGCTCTTGTAACTAACCTCCAAAGTTGACACCACGGATCTTGGTTATGCCACTAGGCAAAGAGGGCTTGAAGCGTTTACCGAGCTGCTCGAAGCGGGCCGTTTGGTTGAACGCTTCAAGATCGCGGTCCTGAGGTAGCCAGGCGTTGGCGGCGCCGGCGAGGAGGAGCGAGCTAAGGATGGAGGATCGCATCGTGTCGACAGGATTCAAAGGTTATCCAAGCGCGCGACTGCAGCAAATCTTCAAAGCAACCGTTCCAACACGGGGGTGCCAAGCGAGATATTATACTGGGCCAGTCGTGACTGGGCGTCAGCATACGGCACCAGCTTTCAACATCGGCCGCTAAAAAGGCAATTTTGCCCTGTCATACGTATAAGCAGTAAACATCTCAACTGACCTAAATCCTTAAAGCCCATGGTCAGCAAGACCAATTCTCACGTTCCATCTGAGGGCGGAGCGATGCTGAACGAAGGATTGTCATCCCCTGTAAAGACAATCTCGCTTAAGCATCAACTGTTGCCCGTGAATACGCCTAGGCCTTTGGATGCCGTAATTATGGAGACAGTCGCTGATGCCCAGAACTTTCCGTCCCATTGCATAAGCTGGCGAACAGCTGCATGACCTCCAGTCAGACATAACCGAGTTCCAGCTGTGCGAAACCAGGCAAGTATTCTTCATGATCAAGCATATAACTCAAAGGATTGAGGACTTTTTGAAGTCCGCCTCGACACGAGCGGTCGACGATCAGTCAGTCACCTGCTTGAATCGGCAACTCCACGATCACAGCGCGAAGGATTCGCGCTAGAAGTCACAGCGCGGGTGCAAAATATCTGCAACGGGTTAAAGACAAGTGCTTTAGCGTAAGATTAAGAAACCCCCTTGTCTAAATGACCGCTAAGGGATTTAAGCTTGTATCACGAGCATGTTAAGACCCTATATTTAGATGATCCACTTTCTGCGGGTACTTAGTAATCCCGGCTGTCATTTGGCCCTATCAAAAACAGCATGACTACGGAGTATGCCCCTACATAGTAGAGTGTATTGTTGGAACGGGCCTAAAAATGGGACCCCGGCTTGCTCCGAAAAGCAATCTATTCCTCAGCTTTGCAATCTCCTACGGTCAGGGCTTCAAAACGACGCCGATGTGGTGCGATACAGTCAGCCCAACATCAGCTGGATCTGTTAACCCGCTCGTCTCTCGGGGCCGGCAAGTCAACACGAATCAGCGAGCCGAAGCTCGCTAATATGCAAGAAAGCGGAATTCCCGCCTATGTGGAAAGTTGGGGGCAGAATCATCGAATGACCGAATTTAGCGTCGAATGACCGGGTTAGCAGTGAGGTTGCATTCTGTAAAAAGTCCAAACTTATCCGGGTCTCCCGGACTAAGAATCTGTGGCGAGTTATGAAAACTTTCCGTAAGGGGTAGCTAAACATGGGTGGTTCATCCGCAAGAGACGATAAGATGACAAATGATACTGACGTATCACTCACAGAAGTTCACGGCAAATTCAACATGAGATGCGATATTGCTGAACGGTGGATATATTCTCATTTTGCAGACCAGCTGACGATGAGTACTCAAGTCCCCGACAATATTGCCTAGTCTGTCAAGTGGTACCCCCCGTCCTTCCGCCGGTTAAATTGTTACCTACGCAATGGTATTTATTTCACTGCAGCTCTAGTCCTTTTGTGATTCAGCCTTGACATGAACGTGAAATTTGGGTAACCATAAACAGGAATAGCGTTTGACCGTCTTCTCGCCGACTTTTTCTGACTATGACCTGTGATTTTGTATAGCAACTGTTTTTGTCTACACTTGATTACAAAAGCCGGGTTGAAATACGTACTACAGATATGCGTGAGTCTATGTTTTAAGGCGAGTAATTCCCTACCACTTAAATCTATAACAGTAAGTTCTACCACGATAAAGCCTCTTCACAATCGGGGCTAGCCCAAAAATGCTTGGCTGTATCGTAGATGCCGATAAGGCTTCAACCTAGTACGTTATTGTAGTTGACATTCACGGTTTGAATCCGGAATTAAGTAACAAACATCTCACAACTTTTGGCGACCGCTCAACGACCTTTTTCTCGCATCGTGAGTTTGATTATCCTCACTAGATCGCCATGAAATCTATAGGCCTCTAGGATTTGCATTAGGGGCCGCTTTCTAGTGTAATATATTTTCTACCGCTACCCGACCGTTTGAACCTGGGTATCATCAATCATCACCTTCAAAATTCTTTAGCAGCTACGAGATTCCGCGCCGTGAAAATTTCGTGTAATCAAGGAGGAAAGAGGTCACTGGATTCTCATATTAGACTGGTAATCTACTCAGCCCAGCCCGGCATGTGGTTTTTCAAAGTGGCCTCAGCGAGATCTTCTTTCGACTTCAACTTTAATGAACACGAAACCAGTGTCAGCCTAGCATCGTTGAGATATTCAAAATTAACATCTTTGACGTCACAGAAACAGAGAAAAAGGTAGTGTTGCATAAGGTGGCCAAGCACCCGTGGCGCATCCTTCTGAACCACCTATGGTCTGCCCTACTCCAGAATCGTACCATTAAGAACTTGGCGGTGAAAGACTAGATAACCATGAAAACTTCGCACTTTTTCTTCAAACGTTGGTTTATGTTTTTGACTGGCCTTGAGCTGCTCGAAATTGCTACGTGGACTGGTAAAAACGCTGCTGGCTGGTATGCGAATACGCGTACTGGCTTTCTACACTTTGAGAAGTACATTGGCCAGTATTTCCTTAAGCATGTCGTTCACATGAAATCCTCGAAGCTTAAAGCCGGCCTGAAAACACCATTTGGGAGCTGGGTAATCCCAAGCACCCGTACACCTCCTCTACAACCACACCAAATGCGGGACTTACAGCATCTGGAGTTCCGGGAAATGTTCATCAGCCCCGATCTTGCGGATTTAATCACCGGTCGGAGTCCTCAGTGGAAAGCCTCACGCTTTACAACTGTTATGTGGACACCAATTGAAAAGCGTCGCTGAGTCAACGCAATTACAGATTGGTGAACTGCCTATCGAGCCTAGACAGAGAAATACCACCTCTGCCAACTTGGGTATACAGTACTCGGACCAAGTACCGATGTTCGGCGAAGAGGGTTTCGGATACGGCGAGCTTGATGGGGACGACTCTCTGCGGACCATGATAGTGTGGCGACTACGTGAAGACCTAACAACTAAACCATTATATTATGGCATTTACATCGCCGGGCGTGGATAATTTTATAACGAATGGGATAGAACCCTTGATATCTGAGTCAAGGGCGAAGATCTCAAACCATATAATTCTTTGTTGGCCCGAATGCGCCGCAAAGTTGGGGCCGTAATGCACAATGTGCTGCTCAAGCACACGTAACAACAATACTTTGTGCCCCGGATTGAGAAAAGAATCCATGGAACAAATTTTGTACCGTGATTCGCCGCTTTGAGGGAGCAAAAAGGTCAAAATACGGTCAGGTGTAGGTGGAATTGTGATCAAGCCACTAGGCACTGACAAAGTTAATAATGACACGACTTTGCAGCCATGTTGATTTATCACTTATGTCCAGTAATTCCAGCCTCGACATTGCCGGTCCCAGCAATAGGACCACACTGGAGAACGCCCTGTCTGCATTTGTTGTAGTTGGATCATGTATGCCCCATCTCTATAAAATTTACTCTAAAGGACCTCTGTGACAGTAGTCAGGTCAATATACTGGCGAAAAATGACTAAACCGGTATACGGTCTGCTCACACCTTAGCTATCGTTGTGACCCTGGTTGTTGACGGTGCGGCCAGCACTTGGACTTCTGCTTACACAAGGGTACAGGCTAACGGGCAGGCGAGGGCATTAAAGTTCTCTTAAGTAACTCTAAGATTTTACCATCTATGAACAACGGCCGTTTGTCAGCTTTGTCTTCCTCCTTCTGTTGCTACTGGGTTTACCAGCTGACAAGAATCAACCAATGCCAAGAAATATTATGATGACAGACTCTAGGTAATTTGACCTGACCTGAACTTATAAACACAGCAAACCACTCTTGACGGATAGAGTCCAGCTTAGATAGCGATACGGATGATTTTGGAAAATCCCATGAACAATCATCCTGCTTAAGCGGGTAGCTGCAGGATTCGGAGTTAATTGATTCGCTCCACTTTATGTCCATACCCCAAAGGCACTACGTTATACCACCTACCGGATATATATGCAACAAATTAAACTCCGCTTTCTTGGACGCCAAAAGTAAAGCTGGCAAATCAGAGACATGACCTGCATGGCCTGATGTCGGACTTAAGCATCGCTGAATCATCAGCCTTCTCCACTTGATATTGACCAGTATTTGTTATATAACCAGATCACTCCTTTTACAATAATCTATGAATAGGCCTAATGTAACGAAACCGAACAACAAGAGAAGCAACCTGACCATCACTATTTCATCATGGCACCTCGTAACGTGCCGCTTCACAGACTCGGCAAGAATGGACCTTTGGTCCCAGCGCTAGGCCTCGGTCTCATGGGAATGGGCATAATGTACGGAATACCACCAAGTGACGAAGAACGATTCGCTGTGCTTGATCGAGCAGTCGAGATCGGAGCTACAAACTGGGACACTTCAGAGTAAGTATTTGAGTGTCGAGCTCCACCTATCATGCGCCGTACGCTAATTTCACATTGTCTCTCAAGTTTTTACGGGGATTGTGAATCGCTTGTGGGCAAATGGTTCAAGCGCACAGGCAAGCGGGACGAAATATTCTTGGCGACTAAGTTCGGTGTTGTCAAAGGTTCATCCGACTTTGCGATTAACAGTTCTGGCCCTTACGTCAGAGAGGCTCTTGAAGCGAGTCTCCAAGCTTTGGGTACCGACTACGTAGATTTGTACTACATGCACCGCGCCAACTCTAACACTCCTATCGAGGAGACTGCACGTGCCCTGGCCGAGTTGAAGGCGTAAGTTGATCAGCATGTCGTTTTTAGAAGAATGTCACATTCTAACGGTTGCTCCGCTCAAGTGAAGGAAAGATCAAACATATTGGCCTATCAGAAGTCAGCTCTACCACGCTTCGTCGTGCAAGCAAAATCGTGCATATCGACGCAGTCCAGATCGAGTATTCTCTCTTTGACCTCGATATTGAGAACTCTGAAGGTACTGATCTCCTAGCTGCCTGCCGGGAGCTCGGTACGGCCACCGTGGCCTACTCGCCACTGGGTCGTGGGTTGCTTACGGGAACTTTAAACAGTACAGAAAATATCAACAAGGAGGGTGATTGGCGTTCCATGTTTCCGCGATTCATCGGCGAGAACTACGAAGCTAATATTAAGCTGGTCAACCGTTTCAAGTCTTTCGCCGATAACAAAGGCTGCACTCCGGGCCAGCTTGCTATTGCCTGGCTGCTAAAGCAAGGAGATGACATCATTCCCATTCCTGGCACAAAGCGCACCAAGTACCTTGAGGAGAACTGGGGCGCCCTCAAAGTCCAGTTGACCGACGAAGAAGTAGCGGAAATCCGACACTTCGCCGAAACCAACAAGGTGGTAGGCGAGCGAGTTTTCGAAGCAGCTAAGGCGCAGTGCTATGCCGACACTGTAGAGGATGAATAAGAGATTATCAATTGGCGCCTAGGACTGGAGGCTTGGACATGCGTCAGGTTCCTGAATGCGGTTCATTGGACGAAGCGGACACTCCTTCGAGGAACAGCTTCTGATATGCGATCAATGAATCTCTTGAGCGCCGCCATTTGTCAGCATCAGATATAGAAGGGATTGAACCCATATTGAGTGGTTGGCACGGCATAAAATTCTAAATAACTTAGTAGGTAATTTACTGCAGATCCTAGAGGCTTTCAGTTTTCTTTTTGGCGGCTGATTCCTCAAATCCTATTACTGGCATGCAAAAACTGCAGACAGCAGTGTTGACAGGTTAGATATTGTTATCTCTGACGTACAAGCTCTAGCCTGGGCGTCAACGCTTTGTCGTATATCGGATGCCAATAATTCTCGTTGCACTAACGCCGGCAAGTGATAGGTTGGTTAGTATTGGATGTGAATCTGGAATTGTATTGCATTATGAGATAGATGCCTTGATATTATTTGCAACACTGATACGCTGCTCCGGAATCTGTAACAATTGATACAAATTCGTTGATGCGAGAGAGATCTCCATACTCGCTCGGGAACTGTGCGACAACAAGCCGTCTATATTCAACTCTGCAAGCCTTCTGCTGGCTGACGATCCTTCTTGCAAGCAGTGTCTCGGAGAACGAAATTGCTCTAAGCAGACGGCATTTTGTTATTCTGTCATTGCAAGTTGGACATCTTTGGTCAAGGAACCATTTTCTGATAAGCCACTGTAATCCATAATCTGCAACTGGATTTAACAACTTCCCAATGAGATCGAAAGTTCCTTTGGAAAATGCAGTGTCACAAGCTACACCACCACAAATAATAATCGTGACCGAGGTAGAAAAGGTGCTACCAAAGTAGTAATAACAGCACGATAATCGGCAAACAAGTGTTTCAGCATGGCGGAATCAACAAGAAGTTCTTGTGGTAAGCTTGTATGAGCCGGATGATCCAGAGGTACAATGGGAACTACTTGCCCTTCTCTATCCTTAGTTGCTGACTTTAACTCTTGCTGCGCCCAGAACTGACAGTAACTAGTAGCTGGATAGACTAGGAAAATTTGATCGTCGTTCAGATATGCGGAGGCAAGGCAGGGACGTAAACCCGAGCACGACGCGGCATTTAGACCCTTGAAATCTTATAATGCAATTTTCAATAATTCTCAATTCCAACGCTGAAATTGCGTTTATTGCCTTGGCCTTCAGTGATCGCCACACCATGTAAGTCAATGTGTGAAAAGGATGAGCTGATGTTTAATAGGCGATCTTATTGCTACTGCTGGGTGACGCTAAACTGTGGACATCACTCAGTGACAAAGAATCACACGCTAAGCTGGCTGCCGCGTATAGCGGATGATCATGGGATCCGTAGTCAAATACTTGAGCCTGGGCGCAGGATTTAGTATGCTTAGCGGATTACTAATTTCCAAATAGTGCCCTCTAGTGCATCGGGATGCTTCCCAGTGGTCGACGAGGGGTCGGATTGGCTTCATCAGGTTCCCTTCACAACATTTTCCAGCGTGTGAACTCCATATGTGGTCAACGTTGGTGCAAGATCACTTCTAGTTAATCCAGGGCTTGTTCCCACTTTTCCTTTTGTAGCCAGATTCGATAACTTGGCTTAAAGCTTGCTCTATACGAGCCAGTGATGTCCCAATACTACAGTCAGAGGTACACGTTTTGAACACGCTGATACCTACAAAAGATCCTGGCCCTCGCTACGTAAGTAGTTTTAGGTTGTCTCATTGCCATGGCGTGACTTTAAGGTAGGCGCCTCAAGATGACGACGAACAATTGCCTCTATCTATCGGCACTTGTAAAAACGTACCTATTTGACAAGCGCATAAAATGCTCGGGTTATTTACGCGATGTCTTTCAATCTGCTTTTGGCTTTCGTCAACGAGTAAAGCGATTAGGATGAATCGGGGCTTTCATCTGATAAACATTGAGAAACTGGCCTGAATTTATTCGTTAGCAATGATGCGCGGAAGTGATTGCGTCCCCGGCTCCAGAATTACTGTATTATAGTGGTTGAAGACCCTAACTAAGTTAAGGGACTAGGTTAGACATCATCCCGGAGCCATGCTGTGGTGCGACTTCTCTGTATCTCCACAAGAGGATCATGGCACTCGTCGAAAGGCATCACAGTTTGAATATGTCGTATAATTAGAATAACTATCTACTGTTAGTCTAAAGCGATGTCTCGCTCTAACGATGATTCCAATGGACACTCCTTAATTCAGACATCTATTGTACCCCCACATCTATCGCTCCCCGTCAAATACCTACTACATAGTACCTTCTTATTAAAGTTTCATTCTGCATGGATTGTCTGCAGGTCAACTACCGGCGCGCGCCACATCGTATGGGTCGAACCCAATTCGCATTTAGTACTTTTGTGTGACAGGAAATTTTGTGAAGGCAGATGGACCAGGCATGGTTCACGCGGCAATGCACGATGAGATGTTTTAAACCAGTAAGCCTTTCATCAGGTCATGCGATACTGACCACCAACGATAACAATGATGTTCAGCCGCATTTCTAGCCCTATCATCTCGACCCCTGCATTGCTCTAGGATAGAGTTCAACCCGGATCTACGGAGCTCTGGACCCAAAGCTGGGTACTAATCCTTTCGGAATTGGCAGCCCTCTTTGCTTGGGAGACTGCTTGTCAACTTTACATACAAAGCAGCCCATGATACTGCGTCTGGATACCTCTGTCACCCAAAGTCTTTCAAATTCTTCTCACCGTTCTGCAAAGTGGTAATCTATAACGATGACGACAGAGAACCGTAGCCCTCAGGTGTCAGTGGTAACGTGGGCCATGTGGGCTATCACAGTTCCTGCCATGTTTCTCCGTCTTTGGACCCGACTCAAAATATCCAGGTCCTTCGGAATCGATGACTGGTTTATGGTTGCTGCTATGGTATGTTCATATTCGTCCGAAGTTCAGTGAAGCAAATGGTTGATACTCCGCAAGGTCTCATTCACCGTCAATACTGTTGTCGTGTCCGGCGCGGCGTCCCATGGTGTTGGGCGACACTCTGCGGACCTCACACCCGCAGAGGCGTCACTCGCTCTACATGTAACTTTCATCCACTCCTATATCGTTGGATCCGGACACTGACCGGATGGGTTAGTTTTGGTATTACTGCTACCTGACTTATTGCACCACCATGATCTTGTCCAAGACAAGCGTCGCCTACTTTCTTCTTCGACTAAGCCCGTTTCCGGTGCATCGCGCCATTATTTACGTATCGCTTGGTTGTACTGTCGTTTGCGGCATAGCATTCTTCTTCATGGCTATGTTTCAGTGTTGGCCTATTCACTATTTTTGGAATCGCATCCCTGGTACAGGTTCATGCGTTTTGATCGATGTTATCATCAACTTCACATATGCTTACAGCGCATTTTCTATTATCACCGACTTCGCATTCACTATTCTACCGATTTGGCTGATCTGGCAATTGAGAATGGATCTTAAGACGAAACTTGCATTGATTCCTATTTTAGGAATGGCTGCTGTGTGAGTTGGCACCGCTTTACTACTCAGCGTAACGAGCTCATATATCTGCAGCGCAAGCTGTGCGGTCGCCGTTCGCTTGGCATATGTCGAGGATTTCCGTGGCAACGAGTTCTTGTGTAAGCCGTACCCAACTCACAGCGAAAACACTCTCTACTCACAGAACGTTCTAGGGTCAATATCGGACATAGCTTTCTGGTCCCAGACCGAGGAAGGACTGGCTATTACGGCAGGTTGTCTCGCCACACTCCGACCACTCTTCCGTAAGATATTAGAGAAGCTTGGCCTTACGAAAGCAGGCTCGTCGAACGACATTCCAGAAGACGCTGTCCATCTGCCTTTCAGAACCTTTGGACGGTCCACTCGTTCAACTCTCAAACACAGGGGACTGCCAAATAATATATTCAATCTCTCTGTCTTTACGTGCACGGATGAGGAGAAGACTTATAGTAAGGAGGAACTGAAAGAGTCGGCGGCTTGCCAGAAATCTAGATACATTTGCGAGATATGTACGATGGAGTTGGGCGAAATAGATTCGCAGGGGTGCTCATCGAACCACAAACTGTCTGTCAGAAGCAACTCAGTCCCATCATCAACAACAAATATTGAGATTATTCAGAAACAGGAGGCTCATATAGCCGTGACTGGTCACGACGTGCTATGAATATACACAATATAGCATGAGCGATAGGCAATCTTGAATTTTCATTATTGTTCCGAACGAGAGTTCCATCATTCTGTATCGTAGCGATTTTGGTTGCATATGCAAGGTTTCATGATAGACTGTGACTTTTGGCTCTTGCAAATGTGAAGCGAAGTTACAAAAACGTCTTACTGTATGTTCAACGATGCTAGTAATTTAAAAGCGCCCCAATACTGACCCCATCAAGCAAACCCCGCGAAGAGATATACAACGCCAACGGTGAAAAGCGGCCGCACAGATACTTTGGCAGCAATCATGCCAGGGATTCAAATCAAGCGAAGCTAGCACTGATAACCCAGCTTACGTCATCGTTAAACGAGGTGGCAGAGTCGAACGTGTGAACGCCGCCGTTGCTCGCGACGTAAAGCACATTGCTGTAGTGGCGGAAAAAGCGAGTAGGATAGCCCCAGGCTCGAACCGAGTTGCCCTGACCGTTGATGCCGGTCTGCGGACAGAATGTCGCATCTTCATGGAACTGCTTGGTGCCGTCGTTGGCGTTGAGCAAGAGCACGAAGTTATTGTGCCGTATATAACTGCCAGGGGTGTCTACGGACTCGAACGAGAAGCAGGCGCTGTTGCCAAGGCCGGCGCGTACGGTCCAACTGGCCTGCTGTTTAAGAGCAGTGGTGCTGGACGACGAGACAACCTGGGTGTTGATGGTAGATCCGGTGTGTGCGATATACCGGGTTGTGTAGCCGGATGTGGTGGCCCGTAGCGAGATCGAGGAACCGACGGTGAGCGCTGGGCCACTGGTTAACGAGGTGGTTGCGTATTTAGCGGCCACGATGTTAGCCTGCACTGAGTTCTCGGTGGCATCGGACGGATAGCCAGAGGTCATGACGCCCTCGTAGAAAGTGCCCTGGGCGCTGACGCTATTGTCGCCGCCGATACCGAGGATGATGGCGCCCTCTTTGCTCATAGGGTTGTAGCCAGATACGCTTGGACGTGCGCCGTTGTAGTAGGTCGATAACGAGCCGGACGCGGCATTAGCACCACGGATCGCCCATTGGTTTGCCTGCCCCTTCACGGCCGCGGTGACGAACCGGTAAGAGATAGACGGGTCTGCAGCGTTGTTCTTAGCGCTAGAGCCAGAGAAGAGGCCATTCTCGAGGTCAGCCATTATCCATGGGCCGCTTCCGGAACCGCTGCCCCAAACGGTATTGTCTCCAAAGTAAATGGTCTCCATGTGGCCGTTGCCCGTATCAAGACTGCTGACCTCGGCATTGCCGTAATCGAAGCAGCAGCCATCATTATAGTGCGTCCCGTCTAGGACCGCGTACATGCCCTCCGCGGCGTCGCCTATAGCTGTGCCGCTGGCAGCGTTGTTTCGGTAGCCGGTTCCAGGCGAGATGAAGACGCCGTACGCTTTCTGTCCATTCAGCGTGACTGGTGCGCCAATAGCGCTGGCAAGGTTGTCATAGCCATTGGCTTCCGGGCCGTTGAAGCCGCCGGGCGGAGCCTGAGTGAGGTGATTACCCCGACCGGACTGATCATAAATAATAGTGATTAGGCAGGTCGTGCTGGCGCAAAAGGAGTCTTGAGCAGCGGCATTTGCGACGCCGCCAGCCGACAGCGGCGCAATATTGGTCGTGGCACTGTCGGAGCCGCGCTTCACCTGGTAGAGGGAGCCTGTGTAGGCGCTGTATAGGGCGCGAGTAGTACTGTGCGCGGCAACGCAGGGCGTGCCTCCAGATGAGTATATATCACAGGGCCCAGCGACGACAAGAGAGGCAATGAAGCCTAGAGTGAGCACGCTTGCGCGTTCGAGGCTTGGTCTTGAAAACATGTCTAGTCGCTCTGAGTGGGGAATAGTGCAAAGGGCACAGCTATAAGCTTGGTGGATCTGTCAACGAAATGCTTGAGTGCTACCGAGTATGAAAAGCTACCTTATAGGATTTAAGCCGCTTGATGTACGGTCTGCTTTCATATCCTTCATATAACATGTCGAAATGTCCTTTTTCGATCGAATGTGGCACGCTTGACTAAAGCGATAGGAATTCCCTCCAATAACCATTGATAGAGTACACATCTTTGACTAATACTACTATCCTCATGCGCAGTACATCCAGGACAGCCAAGTTGACCTCGTAAATACGATATTGTCGATCGCTAGAGTTGCACGAACAAGATCTCGTGACATACGCAGGGCCGCTTCTTGAGAGCACCAGAGGTGGATTAAAACGTTCCGTCCAACTCGTGATCTTAGACTGTTCAAATAAGTGACTATACTAATACCAAAGGGGGATAGCTAAAACAGGAAGGTGACGGGAGGTTGCATCGTGCTGTTTGAATACCGCTAAACCGGCATTTCTAAGGTGGCACATTGACTCTTTGGCCATGCGGTTCTGTAAGTCACCCATTGGGGCGCTTATTGAGTTGGAGATTCTATCCACCGGAACTTTCGCCGGAGAAAAATTGGTTAGCACGGTGAAGTAAAAAGAAACAATTCTAGTACCGAATCATCATTTGGGACTAACCTATGCCTAGTGCCGAAATATCAGTATAGCAAAACGAGTTTAGCTTGAATGCAGGCTAACGACTATTGGGGCGGCAAAGAGAAGCAGAAAGTCTAAAGTAGGAGAAACGGTCATTAGTGAGGAGGCAGGCGGCTGCATTTGTATAGCCGAAGTTAGGGCAGATGAAGAGCGTCGCAAGCGCTTTACCCGATCCGGGTACCACATAGCCCGGCGGGCACAACATCACTTGCTCAATTCTGACAATGACCCTCATGCTAGAACTTGGGTTTAACGTAGCAGGGTCGCTGCAAAATAGATGGTTTCAGATGTATGTTAAGTGCAGGGCGACCTTCGCTTCTTGAATTTCTTAGCCTATGTTCTAATCAGATCAACATGTAGACCTTGGGTTGGCGTAAATTACGCTGGAAACTGTGGCGGACTATTGAGGAACCTTTTGTCCTGAAAGTTATCTAACGAAAACGAATATTAGTATACAGAGCAGCGTGCAATCTTGTATGTGCGTTGGAGGACTATCTTGATCCTCAATAGCCACCTCGAACCGTTGAGAAGAGAGCAAAGGAAATGAAATCTTATGTTAGCTATCATGTTAGTGCTGAAGTAATTTTTAAAGCAAAAAAGTTGAAATTTTATGGTTGTATCATAGAATCAATCATTCAAGTCGATTGGAATTATCATTAATGCCAGAGCGCGTCGTTGATATTAGTCTTTCTTATTACCAGTGAAACCATAATCCAATAACACGTCTATCGTTGGGCAAGATTTTATATAGTTTTATTCAAAGACACTTCCAAGCCACAGGGGGCATAATTATACAGCTAGCTCCAAGCCAAATCTTCTAAACTGTGGTTCGGTGCCATCACAATTCGAATGCTATATACGACCGCCAGATACTATCTACCACATTGCTTTAATGCAGTATGGTTATCCTGAAATGGTTGTAAAACCTAGCTCGTCTATCGGCAAGAATGTCGATTCTTCCTAGCACGCTTTATCAAGCCTTAACTCTCGTGGCCGTAGCTGATCCGGTATACTATTCAGTAACGACAGGACAGCAGTATAAGCTCCGATGAGAAATCACAACAGTATTAGGTGACTCATAAGTCAATACTTGTTGGCACTATGTATCACGCCAATTGATCCACAAACTAATCTAGGATGAACGAGAAACAAAGGAGAGGTTGTCTTCGGGAATCTCAATGAATAATGAATACACAAATAGCAATCTACCGCGTGCCGGCAATCTTTTTATTGTAGTGAGGCTACGATATTCGTTGTTATTTTGGAGAAATCAGGCATCAAGGCCGTTTAGTGCAAGCCTAGTGGTTTCGACAACAGATATTTATTTTCAGCTATTCTCTCTCAACTTTTTACAGGGCGCTTGACTCAGTCCTGGTTTGTGTCTTCAGGGTCTGCACGGATCTAGAAATCCTGGAGACGTCTTGTCCTGTTGCGAGCCTTAGCTAGTCAGATAATCTTGTTTTCTTCAGCTTCCCTGCTACGGCCATTCCTTTGTTCAGTATAGTTGGAGACAAAGCCATTGATTTGAAGTTTCAGGCTTATGTAAGATGTAACTGTAAGATCTGTTCTCTTCAGACGCCTCGACGGCCTTGTGAGTTGGCACAGCCTTTACCGGCAGTCCATGGTGGGCCACAGCTTGCCGCCATCGGTCCTCTTAAAGTAATCGCATTCTAAGCCACGTCATTAGCCCGGATGTTATGATGTAAGTTATAAGCGGTGAAGCACTTACTACCGTGGAAGATGCCTCCATTACTGTTCGACCAGTAAGCGCAGCTGTCACCGGCATTGTGGACGTTGTCTGTGTTCATCCAAGTGCATGCTTCGTGAACTCGGGCTAAGGTGCGAGAGAAAAACAAGAATTAGTGGGGAATGTTTCAATCAGACCTTCTGTTGCGGAAGCCACTCACTATCACCCCTGTTGTACCACAAAGTGTACCAGTTGTTGTTTGCAACCCAGGTTCCGTCACCAGCCTGGGCCCAAGCATAGGTGCTGGCCGCGAAGGAAAGGGCGGTGGTGAGGAAGGCGGTAGTGAACTGCATGTTGGGAATGTGATGAAGCTGAATAATCAAAGTTTAACTTGAGTGATTGTGTTGAGCGATGGAGAGAGAACTTTCTTTAACTGAACTGGCGATAGGTAGTTCTTTTATAGACAATTGGAAGCCCACATCTCAACGTCGCTAGAGTTGCCAAGCAGTCCCCAAGACTTTAGTTTTACCACCTCGTATTACCCGTCGCCTAGTTGGACGAGTGAACCAAACTTCCTTAAATCCTATAATGACCCTCCTCGATGCCTGCACCCATTTATGTCTCCCTCCGAGGTCCTGCACACAAGCAGGAAGAAGCCATATAGGCAGATACAGTTCGCTCTGGTCTAGTCCAGTCTGTGCAACATCGTACCCACCTCGGACTTCTGGACAGCCATGCACTTTTGCCCGGGACCCCCGGTGGACTTGAGCGTTGTACCAAAATCATCGATACTGACTACTCAGCCGCGATCGAGCGACTCAGGGACGGAATGGCCATGAAGGCGGATAATGTAGGGAACCACGCCATTCTTCGGTTGGTGACGGTCGACCGAGTGTTTTCATAGACAGCACCATTCCTTCTAACCTTACTATGTTAAAGCTAGCAGAGCGGTCCTTACTGAATTCGGGTGACCTGCGGTTACCCTGTATACGCTACCGGGCTGCAGTTGCCGTATACACGCTACCGACCTGCAGACGCCGTATGCACGTTACCGACCTGCAGGCGCCGTATGCAGGCTACCGACCTGCAGTCGCCGTATACGTGAATAATGAGAGTAGGTTTGATGAAGGAGAAAAAGTATAACCACTAAATATAATATCTGGTGAGCGATTATTTGTGAGTGATACATACGGAGGCAGCCGTCTAAAGTCAATCGGCCGCCCTGCATGTCTTGGCGCTGGCAGCAGCTGCCTCGGGAAACACTCTCAGCTGCAACGTCTTTTGTCAATTTGGGAGAGCATTCAGGGTCCAAGGTCTTCGATTCCAAGATTGTGGGAAGATAACCCGGAATACGCTAACTTGACCCGGAGGACTAGACCGCCCTTGGACTAATGCAAATCTTTCAACTACCAGTGTTCGATTGATTCCTCTGTCGCCGCAGATATTTGGACAATTGACCAGTTCATCAGAAGGTTTACAATCCTTGTATCTGAGATGACACGCAAAACGATGCCTTCCGGAAGAGTAGGTGGCTTAATGAGACAGGAACCCCTTGCGGCCGAAAGTGGGATCTCTCGAACCAGCTTAAGCGGCTCACTGAGCTGGCGTCAAGAAGGCTACCGTTTAGCGGTCAACATCAGCAAACTTAGTGCACTATTCGAACTACTGGTACAGCAATGGCAGAACGAATCACAATTACGGGTTTCGAACGGAAGAATGTCAGTTAATCTTGACTGCGTTTCTGAACGGCTTCGTATCTCGATAAATTACTGTCCCTTTCCGGTTGGGGGCCGTTTCAACGTAGGACCTACCGGTTTTCTCATTTCCATTTACAGATTAAAAGACGCCACAAAAGTGGCGATGACAAACTGCCTTGAAGCCGATCACTTCTCCATCTTCTGCTCGGTGGAGACGGTGCGGGCATTGTTCTCAGATCCTGCACTTGTGGGAGCTATTACCTAAGGGCATGGAACGCAGCACACCTTGGCTTGGCTTACCATATTTCGACCTCGCTCTGATTTGGGCATGGACTTTTACACTGTTGTTATTTGTGAAGCTTCTGCACCACGCACAATACCAAGCGGAAGCAGGAAGTATGGGCCCTCGGCAACATGATCAGTAATGATACATATATGATCCTTATCCATCCCATAATGTCGAATACTATCATTCGATTTGAATTGGAATTCCCAGAGATTATGTCCGCAGTACAGTCCATACTGGTGCCTCGCCATATCCATGTGCATGTGCATACTGGTCATTTGTGGTCACTATGTGTGTTGGGTCCTTTCGGGAAGACTCGGTGCTTGTGCCTTTAACTCTGTTGCGAGATTATCCCACCTCAAGATCCCATCAAGGCCACGGCACATATGTTCAATGGCGAATTTAGGTGTAGATATGCCCATATTTGGCTTCCATCTGTTAGGATTTGAAAGGACTGGAAAACCGTCGCGTTGCACATGGCCGCTTTTCGAATATAGTCCAGGCAATGAGCGAGAACATCGTAACGGCTCGATCTACATTCGTGTCGAGGAAATGAAGGAGGGCTTATCAACCGCTATATAGGCTTGCTACTCCCTCCGATTGTTAGAAGGAATAGGATCGCAGATGTGAAACTATGCGTATATGGTTCTGAGAACAGACTTCAGTTTAGGTGCACCACCGCATGAGTAAGTCAACCTATCTAGCAGTGTAATTGATGGAACACGTCCAGACCAGTAATCCAGTAACCCTCACGTCAGGTCATACGATACCGCACAATATTAGCATCCTCTACTGTCTAGTATAGCACATTTACTACACCAATATGCATAAATCATTTAGTGACAAACCTAGAAAAGGTAAATACCTGTCTTTCAGATTACCCCATAAACTATCCATCTCAGAGATGGGATCTCACACCCAGACCGGATCGGGCGCTTTGAGATCTATCACCAATACATTACTCGCATAATAGATCAACTCCCCTCTGAACTTCATCTCTTGCACTGCCAAGTCAGCAGGGGTTGAGTAAGCTCGTCGCAGAATCTGGCCGTACGTTCCCAAATGACAGCGTGAAACCTACGCAGCTGATACTATCATACTTGCGAAAAGAGTCACATTAGCGATGCCTTGAATGATAGACCAGATTTCATTTTGGCGGCTAATGGTGGTCATCCGCTACCATAGTTCCGGCCAGGTCCTGAGCGCGCGCGTTGCTTGGAAAAGGAAGCGTACTTTTGAACAACGGCAACTACGCAGGACCACGACTATCTATCGTCTGCTTCAAGGCTCAGCACGGTGCTGTTAAAATACTCTGCATTTCTAGTGCCGCACACTGGCCTGTGAGTCTGGAATTCATTTCTTGAGGTATCAGTGTTCGTGCTTAAGCGGAAATGACTCTTGGCGGAGATAAGATGTTGATCTGGATTATGCAAGATTCGGTTGCCTTGGTTTATTCGCTTTCAGTTGCTGGAATATATGCAACTGAACTGGTGAGTACCTGATGAGGTGAAAGAGGTGCTTCAGACCGTGATGCGCATCTCTAGTGTGCGGTATGTATGCTCCATTATGCTAACAGGTTGGACGGCAACCTGTCATGTGATATCTTAATATAATCTAAAAGATTGATCAGATGACCCAGGGACTCCCTCACAGACTCAAAGTAAATCGTTTTCATTCTCGCCACTGTCGACGTTAGAGACGGCATAATTTCTCGTGCAAGAGGTATATCAAGTTTGCGCATACCCGTTTGAACCCAACAGTTCTTCAGGAAGACTCTCGTATTTGGCGAACGGGATCATTGATGAAGCATACGCAAAGTTATCAAAGGGCGAAGAGGGGAATTTTGTGGCTGAGGTATAATGTCATCATGTGCCTGACCATATTACGAGTATATACGGTCATATAAAACCATACATACCCGTATAGCCATTTGAATAGGAGGCAAATACGAATACGAGCAGCAAATCATTATCACTGCCTCACAACGATACCTTCTACGCCCATCTTCTCTTTTTCAGCAACTCAAATCAACATAAAGCATACACTTACTCTCTTGCAGTAATTTCGTGGGCAGCCCCTGCTGTGACATAACGTGTGGTGATGGAATACTGTGTTCAAACACGCTGCTCACTGTCAAACTGAATTTTGACTTCATAGATTTTCAAACGTGACCTAGCTTTTGCAGACAACAACAACAGCTAGGCTGCCTACAATGACAAAATTGACTCTGTAGTCGTGGATAGCGACTAGTGCTAGCACATTTACGGTATTTTCATGGTTCTAGAGGCATTTATATGGGTGATATTTCTCATAATATTGAGATTGAAGGATATTCTTATCCACTACTGTGTGGCTCTTGGAGCTAATCATCTGCGGAGCTGCAATACGTGGTGGGTTATGGTTTTAGGATTTATGGTTAAATACGTCTGAGAGTCTAGTCGACTCTCTCAAAAGAACACCGGATCTCTGAGTGCGAACTTAAGTTGTTTGATTACTCCGGGCAAAGTGACGACCCACACCTTAGTGTGTTTGCAAAAGTCGGATCAAACCGGCTGACCAATATCCGTGCCGTTCATCCTTCGCCATATAGCCAGTTTCACAGCTATTGTTGCTGTTCATCAAAATGACCCGTCATGGTACTCAACATCACATTTCCACCTTGCTGCGTACGTGTTCTAATTGATGCCTTTTGTTGAAATTCAATCTTTGTTCTCGGTGAATTTAGGACCACACGAGGCGTCCATGGCAGACCATGCAAGACTAGTTGCTGAGTGTAATAGTTTAGCCCAACTAGTTTGCCATTAAATTGTGTTATGGATGTGATTAGACCTGAATTTTCAACACTTAGATTAATCCGTAGGATGAACTGGTAGTAGACCTCCGTTCGTATTTCAAGACTCCACACCACTGGCTTCCATCACATGTGCCTACATCGTCCCTAGATGGAGGAGGTATGCAGCCTTTGTCTGATATTTGCACCGAAACTTGAGGTCATTTCTTTCATCTGTCTAAGCATCAAAAGTTTGTTGCGATCCTGATGTGATGTCACTGGAGAAAGGACTGTTGGAGAACTGTTACGTGAGATAACCTTAAGGACAATCATCGTCATAATATTAAGGTAGCTTTGCCCACGGATTTCCATGGCATTGCCGTTTTCAGCTGTCAACCCAACCTGGTCCGCTGTCATTCTTTGTGTTGTCAGGGCAGCCAAGCCATGACAAGCAAGTCAGGCTTTGTCTGCAGAATTAGCGACTTCCTTGACGATTCAATGACCACAATCTTTGATAATAGTCGCCACCAAAAGGTTCTATAAGGCGGCAAAGATGGCTTGGAAATGCGCCTTCTTCTCAACAGAGTGTACACCTCTAAGAAAGCATCAGGAGTTTCTGCTATACTCCACGACCTCATAGACCAACTTGTTATCATTCAAGGTTTATCTTTGCGCTAAAGAATGCGCTCCTTGCTTACTATCAAGGCCGCCGTAGCCTTTTATCTCGGTGGGTATGGAGTACTCGCCGAAAATTGGGAGGGTGTTCCTACCGTCGGCAAAACGGTGGACGGTACCAAATACATTGGATGTCCGGTTGAGATTCCTGGACGTGTTCTAACTGGACCTTCATACTCCAACGATTCCATGACAATTGAGTCATGCGCAGCATACTGTGTCAAAAACAATCTACCGCTATTTGGTGTTGAGTACGGCCGTGAATGTTATTGTGGCAGGTATATTCCTCCCAATGTCATCATGCCAGGAAAACCTTCGGACTGCAATATGAACTGCAAGAATAATAAAGCAAGTTCTACTAAGCAGTTGTGTGGTGGCCCAAGCCGCATGTCTGTTTTCAACATGACGACGTTTAATGCACCTGGTGCGCTCAAAACCAGCACAGATTGGACTTACAAAAGCTGCTTCATGGAGCCGCAATGGGGCCGCGCCTTGTCAAATCTCGTCAAGGCGGACGATAGATTGACCATCAACATGTGTCTTGATGCCTGCAAGAGCGCCAACTACAAGTTTGCTGGTTTGGAGTATGGTCGTGAGTGTTGGTGCGGCAATACAATGGCTGATGGACTCGAGGATGCCAGCGATCCTGCTTGCGTCATGCAGTGCGATATGGTTTGTGGTGGTAATAGTTCTCAGATATGTGGTGGACGGGCTACCATCAGCATGTATGCGCGTACCAATTCGAAGCGGCACGTTACTCATGAGGATGAGGTCCATGAGAATCATCATACTCCAGCTAAGGAATTCATCGAAGTTGCTGCAAGAAAGGGTCGCTTCCTAAGGATTCGCCGTCCTTCGGTTAGACGGCAACAGCTGAATCAAGAGGAGTAGTGATAGGAGTGGCAATAATGGTACAATCCAGCACTTGCATCATCGCCAGGGAATCATGTATTTCTCCTCTCCCTTGTATATGAAACTAGAAAGTGATTGTAGCACAAGTTCATGTGGCTTTTATCACATGTAAACGGTTTTGACTTCAAGTGGGGATCCGAGGTGGCAATCCAATTTTGCTAAGCCAAGGTTCGGCTCTGGTTCTTGAGGCACTGAGAAATTGTGACAATGCAAGCATCCATATGATAAAGAGTACAGACCCGCCTTGCTCTGGATCTTGGCGTAGCTCCATAGTGAGTGGCAACATTCAACGAAACAAGTGATGTTTGTCCCCAGCCTACATAGCGAAGGGTTTCTTTGCTCCACTAGTAAGTCGGGAGAACTGAGAATTGCGGGTCATGCAAGGATACCCGAATACCTGTCGCCGATTTCCGTACATAGTAAACATTGTCCAAAGACCACAGTGATTGCCGAGCATGTTTTGAGGATGTCGCAGGTGATTGTGAATAGTATTGAGTCAGATTATTGCTGTTCTGCTTGTCTCGCATTAGATAGCCTTGTGACAAACTTCCATGGCCACAAGCTGACGATGGAGTTTCCATAACAAGTATTCAAAACATTGAAGCAATTGCGGTTGGTACGCGTAATTCCCGGTATCATGCAGCAACGTCTAAGTAGAATGGACAACAAGTTCAAATTCGGCAGTTAGGACCCTGGAATAATGCCGTGGCGATTCTCCGCTGTGATTACCCCTGACTGCCCCACTGATGCCGAGAAAACAAAGTACTTACATAAGCTTAAATATTCCCGAATCCACTTGATCCTAGTCGCAGATTTGAGCCGCGCCATTGGATTGTCGGGGCCCGGGATGTGGGCGGTTAGTAATTGCCATATTTTAACCGGTTCCTGACGACGATGCTTCCCCAAAGTGGCAGGACGTCTGCAGGGAAGCTCTCCGAACATGGCGAGCTCTTGAACCAATGTTACTCTGGAAGGTCTCGACGACCAGATGGCATGTGCCAAGAGAAAGGCCGCGTATGCTTTCTGGGTATACTGTTGCATTTTCAGGGACGGCCCATAACCTGCGTTCATATGAGGAATGACCAGTCGCAGATTGGTTAACTTTCCAGAACAGAAACACTCGGTTATGCATCCAGAACCAGTTGAGTTCAACTTAGTGGGTAATTCGCCCTCGTCGGTAAGATGAAGGAAGACGCTAATTGCACAACTATCAGCCGCCTATGGACCACGGTGGGCCGGAAGGCGAACTTCTCCTCACTGCTCATGATATTGCCGCCGGGAATTCGTCAGTATTAGAGTGCGCATGGAATAGACGTACGTACAATTGACGGTCGCTCAATGTGTATAGCATTATGGCCCCACTGTGAGGCGAACCCACCGGCATTAGCTCAATCTAGCCTATAATGTACGGTATAACGCAAGGTACGAGACATGGGTGCCGAGATGTATAAGAGAGGTTGATCAGACAGGTGACACAAGAGCATTTCTTTGGTCCAGCATCATCTCCTAAGTATCATACGACAAGCTAAGATGCGTTTCTCCGCTGCTCTCATCGCTTCAGTCGCGGCCACGCTGGTGGCTGCTCACCCTGGTGCAGACCTCAAGGAAGAGCTTCGTGAGCGCCAAGAATTCATCGCAAACTCCAAGCGCACCAACTTGGGTCACTGTGCTGCTAAGCACAAGGCCCGCGGTATTGAACAACGAGCCATTGCGCGTCGTCACAATGTTGCTATGAAGAACGCCAAGCGTGGCGTCCTTCAGCGCGACCCTACTGACATCAACAAAAGCCATCTGTCTGATGCTGGTTTCGACAACACCACTCCTCTTGCAGATATTTTCGCCCAAAATGCTTCTTGCGTTCTCTCGCCCGAGGAGACAGAAGGTCCATACTGTAGGTCAACGCACTGATCGCAACATTGCCATTTCTAGCGCTGACGCTTTCACTTCCCAGACGTGTCCGGTGAATATGTCCGCACCGATATCAGAGAGGTGCAAGGAGGCATTCCCCTATATCTTGATGTCGCCATCTACGATGTCGAGACTTGCGAGCCTCTCCCCAATCGCTGGTTTGAGATCTGGCGTAAGTCTCAAGCAAATTTTTTTGTCAGGTATATAATTAACATGGGATAGACTGCAACTCAACTGGTGTCTACGCTGGTGTTCCGTCTGGTGGCAACTTTTCATCTGCCCCAGAGAACCTTAACAACACCTTCAACCGTGGATTTCAGCAGACTGATACCGATGGTGCTGTCCAATTCTTGACCAACTTCCCTGGTCACTACTCTGGCCGTGCTATCCATATTCACGTCGCTGTCCATCCCAACGCTACTGCCCGCGATAATGGTACCATCTATGACCTGACTGCCAACCATGTCGGTCAGATATACTTCGATCAGGACCTCGTCGACCAGGTTGAGTCCTATGCTCCTTACAACACCAACACTCAGCCAATCACCACCAACGCAGAAGATTTCCTTCTTGCCGATGGCCTTGCCACTAGTGATCCGATCGCTCAGTATGTCTACCCCTACACTAAGCAGCCGCTTCCTTACTAACTATCTTGATAGGTATGTCTTACTTGGCGAGGATGTCTCCGAAGGGCTCCTGGGTTGGTTCAGCTTTGGTGTTAATACCACATATACTCGCGCTATCAACGATGCAGCCACTTACTATGAGGGAGGCGGCGTCTCCAACGGTGGCGGTGGTGGTCCTGGTGGACCGGGAGGCCCGCCCCCCGGTGCTCCCCCTAAAATCTAAGATGAGATGAGAATTCTTGTGGTCCTAGTAAGACCCACAGTCTGCTAAGAAATGGAAGTGATAGAAGTATTTTATGCAGGGTGTTGTTTCTCTCAATGTTTTCCAGTATCTTGACAGATATGTCAAACGTTCCAATACTGAAAACGGATTGAAATGATAAGGACCTTTCAAATTACTACATAAATGTTTTATATTCAAAGTCCATCTATTTGCAGGTAGTCAAAGATAAAGCCCAAAAATAACCAAACATTCTAGCCTGTCAGGATTGATTTAGGCTTATGGATTCTGTGGTATGATATAACATCAAGATTTCAAATTATTGTGATTGTACCGATCGAGCGATCATATATTATACCTACTATGGAGATATAAGATGTGTGTTGCATGAGTGCATACAAGAGAGCAGTACCAGGATTGGGTGACTAAATTTATATTAGTCATCAAGATGACGTCGAGACTGTGCGTCGGTCATTCGTACGTGGAGAGAAATAAGTCAACTCCGTTCTATTACTTGCTCAAACAATACATGTTTAGTATTTTAAGAAAAGTACTATGAAGGTATAATATGACCAGCATGAGATTCAAACAAACATCCAGTCAGAATACGTTGGTAGATATCTTCGCAGAGCCCCGAACATAAACACTAACAGCGCGTAGTGCGAATAGGACGATGAATATCTGAAGTGTCAAGCCACCATGTATGGTTTGTTAGGAGTTCTCTTTCCATGCCCGGTCTTTGCATGGACTAGATTACCGGCACCTGCGGCTTGCCCTGAAAAGCGCACACTGTCGCCGACGATGAGAATATTGGTAAGTCAATTAGGACGGAATATGGACTGTTCCAGGTATCTGAGAGGCATATCGAACGGCTGATGAGCAAAATCTGAATAATATGGCGTTTACCCGGAAAGATGTCTTTAGGAGTAGGTTCGAGCGGCCAGGCCTACAGTTTCACCTGCAAATACACATCATATCCTGTATAGTATTTATGTAGGTGGTGGGGGTTGCCAACATCTCCTTCTTGCTACAATTGTATCCAAACTATTCTCTTCACCTGGTGGTTTAACTCTTGAGTGCGAAAGACAGCCTTCCTCTTAGTTAACGGCGGACAGCTCAGAGCTGACGGTGTAGAGCCAAGCCGGTGAAGACTTTTGCTGGCGACCTCCGTATTTTCTATATGCAGTTTGATCACACACTAACAAATCTCGTCGTGCGTATAATACTTGGATTATCTCATGGTTATTGAAATGTTATTGGCTAAAGAGTGAACATTTCTTCGACTGTACTTAATGCCTCGTTAAATGCTCACAGCCTTTACGATGTTTGAGTAACACGCTAATGCGCAATATGAGGCACTTAATCCTTAGTAACCTAGTGTATTCCCCATTAACCCCTTCTTTATCCTGGTTCAGACTAGAAGTCTAATAAAGCTCCCGGTTTAAATACCAACTTTTTAAAAAAATTTGATAGGAGATCTGCTTTGTCAAAGCTTCACAGCATATTCCCGGGTTCAGTCAATAATAGTAACAGTAATAGTTCTGGTGGGTCAGCTTCCTTTCTCCTTAGTCACGAGCATTTTCAATTGCTGGTTAGCTATGGCAGCGTAACTACTCAGATACCTATCGAGAGACAAGATTTGTATAAGTTAAAACAACTTTCTACGCCTATTTCAAAAGGGTTGGTGTATCTAGTCTCTTTACAGCAGAATATGTGGGGTCGTGGGCCGCTCCATACACCCTTATTCTCTTGTGTATATTAACCTCCGTGTTCCTATGGAAGAATAGATAGGCTAGCTATAGTTGAGATCGTCGGTTCGTTTCCGTAGCGCCATTTTTCAAGGTATTTTGCAGACTTTCCAAATTAGCAACCCGTACCGTAGATATGCTTTATATCCAGCCCTATCCACGGGTTACTAAGGGAGCGTTATACGCCTTTTCACTGGAATATTACATATTATTTATAATAACGTATAAAGGATGGATATAAAGAGGATATAACTCGGCATTGAGTAAAGAGAAGAGGTACCTACTTATAGAGTAATTAAATAAAATGGTTTAACGGCTTTCCTCCTTCACAGAGGTTTTTTATACTGAACGCGGTATATACCCGGTGTGTCGGGTATTGAGACCGCGATATCTTATAGGTATATAGAAGACTAACTTAATGTCAAAAGATTAGACTAACTGTCTCTGATAGTTACCAATCGGTGCGACAGGATACTAGTTGTGTCTGTTGATCTTAATGCTAGCGAGACGAATCAAAGAAAGGTGATGGAGTTCGGACCTGGAGATTCGCGGGCAGCCATCGTCCTCAATATTACTTATTCAAACGCTACATTTTACCCTAAAGCACCTTTCCGCTTGGTCGTAAAATCAAGGCGCATATCCATTAAGTGTAATGTTTGCACGCTTTGTATACATCTATTATAAAATATCGGGGGTTCTTTCCATGGATGGGCGCTGAGGAAGGAACAGACATGAAAGGGTACTATGTGTAATCAGACCGAGTTTTGTGATCTATTTGGTTTCCACTACAAGTATTTTCAGCAAGGACGTATAGCGGAAAGTCAATGCATCTGTGGTTCCGTGGGTGTTCCTAAGCATATTGATTTGAGAAGCACTAAGGTGAGAATTTGTGCAATAGCGGGAAATCAGATGCGAAGTTGACGTCTGGAAATAAGCCAAGATGTTAGTACCTAAAAGAAAACATGGTCTTAAGTGGCTCTATCGTTCGAGTTAACGAATTGGCAGTCCCTTTTACAATATTCTCAAGCACCCGATCGCTGCTACGTGGCTGGTTTGACAAGAACCCGAATAGGGCAGCGTGCATTATCACTGATATTGGTTACATGACTGTTCTGCCGCCATCCATGGCCGACGAGATCCGGAATGACTCCCGTCTCAGCTTTACCGCATTCTCGGTCAAGGCAAGTTCCACCTATAGATCTCAGGATTTCAGCCTGCTAACACCTGTATAGTCCTTCCAGACAGAATATCCCGGATTTGAGGCTTTCAGAGATGGTAGGCTTGATAAAATTACTCTCACAGTCATCAATAAAGACCTTACAAATCACCTTGGTAGGCGGATCCGTCCAAAATCTGGGAGACCAACCTTGTAGTTGACTTCTATCATAGCGAAAGTCACGACGCCCTTAGCGGAAGAAACCACCCAAACGTTAAATGAACTTATCGGTAAAATCACTGGTAAGTGACACTCGCAATAGAAATACTGCATTCTCACTAAGATATGGATCAGAATGGCAGACCATTACGCTAAAAGATACAATCCTGCACCTCGTGGCCAGGATCTCCTCGCGAGTGTTCCTCGGCATGGCTCAAAATTACGAGAGAGCACACGACCAATGAATTCATGGCCGGTGACCTCCTGCGCCAGTGGCCCGAGTACATGCGACCCTTTGTTCACTGGTTCATCACCGAATGCCAGAAGCTGCGGTCGCAGGTCCATGAGGCCCGATGATCGAGCGTCGCCGGAGGCTCAAGCCGGAAGCTCTGAGGGCCGGTGCCACCCCGCCCCGGTTTACGATGCGATTGAGTGGTTCGAGGAGGCCGCCGTTGCCAAGGGCCAGAGCTACGACCCCGCGATCGCTCAGCTGTTCTTTTCGACCGTCGCCATCCATACCACCACCGACATGTTTCTTTTCGACCGTCGCCATCCATACCACCACCGACATGTTGTGTCAGACCATGATTGATCTCGCGAGGAACTCGGAGATGGTTAAGCCGCTGCGAGCAGAGATCGCGTCGACACTAGAAGTAGGCAAAATGGCAAAAAAGGAGCTTATACAGCATGAAGCTGCTCGACCAAGGAGAGTCAGAGAATGAAGCCTTTGCAGCTTGGTAAGTTCCTTTACCTCTTATATAAGCGTAATGGGATTAGTAATTGGCATCTCTAACATAACTCGTAACACGCAGCAAGCATGCAACGCGTGGCCCTGAACGACGTCACGCTCTCCGATGGCACCTTTATCCCTAAGGGCACCGCGTCGTGCGTCTCCAGTCACCGTCTGTGGGACCCTAAGGTGTACGCGAACCCGGAGCAGTGAGACGCCCACAGGTTCCTGAACCTACAACAGCTGCCCGGCAAGGAACACGTGTCGTAGCTCGTGTCCACTAGTGAGAACGACCTGGGATTCTGTGGCAACGAATATATACCCTGAGATTACCATCGTTCTATGGACGGTGGGCCCACTGTTTTTGAACGTCACAGATTCGGACAGGGAAAGCACGCATGTTCCAGTCGCTTCTTCGCAGCGAATGAGCTGCAGATCGCACTCGTGCATTTGCTGCACGACTATGAATGGAAGTTGCTTGGGAAGCAGGCTACTTCGGTCCATGACTTCGGCATAAATCCCCTGCTGGACCCGGCTATCAAGATGGAGATACGGGCACGACAGAAAGATACTGCACAAGCGTGCCGACGTTCGAACTAATGAGTTGTCAGTATGACTCTTAATTCCGACGATGTCATCTCGAAGACCATGGTTGTAAATTGAGGCTCGACGGTACTGTATTTAGTTGCTACCCGAAGGCGTAGCTTGCGAATGGACTGAACATTGTGCCCCACTCAAGATACTTGTCGCGGGTGTGAGGTTGTCTGCCGGTTTGTAATCATGATATGGCATTTTCACGCTAGTGCGGCACAGATTACTCCGAAATGAGATTTTCATCAGCAAGGATGGCTCATCAGATTGTGATTGATGGGTTGCGCGGCTGCAGCCGTTCGTAACCTGCTAGTGACCTGGTATATTGTGCCTATGTACGTACATCTCATACTTTGATACGAAAACTTTTTTGCAACAATAGTACTTTCGCTTCTGTTTTTCAGAGGGTCTAATGCAGATTCCCAGGATAATGCATCCTGACACGTCATTTTATGATCGTCGTAGACTCTTCCACTAAACTAGTCAAGGCTAGAACATACACACATACATACTTTTCATACACTGAAGCCAACCCGTAGAGGGCAACTAGTTACAGATATTCTTGTGTTACATGTGTGGTTTCAAGATGTTGAAAATTGCCTTGCATGAGAGTGTGGTTACGGAAGCGGGGAGCATGGTTAGAAAACGGTGTTTATACTCCAACCTGCACCAAGACCTCTGGCAATTGCAAATGTACACAAACTGACCGTGAACATGCAGCCTGTAAATACAATTAAGCCCCAATAACTTCCTTCGCAAGCAGTAATCAAATTTCCTCCCAAAGGTATTCCAAGTAGGCAGGCTAGACTGACAACTGTAAAGCATGTGGCATAATAGCGCCCATACTGCTGAGTTTCGCAGAGTTTACCGATACACACGGGTGTGATGCTGATGTTGTTGCCACTAGCGAATCCAATCGTGACTGCGAAAACGACCAATCCAGGCAGCGTGTGACCAAACGGAAGCCACACGGCAAAGCACACCACCACTGACAAAATAATGGAAAGCATATTCGCATTGAATGGTCCGATTCGATCAGCCCACCAACCGGGTAGCGCACGACCGAAAAAGGACCCAGCATTCATGATCATGAGAACCTGAAAACTGAAATCCTCGCTGAAGCCTTGGGCCAATGCATAAGAGCTGATATAACCCAGAGGAATAAAAAGAGCCATTTCCATGAAAAAGACCGCAACGGTGGTCCAAAAGAAGACCTTATTTTTGAAAATACTTATATCAGGGTGGATACTTGCATTTTGCGATCCTGGCAATCGAGACCGAACAAGAAGGTTAGCTATGGAGACCAGGACAAGACATGAAAATCCAAGGATTCGCAGCGCCCATGGCCAACCAAGCGAAGGATTGGGAATCAGGCTCTGCAACATGAAAGGGAATATGATGCCGCCAATGGATCCTCCGCTACTAGCTATGCCAGTTGCAAGCCCACGACGTGCCTGGAAGAAATGACCCACAGCTGCCAGGCACGGTGTGAAAAGTAACGAACAGCCGATGCCGTTGATAATTCCGAAAACGACGAGAAAATGCCAGTATTCTGGAAAGGAATTTCCACATTAGCCACGGCGATAATATGTCAAAAACACGTAGAAAGTTAGGATCTCACCATGACAGATGCTTAACAACATAAGGCCGCCTATAATGCAGAGACTACCAATGAACACTAGTAGCCTGGGCCCATGCTTATCAAACAAGGGCCCAATGTAAACACCGCAAAAGAAGGACAGGAATGTATATAAGGAGAAAATCCATCCTATACGGTCCTCACCAATGCCGGTCAGTTGATGAGTAGAAACGTAAGCTTGTAGTGCTGCAATCGTGTTGGTAATACCTAGCGCGGCAAGCCTGGTAGAAGTCAGCTATGCATAAGAGACTGATCAGAAGATTACTGGACTTGCAGGCCACACCAGGCGCCAAATACGACAAGCCAAGCTCTCAATCCCCCTTCTGGGAAAGACTCCTCCGCCTTCTCAAGTGTGGAAGGTATCCCTGAGTCCTGTTGCAATGGACTTGAAACAGTCATTGGATTGGTGAAAGATCGTATAATAGACGTCGCGCCACCGCCAGATCTTCTATGTTCGGGCTCACGATCTCTCTTTCCCATCAGTACACTACTCGTCTCTATAGTAGGGAGGTATTTTGCCATGCCGATTTGTGGCAGAACCTATCAAGTTGTTGTTGGTAAAGAGTGTTCAAATAGGCGAGTAAACTGAATGTCCCAGCAGCACAGACAAAGAGGGAAGAGTTACGAATAAGACATAAGGCAAACAGGGTTGAGAGAAAAGGTAAGACAAAGCTAGGGAGGAAAGGGAAAAGTGACAGTAAAAAATTCAATCGTAATTTCAACCATTGCACCAATGGATATATGATTTGCATAGTTGTAACCAATACGATTGAGTGGCAAACTCATGGTACCTTCGAAAACCTTACCTAATCGATTCATTTCTACCTTCCATTGCACAGTTTGGCCCACACTTGCTTCAAACGAGCACAAGTCTTGAAGGCTCCACCTTAAAGTGACTTCGTTCGAAGTCCGCACGACGTGGAAGTGGGGCGTAAAGGGATGAGGCCATACCGCACCTGCCAGCCGACACATCTGACGCAGTGACGCTAGCTATGTGGTAAATCTAAACGAGTTAGTCTTTGGCTTACGGGACCACTCTTCAAAGACGTGCAGTCCCTTAGCTTGCAACAAAACTTGCTATTCCTGCCCGGATTGGAAACAATTCTCCATCGCGTAAACACTACTCGTATGTGCCCTCCAATGCTAATGCGAAGGCAATAAGATAAACAGGCATATTGAGTAGCGCCCACATTTTACCTATACATATGCTGATCAAGTCTTTGTAGTCATCCTGTGTCTGTTATCGCGTATTTGGGGTGAAGGTGGCGATGGTAGTTATCACAACTATTACTGATCTGATGGAAAACGATGGAGCGACAGCCGAGTGGTGATTTAATACGTAGTTGATTTACTTTGCAGCCCCTGGTAGACGCAACAAGGGGATGTAGGGTCAACCGCCTCGTGAAGCTGCCGCCAGCCCATAGACCACCGTAAGTTTTGCAGAAGCATTGCTCTTTAGCGCGCGCCGACATTGTAGCTGTTTATACGTCACGACTAAAATTCCAAATGGCCGACCCAGTTGGCAACAGAGGCAAGAAGTGGTGGGGCTCTCTGCCTCGAAAATTTTCTGTGTACATCGAATAGTACAAGGTCCCTACAAGTTAGCACCGTAGCTAAAAGTAAGGGACTGATCAAAATTCAATGGTTATAGAAACAACCATTAAAAATATCTATGCAAGTTAAAGACGGCTCATAATCTGATGTTATATCGCCATCCTTTTACCTTCTTTTGACTCCGTCCTTAGTCACTAGTCAGTTGGTTCTTTACAAATCATCTCATCACGATACACAACTCTCCATCATGACAGATGCCACAAGATACCAGGCCCCCATGATCCGGAAGGCTCAGCTGACTGATGCGAATAGCATTGCAGAGCTAGGAGCGCATGTCTTCACAACTACTTTTGCCCACTCCGTGCAGCCGCAGGAGCTTCGGGCGTTCCTCGATGAATCGTATACGGTCGCAGCGATCATCAAGGACCTTCAAGATCTGAACAGAGACGTCATACTCTCGGCAAGCCGGGAGGGCGAGATCCTTGGCTTCGCCTACCTCACGCGTGGCAGCAGTGAACCTTGCGTCGCTGACGTTCCAGATAAGGTCGAGCTACAGCGCATTTACGTTCACCCCTCAGCTCACGGCAAAGGAGTCGGTCGGCTACTGGCAAACACTCTAGAAGAGATGGCACGCGAACAAGGTTTCAAGAGTATGTGGCTGGGTGTATGGGAGGAAAATACAAGGGCTATCAAGGCGTATCAGAAATGGGGTTATAAGCTAGTGGGCGATCACGACTTCGTGATTGGCACGGTTATTCAGACGGATTTTATCATGTTAAAGAGCTTGTAGACAGTTCGCAAAGGGTGTGAACTGGCGTGCATGGCCAGTTATTTCCAGCCATTGTTGCCTTTTCACCAAAAGCGATTGTAAAATTACTCAGTTTGGCACTAGCTTAAATCAGTCATGACGAGACACAGTATGATTGAGCGCAGTGTTGCAAAGGGTGTTGCTGATCTGGCCCTTGCTTAATTTGGCCAAGAGCGATGACCATACCCACAAAGGCAGTCCCAACCAGTCCGTGGGTACTTGAGAGACATGAAAGGAAAGAAGCAAGTAAGCATGCGTGGCTTGTCTGGTCAGCTAAAGAACAATTGATTGATGCGGAAGCGGAAGCCAACTCGGCTTAAGCCGCTCGTCCCCACCATCCCGCTTGGGTATGAACAACTAAGGTTCTGCAGGCTGGAATAGTCGTACACGTATGCAATGATGAACATATCCACGTTCTTCACTTTTACGAAATTAAAGATGAAGCGAAGTAGAGATGTTTGTTGATAGGGAGGAGGTCCAGGAAATAAGTTCGACATATCTGGCTAGTCTTTGTCACCAACGGAGAGGATGTAGGCAATCCCTTAAAGCCGTACGGGCCATGGTTGAGAGTCGATCAACCATCTCAAATCTAAAAGGGCGACATGTACTAATCGAACTACAATGCGCTCTTCTAAGAACCCTTCAACTCGCCTCGCGCTTTGACTGTATTCGAAACCCATTGTGCCGCGTCCGAATCCAACTTCGCGAAACCCTCGATGACACCCTCTTGATCCGCCTTGCCCATCTCCTGGCTCATCTTGAACTTACCCTCCAGACGATCAATCTCGATCTCTATACCGATAATATTCTTCTTCAGCAACTGGATAAAGCGGTCCGGGGCGTCTGAAACCTTCCATTCCGACGGCCGACCAGCCTCTCCGGTATACCCCATTATCATTGTCTCGTTATGATGGCTTAAGTCTTTTATCTGCTTCTGGAGAAAATTTGATGTCTCCTCCGAGCTAGAGTCAAAGAATATCTTGGCCTTCCCATACACTTGCGCGGCCGCATAGTTCCAGGTCGGTACCACTTTACCCGTAGCAGGCTTTGTCTCGGTGTAGAACTTGGGTGTGACATAATGGTGGGCCGGCGCGTTAAAGAGCACCAGGACTTCTTCCTCAAGGAAATTGTTCGACCCAGGGGTTGATGTAAGTGCCTCTATCATCGCCTTGCTGTGCGGGTTCTGCCTTGCAAGGTGGCCTCTTAAAAGCCCACATTCCGTTTCGCTTGACTCATCTTTAACGTCCAAAACGAAAGGAATATGACTCGTCTGGAGGAATGGAAATGTAGGCGACCGAATGGCGGTGGTCAGCAACCCTAGCGGATTGTCGTGTATCAGCTTCCGAAGGACACGAATGTCTCTTTCTGCGTGGACGGCCCGAATATACATGTTTAACGAGTATTGTGAACAGGTTTGAGAAGGATACTTTTCTCTCTATGGAGATGAAATTAGTTAATCGAGATTTGAATTGAAAAGTCAAATCACTGTTGTAAGAGAAATCACGAGTTGACAATCAATTTTACTGCTTTGCCACCAGGCGTCCTTCGCATAAATCGTGTTAGCTCGCGCTCACTAGTTCCAAATGCGAACCAATCAGACCACTTCGCCAGCGACGTGTCACGGCAAGTTACCTTATCTGTTCTACAAATCAGCCAACACCCATGCAAATCTGCAATTTAACGGGATGGTTAATGCCCATCCTCTGCGACCGAGAGACGATTCTCCGCCTGTGTACCAGACATGACACATTCGAGTCCCATAGAACCGATGTCGGCTTATTGATTCTCGATTGAACGCACTAAGTTCTGCTCCTCCATAGTTGAAAGAGGGACCGTACAACAAAGACGTTTATGATTTGGGGGTGGTGTGCACAAAGGCAACCGATCCACGCCTGGTCAACCTCGGGCACGCGGGTCCGAGTCAGTCTAGTGTTCATGTAATGAAGCTACGAGTCATCTTACGTATAATTAGGTTTCACTGTGGGGTAAATTGAATGACTCGTCATTAGACAATACTCAAAATAGGGAATACGCCCTGCCTGTGACAAGTTGGACAGATCGACGAGTGCATCAATCACGTGATGCTCCTAAGCCTTCTTGACGTAATATAACTGTGTTGCTTTTTGCTCCTCTACTTGCTGGTCAGTTTTTGAACTAGGCAGTTACACGTACAATCCGCTTCTTAAACATACCTCTAATATGTCTAAAATGATCCCCTTAGAAAACATCCTAAGCAGAGTGCGAGTAGCTCCTGAAGTCTTTGAGCTACGCCCGGATTACCGTGCTTTGTTAATGGTCGTGGATGGTATTCCGCCGGGTCCTTGCGATACTACGAGTGAGGCTCTGCTGCAGGAAGCTGAGGCTTCCGCCCGAAGGCAGCTGACACAACATGCAGTCATTGATATGCCGCATGTGGCAGCATGGCGAGATGCCTACAAGGCTTTTGGCGCAAAACCGCAACGTACCCGTAACAGCTTGGAGGCACTGACACGTCGGGTGGAGGGTGGTCTACCGCGTGTTAATCGCCTAACGGATATTTACAACGCCATCTCCGTCAAGCATCAAATTCCATTAGGCGGCGAGGATTTAAACAAGTACGAGGGAGCGCCACGCTTGATTCGGGCAACGGGCAAGGAGAATTTCGAGACGGTGACCAGCGGAGATATTGTTGTAGAGCATCCAGATACTGGGGAAGTTGTTTGGTGCGACGATGTTGGCGTTACCTCCCGTCGCTGGAACTGGCGCCAAGGCCCTCGAACCGCGCTGACCGACAGTACCACCAGAGCTCTATTCATTCTCGATGCACTCAGCCCGGTCTCTGACAGCTCTTTGCATGCGGCCGCTGAGGAGCTTACATCTACGTTGAAGGAACTGAGTCCTGATGTGCGTGTCGAACGCCGGATAATCAGTATTTCCACACGATAATAAGGGATGGATAAAATTTTGTGGGACACTATCAGGATGATATCTTAAGATTGAAAACCACCTCTCTTAGAGAGCAATCTACACGGGTTCATTTACTGTAGCATAGTTGGCCGAAGGTTAAGGTTTACTCTTCCCGTCCTGTACTTCGATCCACCGTTGAATCGAGTCGCTATCTAAGAAAAAGGCGCATTTTTGTTAAACCTCTCTACTGGCGCTAGGGCCTCTTGCGATTGTCTCGGTGAGCCCAACTCAATCCTGAGAGCACTTCTAGGAGGTCAGTGGTGGCGAGGCCCTGTATTATGAGAATATCCATCGTTGCAGGGCGGGGCTTGACAACAAAGAGCCTCTCGTTCGAATCATGCTCTCTCCCGTTGAGATCGCAGTCGCAGATCCAAATGCGCCAAGCTCGTCTTTACCGTCCGGGTCCTCCTGGCCCTGAACAGGCTGCAGTCTAGCCTGATGATGTTGTCTTCGGCCGGCCCAGACATCAGCTAGGACTTGTCCTGTTAGAATAGCAGCTAGAATAGATAATTCCATTGTGTAAAATAGTTGGCGAGGAAGGAAGAGATAACTTATCTCAGAAGAGATCGCGTGTACATAGCTGAGCTGTATCTCAGCTAGATTGCGTATGATCAGACAACAGCGCTACTTTGAACCGATGACCGGCTGTTACCAAAAATGGCGATCTATGATCCGTTTCAGATGGACCTTACACGCTACATCACAAAGCGCACGTCAATGTCTACTTACAGTAGAACGGCTTCGACGCCCATCTTCAATATTGTACTCTTTGTTCCAGGACAAGACGTAGTATATTATGTAAAATACTGCGGTATACTGAACTGTAACTATAACTAGGAATATGATATACACTACGAATAGAAAATTCAAACTGGCTCTGATTAAAAGTGATTTTCATTACGGATACTATTATATTCTGTGCCCGAGTTTACCAACTCTTTCTCCATGACCATGACGAGATTTCAAACAGCATTGCGTACAGTACAATATAGTACGTACCATGTTTCCATGTCTTCGAGCTTCGATTGAGACGATCAATAAATGGTATTTTCGAGCCGCGTATGCTTGTCGTACTATTTTCGGCTCGACCTAATCTGGCAGGTCCAAAAAGCCGACCTCAGATGCCATTTTTGGTCCTCGTCGCTATATAGTCAGTGACCAATTTTCGTCGGATGAGTATTGTATTGGTGATGCCGCTACAACACCGATTTTGGTGTGCCATTGGCCGGAAGTATCCATTAGCTGTGCGCTAAGTACGAATTTGGTTCGTAGCCTAATACTAGGACTGCGCCAAGAAGTTTTGTACAGCTTCCCTTTATTCACTTCACTTATATTGCTATATTGTTGTAACACTTCCGCACGGAATGAAAGCACACTCAAGAGCAGGCACGATTAAGAGTTTAGTACCACGCGGTTTGAATTAGTGGCAGAAAGAGGGGGATTTACTCTACGTACTGATATGGTTTATCGTACGTAGACTCACCGATATTGAAGTAGTGAGTGTTGGCTGTACTATTGCAGCAGGAAGGCTAAGTGGGTCGTACGGCCTTTGTCGGAGTTGTTCTCGGCCTGATCATTATAAGGTCTGAGAGATAGGACTTGTAAATAGTTTTCTTTGTCATGTTTTTCACACTTTTGCACAGTTAGTAATTGGTTTTTGCAGCAGTGCATTCGGAAGACAACGAGAATGGCTCGTTGTCGCTAATTAATACTATTTTGGTTGTCGAACTCATCATTTCCATTCTTTACTTATTAATCAGTCCACGAACGAGCCTGCGAGCTCATCGTGTGGCCTATAACCAAAGGACAAGACAGTGGTCCTAGTTTAATATCTTTAATAAATACGTTATTATTTAAATATATACTTTTAAAGTGTTAAATAAAATAAACAAAACGGAATGACGGATATACTTTAGAAATCCGCTCATGAACGGGTAAAGGGTTATTTTTTATTACGTGCCGATTTAAATAAGTAGATATAAAGTTATTATCATGCGCTAAGACTATTTTGGCGTTTAATTCAGCATACGGTCCGCCATTTTCTGATCTTAAAACCTCTAGTTTTGGACATCGCTATGCCAAAAACCATCGTCTATATGTAATCTCACCAATATACTTCCAGTTGAGTAAATCGTTGGAAGTATATAACTTTAGCGTGACGTGTATGTATCACGTTAAGTATGACAGTAATGGCATCACTACATGCTACACCACGAAGGACATACTGCTAGTGTCGGGAGCACTGTGTCTTATCCAATAGAATGTGCTTCCCCGCTGGAAGATTCCTCCTCCATGAGCGTCAATCTTGTTGCCAGAAGTGTCATACCAGGTGGTCCCTGAAGTAATCCAAGATACCGCAGGTACCCCCGAGGCATCAAAGAGAATTATCAAGACTTTGGGAAGCATTTGAAGCGCGTATGTCACGGAAATGATAGATATGAAACAGATGCTGGTTTTGTGCGTCTGAAAATGACTATTGATCGAGCCACCGTTGTTTTTAAGTAAAATTTAAGTGATATCATGTTACTCGGCAATTATTTTCTACCAGACCCCGGATAAGTGATCGAGAATCGACATGATTCTCTGATTGGATATATCCTTGATCGTCACAAAGCCAACCTGAGGATGTGACCTTGGTGTTATTCCTCGAGCTCGGCAAGTCACGTTGAACCTTATTTGGGGACCCCCGACTCTCAAATCGTACAGAAATGACCGGAGTCTTTCAGGGCCGGAATCTTTTTGTGGTTAATTTCTACTATGTTTGAACCATGACAGGCATATCAGCATAATTTCGAGCTAGCGGTAAGTTGAAATAAGTTCTCAGGGGACTGAATTTGCGGGGAATCCGGAGCAGGGGTATTGGGCGTACCAGTTGGATGTTAGTGGGCTAGACAGCCAATTATCACGATTGCTCAACCTACTGGACAGCTATTATGGTGCACACTATAGCTACCCCGAGATATGCCCCGTGTTTTCCCAGTTGGGAAAGCTCCGCACCAAATTGAATTTGTCGCGGATGCTCAGTGTCCTTTCTCTCATGTAATCACTGTGCGCTGAGCAGCTCGGCCCATCTCATGACGAAGTTGTCTTCTCGACAGGTCTACGTGATAATCGTGGAGAGCACAACGCAACTCCTCGATTGAAAACAGTGTCCCTGAGATATGAGAAAGCAATCGATCTCATTTTAAGGCGACGTCCATGAATCCAGGGCATAAACTTGATCGTGTCAGCAACGCTACATCGTCACCTGGCCCCAACCGTGTCTTCCCGCGTTTTTTTTTTGTCTTTTCTTCCAGTAGATATGATTTTCAAAATATGCCTGAAGCCTCTAAATCCAATCACTACTAGACGAAATCGAAGCAGGGCTGCCTGGTCTCGTGGTATACCCCAATATCAGGAAGGTCGGTGCACAACAATTCAAACAAGTAGCGGTAAGATCGAAGATGTCTATGTCCTTAATTATTTGACATTAAAATTAACTAATGCTCTCTAGTGGGCTAATTGTGGCTCCACCAAGGCATCCAATATATGTACTCATATGAATAAGTTCCATGAAGGAGATCTCTTGTTACAAGATTTCAATATTCGCTTTGAAACTTGACCGGTTTGCAGTCGGACTCAATCAATCATGCATGCAAATTGCATTTAGGAAATCTCGATCAAAGCAGGGCCAGCGACAACAGTTTCATCAGACACACCCTCGTTGCATCCGGTGAGGACGGCATAAGTCTGACCCTTGAAGCCCTCGGGAATCTCGACAGAGAAGCCACCATCGACGGGAGTAGCTTCGACGAAAGTCGGGCCAGTGACGGCGATGAACGCGGCGTAGACCGGACCACCAGTGACGCTGTAGCCAGTGGTCAGAAGGGTGACGGTGCTGCCAGTCTCGATGGTGCCGGTGGTGCCTAGGGCCAGAGCCGGGAAGGCCTTGACGGGGAGGGCTGGGTTGCTCGAGGGACAGGACGTGATGAAGGGGCTCGCGAGCGAGTAGACCTCGTCGTATGTGAGAGGTGCGTCGAAGGGCTGGGGGAAGGGCGCCTTGTTGAGCTTGGAGCGCAGGTAGGCCGAGTGGCGCGCCTCGACGGTCAGGATCGAACCGGCGGCCGTCAGGTACGCCTTGGACATGATATCGGCGGCGGCGCCGAGGTAGGCAGAAACACCAACGCCCTCAAGGATAGAGGCGGTGGCCAGGAAGCTGGCCACGTCCGTGTAGCCGAAGTCGTATGTGCACTCAGCGACGGGGACGGCGCCGGCGGCTGTGTGAAGGATACTTGTTAGTGATACTGGCTCTTTATTGAAAGACTAGCGAAAGGGGAACAATGACATACCTGTCAGACCAGAGGTCAGGAAGTCAACGTGAGATTTCTCATCGCTGGCAACTTCCTTCAAGTTTGAGTAGAAAGTGGCGTCGAATCCAGCGGCAGCGAAGTCCGCTTCAGTGTACTTGGCCAAACCTTCACGGTAGAAGGTGTCCTCAAGGTGCTCCAAAGTCAAAGCATAGTTGAGGATATCGGCTAAAGAACAGAATGATTAGCGATGCGTGAGAAAGCATGCTGAAAGGAGTCACATACCATCAGTGATCTCAGCACGCTTCTCGACGGGAGCGGCAGAGACGAGGCCAGCACCGGCGACAACAAGAGCAGCTTTAGAGAAGTACATTTTGAATGATTGAGACGATCAAGGAAGGTTGTTGAGAATGCTGATATGTTTATTATGACACTGGAGCAATTGAAACTGATGGAAGCCATCTCCTCAAGCTTATATGTCAAGTCTCAGGTGGCGATCTGCTGCCCCAGGGAAGGCTTTTCACTCATTCCGTGCAGATCACTCTCTGATGTCAATCACGGTGCTGCAAGACACCAATTTTGTCAAAGTACACTACTGTGAAGTCAACACCGTCACATTCCAAATCCAACCGACCAACATGCCTCAAAAGGCGTCTCTGTGCAATCTCCCTGTGAGCGCCTCTGTAGTCGTGGGGAAAGTTAGCGCCCATCGAGCGCGCTAGTCACGCCCGGGACAGGAACCATCCGAAGACTTGAACTTAGTCAATTGACAGCTCGGATATGGCAGAAGCCGTGGGGTGGGATCTGTGCCTTGCGATAGTATCCGGTCTAGCATATATGCCTAAACCGGCAGTATAGAATGTCCATCATCTCTTATAATATCGGAAGTCGAGCAAGCCGATAACGTCCAACGTCATTAGTTTAGGTAACAATCCCCCATTGTCCGCACTATTACGGTATATGATGGTCGCGGCACTTATACTTCTGTCAAATACTAAGCTTATTTCGATTAGAGTTCTAAGTAGTGCATGCAATCTCGTCCATGAACCACGTGCACGCCAGTAAGAGCTAGCAACACTTCCCATGAGAGGAGATAGATCGGAGCTTGAGGGCTAGATGCATGCCGCCATCTCGGGTTGCGGAAAGTGCTTGGCCCCGAAGACTATCTCTACCCAAATTGACTATGACCATCACATTTCAGAAGCATTCTTACCTACTAGCGCGCTGGGTTTGTTTGCAGTCAGCTCGAAGCCTGTGAACAACGATAGCATTTCATCTCATACTTTTCTCTCTCACCTGATCTGTTCTGGTGTGTTATCCTTCTCAAACTTCTCCGTCTAATATCACTCGATAAAGAGTCATTACAATCGTTCCTGACGAAACGTGGTTTGTTCATCACTACTGTCGTTCTTTTAAACCCTGAGTTCACTATCGATCACCACCAACAGGATGAAGACCGTTCAGCTTGTCGCTGCGCTTAGCGGTATGTCCTGTTTTATCCAGAGTGACCTGGAATGACGAACGAGCCGTGCTAATTGCTTTCACAGCCCTTGCCGCTGGTGCTCACGCAAGTGCTAACACCAGCACCACCGTCGTCTGCAGTGCCTGCCCATCCCACGCGTCCACCCCAGATATCGTCACTCGATCCCCTGTGCCGACAGTTTCTTGCACGGCTGCTCCCCTGACCGTCATCAGCTCCACTGTCTCTTCCAGCAACGCCACTTCTCACGCTGGTACCGGGGCATGGTCGACGTCGACTGCGACCGGACCCAGCTCATCATCCACGTATGCCGCAGTCACAGCTGGCGGTGACCACATGATCGGAAGCTTCAGTGGTGCCTTGGGCCTGGCTGCGGTAATTGCATACTTGGCTTAGGAAATTAAGATGCTTGCTGTACTACGAATGTTGGAAATGGGCGTTTGATAATAGTAATAACAGTCGAGGGCCGGATTAGACCAGGAGAAGGAAGATGTGGGAAGACTTATCACAATTGGAACTGCCCACATGTTCGTTCCGCAGAGAATACATTTAGCAGAAGGTGGTTATTTAATAGTGTATAACTTTTGATTCTTCGTAGAAAGGTTGAAATATGTACTTCTTGGGTCGGTGGGACGATGAACATTCCTATTCAATCAGCTATCAGATAACAATAGACTTCTTACTCATCCTTGGTTGTAGTTGGTTACCCTATATGCTCTGAAACGTTGGTGTTGTCCTTAAAATATCTATCATAATCATGATGCTGGACTTTTGATTGTTGCTAAGACGCCAAAACGCTTCGCCCCATCAGTGCTGCATGACCCCATAGCCATAACATCGACTGATCGATATTCACGATGGCGTCTTGTTGCTGCCACTTCACTATAAACCGTGGATTAGGTTGCTCTGACCTATATCTGTGTAAACGGCGAAACCATTTCGTCGTCAGCTGCGAAAGAAAAGGAAATGGATGTCCAGACATGGCAAGGCGGTGTCATTGGTCAAACGGTTCTACCTCACCTTCAAAGGCTTAGCAGATGCACTCCCAGTTTCACGTAGAAATAGTACGGAGTGGAATGATATCAAGCCGGCCAGATAGGTTGATACCCAGTCGGGGTGTAGTCGAGGCCTTGAGTTTAACGTGTTGTTCATTGAAAGGAATTGGTGGACAATTTAAACATATTGGGCTGCAAATGATCCTTGCAGACAGTTGGCTCATTCTGGACACAATCGTTAACTCACAACAAAGTCGTTGAAATGAAATCAAGGGTCACTCTATGCACATAGAAAGATGGTGCTTGTTCTAAAACGTTTCATTCGTCTACGGATTACTTTATCCGACCTTTATCGTCATCGGCGTCAATGTAGAGTACATGCGTGGGTATGAGGCATTATGTGAAATATGCTGAACCGAGGAAACAATGATCCCAAACCAGAACTCCGTCGAACTTTTCAATTCCGAAATTGTGAGTCTGAAGACATTTAGTCAACCTCCTCCATGTTGCTGTCGCCAGCCTCGGCAGCAACTTCATCAGCAGTGGCGGGGGCCTCGGTGGCCTCAGCCTCAGCCTCCTCATCCAGGTTCAGGCCCAGAGAAACGAGCTTGTGGATACGCTCGGCGAAACCAGCAGGCTCCTCGATTGTGAAACCAGAGACCAGCAGGGAGGTCTCGAACAGAAGCTGGGTAATGGATTTGACAGTGCGGTCATTCTCACCGTCAGCGGCAACCTTCTTCTTAAGCTCCTTGATGATGGGAGACTTGGGAGAGATCTCAAAGGTCTTCTTTGAGCTCATGTACGAAGACATGGAGGTGTCACGGAGGGCCTGAGCCTTCATGATACGCTCCATGTTAGCAGACCAGCCGAACTGGCCGGTGCGGATAGCGCAAGGAGCGCCGGAGAGCTTGTGGCTGACAACAACCTTCTCAACCTTGTCGCCCAGGACGTTCTTGAGAGCCTTAGCGAGATCCTCGTACTCCTTCTCCTCCTCCTCGCGCTTCTTCTTCTCCTCCTCGGTCTCCTCAAGCTCGAAGTCCTTGGTGATGTCGACGAGCTTCTTGCCCTCAAACTCCTTGAGCTGAGTCATGGCGTACTCATCAATGGGGTCAACAAGGAAGAGAACCTCGAAGTTCTTGTCCTTGAGGGCGTCAAGGAAGGGCGACTTCTGGACGGCCTTGAGGGACTCTCCGGTGATGTAGTAGATGTTCTGCTGGTGCTCGGGCATGCGAGTAACGTAGTCAGTGAGCGAGGTCTGCTCATCACCAGACTTGGTGGAGCTGAAGCGCAGGAGCTTGGCGAGGATGCCACGGTTCTGGGAGTCCTCGTGGATACCGAGCTTCAGGTTCTTGGAGAAGGCGCTGTAGAACTTGTCGAACTGCTCCTTGTCCTCGGCGATCTCGTTGAAGAGCTCAAGAGCCTTCTTGACAATGTTCTTCTTGATCACCTTCATGATCTTGTTCTGCTGAAGGGTCTCACGAGACAGGTTGAGGGGAAGATCCTCAGAGTCAACAACACCCTTGACGAAGCTGAGCCACTCGGGGATGAGGTCAGTGGCATCGTCAGTGATGAAGACACGGCGGACGTAGAGCTTGATGTTGTTCTTGGTCTTCTTGGTCTCGAACAGGTCGAAGGGAGCGCGCTTGGGAACAAAGAGGATGGCACGGAACTCGAGCTGACCCTCAACGGAGAAGTGCTTGACACCGAGGTGGTCCTCCCAATCGTTGGAGAGGGACTTGTAGAAGGAAGCATACTCCTCCTGGGTGATATCTTGAGGGTTGCGGGTCCAGATGGGCTTCTGCTTGTTGAGCTCCTCCTCCTCGATGCTAGTCTCCTTGACCTTCTTGGTCTTCTTCTTCTTCTCCTTCTCCTCGTCCTCGTCGTCGACCTCCTCGACCTTGGGCTTCTTGTCATCATCAACCTCCTCGACGTCCTCGGCATCCTCATCAGGGACCTCCTTCTCGGTCTCCTTGGTGACGTGGAGGTAGATGGGGTAGGAGATGAACTCGGAGTGCTTCTTGATGACCTCCTTGATCTTGGCCTCGTTGAGGTACTCTGACTGCTCATCCTTCAGGTGAAGGATCATCTTGGAACCACGGCCAAGCTGCTCACCCTCGGTGTCAGCCTTGATGGTGAAGGTACCACCGGCGGATGATTGCCAGATGTACTGCTCGTCATCGTTGTGCTTGGAGATGACGGTGACCGAGTCGGCGACGAGGTATGCGGAGTAGAAACCGACACCGAATTGACCAATCATGGAGATGTCGGCACCAGCGGTCAGTGCCTCCATGAACTGCTTGGTACCGGATCGAGCGATCGTACCGAGGTTGTTGACAAGGTCCTGTAGATTTACGATTAGCATTCGTAGTTTTATGCAGGTCATGATGATGATCATGATGCTTGCGCAGAGCTACTTACAGCCTTGGTCATGCCAATACCGGTATCCCGGATGGTCAGCGTCTTGTTCTCCTTGTCGGGGATGATGTCGATGCGTAGATCCTTGCCCGAGTCGAGCTTGGAGGGGTCTGAGAGAGCCTCATATCTGATCTTGTCGAGGGCATCGGAGGCGTTGGACACCAATTCTCTCAGGAAGATCTCCTTGTTTGAGTAGACGGTGTTGATGATCAGCGAGAGCAGCTGAGAAATCTCAGCCTGGAACTCGAAAGTTTCGCCAGACATCTTGATGTGAATGTGGAAAGAATGGACTTCTAAGGGTTTAGATATTAGTGGGGTGTCGCTTGCAGAAAGAAGGCTGAAGATGATGAGTGATTGCAGGGTGATTGTGTGATGTGATGGTGTAAGACAAATAAATACAAAGGTGAATTGAATGTACGAATGCTGGGAAGCTTTGCAGAAATTTCAGCGCTTGCCAATAGAAGCGAGTAGAAACCCAGGGAATCCTGCGAAGCTTGTGGAAAGTGCCAGATGAATGGAGGAGCCACCAAACCAGAGCTTGTGAGCAGGAAGTTTGTGAGCCAGAGAAGTGATTTTGAACTGCGATTGGGTGATGTTGCTGGCGGTGAACATGGAAATCATGCAGTCACAGGTACGAGAAGTGGCGGTAGAACAAACATCAGCCCAATCGGTTATCTTGCCAGCAGCAGCAGACTTCCCTATTCGAAGAAATCGTAGAAATTTGCTGCCAAGTGCACCAGCCTTGATTCTAATGATCTCAATGAATAGACTTCGCTGCGCTGACTTCTTCGAGTGGCTGTCCTGTGTTGGGATTCCAACCACTACTTATGGCAACATACACAACAGGCGAGGCGAGGCTGACATGGCGGGGGGGTATTGGGGGGTAATGGGACTGTTGGCAACGGCTTCACTTACCTAGATGGGGTTTTATTGGAGACGAGAAAGGGTATCAAAGGGTTCTCTGCAATGAAAAGCAGACACTCGTAGAAGTAGAGGGGAGAATTGGGAATAATGGGAAGAGGACTGTTGATGCGGAGGGGAAAAGTTCAAGGCTTCGTCTTCTTGTAGGTGCAGCAACTGCTAAAAAAGGGCCCATTCCTTAGGCCGACACCCCTGTTCTCGCTATCTCCAAGCCTCAGAAAGAATTCGATGTGATTCCATCAGGCAGTCGCGACTCGGTATGCACGAGCCAGCACAGGAAAAGCTTAGCGCCGTCTCCAGTGGCTGCCCTTGATTCGCTACTTGCAGAGGCTGGTCTAGAGCCTGGCCTGTGCTTGTGCTTGCCCGGCAACAGATTCTATGCCGGTGCTGGGTCCAGCCGCTGGAACGATTGGCTCACAGCGACCCGGGTGCCTTGATGACCCTTGGTTTGTCGCCATGCTTCTCCAAAATTCCAGAATCAAACTGAAGAAAGGCTGAGCTGGAAAAGAAGCCTGAACCCGTTGCTGCAAGGCTCACTGCTGGGCTAAATCTGGTCGTTCAGGGCAATCCTATTTTCTATTTCCACATGTAGGGTTTCATTATATCAACCGTCAAGCCCGTTCATGCTTTCAATGAACGTCCAATTCTTTTACAACAGCATCTACAGAGTGAACAAGTCCATTTCTTGGCTCCAGCGCTTGTGGCGAGGCTGAAGTGGGATGGATGTCCATGTAATCCAACGTGGGGCTGGGCTTATCCTTATCGTAGTAGGTACCCTGTATGGATTTATGTGGAGAGGATCAATGACACCTTAACGCCACAGCCTTCAGATGGCACCAGCTGGCTGGCTCGTGCAACTATTCTCTATTGAAGCTTCAATTGCATGGCACCCAAGTTTATTTCATCACAGCACTCTAGACTAGTTTGACTAGTTGAACAAGGGGTGTTACCTCCTTCACAAGACTTGGCCAACGGAGACCTGGTTGAGACACTTATTCAGCGTTTTGAATCTAGATTTCTCTCAACTATTAGGGAGGTATTGCTTGATTCAAACCATTCGGCCAATGATAGTCATAACTCCCACGATAATCCGAGGTGTTGAATTTTCTGTTCAAGGCTTTTTGGAGGCCATACCCCTTGCCATGAACAACGAACATCTCTATTCATTAACGTCATTGCAATTTGATACTAACATTATACTCCTTTAATCGCATCTCATGCAAAAGTAGTTCTTCTTTGAGGAATGTAAGCCAGTCGGCAAACTCATCTGATAAAACACAATGCATGACTTTGAGAACATCACATCCTTTGTTCGCTACCACAATCCTTTGACTTTGACATCTTCACGACACCCCGTAGCTATGCCCACGAGTGACAAAGCTTCCTCTCTTTAACATTCCAAAATGCTGCTTAATGCTTGATAGCTCTAATGTGCTGGCTGCTAAGTTTCATGGTACCTTGCATTGTATTCCCATCACGTCTAGCGGACTAACTCAATCACTTACAATTACGAACTTGATGGATGAGGTAGCTGTCATTTCTGTTGCTTTACTGGTCGTGATGAGCTGTATTGAGATGCTGGTTCAAAGCATCTAATCATTATCTTTTATCTATTTCCGCATCACCACTGTCACCAGCATCCAGCTAGTGGTGCATTCCAAGCACCGATGCTTCTTACATCGACACGTGCACCATGCTATTGCCTGTCCCTGTCGCTTGTTGGATATTGAACAGTTGCAATTCACACTATTCGTGATTGCTCAATATCACGCTATGTAATAATATATATGAAGCGAGCCACTAACCCGCTTCATGGACTGAAACAACAAGCTAAAACAATTTAAATCTTCTCTAAAAAAAAACTACCACAATTTTGCTCGTTTAATTGAAGCCACGCTATACAGCATGTCGACCAGTAGCATTGACCAGAAGCAGTTCCAACAATCTGGTACGGCCCTTGTTGTTCACATTGAGCCGCCGAGAAAAGTAAAGAAGGGCCACAAAATGCGTACATTTGTTGTGAGCGTTGAGTCGCCTGTGACACAAGTCATCTTCACTGTGTATCTCGTCAACTCAACTGATGACCCTACCACGAATTATGCCAATCCATACGACACTTCGGTTTCATATACATCTGGATCAATGGCATTCAATGGTCGTCAGATGCCTAATACGAATCATCATTTTGCCGTCTTCGAAAACTTCATACCCAACGTTGGAGGAGAATATAGGATTTGGATTAACGTTATGGGGCTCTACGACGATGTATATCATACAATCAGCATGAGACACGTCCATGACAGTTGTATGGGTACCAGATTTCTCGGAGGCATACTCCAGTGGAAGGACATGCATCCAGTGAAGGTGAAGGTGCACGGTAAAGTAGCCAGTGTTCCGCTGTGTACGTAATGTAATTCCTAGATACGTGCCTCCCGCTAACATTGTCAGCACCGGAAGAAGAGGGACTGATTGCAAGGATCAGATCCCATTGAGCATACGATCTTGACAAATTATATTGATGTGCCTCAGCTCGAGCATTGTCATATTCGCCAGTTCCCGTTGGGGTTCTCTCAACTTTTATTGCCAATCGCTCTTTTCATTCCTATTTCGCGTTGATGGGAAGTTTGCTGCGGGTATCAGGGACTTTTGTGTCTGTTACGGGAGTCATGGTGCTTGATTGAGGAAGTGCCGGTTGATGACATTATTGTTACTCCTTGCATCGTCGGCTTCTGGCATTCTTTCAGTCGATACGGATACGGCAAATTTGCAAAACGGGGCCCGTTGGCCCGTTCCCTCGTTCATTTATAGCTTTAGTAAGAAATATCACTGTGATGGTTTCACCACTTCCCCAAATATTTACGAAGTAATCCCGTTGCTAGCTTTACCGCACTTTTTGGTACCATCCTTGGTTCCAGTCCAGGTTCCGCTGGATTTTGAGGCAATTCCTGATTTAGCATTTGGCGCGAAAAGCAAGGAGGTTAGTAGATTATCGAAGAATTCTTCAGTTGGTAAAATGGTGACGAACTTTTTGGGCTGTACATTCCTGTCCTTGCTCATATCTACCCCACACACTTTGTTCATACCACAATGTTGGGAATCAACATGGATTGATGAACCTTGTGGCAAAGTCTTAGTTTTTTCTATCGATCATATATACTCATTGGGTGTAACGCCTCATACCGTTTTGAGCTGTGGTCAATAGTAATCTTTGATTAATTATTATAAGTCTTCAAGTAGGACCTTCAGAACGCCGATGATTGTGTAGTGCATTCACTATCCCTCAAGCTATCATGTACGATATTAGCGCAGTTTGTGCTTCTACTTCAAATTATTCTCCATATTCAAGCAAATTCTCAACCCTATGCTTGGCAGAGATAGAACAACACAAAAGATTAGATCAGGTTGCTCAGCGCTAATGTTCATCAAGTACACAGCTAAAGAATTGGAACGATATTGAACATACAGCGGTTCTGCTATATAAGAAGCATGAATTAATGGTCTAAGCTTTAATTTCCACTCTTTATCTATAATTGCAATGCAAATACAGCTGGTAAATGGTGATTCCAACATATAAGTTTGACGTGCGTTAACGGTGATGTATTATGGTTATTGGAAACATGTCAGCATGACAATGTTTGAGAGAGTTAAGACGCAGTCACCGCTGGAATGGTCATGGAGCCTAACAACCAAATTGTAGACCAGGCTTCCTATAACCGCCGGTGCTTAGCGATTCGTCGAGACGAAAGACATCGTCACACTACAAGGCAGCAGCGTGTTGCAAAATTTCGCGACAGTGGGCAAAAGGATCATCACAATCGTTTCAGTCTACTGGTCATCGGCTTCACCGGCGGTGTGGAGATGATCTCTCTCCTGCGGAGAAAAAGGCAGAAATTCCATCTCGAAGTTCTTCACCGAGAAACAACTTGACCACGTCTACGACCGCCTCCGCCACTCATATCGCACAGAAACTACCGCCACTAAATCGCAACCCACCATAGACCCATCAGCAAACTTGCAGCTTGCTGCCGGTGAATGAACCGACAGCAGTGTTGCTCCACAGCGAGTAGTTTTAATGTAACAAAGTCTACTCTCGTGAGATGAGCATCGGATGATCCTTGCCTGTTATATATTGGCTTCCTTCAGCCTCAATGAAAATAATGTCATTATCCACCGAGTTGTCTCTTGCCTTGTCAAAGTGAAAGATCTCTCGCAATTTCCTTCATGCAGCTCCATTTGGGTTGTCTACGTTGGACCTGCCAACAATGAACACCGTTCTAGATAGGGGGCGGCTAGACACAGCCTCATAATTCATGTTACAGGAACGACGCTAGACTATCGTTCAGGAAAGGGTCGCTCCCAAATCAGCTTTACCTGTGAGGAAGCGACATTCGTCCTCAGTGGCAGGGGACTTGAATTGGTAACCAAACCCTACATCTTTGTCATACACAGAAGGACTTCTATTACGATTTGGCTTGCATTGGAAAGAACAACGCCGCGATCGCTTGTTCTGCTCGTCAACAAAACTCGTCTGAATATTCGCTCGTACTCCTCTATATGCAAGCGTTGCTCATCCTTGTCTGCAAGATTCAATTCGATAAATTGAGGATATGAATAGCCACACATCTTAACACGCTCTTCATTCTTCCATGATTAATTCGTTACGCAGAAATCGTACTCTGGAAATGCAGTGACTAACCATTTCATTGACATAAACAGGAGAGCTGCTTGAAAAAGTTACTCGAAATCATGACGAAGTTGATGTTAAAAGTGTTGGCGGCTGCTGTTCTGCTGGTATGTTAGATGCTTCATAACTTCTAATTGATCCCATGTAAACATACTGAGTTGCTTATGATGTAGCACACCAGCGCTGGATTATGTGCACCGGCCTAACATCTCTTCGAGCTACAACTGACAGATTACGTCTCAAGCTGCGGGTCAGAATGGATGCCTTGCGACGATGTATTGATTGCTGGCGGAAGCGAAACGCGTCTCGGTTTTGCTAGTGCTGTACAAACATTCTGCAATGCGGCTGACGGTCAGAAGGTCGGACCCGGAGACTACCTCTCTATGGCGACTGAGGTTTTCCACAACGGCGGCAAGGATCCCTCCACGTACGGTGTCATAGGCTATGCCTACTGTGAGTTATTAAATCTTTCTCAATCCGTGGTATGTAGTATTTCATTCAAGTGATGACACTTACATAGGTGAGATACACAACAAAATAGACCAGGATCATATCATTGAAAGTAAGTCTTTGCTAGAATATCTCTTCACAGCATGTTGAATGTCGCGCCTCTTTCTAACATTAATCACAAGACGCGAGCTGCCAAAGATACTTCGATGCACTTAGCGTAGACGGGGGCCGATGTTCTGGCGAAATACACAAGGACACCAAGGGTGGCACCTGGCAGATCGGTGACGACCGCATATCGTATCACGCTTTGGGAGAGAGGCTTCCGCCCGAGTTCGTCCCACTTAATCAGCTCATTCCCACCGTCGTACTCAGGCCTCAGAGCGTCAACAAGGGTTGTGGCGCACCTCTCAATCCGTGGCCTTTCGACTCGTATAGCACGGTCCACCCCCGCACCTTGTCATAGTCACAACGACTACGATCAGAGTATCCCTTTATTTGCTACCCTGAGCGCGGGATGCGCCTGTATCGAGGCCGACGCCTAGTGCTCTAACCACGACGCTGTTATCGGACATAGCTCGCCAAAGGCTGGCAGAACGTTGAAGGCTCAGCATATTGAGCCTTTAAGATCCGTTCTGGATCATAATAACCGAGGTTCACCAGGCAGCATAGGCGTCTATATAGCTTCGCCGGGTCAAAGTGTAGATCTTCTTGTCCATTTCAAGACTTAGGACACCAGCACTTTTGACGCCGTCGTCTCTGCCATCCAGCCACTACGCGACGCCGGGTATCTCAGCTATCTCAACGGCAGTCACTTCGTCCAGCGCCAGGTAACAGTGTCGTGTACTGGCAGCGCACCTTTCGATCGAATCGACACCGGTGATGGCGTACCCAAACGAGACATCTTTTATGATGCCAGGCTCGACGATTGGGATCCGAAGTACACTAGACTAGTGCCAACTCTAACTACGCTTCAGCGAGCTTCAAGAAGGCAATCGGCAACCCTGGAAACATCGACGATTTCACATAAGCCCAGAGAGCGAAGGTATCCCAGCAAGTTTTGATTGCTCACAAAGCTGGGATCAAGGTCCATTATTGTAAGTATTTGACCAGTTACAGGAGCGGGACTGTTATATGGGACTATTTCAGTTGTCATCAATTAGCTGACATGCTTACTTAGGGGATTTACCGGGTGACTCTCTATGGGAGCCTCTGACCGCACTCAGCGTTGATCGTCTCAATGCTGATGACATGCTGGCTACAGCTCGACTTCTGCGTGTATAGAAACGGATTGTCATCGAAGGGTTAGATACTGCAGCTGTTATACCAGCAGGCGCATGTAGTTATTATGCAGCCACATGGAATGAAAATAATCATGGATAATTACAGAAGAAGGCTATAGCTTTTCTTTGTTCGTGTGTATGTTATGTATCTACCTCTTGCAAATCGACAGTGCTACAGTCCTGGCCATAGCTAGGGCTGGCTACCTTTTTATGCAAGAATATTATAACGGCAAAAGCTGTGGTCCTATTAGACATTATCGGCCAAGCTGAAAGATATCAGGATCAATGCTGCCTATTCGCTCGGTTGCGGTGCGCTCCTAACGACACTAATGCCGGTAACAAATACCTCACGGGACGAAGGTCTCGCTTCTCATCCTCCGGTTTGACCTCGGCTGCATCTCTGGCTATAGCCGGAGCGACATCAGACCCGTAGTATCCCATGTGCTCAACAAGCATTTCATCCACGATTGCCAAACGCTGACCGTCGGAGAGGGCCTTCGTATCGTCGCCATTCTTACCACCTAACTTGTAAGAGAGTACAAAGTCGGACATGTTTAATTTACTGGTCGCCAGTTATTCCATCAGTTACACTGACTGCTTTCAGATTGCTGTCCCATCTTTTCCGTGTCATTCGAAAGTTTATGTACAGTTCTTGCTTTTATAGTCCAGGGTATTGGTCGATGGCCACGGTATCATATTGAGCTTTACATAATAAAAACACATAATACGAGGTTGCAGACCCATTACATGATGCGGAACTCCCTTAAATCGTCCGCGATGTCCCGTCGACCCTTGTAGTACTCACCATCCATTAGCCCAAGCACCCAGCACGGTCCAAGCAGAATGAAATAATCATCGACCTGCCTCAATAGCAAAGGGAACTCGCAGCCAGGAACGAGGCTTACGAGGTCGCCATACTGCGCTGCAGCGGGACCCCAACCGGCATAACCTTTAGCGGTCATAAAAAGGTTGAATTTCGCAAAATTTGAAACGAGCTCATCGTCGGAGCGCTTGTAGTAAATATCAGGTATGTTTTGTTGGTGGATTCTCAGATAGTCCTCGACGGTCGTGCTATCAACGGGCAAATCCGGTGCCCGAAACATGGATCCAAAGCCGACATCCCTGTAGAGCCTATCGGCGCTTTCGGGAAAATGATCGAAGCAATTTAGTATGTCCTTGATGGACATCCCAAGTCGGCAGCGGAGAGCATGCACGACTCGGTCGAGCACATCAAAGCCGGCGTCCATGGTAATCATGGCCATGGCAAGGCCGATACCATGCTCTTTTCCGGGTTCCACATCAAGGCATACGGCACGGAAGAATTCCACGACGGGCGACCCCCCAGGATTGTTTCTCGCGAAACCATGGATTATTTCTGTGAAGAACTTCACCATGTCGTTTGTTTCTTTAGAATGTGCTTCTATAGCACATATGGAATTGCCATCTATGCAAAGTACATTGCCATCAAACCGGGCATTGATGGAAAATTTTGTTGGCTGATTGGATTTAGGTCGGCGAGACTTTGGCCGAACTTGACTGCTGAGAGCGTCCCAATTGATCGCCCAAGATGGGAGGAAAAGGCGTTGGACTTCGGTCAAGTCGTCCAACGTGCCGGGTCCTGCTAATTCGAGGTAACTGAGTCCGCCCTGTCCTTGCAGGCAGCTCTTGGTAAATTCGGTGTAGACAAGTTCGACGGAGTGGGTATAATCCGGTATGAGGCAGAGCGGCAATAGCCCAAGAAGGCTGTACAGCTTGTCTCGGGGATCAGTGGATTTGAATTTGCCACCGGCTGTACGAAGTAGGTGGAAGAGCATAGGGTTTTGCTTCTGATCGACGGAGCTAGGTGAAGTCGAGAAGGTCCTCCTTAGTCCGGAGAAATGATGAACACAGTCTACAAAGTCATGCACCATGGAATGCCTCCATTCACCAATCACATCTTGCCATGGACCCAAGTCTAAGCCTCGGTCGCCCCTGGCACCGAATAAAAGACGAAAGTCTACCAGCCAGTCTGCAAGCTTGTATACGTCACCCATGGGTGACTGGCTCGGTCCACACCACAGGCGTACGGACTGAGAAAGGACAATCTCTTGTTGTATCCAAGAGCGCTGCCAATAGTCCCGCTGGAACAGCCTCAGGATCCCGTCCCAGATCCTGCTGTTCAGGAGAATGTGAGGCTCCCCTCCCCTCGGCGGGGTAGTCATGGCATGCGCAAGTCGAGGGTTCTTCTGGAACCACACCCTCAGGTCAGTTGTGAAATCCACTGTCTGCTCACTCCAGCTATCTTTCAGCGCTCGCGCAATTCGGCCAATATACTCAAGGCCGACTGCACTGTTCTGACCCTCGACACCAAGCCATGCGATGGTGGCCGTTGCGGAGCTGTAAATCCTGCCCATGGCTGCGACTTGAAACGACTTCTCCTTCTCGTCTTCCTGATTGATGCAAAGCGCGTCGACCCACAGGTATCTACTCAAATTCTCTGTTTTATTATCCCTTGCGTGATTCTGAATCCAATGCCAAAAAAATGCGGCCAAATTTGGACTGACGTGTTTGCACACCCCATTGACTGTGATCTCGACAGACGACTCTGCATTCCCCCAAGTATAAGAAAGAGCCGTGTAGTCAGGCATAGATGTATCGAAACAGAACGTATCCAAGCGACATACGATTGTCGTTTCTCCATCGTCAACCTCTCCGGCTTCCACTGTGAGTAGCCTGATGTGTAACGGTTCGGATTCAAGCCGCCTGGAGTATAGGACCGTTCCGTCCATAACCATTGCCGCCAGAGCTTGCGAGCAAGGGGGCGGCAGGATGTGAGGAATATCCATGTTACAGATTGTGCGATATTATCCCTATGCGAGAGTCAATGTTGGTGCATACTGCGAACGTCGCTAGAAAATACATGGCTCGGGTTGCTCATCCGCGGTGTCTATCTCACAGCACTGCCCCACCGACCCCCGGCCAAGAGCCTCCTACCACAGCCACAACATCTCCTAGATTCGGTTGAGCTAGGCAGCTTCGCAGTTCAATCACATAATTATTTCTAATCAATGGTATCTTTGTGAGACATCCCAAGGTCCGGAATATTTCCTCTCAATTGCGAAATTATCAGACTTGGGTATACATTGTTTTAGCAGTACGCCGCTCGACTCCTATGCCACTAGCCTTATTGCCAAATCCATTACAAACTCCGTTGCGGCCTTCCAAGCCGCTCCATTTGATACACTCCATGATGGAAGCAACTATCTGCCCCATGTGCTTATCATATTTCGCCTGTCATTCTTCGTATTTGACAGTCACCGCTGCTCTGGCTCGTAGCAACCTCCGGCAATCACTAGGTTCATCCGTGTGAACATGACCTTATGAACCGGTGTTCGCTTGGTCGGGAAGCAGCTGATTTGGTCGGGGGTAATCATAACCTCTTTACCCTTCTTCTTGCCCATGCCAGTGCTGCCAGCGCCGCTTGCTGTCCCCTGTGCGGTGCTTGCTGCCGTCTTGCCGTCGGTTGCTGCTCCGCTACCGCCCACCACAATTGCGCCATCACCGCCATCAGCTTGAGCTGCAGTGCGTGCGCCCTCAGCTGGCATCTCCACGTCCCAGACACGGACAGTCAGGTCTGCGCCTCCAGATACCAGTGTGTTACTCTCCACGTTGAAGTCGACCGACCAGATGCCATTGCGGCCGTGTCCTCGCATGCGTTTGATACGCTCTCCTTTGGCAATGTCCCAGATAAAGATGTTACCGCCAGAGTCGGCCGATGCCAAGATCTTGCCGTTCGGTGAAGCCTCCATCGCTGAGATGTAGTCGGTATGACCTGTGAAGATACGAACACAGTTACCTGTTGAGACCGACCACATTCGAATGGTCTTGTCAGCCTCATCAGAGGCAGAGAACACGTAAGCGCCGTTGGGGTGCCAGCAGAGAGCAGATATCGGAGTGTCGTGGCCAACCATGAGACGGACATACGATGCACGGTCTTGCGACCAGACGCGAACAGTCTTATCCCAACCACCTGTTGCGAAGTAGTGACCAAAAGGTCCCCATGCCAGCTTCATGATTGGACCGGAATGACCCTTGTAGACGCAAAGGCAGGTCCATGTCTCCAAGGACCATAACCGAACTTGTCCATCGTACGAGCATGAGATGAGAAGCTTGGCATCTGTATCGACCTTGGGGCCATCATCGTAGATGTTGCGGTCGATGTTCCTGACGGCATCGGAAAATGCAACTGTGTAGACAGGTCCAGAGTGGCCGATCAGCTTGCGATTGTTGATCTTGAGGTCTTGCTCGTTTGGTAATTGTGACTTGAGGGGCGATCCGTCGAGCGTCCATACGCGGATGTAAGACTCTGTAGTGCCAACGGCAACGAGCTTCTGGTCTTTGGAGAAGTCCATACATGAATAGCTGATGACCAGATTAGTAAGAAGAATAAGCCTGCCATGTGCAAAACAACCCACCTTCCAAGACTGTTGTGGAATGTATACATGCAGACAGACACTGCTGGTCCCACGCCGCCCGTTCGGCCCTCGATCTTGAAGCGATCCCTGTTCTCGCGAACCTTTTGCATCTCCATGACGATATCTCTGGCTCTAGATGGTGGGTAGGGAATGTCGGTGCGTTGTGGCGAGTCTCCTGCTTCTTTTTTGATGGAATGAATAAGATTGAATTCGTCAACAAGCGATCGTGCACCGTCTCGAGGTGGATTGATCTTGTCTTCGTCCTCCAACTCGGCTAGAATGTCTCCGCGTAGCTCAGGCTCTAGAGGGAGAGGGCCGAGCTTGAGAGCTGCATTATTTCCGTTGTCGAGGATCTCCTTGTTGAGGGTTACGGCACCTGTTGCCGGGATGCCAGGGATACCTTCTTGGGCGTCAACGTCGTCAATATCTAGATTGCGTGCGCGGCGGTAGATGGCTTCGAAGCTAAATGGCTCAATAGGACCCCGCTCGATAGACTCGACCTCACAGAACGAAGCGAGGATATAGCTGACAATGCTACCACATTCTTCGGCTGCACGCTCCAGGAAGTTGAAGAGATTGCCGGATGCGAACTTGTTCAGCGGAATGCGATACTTGTTCTTCAGATACAGGCGAGCGACTGCGTTTTCCTCAAGCTGTTTAGGGGTTTTAACAAGCTTCAGTTGGTTGACTTCATCTGCGCGAACCGTCTCAAATCGCTCTTTATACTGCAGCATGAAAGATTCGGCGCGCAGCTTGTACTCAAACTTGACCAAATCAAGAAATGAATAGACGAAGACTGGCCACAAGACCTTGCTCAGCTCGAACTAGAAGCGTGTCAGCTGGAAATCTTTGGTAATGAAGGAAAGGAAAGGGTTCACCTTGTAGAGATCGAGAGAGTTATCCACCCATTTCAGGAGGTGCTCAAAAGCAGCCACATATTTGTCAGGCTTTAACCGTTTGCTTTCCTCTTCTTCTGCTTTGGTGTTGCCGCCCTGGATCTCTTTGCGGAAAGCTTCCTCAGTACGAGTGTAGCCTCGTTTTATGAGGTAGTCCGTGACCTAGGGAAGAATCAGTCTTGTCGTTCTTGCGGATAATCAGGCAAAGTCACAGAATCTATCCATTTTGGGGTATTCAAGCCGCTGTCAGGAGTTTGTGGGTTGAGACTTAAAGGCGCTTGCCTAGCGGGAGGAGGCATTGCGACTGAGCGAAATCAAGAGTCCACAAATTGTTCACAATTGCTAAAAAGAAGGAAGTGTGCTTGTTGATGAGGGATCTGAACAGGAGTCGCTGAAGAGAAGGGTTGAGGGGGGCAAACAGAGAACCATCGCACAATTATCCTAACCACCGTTTGTCCTCAACAAACGACTGACTGCAACTGGGCACATTAAGACATTGACAGGCGCAGGCCGTCTCGTCTTCAACATTGTCGTAGCCACTTGCTTCAGGCCATAACAAGGCCTCAGCACGATATCTATGATATCTATACACCCGCTTCCACAGATACAGTGCTATAAGCAGGATGATTATACGGGTGATAATACACCTACTGCAGCGTATATACGGCCCTGAAGAGGATAGCATAGAGGATAAGATGGGTCCTTCGCGTTGCACTGGGACATCTGTGGCGAACAGAGGAAGACCAGGATATGTGTAATCGCGGAACGCGCGACTTGCCAAACTCATGCCGTGAGTGTTTAGGCGATGATTGGCTTATGAGATGTGCTACGACAGGTAGAAGACTCCATGGTACCCATACAGCTGACATGGAGAGTAGAGCAACGTATGCCCAAGTACATTTGGCGGCCGAAACTTGAGGCGTAACAAGTGAAGCGAAGATGAATGGTGATGCAGACAGACTACCGCAGCTTTACGGCCACATGATCAAAGGAAAACTTGATTGAGTACAACTGACATAACGGTGGTACTTACGATTTGATTCAAGTTCTGGTTGTTTGGTGGTGCAACCGTCGTGGTTGCTGTAGTCGCAGGTGCAGCCCCTGGCGTTGGTGGTGGAGCAGGAGTGAATGTACTGCCCGTCTGGCCAGCGCCTGCATTGGGTGCACCGGGGTTTGACATGTTTCTTTGCAGACCTGGAGATGATCGAGCGAGTGAATGCTTCGATTTGGTGACTGAGTGAGTTGGCGTCCAGTGCTGTGCTTGTCCACCTCTCCTTCTCCTGCCTAGCTCACTCAAATGCGCGTCGCGTTAAGCTGCATAGGTCACGCTAGGCTGGGCAACCGAGGCCCCTCTGGTACAACAAAGAGGTCGTATGGATACAACTAGAGGCGCCGAGTGAGAGAGTGATCTTTGGTTGATGAAATGATCGCTGGGTGCTGTTCTCTCTGATGAAGCGTGATGCGTTACTGGGTGTTTCGTCAACGGATGAGATGAGGCTCAAAACTGTGGATGCAGCTGTGGCAGGAACAGCTAGTCTATAAGAAGGTTAGTGTGCTTTACGAGGATGAGGAGCTTTTGCCTCAGGCCTCAGGGTGCCTGGGGGAAAACAGAAGCTGGGGGAAAACTTGGCAGTGCACAGGCCATTGACAGGTCTCACCTTGGCGGGGCATTACAGCACAACCACTCGCTATGGCACTATGTTCATAGTACTCTTAAGGTTTAGTATGGAGGCTTTCAAGCTCTTGTGGCTTCCCGTAGTCTAATAACATTCCTTGCTGTCGCATCCCAAAGGTCATGACATGCTGCCGCGACTTGCTGATTATGAGCCAATGTTGAGTTCCTGATGGCGCTGATACCTACACGATTGCATCACCCTCCTTTCCCATTGCTTCTTTGAAAAAGTCTCTATTCACAATGGCAGCTCAAAGCAACTCTGAGGATGCCTCCTTTGTACCCTTCACTACGGCAGAGCGCATCCAGCAATTGGGTGAGATTGACGAAGTATGGGTTACAATTAACCGGGCACCGAGAGAGATGGGGGCTAATCTCAGGTAACAGAGTATCGTCAGCCTCCTCCGAACCGTTGGTGCTGCCATTCAAAGTCTCAACAAGTCAGATACCAGCGATGAGGATGTATCCATGAATGCTGGCGGTGATGCCGACTCAGACGATGACGACGACGAGCCAGGTAAGGACACGGCTTTCAAACACCACACGAACGACTTCTTGCGAACACTGCGCTCTGTCAACGTGCGACTGAAGCGACAGATATGGGGGTTGGAGGAAGCTGGCATCATCAGGTCTAGCGATGCGCCAGCAGGCGACACAGCGGGTGACCATGGCAACAAGACTTTAGAACCAGACGGCAATGGCAAGATTGGCGGCATGGATGTGGGCTGGCTGAACAGCAGAAGCAACAAGGTGGAGAGAGACATGGAATCCGAGCTCTGGGACCAGGCTGAGGCGTTCTTAAAAGACGTGATCAAGAAGGCCGAATTAGCCGTCCCCGAAGCAGACGACAAGATGACTTGGTAAGGTCTTCTCCAGATAGCATTCCCAGGCGTTCCGGCGTTGGGCCAGGCTTGGCGTTGCGATACCCCCGGATAGAGGACGGGCGTTGATAGTGCCTATGAAAGAGCACTGCTCTGGTGGACTTGAAATTGAAACCGGTCGTCGGCGAGAAGCCTGATACAAGTGTCTGGTTCGAAAACGCCTATTTTACTATGGAGGCCGTCAACGCAACGTATGAAGTATGTCGGATTTACACACGAAAGCCTCCTTGCGCAGAAGCAGTACTACAAGAGCAAACAGGTCAAATTGTTCAAGGCTTTAGTAAGATCATGCCAGACTTGATGAAGACGATGAATGAATGAATGCAGTTACACCCCGGTTGTGAGGATATATTGCCAAGCTAAGTTACATTGCAAAACACGCCTGCACAGGCAGTCATGAAAAAGCTCACCTAGGCATGTATCGCCCAGTCCCGAGGTTGTGGTATATGAGTGAGGTATGAGGTATGAGGTATCCGCTGCGCATCGCAAACGTAATTGGCCCGTGCTTCTTTCCCTCCTCCAACACAACCGCTGCCGATTCGCTTCGCATAGCACAGCTTACTTTGTACATACCGGTACAGTAGTAGCCTTGTTGTAGCCTACCTGCAGTTGGTGCTCTCAGCGACGACAAGTCCAACCTCTCACCACTCGACCCAACGCTGGCAAAGATGGATTTCGGGGAGAGTGACTCTCCTTGGGGCGATGTACCGTCGCAATCGTCAAAGCCTCCATCCATAAACCAGCCGTCACAAGAAGCCGAGTCGTCGCAGCCGTCGCAACAGCAGCCCTCCGTCAAGTCGCCCACCGCCCGTGGCCCACGAAAGCCTATCCGCCGACTTCAGGCGCAACCGACAACCATACAATCCGACGATCCCCTGGGTCCTCTGGGTCCGCTTGGCGACAACAATGCCGCGCCTGCTGTCGATTCGCAGCCTGACGAGCCCCCGGCCCCTCCCCAGAAGGAGCAGCTGCCCATTCGCACCACACTGCCTCAGTCCCACGCCCCAACCGGCCTGCGGAAGCCCGGCCCAAGAGATCCTCACCAGATCGACGAGGACGACGATGACGACGATGACAGACCACTAGGTCCGAGGGCCCCTCCTCCTGTCCAGGTCGCTCAGCCCAGCCAGATCCGCAGCAGTACGCAGCCCGGCGTCAGTGTCGAGCAGGCAGCCAAGCCTACCTTCCAGATCACAGTCGGTGACCCCGTCAAGGTTGGCGACCTGACTAGCTCCCATATCGTCTACGCGGTCAGGACAAGAACCACCTCCAAGGGGTACAGGCAGCCAGAGTTCGAGGTCAAGAGGAGATACCGTGATTTCCTATGGCTCTACACTACCATGCATGGCAACAACCCGGGTGTTGTGGTGCCGCCGCCTCCGGAGAAACAGGCTCTCAACCGCTTTGAGACCAACTTTGTCGAGTCGCGTCGGCAAGCACTGGAGAAGATGTGCAACAAGATTGCCGCCCACCCCACACTACAACATGACCCCGATCTAAAGCTCTTCCTTGAGAGCGAGTCTTTCAACGTTGACATCAAGCACAAGGAGCGTCGGGAGCCAATTCCAGGTGAAAGCAAAGGTGTTTTCGGATCATTCGGTATTGGGGTCGGAAGCAGTAACAAATTCGTGGAACAGGATGACGTGAGTCCCCCTGACCTTGCTATCAGGTATTATCCCAGCAACTGACAAGACTAGTGGTTCCATGATCGCAGAGTCTACCTGGATGCCCTCGAGAACCAACTCAAGGCACTACTTAAGGCTATGGATACCATGGTCAACCAGCGCAAAGCCATGGCCGAAGCTGCTGGCGACTTCTCTGCCTCGCTACATGCATTGTCTACTGTAGAGCTGAGCCATACCCTATCGGGCCCTCTCGACGCCTTGTCGGAACTCCAGATTACCATAAGAGATGTCTATGACCGACAAGCTCAACAAGACGTGCTGACCTTTGGTATCGTCATTGACGAGTATATCCGTCTAATCGGCAGTGTGAAGAAGGCATTCGACCAGAGGCAAAAGGCGTTCCACAGCTGGCACAGCGCCGAGTCTGACATGCAAAAGAAGAAGACGAGCCAGGACAAGCTTCTTAGACAAGGCAAGTCTCAACAGGATCGCCTGAATCAGGTCAGCGCGGAAGTAGCCGATGCTGAACGCAAGGTCCATCAGGCCAGGCTTCTGTTCGAGGACATGGGTCGGTTGATGCGAGCCGAGCTTGACAGATTCGAGCGGGAGAAGGTTGAGGATTTCAAGAGCGCCGTCGAGACATTCTTGGAGAGTTCTGTGGAAGCGCAGAAAGAGGTGAGTGACATTTCCAACGTGGATTTGAAGAGCATGCTGACTACTGAACAGTTGATTGAGAAGTGGGAGACTTTCCTTATGCAATTGGATGCCGAAGATGACGAGGCAGTCTTCTACCGACCTCCTGTCGTTGACTCATCCGGCGACAAGAGACCTACTGGAGACACAGCTGTTGACAGGGCCAGGGCGCGGATAGATGAAGACTCTGACTAGTCGCACAGGGATGACTATCCATATCCGTGGCCCGCAATCGAACGGCACCATCGATTTGAGAGTAGCTGGGCTCGATCCTCGCAGCCGGGCGCCTCGCAGGGCTTAGAAGATGCTTTCAACCGCTGATGATAGGTGTATAGTTTGCTGAGACATAATCATTGTGTCCATTTGTGTATGCTTGGACAGGCTATACCCAGTAGCGTTACAGAACTTAAAAATAATGTTAAGCCTCTTACATGTCGACCAACGTTGATATCTTATGAGTGATATTTATATGCAGACAATGTGGTACATATGGTACAGTGTTGTAAACACGGCTTTCCTAGGAGCCTTCCAGCAATAATAATGCTTGATACGTCGTCCCTTTACCTTGTTCACGTCCACGCCGAGGAAGAGCCAACCCTCCACCATCATCACCATCTTCTTCTTTTTCCTCTTCTTCTTCCGTCAAAATTCAGGGGTGTTCCTGTTTTCGAAATCCATCGTCCCACCGTCTGATCTCGGCCCAGGCGGTGCTGAGTATCCTTTACCCGTCCCCCCAACAAAACACCTTATTTCTTGCCCGGGAACACCTTGGACTTCTCCTCGGCGACAGGCACCGCATGCCTGGCAATCAGATCATCGAGCGAGAAATCGTCCTCGTCCTCCTGCTCTGCCGCCTCCCTAGCCGACTTGCCAGCGGCAGCCCCCTCCCCTCCTTCCGCGGAAGAGGCAGAGTCGTCCTCCTCCGAGGCCACGGCAGGGGCGTCCCAGGTGCGGCCGAACCTCTCGCGGAAGGCGGCCAGCTTGCCCGCCTCGTCGACCTCGACGTTCTTGAGGCCCCGCTCCGACGGGTTCCACAGCAGGTGGTTCCGCGTGTCCTTGGTGGACTTGTACAGCGCGTACGGGCTCGTCGTCCGCATCGTGTACGTCGATCCGTCCGAGAGCTGCACCAGCTGCGTGAACAAGTAGGGCCGTTTGTGCCGGCGGATCAGGTTCGCGTTGCGGGTCTGCTGCTGGGTCTGGGCCGAGAGGAAGGAAGGGGCGAGGGACGTCCGCGATACCGACGAGGTCGTGGTGCTGGTCTGCGGCGTCAGGGAGGTTATGGAGAGGACGCAGGTCGGGCGTCGCGGGACGCGGAGGGTCGCCATTCTGGAGGTTTGCTGGTTGGGGTGTTTGAATTGTCCGGGCGCGGGATGATGTGTTCGTATCGCTGAGTTTTTTATGAGGCCACGGACCTTGCTGGAGTAGTGGACAGCGATTAAGCTGGGCTGGACTGGGCTGGGTTGGGTTGAGAGGGTGGCTGCTGTTGCGATTGCGCTGGGCCCTGTGCTTGTCTCTCTCTCCTTGGGGTTGACGATTGACGATGCGCCGACAAGGTGCTAGAAAAATGTTAATGCGCGGGCCGGGATCAGGTTCCGGGGGTGTTCTGGAGCCGTGTCCGGATCCGTATTTGTGCTGTAGCTAGTGTACATGCAGTAATCATGCTTGGAACGGGGGCTTATCTTATCGGCTCAATTCTGACAACGCGGACACGATGCTAAACTCATTGCAGTTAGTGAGCACTGTATCGCTGTAGAACGCGCGGAATGGCGCATCGATTGGAGCTGAGAACCTCCTCCAAGCTACCCTAGCTAAGTCAGCTACTGCACAGCGAGAGCAGTCCTGGACTTTCACCTGCATGCGATATTCCATCATACTTTCATGCTGCTTGTAGCCCGGCTCGTTCGAACATGAGATGAAGACCCTCCGCATTGTCTCAAGGGCGGCCGCGACCCGAGCTGGCCGCAATCATCCCTTGCAGCATGGTGCAGTTTCTACGTGCAACAGACCTGCACAAGTCAGGCTGTATAGCGAGACCTCAATTGACAGTAAGCCATGGCACACGCATTTGAAGATATTTACTTACATATATGAAAGAGCCTATCGAAGGCCCAAGAGACCTCCCCAACCCACTAGAAAAGGAGTCTTCCAATCCCTCGACAAAAGGCCCTTCTACGTCGACCAGTCCGGTAGACGCCGGTGCAATAGGAACAGTAACCGCATCAACGGCCACGAGTGGCCTCGGTGCGACATCAGGCGTGAATACTGGAGATACATCGATTGTGCCTCCAAACAGACAACTAAGGACATTTATGAAAAAGTTTACTCGCTCCCATCCGGTTTCATCAGACGGGTTTCGCGAATTAATGCGACATGTCTCGCATCCCGTTGTCATTGTCACATCACTATCGTGGCCGAGACATGAGGCTTGGACCAAATATGCGCCCCCAGATGGATCTCTAAGCGAAGCAATGCCATTGCAGGAAACCCTGAAGGACGAATCACAAGAGCCCAACCACAACGTCGAGAACACCTCTACTTCTGCGACCCAGGTGGACCTATCTTCATCTAAGGACGTGGCTGCTGAAGAGCTGTCTACATCCCAAGAATCGACAACTCCTTGGCCAGTACCTCGCGCCATGACCATCAGCTCCTTTTCCTCCCTCAGCTTGAAGCCAACGCCATCCGTCATGTTTAACATAAGCCTCCCCAGTCACACATACGGTGCAATTGCCTCTTCGCGCCGTTTCAATGTACACGTACTCGCCGATAACCATGCAGGGGCACGCCTTGCTCACCACTTCTCTCAAGGCCAGTCCCATTTAAAGCCAGAGATCGACGGGGAACTATTAAAACTTGCCGGCAAATTCCAGGCAGACATGCAATGGAGAAAGCAGGTCGCGGATATGAAGCAAGGCAAAAGAAAAGGGGGCTGGGCCCCAGTGTCGCGTGACGCCGTACCTCGTATACGAGACAGTGGCGTTCTGTACACGCTCCGATGTATCGTGCGGCTCTCTCACAACACTGATTCGGGGAAATCCTGGAATCGTGGACTAATCAGAATAGACAATCATTCCGCCATTGTCGTCGGCAACATAGAGGACGTTGTCTATGAAGATGTAGACAGCGATGGTCATCCCCCTTCAGAGAACACTGTCGCATTATCATATGCGAATAAGCAGTACAGGAGCACAGGGGAACCACTCGATCCTTTATGATATCACACGTACAATCCAGATGCAGAAGCAGAGAAGTAGATGTGATCCCTCATGACAAGCAGCCAGATACCGCCATACTCCACCAAACCACCCGATCTGGGTAATGCAACCTCAGACTAAGGATATCGGATTGAATCAACATCGATACAATAACAATGCATCCCTAGCAACCAACGAACCTACTACAATACTTAATATAGGTACTCCAATTGTATTTATATGCTATACTTGTCAAAGGTCACGCGACAAGCCCCTGTCTTTTCACTGGAAAGACTTTCGCCATTGCCAGGCATGTCCAATCTAGGATTCCTAGATTAGGCTATGGTCTGTTGACATTCTTTGCAGGTGAACGCTTCTGACTGAAGTCATGCCAGTGACCGACAAGCCCATGTTCAATATGGTCCGCTCTTAGTGCCTAGAGGCTGCCTCGATGGGTTATTCTCTGATGCTACCACCTGCCCCTTTCGTTCAGAAGGGCTATTCTAACGGAGCTTGTTGTGCGGTGTGTATTTGGAAAGACTCTTGCAGCCATACATCTCTTTCTAATATTGCTGTTCACTCCCTATTAAGTTGACCATACATTCCGAATATTCTTGCTTTCAGTAGACCGCTCGAGAGTCAGCGGGGAATACAGCATGGTTGAAACCACAGTCAAAATATGGCTTGACCGTGCTGATCTTTTAGGCTTGTTTGGGAAATGTTCAACGTTGCAATCGAGCCCATAGATCCCACACCGTTCAGAACGGTGACCATCTTTGTAGTTTTGTCCCTATGAAATTGTTTGGAACCATGTGACTCAAATAGTGTTTGCCTTTTTCCATTGTGCGCTACAATTTCATCGCTAATTCAATGACCAGGTAAGCTTGGTACCAGGACATCACATTGTGTCGTGAATGGTTGTTTTGAATACATCGAAACATCTCTGGAGGCGTTTTGCCACTTAACACCCTCGCAATTTACCCGGCGTCAGACGTCGCTCCTAGGTTATCCTGCTTCAACCATTCTCGCATACTAATCGCCCTCGTTAAGCAGCTACAAGAAGATTCCTGTTGTCCATGCGATGTTGTCCACATCGGTGTTGCTGGCCGTCAGATTCACCCGATGACTTTGCGCAAGATACGTCTCGTGAATCCACGACCTCAGTTCAAGGGTACTCTCGGCGCCCCTTTTCCATCACCATATACGCACTGAGCTTTTCCTCAACCGAGTGCTCTTGATGGAGCCTCACGATGAGGAACTCTCGGGTACCTGTGTCAACAAGCCGCAAAAGCTATTACCAATAACTCTCCAGGCAAAGATCGAACACTTGTCGGTTGTCCTAAAAACTCCTCCTGACAGTGAAGTAATCCATTTTCACGTTCACCATAAAGCATGGGCAGGGCCACCCCAAACGTGCCGGACAATCTATAGCCTCGATCCTCCACCATAGTCGTCTTGCGATGACACATCGACGGCTACATATGGGTGTGAGATTCCAGAGCGGCCACATCATCTGTTTTCCACTGGTCCCGATCGCTATTAAGCTTTAGGTACGGATTTGCATATGAAACAGGCTACAAAAAAGTAAGACTCAATGCCAGGCCATAGGGTCATGTCACCCGATTTGAGCCTTTGATATTCGTCCTCAAAGAGACACTCCATTTTGGAGAACGCAATTATCCCTTGCTTCTCTGATACCAACATGGCCGTGAGCTTCGACACTGTTGATCTTCATGTCCAAGGCGAGCTGTATCTGTTTCCGTCGATATCTCACACTAAAGTACCCACGAGCTGGGCACGGCATGTCAGCTTTTCTTTTTTATACTATTTGTTATTTTATTCCCGGTATATACGATTATAATATTTAATCTTTTATTTCCGGTACTTACGATTATGATAAGCACACTGTTAAAGGGGGCAGATCACAATGCTTGCATTATGGGCCTGTGATAAGTGGGACTAGCACCTTAACTACCATGTTTTGCTACCTAACTGTCACGTCGCTTATGATGAAATGGTGCGGTTTATCCACAATATTTAGGCAATCTATCTGCTTGCCTGTGCTCTTTTTAAACAAGCGACATCGATTGCATCTGATACAGCATTATCGCCTATGCAAGGTTCGATGCAACCTTTTCATCACACCCAGACTAGGGTTAGAGGCTTTGGTAATAGTGCGGAGAAGTAAAGGAAGTACCATCTATATAAAAGAATCCTTTCCTCCAGCCAACGAAATGGGTTGACCTGGACCAGACCAACATCCAAGGTACACACTCAACACCTATCAAAATACCAACTCCGTCAAAATGGCCATAGTCAATTTTCCAAGCGCAGTTAGATGATGGTGAAGAGATGGAGCTTGAAATTCTAGAATCCTGAGCACAAGCAAGCCATTCTTGTGATTGGTTTCTTAGCCACATTATTGATCAAGTTCGAATTGTAAATGTGCCCATGCAGGTGATGATTCGAAAATAAGCACAATGATAATCACCGTTGATCCATGCATGGTCCAACACGCCACGCAATGATTGAAGTTACAGACTATCAGCTGCTGCCAATAAACCACACCTGTCACGCTGATGCCTGCAGCAGGGCCGGGGTGTTCATATGCACAAGATATGAGCCAAGAAGTTATTTTCTGACTGCATGCATGCTGACAAATGATTGGCTACCAACGATCAGTCCTCGACACCATTCCCACCAACAAGCAAGCGGCTTATGCCATGGCCACGCCCGTCAAGTTTCCCATAGCCCACGCCTTGATGCTCTCAAAGTCACGACAGGTGCGAATCGACGTGCCATTGGTCACAACTTTCGGCTCGGGTCCATTCACATCGCTTAAAAACCAAAAGTTCGTACTAATATCCGAGGTACAGAGCAGGGCCTGTCTAAGTATATCGATGCAATGTGCTTCCACATTGAAAACGTGCATTAGTGTGACCGGGAGTGTGAAGTCAACAGAGAAGAAGAAGAAAACAAGTGAGGGCGAAAAAGCGGATAAGTGTTGGAAACCAAGTAGAACCTACCAAGGTGTTGCTGAATCTCCCATCTCTCCTCCCCGTCCATATCATCTAAGCTTCCGTAGTACTCAGGCCAAGCTAACATACGTAAATTGTTTAAGCAATGTAGTTGATGGAAGATGTGGAGGGTCAAATAGTATGGACGTGTTGCTTCATTAGCTTCCTCTCTATTTTGACGCAGCTCACGGGTGCGATTGATTAGTGATTGTTTTGCTGCTTCCTGGGATTGAGCCAAGACGCCAAAAACTGGATGTGTGGTGTAAGCCCAACTGAGATCATGGGTAATTTCGTTGACATTACTGACAATAAAGGTCTGCCCAAGCCGCGTCGATGGCTGGGTTCGGTGGTGATCGGTGGTATCGTGGATCTGGCTCATCGCTGAATTCATCTTGCTTGTAGAAGGAAGCTGAGCGAGCAGGTGCTGCAGATTGGGATCGTCAGAATATATGAAGTTTATCAGCTTCCCCGGGGATCCTTCCGAATGTTCTACTCACTGTAAGTCACTTCAGGTCCCTCCCATCCTCGAAAAGAGGGCGCGTTCTTCTCAGAGGAGAGAAAAAAGAGACAGCCAAAAAGGCAAAGACCAGCCGCGAGTATATGGAGAACAAGCCAACGTTTGCTTGTTATGGGGCAATTCTGAAGGCTGCCACTACCCGATCTCGTACACTCGCAATTTTGATGTTCTTCTCCAAGAGGCGATCTTTCTTGGAACCTCAACAACACCCTCTGCTCGTTGAGCATAGCTTGTTGTGTCATGACGTTGACAGTAGTAGATATCGTGATGGAAAAAGAAAAAGAGAGAAGAATTGCTACACTAGCAGGTTAGTATATAAGCAGGAATTTGCTGTGCTCATCCAGGAATACCCCAGCGACCGCTTTAATCGAGGATATCTGCTACGTCTGGTTTTGCACGAGAAATCCCAAATCTCGCACCCCTTTCATTAAGGTATACCAGAGGTTGATAACAGAAGTCTTCAGATTCGTAACAGCTGAACAGTAGGGATATAGTGGCGCCCCAAATATTCCTTGGCTCAGTTGTAATGACAGGTTTGTCGTGTGACACCTGCATGTAAACGCAGCCCGATCACAGTTGAAGACAAGGAGCTGGGTCACGACGTAGCAGTCGCTTAGACCAAATCTCACCATTCATTGTCCCAAATAGGATATGATAGTGATGGCTTCGATCGGCTCGATTGGGTAAAGGTCTCACCCGGCCCGAGAAACAGCACGATCGGGAAAAGGTCTTACCAGGGCCGAATGATATGAAGGAACCCGGAACTAGAGTGATTTTGAATGTGTAAGAAAAACTATTTATACCTAAAGACAAATCTGCCCAAATCTAAACCAATCCCAACTATTTTAAATCAAAGATATTCTACTAACGAGCCGCCTTATCTCTTAATATACATTTTTCATCATGAAAACGTCAACGATTCTTGTTCCGTTTTCTATAATCGTTACAACTGGTGCGGCAAACCCCTTGCCAGCACGGGTGACTTATGGTCAGTACCTCTTTCACAAATGACAGACCATATCCGCTTGAGGATATCCATACTTACTCTGCTTTGAGTGGGCCTTGTTATATATAGCTTGAGAAATTATGCATTTCAGATTCGCTAACATCCTATAGGCAGAATTCAAGAACTAAGTCAACCAAGCAACATCGCTAACGAGCCGATCAAACCCGACCCAGTTACAAACGTGCAAAATAAAACTTTGCCTTCATCTCATCAGATCCTCGATGGCATTATACCTACTAAATTATTTTGGGAAGGTCTTACCGTTGGGAGCCAGCGTGGGGCGCAGTGATTATCGCAAGACATCTCTCACTACGATGTGTGCCACGACCACTTCAAGGGTATGAGAGAGGACAAGGATGAGTTTGTCGACTTGACAGTGACATAGTTGCCGAAACTATCACTAGTAGTCTCCAGTATAATGAAATGGTGGGTATCGAATTGCGAATGGACCTCGCAAGGTTCCTGGTTCGACACTCGATTATACACGTTCTGATGGTACAAGGGCAATAGTTACGAAGAATGGCAAAGACAAAAAAGGATGGAATGAAAAATAAAACAGTAGAACAGAGACGATATCATGGACGCATAAATAGTATGTTATAAGTAGAGTACTTACACGGAGGATGTGATTGAGTTGAATGGGGTGCCTTCCGGCAGACGGTGCCTTACGGCTGACTGGCTCTCATTTCGAAAACCGGGTGATGCCTTTCGGCGTATGGTGCCTTACGGCTGACTGGCTTTCCTTAGAAAACCCTATATACGGTGTTGTTAGCGGAGGGGATGAGGAGGTGCCAAAAGGCCGAACAGTTGACAAGCGGCGAATCGAACCCTACACGGCTAAATTAGTAAATGAATGGTTGACCGTATTGACCATGGTGCCATTTCTGTGTGTCGAGAAAGACTCGTTATTCCGAATCGTAGTGCTACTTAGCGGGAACACTTCGGATAGAGCTGGGAATTATCGGAATCCCTCAATGCTAAGTACCAACATTCTGCCAACGGATTTGTAGGGAATGAATCTTAATGGAATCAGTTAGTTTTCCACAGCCTGGAATAATTGTGTAGTAATGAAGCACTTGCAGACCAGCTCTGTCATTGTAGCGAACATATACTTCAAGATTTGGAAACTACAAAGTGTATTTTGCAATTCTCTTAACTCCTCTGTTATGTTACTAGCAGGACAATGCAATAGGATACACTTATCTTGTCAGCCTGGTTACACAGCTGAACACAAACCGAAGTTGGCTGGTAGGTATCGTCTAGCATCGGTTGTAATAGAATCACCAAGTGGGATAATTGAAACTGAACAGCCACGAAGCTAAGAATAACTTGACTATAGCTACTGCCAAGACAGATAGAGGAAAACCACGCACAAAAGCAGCTCAGCGGCCATTGCCCAAGTTTAATGTATAGGTTACCCGCCGCGGCTACGATTTCTACCCCTGCATGTAGTCGTTGCCCCATTTTGAATGATACCTTAGCCACAATGTTGATTGTTGTCTATAACTACCTCTTATGTACCTTGTTTATACCCTAGATTCTACCGCTGGGTTAGGCAAACGGGGCTTCAGGGATTCAGGGATCTGCGAAGAGCTATCTGTTCCACCAATTCCATACTAGAAGGCGGCAAAAAGCAGAGCCAAGGAACACAGCTCAATCGGTCTCTCTTGAGCCCGACAGTAAGTTTCGCATGTTAATAAGTATGATAACAGCACGAGAGAAGATCTCTTTCCTAATAACTTGATGTGTTGGAGCAGAGACCTTGCACTGCCTTGCGCTTCTGGAAATCAATAGTTCTGGGCCTCTGGGGCTAGGAGCCTTATTTTTCAATGTTGAAGTGCGTATCTATGCAATCTGATCCTACGAGGTAGCCTAATATGACAAAAGACCGCATTCTCGGCATTTTTTCTGCACACCCCGGAGCCTAAAGTGTTTGGAATCTGAAAGCTGGCATTGTTATCCGCTTCAGATCACGTCACATCTCAACAGAGCCTCTATAAAAACATACTTCCTTCCCTCACTCAGTTTCAATTCGACGCCCTGATCGTGTGATTTAGATACTGGGCTTCTCTTTGCCACGATGTATAAGATCATTATTCTTCTACCATAGTCTCGCTTGTAGTCACTCACAGCGACTTGAATAAGGTGTCCCTATATTCTGGTTCAGAAGCAATGATTTTATTCAAGCAAGCTGTGTTGTCGTTCAGGGGGCACATTATTCAGTTGCTGCTGCCGAACCTCCCAAAGAAGCATCACAAAAGACTCTAGTCATTGTCCGGACACCGCTGCTCAAAAACAATATTGTAGAAATATTACGCCAGAGATCGCTCCAACTACCTGAATGTCCTTATTTTGTCAAGTGTGAGAAATTTATCAGGCCTGGGGTCTTATTCCAGACCGCGAAGCTTCTTTCACGGCTTCCATGATACCAGATGATGACGCCATCCATTCAGAGTAAGTGCCAAACATTTTCAAAAATAAGTTCCCACTAATTACTTCAGTATCTTTGCCACGTCGTCTTATGAAAAGGGCGAGGGTGGTCGAATCGCCGTACCCTCAAAGCTCTACATCCAGAAACCGCGAACTTCCATGAGCAAGTATGTGAGTATTTTTGAAAAATGACATGCATCTTAGAGGCGTCGTGAGAACCCTTGTAAAAAACGCTTATGCCGAATTGTATGTGAAACAGGACATCTCTGCTGAGTACTTTGACAGACTGATCTAACAAGGTGCTGGATTGTAGGAAAGACAGAGTACTCTACATTTGCGAAGCCTGAAACACCCCTTTGCCATTGCATTGACTATTCCCTACCATGGAAACCACGAGACGATGGATACCAAGGTCTGTCGGGTAGCTCCAGTGGCGCAAACGCCTCTGCGATCGGCTACGACTGGCTTGATATCACTGTTTGCACATCAGCAAGAATACTCCAAGTCCTCGCATATTAACACGGACTATTCTTATCAAGAGCCAGCGGTAGCATGCGGCACCTAACAGCATCTCACGGACTCTAGGCTTCAATGCTCACCTGGGGTGGTGTCTCTTTGAAAGGTGTCGTGCCTGCTTGCGAGTAAGGAGCACCGCACTGTCCAACCGGTTCTTTTGTTAACGATGAAAGAATCCATGGCAGTATAGGCGTGCTAGTCCGTTCTCCAGGGAAGGTCAAGCGGTTACTCGTAACATGGGACACCGAAACTGGGAGAGTTCCGGCCAGCCATGTCAGGAGCAGCCAAAGCAAAAGTTCTCGACCTGACTGACCAGTACCCGCTGGAAATTGCGGCTCAGCAGCGAATGAACGAGGCGTTCCTCCCGGTCCTTGAGCCTTGTTTTCCAAATTCTTTTTTCGAGTATTCAGCATAGCAAAATTTCGATCGCTGAGGAGTGGACGCGTACGGCTCCACTAAATTAGGCCTTGATGATCGATGTCAGTTAACCTCATGATACGTAATATGATCATTAGATATTGAGTAAGACCCATACTTCGTGTCACACAAAGTCGTGAATTTCGGCAGAATATGCTTTTAAAGATGGTCTTCTGAACTGCGGTGGGTTCTCGTTAGATTAGCTTCAAAGCCTGCCATATAAAAACACCAATGCTACGGTCCTCACGTCGAATGGAGCAGCAAATTGATTGATCTCATGCATTCAGGTTGGCCCTTCAAAGTCATACATGTAGCCTTGAAGTTTCCATAGCCTAAGTTGGAGATCAGTTGTTCTCCTTCCCGCAAGCATGAATATCGAACCATCTTTCAACGCTGCTGCTTCTGTCCGTACTTTCTGTGCCAGCTCAGTCCCAAGCAGCATGGGCAAATTGTGTACTGCCACGGCTGTGTCTGTTTTGCCATCTGCCTGGACGTCGAACGTCGCGAACGGTCCTGGTTTCACTTGTTCCTCTCCTACTCCCTCGAACCATAGCACGGCGCCTTTGTGCTTGAACTTGATATCATCCCAGCCGTAGCACTTGACAATATAGTACCGACCATCCGTCTCACACAACCCTGACAAGTACATGAGATCTTGGACAATCTGCTGGCGCATCTGTTCCAGAACATACACGTCCATGTCTTCACGCCATACCGCTCGGCCGGCCAGAGTCCTGAAACGGGAGCTGGAAGGACCAAAAAGGCGCCTATGGAACTGAGAGTTGCCGACATCCTTGAGTGCTGCTCGTGCTCCCTTTCCCTTCTTCGGTTCCTCCTGAAAGGTTCTAAGGAGTTCTTGACGAGCCAAAACGTAGGCAGTTGGGCCAAAAACATGGGCGGCAGGGGCTTTCTTCTCGAAGTTGGCTTGTTTCCCAACCGTCGCTTCTGCCGCTGATTCGTTCCCGATGTTCTCGATGGTGACTTGATCCTCACTGCCGCTGGCCGTTGGTGAAATCGGCGACTCACGCAAGGCAAGGCTCCTGGGGACCCACCAGGGTGTATCGGTTTCGGGATGTGAGACGATGTTGAAGTCTTGGAAGAAGAAGTGAGGCATGCGCAATCTCGTTACGGAGTCGTAACGGACAGGAGTAGCAAGAGCTTGAGCTATGGGAGAGTCAGACGTGTGGCACAGATAGGAACAAGCAGCAGGTAAACAGCCACTTACCGAAAGGATTCTTCCGAAATTCCCTTTCAAAGACGTTTTCAGGTTTACCAGGCTTGGACTTTTTCTGCTTGAATCTGTCCCGCGCCTCCCAGAAGGCCGGATCCATTACTGGTGAAAGCGGTAGGGTGCCGACATCGGTATGGACAGTCTTGTCATGCTGATCTATCCGCAAACCTTGGAGCCTGTCTGGATTCTCGGTGCTGGGCGCATCGCGATGGTGGCATGTTCCACTCGCCTTAGAGACGTATGATCGCGATTGGTTTGCGACATTACACAATTGGCGCTCACATATAGCACTGCTACCTCGCAGCGCTGGACATGGTCTCATAACCGCATGTGGACGGACGAGTAGAGGTTGATGTCGTGAAGTGAACGTGCCGAGAACTGCTCGAGTTAAAACTGCCTTAAGTTGACTTGGAACTTGCAATTGAACCTCCAGCAATGCTTTCGAGTCGACGAAATGACGCAGCCCGCTGGGGCCTCCATTACAGTAACCTAGACTATGCAACCTGCATAGCTGCCGAGACGCGGACAGCACGTAATGTGCGCAGAGTTTAGTACTATAAGTTAAGTAGGCTAAGCATTGTAGACAGAGCTAGAGCTAGAGCTACAGTGGGTTAGGGGTCATAATTTAGTGGGTGACGCGTTAAAACCCCCCACGCGACTGGCGACCTGACGACTGACTTCAGAGCCTCAACAATTCCCATACTCCTCGCCGCCAAACCTCATCCACCACACCGCCGACAGGATGAATTGTCAACGGACATTATGGCGACTGTCGCGTCAGCTGCCGCTCAGGAGTGCTCGCACCTTTTCGCAATTCCCGGGTGTCCCAAATTATCCACCTCATGCCGCCATCCCCTTGCCCTACATCACAGAAGTCTCAGTAAGCTCATGACAGGCCATTGAAGTCGCCACGTGCTAATTGAGTAGTCGGGAGGCTGGAAAACATGTGGGTGATACCTGGGTACCTAATGTGACCCGACCGAATACTGACCGGGGCCAATAAAGATGACATCTTCTCAAAACTTCTTCAAGTATGTCCTTTTGCCCCCGCCGCCTCCTCGGCCATCCACTGACCTCGACAAGGAGAGAATAATATGCCTCAACGGCCCTGTAGACGACACAGTATCCGCCTCGATCGTGGCACAGCTACTATGGCTCGAATCCGACAACCCCGACAAGCCAATCACCATGTACATTCACTCACCAGGTGGCTCCGTAGTCGCTGGTCTGTCCATCTATGACACCATGTCCTACATCCGATCCCCCGTCTCCACAGTATGCCTGGGTCAGGCCGCTTCCATGGGCTCCCTGCTACTGGCCGGCGGCGAAAAGGGAAAGCGATACGCTCTGCCACACAGCAGCATCATGGTCCATCAGCCACTGGGAGGCACACAGGGTCCCGCCAGCGATATCCTCATCTACGCCAACCAGATACAAAGGACGAGAGAACAGTTGAATGAGATCTTCAGGAAGCATCTCAATCAGGCACACGGTCATGAGAAGTATGGGCCCAAGGATATGGAGGACATGATGGACAGGGACAGATATCTCAGTGCAGAGGAAGCCAAGGAGATTGGCATTGTGGATGAGATCTTGACGCGGAGAGCACCAGAGAAGAAGACTGGAGAGGAAAAGACCGAAGAAAGCAAGTAGCGATCAATTATAACATATATACATCACCGTTATATGGTCATGGACACTTCCTACTTCACGTCGCCTTGTTGACAATCCTCTGTCAAGCCCTCATAGTTCTCTGTTATAACCAAGAGCCTGACCGGAAGTTTTACGAAGAAGTACCCTCCTTGACCGAAACCTTGTTCAACACTGCCCTGGGGCTTGTCATAATTCTGTATCCCACAAATGACCATCAATTGCAGGAGCGGACTTCGACCCTCCCTTGTCAGCAACGAGATTATCAAGAGATATTTTTGATTCAAGATGCTGGGTCATAAGTGGACGTGTTTGATGTTGGCAAATTGTATCAACTGAATGGAGGCTGCACTCTCCGTGGGTATCTCCATCCTGGGTACCCTCTTCGCTTTCGAAAGTGCGGCAGTATATCCGGTCGGAGTTATCATGTTCACAGTCTCATGACTTCATAAGAAGTACGGACTTCCCTGCGTAGTGCTGGCGATGGGTCAAACAAAGCTGGACAGGATTCGGACAGCGCTAGTCTGTTAATTTGACCTCAGAGGAAAGCGTTTGAGGAGCTCATTCTTATCGCTTAATATCAGGCCGGCAGTCTCATGCAAACCAAGCGCCAAGTGCAAGTGTGCAATCCACGCGAATGAAGATCGGGCAGATGGGGCTGATAAGATTCACGATACGGTTACTCATATGGATTTATTACGAAGGATGTTTCGATGTTCGGAGAATGCAGTCGTCGATTTCTCTCCAATGCCGTTTAAGGGGTATCAGAGGGAGGGATAAGCTCTGAACTTGAGTTGATACTCTTCCGTAGCCATTGGCATAGCTAAGTCGGACTGCTACATTATCCTCTATACCTAGGTGACAACTATATCCTGCTGAGACGTTCAGTAGCTTGGGATCAAGGCCTATTCGTCTTCTCAGGACAATGATGTGGTACATGTTCCCAGGCACGAGCTGCACAGCTGGAGCCTGGACACCTACCCCAGCGTTTTACTAGTAGACAATAAATCAGATGCATGATTGGATGTACAAACGTCAGACCCTAGTTCAGCTTCTTGTCCTTGGACGGAGTACCTAGACTCGTCTTGGACCCCAACTCTATAGCTAACGTCTCAAGTGGGGGCGGAAAACCTTGTGGGGGCCGGAAGCATCGCGAAGTATAAGTAAGCGCCCGAAACCCCTTATTCTCCGAAAAATGTTCGTACAAACATCATTTATGTCTCCTAGAGGTTTATACTTATTAACCATCTTTAACTTCGGAAACTGTTCCAACGCTTTTTGCAATGTAGGGACATCTGTTGCTTCTATCACTTCTACCCACTCAAGCATGCCATACGCCAGCTGACTATCAGCCGCCATATGGCATCAACTTGGCCATGTCGACGACTTTGGTCCTTGATTCCTAGCTGATGTGCCTGAGGCATCTAAAGAATATTGGACACGAAAGCATGTTGAGAATTCTGTGGCCTTTGCGGATCTCAAAGCCATGTGGAGAGCTGCGATCCATCGTGATGGTTCGCCATGACTGAGTGAGCCTTGCTGCGCCGCATAGCCTACACACCACCAGGAAATCGAGGCGACCAGACCACCAAAACCCAAACCTATCAGATACACGAGCCAAGACATTTCTTGCTTACCAATGATCCGTCAGCAATTTGGCATGCAGCACTACAGAGGCACGTACAGCAACTGCATTCGGTCCCATGTTGATTTGTCAGGCAATGGCTGGGTGGATACTTCGCAGCTGAAAGGGGCAGAGACAAGATCTCGAAGGATCCTGAAGATCCAACAGAACAGCGCCGGTTATGTCGAACCTGCGCGCCGCGCGAGGTGCAGTCGTTCGGGCGTCGTGCAAACGCAGCATGACGCGGAAACGGGGACAGGCCAGCTTGGCTAACCACACTTCCGTGTGCCGGAAGTTCGGATCTTACTAGCATCCTCGCTCGCAGATAGGGAGGGGGCCATTTGCTCATTCTGTCAGTTCTATGCTCTGAGGAGTGAGTGAGGCAGTAATTTGGCAAAATCTCAGGCGAGGTATACGGGGCTTCAGTGCGACTTGAGATTCTTTCGAAGTTGACACTAGGAACAGCTAAACAAGTCACCATGGAGTATTCCGGGTAATTTATACTGCAATTCATCTCGAGATTACTTGGACTGATGTAACCGTCAGCAACAGAAACAGATCAGAGCAATATCGCCTTCTGACACAGCAAAACCTCTCGAGACTTTCTCATATCCCGAACATCAAAACTTTCGAAACCGCAAGCGATCGGCTTGAATACCTACTCGTAGGAGTTAGCGCGAGCACGACGACCGATAGAGCCGCCTTCCTGTCAGATTGGGAGGCGCATTGGAAGTTCCTCGCCGTACAAGAAGCGACCAAGATAGCCATGAGAAGTAGTTGACGACAAAGCACTAGGAATCACCACAATGTCGGGATCAAAATTACGCATTGAATGAAGTGGCGTCTCTGGAAATAAAGGGCAACAATTGAGAGTCTGGGAGGACGGACCTTGTGTGAGAGGGGGTGGAATGACTTGGAAAACTTTCGGACAGTGCTCCAATTATTCATCAGTGGCCGCATTATGTTACATAAGTCGTCTCGCTATGCTTCACCACCCTCATGCTTGCTACACCACGTCTAAGCCGGGAATGGGGTCATGGCATAAGATATTTCCAGGAAGTGAACCGAAGTCCAAAAATTTTACCCGCGGATGGCGGTTGATATAATGAATTTCATACATCTTTTACCTTTCACGCTACTGGGCCTGTTCTATCAGACACGCTCGGTGTTGCCTTGGCATACAGCCATTGCGAGAACTTGACACTTGGTACATCAATAAGCCTTGTTACAATCTCGGCAGCCCATATCGTTACTGGCAATAGCACAATATGTGGCAGCATGAACGCAACTTCCAGACCCAGTAATCCAGTTTTGGGTAACGGTATCCTATCGACCCATTTACTCAGGTTTTCCACCTGAAGGCCTCCATGCCATCCAACGGCAGCATAGACTCGATCACCAAGTGTCCAAATAATTGGACCATGTACCAAGTAGAGACCGTAGGAGATACGGCCAAGGTACTGACAGAACCGCGTTTCCAAAAAGCTCTTCAACCACTTGATACGTGGAGCTGATGCGACAAGCATTGACGCAGCCCATAGTAAGTAGAACCACTTGTAATCGAAAACAGCCTGTGGTTTCAATAGTGACAGATAATACCAACCTCGCTGCTTCTTCAAGTTGGAGATGTCGGTCGAGTCGCATTCGGGAACCCCACCAAGATACATGCTGATTGCAAGAAGGTGATAGAAAATGAAGAGTTTGAACGGTGCCAATCCCCCCAGGAACTGTGGTAACTGCTGCTTCTCCGCAAGTAAATCCAGATCGCAAAGCAGCATGCCCGACATGAACATGGCTCCGAACCAACCATCAGCAATGTATATAAAGTAGAAAATCAATGCAGCCTCACACCAAAGACGTGCATTCTTCGTGGTTCTCGACAGTGACATGAGCGCTGTGTAAATGATGATTGAGCCTTTCATCTCGACAGGGATAGACCACAGGTGCATGTCGTATGACAACCATTGACGATCGTCACCAAATACGAAGTTGAACCTTTTCATTTCGGCATACCATACCCAGACTTCCTGCAACCAGGTGTCCTGTCGTGTGGTATCCTCAACCCACGTGCCGAGTAGGTGCCATGAACTGACATAGATGAAAGTGACAATCATCAGAGGAACCCAGAGACGAAACCATCTTCGGAAGAGCGCCGACGCGATGCTAGCACCGAGGTCGAGGTGGTTGCTTTCTTGAATGAGACGCATCGGCTTGCTCGACAGAGCGTATCCAGAGATGACGAAGAACGTAGCAACGGCGTAGTGGCCACCATTGAAGAATACGCGAATGAATGGGAAGGCTACGAGGTGATGATTGCCTTCGTACCCAAAGCTATTCTCCAGCAGATGGTTCTGATTGGTCGTTCTATGAGCCCATAGTTCGTGGTGGTGCCAGTAAACAATGAATGCTGCGAAACCTCTCAGACCGTCTAGATAAGCTGTGCGCCCGAGTTTTCCGGGTGAGGGTGTCGACTTTGGCCAAAAGGGCACCATCAAACGCTTGGTAATGGCCACAAAGGTCTGGAAAGTTCGTCTCGTGCTGAACTGAAGACTCGAGACTGGTTTCCATGCAGAATTCCCTGATTCCACTTCAGCAGCGTAGAGAAGTCCGAAGTCCTTCTTTGACATGATGGCTGCAGAGAGCAATTCTCAGTAATATCCGCCCACAAATAGCCTTGTAGGCCTGTATACTAGAGGGCTTTTTGGGAAGCGCGTCGAAGTCATTCACTCTGTCAACGAGCTCCTCACCAGCCTATCAAAGAAGGTTTTGGTAAATCCTGCGTTTGGGTAACAAGCCTGACAAGTTATGAGCTTCTGATCATTAGCTTCGTACGAATGCAAATACAGTGGACTGGGATAATTCCCGAATAGAGTGTTTGATGTCATAGCAACAGGGGAGGTGGTTGCAGAAGCCTTCTTTCACAAGCTTTCATGACGAATGCACCGTCCTCGAGACCGAGGCGAGATGAGATTTGCGCGGGGAGCATGTGGAGTTTTAGATCGAGGATCTGGTATTGGGCGCTTCATTTTACTAGTTTGGAGTGATGGTCATCCAGATCTTGTTCAATCTTGGAAGACACCATCGCGAAAATCGCAATGCCGGGTTGTGAATGATGCTTGAGGTTACATTGCATACCATCGTACCATTCCTCATTGACGGAACTTAACTCGGGCAGAAGCTTAAATTCGATAAGTAGCAAGAACTCTGCTAAGCAGACTGTAATGCTCGGTAGCATGTGAATCGACTGGGTAGGGTTGGGTGCAGCCGCTACTTCTGCTTCGTCGTTCCCGACCGCTCTCATGCGGGGACCCCAGAATGATCGGCATTGATACCCCTGAACGTACCTGAATACTAGCTGCCGATTGGCTCCTCCAACTATTCGGCCGAACCTTGTGCAGCAGCAACTATGGGGTATACGTGATTTGCTGCGCAGTAATGCAGCCATGGAAGAACGCTTGCCGTGCAGATGTAATTTGCAACGGCGAGAATCTCCACGGCGCGAGAATCGGATGCGATTCTCTTATGGCCGAGTCAGCAGGTGATTGTCTGTGGAGAATACTTCCGTCAGTGTTTGTCCCTTGTTTGTCCCAAAAAATTGGCGTTAATACTGAACATTCAGTTCCATTCTGCTCAATACATCCAATACAGAGGTCTTTTTTTTGGGCAGAGGCCAGTACGTATCCAGCGGCCTAGAAGACTTAGGCGTACGGTAGAATCCCAGAACTGATATACCATATCATGCGCCATTCTTCATTCTACTGCGAGGACTTTCAACGAGCCACTGCCAGTCAGTTGCTGTAATCAACACAATGTTCATCAAAATGAGTTCTCCTCTTACGCCATTATCGCCACGCTTGGCTGCGACCACGGCTAAATGGAGAAATCGCGTGCCTACCCAAGTACGCAGATTAATACCGATCTACACCATCTGTATCTGCGTTCTTATTCTACTCTTGAACACCGACATCCTACCAGCACGCGAAGAACCAGACGTTTTCAAAAGAAACGCAGCGAAGCGCCGACTTGAGAAAGGTCATGATGGTACAGGATTTCCTAAGAAGATCTGGCAAACCTGGATGACTAGTCCTTTCTCCATGCAGCAACGGGATTCAGACACGGCAAAAACATGGGTAATAAGAAACCCGAACCACAGATACGAGGTATTGACGGACGACAATGCCTTGGGATACGTGGAGGAGAAGTACGGACCTTATGGATTAGACAGGCCGGATATCGTGGAGATGTTCCGCGAAGTAAATATCACCATCATCAAAGCCGACCTGCTGCGATATCTTGTCATGTATGCCGAAGGTGGAGTGTATGCAGACATCGACGTCGAAGGCCTGAAGCCAATTCATAGATTCATACCGGAGAGATATGACGAATCACAAATGGACTTGGTGATTAGTGTCGAGATTGATCAACCAGATTTCAAAGACCATCCCATTCTCGGCAAGAAGTCTCAGTCCTTCTGCCAATGGACATTCATGGCCAAACCAAGACAAGCAGTCATGATGCGACTGGTGGAAAATATCATGATCTGGCTTGATGGTGTCTCAAACGAGCAAAAGGTTCCTGTTAGTCAAATTGTTTTAAGTTTTGACGAGGTGATCGGTGGGACGGGGCCGTCCGCGTTCACGGCTGCTGTCCTACAAGAGATGAATGCGCAAGGCAGCAACAGGAAAACAACATGGAATGATTTTCATAATCTTGACGAATCCAAGATTGTGAGCCGTGTTCTGGTTTTGAACGTAGAGACCTTTGCAGCGGGCCAAGGACATTCAGACTCCGGAAATCACAACAGTCGCGGTGCTCTGGTGAAACATCATTATCATGCATCTAATTGGCCAAGTAAACACACGAGATACTCTCATCCCGTATATGGCGAGGTTGAGAGATGCAATTGGAACCATGACTGTGTACGAAGCTGGGATGAGAACGTTGCAGAATTTTCCAAGATGTCGCCAGAGCAACAACAGCAAAGACTGGCCGAGCCAAAACCCGAACCGATGGGACCTGGCTTTAATGGCTTTGTTGTACAGGCTCCTCCAACTCCTCCTCAGCAACCCATCGCACAGCCAGACGTTAATGTTCCTCTGCAAGCACCACCAGTAGCTTGAAGAAAAAAAAAAGAAAAGGCAGCACAACCAATAGCCGCTTCAAACATCCGTATCCAAGTAATCAAGAACAAATAGATTTGACACTCCACCGACCTCTTCGACAGCGCACTGACAAGCAGTGGCTAAATCTTGGGACGCCATGTAAGACGACCTGCGTGCTGTTGTTGGTGCCAAGCGCAGCGTCTGACCGATGTATTCATGTATACTCTTAGGGTTGATGACTGCAGTATAAGTGGAGTGATTAGTGACAAACGGAGTGTACATTAACACACTGCCCCACTCGATGATACGGACTTCTATTACGCTTTGATATATAGTTAGTGGAAATACGGACTGGTTTGTTTTATGGTTTTAAGTAGGAGAATAATGGACGAGGAACTAACAAACTCTTCAGTTGAAATTAGATCCCGAAAATTGGGAAATGAATCGACAGGTACGATGCCCAAATACGTTGTACTCCTTGTGTTTATTATCCTTCGAGTTTTTGTCACTGATTCCCCCATCAGGAGGCATATTAGTATAGGCAGTAGACGCTCAAGCTTAGGAAGTATTATAAATGTTTAGGTCTTTGTGCACAGGTGTCGCCAGCATTGGGATCCTTCGTGGGATTCCGAGGACAATCTGGCGCATGGAAGCCGCAAGGTACTATGCAAGTCGGACACGGAGGTACCGCTTATGACGAGCAGGATTAATCACGAACGGCTGTCGCTGATATTTGTAGTACTTACCGAACAGTGTGTCATATTCTCGACCTATTTCTGAACCCAGCACTCCAAGATTGCCGGATTTGCCAAGCTGGGTCGATTTTCTGTACGATAAATATCGGCGGACACCGTGTCGTTGGCAAATGAAGTTTGTAATTCATGTCAGAGTATTGGATCATGCAGGTTAATGTTTAGAAGATTGAAATATAGCTACAGCTTCGAGGAACAGGCAGACGTTTAATATGCATCTCGGTAATTTGTGTGATTCATTACAGAGTAGCATCGAATGTCAAGGTTTCTTAGCTGTCGCTGGCCGATAGATGACATTAATTGATGGACTCAACAAGACTTGCAGAGTGTCACGAAAAGTCGTGAATATGTCATTTGTCAGCGAGTCTGTTAATCTATGAACAGACTTTCGGAGAATTGATACAGTAGCCGGCGGGTCGTGCAGCACGGCAGCTTATTCGGCGCTGAAGCGCGATCACTGTTGATAAATTGAGCACCTTACATGCGGGTCCTCGGCCGCAACTTAGATTAGGTTAGTGCATTCGCCGCATTGATACGTGCAAACCACCGCTGGGAGAGCAATGGAATTTCCGAGTAAAGTATGACGGATCAGATACGTTCTATATTTCTCAGTCATCCTTCATCCGCTGATGACCCATTTCTGAAGTGTGGAAGAAATTCCGCTCCTCAACAACACGCCACTTGGCCATCTTGTTCTCGAGCTCACTCAGCGTTAGCTTATTCTCCGGCATGATGGAAGCGAACGCTACAAGGTCCAGAAAACCCGCTTACAGGGGAATTTTAGGTTGAAACACTTACTGGACCCCACAAATTAACGCCAGATATATTGCGACGTAACCTACAATGCCGTATTCGGACAACTCGACCCTGAATCCACCAATCAAGGACATTCAAATGTTCCCAACTCGGAGAATCAATATTTCGGCGACAGCGCCAACGGACTTTTACTCCTTATCCCATCCCTTTCTTCTTGTCAGAACTGCCGGCCGGATAAGATGATGTCCCATTGGAGCGCTTTGGAGTGCTTTGGAGCTTACTGCTTAGCGCACACCTGATATTGATGGAAACCAACAAGGGGAATTGAGGCTCTGTTAAGTAGTTGGAAGGACTTAATTTAATTACAGCCAATAGGTTCCAAATCCCGAGTTCAGCAGCATTTTCATACTTAAGCTTAAGTCAACGCACATTCGAGATGATGATCGCTATTACAACTCATCACGTTAGCCCGGAATTTCACTCGTTTTGATCACCCACACTCATTTCCCAGGTGTCAGCATCATGTTTATTTCCACTGTCCTTATCGCCTCTTCGGCTTTTCTAAGCACGGTCGCTGCCTACGCCAATCCTGGTGCTTGTTCTGGTGCGTGCTGGACCCACGATCCTTCCGTCATTCGCCGTAGCGATGGCACATACTTTCGTTTCAGTACCGGCAGCAAGATCGGCGTCTACACTGCTTCGTCTCTGTCCGGTCCGTGGACCTCGAAAGGATCCGCCGTCTCCTCGGGCTCTTCCATCAACTTGACCGGCAAAGACGATCTCTGGGCCCCCGATGTAGTGCTGGTCAATGGTGTATACCATCTCTATTACTCCGTCTCGTCCTTCGGTTCTCAGAACAGTGCGATCGGATATGCCACCTCTACCACCATGGATGTCGGAAGCTGGACTGATCACGGAGCGACCGGTGTTACATCCTCTGCGGGCAAGAACTACAACGCCATCGATTCGCAAGTGTTGCTCGCTGCGGACGGCAACTACTACCTGAGCTTTGGATCCTTCTGGGGTGACATCTTCCAGGTCAAGATGAACTCTGGTGCCACCAAGAGCGGTGGATCTGCCGCCTATCAGGTCTCGTACACGTCAAGCGGCACTTCCGCTCGTGAGGGTGCTTTCATGTACTACCGCAGTGGTTATTACTACCTCTTCTGGAGTGAAGGACAGTGCTGCGGACTTGATTCTTCTAAGCCCGCATCTGGTAAAGAGTACAAGATCATGGTCTGTCGTTCAACCAGCCCCACTGGAGGCTTCGTTGGTAAGTTTTACGTCGCACACCTGGAAACATGTCATACTAACTCCTTTGATAGACAAAACTGGCAAATCCTGCACTGCCAATGGCGGTTCTACCGTACTCGAGAGTCATGGTACTGTCTATGCTCCTGGTGGACAGGGCGTTTTTGCTGATCCTAAACTTGGCGCTGTCCTCTACTATCACTACGTTGACACCAGTGTTGGATATGCTGATGGTGATAAGAAGTTTGGCTGGAACCAAATCTCTTGGTCTACAGGTTGGCCAGTTGTGTAATCATGCTCGTTCCAGCCCAGTACAACCCACATCTACATTCTTTGTACATACTTGATTAGAATCATATACATACAGGAGCAGACTATAACAGCATGTGCATATGCATGCAGCTCATCACTTCAATAGCTTCTACTGATGCAATGTGAATACAATATCTTGATGACGGTATATTCACTAATAAAGCTAACCGGTGAGGTTGCAGTTGGTGGTTCAATTTGCGTAATTGTCTTCCTGCTCAGCAGATTAGAGAACGAGCCCCTTTGGTTGCCGCGTACCTTCGTCCTGCCGCCTCGCCCTGCAAGCTACCACCCCCAATTCATAAAAAGCGCTGCCACTATCTAGATAGATAATTACTGCTTCTAAGTGCTTCCCCAACTTTCATTGGCACCTATCTCTCCAAATTTCCAAATTCTTTATGAACAGTATTGACTACTTGCCCTGTTCATTCTTCGTACTTGAGGTTGGCATGCCTTTTTGGTACACCGAATTGGTGCTACCATTTGGACTCGAAGAATATAGAATGAGACATGAGAGGTCCGAGGCTAGTGGCATCCCAGACCGTGTCTTCCATTTCGAGCAGTTGGTTCCGGCTGAACCGAGATATTCTTGTACCTGACAATGCCGTATTGCTGGGCATCTCGGTAATACCGGTGGGAATCGCAAAAGCTATGCGTAACTAGAAAGTGTAACAAAATGGCATTTCATCAGCTGTCATTTTACTCTACCTCGTCAATAACCGGTTCTCTTCAATGTTGATGAGGTGCAATATTGCTGTTTGACGCTTTTGCAGGCTCCATGACCACTTGACAAGCAGCGGGGTCTTTGTGAGGATACCATAAACATTCTGTCTTCATGTCGTCAAGAGGGGATAATCTCGCTGGCGTAGATTGCACTGAAGCCCTGGCTTTATGATCATGTCTCGTATCTTTTGTAGGCGAAGGATTCTCAGGCACTTTCAGCTTAGCAATGGTCATATAGAAGTTGAGAAACATGCAACAGCCACCAGACCCTGCAGGTATCTTCCGAGGCCCAAGTTTCTAGTTCGACAATTCGTCAGGCACGTTTGTCTTAAAGGTCATGTTACGGTCCATCCCCGGTCCTGCGACACGATATGTTGGGCTGAACCTAATCTAAACTGCTAGAGCATACGACAGACTGTTAAGGTAAAAGTAGTAGATGGGCTTCGAGCGAGGAATTGTTAGTTGTTTATCATGACTCGCTTCTCTAAGGGCATGACGTCGAATTACAGTAGTTGCGGACTTACCGGCCAGGCGGCATTGGGCTAAGCAAGTCTAGCGACGCTAATGTAAGGGATCTTTGCGGTAAATGATCAGCTGACAAGCTGACAAGCTAAGAGTCAACCTCTGTGATCACTGATCGATCAATATTACCAGCAGCGGCTTCTTCATCATGCATGGAACTTTCTTCTAGCACTTTATTGTTGGTCTATCATCATAACGGCTCCCAGAGAGTCAACCACGAATGACCGGAAAAAGACCGTGTGTTGCCCGAGTATGTATGACCAAATCAATCTGGAATTCCAAGCCATGTCGCAGGCTATGAATGGCCGCCCATTAGCGCCATATTCTGCTGGCGACGGGAAGAGCCGAAGAAGTAGCGATGCTTCAAACTCTAGCCCTTTATCAAAGGCTCGCATACACTCCGCATGCGAATGGGAGTCCATGCATTCGATCGTCAAGCAATTGTACGTTACGGAGCATCGAAAGCTCTCGGAAGTCATGTTTATCATGGACCGGCATTACGGTTTCAAAGCCACGTGAGTTATAGGCATCACAGGCGTGTCAGTCACTGCCACTCATATGTACCATCAGGGAGCAAATGTATAAGAAGCGCTTCACAGCGTGGGGTCTAGCCAAAAATAGAAAACGAAGCAACTCCAAGACGCCATCTCTGGGAGATAAACCCCACGCTGGGAGTTCTATAACAGAAGCACGCAGTCCAGGTGCGAAATTCGTCTTGCGGAAAAACGATGTATGTAGAAACCGCCAGCATCATTGTAAAACACGACATGTACTCAGAGTAGAACAGATGGGTTATAGCCCGGCTGAGAATGCAGTCCGTAGTATTGCAGTTTGGGTCGGTGGGAGTTTTGACAGCATCCAATGGCTACAGAGCAATCAGCGGCTGGGTGTTTCTAGTGCAAATGCTCCTACCAGCTACCCAAGTACGCGGATGTACCAGGATATGGCCTTGTCATATGCCTTGCTGGATCGACGTCAGGGGTATTTGGCAGGTCTTGCGGTCAGAAAAGCCTTCTGGCGAATCGAGAAAGTCATCACAGTTGGCGATCCGGGGATAATGAGGAACTTGGTCGACATCATCACCCAAATGCTCAAGCTAAAGCAATCTCAACTGCTTCGGATGCTCCTTTCCCAACTGGCAAACCTCGCAACTCATCGATTACCAAAACTACATCCATTGTCTCAGTTTTTCCATAGTCTTTCGAAAGCAAATACGGACTTCCCAGCTGTTCTCAAAACTTCTTACCATTGTTTTGTCGAGAAGTTCCATGGGGGAATGAGCGACGAGTTTTATTGGATGTATGACAACTGGGCTTGGGATACAAGCAACAGGCCTATGGATACCGACCCTGAAGCGGATTACAAGCGGACTACCGAAGCTTTGACGATCCTGGCATTGGCGGAATCTACTGGAGCCGCCGACGGATCGAATTCACACCTACAAATGCTCAAGTCTAATTCCGCCCTGATGAAAAGCGAGGGGTTCAAGAAGACTTCGGCTGCTGGTATACTGGCGAAGATGAAAGGCCAGCCCAGCTCGAATGATGTGTTTGGGGACCCAAAGGTAAGAACATACATGCAGACAGCGATCATTCGACAGGCAATAGATCAAAAAGACTGGTCGACTGCTAGGGAGATCATGTTAGGGAATGTCCAGATGATGGAAATTCAATATGGCCGCAACAGTCGAGAAATTATTCGAGAACTTTGGTCACTGGAGAAAGTGACGAGAAAGGCAGGGAATGATGAAGAAGCAGATTCCCTGGCGGAGGATGCTTTGAATCGGGTCAACACATACCTGTCAGAAGTTCCAGGGTTTGTGTAGAATGCACCTGCGCTAAGATGATTGCACAAGATCGACCGATCTCAAGAGGTGTTGACGAGTATATTTTGTGGAGGCCACTCATGCTGAGCAAGCATTGATCTACCTAGCCAACGTAGGTCTCGTGCTTGGCTATTGTAACAATCGACGAACTAAATAGTAAGAAGGGTTGAGTAATCGTCGTGAACTACGATGTTGCGGAATAGTTGTCCTGCTAAGGATTAGTCCGCAATGACAGGTGACACCAAGAGAAGGAGTCGTAGGAGAATCCTTAAGTCACTACATAGCTTTGGATATTATGGTGCAGAGAATGGAATGAAGTAGACCGCGGAGTCTTGTAGCGGTTGTGTTGCCAAAAGGTTCGCGTTTTACCCGTGGTCGGCGATGCTTGTACAAAGGGGAGATTGGGGAAGGGGGCGTTATCTAACCTCTTATTGTCTGTCCGTATTAATGAGCCACTGTGACGACAACTGGTACGGTATCACTAGGACCTTACCCTGATAGTCTATCCGTTCCACGTTATCTCTCAATATACAACCTCATATTGCGAATTGAAAGATGGATAAAAGGTTGGCAAGCTACTGACTCTTTTCTGATATTTGCCGAAGACTCCGTAGAGATCTATCCTTATATACGACTCCTAGTAGGAGAATTAGACAAGCTAAGGGTGGGCCCCCCGTATTGAGTAAATTTTGTGACTTATATATAACGTTACTTAAGAGGTAGTCTTATATAATATAAAGAGTGTTTATAAGGAAGTTAAAGGATATTATCAAGTAAAAATATTTTAATGATTTAATATTTTTTATACATTGAACCAGGACCACTGTCTGTCCCTTGTTTGTGGGTCTCATGATCAGCTCGCCGGCTCGTTCGTGGACTGATCAATAAGTAATGAGTGGAAAGGATTAGTTCGACGACCAAAATATTATTAATTTAGCGACAACGAGCCATTCTCGTTGTCTTCCGAATGCACTGCTGCCAAAGACCAACGACTAACAGTGCAAAAGTGTGAAAAGCATGGTGAAGGGAGCTATCTATGAATCCCATCTCTCAGACCTTATAGTGATCAGGCCGAGAACAACTCCGACAAATGCCGACATGATCCACTTAGCCTTCCTGCTGTAATAGTACAGCCAACACTCACTAAGGTTAGGTTACTTCAGTAGCCCCGCGGTTCTCCGTACGTCCCGCGCCAGACGCCAGGAGGCCGAAGCAATGTGGGGATCCCAAAGTTGGCTTGTTATCCGGCTCACCAAAGTCGCGTCACAGCACAGTCGCGCTTCGTCACCTTATCTTGTCTCGGGTACTGCTCTCTGGCAAATGGCTCATGCGAGCAGGTGTATTTATGGTACATCGATGCAGGAACCATGTGGCTCGCCTCCAGAATTGGAGCTAGTCCACCGTCTCATAGCTGAAGTGTGCGGAATCTGGGAGCTGCGATCTATGATACGTTCAGTATGTGGTTAGGCTAACCACCTCCCGGTTTGCGCTTTTCTCCTCTGATCTCCATAGATGGGTCGAAATTGAACTGTTGATTATATATGCCATAAACGACGTAAACGGTCGATACCGAGATACTCCACCATGTGTATTCCACTACGATGAGTAACTACACAACCTCGACAGTCTTTTGAACCGTTACCCCTTGTGGGCAACGGTTAGAACCATTCCGAGACTCAGCTGTTTCTCTTGATACCCACTAGAAGTTTGAACCTCGCACACCGGCAAGCTCATGCATGCTGGATTCATCCAGGTGCACCCACTGCTGTTGAACGTGGCTGCTATTGCCCATATTGCTGCTAGTCGACGATTTCCAGCTGCTCTTGCTAAAGAGCTTCGATCCCAAAGACTTGAGAACGTTCGTCTTAGGGAGGAGCACCTTGTATATAGGGATACAGCAACAAATGTTACTGGCGCACATCTGGAGGACATCCCAAACGGCGTCAATGCCGTTGTTGCCTATCGAATCGTAAGCGACGCCAATCTTGACAAAGCCGATGATGCCTGTTCTGTTGAAAGGAGGAAATATCAGCATGAGCGGGTCCTGGTCTCGCTCTGGAGGGAAGGGGGGGTAAGCTGCTCACATGCAACCGAGGGCAAATAAGATGCTCAGTTTCCGCTTGTATTTGGTTGACATGTTGAGCTTCTGGACTATCCAAATGGCCATGCCAACCATGACAAAGTCGAGAAGCGAGTTGACAATTTCTGGTCCAACAAGGAGGCCGTTGCCACTGATGCAAGTACCGGGTGCCAGGCGATCCCAAAAGTGATAGATTGGCGTGCAGGCAAATACTCGAGCGAAGAACATTGAAATCCCCCAACATGTTTGGATAGCGGCAACAACAAATACCATAGTTGAGAAAGTCTTATTTATGGAGAAGATGCGATAATAGAGCAAGAGCAAGCTCAATTTGCTGAAGGTCTGGTTCAACGGGAACATGAAGTCTATGAAGTAACCCACCTGGTCATGGTCAGAGTTCTGGCTAATGGTGCATGTTGAGGGCTCTCCTACCTTCAGGATCTTCACAAGAGTTGGATACGGCAACTTTGTGATGGACAAGACTGGCACGCCGTTCATAACCGTTATTGCTGTGACATGAAGTATTAGATCTAGTGTCACCAAGCTTGCATTGCAGATCTATGAACAAGCAACATACTCCACATCTCCAAGGCGTTGTACGCCAGGTTTATCAGCGACGCGAGCACGGCCAAGTAGTCTTCTGTGCTAAGGGTCCTATGATTCTTCAAGGAAGTGACGACACGCAGCGTTGTGACCAAAACGACGATAGGCGTGCAGACGAGGATTAGCACGAAAAGTGCACCCTCGATGGGGTCGTTGAAGATTTTGAACGCCATGTTTCGTGCGTGCTCCGCTGGGCAAAGGGTTGTGCAGGAGTGCGAGTGCAAAGGCTGTCCGACAAAACACAGAAGAAAAAACGGCCGAGTTGTCTTAAAAGGTCAGCCGGGTCAGCAGCCGTTGGTTATGTCTTCTCACATCTAGGCAGTGAAACCACACTTATGAGAGGAATGGGCTTTGTACCTAATGTGCAACCTGTTGATTCACTCGGCGGAATCCTTCCAACACCTTTCGTTGCAGCGGCGGCGGTATCGAGGTCAATACTTGCCCCAATGTAACCCATCATGCCGGGATGCCGCAGGACACGAGGCGTGGTCGTGATTCGCAGAAGAGTGTTGCATGTGGTACAAGGATCCAGCGTGTATCGTGTAAGGCTGCGCCCGAACAAAAAAAAGGATCGAAGTCCTGCATAATGGTGTTACCTGGTATATAAGCTGTAGAAATGGTACTTACCTTGCATGCAGTAAAATGAGATGTAGAGTCTGTTCTCACCAAACGACAGCGCATTCAACAGGCAATAGCTAACAGCCGATAGCTAACAGCCAATAGCCTGATGCTAGGTCGCGTATCTGCCCCCAAAACCTCTGCGCCCGATGCCTGCCTCCAGTGCATATGTCACGCATGCCGTTGGTATTAAGTTAATGGACAAACGGCGCGATGCGTGGCACAGCACAGTAATGGATCCTATGGTACCAGGTACGAGAACCACTCACCACCACTCGGCTGGCATATTTCCAGCGCCTGGCCCCCAGTGGAGTGCTGCGCTCTTGGAATTCAAACCTATACTCCGTACTTGGGCTGACGAACAAAGACGTCCCCGCGGAATTTCAGCCCTCCGCCTCCCGCCGCACCCAGTGTTCCAGTCCCTTGCTGTCTCCCTCCTCCATGCCTCGCATCTACGTACTTAAACATATCGCCAAGGCCAGCAGTCGGTTTATACTGAAGAGTGCCTATTCTACCCAAGCTTTTCCCGCCCAATCCTTGCTCGCAACGCCAAAGCTGACCTACCCATCTCGGTATTTAGCTTACAATTGATGATATTGAGCGGTCTGGCCTATCGTCGCAGGATAGAGAGAAAACCCGTTCTTGCGTTCTTAAATCGACACTTGGGCCGACCGGCAGTGACCATGGACAGCACCTTGCCTCGTGAGTAACCACAACTGTTGATTTACGAGCTGCATAATTCTCTCCCTTGGGTGGCATGTTCGTGGACATGGCCTGAAGCGTTCAGTACTCATCAGTTCTTCTACTACAGTAGCTCCCTTTGCGTCCCGCCAAGCCAGGGCGCGGGGGCTTCCTCAAGCCATTGCCCATCGAGGATACAAGGCACGGTTTCCTGAAAATACCTTGGCTGCCTTCCGAGGTGCCGTGGAAGTCGGCGCTCACGCCATCGAGACCGACCTGCATCTATCTAGAGACGGCGTTGTTGTTTTGTCGCACGTTCGTAGTCTCAAAAATCTAAATTATAGTTGCTCTCCAAATACTTACTGCTTTTCTTTTTCTTTTTCCAGGACGCTACGCTTAAACGCTGCTTTGGCGACCCGTCGCGGATTGCCGATCATGATTGGGAGCACTTGAGCACATTTCGCTCATTGCGCGAGCCCAGAGAGCCTATTGCTCGACTGGTCGACCTGCTAGAATATGTCGCTAAGCCGGAACAGAAGCACATATGGCTCTTGCTCGATATCAAAGTACGTCGAAAGATACGTATCTTCTAGTAAATGGGGATATCAACACGCATACTGACATTATCTATTGCCTGGTTTTAGACGGATGACGATATAAGTGAGATGTTCACTAGCCTAGCAGCAGCACTTGCCTCCGTCCCAACAGACGTCCCTTGGAACCAGAGGATCATCTTAGGCCTATGGACTGTACGTTGTTGTGTGTGGATTCCTATATCGTGACCACCGCTACTGACTCATTGTTCAGGTAGAATGGGTGGCGGCATGTCTCAGAACTCTCGCAGAGTTTCCAATGTCATTGATCGCCTGGTCCCCTTCTCTCGTTTCAGCGTTGTTACCCGTACCTAATCTGAATTTCACAATGTTCAACTATTCATTCGCAACTCCCAGCGGCTCTCGGCTCAGGCAGCAGGCCAAGCAACGCAGTCGGTTGGTTTTCTCCTGGACCGACAACGCAGATGAGTGGATGGTGTCGAGCATCCGTAACGAGATCGACGGCGTCGTTACTGACGACCCCAAACGCCTCCTTGAACTTTGCGATCAGAAGTCTCCCAAGGCAGCACAGGAGGTAAAGAGTATAATAACAGCAAAGGAAACGATTCTATGGGTAGTAGGCAATTTCTTGGTTTTGGCAACGGAGATCGTACTATGGTTCACGAAAGGTTCGCCACGCAGTCAAGTGAAGAAGACTCTTGGGGTCTGAAGCTGGTTACACGAATGCATTTCTCATATATGGGCGGTCGTTTAAATATCCATAGCATAGACATGCAATGCGATTAACATCTCACCTAGACCTAACATTGCATATCTAGGCCGTTGCATTACACGCCATGACGAATGATGCTTTCCAAGCTATATGACACGATATCAGAAAGGCGCTTAATCACATGGTCTAATCATTAATAAGAATGTCAGTAAATTAGTAGAATCGCTTCAAAAGATACATTATAATTTTTTATATAATTTGAAGTGTAGTTTAACCTTTTGGCAACACTGTCTGCTATAAATCGAGGTTCCTTGGGGACAAACTTATCCGAAATCCATTTATGGCCCCGCGATGAAAGAAAGCTTGACAGCGACCTAGACTAGGTAGGAGGTGTGAAGATCTACTTTGGGGATTGTGGCGTTCTGGATGCCGGCGCGTCGTACCCCATTTCTCACCGAGCGTAGCCCCCACTCCGTCAGTACGTCGTAACTTGCTACGCTCATTTTGTTGCTTGAGTCGGTCCGAGATTCCGTTATGCGAGGTCCTTTCGCGTATAATTAGGCAAGCTCCCTAGGTAATTAATATCCTCTGGCCTATGCAGTGCATATTGTTGGATTAAGCCCCAAGTGCCTACCCCACGTTGTATTTTCATCAGCCCATAGCGTTGCATGCAGCACGCTGCAGGCATAGGTTTGGCCGCAGTACCGCATACATAACTGGATTTTGCCTATTCGCTTTCAATGCCGCGTGGGCTGTTCAGTCAACCGCACCCCAAGATTTCCGGGTAGCTCAGTAGATTAGACAGACACGAACCTGAGTTGCGGGAAAGCTGCCTTTTATCGAGATCACGGGAGAGCTGCGCACCTCGACCCTGCAGATCTATAGTCAAACATTCTCATCTCACACTCCTTGCCATGGGGTGGATTCAAGACTTTGTGATTAATGGGTGGGATTTTGTGCAGCAGAATGGAATAGGAGTACCGGCGCTGGGCATTATAGCCTTACTTGCTGTGCCTTATCTATTCGGGAGTTGCTATGGAGATGGTGCTCCACGTCTGCGAGACCCTATTCCATGTGTCTTCAACACGTTCCAGTACTTCATGGCGAATGATTGCTTTATGGATAGGGTCAAGTAAGTACCACTACATTCTGTCTCACCAGCTAAAGATTTTGACGTGTTTATATCATCTACATGCGCTCTATCCCCTAGCCGTTATTCCTGAGAAGAATCTCTGAATCTATAACAAATCTAACAGTATTGTCATTTTTACAGGAAAATTTTGAACAAGAAAGGACTTGCTCAGTTCAACCTAGTGAACAACCGTGTTTTTGTGGTACGCGGCCAGGAGAACATCCAAACTGTATTTGGAAGCTCCCACCGACTTGGCACCGAGCCAATCTTCGTTTCTTTTTTCTTCCCAGTGTTTTATCGTATGCCCAAAGAAGATGCAAGACGGTTTGCCCGTGACCTGTCAGGCAGTGGCCGTCTACCTGCTCCAGGCCATGAGCACCTTCCGGCAGAGAAGCGTATCTGGCAGGGATACGAGCACTTGTTCACCAAATGGATGAGTCAGAGAGGCACTTGTTTGCAACCAATTACAGAGCATCTTGTTCAATGCTATTCTAGGAGGCTAGAAGAATGTTTCGCAGTTGACAAGCTAACTACTATTAGTCTCTTTGACTTTTGTAAGCAGTTGGTTATGGGGAGCTATACCGAGGCCACGTTTGGCCCACGAATATTTGAGATTAACCCGAATCTCATTCAGGCCTTCTGGGAACTCGATAGCCAGATACCTGTGCTTGCACTTCGAATACCTGGCTGGCTATATGCCAAGCCTTATAAAAAGCAGGAAGCTTTCTTCGACATGATCCGCAAATGGAAAGCTAGCGCCTTGGCTAACTTTGATGTTAATGGCCCAGCCGTCGATTCCAACTGGGAGCCAAACTTTGGTGCCCGTATCAACCGGGAGGTACTTTTTTGGATCAAGGAAAATGGATTCAGTGACGAATTTGCAACTGGATCGCTGTCAATGTTTGTCTTTGGGTAAGGAGTGCTCGCAGTTTCTCAGAACACCACCACCACCTTGCTAACCCCAGGCACAGCATGAGCACGAACTCAATCCCGATAACCATGTGGATGATTATTTACATGCTCAAAGACAACGGTATTCTCCAGCTCATTCGTAAGGATCTGGCCACGGTGTTTACGACAGACCCGAAGACGGGAGAGAGACGAATGAACGTCGACAAGCTAGTAAAGTTACCACTGATGCAGTCAATCTTCACTGAAGTACTCCGACTGCACATGAACTTCAATCTCCTCCGTCACGTGAACGAATCGATGAATATCGACGGAAACACGGTCGCTAAAGGGTCTCTGCTGTCCGTCCCCATGGTCATGGCTCACTACGACGAGGATGACTGGAAAAATGAGGAACACCCTGTCACGGAATTCTGGGCTGAGAGACATATCACGTGGGTGGAACGAACGAATGCGCAGGGTGAGGTAGTGACAGAACGGGCTTTCACCGTGGCCAGTCGCCCAAGCTCATATTTTCCTTTCGGTAAGTGCCCCGCCAATTTGTGCATCCGCATACCTAAGCTTACCCAGATAATTGCAGGTGGTGGGCGTCACATATGCCCTGGTCGCTACCTTGCCAAGCGGTTGATTTTTGTGGCGACTGCGGTGTTCATCAGCCGTTTTGAGATCGAGTCCGTTTGGTGGACCAAGTTGGATGGGACAGCTTCAGACAGGCCGGGAGAAGGCGACAGACGTTTCAGTGGAGTAGGCTCCATGCCTCCAGACCGCGACTTGAAAATCCGGTGCAAGCGAGTTTCACAAGTAGTCTTATCGAGCTAGACGGTCTTCTTACATACGTACCGTATATATATAGCAACGAGATTTCTCCAAATGAAAACGATCCCTTTTCAGTGAGTTCAATGAATGGTTCTTGGGTCGTCAAGGGTGTTTCATTGTAGAGAAAACCTGTTGGGAGATCTATTTTTTTTTCTGCGCACGTATTCAAGTACATAGTATATACGTACATTACCACCAGGTTACTGTACATGAGACCCGTCTTGAGCATAAGTTAATGGTTTTTGATTAGGTCAAGACCTCTATGACCTTGGATAAAGCATTAGAGAATACACTTAAGTATATAGTTACACTTAAGGAGGCCACAAAGATGAATTAATTACATAGCCGGCCGTTTGAATCAAGCGCCATTTCGTCGCTTCCAACGGCGAATGCACCCCAGAAGAGGTGAGACGGATCCCATTTGTGCTTGATATCCAGCAGCCGTGCATATTTGTCTCCATAAATGTTTGCTTTCCAGTCTCCCTGATACCAAATGTCCATCTCGTTCATGTAGACGCCACCTCCAGGTGTGACGGCCTCCAAGGCAGGTACATGGGTATCCACCATCTTCTGCTTCACAGCCAAGTTAGACTCCAACGGAGCTGTGAAATTCCAATACGAGTTCATCGTGCATCCAATGGCAGCTTCGCGCCAGGTCGCTTGTACAGCGTTGTCAGGGTGGCTTGTGTTTTGCACGTCGAGAACTTCGCACCCCACCAGGAAAACGCCATCGCTGACGATCTGTCGAACGACATCAACCACTGCATCTGTGGCTTTTGCATCTGAGACAACTGATTTTGGTATAAGCCGACTTATGAGAGTGGTGTAGGGCGGTGAGAAGCCATAAGGCAGCGGGCCGAGGTAAGTGTTGAAGTGATCATAGTAATTGTCCGAGTCGGTAGTCGTCAAATTGTACTCGATCCCTAGCTCTTTCAGTTTGCTAGTGTACGGAGCTAGCAGGGTGTACACGTTGGAAGAAGGCTGATCTGGCAGCGTGATAGCGAAGGCCTCGAAGACGGAGTTGAGTATCATGAATATGAGGGTGTTGCTGGTGCCAACGAATCCAGGCGAAAGCTGGAGCCACTGCGAAACTGCTTCCCAGTAGGCCGTCTCATTGGTATTGGCCAATCTCAACGAGGCGCCTCCCACAGGACCGTCTGGGTACATCCTGGCGGTCATGCTCAAAACTACAGCGTAGTTGCCTGCTCCACCACCACTAAGTGCCCAGTAAAGGTCCGTGTTCTTCTCTGGGGTTGCTATCAGGTGCTCGCCGTCTGCAGTGATCACCTCCCACTCCAGGACCTGATCGGAAGCCATTCCATACGCCGTGCTCAGCATCGAGTGGCCACCACCTTGACTGTAGCCGCCCGCAATGGCAACGGTGGGGCACTCACCACCCACGACTCTGTAACCTATAGCGACAACAGCCGCGTACACTTCTGCAGCAGTCATGCCTGCTCCAATCTTGATGGCTGGCCCGGAATACCATGAGCTCTGATAGTCGTAGATGGGATCTGCTGTTTTCAAATGCCACATCCAAAGTGACAGCGATCCCGGTCCAGTTGATCTTCCTATATAACTTTTCCACTCATTAGCACTCGCAGAAAATGTTATCGAAAGGGACTGGTGCTAATAAGCTACCCACTCATGACCTGTTGTTTTCATGACCAGCCGTATGTTATTCTCTCGGGTAAAATGCACACCTGCTACAGCGTCATAGACGCAAGTGACATTGATGGAGTATGATGCGTAGTTGCCAAGCTCGCAAGCTTGAGATAAAGGGGTGAATGGATCACACGACTGATTTTGAAAATATGGGCTCATCATCTCTGCAGGATGCGGAAGACTGCATATACCAATTAGCCAGATCCGTGAATCGTTTGTCTTGCCCAACCTACAGGTGAGCCAGGCTCACGTACTAAGTTTCTGTTAGAGTCCATGCGGATTGGAGTGCTTCACACTTCGATTCATTGTAGTCCAAGAATGGCTTCGTATGGCACGTGCTTCCTAGTGGAAGAGTGGCAATTAGCCGACCTCCAACGGTCTGGTTGAGTTGAGACCAAGCGGTACTATTGGGCCATCCACTGTCTCCTGGGAGGTGTCTGCAAGTGGTTCCATCTCGGGGTGCAGCAAGAATGAGCGCGAATACCATGCTTAGCACAGTAGCGGAGGCAAAATGGGCGGCCATCTCCATGAGTCCCGAATGATTGAGTCTATCAAATCCTTTGAAAATCTGCAATTACAGCTGTTTCCACTCGTGCCGAGAGAATGGCACCTTATATTCTACTTAAAACAACTGTTCTGCTCGCCCCCACCAACATCACTTTGTTAACGCTTCCTCTTGAAATAGAAAAACGCGTTGGCAGTGGGACAACCATTGGATTCCCATCTTCCAGCAATGTGCCCATACTATGCGTTGCAGATACGTGATTTCATACATGATCAAGAGATCGAAAAGGCAAAGACGAAAAATACATAAGCGAGGGTGTCCAAGTGCAAAGCGCCGGCTTACCTGACCTGAATGTCCTGGTGGATGGCTGTCGGGGTGGGTTTATGCGAGGCCAGTATACATGCTGTGTTACAGAGACGATGCTTCCCTACGTGCCGTATTAGTGCGTCCAAAAGGATCGCGCCCGAATGCTACTATGCGTGTCACAATAAAACAAAATGCGTAAGTGTGCACCAACAGTAATTACGACGAAGCCTGATTGGGAGCAAACCAGCCTCGCATAAAATTATAATATAAGTACTCGTACGATGTATGTTGCAGACGGTTCAGCCCTTGCCGTTACACGACACTGCATGCCAGCATGCAAATACGCAGTTTTGTTTCGCTCGCACGAGAGGCGGCGGGCAAGGTGGGGAATTCAGATCTGCTGGCTCAAGACATTTGGGGGCTGTTGGCTGACGGTGCCATCCTGTACTACCCTCGCTACATGAGGGTACCCATGGACGTACGCAGCGCCCTAGTCACCTACCAACCTACGAAAATACCTACACTACTTGAGCTAGGAACTTTTGTGGAGGCCTAACTGATGAGATGCTGAGAAGATATTAAGGCTGCATTCACTAGTGGCGCGTATGCTTTGAGCACACCGAACTTACCTACCGAGATGTTGTTATACTTATACGACACCTCGTATTATATTAACCAACCTAGTACATGGGTAGCAGCAAACCGTGGGGAAGCTACCCTGCTCAGTATTATCCCTTTCCCCCCACGGCGTGCGGTGCCACCCCCTTCGCTCGATAAAAGAATCAAACAAGCTCCAGGTCCGTCGACCGATACAGGCTCATCATCGTGTCGCATTTTTGTCGTTAAGCTCGCTTGCTCAGGCTATGTGCGTGCCTGCATTGTCTGATTTAATCCTCGACCGGTCACGAAGCCCAGTTGCCAACCACCATGGGGGGGCCAAGCAAGCAGTTCTCGTGGACGCATTTCTTCCCACCCAAGCCCCAGTATACCGACCAGAACATACCCAAGAACCTGGAGGGCAAGGTCTATGTTGTGACGGGCGCCAACAGTGGCATGGGCGAGGCGCTGGCCCAGGTCCTTTATGCCAGGGGTGCCAAGGTCTACGCTGCGTGCCGTTCCGAGAAGAAGGGCACCGAGGCCATCGCCAAAATCAAGAAAGCTGAACCCAAGGCCCGAGGCGACTTGATATTTCTGCATCTGGATCTAGCTGATCTATCCAACGTCCAAGTTGCAGCCAAAAGTTTTTTGTTGTCGGAGAGCAAGCTTCATGTTCTTTTCAATAATGCGGGAGTCATGACGGGGCCCAAGACATCTCCAACAACAACCGCACAAGGACACGAGTTGGCCTTGGGTGTTAACTGCGTTGGCACTTTTCTCTTCACAAAAAAATTGACTCCAGCACTGGTGGCAGCTGCAAAGGAGGAGCCTGCTGGCAGCAATGCAGTCCGTGTCGTCTGGCTCTCTTCGTTTGGTTTAGAGACATTTGCCCCCGAAGGACAAGGCATTGATCTTCACAACCTCGACTACCATATACCCAGAGAGCCTATTGATCGCTACGGTATTAGCAAGGCCGCAACCTGGCTGTTAGCTGTCGAGTACGCCCGGCGCCACAAGGCCGACGGCATCGTTAGTGCTGCTATTAACCCAGGCAACATCAAAACCGAGCTTGCGAGGGACCAAGGCGCGGCTTTGAAGCTGATCGCCGGTGCAATCGTTTACCCTGTGATGAACGGGGTATATACTCAGCTATATGCGGGCTTCTCACCTGAAGTAACCAACGAGAAAGTGGACTGGACCAAAGAATGGAGTAAGTCACTTGAGCCCGTTGAAATGATGAGCACGATAGCTGACCATCTTCAGTCATCCCCTGGGGACGAGTTGCCCCAATCCGACCCGACCTCCCAAAGGCAACGCTTCCTGCTGATGAAGGCGGCAATGGTAACGCGCAGCAATTCTGGGAGTGGAGCGAACAGCAAGTTAAGGATTTCTTGTGATGATTGGCCGGTTAGGCCACGCTTAGCTGCTTGTGATAGTGCAGTACAAACGACAAGTTTCTTGGCAATGAATGCTATGCTATACAATTCTAGCCCCCAATTCCACGCCTCGCATTTCTTACCCTATTTGAATTGTTCACAAATTTGGACCATGCAGCATACGTGAGCCTAGCCGCCAATGTAACTACATATGTACTCATTTCCGCAAGGTTTCTAGTCTCATTGCTCTTGGATTTTAGGCCGAGGAGCTGTATGAAGTCCTTCAGATGGTTCCTAGGCGAATTACAAGCTTTTCCCCGCGGACCTTGCCGGCTTGTAGCATGTGTAAGCCTTCGATGATGCCCTCCCATTCGCCATGGACCTCCCGCACTGGATGCGGCTTGATAAGACCCTGGTCCAACGATGCCTGCATTTCGCTGGACCAGTAACGTCCTTGGGAATACAACTGTAGGTTTTGGTCGCGGGAATATGTGTTGTCGCCCAGCGCCACCTTGTGTCCAAAGCCCTCGAAGCCCATGACTTCCTTCGTCCGAACTGCACGTCGGGTCCGCCACTCATCCTTGAACCCCTCCAGGCAGGCATAGCGTCCTCCCGCCCGACCGATAGCGGCAAAACACAACGCTGCGGATTCCGGGGTCGTGATGCAATCTAAGGCGTGACGAATTGGGTCTCCATTAGGGGCCATCGTGCGGATCGTCGCGGCACAAGCAGGCGACGTGTAGGGTGCGGAGCCAACTGCGCCGTACGCGACAGCCAGGGGCGCCGACTCCACTGACGTTACAGCAATCGGTGTGTGCCCAGCCCTATATGCGACAATACTCTGTTAGCACAGGTGGGGTGCTGACTAGGTGGCAAGCAACTTACAGCTTCAGCATCTGGCATGCCATTGTACCTGTGGCAGTTGCTGCGCCGTATACCAGCACAGGGTAACTCTTCTCTGCTGGTTGCGTCAGCGATCCAGGCAAACATAGCGCATCTGGGTCGCCAAAGAGTGCAACCACACTGGTACCCCAGCATAGGCCACCGATTGCAGCACCTTCGAGGTCAGTCAGTCTATTGGGTACGCGTAGAAGCTGGCTGGCATCGGCAACGAGCCACTGAGCAAACGACCCGCCAACCATCGTTCCATAGGGAAACTCAGTGCCGGCGACTCGAGTGCCTTTGGGGAACGACGCCAGTACACTGTCACCTCGTGTGTCCTCGACAACGCCGCAAAAGTCGCAACCAATCGGTATATTGGTTCCTGGCCGGGGGAAATACTTGATCATCTTGAAGTCACTAGGGTTCAGGGCCACGGCCAAGACGCGGACAAGCACCTGATTTGCCGAAGTCAAGGTAGGGACCGGCACATTGTGGGACACCACCACAGCGAGAGAGTCTGCCGGAAATTCCGCCTGTTCCGCCTGGATTATTGCTGTCTGGACTTGCGGAGGCGCCATATTGACGGGTGGCCAGGTAAAAGACGATATGTAGAGCAAGCTTGGTGAGATTTCAAAATGCTAGCCTGACCTCGAACGGCTTTAAGTGGTAGTTGCCCCGATTACTGGTGGCTTGGTGCGCCTCGGGCTCCTTCTGGGCGGTTAGCTACCTAGGTATGCAAGTGGTTGGAGGAGATCTGCATTACCTGCCATCCCCTCAGACTCTCATACTCCTAGCGTAGGATTTGGTATCCGGTACAGATGCACGATACAACCATTCGTGGCGGATATACAGCTCTGCTAACAGATCGTCTCTCTAGATTCTTCCATGTGCAACCGGCCGGTGCAAGGGAGTCCCATGATTATTGTTACCTACGCCCCAGACCAGGTATATCCTTCGGGTGATGTGGGACTTGGGTTGCAACGGACTATTTTCGGCCTAGAAATCTTGATTTCAATGTCCCTTTGATTGCACCGTGGTACAGAGGTATCCAGGGTGCCTGTCGAGAAGAGAAGGTCAATCTGGCGTCAGTTGTAGCTACATCGACGGATCACATTGGGCCCTCCACTAAGATCGTAATAAGCGCCAAAACCAGAAGACCTACACAAGGCTAGTAAGTACTGCCTACAAGAATTGAAGGGATAAAAAGAACAGAATATGTGGTGAAGAGAGAAACGGTTCGTCGTAAAGGGCAGTGATGAGAAGGGGAGTGGGAAAAGGGGGGTGATGGTTCCAACCGAGCGGTACAGCCCCCAGCAACCGCTCTGCTCAATATCTAAGCTTGCTGTATTATAGGTAGTTTTATTATCTGGTGACGTCGAGACTCAGGTCACTGGTCACTGGATGAATGATAACTCTGATAACGCCCAAGTTTGCCAGCAATCTTAGAAGACGCTCAAATCTGAGTAGAAACGGTACAAGTGCCCGCTGTATCTTGCGCAGGCTTTCCTCTGCTTTCCAGACATATTAGAAAAACAGGAGAGTCAAAGTCAATCCACTGTATAATTCGGGCACTAGGTATGTCACGTTGTCCGAGTGAGCCCATTGCCATAGTTGGCAGCGCTTGCCGTTTTGCTGGCGGTGCCAACTCGCCATCGACGCTATGGGATATTCTGGAAGAGACCCCGGATCTTCTCCAGAAGATTGGATTCAGCCGTTTCAATTCGGACGGATTCTACCATCAGAACGCCGACCATCATGGACATACTAACGTACGGCATGCTTACCTCATCAACGAAAACGTGGCCGAGTTTGATGCCGAGTTTTTTGGCGTGAAGCCCGTCGAGGCAAAGGCAATGGACCCACAACAACGCTTTCTACTAGAAGTGACGTATGAAGCCATAGAGTCAGCTGGTATGGAAATTTCCAACCTGCGTGGCAGCAACACAGGCGCGTATGTCGGTGTGATGTTCAACGACTATGCTACAATGCTTCTACGAGACCACCAGACCATACCAAGGTACTTCGCTACCGGGACTGGCCAAAGCATGCTATCTAACCGTATTTCATACTTTTACGACTGGCATGGGCCCTCCATCACAATTGATACGGCCTGTAGCTCTAGTCTCGTAGCTGCACACATGGCGGTTCAATCGCTGCGATCCGGCGAATGTCGGGTAGCGTTAGCTTGTGGGTCAAATTTGCTGATCGGGCCTGAACCTTTCATAATCGAGAGTAAGCTCAACATGCTGTCACCGGACGGCCGCAGTCGTATGTGGGACCAAGGAGCGAATGGGTATGCGAGAGGAGACGGTGTTGCGGCTATTGTTCTAAAGACCCTCAGTGCTGCGCTGGAGGATGGCGACCACATCGAGTCTGTTATTCGCGAGACGGGACTCAACCAAGACGGCGCTACTGCCAGCATCACTATACCAAGTGCCTCAGCTCAAGTATCTCTAATTCGGAATACCTACGGAAAGGCGGGGCTCGACCTTTTGAACCCAAAAGACCGGCCACAATATTTCGAGGCTCACGGCACCGGCACGCCTGCGGGTGACCCAATAGAGGCAGAGGCTATTCACACTGCATTTTTTACGTCCAAGTCCGGAGACGTGTTCCACGAACCCACGACGCTCGGCATGGGACATCCACTTTACGTGGGTTCTATCAAGACCATTCTCGGCCACACAGAAGGCGCAGCTGGTGTCGCTGGGTTGATCAAAGCATCCCTCGCTCTCCAACGAGGATGTATACCTCCAAACTTATTGTTCAATGAACTCAACCCGAATGTAGCCCCATTCTATAAGAATGTTGAGATTCTACGAACTAAGAAGCTCTGGCCTACAACTGAAAAGGGGGAAGTGAGACGGGCCAGCGTAAACAGCTTTGGTTTCGGCGGCACGAATGCGCACGCCATCGTTGAAAGCTATGAGACTTCATCAACTGGCAACTCTCTCTTAGCTGCGCCACCTCTCCCCTCTAAGTCTTTGTCAACGCCGTTATTCACTCCGTTCGTATTCTCCGCGTTCTCTGAGCTCTCCCTTCGCGGCATTCTATCATCTTATCTACATTATCTAGAAGGAAACGTGTCGGACGTTAAACCTCAAGATCTTGCCTGGACACTGCGACAGCGCCGCTCAGAGTTCCAGTATCGTGCTTCATTTGCTGCATTGTCGCTGGAAGATCTTAGAGGTCTGATAAAATCCAAATTAGAAAAGACCGAGATCAATAGAGACCTGGTAGTTGGCATCAAGTCGCTGTCCTCTGGTACTCGTCAGAGCAAAAAGGTTGGAGGAATTTTGGGAGTATTTACTGGCCAAGGTGCACAGCATCCACGCATGGGTGCCTCTCTGATAGAGGAATCCCCAGCAGCCCGCAAAAGAATACAAGATTTGGAGGATTATCTAACGCAGATACCTGAAGAAGATCGGCCAAGCTGGTCTCTGGTGGAGGAGCTGCTAGCCTACAGCTCATCATCGCGGGTGCAAGAGGCTGAGCTCTCACAGCCACTTTGCACCGCGCTCCAGATACTTCTGGTCGATCTCCTGCGACTCGCGGGCGTGCATTTCTCAGCCGTCATAGGCCATTCGTCAGGAGAAATCGCGGCAGCGTATGCCGCAGGCTACCTCTCAGCCCGCGATGCCATGTGGATTGCACACTACCGTGGCAGGCTTGCCTCACTAGCGGTGAATCGGAATCGGCCAGACATCAAGGGTGCCATGTTGGCTGTGGGAAGCTCCATGGAAGATATGGACAGTCTCTGTGCCGATGAGCGGTTCGTCGGCCGTGTAGCAGTGGCAGCTAGCAATTCTTCATCGAGCGTAACTGTTTCTGGTGATGCAGATGCAATCGCCGAACTAGAGGACGTTTTAATCGACGAAGATAAGTTCAACCGACGGTTGAAGGTCGATAAAGCCTACCACTCCCATCACATGCTCTCCTGTTACGAGCCCTATGTTGGCGCTCTACAAAATTTGGACATCAAGCCTGAGTTGCCCGCATCCGCAGAGGCATGTGTATGGTTCTCCAGCGTTGACGGGGGCCAGGTGCTGGACCCGAAAGAGAGACTTCAGGGACTCGGCAGCGAGTACTGGGCCGAAAACTTTACCAGACCCGTCCTCTTCTCCCAAGCTCTTAGCACGGCTCTTAAGAATAGCTCTTTCAGTCTGGCCTTAGAAGTAGGACCCCATCCAGCGCTTAAAGGCCCAGCCACAGAGACAATTCGGGAAGTTCTGGGCAAGGACATACCATATCATGGGGTTTTTTCTCGCAAGTTGAGTGCTACGCAGGCTTTCTCGGATGCTCTTGGTTTCCTCTGGTCGCACCTGGGCAAGAACGTCATCGACCTTGATGGGTTTGAGCGCGCAGTGAGTAGTCATGACGACACGGAGCACCCATTTCGTCTAGTTAAAGGCTTGCCCACGTATCAATGGAACCACAAGACTAGGTACTGGCATGAAGCACGGTGGTCGCGCAAGACACGGTTGAGAGCGTCTCCCGTTCATGCTCTGTTAGGCGATGAAACACCTGATAGCGCTCCGTACCATATGCGATGGCGTAACTTATTGCGAGTGAGCGAGCTGGAATGGCTTTCGGGTCATGCGGTTCAGGGACAAACCGTCTTTCCTGCTGCGGGCTACTTAGCTACAGCTATGGATGCGGCACAAATCATTGCTGGCGAAAGCACCATGCGTCTTGTAGAGATGTCCGATTTTTTAATTCATCAGGCCATCCCTTTTGATCAAGACGACGCGGGCATCGAGGTGCTCATCGAGATGAGCGATATTACCAGGGACAAGCATGATAGCAATCTGATCCGGACCAATTTCACTTATGCGGCTGCCATAGATGTTGGCTCTGACAACTTGACCTTGGCAGCCAGCTCGAAGGTGGAAATTCGCCTCGGCGAAGCATCTGCATCGCTACTGCCTCAGCGTGGCGCTGAACCACCGCACATGATCGAGGTTGAGCCGGAGCGGTTTTACAGCGCGCTGGACGAGCTCGGTTATAACTTCACGGGCTATTTCAAATCCTTGACCTCGATGAAGAGAAAACGTGGCTGGGCAACGGCGTTGGTTCAGACGCAAATGTCAGACCCATCGTTACTGATCCATCCAGCTACGCTAGATGCTGTATTGCAATCCGCTTTCCTAGCCTACAGTTACCCGTACGACGAAGAACTCCGCACTCTGCATCTCCCTACAACCATTCGTCGTATACGGATCAATCCAGCTGCTCTGCAAGACGGCTTGTCGGGGGAGGTCGGCGAAAAATGTTTCGCGCTGGCAGATGCGTCCATTGACTTCGGGCGTTTGGGTCAAAAGACAGCTCGAAACATTGTTGCTACCATCAACTTCTACGCTGGCAGTCAGACAACGACGCCTCCGCACGCAGCCGTCCAGGTCCGAGGCGTATCCTTCCTGCCCCTTGGGGACTCAGTGAACGGAGAAGTAAATCGGCCCGTGTATAGCAAAGAGTACTGGGTCCCATGTGAACCGGACGGTGTGGCTGCAGCACGTGGCCTCTGGGAAGATGCCGAAGTTCGGCGAAAGGCACGCTTGTTGGAACGCGTTGCTACCTTCTATTTGCGCAGGTTCCATCGCGAGGTGCCAGAAAACCACCCGGCACGCACCACCTTCCCTACCAACTGGTATTTAAACCACGCCCGGCATGTCTATGATTTGGTCGAAAGCAGGAAACATGCTTGGTGGGAGGCTCAATGGGACCAGGATACAGTCGAGAGCATTTCGGACGCCTGTCAACCCCATATGGACCTCCCTGACTTTCAGATCATGCACTTGGTGGGCACGCAAATGCCCAATGTTTTCGAGGGCAAGACCACCATGCTCCAACAATTTCGCCACGATGGAAGCGATATCCTGGATCGTTACTATGCTGAAGGCACCATTACCAAGCACCTGGCGGCCTGGGTTGCTCGTGTTGTGAAGCAAATTGTTGACCGACATCCGCATTTAAGAATATTGGAAGTTGGTAAGTAATGACTTTCTATCCGGTAGAACTTGTGTACCTTTTGATATCGAGTGCTATTCCATCATACATGCACGGCCCCGGCTGACGCATATTACCAGGTGCCGGGACAGGAGGAGCTACTAAGGCTATCCTGGATGAAATCGGCGACAAGTTCTCGTCATACACGTACACAGATATATCATCTGCATTCTTTGAAACTGCTTCAAACTTTTTCTCTAAATACAAGAACAAGATGACGTTTAAAACACTCGACATTGAGACGGATCCTACGCTACAAGGGTTCAAGGAAGGGGCCTATGACCTAGTCATCGCTTTTTTCGTCATCCATGCCACCGGCGATCTTGATCGCAGTCTACATAACCTGAGGAAACTCATAAGACCTGGAGGCTTCCTTGCCATGGGTGAGGGAGCGGACAACGGCGCCGGCACTGCTACCAGCGGCTTCATATTTGGTACTCTGCCCGGTTGGTGGGTCGGCACTTCCAAAGGCCGCGTACTCAGTCCGCTCATATCTGTCAACGAATGGGACGGTCTACTCCGGTCCTCGGGATTCTCAGGCATTGAAAGCTCTACCTCTAATTTTGCCGAGGATATATTCAATGTTTTCCCCGTTGTCTCGCAAGCAATCGACCCTCGTGTCAACTTCTTGCGAGATCCTCTGTCGTCTATAACATCCCTAGTACATGCCGGGGTGTCTCCGATAAAGAGGCTGATCCTGGTTGGTGGGCAAAGTGCACGTAGCTTACACCTGATTGACGGACTGGAAGCTCTTATGATGCAGGGATACGCTATAAAGACGTATCGCTTCCGCAACGTCGAGGAAGTCGACTACAGCCTTGCAAATGACGAGTCGACTGTCGTAAGCTTGACTGACCTAGATTCCCCAATTTTCAAAGACATCACACCCCAAAGATTCCATGCACTTCAAAAGATGTTTGAGGTTGGAAAGACAGCTCTGTGGGTAACCAGTGGTCGGCAAAGTTCTGAGCCGTTTGCCAACATGATGGTCGCCTTTGCGCGATGCGCAGGTCACGAGATATCTGGCCTTGACGTGCAGAAGTTGGATGTTTCGAAACCAGAAGAGATGAACCCTAAAGCTCTGGCAGAAGTTCTTCTCCGCCTCCATGGCTCACTTGCCCTGAAAAAGGAGAATCGTACCGGGGGCGACCTTTTCTGGACCGTTGAGCCTGAGTTGGTCATTGATGATCAAAATCGTCTTCTCGTACCGAGGCTCAACTTCATTGCGGAGCTAAACGACCGATACAACGCTGGACGTCGGCCAACTAAGATCCAACCAAGCTCTGCAGAAGTAGCCCCTGTATTCAGCCTACAATACGAAACCAGTCTGGGAAGCAGCAGCAACTACGTGCTACGAGAATTGACTCGATACGAATTGGAGTTGTTAGATGCTTATAAGCCTTCCAACGGCTGGCTTGAAATTCGCACCCTATATTCGACAATATCGGCCATCAAGACATCATTTGGGCGAAGATATATTGTCGCCGGCGTGGAGGTAGACACTGAGCACTCGTACATAGCACTGGCATCGTCACGTTCCTCAATTATCAGAATTCCCCATGGACAGGTAATCCGTAGCAACATAGAGGGTCTCTCCCTGAAGGAGACTCTGTCCGTCGTGACCGCCCATATAATTGCGTTGACAGCATTCCATAGCCTCTCTAGTGGTCACACACTGTTAGCACATAACGTTCCGCTCCCTGTCGCCGATGCTTTGGCAGCACAGTCCGACGAAAAGAAGATTGATGTGGTATATGTTACAGATCGCGCTGATATATCGCCGCCTACCTCATGGATTACTCTTCCAAAATATCTTGGTTCGTCTGAAATTAAAGACATTTTGGCTTTGGACGAGCCTCCGGCTGCTTTTCTTGGGTTAACCAACCATGAAACCACTAGCTACGACAGCGAGGTGGCAACTATCTCGAGCTTTGAGGCTCCTGGCGCAATTATACTCACGGCCAAGTCTCTTTTTTCGTCGACTGCTGATATTACAAGCAATACCTCTGAGTGTATTAGAATGACGGAGACCATACGTAACGCCTTTGCACACGCCAAGAAACAATGGTCTGCGGAATCTCAAACGGCGAACCACTCTGCCTCATCTCTTCTGCCGGTTGTTGCGCTTGAACATCTTGTGCAAACGCCAACAGATCCTCTTGATCCCTTATCCATTGTTGACTGGACAGGAAAGGTGTCTACGTTGCCAATTCTGGCAACTAGGCTAGATGCAAGTCTCATGTTCAAGGGTGATAGCACATACTGGATCGTTGGTATGTCCGGTGCCCTGGGCATCTCTCTAGCCGATTGGATGATTAGCAGGGGAGTCAGAAACTTGGTCATGACGAGCAGAAACCCGGATATTGATCCCGAGTGGATCGCAGCGCACAAGCGTCGTAAAGCCATCGTTACCATCATGAGATGCGACGTGACTGACGAAGCGGCCTTAAAGGCAGCCCATCGCAAAATATGTGAGACTCTTCCAACAATCAAAGGAGTGATACACGGTGCCATGGTGCTGCGTGACGTGGCAATCAGCAACATGTCCTATGAACAGCTCATGGATGTAATTCGTCCTAAAGTCAATGGCAGCATCTACCTGGACAGGATTTTCGCTGAAAAGGGCCTTGACTTCCTGGTCTTTACCTCATCAATCAATACCATAATTGGTAACAAGGGTCAAGCCAACTATGGAGCAGCCAATTCTTTTATGTGCAGTCTAGCAGCCCAGCGGCAGAAACGCGGCTTGCAGACCGCTGCTGTCAACGGCGGTGCAATCATCGGGGCGGGCTACATGGAGCGAGATTCCCGCCGAACGTGGGATCGCATCACACAGAACAACTGGATGATGCGAATGTCAGAGGATGACTTTGTTCAGTCTGTTTGCGAAGGTATTGAAGCCAGTCGCTTGGATTCTCACGGACCTGAAATCACAACGGGCCTCAGTCTAGTCCCTGCCCATGCAACCAATGCACCTTTCTGGTTGTCTGATCCCAAATTTTCTTATTTCATTACAGACGAACAGGAATCGTCTGAATATCACAACCGGAATGGGACGGAAGCTACCTCAAATGCAACGTCTGTTCAGGACCTTCTTCTTCTCTGCAAGACGGAGCAAGAATGCTTCGAGACTGTCCAACGTAAGTTCACCCCTTTTTGTTAACGTCTGCCAGTCTCCGATTAGCCGCAATCGGAAAATTACTTATAGCACACACAGATGCCTTTACGAACATGTTACGCAATGTTCTACAAGTAACCATCTCTGATGACGACTTAATGGCGTCTCACAGTAGCGATATTGGTCTCGATTCACTGGTTTCGGTGAATATTCGGTCATGGTTCCTGAAGCAAATGCAAGTTGGTGTGCCTGTGCTGAAGATCATGAGCAACGAGACCATGGCAGATCTCCTCCAATTCGCCATATCGGCTGTGCCGCGAGAACTGGTGCCACAGCTCAATGACCAACCTGAACCAGCCGAGACAACGGTGGTGGTTTCTCAGCAGCAATTCATCTCGAACGGCAGCGCAGATCCAATTTCTCTTACGAATGTCCAGGACAAGGGTAACCTTAACGGCTATACTAAAGGTTACGCTAATGGCGACGACTCTGTTGTGGCACCCTCGACCAACGGCCAACCAAGTTGGAAGACTCATCAGGGAATGAACGAAGTGACGGCGACAAACAAAGACAACGCAATAAATTGGGAAGTCGAGTCCAGGCCACCCACGAGCATAATGAATGTTCCATCAGATTTTGAGTCTCCAACGTCTGTTGTGCCGCCCCGCATTGTTGTCCTCACGGGCGCTGGTGGCCTGTTCGGTCGTCACCTAGTAAAGTACTTATCCATGCAACCCTCAGTCCAGAAGATCATATGCATCGCTCTCCGCAATCTCGCCCAGCATCTGGAGAAGGACGAGCTTCCCCCTCCATCCGAGGTCATTGAGTACTACGAGGGCGACCTCAGGTCCCCTTTACTAGGCCTTACCCCTGCTCAAGCGGCCGCTGTATTCTCCGGTGCCGATGTCGTTATCCACAATGGCGCCGATACATCTCACATGAAGAGATACCAAGACTTGTGGACGTCCAACGTCGGCTCTACCATAGAATTGGTGAAGCTTTGCCTTCCACGACGAGTGCCGTTTCACTATGTATCATCAGCGGGCTTAGCAATGCTTTACGACCAAGCAGCCTTCCCGCCCGTGTCAGTAATGGGGTCTGGATGCCGTCTACCCGCGACTGATGGCTCATTTGGCTATGCCAGTGCGAAATGGACGTGCGAGGCGCTCCTAGAACGCACGCACGCGCTGTATAAAGGTAAATGGCCCGTGTGCATACACCGGCCGTCTACGATTATACGGGAAGGCATGGATGCCGAGGGGCTCAAGGCAGAGTTGGACTGGGTGAACGCGCTGCTATTCTATGCGGCAAAGACCAAGACCGTCCCGCAGATCCAGCGGAATCGCGGGGCTCTAGACTTGGTCAGCGTCCAGAACGCCTGTTCAGATCTAGTGTCGCGCGTAGTACAGCCCGATGAGCGCATGAAGAAAGGAGAAATCAGCTTTGTCCATCAGGTGGGTGACAGGATAATCTTTTTAAACCGATTGCAGGACATGGGTTTGGAGGAGCCTAGCCAAAAACCATTTCAAGTACTCCCCCTAGATCAGTGGATCGACAAGGCCAAGGCAGAAGGTCTCCATCCGGCAGTGTCTGCACTGGTAGAAATGATGGATGATCCGGACTTGCCCGACTATCCCAGACTTCTGAAACAGATAGCTTAGAGGAGATTAATTCGAGCGTATTGCAGTCAAGTAGTGTAGATTTAGACTGTAATGGGGCTTAGTGGCTCTGTATTATGTGTGCTACTGGTATGGGATTGTGTCATTGAGCTGGATAGGGGCCCCACAATTCGAGGAGGTTTTGCTAGTAGTGGTCGCAGGCCGAAGGGGAAAGTCCCCAGGTCATCACCTTTTTCATTTATGAAGTTCTACCATTCCAGTTTGGTATCATTCGCATCGGCTTCGAGAGATCAGAAACGTGTTCATCTTCACTTCGAGGACAATGCAAGTGTTCCCTTGTCAGAAGGGATCCTGCACTGACCGGTAGTCAGGGCTCAGCTCCTCCACTCCAGTTCAATACATGTTGCACTGATTATTATGCTTTGTCTGTTCCCATATTCGTGAGTTTATCGGCCGTCGAGCAATTAAGTATAGTAAAGCATTACAGTATTCCTTTTCATGCAGCTTGTCAGGTCAATTTATTTCTCCCTTGCATTTAGTTATACACTTCTGCTTAAAGCTAAAGAAACTAATCAAAACTCTCGGCTTTCACCGATAGCACAGGCGTCGAAGATACCAGTTTGAGCAATGCCCCTCATTTCCAATGCTTCCTTCAACTTTTCCGGGGGTTCGTTGACAGGTTCAGATGTCAACGCCCATGTTCCCCAATGCATGGCCAAGGCTTTTATGCATTTAGTGTCTTGGAAGATCTCAACAGCATCATAGGGGCTCGCATGGACTGGGCTGTACATCATACGCGGATGGTAAGCGCCGATGGGAAGCAGGCCCAAATCGAATGGTCCCCGAAGCTCGCCGATTTGTGCAAAGTGCGGGTTCGTCGGTAAGTCATCGAAGCCTGGCCCAAATTCCTCCATTCCATCTGGGACGCATCTATAGCCCGTATCACCGGCAAACCACAAAGACTTGTCGCCCGACGTGACAGCCCAAGACGCCCATAACGTGTGGTCCTTGTCGGAAGGAGTCCGCATTGTGCCGTGCTGACTGGGCAGGCATGAGACCTCGGCGGTGATATGCTTCGGCTCTTCGTTGCTCGCAGCCGGCCTCTCCAGGGTCACCACGGCGTCATCCCACCAGTCCATTTCGGTCACAGCATGGACACCGAGTTCACGTAACTTTGGTGATTCCCCAAGCCCAACAAAAAAGTGAACCTTTGGGTATGCTTTGATGAGCTCCTTTACAGTTGGATACGAGAGATGATCAGGATGGTTGTGGCTAAGGAAGACGGCGTCTAGAGCAGGGAAAGCACTCGGCGTACAGGCAGGGGCCGTGAATCGCTTCGGGGCGAAGAAATTATGGCGCTCCTCGAAGACGGGGTCAAATAAGGCGCGGAAGCCCGAAGGGAACTCTACGAAGTAGGTTGCATGGCCAATCCACGTTGCTCGGAGCGTGCTAGGCCCCGCCGTGCGAGATTGTAGGAATTGCGCCTTCACCGTAGGGATCTTGGCGATGGACGTGTCGGGGACGGGGAGCCTTCCTCGCAGGCGGTTACTGAGACAGTGAGTCAAACCCGATAAACCAGGAGGAAGAGGTAAGAAATTGCCTACCCAAAGTAAAGCACGGCGGAGCCCCAAAGCGAAACGTTGTTCCAGTTGCCGAATGATGGGCAGGGGTTCTTGAATCGGATAAGACGCCCGGAATCATCGTAGACGTGGTGTGCTTTGGCGCCCTTGGCTGGTGCTGTGCCGTGGTCTACAGTGACGGTGCAGGTGTAGGTGTCCTTGGCTGTAGGGACTGACATGACGGGAAGTGTCGCCGTCGTGAGATGTCTCCCGAATAGGCGGTAGAGGCTTGAGCTGCGTAGGTTTGATGAATAAGTCAAATCGTGGAAACGGATGGCGTTCTGTTGCAAGCTGCTGTAACTCATTCGGCAGGTAGCAAGGGCGAGTTTGTAAGTCACGGAGGGGCAAGCATGCCAGAGGCAGCAGCAAGCCCAGGCATTTATGCTTGTGATTGCCTGTTACACAGCGCACGGATTGCCAGATACAATGAATATTGGTCCCAATGGCGCTAGTGCCGATTGGGCAATATGATGCCCATGGCAGCGACCTTCATGGATAAGATCAACTCACGCTATTAATAGGGAAGATATCATGAACTATTTGGAAATGTTATAGTGCGGCGAGCGTGTCTTATTGTGCTCTTTTCACTTTGTCTACAATACTGAAGGAAGCGTGGCATTGATCCACATCTCGGAGCTTTGGCAATTGCCTTGGCTTCAGTCATTCATAGCTTATGTATTTCAACCGTGTCACATGGGCATATGTATTCATTGACAGGTAAGTCAGAGGCTATGTCATCCAGGAGGTTGAGACATCTCGGGCTCTGAGTTTAAGTGGATATCCTCCTCTGCCAGTCGCATGCACCTAACACTTCTTAAGAAAAGGGGTTACTCTAAAGGGTAGGAAAATTAACACCTATCAGCTAGTCTGTCTCTCTCCACACGCATGCCCGAGGTCAAGATGAACGAAAAAGAGAAAGAAAAAAAAAGAAAAAGCAGGACTCCACTCCGAGGTCCAACCCCCAACATAAAACGGGACAGGCTGCCGATGTCGTCGTTCGTCTTCCAGCTCCGCGACCCGCTGGTGGACTGCAGGTAATCCCGCGGGCTGCCCTGGGCCTCGGGCGTCATGTGCAGCCCAGCAAGATTTATCACTCTTTAAAATACCACCGAGGCATGCAAGAACAAGAAAGAATGCGCCCCCATTGTTACGTGACACGACATACACCTGTGACAGCTATAACTAGCATAGAATGCATGGCCTTGCCGTGTTTCTGTAGTAGCCTGTTGGCCCCAGCAAGTCACCCAGCGTAAGAGGGGCATACGAGGCTCTCAGACAAATACTAGCATCGGTCCAAGAATGTGTCAGTATTTGCACAAGGAGGAGAATATCTCGCTTGCACTCTCTATAATCGGACCATCAGACATGCTCTATATTACCTTCACGTCTGGCAGCACCGGTAAACCGAAAGGAGTAATCATCACCCATCAAATATCACCACTGCTCTGCATCATCAACCAGGCATTTTTGGACTTAGTCCAAATGCTAGACTAATCGACTTCTTCTCATATTCATTCGACGTCTCTCTACTCAACACCTTCCACGCTCTCGGCAATGGGTGCTTGTCTTTGTGTACCCTCGGGCAGTTTACCAAGGGTCAACATTGAGAAGGTCATGCAGCAGCTGTCGGTGATTACCGCCTGCTTGACGCCTTCCGTCGCAAGACTAATCGAACCTGAGGCGACACCGATCTGCTCGCTTACGCAGTTGATGCTGACGAGTATCTGTAGTAATATCGGCACGAAGTATGAGGGGTTGGTAGAAAGTGGTGAAAAGGATGGATTCGAAGGCTTTTCTGCGGTGGTGAATGAGCTCTGTATCTAGCTGGCAGCTCTAGCTCGCTACCTCACGTAGCAGCTGGGAGCCTTACGCTTATCTGGCTTGTCCCTTCGGGTTCCTCTTCCTCAACGTATCCCTTTTTTATTTTAAGAATAAAAAAGATATATTATTGTTCATAATAACTGAAAGATAAAGCCCAGTCTAGACGAACACGATTCCGTACAAGGTTATTACCGTTGTCATCATCGCGCCAGTTGGGCTTTTCTACTATTAAGCCAATCCGATTGCCATGACCTAACTTTCGAACTGTGGCCTGTAGTGTCCAGGTCTTAGCCGAGTCAACACCACCACTCCCAGTGAGTATGTCCGCACCCATAGGCGTAACACAGGGTGGGGAATGAAGGGTGAGAACAAGGAACTCGCCCAGGCCCGGCCATGCCCTGCTGGTCCACTTTCGCCCAAACAATATGATGAGCATGTGTACAGTCACCGTTGCGACGTACGAAAACAAAATGACAAAGGCTAGATACACAGTTACGCTGCAGAAAGTGTAGAGATAGATCTGACGCTCGATGGCGTATACAAAGTAGGTGAAATGAGGTTTCGCTTCTGTGAGGTTGACAGCTGTCCAATTGCCCGGCTGGGGGACGAACTTGCCTGTCCGGTTGAATATTGCGAAGATGTCCATGTCCGTCAACGAGCCCATCAACGTGCTTGGGACTGCGCTGGCTATGGAATATATGTCGAAGTTATACTATCAGTCTTGGCGTTAGTGATGACTCTCTAAGCTTGCTCATGGAATCTTTCTCTCCATGAACAGAGGGGGCCAACCATTTGCCTCTATGGATCCTGACGAGGCTCGTCGCAGGATCTGGAAGAGAAGTCCGTCAGAGGCTTAAAGAGCACATCAGAGGTGAGCAGTTGACGAGATAAATCGCTAGCTAGACACTCACCGGTATCCTTGAGAGCCCCTCGGCGAGACCGCTTGCGAGTCCTGTGGCTACACACGTCGTGGGCACTGACTTTTCAGACCCATGGGGCGACAAGAAGTCAAGAAAGTATGTTGTCAGGTTGCCCATGTAGTCTGTCCCTTTCTGTGGATTTGTTCCACGGTTCCAGATATTTAGCCACTCAGTGTCTAGTGTTATTGGCCGTGGCGAACCCGCAAAACCACCAGGCACCGGTTTGAACGAGTTCCCGCTTTGGACTGACTGGAAAGCCCGTAGACTTTGGTCCGGCGAGGCGTGATGGTGGAATTTATGCACTGCGCTTCGGCTAGGCACAGCGTTGCGTCAACTCCATTGAAGATTGCAAATGCAGCCGAAATTATGGGAGGTATCGATGGGGTGACGGTTAGTCTGGTCAAGTCCAGGAATGGCGAACTCGATTTCACTAGATTGTATAAACAGAGAATGTCAACTGTAATTGTGTACTTTGCGGTGGTTTGATCATTAACGTCGAAGGTGCATAGTCCTGTGTCGCATCCCTCTGCGTAAGGTAGGCATATCGTGATAACGCGGGGCGCTTGCCATGAATGAGTCTCTCCCGTGTCTACGTGGAAAGCATGGGGCAAAAATTGCACCGGCCAGTCAATGCTAGATTGTGGTGATGTTTGTAGAAGATCGCCAGACCATGAGCGGAGATAGTTGTATATTGAATAAGTAGTCAAGGAAACGACGTTGCCTAGGACGATGAATGCATATACAGCACCAATACTTTCAGTGCCGCGACTGGTGTAGCCATACACGGGTTGTATCATTCTTAATTCAAGGTTATACTCTGACTGAACAATAAGGTCAGATGTGTGGCCTTCGCTTGAAGGCTCTAGCGCTTATCCTTCCCTATACCGACACCACTGCCAATCACGGTAGAGCCACTTATTTGTCCAACTCACTACCAAGCATAGCTTCCTTGCATTAATGGCAGCATATCAAGGCTATTACGGACAGCTTTGCCGCCGGTCTTATTCACTATCTAACAGGGGAAGGGGAGTTTATAAGGCGCCGACATACTCAAGTAACATCATTCGTGCTCGGCCTTTCTAAGACGACAAGTCTGAAATTGGTGCTATTTGGCTGATCATGATCTGGGGTTGACTATTGTTGTCGTCGTCGGTGATGCGGAATTGCTCCACAATCCGGTAAGCCATTTTAGCTGATTGCGGGGAGTGCTTCGGTTGTTCTGAAGATTTCACAAATGCCATTTGAATAGTGACAGTTTTGACAGACTACAATCCCGACCGAACAACCCAAAGACGAATATCTTATGAATTGTGAGCAATTGCAAAAGATGCAGGTCTTTTCCGAATCTGCGAGGCTTAATGGTCCTCGCCCTGGTCGAGTATGCCTTGCACTACATTCGATCACGGACCGGACAGGATCGATCGCTTGTCTTACTCAGCTACTTGTCCAAATATCAACCTAACCCTTTCACATAGTGGGGTTGGAACACAGGGGCCAGGGGCCGCATCAATGCGATTAGTGCCCGAGGTGCGGATCCGTACGGGGAGATGCGGCAGACATGCAAACCGGTTCAAAAGCCATCGCTGTAAATGCAGGACGAAGTTTCGTTCTCCCTTACAAACTCCTACACTAGGAGGACTTGGTCAGCGACTGATATATGATGCATTCCACCCAAACCATAATGGCATGGCCATACTACGGTGAGAACGGACGGACACTCTCTGCGGCCCACCGTAGTCAGCATGTGGTTCAAGCCATCGCTAAAGTTAGCTACTGTAACTGAAGGGTTACTGAGTTAACCTTGGTCTAAGGTTAGGTGGAACGCTGCTTCCTGCTGGCTGCTTCCGCGAGCTGCTGCTGTACAACGCGTCACGCTGTCGTCGTACAACCGCGACGGGCTCTGCACCCATGCAAGCTCTCATGCTTCACGGAGAGCATCCTCAGCTGAGAGCATCATCCACTGGCAGCAAGAGGCAATAGGCAATATCATACCCGCACACGTCACGTATCGACCACCGTCCTCGATAATGGCACCCAACAGCGACGCAAGCATGCAGGGTCATGCAAAACGTGCATACTCCTTCAGCCAGCGACAGGTAGACCGTGTAATCAGTCCGCAGCGCCGTCAAAAGTCCTACGATGCGACAACCCAATTCGCAACTGAGAAACCTGCATTCTTTGTATGTAATTGCAACCTGCGATTCCATCCAGTCTGCCCATGCGGAACGCCATGGGCTACTGAGCTAATCCCTTTCTTCAAGGCCTTCATAGTCTCCCAACTCTTCTTCTCTGCTCTGCCGATCGGCCTGTTCATCTCCTTCTCCCTTTCGACCGTCGCCCTCGCCGTCATCTCCGCCGTTGCCTTCTCCTTCTTCTGGGTCGGCATTGCCCTTCTCGTCCTCGTCCCGATCTTGTTCATCACCGTCAGCATAGCCATCGTCGTCTGGCTTTGGGCTTTTGCCACATTCCTTGTCGGTCGATGGGTATATCGCATGTTGCCCGTCAGTCTACAAGGTGATGTGCAAGTCCGAGTCCCCAATGGCAAGCAGGTCATCTTCCAGAAAGATCGCAATAGTGGCGCAGGGATCGGCTTTGATCAAGTCAAAGAGGAGGCTACAGAGGTCGAGGAGTAGGTTCTCGGCGAGTTCATGCTGGTTTTTCTCAAGATGGGCATGTTCATGATCAGGAAAGGGGTGCTAGGGCAGTATTGGAGCTGGCATATGTGGTAATGCATCACAAACTTGATCTCGCATTCGGGCGCATGGTACTGCGGTGCTTGGTCAAGTATGATGTTCCCTGGGAACCTCGTGGATGCTATGCACTTCTGCAAACCTAGAGAGTCGATACACGGCATTGAAAGGAATCGTTAATATCTGTTTAATTTTGGGGCATCCGTTTCTGTGGCCGCGTATACCTGTCTTTGGCCTTGGTAGCGACCGTCAAATGTCTCTGTACCAAATATTTGCCGATTACTGCGACCTATTGTCTAAGTCAATTGTGGCACATGAACTTTGGAATCAGACCACGCTCTTGCGAGTCTGAAGCACTTGGGAAACCACTCTGGTTCTCTGCCAGTCGTGATCATCTGGACAAGCGCTTCAGCGCTACGGAACGCCATCGCCATGCCATGCCCATTCATCCCCACAGACATCCACAGACCTTTTTCGCCAGGTGCTTCACCGACAAGTGGAAATGTATCACGGGTATAGCAAGTGATACCCGACCAATCCCTTATTTGATCTCCTTCATCACCCCATGTCTCGCGACCAAAGTAGTTGGCAGCGGCATGCTTTAGATACTCCGCAATTCTAGGATTGACCTTGGAATCGTCTGCAATCCCCTTTTCCTTGTTAGGCGAAAGAAATCGACCACCGCCGTATAGAATGTCACCTGCACCCTTCAGACCAACTGCTCGCTGATGGAAGTAATCGCCAGAATGTACGTCGTTTAACGCTACAACCAGTCGCATAGCTGGATTGTCGCCAACTTTACTGCCCGGACGAATCGCGCTAACCTGGCTTCTTCCAGGCCAAATAAACCCTGTCCTAGCGAGACTGGTATGAAGCACGCTCGTGAAAGCATTCGTAGCCAATATGGCCTGCTTCGCTTGAACCGTACCACGATCAGTCATGGCCTCCCAAATGGTCGTGTTCCCTGACTCTGATGATGTCTGGTGTATCTCTAAAACAGGCGTGTTTGTTTGCAAGTTAAGCCCCATTTCTAGATCAAGTTCCAACATCTTACAGACCAGGAGATAAGGATTCTGGGTATGTGCAGGGTATAACACAGCACCAAGAGCATTCTGGATACCAACGCGCCGTGCTGCCGCTTCACCCTCAAACACTTTTTTGTCTCCCAAAGGCACAGCATCAGGTCTTCGCTTCCTGACTTCTGCTCTAAGAGCGAGGACCTCCTTGATCTTTGCCCACTCTGATTTTGTCAAGTAGACGTCGGCGGTCTCGATATCCTCAAAGTCGCAGTCAACATCATGCTCACGCACAAAACTAGCCATGTCTTGCACATTTTCCTCTTCTAGTCGCTCGAACTTGAGAGCTTCGTCTTCGCCGTAGGCTTCCAGGTACGTCTTGTAGTTCAACCACCAGCCAGAACGACAAAGACCACCATTTCGACCTGATGCCCCAGACGCAGCGGTGCGCGCCTCGAGCATCAAGATTGATAGTGATGGGTCCCTGGACAATAACTTGTAAGCAATAGCCGCCCCAGAGATCCCGGAGCCGACAATAACATAGTCAAAGAGCGTGTCCGTAGGTAATTGCGTCGTCGTCCGATGCTCCGCTATCCGATGCGGTGGAATTTGCCAGTAAGATGTGGTTGGATTTGGGACTGGTAGACCCGAATGATAGTTACCGCCACCCATTTTATTCGTTGGTATCTCGCACAAGCCTTAAACAAACGCTTTGTCATACAAGTATATTTGTTTGCCTGTCTCCTGACTTCGCTCAAAGATTGTGTCGGGTCTCCCGCCGTCTAAATAGCTTGTCTTCATATGCTCCACGAATAGCAGGGATTGTAAGCTGCAGATCACTTTACCACTTTGCGGCGAAACTGCCATCCTTGCCCTCTTGCTACCCGTTAACCTTTGGAGGTTTGGCGTTCATGTATTGACCTGGCACCTACCTGCCATTGGTTATCTAGCGCGGATGAAACAACAATCATCTTGCACGATTGGGTCGTCAATGAAAGTACTTTCACCAATCACGATTAAAGAAGAATAGGCTGCTAGATTGCCATCAGCATTCCCGGTCGTGCGCTTATTACCTTATAGCCCCAATGCATGTATGCGACGGAGCTGCTTGCGCGTCTCGACCCGTCTGAGGAAATCTGGTAAGAATTCGGCATGGCCTGATTGGCGGTAAATGAGATTGTTTGGTTACTGGTTGTCTCAACCCAATCAGGTAGGAGTATAGCAATGAATTGGTCCGCTCTCAAACTTGCAGTTAATCTGCCATCAAGTCTCATAATGCGGGATAAGAAGAATCAGCCACCGAAAGCCAGTTTATGATCTAGAGATACTGTTAGAGAGCACAGTGAGATCGTAGGGTGATGTCGACATATTTGTCCGCTTGCGCCAGCGATAGCAAGCCTGGAGGCGACTGCGCCAATCCTTGCTTCTAGACTACTGCTTGCCGATTGGGCAACATGAGGCTTCCTTGCAAAACCTAATCGGCTGCCTGTGCTTATGTGAAAATTATTCATGGAAACCAGTGGCGATACAGAACCAGCCACTGTGGTGTAGAATCGAACAACTGGGATATATGCAGTATGTGCGAATGATGCTATTATTCCTGATGATACACCCTTTTTGCGACGGCTTGCTTGGCTCATACGCCCAGCCAGAAATATGTCAATCCACCACCGATGACCAGAATGATGGTGACAATAGCAGCACCAGCCTGGTCTCCTGTTGTGATATCACGCAGCTTTGGCAAATGATCCTCCAAATCTGAACCAGCATTTGGATCGCCTTTACTCGTTCCACCAGTCGTGTTCGTCAGAAGTCCATCGTTGGGATGTGGGAGCAGACTGATTAGAGCACCAAGTACACTCATCTGCTGCATTGCACCGGTTTCTTTGCCCGGAACTCCACTGTCGAAATAACCGGATGCCCATTTGAAACCACACATTTGGCCGCTGCTTCCGCCGGTGCATTGGTTGACAGCAGCTTGCGCTGATGAACGAAGCAAAGGCGTGATCTTTTCGGCAGTGTAAGGGGCCAAGAACGAAGTAGACTGTAACCATCGATGCAGAAACCCCTTGAAGGATAGCATGTCTACTGTGCATGTCCCGGCAAATTCGCAGGCGACTTCAATCGCCGAACCATTCGGGAAGAAATATTCGAGCGTACGAGGTAATAGAAGGTCAATTTTCGATTTCCATTCATCTGCGCCATTGGACTTTGATGTGCCGTCAGTCAATAAGTCGCACGCAACTCCATGAAAGGTTAACTTACCATGTTATAAAGATGCGCCAATCCTTGAATAAGAAGGGCAGGGTTGTACGAGAACTGGAACGGGTTGATATCCTTGCAATCCTTGTTGTTTGAATCATGACCACCATCATAAACATTGCCCTTATCGTCAATGTATTTGACACCCCTAAGCAGGTCATATGTCTCGCCCACCACTCCAACAAGTGTTTCGTTGTTAAAGTAGCGTGCCAAACGAGCGCCGATATTGAAATAGCATGTGTTGGCGATAGTGTTAATGTAGTCATAACCATTGTTGTACCAATACGCTTGCCATCGTAGCAAGCCTGTGCAGCTTCCTTCATATGTTCGTCGTTTGGGATCGGTCTGCTCATTGAAGACAGCTTGAGCGAGTGCCAGCCAGTCCAGTCCCGTCTCGTTTGGAGGGTTGGTGAAGCCGGTTTCGGCAGCTATGAGAGCAGAGAGTGCCCAAAAGGCTTGATCATCATTTCCCATCGATGCCGACCAATTGGCTGGCATATAATCTTGTTGGTCGCCCACCTGAAAGGTCATGGCCTGCATAATCCGGTCATCATATCTCTTGTCGCTGGTGAAGAACCGATAATCCAACAGTGTACCCCCTGACATCGCGTTAGCAACAAGGCCGCCACCTCCAGTATTGTCGGGCCGGGCTTTTACACATTGCACCGCCAATCCACCAGTAGTAATCACCGTCAGGCGGAGGTCCTGGCAGAATACCGGGCACATGGCCGGGCTGATCTCCAGTATAGAATGACATCATCTGCTCGGCGACTTGTAGAGCTGCCTGCTTGATAGATTCTGCGGTCCAACGCCGGTTAGCGCAACGGTTCGCGGGCCCAGTGTACTGGGCGCGACATACCTGTGTCGTCCAAGTTAACCTCAAGGGCACCAAGCACTTGGCTAGGCGCCCATATGAGGCCGGCAAATGCCAATATCGAAGAGCGAAGCATCGCGAACACTGTCTAGTCGCCTTGGTGACGACGACAATGTGTTTCAACACGACATTGATTGAATTGAACAGGAAAGAGACATCGCCAAGACGATGGGCCGGAATACGAGCGTCAGCAACTACTCATCAGATCGTTGCTGTGGCGGAGCAGCACTTCCCAAATGCCAAGATCCAGACATAGTCAAGCGGATCCGGATAGTCGCGAGCTGTTAATTTTGGTGCCTGAAATCAACATACGAGAGGCGCAGATTTCGTACCTTGCCTGCTTGCCTACCTCTTTTCTAGCAGCTCCATCAATAGTTGCGAAGGACCAGCGTACAGCGAACCATCGCTTGACCCTCTCATTCATCCCTGTTATCCTAACAAGTCGGAAGCTAGCCTGACTAGGTCTTGCCCCACAGGTCTGATGATACCCCTTGAGGCACATGTCCATCTTCCATGGGACGCGGGCCACTGACTTGACAGGATCTGTTGATTGGATCATAGTCTTGGACATGAAACATATTTCATACTAATAGGTCTTTGTCGTGAGCGTTCGATCAATTTCATCGCTACCTCACTGATCTATCTCACTGATACACCCCGTGGTTGTTTTAATATGTCCTCTGCCTGAGCGTTTTCTCGTATTCGGCGGCCAGAGAAGTCTGGCCACGTCCCGCCACAAAGGTTGACTACCTTAGGATAAGCTTAAATTACCCCAACGCCGGCCATCCGGTCCCCACAAAAGGAGTCAAACTGGTTGGCGGAGGGTTCTAGAAAAACATTCAGAAAACATTCATACATCGCAATGGAGATCGAGACAGAAACCTTTCAATTGCATGCGATAAATATGTATTATTAGTTAACAACATGCGCACTCATAAATGCGTTATCCATTAACCACGGCATCAACTCACTCCGTAAGACGTGTTTGTGGTTATCAAATCGAGTTCAGCCACACCTTGATTTCCGTCAAATTGCAGTGAGCAATCTATCTTGTTCGATTCCAAACGAGTGGCCACTATTTGTGATCCTATATTGACATGGCCTATTCCGCCAATCGTTCACGTAGTATCATACTATAGCATTGGATGCGCAACTTCATGTTTGTATCTTGTCTGCACCTAACCTCACTCCTGTAACGGCGACAGAGGGACAGCAATGTTCAGCCACAGGATCATGATTATGGCCAAGGTCACCAGCTGGTGTAGTAGCAAGCCGCGCCCATTGAGGACTCGGACGCCCTTTGATTCCTGCTCGGGTAATCATTGTCGGCTCGTTTTCGCTTCGAAATTGGTCACTGTTTCCTCGATATAGTTTAGGCCAACCCTCTGGCGAATCCTCCCACAGCTCTTGCCGCCCGTATATGGTCATATCAAGCATGCCGTAGCTGCCGCTCATTGGCTCACAACCTCGTCCAGTGGTCCAGTACGTCTCAAATACGCGTTTACCCTCTCGCAAGTAACACGCCTTCATGCCGAAGTTGTGTGGACTTGCAATAGCGAGCTGCTTATATGACTTATTGGGCACTGAATACCATGGCATCTTCCAGTTCATGAACTCGCGATAACGATTGCTTTCTTCAAACGGGCCCTGGCAGAAGACTGCAAAAGTGACGTCTCGCGAATGAAGGTATGACAACTCAAGCGCTTGGCCGGTGTTGAATGTACAGCCTTCGCACTGATCAGCTGCTTCTAGGCCAGTATACCACATATGGTACGATGCGAATAGTTGTGTGCGCCCCTCGAAGGCTTCAAGCAGTGTGAGCTCGCCATTTTCTCCGATCAGAATTGTGGTGGCATCTACCTCGACCATAGGAAGACGGCGCCGTGCAGCGGCGATTGCATCTCCTTCCCGAGTATGAGATTTTTCGCGTGAGCGGAGCTCATCAACTCGTTTCTGATATGTTTGCCGATCAACGGCGGGAAATCGTGTCGCCATGATGGTTATTACTCTTAATCAGTATGTAGCTGAGACTTATCCAGTTACGCTGCTGCCTTTATAACGTCTGAATACTGTGGTACCTCGGACGATTGTCACATGGCATTGTCTGAGGACTGAGGAAAGACTAGAACCCATTCTGATGGTCAATCTAAATGGTGATTGGACAATGGGGACATTTTGCCTCGAGCGGGGTATTGCTTCTACCAGGCAGCATTGGTACTGTTGAGAGCAACTACGGAATCCGTTCGGGAACATAGGTCGAGTTCACAGCAACAGGCCAGAGCATGTAGCTTGCCTGTCCAACTTCTATCAACCTGCATAATTGCTTCCATTATCAGTGATTCGCATTATACCCACATAATTATGTACCGTCGATGAAACTCTACCTCGTACTCGTCTCTCTTATATCTTGCAGGAAACCATTACTACCAGAATGAAACTTCGTTGTTTAATCTCATCGACACATCTTCCCGTTCAATCTTCTATTCCTCATTCCTCACAACCAAATAACATCAATCTGTATCGCTTCATTATCCTGTGCTCACAATCTCAGCACTTCTTTACTTTCTCTCCTAAGCAATTGTGGTCGAACGTCGGCCAGTATAACGCTTTTAGAATCCCTCGCACGTTCAGTCTCGACGGACCCGCTTGACTTGAGTTGAAGCCGAGGGAACTGGGTACACATCTTGTTTTGTTTAATCTAGTGGTCCTATGGCGCTGAATGTGGCAATAGGTGCCAATTTGGCCTCAAGTCCAAGCGATGCGGCGCCAATGTGATGTTCGTGGCCCCGCAATCCTTGATTAAGGGTCTAGTCTCTTGAATATGGCATTTAGCCTACTACAGTTCAAGAACTGCCCTTGCTGTTGTTGGCCACAGTTGTCTTGAACTCGGGAGTTGAGGCACTGAGCACGTTGATCGAAACCGGTGGAGGTCGAACGTCACTGCCAGAAGTGCTTGCGGGCTTGGTTCCGGTCTGGAGTCAAGGTTGTCACAACCGTCAAGGCTGAGAGGACCGCCATATACCTTCTTCGGACATACTCGTAATAATCCTCGTAGATCCATGGCCGATTAACGCGACCTCGATGTTGATTGTCACTGCAAAAACACCTCAACGGGAAATTCAACAGGCAGATCGTTCTGAAAAATACCAAGTTGGAGCTGAACGCCATGGAATAGGGAAAGGGGGGGTTCGAGGGGAATGGTGACCTTGACTGTCTCAAAAAAGATATGCTCTATCACGCACATCGATATGGACATCTTCGGCCCACCTAAACACATGATTATCCGAAATCTCTGGAGATCCTTACCGTTGCGAAGAGGATTTCATGGGCGGCCCACGTAGAAACAACCAGAGCGGACGTCGCTTACTGCCTGCTTGGTTTCTTGGATGTGATATATGGCGAAGGGATGTATGCTTTCACGCCATTTCAAGAAGAAATACTGCGCCATACCAATGACCTCAATCTATTCACCTTGCGATCTAGGGAGGAGGATTATAGGTGTCAAGAGCTCAGGCTTTCCGAACCTTCATATAGAGGATGCTCGCTATATTCACAGGGAGAATTTAGTAAGTCATGAAACGTGTCTTCTTTGTTCAACTATATAAGACATTCCCAAATCACGATTCTAGAGGGCAGTCAAGACAGCAAATTCAGCGGCACCATAATTTCACCTTCCTTAATCTCATAAATTTCTCGCCGCTCAAACTTTAGACATCTCTCATCTCAGTCAACATAGCTACTACATTCGGTACCATCAATGTCGCCTAAGGCACCTGTGAGTTTGTCGATTCGATGCTTCCCCCCATCTCAGTCCTCCTCGTCCAACTACTGCGTCTGTGTGAATTTCGAAGGCTTCAAGAATAGCAACAGCAAAAATTCCAACAACACTCGTGTTAACATTAATACCATCTAGGCTTACAACATCTAGCACGAGCTGATCGGCTCCGGCGACGATTTCAACGTCGAAGGCGATGACAGCGATGACCAGTACGGAGAGATCAAGGTTGAGGAAAAGGGGAACTCCCAGTCTATCTGGACCGGATTTTGTAAGTGTGAAACTGGATAGAGCCGTAATAGCTGCAGTAGCGTGATGTGTCAACTGGCCTCATACTCAAATGTACAGTTGCTGGAAACGATGCCATTTGCATGGCTGCTATTATAGCCACTATGGCTCAGGGCAACAAGTGGTAGTGGACTGGTGACCAGGGCTCCTGGTGCGTACTGAAATTGTAAGCCTTGGTCGTCCTAGGCTTCTATGAAGTGACAAGTACTGACGAGGGTATGCCGCAAGTTACCAAGTGGATATGCACAACCATTTTTATGCTGTCCTGTGTTTGACGACCGCTTGTGAGTCCAGAATTGTTCCTACTTGCTCGAGTATCACCTGGATAATTGCATGTATTCTGTCTCCTAGTATTAGAGAATCATGCAAGATCCTCCAAGTTTCCGGGCGAAGTCTTCCAGGACCATTTTCTACCAGTAAATCCTCCTCTAGAGCTTTGCCTACGTGCTGGGTTTTCAATAGAATCCTTCGTGCAAATTACACCACAGAGCGGGCGAACGAGATTGTCAATGCCTTTACGTACGATATAGGAAGTTAAGTTAGACATCGGCAAATTTGCCGTATATGGATACCTTACTAGTTTAAGGGTCTGTACATGCACAGACACCACGCCGCAATCTAGTATTATCTCGTGGGAAACTCCAGCTTCCGATGAAGATGGCAGGTAATAGCATAGAGGTTTTTCTCGTTCTCCGCATTAAGCTTGCCCAATGTGATGAGGTAGGCGATCCAGGTCATAGCTATGTTTGTCTTGAACTTCCCTCCAAGAAGAGCATCCTGTACCTCCTCTAGGGCCATCAGCTCGAAATGATCTACCTCCCCATCTGACGGTGTAGGAATAATGTCTGCAGGAAGTTCGATGGTATAGACGTATTGTACTTGTGGTCCATGTCCCGGTTTTCCATTGGCGTCTGTGGGTAGATGAAAGGACAGAAGACCGTACGGCTTCAAATTCGCTCGTACGTAGTCCTGAGGTAGAGCAGCTTCTTCCTCGGCCTCTCTCACAAGTGCCTCTAGCGGAGTCTCCCCACTATCCAGGGCACCGGCGACGGTGACGTCAAGCATGTTTGGGTAAGACTTCTTGGTCTGAGATCGCGTGGGAACCCAATACCTGATTCCCAGCTCTGTACGTACGTAGGCAAGCAGCTGTGCACCGTAGACGACGCCTCCAAAGAGGATAATGGCAGCCCGATCGATGTTAAGGGCCACGTCTCCATCAGGGCCGAAGATGGGGAGGTTCTCATGTCGCAATGCCTTGAGTGCTTTCACCTCGGAGCTTTGGATCATGAGGTTCAAGGTCTCAGCGAACGCGGCGGATCTGTCCTCAGCATTGTCTCCCCGGTTGAGGGTCAAGGTGCGCTCATTGTGGTCAACGGACCAGAACTCTGGCCATTTGAAGGCTGTAGCGACATGTGAAGGTAGTAGTCCAAAGTTGCAGCGGAATTTGGCAAGACGGAATGCATAGTAGTCTTTGGTGAAAGCGGCGTAAGCTTCCGGCTCGTGCAACTTGTCTGGGAAGCTTTAATGGGTTTAGTAGGCACGAAATTGCAAGTGAGGTAGCTTCGTTCGTTGGAGTTCCTCACCCGTTGACCTCTTGCGCCAGCTCAAGGTAGGTCTTCATGATCCTTAGCGCTCGTTAGACACAATCTGTTTACGTGTTATGGTGTAGAATTGATAAGGCAGACCCACACGTAATTTGGGGAGGAGACATGGAGGGGACGAAAGGAGCTTTTGGGGAGGGGGTTAGCTGGACTAGCCGAGCAAGATGTATGCTTCCTGCTGCTTTCTATCATTGCCTTACCTAGCTTAGTATAATTGTTATATTTTAGCTGCCGTTCGAGAACGTCTAACCAACTCGTCGGAGGCAGGCAATGCAGCTAACCTAAACTACTGTACTCCGCCTACGGCCCCGTGTGCGGGGCTTTCAAGAGCCTGGCAAGCCTGGGAGTCTCCGGGTACCGTTTCCGTTTCCCCGCATTTTTGGCTGAGAAGGCGTGAGACTCTCGATATGTTATCGCAGGTACCACTGCGCCAACAAAAAAAAGTTGGCTGATGCACAAGTCTTAGTATGTAATATCTTGTAGTTTATTTGTGTTTACATTATGCGGTCGGGCTGTGTTACTTCTCTTGCTCCGCTGTCGTAATTCCCTTGCGAGCTTATATCTTGATCGTTGCGAACGCCACGGACCATGGGCTCAAACGCCAGGACGACCGGCAAAGTCGTAATCGCAGATCTGAATTACTACCTTGACCCAGCGAAAGGCGGGCATACATTCTACCAAGTAGGCACATCTAGGTATGTCCCACAGAAAGCCGCTATGAATCCTGATTTTATATTAAAGACTCCATCCAGCTATTACCGACGCAAGTACGAAACCCACAGCGTTCCAATCTACGATATCCGGGGTCAAGAAAATCACTTCATCCTAGAATCCAACGGCTTCCAATATCACAAGCATATCAGTATAGAGAATGACTTCCTCGATGATAACCAGGTAAAGCGGCTTGTGTATCCGGAGACTGAGCAGCTTATCAAGGATCTGTACGCCCCGACTTGAAGAACAACATCGAGTCGAGGCTGGGTCGCTAATTATTCATCATAGCACCGGAGCGAGAAAGGTTCATACCTTCTCTCACATGATCCGTCGTGATTCCCGAGAGGAAGTGGAAGCCGCTGTGAATGATGACCCATCCCTTCAGGACGGCAATGCCCCGATAAAGTCAGCCGTTCCTGCTCGATTTATCCATGTTGATTTCTCGGAGAAGGGCGCTTTGCGAATCTTACAGGATAACTTCGATCACGAGCTAGGAAAGGAGCTATCTCAAGCGCGTTGGGCCATTATCAAGTAAGTAGCTTACAGCTTTATAAAAAGTGCCTTCGCTGCTTAATATCCCTTGCAAAAGCTCATCAACGCATGCGCAGCCTTTGGCGACCAATTAAACCCATTGCAAAAGACCCCCTCGCTATCTGCGACAGCGCCAGTGTAAAAGACGATGATCTGATACCTGTCACCGCTATACTACCGCGGAACGGTAATGGCCAGTATGGTGATCTCTCTGGTGGCGATGAATTCGAGGCTTGTTACCTGCGATATAGTCCAGACGAGAAATGGTACTTTGTTGACAAGATGGAACCAGATGAAGTTCTTCTTTTCAAATGCTTCGACTCGTTGGATGATGGAAGTACCGCAAGGCGGTGCCCTCACTCGGCATTCATCAACCCGGATACTGCGGCTGACCCGACGAGGGAGAGCATAGAACTTAGGTCGCTGGTTTTCTTTAATGATACGGGTTTGTGAATATAAGGCACTTGTGACAACACAAGACGGACAATCTTGACACGCCAGTACTATACAGTAATTCTCCAGGGACGACTGAATACCCACGCTCGACCAGACTTTTGTTTTTGGTGTATAGCGGCCACAGTTACCATGCAGTTTACGGAGTTTGCACAGTTTGATACTAGTCTAGAGCGACTCTTGACGAACGCGTCTAAAGGATGTTCATCATCATATTCAAGAGCCTAATCGAGAGCTTTCGTGTTTCCTAGGCTTGGTTAGGCTAACCTGATTTACTCTTTGCTGCATCGCTATCCAATAGCCTTTTGACACGTTTGCAACTTGGTCAGGACGCCTCGTTCGCGCCCCACTACACACCAGACACACCACTTTATGACCACTGCAGCTGCTGCGGATACATGGTGTGATGCAGCCCCTTGTCCGGTGATACAGCCTTGCGCTTCCATGTTGGAAATGGACTGGTCAGATGCGAAAAGTAAGGCTTCGAGCACACCCCCTTTCTCTCCAATCAGCCTGGTGGCAGCGAAGACGAATGGCTTTCCTCACACTTGCGCGATTCTTTCAAGCCTTTTATGCTCACTCTATGCATAAACCTCAGACCTTCTGTTTGAATTGGCCAGGATGTGCGACCTCAATTTGGAATACAGCTGTAACAGGTAGCCTTATACGGCAGACCCAGTTTCGGGACCTCTAATTCAGCAACTGTCATTTGCAGTAACCAAGCTCAAATCATTCTCTTGTGGAACCATTTGTTCAAGCCGGTATAATAGAATAATATGGATCCTCTTTCGATCACGGCGTCTTCTATAGCTGTCAGCCAGCTGGCTGTTGTACTTACTAAGGGCATGCGCAAACTCGTCCAGTTGCGTCATGTTCCAGAACAGGTTCTGCAGCTGAACAATGAGGTACGGTGCGTGCAATCCACATTCAGATGATACACCAGTAACCACATTCGTAGCTGGCGGAAATCAACTCCGTGTTTGCTAAAGTCGATCATCTGATCACGAGGTCCTGTCTGGGGAACCCAGATGACGAGAAACTCTTACACAGCCTCCTCGACCGACTCAAAGATCCCATGTCCCAGTTGGAAAATCTGATAAAACTGCTATCAATCGACCACGATGATGAAAAGACTAACGTAGAATTCTCTAAGCGTGCATGGTTAAAGCATGGCTCGAAAGCTCAACGACTCCTCATCTCACTTAGAGAGCTGCGCGTCAATGTCAACGATGCGTTGCTCATCATCTCAGCGTAAGAAAATTCTCATCCGAAGTACTTCCAGCAGCTAACGAGGTAATCTAGAACTGAGAATGTTCATTTCCGTACCGAGCTTCGCGCTGTAGCCGTTGCAGCAGCACGGACTGAGAAGAGCAGGCTCCACGAACAAAGCAAGTCACAGCGTGGTCTCGCGGCCATTAATGATACGCTGTTGACCTTTGCGCCTCTTATGCAGCATATTCAGCAAACCTTGGACGATGATATGGAAGCCAGACAACATAATGGACGTGTCATTCGACGTAATGACACATGCTCAGGCCCTGGGTCTCTTAGCACCCAATACCAGCAGCCTATCGAGTTTCGCACAACTGTTCAGGCGCCGAAGGCATGCGCTGCAGCTTGCCCATGCAGTTGCCATCGCATGGCCGTTTTACAATATCCTGCCTGGGCAAAGGTACGCGGCACAATGATCTGCTCAGACATGGGATACAATGCTAACTAGGTTTGTCTTCAATAGAAACTCGTCGGGCAGCTCTTCGTTGGTTACTCGGGCATCCCCCTGCTCAACTCAAACGCATGCAGCGAACGATCCTGTAAAAGTGGACGCCGAGTACTAGTAAAGGTCTCTTACTTCTTTCCACGATGGCTCGTATCCAGAATGATCTTCTTTATGAGTGACTCCAACAGTTACGACCATGGAAGTCCCATGATCCGGATACCCAAGGTTGTGTCGTCAGATTCTGAAATCTTTATCCTTGCCCAGAAAGGCAATATTCCCGGCATGCAGAGATATTTCTCTGAAGGAAAGGGCTCAATATTCGACGTCAACGATACCGAGGGTCGTTCTCCGATCCATGTGAGTAGGCACTCTTATTCCGGCTTGTCGTCATGCTGAAATTTCCAGTTGGCGATATCTGCTAGGCAGCCAGAAGCATGCGCTTTCCTGATGTCACTAGGTGCAGATTCGAGAGTGGAAGACAGATTTTCGATGTAAGTTGTTATGTCTGGATCAGTACTGCTACGCCCTTCGGCACAGCTCCCCGCTCAATGGAGACTTCCAGCACCGTTGTAACAAAAGTCTACACTATGGTCATTGAAGAACAATTATGATGCCTTGCTGACATCAAGAAGCTCACCCATCGATCTGCTTTGGAATTACCTTCTCCAGAATGACCGCCGAGGGGACAAATCAGCCATGCAGTCTCCGTTCGAGGCGCTGCTCGATGATGGCGATGATCTAGTCAAACGGCGCCTCACCCCTCTCCATAGGATCATTTTTGGACTCTCAGAGATTGATTTAGACTCATACCTGCGACTTACCACAGCTGAGATTGACGTGCAGTGCTCGCATGGACGAACACCGCTGTTCTGGGCAGCGATTCGTCACAACCCTGACCACCTTAAGACTCTGCTTGCGTACAACGCATCTGTAGAGATTGCTGACAGCAGAAAGCAAACTCCTATACACGTCGCTGCAGCGTACGGGCTTTTGGAATCGTTGGAAGTGCTTCTAGAAGCTGCCACGAAGCCGTATGGTACCAGCCACGCCTCGACAAACCCCAAGTTGGCACGGTGGGTAAATGGATTAGACATCAAGGGAAGAACGCCTCTCCATGGTGCTATACATGGACGACAGCCGCAACACGCTGAAATGCTGCTCAAGTACGGGGCCGATGTGGACGTCCCGGACTCGGTTCTCGAGCAGACCGCATTGATGCTGTGCATATACTGGGGCCACAGTCACTTGATCTGGATCTTGCTTCAACACGGTGCGAGCTTAACTCTCCGCGACAGGCATGGCATGAACGCACTTCACTATGCTGCACAGTATGGAAGCGAGGATACGATAGACGCCCTCACGCAAAATATACCTCCCAACACTGATCTCGATCCGGATGGTGTCGACAACCGTGATAAGACAGCTTTGGAACTTTTTACATACTTACGGCCTCTGACATTGAAGGAGGAAATCGATACAAGGATAGAAGCCGGAATAGCCTTTCATCGTTTACTGAGGGTTGTACAGAGCAGATTCCGCCCGCTTGATAGCGAGACTTGTATACTGGATATTGGAGATGAAGACGAGTTTTTTGACTGTCCACTTGGTCCAGTCAGCGAAATCGCCCACAATTCTCCACCAGTATGAACATGCCGGCAAAAAGGAAGACGATAATGATAATCGCGAGAGCTTTCTCCAATGCTAGGACGCCGATACCGGAAGCGGGCTGAATGGCCAACTCCGCAACAACAGACTTGACAAAGTTGTTATCGACCTCGGTGAGTGCGACAATGATCAAAATTCAGTACTTCGCATCTGGGCTGGCATTGAGAATCATGGTCAGTAGCTTGGACAACGCTTGGTGTCGAAATTGCTGGAGGCTACATCGGTCCCCATGAGCGCGCTATATTACGCACGTCGATGACGAATAGTTTGGCGCAGGTGGGGTCGAAGAGCGTGTCGACGCCTGGATCCTTCTGAGGTACAACAACCCTGGCGAAGTCTGCAGCGAAGACGAGTTGCAGAGCTGACAGTAGGAGGACAAGACAACTCCACGCAGGCTACTCGATTAATCAACGAAGTCATTATTTTAACAATCTCAACAAGGAGTTTACTGATCAATTGATTTAACCCACAATCAGAGACATGTATATTTATCCAATATCACGCCCATATTGATTAGATCGATTGAATCGATTGACATGGTTTCCCACCCTCCCGCTCCTCCCCTTTTCTTTTTGTGCTTTAGCAGGTCCCCGGAGGTTCAGAAGAGGCTTGAATACTGGTATCCTCTACATCAAGCCTACATAAGCTCTGTCCTGATCCTAATCAACGTATGAGCTCATCAGCGATTCCATCAACCTAGTGAGTAACGAGGTTTTTTACGATATCACTTTCCAATCGGTGCTGACAAACTGTCAAGGTTGAACCGTGCCCGAGCGTCCGGGATGAGTCTGCGGAGGCCTGTTGGGCCACAGTGAACACGGTTGCAAATTGCTTTAGAAAATGGCCGGGAATTTATGTGGACGAATATACATACTGCTTCACGTGGCACTTTGCTCCATTTTCTGCAGCGCGTTTCATTTTGTCCGGTATTTCCATATTGATTTGCCGGCAGCAGATTTTGCTAATCTAAGATCTGGACTTTCTATTATTCGAGAGCATTGGGCTGTTGGGGGTTTACACCACGTCTGTCAGACCATGTACTAACAACATTAACCAATCTAATCGAATTACATGAGGGAGCAGACAGAATAACTGCATAAACCAAACTTTTTCAAGAGCGTAACAGTGTCAAACACTACACTGAATCCACGGATGGATACATCGGCGAATTTCGGAAGATCTTGGGCCTGTCCACGTAAGATTGGTGATACTAGTTGCCCCTTTACTACTGTTCCCGTGTCGGTACATTTAATCGGCTGCTCAATCCTGTTGAAAGAGTCAAACTTGCAAAACAACCTGCGCCCTGCACCATCCAGCAATCTCACAATATGTTACTGAAGTTTGCACGATAGGAGCTATTCTGTTCATGACTACTATAGCCTTACTTGATTTTGCAGTGCGACCCTGAGTCAAACTCTGTTGTAATGGCGAAAAGCACAACTTATCTTGTCCTTGAGCCATCTTCCTCTCTCCACTCTCGTGGCTAACCTCACCCGAGTATTGCCAACGTCCTGGCCAATTTAGAACCTCACAACCTCAGATGGTTCAATTACAAACGCGTAAAAGGATATGTTTTCTAAGCTCGACATCGATATCACCGATAGACTATCTGATCAGCTTTGTGAGTTCACGCTTATCACGACTTAAGAATCGTCCGTTGGCTTCGGATAAGCCTCCAGCAATTTTCCATGCGTAATCTGCGTTATATTTTATACGATAACGGATCCCGATCAAGGGTTTCTACTTATCTAATAATTTCACTATATTTGCTAACTGATTATGATGGTATCCATTAGTTTTCTAAAATTCTTTGAATTAATATTGTATGTTTTGTTACAAGTTAAAATAAGAGCCTTTTGGTGTAGATTGGGTGAGATCTGTCGGATTTTTCTCCCCTCTGCGAGCAATTCACTCGTCAACTGAGCTATGGTGGTCTATACTACACCTTAACTGAGCTGTGCTATGAGGGGTCACGAATGTTGATTGGCTGCAGCCGTTCACTCAAGCTACTTGATATTTTCGCGATGCCTTTGTATTGGGATAAAGATACCTTCGATTCAAGTAAAGAGACGTTAGAATGCATTTCAAATCGCCTGCGAATTAATTTTATATACAGTTTAAGTAAATGGCTCGGGTTAACGGATCTAGCCAATCAATGGCTAAGGGCAACGGTCGCAGCCAATCAAAACTTTAGTAAACCCCCCAAAGCACACAGCTCAGTTGAGCAGCTTAGGTGTATCGACCCACAACACAAACTTGCAAGGGGGGTGGGGGTAGGCTAAGCTTTGTAGTCTCTGTGAATGTTTGTTCCAGTGCGAATAATAGGTTCGTCCGTACGTTACAACCAGATACGTTTCAAAAACGCACTGGCCGACAACTTCCATCTTAACTGCCACCTCTAATGTTTTCCCTCCATACCGTCACAAACCAAACCCCCAGCAGTCCTTTTCAAGTTTCTTATCCAAAAAGGAAAATGAAAATACCGATATGAGTGCCACTCCGACTATCGCTAATAGTGGCGGGGCAAGAATTGGACTTTGCAATTTAAGAGCCAAGAATATCATTGATAAATACTGACTGAGGCACTGTCTAGAAGGAGTCGCCGCTCGGAACTTTGAGAGCAGCGTTTCTGGTGTGGAACCGCTTGACGATGCGCAGGTTACATTTCCAGTGGTACCAGAGTAGACGCCTTATGATACTCTCAACCTCAATTAATTGGCATGAACCACTGAACTCACCGTAATATCTCACGAGAAATTAAAATTACTAGTAGTGGGCTGGTAAATCCTCAATTTTGAGAATTTATACATTAGAGTGGCCAGGATAGTATTGACAGTCTGTACCAGACACTTACAGTAAATGACGATAGGTGCCGATTGCTAAAAGATGGAGAGCGACGCGCCCATTAGTTCCAACTGAAGTCTTGGTAACGATGTTATAGGGAAGCAGTCGATCGACTAATGCAGTTTTTGAGCTAAGCGAGACACTGCGTTGGGAATATTAGGTAAAGATAGTTGTTTTATCCTCTTAGGAGATACCGGGATTCTGATACACGAAGTCTAAAGAACACTTCAAGGGAGCCTACAGAGTCACGAACGTTACAATGTAGCGTATGGAGTGGCTGTGCTCCTAATACCAACAAGTGGGTATAGCCCGCGATCAGAATCTACTTGCTTAGTTACTAATGTTACAATGCAGTTAGTAACTCAGCGACAACCATCGTATGAAAGGCTATGCTTCTTATCTCAACCATGCAGATCTGTGACCAACGATGGAGGCTTAGTTACCAATCTGTCAACGCAGTGAACTTTGACCTCAACAGCGGTCTCAATCGGCCATCCACACAGCATCCGCATCAGCAGGCACAACACCTCGAAATGGGTGTTCATCTAGCCAAGCACCTGCAGTGGTCTTCTGCGCGTATTTATTATAGTATTTGTCCAGGGCGAAATTTACATCTACGTCTTATTAGCGGGTTTCGAGAGTCCGTACAATTAGGTACTATCACCTTGGAGCGGAGTGCCACGCGACGGCTGCAGTGAAAATCGTGCAATAGTACAATTGTCATAATCAATCGAGTGATATAATTGGTCCCGGATAGTTAATGAACTTGTCTAGCTCTAAATACCGAGATGGAAAGTTTCCTTAGTCAGTATTCGACAAAATACACAGCAACAGTGGCTACAATCGTTCGTCTGTTGCAGGAGACCATCGGCTTCTAAGTATTCCTCTTTCACTAAGAAAAAGAATAAGGTGGGATCCTCTTCGGCTCAAGGGAAGGAACCGGCTAATGTAGGAAAAAAGGTGGCTTGGTCTTACATTTCATAGAGGTATTGACTGCCGAGATCTTATGAACCTCGCTTGCCAAGCCCGTAAAGTTTTTGGCTGGCGAGACTGTATAGGTCTCAAATATCTGAGATCTTCGTCTGGTCGTAACCGAATAATGTTGACTTGAAAGTACCAAGGCTAATATGGACAACTATCCGTACCTCCTTCTTACAATAAGCATGAGCTTTCTGGTCGCCAAATGTAGCAAGTCATCATGGACTCAAAGAAATCCAGACCTCTATACTCATGCATTATTATCGCCATAACTAGCACACCAACCCATCTTCATTCAACTCATTTGACATTACGTCGTATATGTTCTTCATACCTTTGGCCCCAATATATTCTTCTTGTATCAACAATGAAGACGTTTTTCGGCGGCAGTGTTGGCCTCTTGACCGCCGAGGCCACTACTTCGCAAGCCGTTACAATGAGGCACTTTCTTTTTCATGGCTGCGGTGGGGGATATGGACAATGCTCTTCCATTTTGCCGGGACAACGATTTACCGCCGCTGTGTCGATTTATGGAACCGACTCATCAGTCAAGTTTTAGCAAGCGCGCTGCGCCAAAAACTAGCGCCGCATATGTTCGTCTGAAATGGAATCTAACCTGGCTAGATAGTCGACGAAAAATGTGCTTTCCAACGGGCAGATGCTTAGATCGGGCAGAGACGTGCCAGAGGCTGATGCCGGTCTTCTCTTCCAATAATTATATGATGATGTCAGGGTGGAGGATTTCTCAGAAGAGCTGCGGAAGCGCGCACATTATGAACGGTTGGACGCCAGACCTGTCGAAGGGATGATTTTGCGTTAGTTGGTGTTTTTATGGTTAGAGGAGGAGCCTCGTCGCGATTGACAACGTCGGGGCTCACACAAGTGGGGCTCATGTCGCTAAGCGCTGCTTGGTACACAGTATGGCAAGTTCCTATGTGGAGGATTCTCTTGAGGCTAGTCAATGGTCGTGATGGATTCAGACAGCCATGTTGCAGTGACCATTACCATCCTCGCAGGTTCTGTGAGCCCATAATCATCATGATTATTTCGTGGGATGTCCTAGTAGCAAGTGCGAGGTAATTCCATTAAGTGGCCATCGTGTTCGTGTGGGGGTATCACATAACCTAATTGACTTCCTTGTCTAACCCAGTGTACCTGGATTATTCGCTATTAGATCTTCAGAAAACTGAAGCATCTTATAGGCTACAAGGCCTTTCAGATTAGCATATAAGCGGTCAAGTGAACGGCAGTGTTATAACTATACTCTACTGTCGCCGAATGACCGCATTGTTGATTGGACTATATGATTGCTGGCAACATGAGCCCCTGCTCGAACTCTGTCGAGTTGTCAACAAGGCCACTGAGACAGCTTGTGTTACACAAATCATCAGCTGCCTTGCTCCACACCCACATGTCCACAGTACGTCTCAAATCTCCACGTCTCCATCTTGAATCTCGTCGCTGACCATTCCGTTCGTTTTTGAAAGTGTTTTCAATTGTAATAACCGACATGGATTTCAACAAATCAGATCATTCCGAAGCAATTCGAGTGGGTTTACTTGCCCTATGGCGCAATTGGCAGCGCGTCAGACTGTTATTCATGGATTCCTTGGGTAATCAGATCATCTGGAGGCTCTGAGTTCGACCCTCAGTGGGGCAGTATTTTTGCTTTTGATTCCTCCATGAGGATGGCCATCTTACGAGCTTCCTGACGTGATCCAGTTTACGGATCTGTATAGTCAATTACCTTCTGGTGATAGATATACTTCTTTGGTTATTCACAACTGTCCGTTTTGTAACTATTGTATCCATCTAATATACCAATGGTTATAGGTATGGGCTCTTAGTTTGTATTGTCATCCCATAGCATCTCGGCGTATTCTCCGGAGCGCCAGCGCCTTTAAGAATCACCACCCAAACGACATATACGACTGCATTCCTGTACGACATATCTAATTCCATGATATTTGACTCTGTAGAATATGAAGTGATAATTAACCACTGTCATATATATACAATAACCAGCGAAAGTTACACAGCAACCGCGTCAAATACTTTTTCGCAAACTACTACGAGTCAAGATTAGAATGATGCATGGATGAACCAGTAATAGTAATGTGATCAATTCGGTGATCGCTTCCGATTGTTGCCGGAGGTTTGGAAAGCGCTAATGGATCACCCCCACCGCAAGTCAGATCAGTTCACCGCTACCCCTACCTGTTCTGTCAATTTCACATAATTACACTTTTCTTCCCATACCATCCTGTATACACGCTCGAGTTTCGCCCTGCATATTTGTTGGCCAATCATCAATGGACAGCCTAGAGTATACACAACATGACACCATTGGCTGCAATTCATTGCCATTGGAGGTCTGGATCGAGATACTTGGCTATCTCATAGATAAGGACCATCTTTCAACAACTTGGCTATCATGTCGTCGCGTTTCACATCTCCTAAAATCTGCAGCTGAGAAGGCATATACCTATGATTGCATTCGAAGATGGAAAGTGCACCTGCTTCTGGGCTACAGGAAACTGGGTCCAAGGGCTAATTCTACGACTGAGAGATGGACGACGGCTACAACACTTCTCAAGTTTACGAAACTCTCACCAGATGGAGAGCGCATCTATTTCGAGGATGCGGGATTAGGCGCGCCTAGATGGGGTGTTGACCAGCTGGGAGGCGACCTACACCTTGTGGCCCGCTGTCTGAGAAGTGGGACAATGGAGCTGATAATCGGTTCCGGAGCGTACTCCGTGGGGACGATTGACGCTATGCTGGATATCAAGGAGGGCGATCTCCCAAGTATCGAGCTGGATGTTAACAGAGAGACGAGGATAGTCTCTTATCAATGGAGGCCTTTGCTGAGCACGTTCCTGGAGAATGCGCATGACGGAAACCCGAGGGCTTTCTATGGGACATATGGAAAGACAAAGCCGGGGCGTATTGTCAGAGGTGTTTAGTTGCTCTCGCGGTTACAGCGGAAACGATATTCCTACTGAAGCCCACTTGGCGATTACATCTTTGGAAGCGTCACGGTGCTTGCGACCCCTGCGTGAAGATGAGCACAACATCAGGTACGGTTCAGATCTCAGTTGAAAGCTTCAACTGGGAAATATGAAGGATCGCGGGTTTGTTCATATGAGACCACATTGGGCTGACTGTCGACTTGTTGGCGGTGAAGAGAGTCTCCGCTAATCCAATCCTCGCTGCCAAAGTCATGGATGGTGTTACAGAACTAGTAGTAATGTCATTGATCAGACGCGATCAACCCACCGAGAACTGGGTAGTGTAAGCACTGAAACGATGGACGAGACGTAGCTGTTTTGCACCTGGAAATCTTTCCGGCGGTCTTTTCTGGATCATGAGAGTGGTCGAAGCTCCTATATAATGGCCGTACTACGCCCTTCTGTACTTTAACTGAGCTAGCTTTGATTAGAACAGGAACGCCAAGTAGTAAGCGCGATAAAGTATTTCATATCGTTCGGCCAAATTATCTAGACCTCCAGAGCCCCTCGACCAGCCTTACGTTTCCGAGTAAACCATGACGGGCTGATAGATTTAGGATGGAAATATGAGCTATAGAAGTAATCACAGAGATAATGAGCAGCCCAAGCACATTATAGAGGCGTGAGCAATCATACGATCTTCTTAATGATTAACAATACAAAGTCCCTAGCAAATACCATAACTTTCCGGAACGAAATGTACAAATATGGATGTCTTTCTGCTCTGTACGTTCTCATCTAAAGATAACGAGTTCTGCCAAGCTCAGACAGGGAAATGAACCTTCATGAGAGCCAATAGCAGTTTTGCGGCAAATTATGCCATGGCGGACGCACGGCTGGACGAGACAGTCGTGGTTTGGGCGTGCTTTTAACGTCCCAGATCCCAGGACCCTGCGCAAACGCAGCCACAATTAGGGACGGCTGAAAGGACTCTTGATTTGGCTACCGGGACAAAACGAAGATTTCGGGTTTACAGGCTTTTCGTCCTTAGGCATGACGTAAATGGGGTGATGCACTATTCCTACTACATGGATAGATGTGACACCACTCAATGCTGATCACGACCACTGATTAGACTACGAACAATTTCGTGATTGAGATGCTAAAGTCAATACAATCGCTGGCTCTTGATGGCCTCGACGTTCACTCCGGTTAAGCTTATATACTATTCACGTGTTGGCTCAAGCTTTCGCGAGGCCTTGGTAACACTTAGTCTTTACTCCCAACAACTTCGCATTGCAGATACTCTACGGTCTCTCCAGGTATTCATTCTTAGGTATAAGTGATCCAGGACTCTGCGTTGCTTATACTTACCTAACGTGTGCCTCCAGAACCTCAAAACGAAGATGTTTGAAACTCTTGTACCATCTCAAACCAGCTCTGACTATCGTCGGAGCCGACTGAGCAACGAACGAAGCGTTTTTCGACTGGGTAGTATCTAGATTGAGCTGCATTGTTTTTCATGGCATCGAGACCCCTGTACGTGTCCTGACTGATGTTCTTGTGGAGACCGGCTTCTCGAAAACCTATCTGCTCCACATCTGCGGCAGCAAACCGTATTCTTGGGCGCGCAACTTTCGACCTTGCACCAGCAGCAAAGGCGTTGCTAAGGAGACTCGTTCTGGTACCGACCCCAAGGCATAGCGGCCTTCTCTGGAACATGGATGGATGAATAAATATCGGCCCATTATTGACATCCTCGTCATCGTCGATAGCACACTCATCGACGACAGACCTCACAGCGGCTTCGGCCGGGGTATCCCCTGATGACAGCGTGACACAAGGGGTTTCTTCTCTTGTGATCGTTCTCTGCCACTGGCCACTAAGGCTCTGTTTCCCTAAATCAATGCACCAGCCTCCTAACTTGTGCTGTTGTAGACAGCCAGTAATCATGGTAGCGGAGTGATCAGAAGAGAGAATCAATACTTGTTGCTACAATGTCCTGTACTGTGCACATTGCAACTACCACGAGTGTATATAAATATCCCGCCTTTGTTTTAGACAATGTCCTTGTGCCTCAGAGCCTCAATAAACCCCCTTTGTCAGGCCCCCCTTGGTCGTAATCAGTAACCTCCTTGTCCGCATTGCTTTGTTCTCCCGCGAAGGAGTTACGTTTCGACAAGGCAATTGTTCTTCTTTGCTTCTGGATCGTGCTGTGCAACTGGAGGATGATATTATCCAGTCACATGGAGCAACCTTTGTCTAAGGCGCCTAGAACGCGGGAAGTTGAGTAGGGTATCGATCAAGTATATTCATACTCTTTTATCCGCCTGTAAATATGTATGCCGAGAAATAGAGGTAATCCATCCTCTGGGGTGTGGGACACGAAATCATGCCCAAAGCAATCAGGCCATACCTGTTGAACTCCAAAACCGTGCCAGTCGACCTTTTCCATGCTCCTCTCTCTCAAGTATTATTTATTCTGGCACCTTAGACAGTCCCACTGATGCTCAACTCCCTGATCTCCTGCAGGACCTGCTCGACCCGGCTGTCCAGATGTCCTTGGGCGTATTGATCTCTCGTATCGGCATCGAGGTATTGTTGTACTTGGGCCATTCGACTGTAGGCTTCGGCGCAGAACCGGAGTTGAATCTTGACGAGAGCCTCGAAGCTGGGATCCAGGTAGGGCACTCGCAGATCGATGAGCTGTGGTAGTTCGGCGGAGAGCTGGTCGTTCAATTGTTCGTACGCAGCTCTGGCAATCTCCATCTCCTTCTCCGTGCGAGGGAGTTTGGTGACGTCCTTGTCGGGCTTTTCGGCAAGCTTCTTGACCTTCGCGCGTAGAGCATCGTAGTCTAGGAGTTTATGGCCTCGCTTCTTGATACCTGTGGTGACGTAGAGTGTCAGCAGGCAGACGGAATACAGGGCCGGGGGGGAGGCAGACTGGGACTTACACTCGTTCACGTCAGGGAAATATGCGCAGAATCGGTTTATGGGCTCGAGGACGGTGGTCCTGTATGGACCGTCCAAGGCCTTGATGGTCTCTGCATCGAGGTCCTCGACGGCTTGCTTGTAACTCCTGCTTACGCCGTCCTTGGCACCGGCGTCCCCGTAGAAGGCATCGATGGTCTCGGCAATGCGCATTTGAGAGGCGGTCATGGCTCTGAGGGAGTCGAGGTATCCCTTGGCTTCCTTCTGCAGGCGCAAGGATGCGGCTTCCATGGTTCGGAAGCGTCGCTCTTCCACCTCGTAGTCGCGGTCGTTGGTCTTTTCGACGTGGCCCGTCTTCATCATCAGCTGGGTCGCGCCGCGGTTGACATTCTTCTTGAAGCCTGTGAGTGGAGGAAGAGCTGTCAGCTGCCGTGACGGATTCGACCAGACTGTGTGTTGAGAGCCGACATACCTGCCCACGACATGTTGGCTGCTGCTAACGCTTGTCGCTTGCTTGTCTATGTCTGTGTCTGCGTTTGCGTCTATATCTTTAGTCTGCGACTGCCGAGAGGGGGCCGGGCAACAGTCGTAGAGTGGGTGGATGGTTTGCTTGTGGTAGAGTGTGGGGGGACGTGTAGGTGTCACAATCGCAATCGCCGTAAGTATATCACAAGAATAGCAGTCGCAACGCAAGGCAAGAAGCAGAGGCCAGAGCGCTGTCAGAGTCGTCGCAGAATAGTAGTGGTGTGGTGGTGAGCAAAGTCGAGATTACATCAGGCTCCAGTGCATGCTTTATTGTTGGACAGAGACAACACAACACAGCCCACTAACTTAGCCGTAGAGCCCCGGCCGAACACACGCTGTGGCTGCTGGACGGCTCGCTGCTGGGTGCGCAGGAGCGGCGCTTCAGTCCCAACGTAACTTGACCTACGTGCAACACAGTCCAGTTAGTGGATTCCCTCGTTATTTAGTGACGAAGTGTTTGTGGCTGAGTTGTGTTGGCGCAAAGGTACAGTGCCCGTATCTTAGCATCACAGCGCTTTGCAAGTCTCTGACTTTTGTAAATAAAGTAATGAGCCGGACAGCCGGACCCCCCAAAATTGTGGTTTAGCATTACCCCAAAGTCCACCCCTCCCTGCCCTCTACCAAGCAAGCCAAGATATTCTCATGGCACCGACGTCAGAGTTTGCGCCACACTTTTAGTGAGTGCGTAGCTGCTCGTTGCCAAGGGACCCCGAAGGCCAACCTCATTTGTGGCTTGAGAACAATTTCACTTCAATTCATCCCCAGTCATTTCTCTCATGTTCGTCATGTCTACAAGCCTTTTAGTCACCTTGGTCATATGGAATTGACTTTCCCCGGCATCAGCTTTGTTGTACCCTTGCAATTCTTCTGTGCAACTAGGTCGATCTTATGTACTTGGGGAGGGTTTTTTTTTTTTTTTTTGCGTAACTCGAGCACCACCCCGATCAAATCACACGCCACAATGTCAACACCACGTTTTCTCGTCCTTTCCATAGGCAACCCTCTCGCCATCTACAATTGTCTTCACTCTGCCGGCCATTTCGCCCTCCAATCTTTCCAGAAACTGTTAGCTCCCAATCAGCCATCCTGGACACCAGAAAGCCATGGTCGTCAACCATGTCTAACATCTACAGGCCAGCCGTACATGTTGATACAGAGCCCAACTCTCATGAACGCTTCTGGTCCCTGGGTATCCGACGTATGGCACGAAACTTTGGAGAAGTTTTCCCTGAAACCAGCTGACCTCGGTCTGGTCGTTGTACATGATGAGCTGGAGGATGGTCTTGGTTACACCCGTCTTCGGTCCTGGAACACGAGCCACAAAGGCAACAATGGTGTCAAAAGCATCAAAGCTCATCTCAACAAACAGGAACATGCGGATGCCAAGTGGTGGCGTATATCGGTCGGCATCGACAGGCCACCGAGTCGGGAACCCGAAGTGGTTGCCGAATACGTACTGCGGCAGATTTCAAAGGAGCAGAAGGACGTCATCGAGGAGCAAGCCGGTTCTCGGATTCTGTCATGTCTTCAAAAGCTCGAACAGGGTTGGAAATAAGCCTGTTCTTACGGATCCGTACAAGACCACTACGCAGTTGGCATTAGTATGTGCCAAGGGCTCCACCAGGCCAGTCTTTGCATCGAGCGCCCCTGGCCCATACCCGCCTGTTGAGAAGCCCGACATGGCTCAATAACAGCAACGTAAATCCGGCCGTGGTTCAATCCGGCCACAGCCAGAGACGTAGTCAACAAGTAGCACGAGTGACGAAGAGGATTTACAGCTTAACATGGGACGTTGGGCGTAGACATGCATATGGGACAAAGTGTAGCTTCTTATATGTGCCCACGACCTTCCAGCCCCCTCAAGGAACTACCAGAAGTAGATTGGAGGTCATGCATCACGCAGCATCAAGCGGTTGTTGGTTCGCGTCGCATATGTATGCTTACCGAATAGACTCAGGGCAATTGCGACATTGCAATTGCTTCCCGCGTATTGGAGAGTGGTTGGCCAGTGCGGTTTCTGCAGAGGTTTTCAATTTGTTGCTTTAGAGGAGTAGCCTTTCACCATCCGCCTCCTTATGACAAACAGGGCTCGGCTTGACCGCATCTACAGTATATCAGGTCGAGTAGATCTATCAATGACATGACATCTTGCGGGTACGAAGGCTTTCTCATATAGTACCCACACATCTGGCGATGCAAACCGACGCGTCAATCAATCTTGGTGAGCTAAGTTGAAAGGCAAGGTATTACAAGAAGCCGGTCGGCATCATCAAAAGCACGTAAAGACTAACTTTATTAGAAAGAATAGGTTACTTAACCTGCAGCGATTGTTTGGAGGCCGGTCGGTAATGCAAAACTGTGGTTGATCTGCAACTGAATCCGCGTTGAAATGTGTGACGATATACGCCGCACAGCCAACGAGCTCGTAGACACATGCTGTGAGTTCCGTGAAGTCATTCATAGCAGTGCTTCATTGGCAAAAACCACAAGCTCGGTTGGTGCTAGTATTTGGTGGGTGTGATGAACCTTTTTGCATCAGGAACGATGTCGCGCAGGGATTGAGAAAACCCACAACTGCCATCACTCAACAGTCTTATCTAGGTGAGGGTCTTCTTCTCGGCTTGTAGAAACGCCGTGGTTTATATACTACAATGCGCCATCTAATCAAACATCATCATCACAGGAAAGAGAATCATTCAACCCGTGGGTGGCCAAATAATCCGCCAAGTGTCCTATCCTACCAGTACTGAATTGGGCCATTCCTCCCGACTTTTGTGGATTTCATTCTCATCTGGTGCTAAGATTCAATAAATTCATCGACCATTTTGAGCCTAACAACGTTTGTGATGCGTAGAATAGTCGACAGGTACTTGGCGTAACCTGAAGTGAGATATTGGTGCCAGGCCATCGAAAGGCATTGCCTGCAATAGGTTCAGTGGAACTTGCCGCGGTACTGCTACACTCTGCATGCCTGCCAAGTGGGTGCGCCTGGCCACTCGCGATGCGGTTGCGAGGAACCTATCCGAGGACTGGGCGAACCGGGCATCTGAGGCTGCAGTCAAGCGCGTAAAGCGTAAACAGTAATGGAGCGGCCTGACGGAGCGGCCAAGCATGGAATTGTATTACAACTGATGAATGTCTATATCACATATCAACCAGCTCCTCCACGTGAATATCCGATGCTAGCTACGAGGAGTAGACTATCCACAAAACCTACGTGCAAATTTGCGACGAGTCTATCATGTTCTGATAACTGAAGTCGCAGAGGCCAAATGCACGACGCCATCTTTTACTCACTTTCTATCATGACATTTGACACATACTAATGGACGAAATAAATACATTTACTAATCCGTTGGTCCTTTGGCTCATTAACCCCTCAGCTAATTCCATGCACTGGTATCGTCCCAAAAGATGGGCCGTCGTTGGCCAAACTGCTGGACTGAGAGAAAACAGAAGGCGTAGACTGTGCACCACGACAAAGTGTGCTTCCCATACGGATGAAGGACGAATCTGACGACTATGCTCACACTCTCTCTCTGATCCAGCACCGGCGATTTGCGATGGACTCTTCGGCCGAATAGTCGATAATGGGTATAGAATATCTAAAATGGACATTAAACCCTTTGTGTTGGCTGGCATGGACTCAGTCGTGCTAGACTAGTGGCTGGACTCAGAAGGTCATGTAGTTTGTGTTGGTAGGAACCAGGAGTATTGTGCTCGTTCACCCAATCCAGGTTACTTGTGAAATCCGAAGAACTTAACAGCATTCTATGATTCCATTTTTGTATGGCATGGTTAACTCTTCTCAAAAGAGCCTATAGCAACTGGTCGATGTTAAAGGAGTCCTACTGTTGGTTGGATGGTATAGAGGACACTTTCGCACCAGGCGTGATAAGACAAAGACATCACCAAGCCAATTCGTCACTCATTGGAAGGGTTCCCTCCACATTTCACAATGTCATCCGCTAAGAATCTCGGGTATTCAAGCACGTGGAGTTCATGCAACTCCGGGCTCTAATATCTGAAACTGATCCTTGTCCGAATCCAATAAAGCCAGCGCATCAAACGGAAGCGTGACAATCGGAGTCGTGTGCCCAATATCAATACCAAACAGAATGGGAAATTTTTTGTGCGCCAGGCGTCCTTCGCAGAGTAACCCCTTGATGACTCCAGTATACTGCTCTCTTTCTTCCTCAGTATCATAGCCAAATGGTCTTCCCACCACCAATCCTGCTGCTTCATCGAATACACCAGCAGCGATCAAATCAGCAAAACCGGCTTGAACCCTATATATAGGGTTTCCTGAATGTTCGTCCTCGCCCAAGGCGGTCTCAAGAAACACGATCCGGCCGCGCCAGTCGGGTACAATGGCTGGGACCGCCTGTAGTCGTGCGACGACAGTCAGACATCCGCCAAATAGGCGACCCTGCGCCTTGCCCTCGCGCAGCCAGCTCCAACCCGGATTCGCAGTCAATTTGGGCGGTTCCTTGGAGCCTGGCTCGGAAAAGACTTGTGCAGGCTCTGCCGCGTATGTGAGTGATCGTGGAACAGCACCAAGGGGCTTTCGTTCCTCGATCACTCGAAAGAGATGTTTGACGCAAAAGGCAAGCGATGAAGCCTCATCATCAACGGAAGAGGCCTCGCCGAGCTCTGGTATAGCGCCTGGACCGTAGAATGTGCGTAGTCCAGTGAGTGCGTAAAGAAACCAGTGTAGACCAGTGATGTCTGAAAACCCTACTACGATCTTGGGATTGGCACGAATCGTGGCGTGCAGCTCTGTATCTGCAATAAGAGCCGGAAGCAGCTCCGTGAATGATGATCCTCCAATTGTGCATATTATAGCGGAAATCTGAGGATCTGAGAAGGCCGCGCGAATTTCAGATAGCCGGTTCGAGATGCTGTTTTGTATGCTGGTGTCCTTGTTGAAGAATGTTCGAACATTATAGCCTCTACCTGAGAGTACGGCGGTCGCACGCGACATGACCTCAGGCATTTTATCGTTCAACCGTGCTGACGGTGAGATAAATGCTATTGTCGCACCCGGCTGTAGAGCGTTTGGGATTATCGGTATGGCCATTGCGATGGTTGGATGCTAAATTGGTGTTTTGGTTGCTGTTTACCTGGAACTTTGTTAAATAGCGCTCGTTCACTCTATCGTAGTAGCATTTATACCTGTGTCGCTGCGGTTATTATAGTGCCGGAGAGCGATGAGGTGATCAAATCATCGCTGCGGGGTTTATATCCTAAGATTGAGTGCTTACTTGCCGGTGACTCATTGAGGTCATTGAAATCATCCTGGAGCACTCCGCTTACACCAGGTTAGCGGTTGCCAGCGGGTGTGCCAAAGCACGCAATGGGCCTATGTCAGATCCTGTACTAACCTACACAACTTCGTTAGGCGGCGCATCTTGGTTCCGATCATCATCCTCGAATTCAACTTGCCTTTCCGCTGTCTCTCATACCCAGACGATCAAAAGCCTTGATCAAGGTTTTGATGGGGCTTTGACTTATGATTTCTTTTTTGTCGCCGATTGCAACTTTCTTACGTGTGTCGTCGGTCCCGTGAGCACGAGTTATTGCAGCTGAGGATGAGTAACCAAGACGAAGCGGACTTCAAGGGACAGCTTTTGTCACCGCTAATTATGCATTTCTGCATAAATCTGGAGCTTGTATGTATCCTCAACGCAGCGATTTATAAGCTCGAGATTGACAAGTCTCTTTGGTAGAAACTCAGAGAGGTCATTGTTATGTATACCGGCCAGATGCATCTCGGCCGATGTATGAAGACGATCAGCATCCAGTAGGAATTAGGCACGATGCGCAAGACCTGCATTAGGCCAAGTAAAGTCACCAGGCTGGTCCTTTGCACGGTTGAGAATCTCTGTTCTCATTGAACGTTAACATGAGAAGGCTCATCAAGCCTGAACCGCATAGAGTAACATTGAAGGCGCAATGACTGTACTGAGTTGTGAAGGTGTCTTACGATGTCATTCAAAGTTGGCTCGCCTTCATGGTCGTTATGGGACCAAGCACATTAACGTTAGCGTCCATGTGAAACTCAAGAAACTTTATACCTGCCTTGGAGGAGGAAATCTTCTGTTGGACAAAGTTAGCTCATACACCGTGAGAGATACTTTAGCTGAACAACCTTGTGAAGTAAGTTGGTCGGTTGATTCACAACGTGCAGGGACTGGCCAGCTGGAATCACAGGACAAAAGCTGGCAAGCTATCATCGCTGTAGAAGTCAAAGCTTTCGAGGTTGGACACTCACGATGATCCAAGCATTGTTAGAAGTATGCCTATCATCGCCCATTAGTATTATTTCTTGTGTCTCCCCAAGATTGGATGGTCTCAAGTAAAAGTAGTAAAGGGTTGTCATGGTGGCTATGCTCGGTCGGTGCTATTTGAAGATCCGGCAACGACCGTGATGGTCTTCCCACCGCTATAATTGATTTCAGTAAGAAAGTAGTCTAAGGATATTTTAAGGGTTGATCAAATACCGCTATCACGGTAAAGCATCATTCGGTGAACCTCTCTGAGTCAGATGTTCTGTTGTGGGGGGCCTGGTTGATTAACCACCTGGTCTAATACATCCATGATGAATCGCTGTTGGTGGGCCACATCGGCGGGTTCAAGGACCGAGTTAGGGTCTCAATGACTTTGCATGATAAAATTCTTCCCAAATGTTCCATGATTGAATCTCTTGTACGGATCCGTAGTCGAGAAAATTGATAAACCACGCAACACTGTGAACATGATGACACACTCTAGTACCAAATATAGTCGATTAAAACAACTTTGCGTAACTGAAAAGAGTCGTTAGAATTTTTTTAAATTCCTTTTGCGGCAAGCAATGGGGTCGGGATCCGATTTATGCTTTTTTATTCTGCACTATGCATCGACACAGTATTGTGCGCTTCTGATTGTAATCCCGTAGCAAATTGCTGCTTGACGATCCGGTTCAAAAATATCATGGCGATCTTGGCTGTTATAACAAGAGCAAAAGAGAAAAGAGATTCTTTGGAATTGCTGTCTCTCCAACTGCATGCAATACCCCCATTTTTTAATCACCTTAATTTTCATTATGGCAGATCAATATTATTGTGTTTAGAACGGGACCGAGTTCATCAAGTCGCTTCAACTAACAAGCTACCCAGAAAGATCACCACCAGGCACACAAGGAATGTAGACAAGACTATCAGAAAAGTAGTCACGCGAATAACAAGCAGATATTATTTCATAATTTCTTGGATCGGTCCTTGATGCTCAAATCAAACCGAAAAATCGCATGTAATAAGTCAACCATTGCACACAAATATATAGTTCTTTCTAGTTTGGTTTCCAAGATCGCAATACTTTCCATTGGCAGCTCATGTGTGCTACCTGCTTTCTAGGAAGTACCTGTCCCTTCGTAAAAGTTCTTCATCTGACTCTTGAGATGGTTTAGCTTGAACCGTGCCTCGCCAATTCTATCGTCGCGGTTCACAAGCATACCGGAGATTCCCCCGCTCAAGCGTGACGCTGATACTCGAAACTGGGTGTCAGAGCTTATCCGGTATCGGACTGCTATTGGTTATATAAGGGCTGTAATCCTCCATATGTGATGGAGAGTAGGGCTCAGCGCGTCAATACTAGCACCCTAGCACTCCCCTGCAACACTATCGTCTGACACTGGGATACCTTCCAACGGGCTATTCCTGCCGAATTGATGTTAACTTCCATGTGCCAGTCATTGATTAGGCTGGCAAGGATGTCATCAGCCTTTGTGCGGAATTTTGATTGTCTTTTTGACAATGGAAACAGGTCTGCATTATGATCTCTTCCCCCTTCCGAGTACTTTGTCATCACAGGACGAGCAGACTCAAACGCAGTTTCGAGCATCCCTAAGTAAATAGGTTCTTTCAATTAACGGACAGCCTCTTTAAAAACATCTGTACCCTAATAAGAATCTGAAATGGACTGACTGGCTTATTAAAGGCAGATACTCGTCTATATGCCCGTGCGATAGTTCCCTAACCTTAATTGATAGTGGGCTTATTAACTAACAAGGCCTTATAAACATCGCTTAGTTTTATAAATAACGGTAAAGATAGCCAAGGGTACTTTAGGTGGCCAAGGATGCACAATAAGGTATCTCTTAGAACTAGACTTATTCTTGCCAAAGCAAAAGTCTTTGCTATTGTGCGAACGAAAAGATATCGTCCCGTTAGTGCTACACTATCGTAGCGCTTTCTTGTCATTACCTGAGCTGCCCTTAAGCACTACTTATCTCACATTTCTAGAAAGACAAATTTTAATAGCTTACATTAACTTTAAATTTTGTTACAAACGACTATGAACCCATTGTAGTGCTCTGTTTTAGAACAAAGGTGTATAACCTATAACACACGTTCGTATAATAGGCGATTATAAACATCCTCTTTTTCTACGTAATATATTAGTGTAATAGTATAAACTAGAACAAGTTAACTTAACGGTACGTATCATATACGGTAATGAGGCTAGTAATCTAAGGAGATCAGATTCTCTAATACAAAAGCGAGACAGACGAAAGTGTCGAAATTGCGAAAGGCTGCCAAATCCGAATACAATATCTAGCATAACGTAAAATCTAGCACGACAGGTAAACTTAGGGATGTTAATGTTCGTGCTAACGTATAAATATTCTAATCCCTCGCTATGCGCGGGATTACTTGAAGCGCGTTTAAGCAGACCATCACGAAAGATTTTTACTTATTGATCTAAGTCTTCTACCATAAGATCGAGGTGCAAATGTTTAAAGTTTGGTCAGGCGAGCAACTTCTTATGTTGTTGGAATATCTTATTAGATTTGCGTTCTAATGCTCTTAAGTTCAGCCCAATCCCAATTAAGATATGTTTATACATAGATTTTCACCCTTCCAAGATCTTTGTTTTGGGCAAGAACGGAGGTAAGAACCCGGAATCCCTGCCAATCGGAGCCCGAATTTTCCACGCAGGGCATCCGGCAAGCTTACGTCTATCATCCAGCCCGACGGTGGTACGCCTATAGAGGATCGGATACGCATGAAAATGCTCTCATTGCGTTAACTAGGTCGGGCCCTCGTGCCCATTTCCTTCTACGTTTTCTTCTTTTTCTTCAGTTTAGAGAGAACATGGGGTCTTTCGAGATCTTAACAAAGGTATCAGCTATAGTATAATTATTAGCTTTAGCACGACATTAGAAAACGAATTGGCTTAAAGACATAAGAGGAGAAACCTCAGATTTACAATGCAGAACGTGCAAAATCAGTTACACTTTAGTAACTAGACTAATGTTAGGATGATTCTTCTATGTCAAGGATCACTACAAATGCTAAATACGTTAGATCTGATAATACCAATGGCAGTGCGCTCCCATCATACGGTGGCTTACATGGCTAGCATGGCACATTCGTATGTGGTGCATACATGCTACATACGTCCAGTCTTGCATGAGTAATTGCCGCTTGGGCCAAACAGGACTGTTTCACGCCAAGTGGAATCTGAGACCTGATTAGTATGTTATGGGATGGGGGACGTTGGCGCGCAGATGAACACGATAAGCGCTTTACATAAGGCCAGACAAGCTTGGCAATGACCAGGAAGTTGCATGTGCGCTGGCCAGGAGTTAACCAATTGCAAGTTTCTACTTCGAAGTAATCACAAGCCAATCGCCGGGCTTGTTCAATCAAATGACTGTGCTGGTTTGTACTGGTTAGTTTGACAATCACTTAAGTAAACCGTATATGAAGTTTGCTACTACTGTGGAGGCAGAAGTTTCGTCCGCTGTCTTCAGATAAATGGCCCACTCAATGCGGGCAGTCGTTCTTATCATGAAGGAGTATTATGATCCCTAGAAAGTACCGGTGGGTATGTACGATACAATGATCCGGATCATTCTTGATGAATGAAGATTTTCGAGTTGACACCGGGTAAATCCATGGCCTCGCCCATCATGAGTCCCATGATGATGCATTCGCCGATAAGGAGATCGACCATCGGCCGCTGGACGGATGGCGTACGGAAGCTCCATACCTTCAATGACACAAATAAAGTCTCCTGCGTTGGCAACCGGTGGCAGCCAACCTAATCTTCCATTCTCCATGCGGCAGAACTGCCGGTGAAGCTTCTCTATTATCATGTTTTCTAGGAGATGGCTCGATTTGAGGTTGATGGTTGCCATCATGGAAGACAACCAGCTGTGATGGTCGACTTCATATGCCATGGCTTTATAAAGACGTGTCTGGGCAGAAAACTCCGTCCTGACCACTTCCAAGGTCTGAGTTGCGAATTTGATGATAAGGGTGTCAATCATCAATGCATTCTGGAAAGCTTCCTCGCCGCCTACGGTCTTCGCGATGGACATGCATTCTTTTAGTTACCGATACCTGTCTCAGCATCCTTCGGAGACCATCCCCGAAGGAATAGCCGTTCCCCTCCATTGTGGCACCAACGATGCGAGAGTCGCCAAGGTGTCGCTTGTCCGACCTGAGACGTTGAACTCTGTCGAAGATGCGGCACTGAATAAATCAGCGTCGTCCCACCATCGTCGAAATGTGCCTGTAGCTCGGAGTCCCCAGACGCGTTATAGTCTCTACACTTTTGTACTGAGAACTGGGTTGCCAAGATGCTCTCGTCCCTGTTCGCCAGCACTAGTATACGTAATCCATTGGCTGATTAAGTACACTAGCCACAATTGAACGGTCATTGTAGAGCGGGTTATGTTGTGTTCGGCACCGTAGATTCTGGTAGGCACGGACTAATCGTGTACATAACTATAGGGATGTCGAGGGACGGAACAAGTAGGCTCTGATCAAGATCAGCGCGCTTCGCAGGCCAGCAAAGAAACAGAGCCAGTAGGCTTTCATCATGTTTCGTCCTGCTGCTTTGTCGATTGCCCGTTACTGCGCCATCAAAGGCTTAGTGGGCCACCTCCATATTGCGATGCTATGCATAGATCTTTACAGATTGAAGACGAGTACATGTTCGACTATCTGATATTTAATCAGTGGTATGACTTAGCGAAGTGCTCGGTCGCACGCCACCATTTAGACCTCATGTACGCTTTAACACTCCTCATGGGTGGCAGAGCAGACTGAAATGTTAGAACGTAGCCAAACTACGATCAACTCTACCCAAGTAGACAATCATTTTAGTCATTGGCGACTCGGAACCTTGTTCAGACTCCAATAACAAAACTGGGGATCATAACAAATGAAGATGAAATGCTTGACAAGTCTACACATTTTACTTACGGGGCGGAGGAAATCTGCCATAATCGTACTTTCATCGTTAACAAGAGCGCTGCGACCGGATTGGGTTCTCTAACAGTGCCACCATATGCATTAATAGTACATATTTACGGTCTCAACCTCCATTTGTGCTCTCCTAAGCACAACAAGGTCATATATGTCATGGAGACTGCTATGTGCAAGGGTTGATAAATGGTAAGGCGGATATTTCAGAAGTCGACATTTACTTGGATATTATCCAGTTAAGTGTACATTATTAACATATTCTAGAGACTAACTGTGTCTATTTGATTTACAATGGTATACATCGAGCAACCTGCCGACAGACAGCTACGCTTACAAGCGAAATTGACCTTAATCGTCGTCCGTTATTCTTATACTATAGTCGCGTATTGATCATGACCACCACCATTCAGTCATGTAATCATGCGATGGTTTGAGCAATATAATATGTTTTGGTATACACGTTTCTCACTACTTTTGATCAGCCAACGTAAATGATAGCGTGCTTCGCCCTGGACTTATTAGGCAGACACTGACCCCTAGTTCAATATAGGGTTAAACTAACGTAATTTGATTATTCCCGCTCATTCAAAAACCTTTGATAACATCTGAACATAAATTTGGCGGCAGAATTGGTGAGCTAGTCCGGTTATAGGCCGTCATTAAAGTAGACTCGTCGATCAATGCATCTAGACATCACCCTTTCCTGTTTTTAATGGATCATTGCAAATCTCCTTCCTTGAATTCAATGCTGGTGTCATGGAACACTGATTGGGGTGCTTCGCTCCTGCAGCATCTATAAGTCTATGGACGCTACCCAGTAAGACTTACCTTACCGGCGCCAAGAAGCATGAAGAACTGGCATCCAAGCCGTCTTGTTACATGTATATAGTAGCTGTGCCTGCAGTATTGTGCGATATGAACAAGTTCTCGGTATAAGAGCCATATGTTGCGCGATGTAGCTAACTCCTTCTCAGAATGCATACTAAACAATATTCAAAGCTATGGAGTTTCTTCCAAAACATCCGCTCCTAGCGTCAAAGAATAAGGACATTAAGAAATTAATTAAAGAATTCAAGGTAACAAATCTAGAAGCCAAATTTTCCCAGTACACAGTAACAACTATATAAATTAATATTCCTCATTCTTCACCTTCCGTTTCCTCGTGGCTGTGACGGTCGAATAATGTCTAGCCAAGACTTAAGCCAACTACTACTAACATAGTAATCCTTTAAATCCGCAGGACTATTCCCGTGGAAGGTGGGGAGTGGGACGCGGGTCAGTGGCTGTTTCGTAGGCCATCATGAATTGAAGGATCTTTTCCTCTTCATGGGCTTCTGCAATTAAGCAAAGCCCAAAGGGTCTCTGGTTATATTTTAACTGCCCCAAAGGGACGTTACCAATTGGATATCCTGTCAGCGTCAGTTTAGTCATGATGTTATTCACTTGTTTCACCCTACCTGCTGATGCTGCGTATACTGCCAGTGCAGAATCTGTCGGCGCTGCGATCATGTTTATCTGTTCCCTGTCGAACACTTCCCGCAGGATTCCTTTCGCCTTTTCTCGAAGATTATTCCCCAAGTGAGTGATATGTTCCGTGCTCGCGCTGCTATTCAATGCTTCAATGAGAAGATCCTGGTCTGATTCTCCTATTATTCAATTAGTACCTAGTCAATATCTAGTCATCGTAACTCTGGACTAGACTCACCAGGAGGGAGAGCATTTTCTTTGTTCTCTTCATTAAACTTAATGATATCTTCGAGGTTGGTTACACCACACTCCTCAAAAGAGTCGATGAAGCTTGGTATACCGACCTCTCTGAATTCCCAAACTATGGAGGGAACTTATTAGTTATCAATGTGTACAAAAGCAGGGCCATTTGTAACTCACATGCCACAGGCATTATTGCAGCTTCACCATCGACTGTCAGGTTTTCTGCATCGGGTAGTTCTATGGGATACTTGATGTTACAACCTTGACTACGCAGTAAAGACACAGTCCTTTCGTAGTCTTGCGCCTATCATACGGTTAGACATCCGAATGATATGATGTTCAGTAACTTACCATTTGCTCTGCAGTCCCCTCATGCTGCTTACACATCTCTGGTACTAGTTTCCAAATCGTAGGAGACAAAAACCCGATAGATAGATCAGTCCAGTCACAGTGACCAGGAACAAGATGGCCTAGGTTTTGATTGAGCAGTATCTCAAACAAGCTCACAAGATCTACTGGTGACTTCGCCATCGGGCCAGGACTATCGAAGAAGTCTGTCATCTTATACATTCCCTCGCAATTCTGAGATCCGACAGTCGGCTTGATAGTGAATAGGGCCGCCCTTGCAGTGGGGGTAACGAGTGACCCGATCGTTTCTGTCCCCAATGCAAAGGGACTGAACCCTGCCGCGACAGCTACCGCAGAGCCCGTGGAAGAACCACCAGGAGACTGCAATTGTGAGTTCGTAAAAAATACCTTTTCAGAATTCATAGTTCTACCGACTGACCGAATGACCCAGAATGACTTCATTCTCCTCAATGTCGCCCACGTAAGGAGACAAGGTTTGTCCACCAGCAGCGGATCGTCCTGGCGAATTAATCATTTTCATGCCACAAAACTCCTATGTCGCCTATTAGCAACATATCGCAGCACTCAACAATCTTCATACAGTCATATTGGTTTTCCCTAAAATGATGAGACCGGCGTCGATTAACTTCTGCACGATGGCACCATTATCCCTGGCTTTGGCGCCGACAAATGCCAGTGACCCAGCTGTAGTATCCATTCCAAGGCATGATGCAGTTACAAAACAATCCTGTCGTAAATCAGCGGATAAAGACGGCGACGTAAGCGATAGTCTCTCACTTTTAGCACAATAGGGATTCCGTGTAGTTGACTTCTGATCCCCCCACGGTGCCTCTCCCCATCCAGCTCTGCTGCAACACGAAGCAAAGATTCGCGTGGTGCAATAGAGATAAACGCATTCAATTTCGCATTATGCCGGTCGATTTGAGCGAGGTACTCTTTGACGATCTGAACGCTGGTGATCTTACCACTTAGCAACAACGCTTGCAGATCTGTTGCGGTAGTGATAAGTGTGTCAAACATGGCGATAGTCCAATTTTATCGTTATTTCGTGATTAATTGTATTAAACAAGACCTTTCTCTCTTTCTGCGGAAACAAGATGACCTTATATGCCTCAAAGCTGCCTAATTGAGCATAGCTGTGCCGTAAGGCACCCGAAATACCAGGATCAGACCAAGTGGAGTTGTGTGCTCCAATTCTAAGACGCGTGTCCCAACCTCTTCAGTATATTGATGAACACTTGATTGACAGATTGAGTTTGCGTAGAGCGCTGACATGGTAACGGATTTCGAATCGTCCTTGGATCATCGATGGGGTCTGACTGGGGTGTTGAGCGGCGCTGGGTGAATTCAGCATTATCAAAATGGAAAGTGAGACCCAGCCTCTCACTTACCCAAATAATGGTCTGTTGTACTTTGCAGTAGCAGCAGTAAACTTTCCCATTGCTTCAATAAATCTGGGATCTGGTTCTCCACTTAGCTCAAGAGGTATATCATCAGTAGTAGAAAAGTCTCCTGACCCAAACATCGCGATAGAAACGCCTCTGGTCCCAGCGATCTCATCTGCACTGTGAACAGCTTTGACGCCGCAATTCTGAGGAATCACTGGTGTGGTTGTTTGAGGTTTTTTTGAGGTCTTCATGTTGAGATTGTCCCCTGGATAGGGCGAAGCATCTAAGATACCTGATGTGGATGCCCAAGGGCTGAATGAGCGTTGGCCCATAGGCGCTACGTAAGGTGAGTCTTTTATTTCATCGCAAGTGTAGTGATGGGCAATAACTCACGGCGAAATACCCCCTTGATAGTATGCTTGACTTCTTAAGCATTCTCAGTATGAGGAATCATAATTGCTATGGGTTCAGCATCCAATACTGGTAACAGAGCGGATATGTCCTTGTTGGGTATCCGAACAACCAGCATGGTTTCACCCTCTGTATGGCGTCGAGCAGCTTGGTAATACTCGGAATGTCAACTACGTAGGGTTAACGCGTGCTCTACTCGGCCAGACTTGATCGATTAAAGTAGGCATTCTTGACATCTATGCAGACAAAGTCTGCTTCGCCGATGCGAGCAGCTTGTTCAAGCTCAGCGCATTAGTCAAATCATACATATTGTATAGTCCAAGTATCACCGGCCACGTATACCATGAATAAGCGAGGAAGCTTGGGTATGGACGGATAATCGCTGGAGCGGGTATTATATCCCGGACATAAACCGTACGAATAATGCAGTTCGATGGATTTCATTCAGTATAGTGCTTAATTAGACAGAATATTTGATGCAACTGTAGATTTGCTACGTAAGCGCAATTCTAGCTGGATAATGATATTGCTCTGTCTCAACGCCATGGCGAGTCTGCCAGCCATAGTGTGATATTTAACAGGGTGACTATCTGCTGGCTGTGCGCGTATAGGCTTTCTGGGAAACGAGAACAAACACTTGTGCCTGTAGTATTCGAAATGCAAAATTGCCAAGCTCTTACCTAGGATGACAGCGGTAGGGAGTTGTCGGAGCAATGTACTCTATCTATGAGAGAGCAGGTTTCGCGTTGCTCCGGTCGCACGAAAAGCAGTGCTTTTCATTGCCATGCCAGCCCCGGCGTTAGCACCATTCGTAGTATGCCTTCCTCTACGGATTAAATGCATGCGAATTCGACAGAAAAAGCAGCCATATTCGCATCAAATACGTGCAGATACGCAGGGCAAATGACGTTTACGGGCTCAAATGCACCGAGCCCACTTGGCGAAGTAACTTATCAGTGTGAGTTTTGATTGGTAGCTGTCGCCGAAAGGATCGTTCATATTGCTTCTTGGAAATGACAACCACCCAGTCACTGATGCGCGTTTCGTATTTTATCAGCAATCGATGCTATATACATAATTGTCTCCATTTCTGAATAATCACATTGAAACCTGGCGGACAGTGTTCTAGACATGCAGGCAATGCCGGGGATCAAGCACGCGTCTTGGTCTCACAGAGGAAAGTCGTGACCGAGTAACCGCGCTGATTTGAGCGTGGTTTGATCCCTTTTCTTTTCTTTTTGATTTCTTTTTGGTGGCGCTAAGCCTGGAGGCCTGCAGCGGTTTCATTTGGCACTGGATTGCACCCACTTTTAGACGCTGCGCCACAAACCGGAGTGGAAATAAGCTATCTCACATCCCTGGAAATAGGGGGAGCTGACATTTTCCACATCTTTTTCCAGAATACTCACATGACGAAGTATTCGCGGCATAGTCAGTCCCGTGATCATTCTTGTTGCGCCGCATCCGTGTCGCTTGAGTTTGTCTTTCGATCGAATAGACATTGCACTTAGCGTATCTCGGCCGCTTGCTACGTGGCTTCCCGACCCCACGAAAGCACTTTCCCACTAAAGCCAGTCAGGATCTTGTCTGTTCTCATCCTTTCGTTGGCACTACGAGAATCTGGACAGGATGAGTCGCTATGGAGGGTCGCCGAGCTCGTTGGGCAAGTTAGAGAATAACCCCAACGTGTCGATCTTGGCATATTGTCTTTCGTCTATCAGCATGACCTTGATCAACAAATATGTGGTCTCTGGTACGCACTGGAATCTTCACTGGTTCTATCTTGGCATTCAGGTAGATCGCATCCTGCGGATTCACCGATTTTGGTCGCTAACACATATCAGCATATTGTCTGTGTTGGTGCTATCATCTTGGGGAAACAAACAGGCTTGATCAGGGAGCTGGCGCCATTTGATTCCAACAAAGCCAAGAGATGTACGTATGATTTGCGGTACTTGGGTTTCACGTGATTAACACCTTCCAGGGTTTCCCATCTCTGCACTCCTTGTTGCCCAGATTTTCACGGGAAACAAGGCTCTCCAGTTTCTATCAGTCCCTGTATTCACCATCTTCAAGAACCTGACTATAATTGTCATTGCCTATGGTGAGGTTCTATGGTTCGGCGGCAGCGTGACTTCTCCCATGCTTCTAGCCTTTGGGTTGATTGTGTTGAGCTCCGTTGTTGCCGCATGGGCTGATATTCAAGCCGCTGTCTCAAGTGCAGACTCGCTCGAAGCATCCGCGACCGTCTCTACCTTGAACGTTGGTTACGCATGGATGGGCATGAACGTGTTCTGCGCAGCTGCTTTCGTCCTTGGTATGCGCCGAAAGATTAAGGGCATGAACTTTAAGGACTGGGATAGTGAGTTCACTCTCGTGCCCGATGTATCAATGCCATAAGTGCTAATACGCTCAAAGCAATGTACTACAACAACCTTTTGACCATCCCGATTCTGGCCGTTGGAACCTTCTTGTTCGAGGACTGGTCCAGTGAGAATCTCGCCAAGAACTTCCCAATAGAGTCCCGCAATGCAATGATCATTGGCATGATCTACTCGGGCCTAGGAGCCATCTTCATCTCATACTGCTCAGCTTGGTGCATTCGAGTCACCACTTCGACAACTTACTCCATGGTCGGTGCACTCAATAAGCTGCCAATTGCGATCAGCGGTCTTATCTTCTTCAATGCCCCTGTCACCTTTGGTAGTGTGTCCGCTATCTTCCTGGGCTTCATCAGCGGTCTCGTCTATGCTTGGGCAAAGGTTCGACAGAAGCAGGATTCTACGATGACTTTACCGACTACCAACCAGTTCGTCATGAGTGCCAGTGCTCAAAGCAAGAAGGATGTAGCTTAGGTACAGTGGTAGCACAAAAATAAATTGTTCCACCCTTCCGGGCAGCACAGTCAGCCGTTATTCAAGGGTCTTCACACTCTGTAAGGGTGAATCATTGGTACCTCCGTATAGAGTTTCTTTACAGTCAAAGCCCGCTCATTTCGTGCTTTGGACCTATTATAATTTTAGGCTGGATCGCGAGTACTGAACATCCAAGAGAAAGCAAACAATCAAGATTCGGTAGCAAGGATTTGCTAACATCGTAGACCTGTTGATTGACGCAATAACTATGCTGCGGTTGTGACCCATCAAAATCGCTCTATTGTTCGTCAAGTATACGGCCATAAATTTACATCATGTGTTGAACCCTTGCGATAGCGTGCACTGAGTTGTCTGTTGGACCAAAGTGTGGATATTGATATAACGTACACTTCAACAGTTTCTACCGTGACCGTTGAGCAGCTTTGCGAATTCTTTGTCTTGTCTCGAAATCGCGCAACCTCTACTCTTCAAGTCTTGTCGTGTCAGTGGGTAGACCAGGCGCTCTGTTGTTGCTCATGAATCCTAGAGAACAAAAGTTTGTGTACTTTAATCCGAAAGTTCACATGCTTTCTCAGGTTTGCACTTGAAAGCCCTAAGACGGGATCGAGCAAGCCTCAGGAATCGATCGTCACGACACGAATTGTACCGTCTACCAGACGTGATGCAGTAATTTGCATGCAATCCATCCGGTTGCGTTCTTTTAAAACAACAAGTCGCTGCCACGTAAGGCCGATTTGCTTTGTCTCGAGCTTGTTAATTGGTAGAGATAGCCTGATCGGGCCTTTCGTTAGCAATCAGCGGACATCTGATATTGTCATATGTACAGATCCACTCCAACTATCTTTATGTCATCTCAGCTTGGATGATTATTGATATCAATCGAGCGAGTCAAATAATCGACCGATAGACATGCACCGTCGACGGTCTTCTTACATATTATCCTCAAAGCTGCTAAGCCTGTGATCAACTATCTTCCAGGTAAATGCTTGATTGTGACCGTCATCGTTCCTAATTAGCTGACGGTGATACTATTTGTACTATATGATATATGATTAAAGTTTGTCTGAATGGAAGAGCATTCGTCAGGCTTTGCCGGAGTGGCGGACCAGCTAAGAAGCGAATTCGTCTCAAAAAGGGTTACCCTTCGATAACAAATGTGTTAAAAGGTAATAGGTAAGATAGAAATCCCGACCCTAGTATTTTATTTTCGTGCCCGGAACGTGTGCACTATAACGGGATTGTTCTCAGTATTTGCGTGGGTTGAATTGTTATCCTGAGAGTTTTCCGGTTCATAGGAGTCTGAAAGTCTACAGTATAGAGTATTGATCATATTTGGAAAGCTCCTATATATTACTTCGAAATGAACATGTCCCAAACGTTCCCACCTGCGCTGTACCCAATCCAGAAACGCCATCGCTGGTACTCGTTTCATGATATATTTTTTTAAAAACTCTATCCACCCTACGCTTCAAGTCTATTTCCTCGAATGTTGGCGAGCGAAATGAACAAAGTGGGTAATGCCAATAATACAGCCCTTCGCCAAGGGTCGAGAAGGAGCCAATAACTCTCGCGCTCTAACAAGTAATAAAAATAGAGGAGTCAGGCACAATGCTTTCCTCGTTCGAATAAGTGTAATTCTTACAAATGTCGTAACTGATCGTGTCTTCCTCAGCTCACCTATGTCATAACACTTCTTCACCTTCTTCCTCCTCTTTGAATTTAGGACCACCTTCGACCTTGATTCCACCTCGTACCCATTCAGTTTCTGCAACCTTTTCGAGAGTCCATCGACTTCGAGCTCTCTTCAATAAGCCTTCGGTTACTTCCATGGCGCCTGTGAGACCCTTGGCCTCGAACTTAGCCTCGTCACATTCGTGATCGCCATCATCTCCAGCATATTCGATCCATCTCCATTCGATTCGCGCAATCCTATGACTTGTACGACTTCGCATTCTAAGTGCATCAGGCGCTCCTGGTGGTGGATCGAAAGGCAGGCGTGATTCCAATAATGCGTAGAGTAGGACACCCATAGACCATGCATCAATTGCCTTGCCATCGTACGGTTGACCAAGAATAACTTCGGGGGCGGCGTAGTCATCTGAGCCGCATCTTGTCTCCAGCTTTTCGTCATCGGCTACCCGGCGAGAAAGTCCAAGATCCGTTAAAGTAATGACAGAATCCGGATATGTAGCCCAGTCCTGCTTAGGGTCCGCCAACTGGTGGATAGGAACATTAACCAGGACATCTAAAACAGTGATCATTAGCAACAAAAGGAGATATCACATGCTACGAAGAAATAAAGTAAAATTCAGAAAGTAGAGTGTGAGTAACTTCTCACAAAACGCAAACAAAAGCAAGCACCTACTTTCAAGTTTAATATCTCGGTGAACAATCCGGCGTTCATGGAGATATTGAACAGCACCCACAAGTTCGGCAAATATTCGTCTCAGTAATGGCGGTGTAAGCAATTCTTTGTGCCTGGCGGCCAAATCGAATAAATCCCCACCGGGACAATAGCTGATAACCAACAATGCCCGTGTTTGCTCAATGTTCCAGGCTTTCAGGTGTACCAAAGAGGGATGATGTAGAGTTTGCATGATCTCAAGTTCTCGCTTCAAACTCATTTCGATACGATCTTCTGATGCACCGCCACGGGGACCGTGTTCACAGACTTTGACTGCTACTAAACTCTTCGGGTCTGGTTCTGATTCAACCAGAGTTTTAGGGGTTTCGTTGTCGTCAGTATGCACATGACTTGTCGCCAGCACGACACGACTGAACGTCCCTTCACCAAGCTGTTTTACTGCTCGCCATCTTCTCAATTTTTTATCATGCCGGCCATATGCTTCGAAATATTCTGCTTTTGGTTTCCTCAATTGCCCAGTTGACCCATCAGTACTCTGAGATGATTCGCTCGGAGGGGGGGTTGGAGGTTTATGTGATGGGACTAAACCCCGAGTCGGTCCGAGATGTCGTTCCCGTCGCATATGTTTGTCATCGGTGCCAACAACGCCGATCTCAGCTCGTGGATGCGATCCGGATACGGTACTTTGCCTCTTGGGGATCGCTAAAGGATCAGGTACATATTCACTCACACTTCTGTTTCGACCATGCGTATGTTCTGCACGGTGTTCCGGCCCGGGCGGTGCGTCGCTTCCCTTAAGACCGACATATGTCTTACGTTTGCTTTGATTTGCCAGGGCGGAAGAGACGGACTCTCCATTAGCGGTAACAAGTGCAGAGCCAGGCATCATGGAAGGCAGTATCGGCGGCGCCTCCCGCGATGGTGGACGCATACCAAGCCTTCTCCAGGGTCCAGGCGAGTCACTCATGAGTAAAGGCGATGGCAAAGGTGTGATATCGCCCATCGCAGTGATCAGAGGACTCGGAACGGCGGAGCTACAAGCAGAGCCAATACTATTGGCAATTGCTTGCTTGAGCGACGGTGTTCTTTGAATAGGCCGAAGACTCGAGGATCTTCTGCGCTCGACAGGAAGCTGACCCCCAGATGGGGCAAGACTGTTGTGTCCACTATGGCATGCGTTGTGGCTGGCGTTGCGGGCAGGTGACGTAGATTGAATATCGGTAGTTATACGTAGTGAACTTCGACAGTTGGTTTGGTTCGAGAAGAGAGACTCTCCAGATTTGTCGTCATGAGACTCGGGAGGAGCTTCGGAGCTGAGGTCTGCCACTTGTTGCGGCGACGCCGCAATAGTGGGTGTGCGGATGTGCGTACGGAACTGAGGATGGAGAGCAGACGGGACCGGAGGGTTCGGAGTCATAGTGTCACCATGTGCGTCGTCATTCCTTTGGACGTAGTGAGAGTTGTCATAGGACAGAGGTAAAGATCTGTTGGTGTGGACATTTCGGCGATTAATGTCCTCGACGGTGGCAGTCCTAGGGGAGTTCGGGTCTGTAGTGTTTAATAGAGAAAGGCTGTCGGATCCATGCCCGTTCCTGCTGTGCTCCACGAAAGCATCCTGTGGCAGGGTCTGGGGTGGCCTGCTTGTCATTGTTGGTTACTCGCACTCGGTAGCGGGTTGTTTCGATTGCACGCAACGCAGCGCAAACAAGCAAGCAGGCAGGCAGGCAGGCAGGCAGGCTGCCAGCCCAGAATGCAAAGCGCGAGCAACAGACAGAAAAGCCCGTTTGCAATTGGGGGCGACTCCGCCAAAGTAACGTCCGTATCAAGTGCTGACAAGACTAGAGGAGGAGAAAGTGTGTGAGTGGGACAAGATCGGACTCTGAGTTCTTCTAGTCGAGGAATCCGCGCTGTCGGGATAGATACGGGGTAGTGCCGCGCCTACGAAAAGCTAGATACTTCTTTAGGGTCTGGTCTTTTTGAAGACAGAGCTTGGTAGAGATATCCTACAAGTGGCATACCAAGCAAAGCCCCAAGTAATCCCAGAGATATGACTCCCTGAGGTTAGTCTACTGTAGCAAGAGTCGAGCCGGCCTTGCCTGGGCTGCTTAGCAGGGTTCTGACTCCTTTGCACAGCAGAGATCCAGTTGCCGGCAAAGGGCAGGACTAGTTAGCTAGCAGCGATAGTCAAACTATTTAGCCTCTTTTGACGACGGAGGCGAGGGTCACTACCTGGCTTTGGCTAGGTATTGTGTTCCAGGAGAACTGCGTGCTGGGTGCCGGATGCTTGGTGCTGAAGGCTTTGATGATCAGGTGAACACAGCACTCGGCCCTTGGGCATGAGACGACTGCTGAGACTCGTTAGAGTCGCACCTGGGCTCCCTGCTCCGTACAGACGCACATTTGAAGCACCGCTGGGTACGACCTAGAACCCTGCGCTGCAGTTGGAGTCCCCTAATGCAACCGAGATCCGTTTTGTATGGCCGGTGACTTGGGGATCTCTGTAACTTTGACACAACGTTTCTCACGGTTTGCCGAAATCAGGGACTTTGTGGAGAGAGAGTGCGCTCAGAGAAAAAGTCAGCAACGGAGATGACCAACTGAAAGCAAGAGCCTGATCAATGATCAGTGGACAACTGTGGGCCTCCAATCAGACATGTGAGAAGATCAGCCTTCTGGATGGCCGGATTGATTTGATTTCCTGTAACGTTGAACTTAAATGTAGTGTGGGTCGCTATCAAGAACAAGGGTGCTATGTAATGTTCTCATGCATGTCTCCTTGTGGCACAAGCGTAGGTTTCTTTCAGCTATCAATGGTGGGTTGCAGAAATGATAAGGCGATGAACGTTTCTGTAATATCTGTTATGGTCCAGTTCTGTAGATGCGAAGACGATTCAACATAGACATTTGAACATCAACGGTGGCCGGACGTTGTATGAGAAAGCTCAAAAGTACGGAATGCCAGGAAGGCGAAATTGAGGTTTCAAGGGCGGAAAGTAAACAGCAAATGACGATGTCTCGCAGGTGGGATGATCCGAAAATGGAGATAAGCTTGAGCATGATCCCACCTTGAGTCAAATACTAAGGCATGTCTAATTTGGGTCTTCGAGTCCCCTTGCAGCGCTAAGCCGAATACTGTATTTTATTTTTGAGGGGCCGGCTGGCTATCAAGACTATTATTATCCTCGTCGGGGCTGCCATTGACTGCTTCGAAAGCGCAGGACCGTTGTAGCGTTGTAGCGATTTGCAGCAATAGATCATTTTCGATCGCTACAACTCAGTCGGTATCAATACGTATCCCACCACGGCAATTGATGAAATCGAAATCAAGGCAGAAGCACTGCAAAGCAATGAATCATGTCGCGCACGTTATCGTATCATTTGCAGCCAGTCCGGTTCTTTTCAACAGCGTGTGCAAAAGAAGCATTTTCGAAGTCACAGCGTTCAAGTCGGTGCATCTTTCAGGAGACGGCCTGGACGCTAAAATGATACAGTAACCTAAGGCAAGCGTACTTTGCTGCAGCTGTACTTGGTACTTTGTAGTCTCATGTTAGGTTAGTTTGCTCTCCGGATTGCTGCTGTCGAATCCGATGCAAACTATTGCAGGGCTAGGCATTTGCTCAGCTTGCAACCGCACATACCAAAGCTGTCGAAATCAAGATATCGCCTGATCAAATTACTCTCCAACTTTCATATCACCGAATCGGGTTCTCAGATGCCCTTTGTGACAACATCTAGGTTCTGCGCGCTACTGGACTTCATTTCCCCCCACTCCCATTGTGATAAGCGTTGTTTTCCTCTGCGACCTCGTTGAACGCCTACATAACTATATGGTACGTAAAGTACGTTGTGACATTCCAAGCCCAAACCTGGGAGTGCAGTCCCAATCCCACTGATTACCCCACGGTTTGGCAATTCGTACGGCCATTGGTCAATCAACAAAAATCACTGGATTCCAGTTGCAGCGCAGTGCCATAGCTGGTCGCCTTAAGCGCGCCGTTGCTTGTCAGATTTACCCTGCAAAGTGGCTGTCGGTGGGGTGTAATTCCCAGGCTATTTTTAGGTCCCTTTTTCCAGAGGCTTGAGCGTGATCGTCATAAATAATGTGTATGTAAAAGGAAGGACGCACCTCCGTGGCCAGATTTCAGTGCGCCACTTAGTGGAATCACCTGAGCGTTGTGTTGAAACACTCTGCTCACTGCTGCATCTTTATCGTAGCTAGATTTTACCACTCAGAATTTCATGACTCACTCATGATGATATTGCGGTAATGGCGGAAGACGCTGCAGCATGCACACCAACCAGTATCAAACTCTGCGCGGACCGGCCCTGTAGAGTTCACTATGACGCTGCCATAGGAACGGCATAGCTTGTCTTTGGACTAGGTTAGTGTAGGATGAAATGGATATACTTCCCCCAGAAATGAATTCTATGCGATAAATCCGTTGGTAGGTTGGTTCTTCCAACCATCAACGCAAATTGAGGTTCAGTTCAATCATAAACTCGAAACCTTCTCCTGGTCGGCGGAGTTGCGATGAGAGCGGGAATAAGACTCGTCTCTTATCAGTCATATTTCAGCACAGATCAGATATGACATGCATTTGATTGTCCGGGGTATAATTGCCGTGCGTGCGGCAAAGTGAATGATGCGGGGAAGCGCTGCCATAGCACGACAGCTTCTACATTAGGGTATGTCTTAGGCAGAATTAGTTTTGCGTATGATCTTAATAAGATATCAGTAGAGCTTGTGTTTCTGTATTTCCACACGTCATAGTCAGAATGGGTTCGAATAAACCGTCATCCGCCTTTGTGCTGAAAGATGAGCCCATAGAGAACCAGCGACGGCTCAAGGTTCGTGTGATAGGTGCTGGCTATTCAGGCATCTATCTTGGTATCAGAATTCCCCAGCGATTACGCAATATCGATCTCCAGATTTTCGAGAAGAACAAAGGAGTAGGTGGAACGTGGTGGGTTAATAGATATCCTGGTGTGTCTCGTTCGCCCTCATGCCACCTAAACTACGAGCTCACTACCAAGTAGGATGCGCCTGCGACATACCCTCTCATAGCTATCAGTATTCATTCGACCCTAATCCCGACTGGTCGGCTTTCTATGCCCCACAAGCTGAGATCTGCGCATACCTCCATCGTATTACTGACAAGTATGGAGTGATGCGCTTTGTGAGGCTTGAGCATGAAGTTGAGAGCTGCACTTGGAGCGCAAGGACAAGAAAATGGTGTATTAAAATACACAACCTCCAAACTGGCGACCTCTTTGAGGATGAAGCGGATATTCTGATATCTGCTCGAGGGAATCTGAGTCATCCAGCATGGCCAGGCATCCGGGGACTAGAAAGCTTCAGTGGACAGGTCATGCACTCAGCGTTATGGAAAGAAGACTACGACTTCAAGAATAAGAAAGTCGGAGTGATTGGTAATGGTTCGAGTGCTATTCAGATCGTGCCAAGCCTCCAGAAAATTGCCGGAACAAGGTTGTCATGCTTCGTACGGAGTAAGACGTGGATCACTAATCCATTTGGCGATCGTGAGTAAATTCTTAAGTGGCAGGTCCGCTGCTGGCCACATGCCCGCCTGGGCCCATGAATGCAGGATGACGAATGACTGACTCATCTAGATGTTATGCACAAGCTGGGACTGGATCCTCAAAAGCTTGCGTGTGAGTTCATTCTCTAAACACCGAGGTGTTCGCTAATACCATGATTCAGTTTCAGACGAGCAAAGAGAACAGTTCGCGAACGACCCGGAAAAGCTTTACGCCTTTCGCAAAGCTATCGAGCAAGATGGCAATACCATTCATGCCGTTTCCTTTAGAGATTCTGATATGCAACAAACCGCAATCGAAACCTTTCGTGCAGCGATGAGAAAGCGCTTAACCGCAAAGCCCGAAATCGCAGAATTTCTGATACCTTCCTTCGGGGTTGGCTGTAGACGAACGACGCCCGGACCAGGGTATCTCGAAGCCTTGGTCGAGTCAAACGTAGATTTCATTACGGATCCTATTGTTGAGGTGAACTCGCAAGGTGTTTTGCTGCATAATGGAAGACAAGTGGATCTTGATTGTCTTGTCTGTGCGACTGGCTTCAATGCATCAGGCGCACCCCCTTTTCCAGTCTATGGCCAAGATGGGCTCTCATTGGAAGATCGTTTCAAACCTCATCCCGAAGCATACCTATCCCTTGCGGTCGATGGGTTCCCAAACTTCTTCATGATGCTGGGGCCGAACTCTGCAATAGGGAGTGGTTCATTGACCATGATACTCGAGACCGAGGGAGACTATATCGTCAAGTGTATCAGGAAGTTACAAAAGGAAGACTATGCCTCTATGGAAATCAAAAAGCAACGAGTCGCGGATTGGTCTCAATACTGTCACACTTACTTTGAGAAGACGGTCCATACGGACCAGTGCAACTCGTGGTACAAAAGTGAAGGCGGGAAAGGCGATCGAATCACTGGACTCTGGCCCGGCAGCACGCTGCACGCACTGGAAGCTCTCAGAGCACCCAGATGGGAGGACTATCACTGGGAGAATGTTGAAGATGGCGTTAACAAGTTGGGATGGCTAGGTAATGGATGGAGTCTAACGCATACGGAGTTGCAAGACCAGGACAAGTATGGAGGCGACCCAGCCTGGTATCTCGAGCCCGAGTTTCAGAACGTCCCTGTGCTTGGCAAGCCCGAGGAGGACCCGGAGTATAAGAAGAAGCCGTTTTCGCATTGAAAACAACCAACAGTACAGCATGATATAAACAATCTGACCTCACCCAGCATCGTATCTCCCCATGTAGAACTGCCAAGCTATCATCCCATGGTGTTATGCAAACGCCCTGATGTCAACCCGTAATATCCATAGGCTCCCAGCGCCAGGCTAGGAATCAACCGATAAAACGAGTGGACGATGCTTCCCTCGGTGGCTTTCGTGATAATGTACGTGTCCACGAACCCTGCATAAGTGCCAATGATGGTGAGTATAGTGTCCAACTCCGTGTATTTGTGCTGGAAATAGAACGTGTAAATAAGAATGCCAATGATGCTCGTCCGTGATCCATAGATCCCCATGACAGGCCATGCTGCTGGAGAATTCCGAATTCGAGCTGGAAAGCCAAAAGCGCGCAAGGACGAAGGCGCGCTAAACAATGGCCATATACCGCCAAATGTGAAGGCAAAGCCCACGTAAAGAGCTGGGAGGTGCCGTACGCTGAAGTCCTCGAACATGCTGAACGCCAACCTGCCTGGCGTCTAGTGAGCAAGGCTTTCAATTGCCTGAGATTTATGAAATTCCTATGCTGGTGTTGTTATGTGCGGCTTAGAGTATAAAAAATAAAAATAAACAGTTTGATGCGACTCTTTTTATTGTTTGAAAGCTGTCATGATCGATATTAACGTCGCCTTGCTCGGACTGAGCCCCACTAGACACTTCAGGAGTGCACCCAATAGACTGAAAACGGTGGCTTGAATTAGACTAAGGTTAGTTAGATTAGGTTTGTGCTTCTAACCTACAGGGGTCCAGGCTTCACTGGGACGTCGTGGCCATTGGCTTTGTTCCCGTACTTTTCTATAGGATTGGTTTTTGAAATTCCCTGTTCCTTAAGCCAATTTTACTTCTAGAGTAATACCTCCTCCATTCCCAAGTCATATTTGCAGCGCCGACGATGCGAAGCCTGTAGAAGCAAGTACTGAGGGTCGCTCAGCCCGTCGCCAATAGGTGTCTTGGTATTTAGTGTAAAGGCCCACGCGCAAGCCTACGAAATACTACGCGGCGTCACGGCGTTGGTGCAAATTCTGTATTGACGTGGTCGAGGCGCAGATCTCTGGCACGCAGTCGAATACCTTATGAAATAGATACGAGAGCTGAGACGACGGTCGAGATAGCAGGTTTTAAAACATTCTCATATGGGCGCAAATCTTCTAGTGTACTGTTTTGGCAAGCTCTATTGGATACGCGGCCCTTCGGGACGAATCGGTTGCTAAGCTGCAATTATAAAACCTCAGTACGGCAGTGTTTTGGCGCGTAAGACTTGGACAAACCTTCGCATGAAGTGCTCCTTGCAAAGCTACCGGAGAGTGCGCATTTGCACAGACTTCTTGTTTGACGCATCAGAAAGAAGTCAATTACTTGCCTCTGCTGAAAGCTATAGACACGAATTTTGAACAACGAGGCTGGGAGCTAAGTACTGGCAGCAATTTTCAACTTTCCGTGGTTGAAAACTTTACACTGCCAGGCTACCTATAAGAATAGACGTGGTCCATTGCAACTATAACATCAAATATATCTACTGTGTTTAATAATGACCGTGTGACTCGACTGCTTGTATGAAAAATAATGCAACAATGCAACTACTTGCAGATGAGTAGCGTGTCTTCTTAAGTTTGGTACATATTGGCCCCGTTGTCGCAAAAGTTTCAACGACTTTCTACCTACTTGCTCGCCTGGCAAACACTTCGAGGGACTTGCCACCTTCCGTTGAAGGCAACTATCTCGTTGGTACCCATGACTCCGCTGGAACCTATCTAGCTTCTCTATCTATTACTCGTCCTGATGATATAGATCATAATCTATACTATCTCGTCGGTATAGCTGAATAGGTGGCCGCTGGCGAGGGGACTATTATTAATAATGAATCTTCTGCGTGCATATGGTCAGTCCTAATCGATCTAGCCTCCGAAGGAACCGTTGATCGTGTAGATGGGCATCTTTTCAAGCTCAAAAAAAGCCAAGGTTCTCGACAAAAACATTCATATCTCAACTACACGGGGCCGTTTCTCAACTACACAGAACCCAGCACCTCAGGCTTGTGCGTCATAGCTTCTGGGACCTATGCGGCATGCCGAAGAAAAATTAGGACCAATGACCTCTCTGCTTCCAGAGTAGAGGGTTTCGTGTACAAGACAAAGACAATGCACAAAGATTGTGTGAAAGCAAGATTAGTGTTGGGTTGCGCTATCTCAGAATCATTCACTCAAGGCTGAACGGGCAGCCATGGCTACGTGAATGAAGTTGATTGTCAGTAGTAAAGCTTCTTGAAGTCGTTGGGCTTGAATATCGAGGTGGTCGTTGCTGGCCACGGAGCAGGGCTTTAAAGAGAGACATGAGCTTATATGTCGCAAGATAACCAATATCCCGGCCGCTACAGAAATTGTCGATTATATCAAATGGCCGTGTAAAAGGCAGACAAGATGAACGAGTCAACCTTGCTGCCTACCAAATCAACCGGGGCATGTGCGGGGGCTGCGCGCCCGAGATCGCCGTCCCAAAAATCTTTCCAGCATGCAACACATCATTATTACTCGATTCCGTAATCTACGCCCGCATTCACTGCTCTTCCTTACAGCACCAATTATTTCGCATGAGTAACGGTACCCGGACATCCATGGCTGCTACACCATCTGGGCTGGACTCTGCTTCTGTGGTCTCGTTCCAGAAACACTTGGCAACGTCCACCCGCATAGTCGCCATTCTCGGCGCAGGTCTCTCGGCGTCTTCCGGCTTACCCACATTTCGAAGCGCCGACGGTCTATGGTGCAGCCATGATGTACAGATGATCGCAACGCCAGCGGGCTGGCGCCGCGATCCTGGGTTGGTATGGCAATTCTACTCGGAACGACGTCGCAAGGCACTGCGCGCACAACCAAACTCAGCTCATTATGCGCTCACAGAGCTTGCGAAGATCAAGCCAGGCTTTGTTGCACTTAGCCAAAACGTGGACGGACTGCTACAGCGCGCTGGTATGGGCGAAGGCGATCCAAAAGGACAGCTGAAGTTGCTGCATGGGAATCTGTTTGACCTACGGTGTGCTAGCGGCTGTGGCTATGAGGAGCGCGGCAATTTTGATGATCCGCTATGTGCTACACTCAGTGAGGAGAGGGAGCCAGGAAAGACCCGCGTGATGGGTGTGCAGGTTGCGGAAGGGGCTAAAGCTCCGAAAGCCAGCGCGTTGCTGTTCGAGGGTATCGCGGCAAAGAACAAGAAGATTCTTGGCAACACTTTCAAGAACAACGCTCCCATTGCCACTGATGCAATACCCTTGAAAGCCCCTGGAGATGATGCTCCGAAGGTTTCTGACTCGGCCCCTGTATTAAAATCTGGTATTGAGGAGAGCGAGCTGCCGCAGTGTCCAAGCTGTAAGAGCGGTCTACTGCGCCCAGGTGTTGTCTGGTTTGGGGAGGGCTTGCCTCAAGATGTAATGGACGAGGTAGATGCGCTATTCGACGAGGAAAAGATTGATCTTTGCCTTGTCATCGGTACATCAAGCTTGGTATGGCCAGCAGCCGGATTTGCTGAACAGGCGCGAAACAAAGGTGCGCGTATTGCAACTGTGAACATGAACATCAATGATGCCAAGAACGTCAGAAAGGGTGATTGGGTTTTCATTGGTGATGCGGCGGTAGTCGTTCCTGAAATCCTAGGACTTACGCAGCTTCGAGGATAGGTCCTGTAGCGACAGTCTATCAAGCCCACTTTCCTGCCACAGTGGCTGCGTGCCTCTTGTATTGCTGTGTAGACCTTCACAGAGAAACTCTTGCTTTTTGAGCCTGTATCCCTTTCAAGAACATAACAAGGTGGACAGTGCGTGGTATTCCCATATTGTTTCTAGATAGCGGGCGACGAACGTGATGTGCGATGGAAGCAGACGTCCTATAATTCAACGAGCCTTTGTTTACTAAGAAGCTTTCTGAGAAGTTACAAATTGGAAACAGTGGCTGTGTCGAAATTATCTAGCCTTGCCGGATCTGTATCTTCGCGGTTCCGTCTAGTTGTCCTTGTTATTGTCAGCAGGCCATCACCCAGGACGTTACCGTTTCTTTCGGCAATTTTGCAGTGAGAACTGGTCGCGGAGTTTTCGAGGCCCTGGCCAAGGTATTTTTGAACGGCGGCGACAAAATTATTGTGATGCACCCGGCATGTATTGATCGGCTCAGAAGAGCACACCGCGATCCACTCTCCGCAATTGCCATCAAAACCTCCCCATTTTGTGCAGTGTGTGCTTCATGGTAAAGCACGGCACTATCGTGTCATTAGACGACCACCACAATCAAGCATCCGGTCAGGTGGCTCAGAAGAGTCAGGGTAGGACTGTATAGTGGCAGACGATGGAGCATTGGTAGTTGCAGCCGGTACCGGGACTGCCAAGGCGGTTAATTCAGCTATGGCTCACAAAATTAGAGCTGTGAAAGACTATAAAATGCTAACCCAGGTCAGTGCTAAAAATCTAATCAACAGTCACTGGTTGTAGAAAAGAGTTGTACTGTCGTCTTAAATGCATGTTGGCGAATGGATGATCATGATGGGTCTTGTTTCGTGACATCTGTGTAAATATTCATACTCGGAAATGAATAGTTTTGTTATCGTTTGACTTTCCATAAGGTGGAATGGCTGTATTTCAAGAAAGCAGGCTGATATAGCCCCAAAACGGCAGTGATTCAAAGGCAAAAGACGCAAGATATTTCCTCCAAATCCGTCGCTCTACAGCTAGTTTTTGTCAGCAAATCAGTGCCGAGGCCCAAGCTGCTATGCAAGACTGCTAAGTGCAGCTGAAACTTTTAGTCGGCTACTGTAAGTTCCTACAATGTATGACTTGTGTCTTCGTATAAAAATTCATTAATAAGATGTTGGTAGGTCATTAGTCACGTGTGAACCGAGATGTATCAGTCCACTTTGTGGCAGGCTTGTACACCTACTTCAAAAATGATCGTTGAGTTTTATTCCTGTTCCTCAAGAACGACGCCCTTATAACTGGGTCCACACAATAAATGACTGTTGGTCTATGTAATAATCTTGTTATCCATGGACGAAGAATTGTGATATAATGTTCATAACAAACATCTGTGTATATGCTATGTCAACCCGTATTTTCTTACTCTATGAGTAAATATACACATGAGCTAGAGTTGCTCGTCGATGCGAAAGCTTGTGGCAGGTATTGATTGTTTGAGCATTGGAACGACGAATTAGACAGACCAGTCACCGTATCTTAGCCTTCCATAATGGCTGACGATTATGATTCACCTCTCCCCCTGGCACCTGGGGGCTTCAATGGTTGAAACTTATGTGCATGATGCACCTTCATCAGAGCTCCTTTCCAGCTACAAAAGGATTTGACTTGCGTGAGCCTGGCAACACGATTCCAGGTATGCAGCGAATCCTTCACCAGTCTGCCGATACATCAATGGCACTTAACGATAGCGAGTCAGACTTGACGTTTGGCGTGGAATTAGAGGCGATCGGGTTCTTTCGAGTTCTAAATGAGGGAGACGACGTCAATGATTCCTTTATACGCGACGCTTGGCCTGGATATATACTCGTGCCCTACGAACTGGAACACAGAGCAGGTATTTATGCGGTACAACAAATGATTGATATTTTAAGGTCTCATAATGTGGATATCAACAACTTCGATCACTCGGTAGTGGGACCACCGTATCCAAGTCCTCCATCGGCAGAACCTACCAGACACTCACCTAACTGTGCTAACCCTCTCTATCATCGATGGACTCTGAAACGGGATGCGTCCGTTAGGCTACTACAAGATGTGGACGATCACATGTCCGATATAACCGACTCCCTTATTGACAATCCTGGCCGACGAGTTGGGTACCTGGCTTTGGAGCTTATCAGTCCCGCCGTTAAAGCATCAAGCGTTGATGATATGGTCGAAGTCTTCACCGTCATCGAGCATTTCCAGGGACTCTTCAAGCTTCATGTCAACAGTACGACTGGTTTGCACGTTCACGTCGGTATGGGCCGCCGATGGTTCACTGCCCAGTGGCTCAATCAGATTGCCGCTCTGACCTGGGCCGCCGATGCGATCCTAACCTATGTCCATCCTGACCATCGGCGGAACAACCATTATTGCATGCGCAATCGCATACATTCTCAGCTTGCGGCTGGCATGACTGCAGCGCAGGCAATGGACGGTGCATCAAGCAGCTTCGTGTATGTGCAGGGGAGTCCATGTCCAACTACAGAGGAGGGAGCATGGGAGATTGGTAGATGCAACACATCAAATCAAATTGGCCGCTTGATGCATGTCCCCCCAGCCATGGGGCCTGCCTACAATTTTGACAACTACTTTCCTGAACCGAGTCGTAGAGGAGGCAAAACAACCATCGAGTTTCGACAAGCAGCTGGATCCATTAGTCCAGAATGGGTGTGTCATTGGGCGGCTATCTGCATAGGTGTTTGTCGTTATGCCATTTTCCACATGGACTGGCAGTTCTTCGATCACACGCTTGTGGTACGATGTGATAGTGTTGACGCAGGAACAGAGCCGTTCAATGAACCGCTCGATATTTTCTTACGAGAAATAGGTTGCGCGGCGAGTAGCCTTTTTATCATGGCCCATTCCCACGATCAGAGACTCAGTCGCAATGGTCCGACGATGGATCCTCAACCAGGACCACGAGCACGGAGACGGAGACGACGGCCAGGCCCCGACCTCTTATCATAGATAAGTGAGTTCAAAGGAAACAATCGATGTGGTAATGGCCAAGGTATGGTTTCATTGTAAACCAGGCGAAGCAAGACTACCCATGCTAATTATCGTATGATTCAGTGTGAGGTGATATAATTATATAATTCCCAATGTTTTTGTTCATCCGCCTTATCCTTGATGAATTGTGCTTCCCGTTGTGCATTGTAAAATAACTTTCCTCTTTGTTTTGACTCCGCGTCAAGACATACAGAGACCTCTTCCTCGGAAAAAGGCGGCGAGACGAGCTCAAAGCTGCCCAAATATGACGCTTGTGGTAGAAGTTACAGAACTGCAAAACAGCCAGAAGCTAGAGTTCGCTGTGATCTGCCACTGACTCTGATTCTCTCGACTTGACTTGTCTGAGCGGGTTCGATGGCAATGGCCTTTGCTGAACACCTATAATATTCCTGATGCCGTTTTCAACTCTCCTCGGCAAGTGATTCAGATACCACCAGTGCTCCATACCCCATCCACCAGTCGTAAAGACGTAGACTCTCGCCACGATAAGAGTGCCAGCCATGCCGAAAGGCGCACAACTCATGAAGCTGTCAGATGAAGAAATCTCTGGATCGATGCTCGGAGCCGCTATTCCACAGACGGTGTTTATAAGAAGCCCGCTACCGACTCCATATGTAATGGCTTTGAGTACATGTGACTCTGCGAGTGTGAGATGTGGCGAATTTGTGTAGGTGTTGAGTTTGGCGACGCCGAGAGCCAGGAGGAAAAGAGTGATCTTGGTGAAAATGCGCATTATGGCGGTGGCTCAACGTGTGATTACACGACCTGATTTAAAATTTCTCGACGACTACAACCGTATGTATGTAGTTATATGAATCTCGACCCAAGTTTGAAGGGGCCAGCCCAATAGCGCTTCTGTTTTGATATGTATTGTCGAATGTGATCCAAGAGGTTGAATGTTAACTTCGCGGTGCTAGCGCGTAGGAGGAACTGAAGGCTTCAGGGGTTGTCTCGGGGGTTCTCGGCTGTTTCAGCTGTTACAGTCATGATGCAAGGCGATATGTGCCTGGCAAAATCAGGTAAGCTAAGATGTGAGAGTTTGTTATTATGTTTGCTGCATGGAGTATTTCTTGCATCAGTTAACTATGTAACCCATTTCTGGTTTGTAGGGCTGACAGCCTGATTTCTCCATTTTCACTGCTGCGATGCTTATTCGCCAACAAAGGTATTCTGGCCGGCAGTGCATGCACAAGCTCCTACGCAGCATCCAGGAAAGGACATGGCAAAGGCCTGCATAATGGCGGTCCCTACGAATCTCGAAGGTTAGAACGTTTGTGCCGTGGTCGCTAATCTGGTCTATTCGGTCTGGCAGGCAAGGAGAGTATCACGACAAACGTCTGCCACAAATTGGGTAGCCGGAGAACAACAAATGGGCCACTGGACAGGACAGGAGCAATGTGTTCGCTGCACGAAAGTATGATTCTTTCCCCGAAAGTTTAATGAATCCGACAAGCCACTTGCTCCTTTGAGGCAAACCATCCCATCTTTCTGGCATATGCGACCTGCTTTTGGATCAATCGTCGTCGGTGTTGGAGGATAGCCCAGCATCCCGCATGTTGAAGTGACGTAATTGTTGATGAGGCCTACCGTTGGTGTCGCGCCACTAAAGTGAACCCCGAAAAAGAATCCTTGCATGTCATTTTGGGGGTTCCAGTGGATACATGCTTAATGGAGACTGTCCTAAACGAGATTCAGGAGTAAAGATCGTCGTCAGCAAAGGACAGAAACCCGTGAAGATACTGAAGTCAGCTGATGGCTCATATGAGAGCATCACCTTCAAGAACCAGCAACCGCCTCTTTCCAACAGTTCTCCGAGATCCAGGAGCCACGGTACAGCTTGATGCCGACGCCGACCACCCTCCTTTCCAGGCGTCAGGAACGAACCCATCACTCACCGAAAGCTTTACTGTAGTCGCCCCTGCGTACGGCACGGTGACGGATTTTAGGATAAGGTAGCTCACGCCCCAACGTATATTTCGTGCGAACTCTCGAGGCCACCTCCACACTGGCATAGCAGAAGAAGTCGGAATGACTTCTACCGGCCGCGAGGCGGCTGCGGCCAATGGTGATAATGATTATATTCTGCGCCCCCGGCCACGAAAGCCGCAACACACACAGATATCAGAGCTGGTCAGGCAACATAGCAGCAACGGCCTGCTCTCTGCGCCTGGAGAAGACCCAGCTTCGGATCTGACTAGGTACGTGTTACACCTGCTGCTGGCAGCAACAAGCATTTGGAGCTCGTGTTGACAAACTTACTTCACCCAGTGGTCGGTCAACGCCTGTCGCCGAAGACGCGCCTCACTCCACGAAAGCACTATCGAGTGCGCGCAAGCAAGTACGTGCCGAACAGAGGCGGCGCATTTTCCCCACGGTCGAGTTCGCCTCCCGGGTGTCGCATTTCGATCCTGCTTCGGATTATAGGGACTTTCATGGCTTTTTCAATCTCTTCTGGATTGGTTTGGCCATCATGGCCATTACAACGGGCTTGCGCAACATTAAGGATACTGGGCACCCGTTGAGAATCCAGATTTGGACCCTGTTTACTGTCAAGCTGTGGCACTTGGCTATAGCCGACTTTTTAATGGTCGCCACCACTGCTGCGAGCTTGCCGTTTCACAAAGTTTTCAGAAATAGCAAGGCGGGTCTGACATGGCGAATGGGTGGCATGGCGATTCAGAGTATATACCAGGTTATCTGGTTGGCATTCTGGATTGCCGTTCCATTTGCGCTAGAGTGGACATGGACAGCGCAGGTGTTCTTGGTGCTGCATACTATGGTACTCCTGATGAAGATGCACTCATACGCTTTCTACAACGGACACTTGTCGGAAACCGAGAAACGCCTGCGTGCTCTGGACGACCCATCTACTGCTTCCAAGGCCCCTGCGTACCAGTACCCGAGTGTGGATAATCCCATGGGCACGTTGGCGCATGACGGAAAGCCGCACGACAGCGATTCCGATGGCGAAGGTGTCGACCAGCTGCGCGAAGACCTCGCCCGTGAGCTTACCAGTCCCATTGGCAATATCACATACCCGCGGAATCTCACCTGGGCCAATTACCTAGACTACCTGCTGTGCCCGACCTTATGTTACGAACTCGAATATCCACGAACGGCGGCCATCAACTGGACAAATTTGATCGCCAAGATCGTAGCGACGTTCGGCTGCATCTTTCTCCTGACCATCATTTCCGAAGAGTACATCTTGCCAGTTCTGCAAGAAGCTCATATTCGGCTGGACTCTGTTTCCTCTCTCACAGAGACATTCCTTACTCTTGCCGAAACCATCTCTTGGCTTCTCTTTCCGTTCATGCTCACCTTCCTTCTTGTATTCTTGGTCATCTTCGAATATGTCCTTGGCGCATTCGCGGAGATCACGTATTTCGCCGATCGCCACTTCTATGCCGACTGGTGGAATAGTACCGACTGGATGGAGTTCTCGCGAGAGTGGAACGTACCTGTCTATTCTTTCCTTAGAAGACATGTGTATGCCACCTCGAAACCGAAAATCGGTCGCGGTATGGCTACAGTCATCACTTTCTTGATAAGCGCTATCGGTCATGAGATTGTGATGGCTTGTATCACAAAGAAGCTGAGAGGATATGGCTTCGTGTGTCAGATGTTGCAGTTGCCTCTCGTCGTGATACAGAAGACACGGTTCGTGAGAAACAGGAAGACAGCAAACAATGTGATATTCTGGTGCAGCATGATTATGGGCTTGAGCTTGGTAAGTAATATGTTTCACTTGCCTTGCAATATCTGGGAATTCTGCTAACAGCGCCGCCAGATTTGCTCGCTCTATGTCCTCATCTAGACACGTTTTGCCGGAGTAAATTAAACGGATGTTTCATGCGTGAACGACAAGGTCGTATGGTTTCAGCGTTGCCAGAAGTGGCCCAAGAAAGTTGGTATTCGAATCATTTTGCATTCCAGATAGTTCTAGATGGATATACCCAGATGCCCTCCTACCCTTACAGCATAAATAACAGTCTCTCTTCACAATTGCGCCGGCAAAACAGTTGGTTCTCCTGCAAGGTGTGCATCAATCTCAGGCAACCGATCTCAAGATGTCATGCTTCGAGGAATCCGTCTCCAAACCCTTGTTTATACCTAGGACAATAGCTTAGTAGTCGAATTATTCTCAGCAACACATTGTAGGCAATGAGAAGTATGCATGTGAGACGGTAGAAAAGCGACGGGATGCATCAAAATATCATTGCTGCCCGGATATATCTGCAGTTTGCTTCCGGTAGCTTCTCCTCCCCTTTCCTCGTACCCAGAGAATGTCCATGCCCGATTGAATCGCCGTCTCCGTATCAACGCCTCGTAAATGACCGACAGCTTGCAAAAACATGCCAAGCAAAAAAATGCCGCCAATGACCACCGCTCCCGTAGACCTTCCAAATAGTGAACCAGTCCAAATATCTCCAATATGGGGCGCTGTAATGCAATGGTTTGTGTTGTATTGTATTGTTGTATATGTATACTTTCATGCAGGCGTCGTAAATAGTAATAAAAAATAAAATAAAACACAAGCAGAAAAACCAGAAACGACGCTGTCTCCGTTACATTCGTGGAAGGTGAGAAACGCGACTGGTGAGGGTAGATAAGTCGCGAAACATCGGATGAGGCTTTCGAGGCCGTGGGGAAGGATGAGATACGACCTGGTTATTTGTAGCTTAAACAAATGCCACTGCTCGCCATGATTGAATGAGTAATGTGTTCTTTGAACCACTACAAGTACGCTATGGTTCCCTGAGCGAATGCGGTGACGTTGACCGTCGACGTTCCGGGATCATTCTGTCCTTTCTGCTCCCATCCCATCCCGTCTCAAAAGAAAAGAAAAAGAATGAAAAAAAGCAAGAAAAAGGAAGACATGCCATCGTTACTGCGTTTCATAACGTTTCGTGGTAGAAGGCTTATACCGAGAACAAGCCGCCAGAAAAGCCTCCTTAGAACGCCTAGAATATACCACAAGTGCATTGATGTCCGTCGACTGTGTGGCCGAGTTTCCACGACCGTCATAGTCTGATAGACCACGTCGCAAACCGTACCAACTCAAATGATGTGTACGAAAATCCCTTCTAGGCATATCCGTAACCTGCATCGCGTGGAGTGTACGAGTACGGAACATCCGCAACGTTGACATCGCTCATGTCGTAGTTTCTGGCGGTCTTAACCTTGAAGGCAGTCTGACCTGAATAGCTGTCATGCGGGTGCATGGCTGGACGGTGATCTAACGGTCGACTTTGGTTTGCCTCAGGATAATAAGATTTACCACGACCACTGCGACTTACAGGTTCGTCGATATAAGAGGCAGTCCTAACAGATGGCTTGGCTCGACCATTCTCAACCTTATAGGTGAAGGTATTGCCGATCTCGTCAGGCGAGCGAGTCCTATGGCTACGTCGTGGACGGTAGTCTTCTTCAGATTCGTCTTCGGAGTAGCCATGTAAGGGCCTCGATCGACTGCGCTCTCGGTGATCCTCACCACCAGGCCCCCAAGTCTGTTGGCGGGACATGCCATGCATTGGACCCGGAGGCGGTCGCACGAACTCAGTTTTGGATCTTGAAATCTTCGGCGGAGATGTGTCCATAGGAGACGTGCTTTGGTGCAGATGCGACGTGGGCATTGTTGCCGATTTGCTCAACTTGGGCATCGGCCGACCTGACTCGGCAACATATTCCGCCTCCCTCGAGCTCGACTTTTTGTGCGACGACGATGACGTCTTCTCTCTAGATCGGGGAGTATCATGCGACATGCGACGACGTGCGGCAGATCGCATTACTGGCTCTTCGTCGGTCTCCTCTTCCAACGTCTGTCCCATTGACCGCATTTGCGGCGGTGGAGGGGCCATACCGTTGTTGGCTGGAGGCGGTGTAGCCACAGCAGGTGGAGGCGGAGACACATGGCGGACGTTGTAGTGGTAGGTTTGGGCGCGCTGTAGACTTGGAGCAGCCTTACTCCTCGACGCTTGAAGGTATTCAGTAGCAAAGTCCAAATTAATCGCTTGCTTCACGTCACGGTGGCTCCTCGGCTCACGCTCGCGATCCTCGCGGACCTGTACCTGTGGAGTCTCCTTGACTCTGGAACTCGACTTTGGCTTCTTCTCGGACTTGGGGACGTACTCCGGTTCCTCCTCGACGTAAGCAGGAGGTTTGGTACGAGAGCGCTTCTCTTCGGTGTCTCGCTTGCGTTCCGTATCACGAAGCTTCTCTGCTCTCTTCTTCTCCTCTTTGCGGCGTTCTTTGTCCCGCTTCTCCTGTTCTCTGATTTCTCTCCTTTCGGCTTCTTTCCTGTCCGCCTCTCTCTTTCTGGCTTTCTCTGCTGCGCGCTCGTACTCCTCCTGCTCTCTCCTTCTAGCGCGTTTTTCTTCGTCCCTTGAAGGCTTCTCGTCGTATGCCTTCCGAGCTCGTCTGGCATCCCGGGAATCGCGAGGAATATCTTCATGACTGCTGTGTGCTGCGGAGTTGATGTTGTCTTCATAGGACCGGGGAGGCGTTCGTGTACTTGTGTAGGGGCTTTTGCTGCCCGACGTCCATGTCGACGACTTTTGAAACGGAGGTGGCTCGGCGGTTCGCACTTTGTATCCAGGCTCGGGCTTGACGTGCACCGTGTAATGAGGACTCCTTCCGTACTCCGAATCATACGACCGAGGCGGTGTGCGACCAGGAGCAAATTCGCGGCTCCGTTGTTGTTGTTGTTGTTGTTGTTGTTGTTGTTGTTGTTGTTGTTGTTGTTGTTGTTGTTGCCTTCTCTGTTCTGCGTTCTCCCTGTCCATCTCATGCAACCTCACTATGTCCTCGTATTTCTCCCGCTCATTTTCGTCGGAGAGCAACTCATACGCCTTCTGTACCTTCTGGAACTCTTCTGCCTTGATTGCCTTCTGAGCCGGATCGGTCACCTTATCCGGATGGCACTTGAGTACCAATTTCCGGTATGCCGTCCGAATCTCTGGAATTTGGGCATTTTTCGATACACCGAGAATTTCGTAAGGGTTATCTGGCAGTGGTGGTAACGGCATTGTTGATGATGGTGGTGGCGATAAAAGTTGCAAAAGCGTAAGCAAAGGTGTAAGACGGTATAGAACTGTATGGAAGGAACACTCTATAATGTTGCTGTATTAAACGGGGGCTGAACTGCAATCGCTGCGAAGCGCGAACCAGGCGGTAGTAGCAGCGTGTTGAATTGTCGCAATAGCAATAATAACCCACTTGGTCATCGGCTCTCTGTGATTTGGAGTTTGTTCCGACACTGATAGATGCCAAAGGGGGGGGAAGTTATGTAGTGCAGCTACCGTGGGCACTGGAATGGATGCATCCACGAGCCGAAACAGTCAAATCAGATTCAATTAAGAACTGACTTTTTGTCCAGAATAAGGCAGAAATCGACTAGGCAAGACGACCTCACGGGTTTAACAGAAGTTTAAAAGCTGGTGGTGGTGGTCTTTTCAAAATCTTGATCTTGTTACCCAAGATGGGGTTGCTAAGAGGGAAGGAAGGGAAGAGGAATGACCTCACGGAAAGTCAAGTCGGGCATCTACAAGATTGGGGGTGGAATGGTGGTGGTATGGTTATGGGACTGTGCTGTACTTGAGAAACGGACATGGCAGGCGGAGGGTGTGACTTCTGACCTCGCACCTCGTTGCTGCGCTGCGTGGGAGAGAGAGTGCGTGTGAGGAGGCGTATGGGGTTGCTACATATTTGCGCTTGCACCCAAGACCCAAGAATGCCCACAAGGGGGCCACAGTGCCTTCAGCGCCTCTTTCAAACCCTGTCGATCCTGAAGCCTATTGCCCGTTAAGGCTTGACACCTTTTGGCCCGGGCAAAAGTCCGGCTTACCAGGGAGACGTGTAACCACGGTTATGGGGGGAGGGGGGCCGTCTCGTCGGCTAGATCGCTCCGTGCCTCTTCTTGATGGGCACGATTTGGCCTGGCAATCGTGGATCTGATCAACTTTTGGCAGCATGGCTATGTACAGTATGTATTGGCGAGCGATAGCGTGTCTCTACAGTTGACGGCTCCGTTAGTGCGGGTAGCGGTAGCGTAGCGCACTATGAGTAGCGGCGGGTGCATCAGGTCGGTTAGTGCTGCACTCAGGTCTCTAAGCAAGGGAACTGCTACTGTGCTAATCCTAAAGGTCGTAAAGAGTTGTGCCATTCTCTCACTGCAACATTGACTCCGTTAAGGGCCTAATAAGCGCTCCAAAGGTCCCAGGCATACCACGTGCTATTCTGCACCAAATAACCATCTCGGTCGCTTCAGTGCTTAACATCCATACGGCGTTCACTAGATGGATGGGTCAGTGGATAAAACTGAATGGAAGAGTGGTTGCGATTCGCCCTTGTAGTGGCGGAATGTATGACGGAACGGGATAGCGCACAAACATGGACTCCGTAGGCAAGTCAGGTGGTCAACTCGCGATGAGTGAAATACTGCAGAGATCGATGATGCAGTACTGTATTACTACTCATTCTCTCCGTGTCCTATTGGCTTTTACAGCAAAGCGCGCTCGCAACCGCACTGTAATACACCAATCCCTTGCACATCTTGCATATAATTCGGTATCTGGGGAACAGTCATGTGAAAATCAATCCTCTGTAATTGGCGATCTTTGTCATAGCTGAGTGCTGGATAAGCAATGTGCTCGGCCAAGTATAGCAGACAATATGTCACAAGATCACAATCGCTTTTATAACAAGAAATCAGTCTGGACGACAGCAAAATTCGCCTCAAACAGTGCAGTCGAGGCAGTTTTGATATTAGTCTTTGTTTATTGTGACCAGCAACATCGTATGAGGACAAAGTTGCCAGAGATGGTTTAAAGATTACTTTGGTGGCATAAGTCTACCTATACATTGCCTTTCATTTGATATCGTTGCTGATCTCGTCAAGTTATCCTCAAATCGGATTTTCAGGCAGTAAAGCTCAACTGTAGATCTTATCAGCAGATACTATCGTATGAAGAATCTCACAACGATGGCAAAACGCTTGTGAATGCTGTGAACATCCAGATGAATCGTTTAGTTGTTCCTCAGGCTTGGCGGATCCGCACCACTAGTTCGTGGTTCTGGCCAGGACGACTACACGTACCACCAGTGGCTCGGTATTACAGTGGCGATAGTATACAAAGGATTTCCATGGGAGCCTACTTGCCTCCCAGCCTCCGTACCAAATGCAACTCAGCTCAGTCTAGCAGTCTGGTTGACGGAAGAATGTGAAAACGTGTCAGATCAAGGTCTCCGTCGGGTTGCAGAAACCCAAACTGTGTTTAGGTATTTGCTTCGCTAACGCCTGGTCAAGGTGCCTCGTCGATTTGGCAACCGGCAATGAAAAGTATCCGCAGTGGATGTGCTAGAAGCCAAGGCTTCTTTTGTAGCGGTGAGCTTTATATACAAGATCGGTGTCCTCAAACAGGTGATTTAGGATCTCCGGTATCAGGCTGAAACAGGTGACCGTACAGGACTATTTGTCACTGTGAAGCGATGAATATATCAAAAACCTCAACACTGGGACGGTGGCATGTACACCATGACTGGGATTTCCTGGGTTGCAGTGGCTGGGTAGGTATCCTGTTAAGGTTCCAACATGTCATCCGTGTGCGGGCAGGAAATAGGGCGGCCTGCACGATGGACGCATTGCGCGACTCACTAATTAGCATCAACACAGCCTCTCAACCAAAGGCATGTATTTCCTAAATAGTTGATTGTTTGACAAAATTCTAATGCCATAGCGACCTGCCTAAATGTGTACCGTACTCAACTCGTTGCAATGCATTATACGACTCTTTAAGTCCGATAAATCTGTTTGGTCATTACTCGGAACAGCAAAACTATGAAATCACCTGCAGCCGACTGCGCTGCCAGCCACGAATAGTGACCACAGGTCCTCTCGATGTGAGCTTTTGTAACAGGTAAGTTGTTAAAGCTGTCTGCATGGTATGCACCACTTAGTCTTTCGTTTATGATCTTTCTGATGCTTCGGGCATATTGCATCTGATGTGACGACCGTTAGTTTGCCGACTTGACACAGCTCCTGCAGCTGAGGATTGGCCAATGTCTCGCATTGGTAGCCCTGATTCATGAGGTGGTCCAGTCGTTGCCCGTGTGTGCCCCGGCATTTGTATGATTTCAGCACCAATCATTTTCGAGGAGACTCGCATATACATCGGGGCGTAAACTCAATAAGACGCCCTGCTATCATTATGCAGTCGTCGACCACGTTGTTGTTGCAGATTGCCACAATGCGACTGAACACTGAAGACGCTCCCTTTGTCCATAAGCAGGTGCAAGTTGACCGTAACGTGGTGGAGCGATGCACTAGCATGAGCCGGTCTTTATCTTCATCTCCATCTTCACCCTACAACATGTGATGATAGTAGCCTGAATACTAGACATCGTAAGAAAAGGTGATCAGTCATGAGCAATCATCGTGGAGCAAAGAATTTTTGGTATGTACTGATTTGGCGATTCTCTGCATATGGCACCTGCTACTGATAGGCACAGCAGACCTGAACCATTCCCGATGCGATCGGTCAACCTGCAGCTAGGCCATACCATTCTTCTGCAGCTGCAATTCCTATAGGCTAGTAAAATATTCTTCCTGTTGTAGTGTGGTCGCACTGTAGCTCGTCTGGTCGCTTACAGTGCTGGCGCAGGCCAATTGAAACCAGTGAATGATCTTCCTCGAAGCAGGTACGGGAAATCACTGAGCCTGCCATTGTCTGTGTAGGGCAGGCATACGTTGGAAAGGTGTGCTACACTGATGGATCGAAGGAGCCATCATCACGATCAGGCTTACTGTACATAATCCGCTCGTTGAGCCTCCTTTCGGCGGCAGGCACAGGTTCTCATATCGCTACATACGGACTCTTACCTACTGTATGTAAGGATGGATAAAGCCCCTTGACCCAGAGATGGCCTCGAAAGGATCGCCAGGTCTTACCACGGGACGGGGTAAACCTTGAGTTTCTCGGGAGGGGAATGACAAAAGTGGTCTCGCTGTTTTAATCAAGCCCAATCAGAATAGACTTCGTGGATGGAAAATACGCCAAGAAGAAGTAGATAGTGGGCTTTTTCACCCATTTGGGACTCGTAACCATGATGAACACAGTTCGGAGGACTCGTGGCACAAAAGCCGGCGCCGTCAGTATGAGAAAGACCCTTACTTCAACCCTTGAGGCGCGATCTCAGTGGCTACAATCCACGTAGCGTCGTAGGTTGGCATGATTGAACTTGCCAAATTTGGCGGTGAATACTCCGTACGTGTGGGTTTCTGGTTGAGCAGGAGGCATCAAGATAGACCCGCAGACGAATCCAGCACAAGCCAACTCTTGATAGACAGCTGACATCCAGTGATGAATGATGTATTCAGGTAAAATCAATAATCATAAGAAAGTCGTGAACTATTTGAGCGTGTGAACCGACTTACAAGGAAAGCTTCAAGCGAAACAAAATCTCGAGGCTTCAGCATCCCACGTCTCCTGTAGAGGACTGCCCCTGTCCGTGATGATGTGCATACTGTAGTAGTAGTGTCTCCGCGAAATGCCACTGGTAGAACATCATTAGTTTCCAAGGCTTCAGATAGTGGGGGCGGGGTATATTCTCGCGTTGGAGACCTCAATACTCGACTCATCAACCGCATAGTGCATCACATCTAATGTGTCAAAAAAATAATTTGGGCCTGAACCAGTCGCAAAGAATCTCGTGGTTTCAGGAAGATGACTTGAGCATATTCCAGCTTGACTAGGTACCATGCACGATGCAGGAGAAGCACGTCGCTGGCTTCTCCATCAGCGGATCTTTTCGCACAAGCGAGTCAGATCCCCGCTAAATCATCCAAGATCTCGCGCCCCATGACGCCGTCTGTCCCGATGCCAAATGTCTGGGAGGTTCGAGCTCAGCACCAAAGCAGGAACACGCAAACCGGTGAAGCCAAATATTAGCATAAGGCTCGCGCAAGTCAACTCACATAAAAGATGAAAATAAAAATAAAAATCATCGAACTTAAAACACGCGAGACTTTTTGATTTCGGAATGTGCCTGAGATACCACGAAATACCTTGTAGCCCAGATAGCGACATGCTAATCGTTCCGAAACCGTTGATTATGCGTGGGCGGTGAGCATGTGCCTTGGGGCCAGCCTCAACGCGTTGCTTTTCTGAGGTCTCGGTTTGCTCGACATAGCTTCATCAGAGTCCTTCCACATTCAGTACATGGTTGGTTGGTTGTTCTTTGGCTTTTTCGTCTCCTACCTGACCAGCATACA